AGACTTATTCAAGCTAAAATTGATGAGTCAATGAACTTCTATGTAGACATGTCATAAGCAACTTTTAAAATAGGAATTTTCAGTAAGAATTTTGCATTGATAGAAAATTCTTCAATAACGAGGTCATTCAGAGTTTGTTATCTGCACAACAACTATTTATGCATGTTGAAACTATTGGCAATTTCAATGAAATACAAATTTCACCCACACCACCATCGGCATCTTGGAAAAGTTTCAGCGAACATAATTTCCCTACGTTTGCTTAGCCACATCTATTGAGATATTGACTTTTGTTGCCCAATGATAATTAACCCCAAATATGCAAAGGTTTTTCTTTCTGGTTGAAATTATGTTCACTGAAACTTTTCCAAGATGCCGATGGCAGTTTGGGTGAAATAGCAAAAAAAATATTTGTATTTTTAAAATCAATTATATGCACAAAAACATTCTGGACACAATAACAAATAATAACTATGAAAAAATATTTAGTAGCAATAAATAGTTCTGAAAATGATTATTCAAATATCTATCTAACAAAATTGTAATTTACTAAAATGTACAAGTCTAGGAATGACCCCATTGTGAATCATATAGATATCTAGATAGTAGAATAGCAACCCTCTAAAAGTGTATAAGAAATATTGACTAACTAGGAACTCATCTCCAGCATGAAGTATATTATAAGCAACTTTGTATCTAGCTGGCCTAAGATCAGTATTTTCTCTTATGTATATGGGTTCTAGATCATCAAGTTCAATGTTGCTGATATCAGCAATAAGATCATCTATTCCTAGGTCATCAGTATCCTCACTGACACTTGAGAGAGTTGAGAGACAAACTTTCTCTCTTGCTTGTTGAGCAGGTAGCCAATCAATATGCATTCCACGATAGTTTACAAGTCCCATTTCAGCAAATGTGTGTTGTTGTCTTTCTCTTGAAGCAACAGGCCAGAAAGAATTCTTCTGACTTGGAACAATAGTGATGTTTGTGTTATCTCTTCTTAGAACAACTTCTGATTCAAGAGGACCACTACTGGTAGCATATGTAAGAAGAACAGTTGGGTGTCCATTAAATGTAAGATTGGAAACAACAGTCATCACATCCTCATTCTCTTTCAACTTTTTAGCTATTCCTTGTTTTTTCTTAGTTGTCCTATTGAACCAATGGCAGTAACCAAGAGCATGTTCTTTATGGAAGTAAATGCACAACATATTTTTGTTATAAATCTGATCAACTAGTGCCATCCATTGCTTTTCATAAGATGTTGCAAATGTCCTACAATCACTAAGAAACTCTAGTGTACTAGCAATTAAGTTTATGTTCCATTCTACTTCTTTCAACTCAGGAGAGTGAACAGTGAGCTCAAGCCTCATTAATCCTTCATTCCTACAAGTAACAAGTGTTTCACCAAATTGCTGAGAAGTTGGCATCACTAGCTCTGATAGCTTAGAAGTAAGTTGATTACGAACCTCACCACTTTCTAGAAGTTGAACAAATTTATTATACAACTTGTTCCTAATTTTTATTTCATCTTCTTCCGTAAACCAGCTAATATAGTTTGTTCCAATTTTATCTTCATCATCAAGAATATCATTGCTACTGATTCCATTACCAAGAAGAAATTCCTTAATCATAGCCCCAGAAGATATGTTTAGACAATCCATTGGAGATCAGTCAGAAATTGTAAGCTATTTAATAATTATTAATATTTTTATTATTTTCTTATTCAGATGCCAAATATGGTGCTTCTATAAAACCCCCTTCGGCATCCTGAAAAATTTCAGTTGATTTCTTGTGGCCCAGCCTCTATCTCAGTAGAAGCATATTAATTATGTATCAACTGAAATTTTTCAGGATGCCGAAGGGGGTTTTATAGAAGCACCATATTTGGCATCTGAATAAGAAAATAATAAAAATATTAATAATTAATAAATAACTTACAATTTCTGACTGATCTCCTATCTACACTGAGCGGCAAAATTGAGTCACAAAAATCAAAATCATCGAAAATCTTAATTTATTTCTCAGAACGACGTTCATTGAATATGATAAGATTAAATCATGGTGTATGTCATGCACTAATCTATTTCATGTAGTTATGTGCTTATCACTCTTGAAATAAGCGAGAAATTGACTTTTTAAAAATATAAATTTTTGACTCAATTTTGCTCACAAAATTCGTCGATTTTTTTCTCACTAACTAGCATAGACACCATAGGTTTTTTTGACTGCAGCGATACGCACAGGCATCGAGTTCACTACCCATGAATAAACGGTTTCATTTACTTACGTATATATAATTTCCTTGACCAATGCAACGTAGGTGCCAAAAACGATGAATTTTGGCCTTTATCAGATCATACTCATATTGAAGCCCTATATGTGAGTAGCGCATCATATCTAGGGAACTACACTGATCATCATACAGTAGAAGCAGTATTCATATCTAGCCAACTGGTAGCCTAATTTGCCATTTATATGATGATGAATACTTTGGACATAATCTTTGCACTCTCCTACTGCTTATCATAGGTATGTAATCAAGGTATGTTTTATATCATCATATATACACTGATCAGTATGTCACATCCCCTTCTACTAAGGAAGCAATAGCCTTAGCTGTATAGAGATACACTACTCTAAACTCAGAATCTACTTTTTCTATTGTTCATAGATTCTGGTTTTCTTTTTATTTTTGGCAGAATAGAGTATATTCATTCAGATATTTCATTCTCAGTGTCACCTGTGGGGCTTGTGCTTTGTATAGCAAGTACATTTGATTTGATCTATTGTGTATTTGATCGGAAGGAGCTGCTTAAAGAAGGATCAAGAAAGTTGCAAAATTTGAGATTCAGATTAAATGGCTTATCATTAGGCACAGAGGTTACATATGGATATCTCATAGTATAGAGCAGATAGCCACAGTAGTATCCTCTCTACCTATCTATATATTGTTACTATAAAAAATCATGTCATAGAATTACATTGCTTCAATAGAGAGCATAAGTGTAGTTGTGCATCATTTATAGTTGATTACTCCCTCAGTGAACTAGCTATCAAACTCATTTCTTGTCATCGTTGAGTACAAATCACGCGAATATTAACTATGCAATCAACATCCATAAGAGTGATGGCAGCGCTGAAGCGTTGATCATTTCCTTCATAATTTTTCTTCGCATATTGAATACATGATAGTACTACGTGTAGTTGAGCAACGATATGAATGAGATGTTAATATTGAAGAGCGAGTGCAGAAGAGTTATAGGTAGTGATTTCACACCATTCAAAAAATGATAAGGTATAGAAATAGCACTATGAAGCCAAAGTGAGTCAAATTTTTGCCACTTAAATTTTTCTAGTTTTTTACTCTTGTATCGATATCATACGAAGTACGATGTTTAAAGAACATCTAATGTCATACATTTATACTATATCAAGCCCCATCGAACATATATCGAATGGAAGTATCTACGTTATCTGATGACGAAGATATAGCATCAAAAAGTTGAAAAAAAATTTTGTGACTCAATTTTGCCGCCCAGTGTATATACTGATAATATAAAAAGTCATATCATAGAATTACATTGCTTCAAAGGAGAGCATAAGTGTAGTTGCTCATCATTTATTGTTGATTATTCCTTCTCCGAACTAGCTATCAATTTCATTTCCCTTCAGTGTTGAATACTAGTCACGTAAGTATCAACTATATATTCAACATCTATAAGTATGGAGGCATTGCTGAGGCGTTGAACTTTTCCTTCATATTTTTTCTTCACACATTGAATACGTGATAGTACTATGCATTGTTAAGCAGCATTGTGAATGAGATATCAATATAGAAGAGGGAGTGCTGCAGAGTTATGTGCAGAGATTTCACACCATTCAAACAATGATAAGGTATAGAAATAGCACTATGAAATCAAAGTGAGCCAAATTTTTGCCACTTAAATTTTTCTAGTATATTATTATTACTTCAATATCATACAAAGTACAATGCTTAGCGAACTTTTGACTACATATAGTTATACTATGCTAAGCCCCATCCAACATATAATGAATAGAAGTATCTACGTTATCTGATGTCAAAGATATAGTAAGTAAAAGTTGAAATTTTTTTGTGACTCAATTTTGCCGCTCAGTGTATGAACGACAGGAATACCAGTTACTGGTCCTTGCGGCATAAAGGTACTGCATTGTTGTACCACCTGCGGGCTTGGATCCGTGGGAGCTGGGTCAGGGGATATCATGGGAGTTGGAGCCGAGTCATCATGTTCATGTTCATCGGATTTGAGCATAATAACAATGTTATGCTCAACTCGGATGAGCATGAACATGACGAAGCCCACCTTCGAGATCAAGATCAAGATCAAGACCCGGGTCAAGACAACGTCACACACGCACAAGGTTCCACTCGCAATATAAACACAAGTACACTGCCTCGTCTACGGAACAAGTCCGCCCTTTATGCTCCTCTTACGGATCCTAACACAGGAATTCCTATCATACATACTACACATAAAGTGTAGTCAAGACACTCGTTGACTACTCCATATATATGGAGAAGTCAGACCGACAGGACAAGACAAGAACAACAAGCCCCCGAATATTCCTTAACTCAGAACCTGTTTTCCAATATAACCCGTTACGATCCCGACCTTCTCTCCCTGACGTCTGAGCTCCGGTTCGAGCTCTTCCAACGCTAGCTCCTTTGCTAGCATATTATCACTCCCACCGAGCGATAACAATTGTCGTGCGTCTGCGACGTCTGGGCTTGAAGCTCCGAGTCGAGCCCCCAAATTGCCCGATGACCCGATGCCCGAGTGATCGTCAATGACTGACTGCTACTGCGCCACCCGATACTCCATATATGGGTGGTATGTATGTTGCGACCTTCCATGGTTGTGCATAAGTTCCCGACGCTGACAAATGTAGTCGACGTCGCCGTGTTGGGCGGGGTAATGTCCTACTATAAAAAGTATGGATTGTTGACGGAGAGACAGGAGAGAACCAGACAGGGACAGACAGATAAGAGAACGACCGACGACCGCCGAGCAGACCTTCTATTTTTGTGATTTCAATTTATTTTACCTTCAAGCACCATTATGACGATGCCTACTTCTGCGAGTACGCCGAGAGGGGCAGGTACCGCGAGAACGAATGCCCCCAACCCTCTGTGGGAGCAGTCACCCCCGACCAGGAGGAAACGCTTCTCGCTGCAGACACGACACAATAACAACTCAAAACGGTGCGTTCATGGTGTAGTCGGCTATCACGTATGCTTCACACGCATAAGGTCTCCAGTTCGATCCTGGATGAACGCATTTTTGTGTATCATATTTTTACTTTGGAATGGATTATTTATGCTATTCCATTTTTATTGCGTGGATAATAGTCCGTAATATCTGTCCTTGGTCAATATTGCACGCTAGTGTGAATCAAGGTGGGTACTATGATTGAACCCCTTAAAGCGTGTGACTAGAAACATATGTGGTGGTCATAGTCGTTAATAAAGTGGTGTGTAGTGACGATTTTTTCTAGCAACAACGTCTGAAGTAGCTATTTTAAAGCCACTTCGACAATTGTCCACAGGTATCACAACTAATCTCTTGACTGCTAAGATTTTATTTCTCACTCCTATGTCCATTTTCTCTGAGACCATTTCGAAGAAAGTGCCAGCAACTGACCGCATTTCCTGATTTGGAAATGCGGTGTATATTGACTTTGTATTGTCGATAGGAGGCCAGGTTTTTCCTCTGCAGTTGTGAAGGTGTCCGAATACAATACAAAACATTCGGCTGCTTGCCTTCAGCTTTCTAACTAGTCATAAATCACAGCATAGTAATTGAATATTCATTTGGTTATGTAGGATTTATATGAATTTACCTATGCAAATAATATGGCCTGCAATCTGAACTTCCACTAGGGTATATTCGCTGCTCAGTGCAACATGTGAGTGCAAAAGGCTGTATCTTTTAGAGAATAAACTTTAACGCGAGACCTGCCTGCTTCTACCTTTATCTTCAAACACACTTCGAAATAAATTCTAAATTAGTCATCACACATATTCTCAGTATGGCCTTATGAAGTCGGCTTCTAAGGTAATTCGCATTAGTAAATTTATGTGATGCATGCCATATGTCATAGGATCCAAAGTGACATCACCTTGTTTGAGCCAAATACTATGCAGTGGGTAAATGCTGGCAGCATGTGGTAGTCTAACTTTAGATCCGCCAAGAGGAATCCCGATCTTAATAATCTGATTCGCCAAAGAAAACGGCCTATCTATATTTAGTGCTTTTTACCTATGTTTTTCTAGTTGCTGCCAAGATCTCATGGCAAATCTTGGCGAAATTAATCTTCGTGATTGCCACGGTCCTATATAAGCACCTTGCACTGACGCACAAAACAAGACGATCTACTATCCAATTTTTACCCAACTCACCATGACCGCAACAACCTATACAGTTTTCGCACAAGGCCACTCAAAGGGCTGGGATATCTTCGAAGGGTGCTTGGATCATTACCAGCAGGCATCCAAGTTCGGACAGCCTACATATACAGTTAGTGCCAGTCCTCTCGCATTGGTTCTGAACAAACTCGATATGAGCGAGGCAGACGCTGAGACAATTGCCCCTGGGCTTACCAATCAGGCCCCTGTGCCCGAAGTCGTTGCTATAACTGAAAAGTTAGCTGCTCGAAAGGCAAAAATTACTGGGCTTACTGTCGACTACAGAGCCATTATGCGGAAGAGCTGTCAAGCTTGGAAGTTTGTCGACGTGAACAACATCAAATACAAATGGTACCTCGTCGACACAAAGAGGCACTGGGGGCTGGAGAGCAGCAAGGGCGTCACTGTTGCTACATTTGACAGTAACCTGTTTGAGGGACAAGAGCCGGGGTATATAACGCTTCACAACAGCTTTGATGAAGATATGCGTAGCCTGGTATTTTTGTCGTGGGCGCTGGCAGCGAAGACGCTATTCCGGCGACGCCTCACCACAAGCGCATGCTCGGCGCCGAGCATCACTGTCTACTCGGACATCAAGGAGCGGTGACACGGAGCACAGATAGTTTCTGATTTATTCTACCTGGTCAGCTGATTCAGGCCAGTACTTGTATCCTTAGAAAAGTTCCAATAGCAATGCATTATCCGTACATGCACTCGCGGATTGAGTTCCTATTTGTTAATGAAGAGATGTACATGATGGGCCACGATGCCACATGAGGATTACGCGGTTCTTCTTCACCCACCTGTCCATTGGCTATTTATTATCTCTAAACGATGCCTCCAACTACATTCACTCTGTTTACTGAAGACACGTTGCAAGATTGGGTGGTGTTTGACGGACACCACGACAGCTATGCACATGCCCGGCGTTCAGACCATCTTGCATACTTGCTACGAACCCGTTTGTCAATGCTGGCGCTAAACTCTGTTCATGATGCTGCTGACAATGACGATGACGATGCGACCATAGCGCCTGTGGGGGATACGCTTTTTTCAGGCATGCGTGGCCAGGGAGGACATATCAGCGTCATTGCGACCATTGATTACTCATTGTCACGGAAAACGCTTATTACCGGTCTTGGGAAGGTATTCCAAGCGCAGCAGAGGAGCAAGCGGAATGGGTGGAAGTTTATCGGTGCAGATGGCGAAAAGTACAAGTGGAATGTGGTGGTGCCAAGAAGGCACTGGGAGCTCCACAACGGCCGGGGCGACATCGTGGCGACGTTTGACAGCAGCATGTTTTGGAAGAGGGAGCCCGGGTACTTGGCCATCCATGCCAATGTCGACGAGACGCTTCAGTCGCTTGTCCTTGTGTCGTGGGGACTGACAGCCAAGACGATCGGCTGAGCAGGCGAACCGCTGGCCAAGCACAGCAGTAATCGCATATCAGATTACACGATCACCGATTGCGCGGGTTTGTGTCTATAGTTTTTGCTGACTGTCAGGCAGCTGTGCTCGCCTGCCTGGGGCCTGTTTCTCTTTAGCGTATTATCCTTCCCCTTATTAGTGCAACACAGATAAATCCATACGGCAATGGTCAAGCTTGTTGAGGTCGAGGAGAACGAGTACGAGTCAGATTCGCAGTACACCACTGATGCTGAGAGCGACAACGAGTCTCTCATTGAGAAGGATCTCTCTGACTCCGAGTCCGAGTACGATTCGGACTTTGACGGCGAGGACGACGATGTACTTGATGAGTCGTTCCTGGAGCGGCTGGCAGCGCTCAAGGAGATTGTGCCGGCGCAGCAGCGGCAGGCGATCTCGAGCACAGTCAGCAGCATCTACAGCTGGGGCAACTTTGGCCTGCGGTTGGCAGGCAAGCTGGGGTGGGTTTTCACAAGCAGTGCGCTGCTGATCGTGTTCCCGCTGGCGCTCGAGTCGGATCGCGAGAAGATGATGCAGCAGTGGGAGGCTGAGCAGGGCAACATGGCCCAGGGCGGTCAGCAGCACCCGGGTATGGCTGGCGGTATGCCGGGCATGCCAGGCACCGCTCCTGGTATGGCTCCTGGCATGGCTCCTGGCATGGCTCCTGGCATGGCCCCAGGCATTGCCCCAGGCCAGGCTTAATCTGCAGCAGCTTCAGAGTGTATTTTCTTTCTCGAATAGATATGCCAAACAACACGTACTGAAAGACTGGGTCAGCTTGGGTGCTTGTCAGAAATAGCGTTGAGCTGCAAGGCATGTTTCTGTAAGCGATCCCAGGACGGCATATGCTTTGCAATAGGCGCCTTGCGCATTGCGGGTCGGGACTGCGTGCCAGAAACGGCGCAATAGCCGAGACGGTCCTCGAGCTCCAGCACTGGGCTGATTAACCGGAGCAACGTGCGCGCGCCCAGATCACTGATCGAGTGCATCTCGTCGATACGCTGGCAGACACAGTCAACAATTACGTCTGCCAGTAAGCCAAGCACTTTGAAATGCGTCACTCGTGACAGATTAGTGCGGCCAATGTGAGCAATTTGGTTTACTAGCCCGCAGGTGACGGTGAGCTTCGCTTCCAGCGTGTCGTACATGCCAGCGTCGCCCAGTATAGCCTCGTCAAGCTTGTCGCGCTCCCTCCATGGCCCAAGTGCCTGCATCAGCTGCTCTTTGTACCGGCCCAGCAGCGACTGCAAGCACGACTTGGATAAGACGCGGTATGCGCCTATGGTATCAATAAATGTGGCTGCGGATTTAACCACCGCAGGCCACTGCTCGCGATACCGAAATCCAAGCGTCGACAGGTGGTGGCAAATATATTCGCAGTCATTGTGCATGACAAAGGCACGCTTGGGGCTGACTAGCAGTTCGGTCGCCCACTGTCGTGGAATCAGGCACCGATACAGGGCAAACGCATCCCGCACCGCATGCAAGTAGAGCACTGCTGTCTTGGCATCGTCCTCGAGGCTCAGCCCGATCGTCTCTCGAGCAAATTCGATCAGCATCTGCGCCTGAACACTGATCGAGCAGCGGGGAAACGACAATGAGCCCGAGCCATCATCAGCATCATCGGCACTGACTGCAAAACCCTTGCCTTTGCCTTTGCCTTTGTTTTTGCCATCCTTTTCGCTCGACTGCTTGCCGCCAGACGTCATTTGACTTAGGACATCTGCCTCTGGACCTGCACCGCCCACAACCACTGTGTTGGTGTCATCAGTAGCCAATATACTAGCAACAGTAGTCAGCAAGTCACGCCGGCGCTTGTTGACATAGTTTTGCAGCGATGATCTGACCGACTCTTTGATCACTAGCGCGTCAGGGGTGATAAGACCGTATTCGAGCCATGTTTCTTCAAGCCTCAGCAGTGGAACCATCGCGCGTGTATCTGCGATGCTGTCCAGGTCAGTAGGGACTAGCGGAATAAGCAGGAATTCCTCCAGCAAAGGGCACAGCGATGTCCAGAGTTTGGCGCCAAGGTATGCATAGATCTCGGTATGGTCCTCCATTGGGTTGATGTCGTGGAATATCTCTTCGCGGATGAATCTCAGCACTGTCTCCCACTTGTCTCTGACCAGCTCACACCGGACCATCAAATCAGTGCCCTGATGTACACTGCTCTCACGCCTGTCGGATGTGAATGCACCGATATTCATAGTGGCAAACATGCTGACTCTGCTCACCGCTAACGCCTCAGCCGGAGAGCGCAGTAGGGGTACAAACCAGTGCTCCACCAGCGCGCTAGCCAGCACAGTAACCTTTTCCTTGTCCTGGCCCAGCTGAGTCAGCGCAAAGAGCAGGTCACTGATGGTTATAGGCGTCTCGTACGGAACACCATCGTAATTGGCCGTGACGCTGTATGAAACTACAAGCTCGTACACTGACCCAATGCTACGCACAGCATACATCTCCGACATCAGATAATCCAGCTCGGCTCGCAAGGCGCTTCGCTTCTTGATATACTGTGTCTGCAGTGTGGCAACCGCGCTGTGTTCAATGAACCGCGGACACTCGCCTTCCAGTCCTTTTAGCAGCTCGCCAACCTCGGCTATCGTACTCGCTGCGACTGCCACTTCACCGTGCATGATCTGCTCGTCCACCTCCTTTAGGTCAGCATGGGTCTTTGCCAGGCGCATTACCACGTCCAAGCACTGCTCGATGGTAGCAAGCCGCTTCTGGTGGTCAGCATTATCGCCTGCAGCTGCCCGTGCAGTCTCGCACTTGTCGTTCAGGGTTGCAACCTCGTCCAGAGGGTCTTTCCCGTAAAGCCTGATTGTAAGAAAGTCGCGATGATGGCTGTTGATTGCCTCGTATGTTGATGCCTTAGCCAACTCGAGCCATGTTTCGAGTAACGACAGCTGCTCCTCAGCTGAATACTTTTCAAAGTCTGCCTCCTCTGCAGCAGTGGCCTCGCGTCTTGAGCGCCTTGGTCTTTTGCTCATACCCAGCTACTATTTGCATTCAACGAATAAAGTGGAAGAGTAGAAAGTGCAACTACGCGGAGTGTAAGACGGATTTTAATTGCACTGGGCAAATTTAGGCTAGCGCTATATACATCAATCGGAATACTGGCATGTTGTGGTTGGTGGTTGATTTCCATACTAATGTTCTTTCGGAAGAGGCGCTCATGTTGGACATGCATATGGCCATGCGTGCAGACCAATTTGACATCGTTATATCGGCAGTACCATGGATCAAGACACCATAAAGCAGGAGTGGAACGAGGAGCAGACCCGGCTGCGGAAGCTGCTTGTCCAGGACGACAGTGCGCTGGATTTCAGCTTCAGTCCAGCGACCAATGAGTTTGGCGGATTAAGATATGTCGGCGGTGTAGATATCAGCTATCCACGCAACCACCCTGATCGTGCGGCTGCATCCCTGGTGGTCGTTGAGTACCCGTCGCTGCAAGTAGTGTACGAAGCATTCAAGGAAGTCCAGATTACCGTGCCATACATTGCCGGCTACCTGGCTTTCCGTGAGATGGAGGCATACCGCGAGCTGTTTGCACAGCTCAAGGCCGAGCAACCTCAGCTATCCCCGCAGATAGTCTTGGTTGACGGCAACGGGACTTTACACCCGCGCCGGTTTGGTTCTGCCTGCCATTTGGGCGTGGGCCTTGGGATTCCAACAATTGGTGTGGCCAAGAATTTTCTGCACATTGACGACCTAGATGCCGACGCCCGCTCACTGAAAAGCATGTTTCAGGGCGATCCAAGCCTGACACAAGTCGAGATGGTCGGGGCCTCGGGCATCTACGGCATGGCAGTTGCGCCGCCTGGCGCTGCGACCAACCCGATATTCGTTTCTGTCGGCCACCGTGTGTCGCTGGCAACAGCGGTGTGCCTTGTGCGTGCCTGCTCGCTGCACCGGATCCCCGAGCCGATACGCATTGCTGACCTGCACTCGCGCGTAATCTCCCGCCAAATCGAAGCTGCGGCCTGAGCCATATTCTGCCACAGCCTTTCTAAACCCCTCGCCACCAATATGCAAAAAAATAAAAATAAAAAATACACAGCCACTGATGTGCTGAAAGTAAGCGCAATTGTTTTTGCGTTACACGGGCATAAACACCCTGTGAAAGTGCGCTGCGCGGCAAAAAGATATTTTGTGCCAAGCGCCGTTGGCGGCAGTGCTTCTATCCCACGGTACACAATGCGCAACAGACTAGGGAAGTGAGCGGCAGCGCCTTCATATCTGCGCCTGGCTCTCAAACCAAGCTGCTGTCTTCTTCTCTCCCTTCTCTATCTCACTGTCTCCCAACACTGCACAATTATCGGATACAATGGTTCTCGTTTCTTTGCTCGACCGTATCGATATTCCGGAGACAAACGTTGCTAATTATGTTCTGGACAACTGCGAGCGCATCGGTGGCCCCGACCACACGGTTTTCTTGGACTCGGCTACCGGATACGCGCTGACAGCTGCAGAACTCCGCTCGTATGTGCGCCGACTGGCAGCCGGGCTGCGCCAACATTTCGGCATCAAGCGTGGAGACGTGGTTGCAATCTTTGCGAGCAACAGCGTAAGTGTCCGTAGGATGGCTGGGTGATGTGCATGGAGCCAGTATTGGCGGAGGGGAGCGCAATACTCACATCGATTCCCTATTTGCATGGGTGCTAGGTCAACTTTCCTATTGTTGTCTACGGTGTTGTCGCTTCAGGTACGTACATCAGCACCAGCTCTGCCAATTGCAGCACGCAATATAGAGCTGCATATATCTAAATTGCTGCCCCTTGTTTAGGCGCAACGTGCACTACAGTGAACCCGACATATACTCCGCGGGAGCTCGAGCACCAGCTGACAGATTCGCAAGCCACAATGATTGTGGTGGGAGGTGGCCTGCTTGACACGGCTCTGGAGGCGTTTTCCCACATGGACGACAGCGCCAAGCCCAAGCACATTCTGCACATGGACGAGGCACGCACTGGCAAGGAGGACTCGATTTTCTCAGCAATGGCTGATGAGACCGCTGGCCCTGTGGACGATGGCCTGCAGCCAAGCGACTACAGCACTACACCAGCATACATTTGCTACTCGAGCGGCACAACGGGCCTGCCCAAGGGGGTCCTGCTGTCGCACCGCAATATGGTTGCCAATGCAATGCAGATCCAGCGGGTCAAGGAGCTGGACCTGGAGCGGAGCCAGGGCAGCCGCCACGAGATATTCCTCGGGCTGGCACCCTTCTGCCATGCGTATGGGCTATCGTATGTGTTGCACAGCTCGGTGGCTCTGGGCGGTACCATCGTCATCATGTCGCGGTACTCGTTCGACGGGTTCCTGAAGGCCATCGAGACGCACCGCATCACATTTGCGTACCTTGTTCCGCCGCTGGTGTGCGCGCTGTCCAAGGACCCACGCGTGGACGACTATAACGTGTCGTCAATGCACACGGTCCTGTCGGGCGGCGCGACTCTGAGCCCGACGCTTATTGAGGCGACACAGAAGCGCCTGCCGCATGTGCGGGTGATCCAGGGCTACGGCATGACGGAGATGAGCCCGGCCATCACAATGCTGGCGACTTCCCACAATGAGCCGGCGTCGATTGGCATTTTGATGGCCAACTGCGAGGCCAAGGTGGTTGACCACGACAACAACGAGGTCGCTGCGCCAGGCGAGCCCGGCGAGCTGTGCTTCCGCGGACCCAACATCATGGTTGGGTATCTGAACAACCGGCGCGCTACTGAGGACATCTTTGACAGCGACGGGTTCCTGCACACGGGCGATATTGGGTACGTCGACAGCAAGGGCTTCTTTTTCATCACTGACCGCAAGAAGGAGATTATCAAATTCAAGGGCTTCCAGATCAGCCCGTCCGAGCTCGAGAGCATTCTGGCCGAGCACCCAGATATCGCTGACGCAGCGGTCATGCCGGTGTATGATGACAGCCAGGCAACGGAGGTGCCCAGGGGCTTTTTCGTCATGAAGGACAGCGGCAACAACGACCAGGAGCGGGCCAAGGCAGTGGTCGAGTGGCTGCATGAGCGGGTTGCTGGGTTCAAGCGGCTGCGCGGCGGGTTTGTGATTATCGACCACATCCCACGCAGCCCGGCCGGCAAGATCATCCGCAAGTCGCTCCGCGAGATCCAGCATGTCAACCTTGGCAAGGCAACAGTTGCGGCCTAGAGCCACCATTACATACAATACATGCATTGCATTGAACCCTTAGAGACTACTCGAGTTTTGGACGCCTGTGTGCCTGTGTGCCTGTGTGTTCCAAGTTCATGTTTGGGGCGGTGTTTTACAAGAAGTAGTCGGGTGCTGGCTTCTTGGCCGGAATGCCCCGCGCTTCCTGCGGGGCAGCATCAAAGATCTTGTAGTCCTGCTTGAGGTTCTCGTCAAACTCCAGGATGGCGGCGACGTTGCCACACCGGTAGCAGTAGTTGGGGGCGCTCCATACAGTGACACAAGTCTCGTCAAACATCTTCTTGTAGCCCTCCATGACCAGCTGGTGTGCGCGGGCAATCATGCTCAAGTGGTTTGTGTGCAGGAACGAGCGCACGACGTCCCCACCAAACAGGTAGCCAGCGCCGCGCGGGCTCAGGCCCCACCCGGAGATGTCCTCGGGATCCGACCACAGCAGATCACACATGGCGCCCTCGTGCGGCACCTCCTGCTTGCGGTCGATGGTGCGGATCTGGTCGACGGTGTTGATGACCGGCGACAGCCCGCCATGCACGCATAGCACGCGGTCGTCGATGATGGCCACCAGGCTCATGTAGTCGAAAACCTCGCAGCAGTTGCGCCAGACATTGGCCGACCCGTACTTGCGCATGCACTCGTCGTAGAAGCCATACACCTGTGTGATCTGCCGGCTCTCATGGTTGCCGCGCAGCAGCGAGATTCGGTCGGGGTACCGCACCTTCAGTGCCAGCAGCAGCAGAAACGTCTCGACACTGTAGAACCCGCGGTCGACAAAGTCGCCCATGAACAGGTAATTTGTGTCCGGACACTCGCCTCCCACTTTGAACAGCTCCTGCAGGTCGTAGAATTGCCCGTGGATGTCGCCGCAGATAGTCACGGGCGCGTCGACCCGCTGGACGTTGCTCTCCTCGATAAATATCTCGCGCGCCTTGTTGCACAGCTCTTTGACCTCGTTCTCTGTAATGATTTCGCAGCGCCGCAGCTGCTCGATTTGTCTGTCAAGGTCGCTCTGCACCATCTGTGGGTAAAGGCTAAATGAACCTGATTGCGAGAATGTGTGTGTGGAAATGTAGAAAGAAAAAAGCGTGGAAGGGCAGAGGCAAGAGAGGCCAGCCAGTAGCAGAAGGCTTTTTTTTTTGCGCGGCCAGCAGGCGCACATAGCAAGGGCCACTCGCGCACCCCAGTGGACTTTTGTTGGGCTGGGGGAAGAGCCGGTGGCTGCGCTCGGTGCCAAAAAACAAAAACAGAATATGGGTTTCTTTACAGACAGCATAACCGAACATTTATGTGATGACAGTGGGGACCTTGCGGCCCGTGAAGGCCTCGAGCTTGGAGATCTCCAGGGCTCCGTCGACCAGCGGCTTGAGCGCAACCTGGGCGTCCAGGTCCAGCTCCTTCCGGTCGTAGCGCTCAATGTAGATGCGCACGGTCGCCCCGTGCGAGCCAGTGCCCGACAGGCGGAAGATGACGCGCGACGTGTCCTCGAAGATGACGCGCACGCCCTGCTTCTTGGACACGCTGTGGTCGATGGGGTCGTGGTACTCAAAGTCGTCGATCTTGGCGACCTTGTAGCCGTGGAAGGTCTGGCCGACAACCTCGTTCTCGCCGCCCTCCTGGGCCAGGCCGCGCAGGCGCTCCATCATCTTGTTGGCGCCCTCAGACTCGACCTCCTCGTAGTCGTAGCGCGTAAAGTAGTTGCGGCCGTACTTGTGGTGGAACTCGGACATGATCGAGCGCACAGACGCTCCGGGCTTGCCCTTGTTGGCAAAGGCAATGATGTTGAGCCAGGCCAGCACGGCCCAGATGCCGTCCTTCTCGCGGATGTGGTCCGAGCCGGTGCCGAACGACTCCTCGCCGCAGATTGACAGGCGGCCGGCGTCCATTAGGTTGCCAAAGAACTTCCAGCCAGTAGGCACCTCGAAGGCCTCGAGGTTCTTGGCCTTGGCGACCAGGTCGATGGCGCACGACGTGGGCATCGACCGCGCCAGGCCCTTGAGCCCGCCCTTGAAGTACGGGATGGCCTGCTCGGCGTACTCGGCAATCAGCGCAACCGAGTCTGACGGCGTGACGAACCAGTCGTGGCTGATGATCATGTTCCGGTCGCCGTCGCCATCAGACGCAGCACCGAGGTCAATCTTCTCCTTCTCGACACGCTCGACCAGCTTGTGGGCGTAGATCAGGTTGGGATCAGGGGTGCGAGCCACCAAAGTCCTCCAGCGGCGTGCACTGGTCCAGAGACGACTCGGGGAAGCCGAGCTCCTCGACGAAGATGCGGCGGCCGTAGGGACCGGTGACGCCGTTGAGGCCATCAAACAGCAGCTTGAAGTCGGCGTGCTCGGTGCGGAACGACTTGATCAGCTCAAAGTCGAAGATGGTCTTGATCAGCTCCACGTAGTCGGCGACCGGGTCAATGACCTCAACCTCGAAGCCCTCAAATCTCTGCGTGCCCACCTTGGACAGGTCCACGGGGCCGGCGAGATCGACCACCTTGTACTCGGAAATAGTGCGCGTGGCCTCGTAGATGGCGTCGGTGACGGCCTCGGGCGCGGGTCCAGCCGTTGCGGGTGTTGTACTTGATGCCAAAGTCGTTCTCGGGACCTCCCGCGTTGTGCGAGGCTGTGAGGATGATGCCGCCGTCGGCCTCGCGCTTGCGGATGACAGCCGATGCAGCCGGGGTCGACAGGATGCCGTCCTGGCCAATAATGAACTTGGCGATACCGTTGCCAGGCGCCGATGCGGATGATGGCCTGGATCGCCTCCTTCAGGAAGTACCGCCCGTCACCGCCGACGACAACGGTAGCGCCCTGGGGACCAGGGGCCGGCATCGCGGTGAAGATGCCCTGGACAAAGTTCTCGGTGTAGTGCTCCTGCTTGAACACAGCAACACGCTTGCGCAGACCAGAGGTGCCTGGCTTCTGGCCCTCAAAGGGCCTGGTAGAAATAGAACGCACAGAGGCCATGGTTTGTAAATAAAAAAGGGATAGAATGGCGGAGAACGAATACAAAGGAGAGCTTGAAGAAGAAGAAAAGGAAGAAGAGCCGCTGGCCAGGGGCCTTTTATACCACCGACGCTTTGTTTTCGGTTAAGCAACTGGCTGTTCACTTCGTCCTCCCCCCCCCCCCAACCCTACAGAGCGCCAGCACCACCGCGCAGCGCTGCCTGGGCGTGAATGGACCTGGGCGGATGAGCCCGAAGCTGACTGGCTGCCTCGAAAGCATCCTCCTGCCGAATAGTGACTATTTGTTTCCCCCAAAAGAAAATCGCCGTCCATCAGCAGAATGTAGGCATGCTGTCCACGGGTGGCGATAACGAGACGCTGGCGGACCACTCTACGACACACCGTGGTTGTGATTGCGCGATAAACCGCCTGGCCTGTTTTTTCTACTCAGTGAAGCTGGAATTGGTGGGGAGGGACCATGTTTTGGCGATAGCAGCCCACCGCACGTTGGCCACCAGCCATTTCTGGGCATTGCCGCACGTCGCGTGTTCAGCCGTCCACTGTTTGCGCATCAACCACCACCACACCAGGCCACGGCGCTACTGCTGCTGACTCGGTGTTTTTCGCGGGCACTAACCAGCCAATTGCTTACGCATGCCGCAGGTGACCGTTGAGCTCAAACTAAAACAAGCCCAGGCAAATCCTCAGCCTACACCTCCCCGATATCTGGCGATTATGCAGACAATCCGCCAACGACTGCTAGCCATCGAGCTCTGATCAGCACATTGCCTAAAAGAACACGAAAAATACGAAGACACGACTACATCGATGGACCGCCGGTCTCGCTGGACGACGGCGGGTAGCCTGTGTTGCGCAGCGATGTCAGATACGCCTCCCACAGCATCACCACCTCTTCCTGCGTGTCAATCAGCGACGTCAGATATGTCTCCACGGCGGCCTGGAAGTCGCGGACGCGGTTGAGGTCAAAGCGCACCATCTCCTGCTTCACCAGCTTGGACACGTCATCAAAGGCATTGCGGTCGCCCTCGGTGCGAATCTCGGCGCGCGCAATCTCGCCCTTGGTCTGGAGCAGGCGCTCGGGCGACGCCCGGCCCTGGTGCTGCACATACCCCTCCAGCACCTTGCGCCGCTTGATAAGATCAGCCAAGCTGTTCTGCCACCGCGTGTATGCACGGCCACGCGCAGCAAAGGCCATGCGCACAGCACCAATCATGCGGATGTATTCGTCGGTTGTGAGCTGGAACGCGGCAAAGTCGGCCACGCCCTGGCGGCTCTGCAGCACCTTGAGCTTTTGCTGCAGCGACCCCATGTCGGTCAGGCAGTTCGACAGCGTCTTGTTCAGCTCCTGCCCAGCCATCTTCAGGTACGCCTCACCCAGCTCGCCATGGGCTATCGACAGCTCGCGGCGCTGGCGCTGCCCGTACTCCAGCGCCCGCAGCAGCGCCCGCAGCTCCTGCTCTACCGCATCCAGCTCCTGCATGCGTCGCATGAACCACTCGTCCTTCTCCTTGTACTTGGCGCCGCCCCACCCATCGCCAAACAGCCCACTCCCGCTGCTACTGCTGCCCAGCGACGTGCTGGTTCCGTTGATCTCCGACGCTATCCGCAGCTCTGTGATTGCTCGTGCCTTGGACGCAAAGTCGTCGGCCTCGAGGAACAGCCGGAACGCGTCATCGCACCACAGAACCGGGTGCTCAGCAATGCGCACCAGACAGCTCTCGAGCCCCGCCCGCCGCGACTCGACAAACTCGTCCTCGAACCGCCCCATAGACTGCTTCTCCGGGATCGCCGGTACGATGATGCCCGGGTGCCGAGCCGCCAGCTCCTGCGTCAGCCAGTCAAAGTCCCGATACCGCCGCCGCACGATCATCTCGCTCTCGCGGAACATCGCCGCGCTGCTCTGCGTCTTCACCTTGTACGCTATGTACGACTTGAGCGAGTCGCTGACCTTGACCGGATCCATTACGTGGATACTGAACCGTGGCATCTGGTCTGCGGGAGTCGGATCGAGCGACTTTCGGCGCTGGTGCGCTCCCAAGTACACCCGTGACGTCGACGCCCGGTTGCCACCTACTGACCCTGAGCTCAGCCGCTCCGATGATGGCGTGGACGTACGCGATTTGCCACCCTCGATCTGCTGTCGCGCGTTTGCTGTCTGCTCTCGTTGCTGAGCCTGCGCCAGCTGTTGCTCGTAGGGATGCGGTGGCGACGATGCTGCTGCAACTCCTGCACTGTCCGCCGAGCCGCTGGTGTTGTCTACTAATGAGGCCCTCGACTGCGACCGCGTCTGCCGAGTCGCCCCCATATTCCCACGCCGCGCTGCTGCCTGAGACGGCGGCACATCGAGGCTCGCCCTGCCAGCTGTCGCAGCAGCAGCAGCAGCGCTAGCTGCTGATATGCCACCTGGCTCGCCGCTCTCTGCTGCCGCTGCTGCACTGGACAACGGGTCAACGAACGGGTCAGACGACGACAACTGCTGCGAATCAAGCATTCTTGGCGACCGCAACCCACGTCTAATCACACCCACCCGCCGCGCCGCCTGCACCTGCACTCCATACCCACCCAGCGGCGATGCCCTGGTCGCTAGCTGGTCCTTTGACGTCGGTGTCGTGGGTGGTGCGGTAGCTGGTGATGCTGTTGGGCTGGTGTCAGTTTCCTCAGCTAGCTCTTTGTGTGCTGCTATTGCCAGTCTTTTCGAGTTCTTGCGACGCCGTATTGCTGGTCTCCCTAGACGACTCATTTGACGCAACATCTAGCTGCTCAAATTTGTTAGGCAATATGTCCTCTCCCTCGTCGTCTGTCTCGTCCCGCCTAACTGTCTCCACATGTAGCGACCCGCCCACCTCGCCCCAGGGTGAGGTGCCATCGCTGAACGGGTCCATCTCGCCAATGTCCAGGCTGAAAGGCTGCTGTTGGTTCCCAAACCCACCGCTAAACAAATCGTCGTCATTCATTTCTGTCCAAGCTGTGATTGTGCCAAGAGTAAGCAACAAGAGTATAATACGAGTGGTTTGTGAGCCAGAAAGGGGAAAGCTGAGAATGCCTGGCCGCTTTAACCCTGCTGCTTAAATAGTGCATCGTCACGTGGCGGAGCGTGGATACACACAGCCAATAGCCTACGCTTCTCTTTCAGGCAGCAAGGTCCTGTGCAAACTAGGTCTTGGCGTTCAGCGAGTACGATCTAACGGCCATGCATCTGCCATGGTAGCATACTTGCAGTGCATGAGGTGAGGCATGTAATACCCGGCTGTCTACAATGATATTGCTAGTGCTCATTCAAATATCTCCAGCTATTATCAGAAGAAAACCACCATTTAGCATATATTGAGAATGGTGCCTCATGGTGTATTCTATTTTGTCACTTCTGTCTGGACCCTTCATTGCATTAGATGCAGAAAACAGACTAGCATCTGAATCTCTTGAAATGTTTACAGCCAGTCATAATCTGCTGGTTGTACGCATTTTTGTCGAATATCTAACGACAGCCATCTGCACCCTGCTTCGGCTCAAGCCCTGGTTCAACACGGCGTATCTGCTGCTGAATTTGTTCCTAGGGATGCAGGACTCCCAGCTTATTTTTACTCGTTGTCCATAGACATGTGCAGAAGATACAATAAGTCGCAATACCATTGATAAAATCTGTATAGACAGAGAAATCAAATATACTTGCCCATTCCTACGCTCATACTTGATAACTGAGCTTACGCGCCGCTCCAACATAGCAGTTGAGGAATCTGCCAAGGAAATCATCCACGCTGTCGGTGTTATCACCTATAAAGAGCCATATTGGGCCGTGTATCCTCTCACCGCTGCAGTATCTTCCAAAAGCCTCGCACCTGGCCATGGTCGACTAGGGCCAGGAACCCAAGTGATTCAGGTATGGTCCTTCCTATTTACGATCTGCACTGTGGTTCCAAATCCACATGATTTCAGGAACCCATGGATCATGACCCTTGGGCCACAATGGCAATCCATACTATTCCGGGCGGCTGGCGCCACTACTTAGACGGGCACCCGCCCTTTTCACCTGGTGATTTCTCCTTCCTTCTTTCATACAGCATATTTCATACGTTCAATATACGTCGTGGAAAGGTGCTTGGAGAGTAAACGTGTTCTAGACAGTTGCAGGAGGCTGTCTATCTAAGTGTACCGTACCCGAGACACAGCATGCATAGAACCACCAATGTGTTGTTGGACTAGACCATAAGGTGGGAAATACAGGGCCGTGAGGAGAGGCAAAGCCAAAAAAGGAATGAGTAACGCAATACATGATATGTCGATATGTGTGTATCTTCGTTGAGTCTGCGTTGTGAACGAATCCTCCAACAACGATGTATCAGCCCAGAAGTGTGCAAACTGTGTGAGCTTCATATAATCAAAAGGTGACAGTCAACGATTGTATTTACATATGAAAAGCAAAAGAAAATGGAAAGGATGAGAGTGAGCTTAGATTTTCTATACCATCACTCAGGTACCACAGCCAAAATTTGATGATAAATGAAGGCAAAGTAAATAACAGGAAATAAACCTATAGTTCAAGATAATTGGATATTGATATTCGAACAACGATTGTCTTTGACATTATAAACTCTTATATTAAACATTGTCTACAGCAATGACATTTCATTAAGCCGAGCACCTTTTACGCGGTCACAGCGTGGCATATAAAGCAGTAATGGATACACAGCTAATTTGAGTTGTGCCTGATTCAACATGTCGAATATATGAAGTAGGATTCAAAGCATCGATGATCATCAAACTATGATAAATGAATCATAGCCAGAGTGATATGAATATGCCAACTAGTAAAGCTACACAAAGTAATATTGCAGAACCTGGGAGGACGTGAAAACATCAATATCCCAAGGTCATGAGAAAAATAAATAGGTATACCAATGGATGTACATATAAACATGATACTGAATTGTTTTAACAATAATACGATTTGGGAAATTAAGCATATACACTACTGCACTGTACATGTAAATAAGTAGAGAGGCTTTCATATTTATTCATAGTTTCAGCTGCTACAGGGCCACGAGTGTCAGAAAAACTAAACAAAGGATTGAATTATCGACCATATCTTTATGGATGATTTAAATTGCCTGTAACTCAGCGGTTTGAACGGTGGTTATCCTGAGAAAAGCGCTTTAAATCCGCAATGGTCCAGTGGCTAGGATCCGACGCTCTCACCGTCGTGGCCGGGGTTCGATTCCCCGTTGCGGAACTTTTTGTTTTTTTTGCAATCGCTGCTGAATCCGGTGGCAGTCCACATTTGTCTCTCATTTAGTAAAGCGCTGCAAGTACTTGTTTAGCAAGATTGTCTGTATGTTGCTTTGAGGGAATTTGGTGGTTTTTTATAGCTGGCATTGTCGCTGCCTGTGGAGTGCTAACTTAATCAATGTGAACTCAAATGACTCCCAGCTTAGAGTTAACCCATTCTGGACACTATGACAATACACTACTGGCCATTTTTAGTGCATTAAATATTGAGAGTAAATTATTATTGATGTATTCCAAAGATGCAGTAGGTTGTACCACATAATATGATTCCTGCTGCTAGGGGGTACCAAGAACAATTTATCAATGCACTGAGTATGAATAAAGAATTCCAAAGTTTACTACAAGTATGGTTGGTACTAGTACTCCATACAAATCAATAGCTTGGAGAGAAATATAGCAACCCCTGTTCCTAGACAGGGAGGGATAGGGGTGTTGACTATATAATATAAAAAAGTTCTTATTGACATAGTGACTAAGATAGTAAACTGAGTAACTCAAAAACACTATGCAATATATACTTCTGTTATTAAGAGAAATATCTAGAATCTGCCCTTACTAAATGGGCTTTATACTTAAAGGATTATTATATTTGAAATACATAGCAGAATCATGAGAGTCCACTAGTCCAGTCTAATAACATTTAAGTACTGATCTACTCCCACCTCACTATGCCAATAACTAAACTATATAAAATCAGACCACAAGCTAATTAGACCCTCCCCTTTTTCTCTAGTCAGTCTTATTTCACCTTTTATTTTGCTCATATATATACTTATAAATACTCATCCTATCCCTAAGGTTAATATAGGGGGTTATTATTAGACTTATAAATTTTAGTATTTTACAATTTTAATAGATATTTAATTAATTATTTTCAGAACAGATTTTTACTACTAACTATTTTTATTATGGTTATTATTAATTGTTATATCCAGATTGTTTCTGTGCTTATAAATGATTTCTAAGACACAAATATTTTTCTTACTGTTTTACCCAAACTACTATTGGCATTTTAGAAAAGTTTTAGTGAATATAACTTCCTTATAGTTGCTTAGCCATATCTATTGTGTTATTGAATTTTGTTGCCCAATGATATTTAACTCCTAAATATACAATTTTTTTCTTTCTAGTTGAAATTATGTTCACTGAAACTTTTCCAAGATGCTGATAGCAGTTTGGGTGAAAATTTTATTTCACTGAAATTGCCAGTAGTTTCAACATGAATAAATAATTGTTATGCAGATATCTAACTCTGAACGACCTCCAGTAATAGTAAACAGGGCATCTACTTTATAATGCATTCGGCTGTATTTGCCCTGTACTTTTGTGGCATCCGCTACCAACAGTATTCTATTATACTAGCCGCAGCATAGTGGAACTGTAATATCATATGCTGGTTCGGCTAAGCACTTAGTGTGGTAGAGTCAGGAGAAAGACCCCGCTGGCTTGCAATTTGTGCCTGCAGATTGGCCGCGCACATTTCTTCCGAATCGCCTGATCGATTAAGACCGCATTAAATCTAAGGCTGACCTCACCACCGATCTGGATTCGCTTTTTCACTAGCAGTTTCGCTGGTTGGTCTCTTTATCTCCATCACCTCTCGTCCTTTCAAATTCACTGTCGCAGCTGCAGCTGTTTGAATAAACAATTTCCTTGCATAATGACGCTGTGCCGGCTGCAGACGCTGCTTCGTTTACCTGTCCACCGACGCCAGGCACTCGCGGTCAAGCTGCTGAAGCGGACACTGATCCAGCCGTCGTTTAATTACAAATATATCCGGGACAATGCAGACGAGCTGCTGGAGAATGCCAAGCAGCGCAACGTACATGACGCACAGCCTCACCGAGTAGGCATTCTGTATGACGAGTTTCGGGATATAACGTCGCAGATCAACGAGCGCCGCAGCGAACTCAATGTCCTATCCAAACAGCTGGCACAGCAAGCCAAGGACAAGGGGCTGCAGGTCAACGCTGAGGAGCACAGGGCGATGATGAGCGATCTGCGGAGTCAGGCTAAATCGTGCAAAACTCTGGTCCAGGAGCTTGAGCGCAAAGTCAGTGGCGTCGAGGCACAGCTGATGCATGAAGCAGCAAAAATCCCAAACCTAACACACCCGGACACACCAGTGGGTGGCGAACTGAATGCGCGAACAGTCAGAATCGAAGGTTTGCTACACACAGTTGACCGGATACCTAACAACCCAAGCGATCTGTCACATCTGTCCAGTGTCGAGTTCCGCGATCACTACGATTTGGTACGCGACCTTGATATTGTCGACATGCAGGCTGGAGCGCAGGTAGCTGGCAGCAGGTTCCACTACTGGAAGGGGGCTGGGGCGCTGCTTGAGCTAGCACTGGTGCAGTATGCAATGACTAGAGCGAGCGCAGCAGGATTCATTCCGCATATTACTCCCGATGTCGCACGCAGCAGCATTGTTGACGCATGCGGGTTCCGGCCGCGCTCTAGTGCCGAGGAGCTGGAGCTAGACAATGCGCTCAGTGGCGATCTCAAGGCTAAGGCTAACAACCAGCCATCGGGCGAGGCCAGCCAGATCTACCGGGCCATCCCGGTTGCTGAGGAATCACGCAACGACGATAATAATGACTCTGACCCATTGTGTCTGGTTGCTACGGCAGAGATTCCGCTGGTGGCAATGAAGCAGAAACAGATCCTTGATGGGTCAACACTTCCATACGCAGTGGCTGGACTCAGCCATTGCTTCCGTGCCGAGGCTGGTGCGCGTGGACGCGACACCCGCGGAATCTACCGGCTGCACCAGTTCACAAAGGTTGAGCTGGTATCGCTCGCGCTGCCAGAGCAGAGCCAGACCGAGCTGGAGCGCTTGGTGGGCTTCCAGACAGCACTGTACCGAGATCTGGGACTGACGTTCCGCATCTTGCAGATGCCTACGCATGAGCTGGGCGCCAGTGCATTCCAAAAGTTTGACATTGAGGCGTGGATGCCTGGACGCAGGGCGTGGGGGGAGATCTCGAGCGCATCGAACTGCACCGATTACCAAGCGAGACGGCTCGGCATTCGTGCTCGTGTGGCTGGCGGGGATGGTGGACCCCCGGTGTTTGTCCATACGCTGAACGCGACGGCGATTGCTGTGCCGCGTTTGGCTGTGGCGCTGCTCGAGTCGTTCCAGCGTCCGGGCGGCGAAGTGGTTGTGCCGCAGGTGCTCCGGCCGTGGATGATGGGCATGGATGTGCTCAGGCGGCCGGCTAGCAGCTGATATTAGCAGGGCAGCTAGCAGTTCCTTTTTGGCGCACGCATGTGTAGCCTGCAGCCCAGTGCAGCATGCAGCACATATTGGCAATGCACAGACATGCGCGACATGCACACCCCATGGCATCCGTGTCACCGAGTGGGAGCCGAAAATTTAATCATCCGGCTTCCCGCCAGGTCCCCTCAATGGGGAGTTTTGTCGGACAAGGGAGAAGCGGTTCGGTTTAAATATGCGCTCATCCAGCCCAGTCGCCTGGCCCCAATTGACTTTTTCTCCTCAGCTTTAATCTCTGCTCTTCTGCACTAGTGCTGGTAGCTTTTTGGTTTTCGCATATTAATTGACGCCACCCTTCCAGCCAATAATGCCAGTGAACTCACCAATCGCCAATGTCGCGATTCCAGACCAGGACATCACATCGTACTTCTTCGAGCAGGCGCAGCGCCGGGTAGACCGGCTGGGCACGCAGGGCTGCACAGAGCCTGCAATTGTCACCGACGCACAGACCAAAGCGACGCTGTGCTTCTCTGATATCAAGCACCAGGCACGGCGAATCGCTGGATTTCTCCGGTCGCTTGGGTTCGGCGGGCCGGCTCAGGGCAGTAATCTACCTGACGGGCTCAACGACGTCGCTGCAGTGCTCGCGCCCAACGACATTGCATTCAGCGCCATCCACTTTGGTACGCTGATTGCAGGCGGCACATACATGGCCGTCAACCCCCAGCAGAGCGTGCAGGCCCTGGCACACCAGCTCAAAGACGTTGACGCGCGTGTTGTGTTCACTACAGCCCACCTGCTCCCGGTTCTGCAGCAGGTGTGTGACGCAGCAGGACTGGACATTCCCACATCCAACATTGTTCTTATCCAGGGCTGCAGCGACGGATTCACAACGCTGGACACGGCCATTGATGGAGCTGCTGCCATTGAGTCCCACCGAGTCACCAGTCCAGAAGAGCTTAACCGGGTTGCACTAATCGTATACTCGTCGGGAACGACCGGCAAAGCCAAGGGCATCATGCTAACGCATCGCAACATCGTGTCCATGTACGTCATGGTGGGCGGATACTCTGCGCGCAGCCACGCACATGGCGACAGCGACTCTGCTGCCAGTGTTCAACCACAGAGCAATGTTTTGTCAGCCTTGCCGCTGTACTTCCTGTATGGCCATTGTGTGCTGTGCTACCAACCGCTGACCAGCGGCGACCTGATCGTACAAATGGCTGGGTTTGAGCTCGACCCGTACCTTGCAGCCATCGACTCATACAAGATCAATCGGCTGAGCCTGACACCGGCAGTTTTATACGACATCGCAGCAGGGATTACAAAGATGGGTGGCATTGCACAGTCAGCAGCAACTGGAAACAGGTACGACATTGGCTCTGTCAAGATGGTCGGGTGCGGTGGGGCGTCGCTTCCGCATGCGCTGAAGAAGTCGTACTCGCAGCTCCTCAATGGGTCGCCGATTATCCAGGGCTATGGCATGGCCGAGTCGACGTCGATAATCGCCGGCAGTTCCTGGGCTACGCCGTGTGAGGGTGCTGTTGGAGTGCTGTATCCGAACAGCTCAGCCATGGTCATTGGCACTGACGGACAGGAAACTGGTGGGTTTGGTGAGCTGTGTGTGAGTGGACCCCAATGTGATGCATGGGTACGTCAATACTGCCACGTCACCAGTTGCCAGCGGCTTTTTGCGCACAGGCGACTATGCACGCGTGAGCACCGATGGCCATGTGTTTTTGCGTGGACGACTTGCCGACATAGTGTATACAGCAGAGGGAGCCGTGGTTCCTACCGATGTGGAGAATGCTCTGGCCGACTGCTCGCTGGTCAGGGATTGCGCTGTCAAGGGCGAGGGCCCGAAGGGTTCGGCGATGCCCGTCGCCTATATCGTGCCCAGGGAGGCTGCTGCTAGCGACAATACGCTGCAGCAGATATCCCAGTGGGCCAAGACGCACACAGGAGTCGCCGTCGAGTGCAGGGCGGTCGAGGCTATCCCGAAAAGCCCTGCAGGAAAGGTGCTCCGCTATTTGCTGGGCCAGGCAAGTGCGCAGTAAAGCACCGCCAAGAGAGCTAGAGTTTGAGAACCAACTTTGCTGTCTTGGCTGTGCCGGTTGTGTGGCCAGAAATAAGCACTTACTGCTGGCTGGAAGGCAGGGCCAGCAGCAGGGCCGCGTGCCTCCGCATCCTCTCCAGGCGTCTAGCAGCGCACGTTGCCTCTTCCAACCTCATTGCCCGCCTTTTTGCTAGTATACAGCTTCACTTTGGAATTCACCATTTTCGTACTCTCATTTCTGTGTGCATGGCCCGTGTAGAGACCGCAACCTGTATGCAAGGGACGCCAGACTCGCTGGGCCACTGTGCCGGGCTTGCCAAGCGCTTACTCACTGACAGCCCTGTCAAGCTCCCGCTCGCCAGTGAGTCCACCACAGCCGCACGGCCAGAAGCATGGTCAGCGTCCGAGTCTGCCGCAGCTCTGGGCATCAACCGGCGAACCCCCAGTTCAGCACATGGCTCCACAGGAGCAGAGACAGAAACCGAGCCGCTGGTTTTCGATCCCGAACCCGAGGTTCTGGAACTGTCGCGGCAAGGCGGACTAGCAGGCATCGTGCAGCCGGTAGCTGCAACAGTGTTCACAGCCCTGATATTTGTGCTGCCCGTTCTTTTCATTCTGGCCTTTGTATATCTGCCGTCGCTGCGCATCCCGCTCGCACTGTATGTAGTATTCTGCTACAACGACCCGGCCATCAGCAATGGGGTAGGGCGCCCAGCATTGTGGGTGCGGCGCTTGGGTATATGGCGGCACATCAGTGCGTACTTCCCGGTGCGTGTGGTGCTGGAGCAGCGCCTGGATCCGAAGCAGTCGTATCTCCTGGGGATTGCGCCGCATGGCATCCTGGCCTTTGGCGGACAGGTCGCAGTGGGGGCGCAGAGCAGCGCCCTGTACCGTGCACTGGAAGGGACCACAGTGCATGTAGCTGCACTCCGTCCAGCATTGACACTGCCAGTGTTCCGCGACTACCTGCTGGCACTGGGAGCGATTGCATCGTCGCGAGCGGCGATCCGCGAGTGTTTGGCGCGGGGAAAGGGACACAGCGTCGGGATCGTTGTGGGCGGTGCCAAGGAGAGTCTGTATACAAACCCAGGCCACCGCAAAATCGTCATGCGCCATCGCAAGGGATTCGTGCGGGAGGCCATCATGGCTGGCGCTCCGCTCGTGCCTGTCTACGTGTTTGGCGAGAACGATATCTTCACACAAGTCATGCACCCGCCATTGCGCAGGCTCCAAAAGTGGCTGCAAACAAAAGTCAAGTTTGCACTGCCAGTATTCTACGGCCGCCTTGGCATGGTGCCGCGCCGCTCTCCGCTGACCGTTGCCATAGGAACGCCAATCGCTGTGCCCAAGATCGAGGCACCGACTGCAGATGAGATAGACCTGTGTTCATGCTGACTTCATCCTTCAAATGGGCCGCCTGTACTCCAGGTTCCAGCCCATATACGATCCGCAGGGCGGAGACCTTGTAATCATCTAGTGCTCAGCTAGTTTATCCGTGCTATTTGTAATACTACAGCTCTACTTCTTCGTCCAAGTATTCTATCATGAAGCATCCGCCTGGATCTCTTTTGTGGAGCAGGACTCGTAGACCAGTACAGGCCCTGCGGCAGTTTAGTCGCAAGCCAAATGACACGCAGCGTGCTGCTGCACATAGCAGCCGGAAGGAGCAGTTTGCTGTATACCGGATCGATACCAACGGCGTCCAGCATCCGCTGCAGGGAAAGTACGACACGCGGGCGGAAGCAGAGCGCATTGCCTCCCACTACGATAGTCTTGGGCACAAGAACGGGTATTTTGTCAAGCGTGTCACTGGGGGCTAGAATAGCTGGCACATGAGCTGCTGTGGTCGCCTCATTTCCTAGACCTTTCGTCAATGGCAGACCGAAGCTCGTTCAACATGCTGTGGATGTCGTTTCTGCGCTCGCGCGCCTCGATCTCGCCCTCACGTTTCTGGCGCTGCAGTCGGATACGCTCACTGCGGTCAAGGAGCTGCGGTTTTCCGTTAGAACTCTGCCCACGCGACTCCTGGATCGCTGGATCGGCCTCGAAGGTTTGCTCAGGAACATCCAAGTCGTTCAGGTCAAACCCCGAGTACCCTAATACGCGTGCACCACCGGAAATATCGTGTTGGTCAACCACACAGTTTGTGCTTTCTCCGGAGCTGCTCGACGCCTGTGACCCCTCACTATCATCGCATGTCAAGACCGTCAGTGCTGCCTGGTATTGGGCATTGAGGGTGTCCAGTTCTGCCTTTAGTGATGAAAACAGCCGGGCTGTTGCTTCTGGGCTAGGTCGGTTTACCGCACCGCTGTTCAACTCCTGGCACCCGTCATCATCCAGCCCAATGCTTTCACGGCAGACTATCATTTTCGCCCTAAGAGTATGCAGGGATTCTGACATGGCACTGAGCAGCCGAAGCAGCGGGTGTTGGCTAAGCGTGCGGTCAGACTTGATATCCATCAGCGATGCCCACCGTGCCGAGGTATGCGCCGAATTTTCGACCTTCCGTATCATGTCTACACCCTTTTCTGATGCAGCTCTGATATGTGCAAACATGGCCAGTGTCTTTCCCGAAAGTTCACTCCGCAGTGCTGCAGCGGAGCTCATCGTGGGTAAGGACAGTGGCTCGGCAGTGTCAAGCACTCGCTGCAGCCATCGCCGGCGTAGACCAAAGTGCAGCTCAAACCGGGCCCGTAGTACTTCGAGTGGCAGCCCGCTGTCGCTAAAATCGGTGTGCTGGGTGAACTTTTCTCTGGTTTGCGATAGTTCAAGCAGGGTATCCTGGTCGGCAACCTGCTCAACAGCCAATGCAACCGCGTCAAACGATTCGCGCAATGCCTCACCAACTGCAGTGCGTAGGTATACTGCAGTGCGCATGGCTCCACGGCCTGGTCGGGCATCAACACCAGGTATGGAGCTGGGTGATGCCCAGCGAAACCCACGAGCTACAAGCTCAGTCTCCTGTACCAACCGCAGCGCGCGCTGTATCGCTACGTCTAGCACACGGCTCGATTGACACATGTCCGCAAGACTGTCAATATACTCCTCGGCTCGATGTGCTGCTGCTATTTGACTGGAGTACTTGTGCCATGATGACCAAACGACTGCAGCAGCTATGAGTGCACTCAGGGCCATCAGAGCTGGCCGTACGCTGCTTCTAGTCCTGAATAGGACAGCGGCACCAAGCACCAGCGGCCCAGCCGTATGCTTGGCTATGTCGTTACTACGACTGCTGCGCGGTCTTAGATCGCCCAATTGCTGGCTAGGCATATCAGTGGCGTGCCTGTGGCTAGTGCGTGGTGTGTACCGTACCGCCATGCAGCCAGAATTTGCCAGTGTACGCACAATGCTATCCCACATCACAGAACACAGCCTGGCTTCGAACTCCATATCAGAACTATTTCCTAAAGATAGATTGCCATGCAGCCAGCTTTGTGCACGGGTCCAAAGCGATAGCGGGATAAGGGGTTTCGCATGGTCTGGTCCGCCGGTCGTGGTAAATCCAGCTCTATTGCTGTCAATGATCAATGATTCACCCGCTGCAATATCCTTCAAGTAGTCTCCAAGCGGTGAGTCTTCAAACGCGACCAGTTCAGTCATAATAGGCAGGTGGTATTATAATATCTGGAAATAAATGAATAACCGAAGAAGCCAAACGCTACCAAGAAAAATAAGGAGTAATCCCAAATAACCAGTGGCTCCCTGTTTTTGAAAACAAACGCTATCAGGATAGGAATAGATTATGGAGATGGATGGCCTGTAGCTGATTCCAATGCGGGTGGATAATAATCAGCATAAGTGATATGATAATCGAGATTTGAAACTGGGTATCACATCGAACCATCTGCTTTTTAAAGTGACTATATCTTCTAGACTGATATTATATAGTGTCACTCTCCTCATAGCCACAGAAAATGCAGTGGTAATACACTGTGAGCACAGGTGTAAACCTATGTGTATTTGTGAACAAAAGCATGAACTAAGGAATAGTATAGGTGAGTTAGGGCAGAGGAAATAGAGGGAGAGATAGAGGGGGCAGGTAATTGTGTAAAATAAGCATATAGCTGATATTACATAATGATATATGCTATTATTATCTTAATATGACAGATACTTGAATGATAGATATCTATCATAGTTACTATAATGCAGTAAAATAACTATACCTAAAAGTATTTATTAAATAGTGAGCCCTAGCGAATCAGTTGAAGTTTTTTTAGGATACCAAAGGAGGTTTTGGAGAACAACTATATTTGGCATCGTTTGTTTAATAGTTCATTTAATTATTATATTCACAATAGATACCACTTAACATTTTGGATATAGCAAATGGATAAGTAAATTAATAAATGATTTCTATATCACTATTTGAATATTCTTTTACAATGTTCATCTCTTAGAATGACTGCCATATATGATTACCCCACCTTTTATTAATCGACTGTTAGACCATGTCTAACACAATGTCGAGCTGTCCTGCAAATAATGCAGCTGCCAACACCCCAGCCAAATTGATTACTGAAGCTATATTATCACACCTATCATGCCGTAATTGGTCCACGGTTGAACCATGGCATGGTTACACATCAGAGTTTCTTTTTTTTTTCCTTTTTCCCTTCTCTTTTCTCCCGTTCTTTTCCTTCGTCACATGCTGCTGTTCTGCTATCTTCGGTAACTGTTCCTGACCATCGCTGGCCTATTCGATACCCACGAATGGATTTGCTGCGATGCGTCTGGCTCTCAACATCTACTAACAGATGGCGTCCAATATGCATTTATCGGGTCTCTACTGACATGGGTGCGCCGTCCCGAGGTCATCTGGTAGCCGATAGCGGCAAGTATCATGCTCCGTTCGCCGAAGTCCATCCTGCCGAGCGGGTATAGATACGGCCATGGACAGCGAGCTAAATTTAGTTTCATTGTCTACTTTTCAGAATATTATCCCTCCAAAAAGTTTACTTAGTTATATTCTATTAGGTTTTCCAAGAGTCATTGTCAGGAACGTTACAATCGAAGCCGTAGATTGTCCCACAGATTTCCACGAACGAAAGAAAGAGCTTGCTAGTTTGCTACTTCACAAGATTATTCATATTTGCACGACAAGTACTAGTTATTTATATTCACAGAACTCGTTTGTTTATTTCGAGCAAGACCAGCGACTACTATGTCTTCCGCGACCGACCCAGACAGGGCTGGGGATCGACCCACTCACCAGGCCTCTCCTTCACTCCTTTTAAATTTCACATATCAGCTGTTATGCCCGTCGTTGACGATCATGAAAATGATGCTGAGATGCTCCCGGATCAAGATCAAGAAGCAAGACTATCCCGCGTCTCCCCGCCTGTCTCAGTTCCAAGTCCACAAGACCAGTCTCATAGCCATGCGACAATGGTTGACCCGATCACCGGGATTCTTATTGTCCATGCAGCTCCCAGACTCTAGTGTGCATCGGAGTATATAAGCACATATCTTGTAGATGCACATAGATGGGAGGACAGAGAACCCGACTCAAAACCCGACTCAGCTACTTTGATCTCCTGAACCCGACCTCTTCAATACATAGTATATTCGATAGTATTCCTGTATTTCGTGGAAACTCGGTAGGCTCCGATTCGAGCACTTCCTTCCACTCCGCCAATTCCCTATCACCCGAGGCAGGTGACAACACATGTCGTGTGTCTACGACGACTGGACTTGAAGCTCCGAGTCGAACCCCGGAAATTCCCGAGTGATCGTCAGTGACTGGTTATTACTGCGCCACCCGATACACCAAATATGGGCTATATGCATGTATCAACCTTCCATAGTCGTGCATAAGTGCCCGACGCTGACAAATGCAGTCAAAGTCGGCGCGTTGTGTGGGGTAAAATCTCGATATAAAGAGCATCGAAAGAGATCAAGGGACATCATCATGATCGAGAAAACGACATCGACGACCGACGACCGACGACGACGACGACGACGACCACTGAGCAGACTTGCCTATTTTTTTGTGATTCCATATTATTTCTATTTTTTTGAGCACTGTTATGATGACGCCCACTTCTGCAAGCATGTCGAGGGCCGCAGGTGCCACAAGCCCGAATGCCCCCTAACCAACTCTGTGGAAACAGTCATCCCCAACCAGGAGGAATCGCTGTTCCCCACAGACACGACAAATGGAGCCCGACAGGGAGGAATCTAACATGATAGTGATATGCACGGCGTCTCTCCGTACGCCATGAAGTGAGGCAGAACAGCCCGCACTACTGGAGCAAAGATAAAAGGTCATCGGCCAGTATGGCATAAGACATCGCGCAACAGCACGTCTCCGCCTCTCCACAGCGGAGTACCCCTTCATCATTCCACTGCTCGATGGCGGCTGACACCCGTGCCTCGACGCTCTCTTTCCAGCAGGTTAAGGTGCCTGCAAGTAGTGGATTCTGGAATTGCCCTGCGCTGGCGCTCGGCCACACCTCACCACCCTCGTCGCCCACCAAGCCTGATGAGCGCCACACCCCCTGGACTCTGCGGACACTGGCACACGGCCCGGCACAATCATCAACCACCGCTGCAACGTGGCCGAGGGCCCAGAGGGCCAGAGCCAGACCCTCTGGGGCAACAGACGCTGAGAAAAGGGGTGACGAGTCTGAATCTGGGGGTTCAACACCAGTCGAACCGCGCACACTAGCCAGGCAGGGCCCCAGTTGTCCGGTCGGCCCGGGCGCGGGAGCGCACTGCCGGTGCACTGCCCCGCCCCCAATGCACCTCCCCGCACCAGGTCCCTGTTCAGCTCTGCCCTCAGACACGCCCGCGGCAACAGCTGCAAGTTTTCTTCCAACTCTCAAGGTGTTGGGCAGTGTCACCCGACTCCTCAGGACTGCACCGCGCCTAAGCCCGCGCCCGCATGCGGGACCTCGGGTCCACGTGTGCCCGGTCCGGCAGCAGTCCACTGTGGTGGCTGGTCCATGGTGCCTCGCGGCCACCGTGGTATCCTGGACCACCTGCGCAGGAGGGCAAGCGTCTTCTAATTCAGCAAACAAGCGGAATGCAGAATTGCCTGTAGCCACACGCACACTCCGCTCTGACCCAGGGCAGGCCGGCGTCTCGTCACGTACCACGCCGCTGGCACAGGCAGGCGACCATCCGGCCGCATCACCCACAGCTTGCTGTGCCCCAACCAGGTGCATCGGAACCGTCCTACTCGCCGCAGCCCCAGCGCCAACATCCGTGGACGGACCCGTGCGGTGTGGTGCAGCAGTATCCAAACCCACCGCTCGCGTCCCACTCAGCCCCTCAGCAGCCCAATGCTGGATGCCCCCCGTTAGGAATTCCCGGCAGAGAGCCCCAACAGCAGCGTGAGCCACACCAGGGTTGCAGGCAACTGGCCAAGCTTCAAGGAGAAGTGTCGCATCCACTCTCCCCCCCCCCCGCGTGACCCCCGGTCCACTCGGGTACAGCCTGGCATCCTGTGACCATGGGCAAGCACCTGCGCACCAGCATCATGCGCAGCGTGGCCAGACCAGGTTGTGGGGCCGCGGGTCCTTTGCAGGCCTGCATGGTGCCATCGCCCAGCATTTCCCCCGCGTCTGCAAGCTGGCGGCTGGTCTCGGGAGAGCGCACGACACCACACCAATGACAGGTGCAGTGTGCGGCGTGGTCCTTGCTGCCAGTGTCAGTCAACACCAACGTAGCCAGTACTGCGTACACCAGCGCCAGTGCAGCCGCCACTTGCAGCTGAGCACGCCTGATGCGGGCGAGTGAGTCGTCCCCGGCGGCAGCTCCAATTTCCTGGGCTGTGTGTGGCCTGAGGCGAGCTGGCCGAGCGGGCTGGCGGCGCACGTCTCTCCCAGCCGGGAAATGCGGCGGGCGTGGGCGCCCCACTGCTGCCTAGCACTTCAGGATCCAGGCCCGGCAGCTTCTGCCCGCATGCCTTAAGAATCTCCCTGCACTCCACCACTGACAGACTTACACTGCAGCTTGGAAAGCCGCGCAGGCCTGTCTTTACGCTAGCGGCGCCCAGTGGCCCACGCTGGCCCAATTGTCCAGGAAGGCGTGATGAGACCCCGACGCTGCCCACTCCCTGGCAGCCAGGGAAAGAGCCTTCAGCGGTGGCCTTGGGACGCAGACAGCGCGTGGTCCTGCCAGTGGAGTGAGCCTGGTCTTCGCAGCCCGCAGTGACACCAGCACACGCCAGGCTTGCAGCTATGCTGACAGCATCACAAGCGCCAGCTGCACGGAATAGTTCGTGCTGGCGGGGCACACCTTCACGACTGAGGCCTTTCCCCCCGCGCTCCCAGTCCAACCCCTGAGCCTAGTGAGCCGGGTGTATCGCCGGGAAGCGACACCGTAGTCACCAGCGCCCCGGCCAGCCATCCCCCCCCCGCTGAGAAGGATGGGCAGGGCCACTGCTTGGGGATCCAGTACCACAGCCTCCGCCGACCACACCCCCGGCGCACAGTTGGACGCCGGTGTGCCGGCTGCCCCAACGCTGGGGCTATCAGCCCACAGTGCCTTCTCCCGGATCCAGCCTGGCAGCAGGGGTTGCCGTGGCGCGCAAGCCCATTGCCCAGCAATGCCCTCAGTGTGCCAGGGTGTGCCTACGCCGCGGCCCACCACCGTCCGCCCAACCACACGGACAGCGCGGCAGCCGGAGCCTGCTGCTCCACCACCACTAGTGAGGTGGCGGCTCCCAGCAAGGCCCGCGGCTCCGTCGGCCTGTGCTAGCTTGCTCGCCACCTGCAACATACCATAGGGAGCTGGGCCTGCGCAACTGATCCCTAGCGGTACGCAATACCTCACTTCTCCAGCCCGTGCGACAAGCTGCTGCACCCTGCCAGAGCGGCGGCGGCCATTCGGGGCCCCGGTTGGCAGTACGGCATTGCCGGCCAAGGCACACCAGTCCGCCAGGGCCTGAGTGCCATCCTCAGCCAGTCTTGACCCCGTGGCCAGCAGTGGCCCACAGAACGCATGTTCTGGCACTTGTTCAACCCATATGGGCACAAAACGCAGGGTGTTTCCAACCGCTCCGAGGCTTGACCCTTCTGCCTGACCAGCGTATTCCCATATGCCCCACCACTGCACCCCGGAGACCACTACCAAACTGACAGTGGCAGCTGGCACACGCCCTGGTAACATGGCGGCCAATGAGTGTATTTTCCTGTTGGGCACTAGCCCCACACAAGTGCTAGCCCTCAGTGCAGCAAGATGCGAGTCCAAATCACTGCCAGAGGGGATCGCACCACAGTGGCCTGACAACAGGGCCACAGGTAGTATCACCTGCCGCCCACTTGGCCCTGCTGGCTCTGGTGGTGCGCTGCCACCAGCAACCGAGCTAGTGGAAGTGGGTTCCCCAGAGGCCGCCCGCGTCCGCCGACACACGAGCAATGCAACCGTGTGACTCAGGGGGATCGTAGGGGCACCGCGCCCCACCTTCCCACAGGCTGGTGGCAACCGTGAACCATCTGATAAGAAGTGGGCCCGCCTCACCTGCCTCCAAGGCCCGACCCACCCCGAGCGCTGGACGTGGCCTGGCTCTTCAAGTAGGAGCTGCAAAACCATGCCCAAGGGTATCCACAGGTTGGCTTCAGCCGCCACCCACGCGCCACCGCACTCTGCGGCCAGCCGCCCGCGCGATCGACTCCCAACCTCACCGAAGCCCAAGCCACCCAAACAGCCATGTTTTCCACTACATGCTCCAGCCGCTAGGGGCAGTAAGCGCAAAACCGGATGCTGCGCGCTAGCACGTAATGCAGCTGCTATGATGCGTCTGTAGCGCAGAACCACTTCCACCACCCAGCCACGCAGCCCCGGGTGGCCTGGTGCTGCACCACTGACTGCTGGTGGAAGCCAAGCTGCCTCGGTCGCAGGGCGAGGTTCCTCGGTGCCTCCAGCACCGTGCATCGTGCAACAGGGGCACTCGACGCAGTCGAACGGTGCGCACAGCCTACCCTCCATGGCTATCGTCACTGATGGGCCTAGCGCAGCTTCCTCGCGGTAAGCTGTCGTGACTAGTGGCCCGAAGAGCAGGTGGCCCAGGCGCACGGGAATGCCTCCGGGGAGGGCCTGCCCACCATATAGCTGTGATGGCTTGGCGCCGCACGCCGCAGCTACCACCTCAGGCAGCCGGTAAGCCAAAACTGCCCCCGTACATAGGGCGCAGGACACCTTTAAGCCATCCACCCCAGTGCGGCCAGCCCGCCACATGCGAGCCCCTGAGCAGATAGACCACACTTGGCCAATGACAGCACTCAGTACTAGGCGTTGTGAGGCCCTTCCGAACATGCCAGGGTCACTCAGGGCCGCAACGCCAGCCTCGAAGAGTGCCCCAGTCTTAGACGGCGGGACTAATGACGGGAAGAAGCAGACGTCCCCGGAGGGTGAGCACCAGTCGTGGCACTCGAAGTCCGAGGCCAGGACTTCGGCCACACCCCCAGACAACAGGGCGCGCTCAGCTGGCCCGCCGGTGAAATACCCGGCAGCGCCGAATCCAATACCCGCCAGCCAGCCATCCATCACTGCGGCCGTCTTAACACACAGGCCAGCACAAGCCTCGCCACAGCGACCCTCCCCAAAATCTGCGGTGCGAGCATGCCCGCGTGTGTGGCCCCGGCGGCGGCACACAGCGACAGCTATGTCGTACCCACTCTCATATGGGACTCGGACCCAGCCTGACCGCAGCAGCGCATGAGGCCTGTCCAAGAGCAACCCGGGCTGATGGGCGGCCAGGCCAGCTCCGCCCACGGACTGTGTGCCGCTGCGGTGCCTGCGCGCACCCGTGCCACAAACGATCCTGACCGTTGCCCGCACCACGTTGCCTTCAGTGCACGCTGGCTGCCCGGCCCAGTGGCTTGCCGCCCACCACCGTTGAGTGGCCGTTGCTGCGGCCACAACAGGCCCCCGTGGCAAGGCTGGCCCTAGTCCCCGGCCTTCCAAGTACTCGTCAGCCCAGGCCTCAGCGGAGGCTGCACCAATCCCTGACAGCCGACCGCTAAGCTCAGCAGCCACCACGCCATGCTGCCCCAGCATACCACTACACGCCAACGCGGCCCCAGCAAGGAGTGGTCTGCTACACTCCCCAAAGCCAGTGAGACCTCCAACGAGCCTGGATCCGCCAACCGGCTGCGCCGCGCCAACCCCTGGATCTGCCCGTTCCTGCCAGGCGGCGACAATCGACCACCACACCCCCTTGCCCTCCTGGGCTGGGTGCTCGACCTGCCGGGACAGCGGTAGCCACCCACTTGCAGCCGCGCAAAGCTCCGCCCGTGCAGGCAGTGGTGTGCTCCAACCAGCCGATGCACCACACGGCACCCCTGCGGCACAGGCCTCAACAAGCGCACTGGGCCCGGCGTTGTAGCTGAATGAACTGCCATCCCATCCCAAGTTGCTCCCATGCAACACTAGTGAGTCTTCTTGCGTTGAACGATCCATGTGGATGAACTCAGTGCTCAAAAAATAGAAATAACATGAAATCACAAGAAAATCTTCTAAAGTTAACTGAGGCGTTATACGCAAAGTTTTATAAATAAGAAATGAGAAAATACTAAGCGGCTAAACCGATAAAGAAGAAGAAAAAGAAAAGTTCTTTCAGAGAGAAACTCAACGTCACATAGTTGGTGGTCTGTCTAGTCAGGATTTTCCTCACAGTGACTTGCCGATTTGGGACTAACTGTGTAGTCCATCGACTAGTGTCCAACATCTTCACACAGAATTGTTTCATCCTCTCCCAATCAGTCATTTTCAAATTACCCTTAAAATCAGAGTTTCTAAATAGTCAGCAATACATATCAGACACTGTTATGACGACGCCCACTTCTGCAAGCATGTCGAGGGCCGCAGGTGCCACAAGCCCAAATGCCCCCCTAACCAACTCTGTGGAAACAGTCATCCCCAACCAGGAGGAATCACTGTTCCCCGCAGACATGGCACACAGCAGCTTTTACGATTGTTATGCTCAACTCAGATGAGCATGAACATGACGAAGTCCACCTTCGAGATCAAGATCAAGATCAAGACCCGGGTCAAAACAACATCACACATGCGCAAGGTTCCATTCGGAATACAAACACAAGATCAAGTACACTGCCTCACCTATGGAACTAGTCCGCACTTTATGCTCCTCATAGGGATCCTAACACAGGAATCCCTATTGTATACACTACACCTAAAGTGTAGCCAAGACACTCGTTGACTACTCCATATATATGGAGAAGTCAGGCCAACAAGACAAGACAAGAACAAGCCCCTGAATAGTCTAAGAACTCAGAACTTGTTCCAATATAACCTGTCACAATCCCAACATATTCACCTCGACCCTTGAGCTCTGGTTCGAGCTCCTCCAGTGCTAGCTCCTTTGCTAGCATATTATCATGTTCTGCCATGACCTGCTTCGACAGGTCTGGCAGTCATGGGGGGAGTAGCATTGATCATTGCCATCTTAAATAATTCTTGTTTGTGAGAATAAAATAGGAGATTGACAAGGTAGTCTGTCTACACACAGAGAGTGTAGTAAGGTATGAAGAGATTCGGGGGGGGGGTGTTTGCTTGCTTTAATGAGTGCCAAGTGCACAGATATGAGTTGAGTATTCTTTGGCTTGCACTAAATCTGCTCCGTTCCATCAATGGTGAACAACTTAGATACACGAAAAACCTACTGAAAAATACTACTGAATCCAAGAGCTACTATCATATCGTCATACTTTTATATGGATCCTGTGGAGGCATCCTTCACTGTTGGACATACAATGATCTGACTCGGATCCCAATTATTTATAGGCCATAAGGACTAAATCACAGCTTTCTGGGCTGCCAGTCCTTGCTCCTATTTTTATCGACATCTACCTTGAGCTCAGTATATGAAAATATCACACAAGGACAGCTTCGATGATTTCTCACATCATTTAGTGATCACCTTGATGTGCCCACTGATTTGTAGTTGATCCATGGAATGCCTGACACAAGGTCACAGCATTACATCACTCCTACCATGTTATGCTCGAATCTGATGAGCATGAACATGATGACTTGGCTCGAACTCCCACGATATCCCCTAACCCGGCTCCCATGGATCTAAGTCCGCACGTGGTACAACAATACAGTACCTTTATGCCACAAAGACCAGTGACCAGTATTCCTGTCATTCATGCAATGCAACATCACTAGCAAGATACTAGTGCATCGAAGCATATATATGCTTCAACTCAACAAGACTCTAAGACAATTCATCATCCAGTATCTACTAGAGTTCCCTACTTGTATATTCTGTTTCAACCTGTTTTCCTCCTGTTTTGAGTTCGAATACAATTTATTTGAACTTCAACCCGAACCCGACAAGATCCCCTGACTCCGTCCTCCTACTCTAGCACCTGACTTGGACACATCCGCAAGTAGTTCCTCTAGCCCCAAGTTCTACTCCGTTGCTTCCTCTGCCACTGACATAATACAGCTGTTATGCTCAACCCGGATGAGCATGAACATGATGAAGCTCACCTTCAAGATCAAGATCAAGATCAAGACCCAGGTCAAGACAACATTACACATGCACAAGGTTCCACTTGCAATATAAACACAAGTGCACTGCCTCATCTACAGAATAAGTCCGCCCTTTATGCTCCTCTTATAGATCCTAACACAGGAATTCCTATCATATATGCTACACATAAAGTGTAGCCAAGACACTCATTGACTACTCCATATATATGGAGAAGTCAGACCGACAAGACAAGACAAGAACAACAAGCCCCCGAATATTCCTTAACTCAGAACCTATTTGCCAATATAACCCATTATGATCCCAACCTTCTCTCCCCAACGTCTGAGCTCCGGTTTGAGCTCTTCTAATGCTAGCTCCTTTGCTAGCATATTATCACTCCCACCAAGTGATAACACAGCTGTTATGTCAGTGGCAGAGGAAGCAATAGAGTAGAACTCGGGGCTGGAGGAACTACTTGCAGATGTGTCCGAGTCGGGTGCTAGAGCAGGAGGACGGAGTCAGGGGATCTTGTCGGGTTTGGGTTGAAGTTCAAATAAATTGTATTCGAACTCAAAACAGGAGGAAAACAGGTTGAAACAGAATAGATGAGTAGGGAACTCTAGTAGACACTGGATGATGAATTGTCTTGGAGTCTTGTCGAGTTGAAGCATATATATGCTTCGATGCACTAGTGTCTTGCTAGTGACGTTGCGTTGCATGAACGACGGGAATACCGGTCACTGGTCTTTGCGGCATAAAGGTACTGCATTGTTGTACCACGTGCGGACTTAGATCCATGGGAGCCGGGTCAGGGGATATCGTGGGAGTTCGAGCCGAGTCATCATGTTCATGCTCATCTGATTCGAGCATAACACAGCAGCTTGTACGATGATTATCTCGTGAAGAGCGCTTCAAATCCGCAATGGTCCAGTGGCTAGGATCCGACGCTCTCACCGTCGTGGCCGGGGTTCGATTCCCCGTTGCGGAATTTTTGCACCCTGCGAGTCCTATCTCTTGTTTTATACTTCTCACCCTTGTTGAAGCGGTAGCTTGATCCATCTGGTGTGTCACTTCCACTGCTGATATAATGTCACTTTTTCTATTTCATATTTTGTTATTGTAAATGTTATTGACGCCGTTCCTCGTCTTTACCATTTATCATGCCGTATAGTATCATTATTATTGTTACCGTTATTTCATGCGAAAGCTGGTTAGGATCATCTCTATATTAGTTGAGCTCGCATCGAAGGCGCCGCAAGTATAGCATATCTATGTTGTAATATGCGTATGGAACTCTACGCCATATTAGTGGGCCTATCATTAGGCCAATATCAACCTATTGAATAGTGCAACCGCTCCATTATACCATTTTTGAATTCCGTTCACTATTCCATCAAGCAATGGTGCTGCTTTTCGCCGGATCCGGGTGCCAGCATCAATGGTGTCGCCAATAACGGTGCCCAGGACCAAGCCCGTGGTAGTGGAGGTTCCCGGTCCAGCTGCTATTGTTCGCAGCTCGGATTCGGACTTCTGAAGGACAATGTTACATGGCTGTGGCACGAGCATCTTCGATTATTAGCATGGCCATGTCCGACTCTTGTTGGTTTTCCCTTTTTGTTCTCCAAGTAGAAACCTTCCAAAACTCCAGCACCATATATATCAATAAACACCAGCAATAATTCTACATCACTTTGGGTGTTTGTGGTTTTGTATTACTGGAGGACATTCATAAATCGAATTATGTAATCCCATGTGCATGTTTTCGGCACAAGCACACAAGGGTGGCCGTGGTATTTCCATTGTGATGGTGATAGTGCAATGTCTCATTTATTGCTTGGATCTTTAGTATCCAATAATTACAATTAGATTTCCTGATTAACACTTCGTCGATGGAGTTTTTTTTGCTGGTCTCTGTCTGTCTCGCTGTTAACTGACGCTTCCCTTTTCCTCTTAGCAGCCTCAGCATCGATTTCTTAAGTTTTCACGTACACAAACGCGCCTGGAGGAAAATGTCCAATTCAGACGAGAGAATGGAGGTGGCGTCGACAAAGCCGGCCAAACGCAAAACGGCGGCTGAGATCAGACACATCCACAAGGAGCAGCAGCGGATTGCTCGTGAGGGTTCAGCCGAGACGCAGGAAGGAGCACACGCATATCTGCAGCAATGGGAGGAGGAGCGCGATGCATGGAAGTTCAATAAGGCAAAGCAAAATTGGATTATTCGGCATCTATACGTCGCAACGCAGATACCCGAGCCCCAGTTTGCCATAGCCTTGAAGTACTTTTCGGTGCTGACTGGTAAGCTGCGCGACAGCTTACTAAAGGAGGCGAGGCTGGTGCGCGACCCAGTCACTGCCGATTCGCCGGAGCTACAGCAGCTGAGATCGAAGGCTCTCGGTGTGCTGCCGTCGCATGTTACCAAGGCACAGGCAAACTCAATCAAGAAGGCGAGGCGCGAGGCACGAATCGCCAAGGCATTGAAGGAGAGCGAGAGTGGGGCAGCAGCGAAGGAAGAGGAGGAGGATGATGGTGATAAAGAGGAGTCGGCAGTGGCTGTCTCCGAGACCGTAACCAAGCGGGCTGAGCGCATGATCGAGGTGTTAACCAGCCCACCAGAGAATACTAACGATGAGGGCAAGAGCAAGAAGGACAAGAAAGACAAGAAGGACAAGAAACGCAAGCACAAGGATGAAGATGGCTGCACAGACGGCGACTCTGAGAGAAAAAAGTCCAAAAAGTCCAAGAAGGAATCAAAATAGCTAACATTTTATTCCGTCAACTAGACGTGTTGCAGCAAGCATATCTAATGAAGCCTAGCGCACATAGAGATCGCGATCCTTTATCATCCAGACGATGGAGGTCAGTGCAACGCAGAATGTGCTGATGACGGGGCCAGGGAACCGGACAGACTTGTAGACGACGGTCTCGGAAACAAAGTGCGTGCAGGCAATGACATACGACCAAAAGGTGATGTCGTAAACCATAGCGTTGTTCATGTTGTAGGCGCACTGGTACCGAAGGATTGCCGACAGGGCAGTCCATGCAGCAAAGACATGCGATGTCAGCTGCGTTACCTGCTCGGGCTGGCGCGAGTAGATGCGGCGGGTGAGGCCGAGCGGGGAGAGAATGCACTGGGCAGTATTGAACACTGAGAACACTGCTGAGAGCAAAATGAACTTTGGGAGACCGCCAACAGGGAGCGCAAACATTGTCGTTGTTTGGAGGTACAAGTTGTAAGGCGCTGGGAGAGAGAGCGAAAGAATGACTGAGGCGCTTGGTCTGTCAAGGGTCTGGAAAATCGGCTGTATGCAAGCGACACAGTCAAGTGGTTATGGACGATCAAGAAAGGAAGGAGCAGCAAACAAAGCTTGGCTTCTTGGCACATTTTTCTCTTTTACTTCTTCCTCATTTGCGGCTCATTCCCATCACCCTTCTCATTTAATCACTTCCTGCATTCGAGCTTTCCAGCCGCAACGACATAGCGAGAGAAGCAATACGACCATGGGCTTTGTTGAGGAACTCAAGACCGGAAACTTTAGTCTCTACGGGCAATGGCAAGTGCTAAGCAGGCGGCCAGAAAGGAGCATGGAAGGGGGAGTGCGAACCAAACACAGGGAACTGGAGCACCCGTATACTAATGCGATGATTTCTCCTGTGTAGGATGGCGCTATTGTCTGGAGTGCGTAAGTTGTTGCCGTCTATACCCGGAACATTGTGTTTTGCAAGAGGTTTGCACTGGCACTTTCTGAGCGTGGTAGCTAACCGCTAGGTGTATATCGTTTGCTGTAGTTCTTATTGTCCTCGGTGGGGTGACGTTCTTGTTCCACATTGTGTACTCGATTCTGGCGATCGTGTTTGGCGCCATCTGCATCCTGATCGAGATTCCGTTCTTAATGAAGCTGTGTCCGACGGGGCCGGCGTTCGACAGGGCGTTCGGCGGGCTCAAGAACCACTGGTGGCGGTTTGTTGCATACTTGGTGTAAGTAGTTCTGCGCATAACGCAGGGGGTTCGCCGTATGGTCTGTCGCTGACGCTGCTGGCTTTGTAGGTTTGCGATTGTGATGTGGTCGTCACTAGCCAAGGGCGGGGGCGTTCTGGCAATTGGGGCGGTGACGATTACGTTGGCGGCGGCGTGCTACTTTGTCGCCGCAGTGAAGAAGCAGGCCAAGGTCACATCGGCGATGTTTGGCGGCGGCAACGAGAGCCATCACGGCTTTGACACCACAAACGCGCTTCCGATCTAGGAATGCAGGCTAGGGGGCAGGCAGGACTACCACTGCTAGCCATGTGGGCCAGTGTTTGGTTTGCACGTGATCGGGCGGACGTAATCAGGGGCATGGGAGCGTGGCCGCTGCTTCCTGTCTCTCACCTCTTTCTTCTTTTTAGCTATACTTGTCTTGTTCAAGCCTTCTCTATCGATTACACCTATGAAACTTTATTCTTCCGGCCTTTTGGCGCTGGTGGCAGCCATGGCCTCGCTTGCCGAGGCATCACCAGCCCAGCATGTCTTTCAGCCGCACCTGGGCGGTCTGACCAGCCACGTGCCCAGCCGCCTGATGGCTTCGGCCCGCGAGCCGACTGCCAGCCTCCTGAGCGACGCCAAGTGGTCCAAGGTCGAGACCATGGCAGCCCTGCCCAATTACCAGCTGCGCATCAAGCAACCTCATCTGTGTGCAGCCAACACAACGCAGTACAGCGGCTACCTCGACACCGACGACGACAAGCACTTTTTCTTCTGGTTCTTTGAGGCACGCAATGCACCGCGTGACGACGCACCAGTGATCCTGTGGATGAACGGCGGTCCTGGCTGCAGCTCGTTCACTGGACTTCTAATGGAGCTCGGCCCGTGCCGCGTGGACAAGGGCGGCAAGTCGGCATCCGACCATGTGTATGGATGGAACGACAAGGCACACGTGATTTTCATCGACCAGCCGCTCAATGTCGGGTACTCGTACGGCAAGGACGTCTTCAACTCGATTGCCGCTGGCAAGGACGTGTACAGCTTCTTGCAGCTGTTTTACCACTCGTTCCCCGAGTACGCCGGCAGCGAGCTGCATGTGTTTGGCGAGTCATATGGTGGCCATTATGTGCCAGCGACTGCCAAGGCTATCCATGAGGCCAATCTGGAGTTCACCTCGAAGCAGGCGCTCGGTGCACTGAGTGTTGCCGAGAAGGAGAAGCGTGTTCTGCCGCTGACATCTATTGGTGTCGGCAATGGCCTGACGGACCCGCTGACGCAGTACCGGTACTACGGAAAGATGGCCTGCAACTCGACATACCCGCCTGTTCTCCGGCAGGACCAGTGCGAATCTATGGACAGCAAATACCCGACATGCGCACGGCTCATCGAGGCTTGCTACAAGTGGCAGAACTCGTTGGCGTGTTACCCGGCCGAAATGTACTGCAACAGTATGATGGTCGCGTACCAGCAGTCAGGCGCCAACCCCTACGACGTGCGGATTCCGTGCGAGGGCGGCGACCTCTGCTATCCTATCATGTCCGACATTGACGCGTTCCTGAACGACCCGGCGGTGCAGCAGGAGCTGGGGTCTGATGTCTCCAAGTTCGAGTCGTGCAGCCAAAAGGTTTACAGCGGATTCATTCTCAACGGCGACTGGATGAAGCCGTACCACCGCGAGGTCCCACCGCTGCTGGAGGCTGGAATCCGTGTTTTGATATATGCTGGTGATGCAGACTGGATATGCAACTGGTACGGCAACAAGGCGTGGTCCGAGGCGCTGGAGTGGTCCGGCAAGAGCGGGTTCCAGGGTGAGAAGGACAATGATTGGGTTGTGGACGGCAAGGCTGCTGGCGAAGCACGCACACACAAGAACTTTTCGTTCCTGCGCGTCTTTGGTGCTGGGCACATGGTGCCCTACGACCAGCCCGAGAACTCGCTGGACATGATTAACCGGTGGATCGCGAACAAGCCCTTCTACTAGCAATTTTTGCAGCTCCAAATGACATTCGCGGGCTTGTTTGCTAATCCATGGCACTAGCCAAAGTGCAGCTGTCCCCGTGAGCAACTGCAATCACTTATCTGGCAGCTGAGCGGTGAGCGTGACGTGTTTGGTCTCCCCCTTTTCACCTTTCCCAAATTGCACCATTTAGAATGATTGATCCTGGCCCAGTGTACCGACAATGTGCGTGGCACGAGGGGATAGCAGCGACATGCTTACTGGATGATGATCAGCCTGTCATATAGCGGCGAGTGAGGGATGAGTGCCGGTATATGGCATGCACGATGTAGTCTCACGAGGGTATGCATGTCTCATTTCCTTTCTTGCAGCAAATGTGCCGGAAAATGATCAGCGCTTTCTCAATCCTAGAAAAGCATTGCTGGCAATCTCTTTGACGGGCTATCACGCTGATGTGCGGTAAATGACTCCGAATCCGAGCGAGTTGGGGCTGTGCTATCCAGACCTGGCTGTGAAGGATAAAAACAGCAGTCTCTGGACCGCTATCGCATTAGCCGATGCCCTTCGATATAATTTGCCCGTTGTCTTGTTTATCAATTGGAATCGTATTGTTCCTGCACGCGGTCCCCGCACACCAGCCACCGGTCTCGTTCAAGACTCAGCACCCTTTTACATTTCTTCGCAGCATCGGCTATTTCGGACTGCTTTCTTCCCTGCTCACCCTTATAATGAAACTACTCTTCGTCTTACCGCTGATCCTTGTGTCTTCTGTGTTTTCGCTCAAGTGCCACAGTCAGCAAACGTGTGCGGGGCATGCCGCTCTGTGCGCCAAGCCGTACAACAAGGTGTCCTTTGCCACCACCCACAATGCGTACTCATATGCACCACCGGCCGGCAGCCCAGCGCTAAACCAAGAGCGCACAATCCAGCAGCAGCTCGACGACGGCATCCGCGCCTTCATGCTCGACACGCACAAGCCCCTGGAAATCACAGGAGTGTGGAACAAGATCGTCGCGTGGTTCCAAACCACCTTCCACCGCACAAACGCCGCCGATGCGCCCGAAATCAAAGGCGTGCATCTCTGCCATCAGTCATGCGCGCTTGTGGATAAGGGCACATTGTACGACACACTGAAGGTGTTCAGGCAGTTCCTCAATGAGAATCCGGGCGAAGTCGTGACGTTTATTATCGAGAACTTTGATGCATTCGAGGCAAGCCAGCTCAGCCCCAGCTTCAAGCTCGCCGACCTTGAGCGCTCGGCATTCGCGCCCACATGGGAGCACTCCACAAGTAACCAAAACTACACGTGGCCGACACTCGGGGAGATGGTCGACAGAGACCAGCGCCTGGTTGTGTTCGTCGACAGCCATACCGACACCGCAAAGGTGCCCTATCTGCTTGCTGAATGGGACTACGTGATCGAAACACCATACGCCAACATCCACCCAGTCAGCGAGTTCCCGTGTACGCAGGACCGGCCACGCGACCATGTCCCACGCGACCTGCTTGTGGTCAACCACTTCACATATAATCGCATCACCATTGGTGATAACAATATCGATGTGCCACTGACGGCGAAACAGCTGCAAAAGTACGGGTACAATAGCAAGGAGCAGGTGCAGACTCATCTCGATACATGCACAAAGGTTTGGGGCGCCGAGCGGGTGCCAAACTTTATTACTCTGGACTACTACGACGTCAGCGGCTCAACGCTGCTTGACACAGTGAATAGGGTTAATGGTGTTAGTTCATAGGCTTAATATTTCAACAAGTATGATGTTAGACCGCCACAAAGATGATGCGAGCACTGGCACCGTCGATGATGCACCCGTTGTTGGCTGGCACGTACTGGTGTGTGACCAGCTTGATGGCCTCCTGCGACACAATTCCACCAGCAAGCGATGCGATGTTGTGGAGCTCGGCATGACCTGAGCGTGCCAGTTCACGCACCACATCCTCGGCAACCTCCGACTCAATACTCCACTGCACCAGCAGCTCATTGGCAATTGCCACCAGTTCGGCTGTGTCGTTGTTCACCACGTCATTGCCATCGCCCTGCGTCGAGCTGTCAGCCACGCCAGGGTGCCGCTTGTGCTTGGCAAAGAACACATCCGACGCGCGGAATGCCACGTACTGGTCCAGCGCTCCAGCGCTCACCAGCGCCGAGGCATCCTTGGGCCCCGACTCGAGCTCGTCGTGCAGGGGTGTAAACCGCAGCAGCCGCAGCCGCCTTGCGTCCTTGCAGTACGCATCGATCTCGCCCTGCGAGATGAAATCAGGCGGTAGGTCTAGTGATGCCAGCGACTCGCGTACATGGCGTGCATACTCGGCCTTGTCGGCATCTGCCTTTTGCTTGTACACACGCTGCAGTGCAATGTAGCTCTTGGTGTCGGCCTTCATGTCCGGAATGGTGCCGCTCAGCGGCAGCTGGCCATCGGCATACGGTGAGGCCATGTACGCACGGAGGGCGTGGGCCATAATCCAAAACTTCTCCGACTATAGGACCAGAGCAGTGGAAGGAAGGGAGGCTGTTAGTGTGCGGGCTTACTGCGCAACATGTATTGTCCAGGCCTGCACTACTGCCCCATTATCGCCGCGTCTCTGGTGTAGAGTGCCGCGCAACTGTGGCCACTCCTTTCTGAGACAGTGCAAAGGGGGCAGTCATGTGGGTGAAGCGAGCGGTCACTCTGGCCGCTTGTCCTGCAAATTAAATGTCCGCATGGGTGCCCATTGACAATTACTGCGCACTATTGCCCAACCGACGCACATATATATGTGCATTGTGTGGGACTGCATTGCCGGGACCTACCTTTGCAGTGATGTTCTGGGCGGCGGGGTCGCTGAGAATGCGGCGCACCTCGGCTGGGATCTAAAAATGGCTCTCAAGGGCAGTGTGAGATACGAATGCTCGGTTTCCTACATACACACGACTGGCCTCCCTGTCTGCTGGCTGTCTGCTGGCTGTTTCTACTTGCCTGGTACGGAATCACGTCGCCGTTGACCTTGTCGTGGGCCTCTCTAAAGTTCTCCTCGTCCATATTAGGCGCCATGCAGAGAATCTCCTCTTTGATCTTGCGCTTCTCGGCATACGTGATCGCAGTGTCGCGGCGCACCTCGCGCCCGTTGGCAGTGGCCCAACTGCGCAATGCCTTGAGCACGAGAACCACATATGGGACGTGGGCCAAATCAACGTGGTCAAGAGTGTCCAGGTCAATGGAGTCACTGTGCTCGGCTAGGCCCGGGAATGGCGCTTGAATCCGCAGGTCGGGCGCCAGCTCCTCATGTGACTCGACCACTATAAATAAATATCAGGCGTCAGCATCGGCAAAACATGTGGGTGGTAAAAACCAAAATCAGTAGTAGGACGGGACGGCGTCGGGGGATAGAGAAGCGGTAAAATACGCAAAGGCGTGACCACCGTGGTGAAAAGCAGTCCTCTCCGGCAATGTGACTTGCCCAGGTCACCGCTGCCTCCAATCTGCAATATGGACATCCGGCCCCCGCCGTCGTCCCCCGTAGAAAGAAGAGGTACGCACAGTCATTCCTTGGCTTTTGATGCCGAGCCGCCTGGCACATGCCCGCATATCGCGTGCCCAGGCACGCAGAAAGAGGTGACAAATCAAAGCACGCCACTAGCAAATGGCGGGGACTTCCTCCGGTGCTGAGAAGGCGTGCGGAGGGGCCGGCAGGAAAATAAAATATCCAGGCCGACCCACCGGCGTCGAATGAGAGAAGTGAGACTTACCAGCGTGCTCCGGAATAGCCGTGCGGAGACGGGCAGCAAATCCTGCAGTATCGGCGACCACCAGCGCAATGTTCCTCTCCCAGCACAGCCTGCTGATTCGCTGGACGGTGTGCGCAGGCAGGCCGCAGGCAATGACCAGGGTGGCCGACTCAAGGATGTCTGTCTCTAGGGCGCTCTCTGCGGACTTCACCACAGCGGAGCCGCGCACATCTGGATTGAGCTCAGTGAGCTGCTCGACGATTGCCTCGGCGCGCGGCTTGCCAAGATCAGCGGGTGCAACAAAGAAGTTTGTCAGCACATCCTGCTCGCCAACGGTCGCGTCGTCAATAACCACAAACTCGCCAATGCCTACAGCAGTAAGCAAGCAAACAACAACAGCGGCGGAGCGGGAGCCCACGCATCACTTGCCCATTTGTTAGTTGGAAAGGGTGTGTTATCTCTCGGATACGACTGGATCCGCGGGAGGGGGACTGCTTCGGCTTTGCATGAAGGGTTGGACAGAGATAATCACACACTGCGAATAGGACCGCGAAGGTGTGGGAATCGCCGCCTGCCAATCAGCTCAGTGCAAGGCGGGAGCCTGGTTCGCTCTGTGCGAGGATTCTCCAGCTGACCGGTCCGTTCCTGAGGCAAACAAGAACAGCGCCTGGATGGAAGCCAATGCCCGCGGTCCCAGAAGCGGCAGCTTCAGGAAGCACGCTCTCAGATGATGCCGCCGGCTCTTCCAATCATGCTCCCAGAAGTCAAAATATCCACATGGTGCATCTGCTCACCTGGTAGAATGAGGTTCTTCAGCGACTCTGCCGCCAGTGCCGATGACCCAAAGACACTCACGCGCGCGGTCTCCAGGGCCTGCTGTCCGGTCTCCTGCCACAACCTACACAAAACGCGGGTTTAGCTGGTGCTGCTGCTACGGTCCGAGCGGCGCCTCGGTACTTTTGCTTTGCACTTGCCTGAGCTGGCGATCGTAGCGCTGGGCCTTGTCGGTTGCTGCGGTCGAAGTAGATTCGGGAGTAGCCCTCATTCGCTTGTTTTGTTTCTCGACTGAATCCGCCGCAAGCGTGCGTCGCATCACTAATAGAGCAGAATAAGTTGAAGCAGAAATACAGTTAAAAAGAGACGCCGGTGCCTTTCTGCTGCGGGTGGTGCTGAATGAGCCGGCAGCGCAAGTAAAACAGCAAAAAACCGAGTGATGACGAATCACTTTCCATGAAAACATCGGCAGCAGCGGCTCTTGGCGCTTTTGCGGGACCTGCAGACACTGGCTGGCTGGCTGAGTAATGGGACGCGGGCCAATCGCAGCGGCAGCCAGGGCGGGTGGTGTGCCCGGGCAACTCGGGGTCAGCTACCCCTCCCGCGAGAGGAGGCTGATTATTTTTGTCGCTCTGAGCAAAGTTGCCTCCCAGCCATCCTCATATATGGAGTGACCGCTGCGGGCGAAAAAAGGTTGCATGGACAACACGCTTTCTTTTCCCTCATCGCCGCTTTTATTCTCTCGGGACCTTTTTTCCTACTCTTTCAGCACCAAGCTCACACACTCTGCCTAGCACGCACGCACGCACACAAGCAACTCTTATATCTGTATTTCCTGCCGCAGGAGAGAAACTAAGCACCGCTTGCACTCTCCGCCTATTTTATTTCCCCCTCTCTAACCTTTCAACGTTTGTAAAGGCTTTTGAAAGGACTATGAGCGGCGAGCCGCGGAACACCACCATCGACCCGACGCTTCTGCAAAGCCTGGCCCAGCAGCACATCGCGACATCCCCCCACCTCTCGAGCTTCTCGCAGCTCCAGATAACAACGGAGAACACAGACATGGACACGTCATCGCGTGGCACAGCGCCCATCAACATCAACCGTGGGCAGCAGCAGCAGCAGATTGCCGGGTCGGCAGCCTCATTTGGCACAGACTACGAGCGCAGCGGACTGGCCGGTAGCTTCCACCAGATGCAGCAGCAGCACTTCCACCACCAGCAGCAGCACGGGCAGTTCCGGCCGCACCTGGGCTCGCCCGGCACCGAGGACTTTGACAACATCTCGCCCACGGGCAGCTATCCGGGCCACAGCCTGGCGGCGATGGCTGGCAACACAATCCCGACCGGCATCTCCAGCAACCTGTTCCCACACGCGGGCGGGCCCGGAGGCAGCCGGCTGATGCGGGTGCAGAACATCAGCACCAGTCCGCCCACAAGCCCGGGGTTCCAGAGCATGTCGCTTCCGAACCACCCCGAGTGGTTCGACGGCACGCTGATGCAGCAGCAGAGCATTGGGTCGACGCTGGACCCGTCATCGTTCCAGGCCCAGCAGCTGGCCGCGCACAATGCCGCTGGCTTCTCGCCGCAGGACCCGTCGCTGATGTCGCTGCTGGATGAAGGCGAGGCCGACACGCCGCAGAAAGCGTAAGTATTCTTGTGTGAAATCCCCCATCATTGAGGCGGCAGAGGAAAATGCCAGCCATCCATTTTCTCCCTCTCCCTTTGTGTGCTGGGAGAAAAAAACAGGCGCTTGGCTCCCTTTATCGCTATGCTGGGTGTATTGTACTGACTCGCTGCACTTTTGCCTCCCCTTCTATTTCTGTAGCGCACTAATGACATACGAGAAGCGTCGCCGCCGTCGGGAGAGCCACAATGCAGGTATGGTATCAGTCTTGTTTTTTTGCGTGTGTATTTTTGGCAAGCGACGTGTCCATTGGCAAGCGTGTTTTTTTTTTACTGAAATCCAAGTGTTCACACCTCGTTCTTTTTGTGTGTTTGCACAATCCAGTAGTCGAAAGACGTAGACGCGACAACATCAACGACCGCATCCAGGACCTGTACACGCTGCTGCCCGAGACCATGATTGACGCCAACACCAAGCCGAACAAGGGTATCATTCTGAAGAAGTCGGTTGACTATATCCGGCAGATGCAGCAGCTGGTGCACTCGCTGGCGCAGCAGATCCAGGAACTGGGCGGGGTGCCCAACCACCTGATGCAGCAGCTTGATCCGCAGCAGCAACAGCAGCAGCAGCAGCAGCACTCGCCCACCCAGCAGCAGCAGCAGCAGCAGGCCAGCGGACTGGCAGCGATGCTGGCAGGCACGGCCAGCATGAACGTGGCACGGAACGACGGTGGCGCAGGCCACGGCGGAATGTGAAAGCAGCAGGAGAATGCACACAGCAACCTAATATTTCAGCTTATTTTGTAACTCATCTGTGACATCTCTTCTATCTTCGCGCGCTCCACCTCCCAGTTCTGCTACACCGCTCGCCAACGGGCACATATCTTCTCTCTTCTCCATATGTATTTTGCTTAGCTGCCGTCTTCTTTTCTTCTACACTATCTTCCAGTTCATTCCAATGTGATTGAGATACTCTACGTAAATCCAGGTAGTGTTGCAATCTTGTGCGCGCAGTCTGACCGTCCTGGCCAGGAAAGTGGTGGACGAAACAAGGGTATTTGCGGGCAATCGCAGAATAGTGCTGGCACATGATCCGTCGCTGTGGACCCAGGCTCCAGCTTTTTTATTTTTATTTTTTGTCTAGGCGGCAATGTAAACGCATTTCGCCAATCGCGTTTGTCCTCTCTTTTGCTTTCGAATTAGCTATATCTATTCACTCTGGTAGGGAGCTTGAATGCACAGCAGCAACAGCAACAGCACCCGCCCACCCTCCAGCACAGACAGCTACTCTGAACGGTTCTACACGTACGCAAAGCACGGACTCTACCTCGGACTCACACTGGGCATCAGCTACAGACTATACAGAATGTTTCAGCGGTACCAGACAAGCGCAGATATCCCCGACAGCATAGTCAAGTCGCACCGGCCAATCCACGGCATCGTCATCGACGTATCCGACGGCGACACCTTGCGACTCTACCATACCCCGGCCCTGCAGTGGTTTTCAGCGCCGCCAGAGAAAAAGCGCGGCATGTCCAAATGGTCGATTTCCGTGCGTATCTCGGCGGTGGATGCGCCCGAGGTGTCGCATTTCGGCAAGCCCGCGCAGCCATTGTCGAATGAGGCCAAGGAGTACTTGGCCAGCCAGGTGCTGGGCAAGCGGGTGACCGTGGTGCCGCTGGCCAAGGACCAGTATGGCCGCATTGTCGGCTCGGTGTACTACCGGTCCATGTATGTGTTCAAGTACGATGCGTCGCATGAGATGCTGAAGGCCGGGCTGGCTGTGCTGTACCGCGGCGGCAACGCGCAGTACAATGGCGAGAAGGAGCTGCTCGAGCGGATCGAGGAGGAAGCAAAGCGGGCGAAGCGCGGCGTGTGGGGCCTGAAGGGCAAGTTTGAGACGCCAGCCGCCTACAAGGCCAAGCACAAGTAACAGGATATATCTTTTTTTTGAAACAGGGTCACTCAAATACACTAGAGGAACTGGAACCCAAGGCCAAACTGCAGCTTCGGGTCGGGTCTATCTGTAATAGACGCTGTCAGCGGGAAGCACAGCGACAACTCGGCCCTGACGATGCTGTGGCGGTACACCAGCCCGACGCCCACGGATGTCGACGGTGACATCAGGAACCGGCTGACGTGGGCCTTGGTCTGCAGGCCGCGCGAGTCCAGCAGTGCACACTGCCCAGCATTGGCAAACACGTGGCCACGCAGGGCATCGGTCCTAACAAGCGGCAGAGGCGTCAGCAGACTGACACCGGCAGCGTAGAACACGTCACCGCCCAGCGCATCGTTGTGGTCGCGCGGGCCGATCCCGCGGTGCTCGAAGCCGCGCACGCTGGTGGGCCCGCCGAGGAAGAAGCGGTCAGCCATGGGCGTCCTGCTGCCGCCCAGGCCCCAGAGCAGCCCCGCCTGGGCGCTGGTGGTCAGCGACCAGCGGTCAGCCAGACCCTGGTTCGCTTGCACCTCAGCGAGAGCCTTGGCAAACTGCACATCGCCGCCCAGGCCCGCTACCTCCACCGACGTCTTCACTAGATTGCCTGTGGTGGGCACGGTAGGCGAGTCGCGCGAGTCGCTGGTGAACGTGTAAGCTATGCTGGATTTGAGCGTGTGGCCGGCCTCGCTGCGCAGCGACGGCGACGCGGCAAACCCGAGGTTAGCGAGCTCGCGCCATGCTGCCACATACACAAGCTCGTGCTGCGCGCGGTCCCGGCTGACTTTGTATGCCAGCCCGACAGAGCGCCTTACCTCATCACAGCTCGAGTACGGCCGGTGGTCCAGCGTCGCCTGGTGAACCATCAGCTCGACCTTGCGCAGCGGATCGGCATTGACCGGGACACTCAGTAGGCCCTGGAATGCCCCCAGCGTCTTGGTGCCGCGCGCATAGTTTGCCTCCAGCGACTCACCGCCGCCCCACATGTTGTTTAGCCGCGCCATCACATTCGCCGTGCCCTCGTGGTCAGACGCGCCGACGCCCGTGGTGATTGCGTATCGCCCGCCGTCCTCGCAGTCAAAGCTGACGCCGACCCCGTCGTCATCGGCCTTGTCCAGGTTTATCTGCACGCGCTTGGCGATTCCCAGCAGCTCGAGCTTTCCGGCCGCATACCGCAGCTCTTCAATGGCTCCCTTGACGGTTGTGGCTGCAAAGGCTGGCGCGACAATCTCGTTGAACACGCTGCGGCGGATCCGCGTTGCGCCTGTGATCGAGACATTGCTGATGTGCATTTTCTGCGCCCCGATATCCAGCGACTCGGGCGAGCGCTGGGGCCGCCGCAGGGCAGCACCCAGAATCCCGCGTGCGGTGAAACTGCTCTCGTCAGCCGCTGGGCCGTTCTCGGTGTCGTTGCTTCGAGTGAATCCGAGCGGCAGTGTCTAAGAGCGAAAGCATTGCTGGTCGGTTAGTCATGTTCCTTTAGAGAAGTAGGCTCACTGGCAGTTGCATTCGCCACGTACGTCGTCTGGTGCGCTCATTGCAAGTGTATGAAAAAAGTGTAATCAGCAAGACAAGATACGTGTTCCATACTCTTGCCAGCCCTCGCTCCTACAACAAGCCGTTGCCATTGCTCAGGCAGCGTGCAGATTTGATCGCGCATTGGCTTAGCTGATTTTCGCTTCCTGATACCCTCAACGTCTCTCCCGCCCTTTCGACAAGAATGAGCCCCAGCCAGCCGCCTTTCGCGGTCGAGTGCACCGGCGGCAATGTCCTGGTGACCGATGTCGCCACGGCCATGGCGCTGCGTCGCGACCACCGCATCGTCGGCGCGCTAATCGCCTCGCACCCGGCCAAGCCTCAGCAAAACAACTACCTTGGTCTCCCGCTGCAGCTGCTGCCCGAAGAAGCCGCCGTACTGCAGCAAACCAACATCATCACCATTACCGGCGACAAATTCGCCTGGCCGCAGTCCGACCGCGACACTGTGCGCCTCAAGCTGTACAAGCACTTCCGCGAGCTGGGGTACTATGTCACACGGGCCGTGAAGTTTGGCGGCGACTTCCTTTTGTACCCAGGCGAGCCAATGCGCTATCATTCACCGTTCGTAGCCACCCTGGTTGGGTTTGACGAGAAGTTCAGGCCCAGGGAGCTGGTTGCGCTGGGGAGACTTGGCACCAACGTCAAAAAGACCAGGCTGATGTGCGCGTGGGATGCGGACCGCCAGACATTCAGCATTATCAGCATGAACTGGTCTGCCATGGGCTGATGATCCGCATAACGAAATCGCCCACCTTTGAAACCAAGCATACATACTGTTTCTCTACATTCTTCTGCCTCCAACATCTGCGTCGCCCAACGTGTCTAAGAAAGTAAAATACCATCGGATAGTATAAAAGTAGACGGGAATATAAATTTTTAAGGAGGTTTTCCAAGTGAGAGCGAGCAAGAAGAAGGAAAGACTCTAGTTCTTTGTGCTGGTGAGCTTGCCGTAGATGTGCAGCAAGAACACCGACGCAATGAACACAAGGCTGAGCACAAGCACAACCACCGGATCCACCTTGAGGCCCGGCGCATCGTCCGTGTACAGCCGCATCATCGTCTGAGTGCTGCCCGTGGCCCGCGACACCTGCCGCCCAGTAGCTCCACCGCGGCTCGATGCCTGAGAGCCACCACGACGAGCCCTATGCAGAAATTACGAGCGGGGGATTAGCCAGTATATCGGATGCTGATACCGTTAGTCCCTCGGTCCTGGGCCCGGGGGAGATCGTCATCATTGGTCGGCGCCGTGCCCAAATCAGGGCGCGCTTTGGTCTGAAACTTACCTCAGGTTGCGAGGACCGGCACCAGCGGGGACCGGGGCGTTCTTAGCGGACGAGGATTCAGCCTATTCAGCAGTACACGCAGTTAGCTCTATGAACAACTCTGGCCCCTCATCACCTCCTCAATGCGAATTCCCGAACCGGCATTCTCATCTGACGATGACAACGCGCCAACAACCAGCACAAGTGCCCGCATATATACTTACCATTGCGAATATAGAGGTGTTCGTGTGTGTATGTGTATGTGTGTGCTTGCTGCAAAGGTGCTCTGCTTGCTAGAGAAAGGTTCTGTGCTCTTCTTTTCTTCTCTGTAGAACGCGACTGAGGTAGCCCGGGAGGAAGGACCTGGAAATGGAATACAAAGAGCTGGGTGTGGGAACAAGACCCTAAGGAAAGATATATTACTAAAAGTGAGGAGGCTAAAGAGGAAAACCAGGAGCCTGCTAGAACCTGCGATTTTTCGTTAAGGCTGCCAGTGCGTTCAGCGAGCCCGGCCAAAAAACCTCCTAGGTACTGTTCGTGTTCCCAGCCTGTGTGCCCGGCCTGCGATCTCTACAGCCAGAGTCGCTGAGCATTGGAAAAAGTTGGCTATTAAAAGGCCGATCGCACTGGCAGCCAATGGGTGCGCGCAAACAAATGGCATCGGCTGTGATCGCTAGATTACAGACGGGTCAGCTGGCCCAGGTGATCAAGGATGGGAGTGAGGCGTTTTATTTTCTAAGCACTGTACTTGGCAAGCTCAGGGTCGCTGTACCGGATAAACCTTCCAGTCAGACCGTGGTCGGCTCCAAGAGCGAGGTTGCAGATGATGCGTCCTGGAATGTCTGCCGCAACCTTGCTCGCTTGAAGGATGCTATTGACGTTGCTACTCTCGGGTATCGTATCCTCGATCTCGTTCATCAGACAGGTAAGCATGTCGGTTTCGACTACTCCCGGGTCCAGAGCAACAAAAGTGATACTCGGCTCCTCGAGTGCTAGCCCTGCAGTAACGAGGTTCAGCGCTGCTTTCGACGCCCCGTACGAAGATTGATTAACAAACGGTTCTTTGCCTGCCAAAGACGACAAATTCACAACCCTGCCTTTCGCCTGGCGTAGATAGGGGAGCGACTTCTGGATCAGACCAACGGGTGCAGTGACATTAGTAGCAAACACCTCTGCCAAACTGTCAAGTGGTTTGGTTGCAAGGGCACCGTATGTTCCCAAGGTGGCAGCGTTATTGACTAGCGCGACCAGTGTGCCAGCTTTAACCGCCATATCAACGGCCTGCTGCTGGGTGGACTCGTCCTTGACATCGCCGGCAAGTGGAAGGAACTTGGCGGAAACTGGGAGTTGCGCCGCTTCCCTTGACAGGGACTCAAGGCTGCTGACGTTGCGGGCCATCCCAACAACAGATATATCCTTGGACAAAAGAAAAAGCGCGACGCTCCTGCCGATTCCACGCGAAGCACCGGTTACTATGGCGACGTTGTTAGGTTTGTCAGGGGACATAGTGATATATAAAATGTATTAAGCAGTGAAGTTGAGTGAAGAAAAAGTGTTGCTGGATAGCTGGCTATCGGGGTTCACCTAGTGCTTCTTCAGCCACCTTTTGACCAAGTGATGTCCCGTTTTAGGCGCAGTGTTGTCAGGCATCTGTTGGCTGTGTAGCGCAACAGGACAATTGCCCAATGTGAATCAAATAGTGTCTATGTATATATATATGCGCAATCGCCATTGTCTGAAAATAGTTAGAGGTCTTGTTGTCTTGGCAAACGAGCTCCTTGCGAGAGGGTGAAAATAGTGCAATATGGCATGCTGAGCACACGCTTCATGGCAGCCATGATTCCCCTATCACCGTCCAAGATACGTATTGCAGCTCATTAGGTGGTTAAATAGTTGAAAGTACCTCCTACAAAATGGACCCATCTGTTGTAGTCTGGCCACAAGCGCTTCTGACTTGTGAAAATAAAATATACACGGTATAGCATCGTAAACACTTCATGTTGGATGTATTGGGACATTCAAGTAAAAGGGAGATTTGGCACAGGCAAATGATTAATATGCTCAGCGGAAGATGCGCTTGAACACGCCCAAAATCGTGTGACGGCGAGGACGTTGTCTCTTCGGCTCAGAATCCGATGCCGACCCCTGCTGGCTGCTCTCTGCTTGAGCAGGGGCGTCACCACCCTCACGACCGTCAAGCTTGGCACTCGACGGGAACGTGCCTGGAATCGTCACACCCTCACCAACAATCGTAGCCGATCGTGACACCCTTGATTCGCTGTCGTCAGCTGTGCCAAGGCTCTCGCCCGGGGATGCAGTTCCGCTGGCATCCTTGACCATAGGTGGCGAGTCACCGCGCTTGTTCGTGATGAGGCGTTTCATGCGCGAGCCAACCGAGCCCTCGTTGTCGGCAAAACGGCGCATGCCCGCTCCCCATGACCTGCCGCCGGATCCAGCGGATGTGACATTGACTGCCGACACCCCAACAACGGGCGTGGCCTTTTGCGCCATATGCAGCTCGTCCATGGTAATGACACCGGTGGTGTTCAGCGAAGCGTTGTCTCCAAAGAGCGATTCCGGGTAGTGCATTACATACGAAGGAATCGCGGTCGGCGCGCTGGTGATAGCCCCGGGGGTTGTGTCAGCAGGGGATCCCGGTTCGGCTTCAGTAGATATGCCGGCACGGGGCTCCTGATCCTCGACATCAGAGTCCACTTCGTTGACCGATGTTTGCGATGCACGGGCATCAGCCTGTTTCGCTGGCGACTCGACCCGAGCAGGCTCAACAGTGGCCTCTTCGACCTTGTCGGTGGCAGGCTCCTCAGTGATTTCAGCTGCTGGCTTCTCGACTCCTTCTTCCTCGAGCGAGATGCCCTCGTCAGCGTTGGATGCTGATCTGACAATTGGCGTAGGAGTAGGCTCATCAGTAGCTTCTGTCTCGACTGGCACTGCAGAAGACCTGACAGATCTACCGAGCGTGTATGCGACCGCTGCACCGGCGACAGCAGCAACTGCAATGTCGCCCGCCGAAACCTCGTCCTGCTCGGCGTCTTTGGGGATGCCATCCTCAGCAATAAAAGCATCCTTGGCAGTTTCAGACTCCTCTGTGGCTACAAGATCTGCCACAGTATTGTCTTCAGCAACTGATGTCTCAACTGGGACTATGTCCATGACCGTAGATTCATCCAGTGAAATAGAGCGAGGAATGACTTCCTGGACCATAGAATCAGCAGCATCGCCAGAAGACCCGTCAGCAACAACAGTCTCTGCAGCAACGCAGTCCTCCGCAGCAGACTCCTGGACAGTGACAGCAGATGCCTTGGCAGCAGTGCCTTCAAGAGTGGCGGGTTCGTCAGAAGCGAATTCGATAGAGTCGGCTTTCCCAGCAGAAGATTCAGTGGGGTCAATAGATGGTTCATCAACGGTAGCGGTTTCCTCGACAGTAGCATCCTTGACAACGATATCCTCGGTAGCGACCTCACAATTATCAGCTGCAACGATATCCTCTGTACCAGGCTCCTCGGTGACAATCTCCTTAGTAGTGACATCGTCAGCATGGGATTCGGTGACATGCTCCTCAGTAGTAGGTGCCGCCTCGACAGCAACTGCATTGGTATCGATAGCTTCCTCGATAGCATCCCCAACGGCGGTCTCGCCCTCAGCCTCGCCGGTAGACTCTTTAGCAACTATGGCCTCCTCAACGGCAGTTTCTGCGACAGGAACTTCAACAGTACTCTCCTTAACCGCAATGTCTTCCAATAGAGATTCGGCCACAGGATCTTCTGCAGCGACGTCCGCCGCAACCGATTCGACCATGTACTCGCCAGCATTGACCTCCTCGACGGCGACCACCTCTGCCGGTAATTCGGTTGCAGGCACATCTGCAGCAACAGTATCCTCTGGAGCAGCTTCCACAGCAACGATGTCCTCAACCGACGCCTCGGCCACAGGCTCCTCAGGAGCAGTATCATCAGTGGCAACACCTCCAGTTGAATATTCTGCTGCAGGCTCACCAGTAGCTGTCTCCTCAACAGTAGCCGCGTCTGAGGCAGCTTCCCTGGTAGCGACTTGCTCGGAGGTGGTCTCTTCGACGATAGCGTCCTCTGCTAATGACACGGTCACAGAGGCTTCAGTACCAGCAACTTCCTCAGCAGCGATCTCCCTGGGAGAAACATCCTTGGTAGTATCTGGTCCATCGACAGCGCCTTCAACAGCAGCCTCGGACTCTTCTTCCTGAGTAGTAGGCACTCACAGTGGCACCTCAGCAGTTGGCACCTCACCAGCTTGCTCCTTGGGGACTGATGTTTCTGCAACCGGCTCCGCAGCTACTGAAATTTCGGCGATCGGTTCTTCGGCAATCAGCGCCTCAACAGGCGGCTCCTCAGCGACCGACTCCTCAACAATCAGTTCCTCAGCAACGGGTTCTTCCACGACCGACTCCTCAGTAGCTGGCTTCTCAGTAGCTGGCCCTTCAGTGACCGGCATCTCTGTGGCCAGTTCTTCAGCAACCGATTCTTCAGTGGCTGACTCTTGAACAGTCGACTCTTCAACATCCAATGTCTCAGCAGTAGATTCATCGGCACTGTAACTTCAACGACCGGTGCGCCAACAGCTGGCTCCTCGGCAACCGGCTCTTCGGTGACTGGGGATAAGGTAACAGGTTCAGCAGCCGGTTCCTCAACGGTCGACTTAGTGACAACTGGTGTCCTCACTGACTGGCACTTCAGTGATCGGTCCTCAGCGACCAGTGCCTCAGCAGTTGGCCCCTCAACAACCGATGCTTCAACGGTGGGTCCTCAGCAACCGGTGCCTCAGCAACCGGTACCTCAGCGGTCGGTTCAATGATGACCGGCGCATCGGCGATCGGCAGCTCAGCAACTGGCGCCTCAGCAACAGGCTCCTCAACGGCTGGCTCCTCGACGACAGGCTTCTCGGAAATAGGCTCCTCGATGGCTGGCACCTCGGTGACTGGATCCTTAGCGACAGGTGTCTCAGCGACAGGTACCTCTGGAACTGGCTTCTCAACGGCTGACTCTTCAGCGACAGAATCCTCAGCGACAAAATCCTCAACGACTGGATCCTTAGCGACAGGCTCCTCACCGACAAGTGTCTCAGCAACAGGTGCATCGACGACTGAATACTCGTGACTGACACCTCCACAACTGGCTCCGCAGCGACAGACACCTCGGCAGCCAGTGCCTCAGCGACTTGATCCTCAACGACTGGCTCCTCAGCAACAGGCGCTTCAACAACTGAACCCTCAGAAACAGAATCCTTGGCGACTGAATCCTCGGCGGCAGGCGCCTCAGCAACCGGTGTCTCAGCGACAGGGTCTTCAGTGATCGGTGCCTCAGCAACTGAATCTTCAACGACTGAATCATCCGCAACAGGACCCTCAGCGGCAGGCTCCTCCACAGCTGGATCCTCGGCGACAGGAGCCTTAGCAGCAGGCTTATCAGCAACAGGCTTCTGTGACCCGGGCCTCAGCGGCTGAATCCTCAGCGACAGGCAGCTCAACTACTGGATCCTCAGCAGCTGGCTCCTCAGTGACCGGTGCCTCAGCGATTGGATCCTTAGCGACAGGCTCCTCCACAGCTGGTGCTTCAAGGGCTGATTCCTCAACGACAGAATCCTCAGCAATCGGCTCCTCAGCAACTGGCACCTCTACAACTGGTGCCTCCGCAATTTGCTCCGCAGGAACAGGCTCCTCGGCGACTGGATCCTCAGAAACTGGTGCCTCAGCAGACGCCTCCTTAGCAACTGGACCCTCAACGACAGGCTCTTCTACGACTGGCTCCTCAGCAGCCGATTCCTCGGTGATTGGATCCTTAGCGACAGGCTCCTTCACAACAGGCGCCTCAGCGACCGAATCCTCGATGACTGAATCCTCAACGACTGAATCCTCAACGACTGAATCCTTGGTGACTGGCACCTCCGTAACAGACTCTTCAGCGACAGGCTCCTCAGCAGTCGGTGCCTCAGCAGCTGACTCCTCAGCGACTTGATCCTTATCGACTTGATCTTTAGCGACTGAATCCTCGGCGACAGGCACCTCAGTGGCCAGTGCTTCAGCAACAGGCACCTTAGTGACTGAATCCTCAGCGACAGGCTCCACAACGACAGGCTCCCCAACGACAGGCTCCTCAGCAGCTGGTTCCTCAGCGACAGGAGCCTCAGCGGCAGGCTCCTCCGCAACTGGATCCTCCGCAACAGGCTCCGCAACGGCTGACTCCTCAACGACAGGCTCTTCAACAACTGGTGCCTCAGCAACTGGTGCCTCAGCGACTGGATCCTCCGCAACAAGATCTTCAGCAGCAGGCTCCTCAGCAGCAGGCTCCTCAGTGGCTGGCTCTTCAGCAACAGGTGTCTGAGCGATTGGTTCCTCGACGGCTGACTCCTCAGCAGTAGGTACCTTAGCAACCGGTGTCTCAGCGACAGGATCCACAATGACTGAATCCACAACGACTGAATCCTCAGCGACAGGCTCCTCGACGGCTGGGTCCTCCACAACTGGTTCCTCGACGGCTGGCATCTCAGTGACAAGAGGCTTAGTAGCCGGCTCCTCAGCAGCTGACTCCTCAACGGCTGGCACCTCAGCAGCTGGCACCTCAACGACAGGCGCCTCTGCAACCGAATCCTCAGCGGCAGGCTCCTCACCGGCTGGCTCCTCAGCGACGGGTGCATCGACGACTGAATCCTCGGTGACTGGCACCTCCGTGACAGACTTCTCAACAGCTGACACCTCCGCAACTGGCTCCGCAGCGACAGGATCTTCAGTGGCCGATGCCTCGGCAGCTGGTTCCTCAGTGACTGAATCCTCAGCAGTCGACTCCTCAGCGACTTGATCCTCAGCGACAGAAGCCTCAGCGGCAGGCTCCTCAGCGACATGAGCCTCAGCAGCTGGATCCTCGGCAATAGGCTCCTCAGTGACTGATGCCTCAGCGACAGACTTCTCTGCAATTGATTCCTCGACGGCTGACATCTCAGCAGCTGGTTCCTCAGCAGCTGACTCCTCAGCAACCGGTTCCTCAACAACTGGCTCCTCAGCGGCTGGCTCCTCAACGACCGGCTCCTCAGCAGCTGGTTCCTCAGCGACAGGAGCCTCAGCAGCAGGCTCCTCCGCAACTGGATCCTCCGCAACAGGCTCCTCCGCAACAGGCTCTTCAACAACTGGTGCCTCAGCGACTGGATCCTCCGCAACAGGATCCTCAGCAAAGGCTCTTCAGCAACAGGTATCCGAGCGATTGGTTCCTCAACGGCTGACTCCTCAGCGACAGGAGCCTCAGCGACAGGAGCCTCAGTGGCAGGATCCACAACGGCTGGGTCCTCCACAAATGGGTCCTCGACGGCTGGCATCTCAGCAGCTGGTTTCCTCAGCAGCCGACTCTTCAGCAACTGGCACCTCAGCAACTGGCACCTCAACGGCTGGCACCTCAACGACAGGCGCCTCTGCAACCGAATCCTCAGCGACAGGGCTCCTCACCGGCTGGTTCCTCAGCGACGGGTGCATCGACGACTGAGTCCTCGGTGACTGGCATTCTCCGTGACAGACTCCTCAACGGCTGACACCTCCGCAACTGGCTCCGCAGCGACAGGATCTTCAGTGGCCGATGCTTCAGCGACTAGTTCAGCAGTTGACACTTCAGCGACTAACGCCTTAACTGCTGGCTTCTCAGCAATCGACTCCTCAGCGACTTGATCCTCAGCGACAGAAGCCTCAGCGGCAGGCTCCTCAGCAACTGGTGCCTCAGCAACTGGATCCACAACGACTGAATCCTCAGCGACAGGCTCCTCAACAACCGGTGCCTCAGCAGCTGGATCCTCGGCAATAGGCTCCTCAGTGACTAATGCCTCAGCGACAGACTCCTCTGCAACTGATTCCTCGACGGCTGACATCTCAGCGACAAGAGCCTCAGCAGCTGGTTCCTCAGCAGCCGACTCCTCAGAAACTGGCACCTCAGCAACAGGCACCTCAACGACAAGCGCCTCTGTAGCCGAATCCTCAGCGACAGGCTCCTCACCGGCTGGTTCCTCAGCAGCTGGCCTCCTCAGCAACAGGCACCTCAGTGATTGGTGTGTCAGCAACTGGCTCCTCAGCAGTAGGTACCTTAGCAACCGGTGCCTCAGTGACTGGATCCACAATGACTGAATCCTCAGCGATAGGCTCCTCCGCAGGCAGGCTCCTCAACGACAGGCTCTTCAGCAACCGGTGTCTCAGCAATTAGTTCCTCGACGGCCGACACCTCAGCGACTGGATCCTTAGCGACTGGGGCTTCCGCAACTGGTTCCTCAGCGATTGGATCCTTAGCGACAGGCTCCTCCACAGCTGGTGCTTCAACGGCTGATTCCTCAACGACAGAATCCTCAGCAATCGGCTCCTCAAGCAACTAGCACCTCTACAACTGGTGCCCCCGCAATTTGCTCCGCAGGAACTGGCTCCTCGGCGACTGGCTCCTCAGTGACCAGTGCTTCAGCAACAGGCACCTTAGTGACTGAATCCTCAACGACTGGCTCTTCCACGACTGGCTCCTCAGCAGCCAATTCCTCGGTGACTAGATCCTTGGCGACAGGCTCCTCCGCAACTGGTTCCTCGACGGCTGGCATCTCAGTGACAAGAGCTTCAGTAGCCGACTCCTCAGCAACTGGCTCTCCAACGACAGGATCCTCACCGGCTGGTTCCTCAGCGAAAGGTGCATCGATGACTGAATCTTCGGTGACTGGCACCTCCGTAACAGACTCCTCACCGACAAGCTCCTCAGCAGTCGGTGCCTCAGCAGCTGACTCCTCAGCGACTTGATCCTTATCGACTTGATCTTTAGCGACTGAATCCTCGGCGACAGGCGCCTCAGTGACTGAATCCTCAGCAACCCGTGCCTCAGCGACAGGCTCCTCAACGACGGGCTCCTCAGTGACATGCGCCTCAGCAACCGGTGTCTCAGCAGTTGATACTTCAGCAGCTGGATCCTCGGCAACAGGCTCCTCAGTGACTGGTGCCTCAGCTGCTAGGTTCTCAGCGGCAGGCTCCTCAGTGACTAGTTCCTCAACGGCTGACACCTCCGCAACTGGATCTCTAGCGACTGAATCTTCAGCAATAGGCACCTCAGCGGCAGGCACCTCAGCGACTGAAGCTTCCGCAGCTGCTTCCTCGACAGCTGACTTCTCAGCAACAAGAGCCTCAGCAGCCGATTCCTCAGCTACCGATTCTTCGGCAACCGACTCCTCAGCAACTGGCACCTCAACGGCTGGCTCCCCAATGGTAGGCACATCTGCAACCGAATCCTCAGCGGCAGGTTCCTCAGCAGTTGATACTTCAGCAGCTGGCGCCTTAACTGCTAGCTCCTCAGCAACAGGCTCCTCAGCAGCTGGTTCCTCAGCCACTGGCGATTCCACAACAGGTGCCTCAACGACTGAATCCTCAAGGGCTGACACCTCCGCAACAGGCTCCTCCGCAACAGGCTCCTCAGCGACTGGATCCTCAGCGATGGGTTCCTCAGCAGCAGATTCCTCAGCAACTGGCACCTCAATGACTGGATCCTCTGCGGTTGACACTTCGCCAACTGCATCCTCAACGACGGGCTCCTCAGCGACAGGCTCCTCAGTGGCTGGCTCTTCAGCAACAGGTGTCCGAGCGATTGGTTCCTCGACGGCTGACTCCTCAGCGACAGGAGCCTCAGCAGCAGACTCCTCAGCAGTAGGTACCTTAGCAACCGGTGTCTCAGCGACAGGATCCACAACGACTGAATCCACAACGACTGAATCCTCAGCGACAGGCTCCTCGACGGCTGGGTCCTCCACAACTGGTTCCTCGACGGCTGGCATCTCAGTGACAAGAGGCTTAGTAGCCGGCTCCTCAGCAGCTGGCACCTCAACGGCTGGCACCTCAACGACAGGCGCCTCTGCAACCGAATCCTCAGCGGCAGGCTCCTCACCGGCTGGTTCCTCAGCGACGGGTGCATCGACGACTGAGTCCTCGGTGACTGGCACCTCCGTGACAGACTCCTCAACGGCTGACACCTCCGCAACTGGCTCCGCAGCGACAGGATCTTCAGTGGCCGATGCCTCGGCAGCTGGTTCCTCAGTGACTGAATCCTCAGCGGCAGGCTCCTCAGCAATAGGTACCTCAGCAGCTGGATCCTCGGCAATAGGCTCCTCAGTGACTGATGCCTCAGCTGTTAGATCCTCAGCGGCAGGCTCCTCAGCGACTAGTTCCTCAACGGCTGACACCTCCGCAGCTGCATCCATGGCGAGTGAATCTCCAGCAATAGGCGCCTCAGCGACAGGCTCCTCAGCGACTGAAGCTTCCGCAGCTGGTTCCTCAGCGATTGGTTCTTTAGCGGCGGGCTCCTCCACAGCTGGCCCTTCAAGAGATGATTCCTCGGCGACTGGTTCCCTAGCGACACACTCCTCAGCAATTTGACCCTCAGCGGTTGCCTCCTCAGCAGCCGGTGCCTCAGCAATTATAGGCTCTTCAGCGATTGAATCTTTAACGACTGGATCTTCAACTGTTGACACCTCAGTGACAGGCTCCTCGGCGACCGGCGATTCCGCAAGTGACCCCTCAGCAACTGGTGCCTCAGCGACTGAATCCTCAGCAACAGGCTCTTCAACGTCAGTCTCCTTACCGACTGGCGCGTCAGCAGCAGGCTCCTCAGCAGCGGATTCCTCAATGACCGGCCCCTCCGCAATTGAATCCTCAACAGCTCGATCCTCCGCAATTGAATCCTCAACAGCTCGATCCTCAGCAACTGGCTCATCAGCAACTGGCTTCTCAGCGACAGATTCCTTAGCGACAGATTCCTTAGCGACAGATTCCTTAGCGACAGGAGCTTCAACGACTGAATCCTCAAGGGCTGACACCTCAGCAGCTGGATCCTCAGTGACCGGTGCCTCAGCAGCCGGTTCCTCAGCGACTAAATCCTCCGCAACTGGATCCTCCGCAACTGGATCCTCAGCAGCGGATTCCTCAACGACCGGTGTCTCAGCAGCAGATGCTTCAAGGGCTGGCTCCTCAGCAACAGGCTCCTCAACAACTGGATCCCTAGTGACCGGTGCCTCAGCGACTGGTTCCTCAGCGACCGGCGCCTCCGTAGCTGGTTCCTTGACGGCCGACACCTCGGCGATTGGGTCCTTGGAGACTGAATCCTCAGCAGTAGCAGGCTTCTCACCAACTGGTTCCTCAGCGATTGGATCCTTAGTGATAAGCCCCTCCACAGCTGATTCCTCAACGACAGGCTCCTCTGCAACTGGATCTTTAGCCACCAGTACCTCAGCAACAGGCTCATCAGCAACAGGCTCTTCAGTGACCAGCGCCTCAACAACTGGCTCCTCAGCAACCGGCTCCTCAATGGCTGGTTCCTCAGCAACCGGCTCCTTAGCAACCGAATCCTCAGCGACCGAATCCTCACTGACTGGCAATTCCGTAGCTGGCCTCTCAGCAATTGAATCCTCCGCAGCTGGTTCCTCGACGGCTGATACCCCGGCGACAAGATCCTCAGCGGCTGGCGTCTCAGCAACCGAATTCTCAGCGACTAGATCCTCAGCAGCAGGTACCTCAACAATTGGATCTTCAGCGACCCGTGCCTCAGCGACTGACTCCTCCGCAAGAGGTTCCTCGACGGCTGGCTCCTCCGCAGCTGGCTCTTCAGCAACTGAATCCTCCAACGACAGGAGCCTCCACAGCTGGCTCCTCAACTGCTGACGCCTGGGCGACTGAATCCTCAGCAGCAGGTTCCTCAGCGACTGGGTCCTCAATGACTGGGTCTTGAGCGATTGGATCCTCAGCAACAGGCGCCTCAGCAGCTGAATCCTCCGCGACTTGTACTTCAGCAGCTGGTTCCTGAACGAGGGATACTTCAGCAACTAGGTCCTCTGCAGCCGGCTCCCCAGCAACTGACTCGTGAGCAACCGATACCTCAGCGGATAGCTCATCAGCAACCAACTCCTTAACGACTAACTCCTCGGCGACTGGTATTTCAGCAGCTAGTGCCTCAACAGCCGACTCTTCAGTGGCCGGTTCCCCAGTGACTAGTTCGTTGGCAGCCAGATCACCAGAGATCGGCTCACCAGCAGCAGGTTCCTCACCGCCTGTCGTCTCAGTGAGTACTTCTTTAGCAAGTGATGCTTCAGCGACCGATTCCTCGGCGATCAGCTCATCAGCGACTGGTTCCTCGGTAGTTGGCTCCTCAGCGTGTGACTCTTCGGCGTCTAGCCCTTCAACCACTGGCACTTCAGCAAGTGATGCCTCAGCAACCGATTCCTCAGCGGCTAGCTCCTTGACAAGCGATACTGCAGCGACCGGCTCCTCAGCGATTGGTTCCTCAGCGATTGGTTCCTCAGCGGTCTGTGCCTTAGCAGTGACAGGCTCTTCAGTGACTGAATCCTTAACGGCTGGCTCCTCAACGACTGACACCTCGGCGACTGGTGCCTCCGTAATTTGTTTCTCAGCAACGGACGTCCCAGCAGCAGGGTCCTCAGCGACCGGTGCCTCAACTACTGAATTCTCAATGACTGGCGCCTCAGCAGCTGGTTCCTCGGCGACAAACTCCTTAGCGATAGGCGCATCAACAGCTAACTCCTCCGTGGTTGGATCCTCAGTGACAGGCGCCTCAGCGACTGGCGCTTCTGCAGCTGATTCCGCAGCGAGAGGCGCCTCAGCGACAAGCACCTCAGCAACAGGTTCCTCAACGGCTGGCTCCTCGCTGACAGGCTCCTCAGCGACTGGATCCTCAGCGACTGGATCCTCGGCAACAGAGACCTCAGAAACAGACTCCTCAGTGACTGGATCCTCAATGGCTGGTATATCTGTAACTGAATCCTCAGAGACAGGATCTTCAGCGACAGACTCTTCAGCGACAGGCTCCTCAGCAACTGGCTCCTCAGTGGCCTGTACATCAGCAACCGGTTCCTCAGCGGTCGGTGCCTCAGCAGTCGGTGCCTCAGCAGTAACAGACACTTCGATTGGATCCTTAACGACTGGCTCCTCCGCAGCAGGCTCCTCAACGGCTAACTCCTCAACGACAGGCTCCTCGGTGATAGGCTCCTCAGCGACTGGATCCTCAGCGACTGGATCCTCAGCGATGGGTTCCTCAGCAGCAGATTCCTCAGCAACTGGCACCTCAATGACTGGATCCTCTGCGGTTGACACTTCGCCAACTGCATCCTCAACGACGGGCTCCTCAGCGACAGGCGCCTCAGCGATTGGATCCTCAGCAACTGACTCCTCAGTGACTGGCTCATCAGCGACAAGCACCTCCACAATAGGCTTCTCGCCAGCCGATTCCTCAACGACCGGCGCCTCCGCAATTGAAGCCTCAACGGCTGACTCCTCGGTGACTAGCGCCTCTGTAACTGGGCTCCTCACCGACCAGTTCCTCAATGACTAGATCCTTAGCAACAGGCTCCTCAGCGACTGGATCCTCAACGGCTGGCACCTCCGCAGCTGAATCCTCAACAACTGGCTCCTCAGCGACAGGTGCCTCAGCTACTGGCTCCACAGCGACAGGATCATCTGTGGCAGGCTTCTCAGCAACAACCTCCTCAGTGGTCCGGTGCCTTAGCAGTAACAGATTCTTCGGCGACTGAATCCTTAACGACTGGCACCTCAGCGGTGGACACGTCGGCGACTGGCACCTCTGTAACTGGATCCTCAGCAGCCAATTCCTCAATGACTGACTCCTCAGCGGCCGACACTTCAATGGCTGGCTCAGCAGCGGCGGGGTCATCAGCAGTTGGTTCCTCAGCGACTAGATCCTCAACAGCTGATTCCTCAACAACCGGTGCCTTAACTATTGGCTCCTCGGCGGCCGATTCAGCGACAACTGGCTCCTCAACGACCGGCTTCTCAGCAGCTGATACCTCAACAGCCAGAATTTCAGCGACAGATTCCTCAACGACAGGCTCCTCGGCGACTAGCTTGTCAGCAACGGGTGTGTCGACCAGTGCTTCCTCAGCTGCTGGCTCCTTGGTGACTGGTTCCTCACCGAGTGATACCTCACCGATCTCAACAGCCGACTTCTCAGTGATTGATGCCCCAGCGACTGATTCCTCGACAGCAGGCTCCTCAGCAACCAGCCTCTCGGCGACCGGTTCCTCGGCAGCTGGTACCACAGTAACTGGCACCTCAGCAGCTGGCTCCTCGGCACGTGACTCCTCTGCGACTGGTTCTTCAGCTACCGCTGCCTCAGCTACAACCTCGTCGACAGTGGTCTGCCGTTGGATAGCTGTTTCTTCAGAAACATTCTCTTCTGCAGTGATATCCTTGACCGGAGCCTTTGCCACAGGCTCGTCAGCGATGATTTCCTTAGCAGCAGCGTCCTTGGATGTGACCTCCTCGGTGGTTAGCACATCTGATACACCCTCAGTAGCAACCTCGCCTGAAGACTGCTCTGTTGTTGGGGGTTCTTCTGTGATCAACTCGCTCTCGGCTGCGGTGTTGTCATCACTAGCCAGCGATACCTCAACCCCACGCTCTTCAGATGTGGCAGTTTCTTCAACAACGACAGCACCATCGGTAGACTCGACAACGGCCGTCTCAGCAGGAGGCTTTTCAGCAGTTTCTGGTTCGTCTGCTGAAATAGATCCCTCAACCACATGCTCCTCGATGGTGGCAGGTCCTTTGTCAGCTACGGTCTGCTCAACGACGGCAGGTTCTTCGACTGGTGGTTCCCCGGCGGCAACCTCCTCAGTATTGGTTTCCTCAGAAGTGACTGCGATCGGCTCCTCAACTGCACTGACAGACTCTTCAGCTGTGGCGCGTTCCTCGACGGAGGTGTTGTCACCAGCTACTTCAGCCGAGGCATCTTCAGCAGCAGCGGTAGGTACCTCAGCAACAGGCTCATCAGCACCAGGCTGCTCGGCTGTGGGTTGTCCAACAGATGTGACTGTCACTGCCACTGTTGGTGCATCGGGAGCACCACTTTCTGTTGCCGGGGTATCAGCAGTGACCTCACCTGTTGGCTCCTCCACTGCAGGCTTCTCAGAAACTGGCGACTCAGCAGGACGATGTCTCTACCGATGCACTTTCGGCGCGTATCGGACTCCAGGGACCTGTGTTTCCTCGGTAGCAGGAGCAGTGCTTGCAGCACCTGTTGAAGGTGCAGCCTCTTCAGCTATCTGGCCCTCGTTTAACTGAAATGGTCTCTACTGGTGACGACTCCACGGCTACCGACGCTTCAGTTGCTGAAACAGCATCTGTGGCACTTTCGATCGCAACCACATCAACAACAGGAGTATTCCCCTGCGGCAAGATCACCAGAGACGGACTCCTCATCCTTTGGTGTGTAATCGTTATCGAGTGGAGCAGCCTCGTGGTCCTGCTGGAGGGGCGAATCGGCGCGCTTATCCGAAGCAGCACCCGAAATGACGTCGTACTCGCTCTCGCCTACCGGCGACTCGTCATTGTAAGCAGCATCAACAAGGACTGGCTCGTCACCGGCAATCGGCAAATCGGCCAAGCCCTTTTCGCGAAGCCCGACAGACGGCAGATCAATATACGAGGAGGAGGTCGAAAAACTGCCCTCGACATGCCCGACGCGGGGGGCTGGGGAAATAACATCTAAGAACTCATGTGAGAATGTGAGCAGCATGCATCTACTTTTTTCCCATATATGGCTGTCTGGTGCACATGACCAGCAGTATGCCTGCACGCTTGGGAAGCAGGCCAGACAATGGATACTCTACCTCTAGTTTCCTGGAAATCGATCTCGCTTCCGTCAATTTGGGCGTCAGGCGGCAGGGCCAGGTTGGTAATTGTGTACGTGCTCACAATGTCCTGGTGGGAGGGCGTGCCGTTGGTAAACACCTCGTCAATGAAGTTTTTCGGTGTCGGCAACTCCAAGTCGGTCCCGTTGATACGGAAAGTAATGCGCACAAGCTTATCAGACTCGGCATTCTCGAGCGATGCGTGGTATGCAATGCGCTGGGTGTCCTCGCTGGACAGAGTCAGGGCGATAAACACAGGGTCTTCAGGCTTGGTATCAAGGCTAACCACAATCTCGGCGGGCCCGAGCTCAGTATGGATGTGCGCTTTGTCAACAATGACGTTGAACTTGAAGCTGGTGGGGATGGTGGTCATTCTTCAGAGAAGGACAGGAGAGCTTACAAATAATGTAGAAACTAGTACTTTTTGATGCTTGTCTAGGCAAAGGAAATGGCTGCTCTAAATTACAGGTGTTATATGAAAACGCAGAGTAAATATACACGGTAGTTGGTGTGTTTAGAGGCAGGAATTACGAGTGGAAAAAGTAGTAAATATAGACGGGTTGGTGGTTCTTCTTTGGAGTTTGGGCTCTGAGCTATGGCGATAGAAAAGAAGAAAAAGGTGGGTGGGCAGGAAAAAAAGGAAAGCGACGGCAGTCGGAAGGGAGAACTACGGTAGATATATGGCCACCAAATGTCGCCAACATGGCGAGGGGTGGGTTGCCGACCCGCCCCCTTTTAGGGCAACATAAGCCTCAAAAATTTCGAAACACATGCTTGCAAGACAATATTTCGCCACACAACCCGCCTGTAGCGATGCGAAACATAAACAACCTTATTGCACTCTACATCCAGCATCTTCTCTTCGTTTATGACTCGGAGATATTCCAGCTTATTTTCGTGCTGTATAGTCACGAATATACAGAAGCGGCGAGGTTGGCAGGTTTCCCACCACTGCAAAATAGTGCATTCCTACGACAGAAAGCTGAGTTTGAAAGTCGGGATGTGCCCGGCTTGCCCTCCACCCCTTACCCGAAAGGGTCTGGGATGGGCACTACATGTCGAGGAGAATTGGAGCATCTATCCCTGCAAATCGCTCATTGTCGGGGATGTGCCAATATCAGGCCACATGAGTCGCTCGTGCATACAGAAGAGAGTGCGAAATGGCCTGCACCACCTCTGCATCCATGCATCCGGCGTCAAAAAATCCGCAGACATCTCCCCTCGTCCGAAAGCACACCATGCACATGTCCCAAGTATCCCCCCAACATGCTGCAGTGGCCCATGTTCAGCGTCGCTCTATCGCCTATTTTTGTGCACGTACGCAGCAATGTCTATTCGTGCACCCGGTGTTGACAAGATTTTCCACCGCCGGTTGCATAAGAGTCATGGGACATGCACTTCCGGACGGATTTTCGATTCGTGCAATGAAGCACCACCATGGGCTGGCAAACGTCGGTTGGCAATTGTGTGTAGGTGCGTGTTTTTCCTAAACCAGAATAAACACGACAATGCCGGGTGGCAAAAGGTGCGCCTCGTAATAGGAGCCATTTGAACGGCAAATAGTATCTGAGCGGGGGGATATAGTGTAGTTAGACAACGCAGACATGCCAACGCGAGCAGGTATTGCAACAAAAAGAATGAGCTGACGCCAACAGATGGCATTATGTGCCCTAAAGGAGAAGGTGATTTGCAGACGGGCGTTCTCGGACATTGCGAGCTGTACCGGCATAGGGTCAACCAAAATATCCACATCCCTTTTGCCCATCCCCCAAAAACGCAGACCCAGAACGCAAGGTTTTGCTTCAGTCAAAACGCAAATGGATAAAAAAGAGAAAATCTACCACTATATGCATGTCTGTGCACCGCCAGGGCATGCATCCGAGACAGCACATCACCCCATTCTTGTCGATCAGCTGTGACGCTGGGAACAGCATCCTCATCCAAACGTCTGCTTGGCCCTCCTTGGCTTCTGCACCCTGCTGATACGCCACTCGTTCGGCTTTTCGAAGCGGTTGTAAAGCGGCTCCAGCCGCTCCTTGCGCTTGCGCTTCGAAATCTTCGTTGCATCGGCCTCCTTGAAGAAGGTGGGCGCCATCTCCACCAGCCATTTGGGGTCCACCAGAGTCACCTCCCGCATGTACTCCTTGGACGTCATGACCAGCTCGTGGTAGATGACCCACTCGGGGTTCTTGTTGAACAGCGCGCTCGACGGATGCATGTGGACCATAGTGCCCTCCACCAGCGTCTTGTATCCCTCCTGCGGGTCACGCTTCGCCGCATGGCGGAAGAAGCCGGCGCAGAGGGCACGCCGGACTGGGTCGAAATTGCGCTCGCCGCAGCTCACAATGTCCTGCTTGTATCTGTCCATGATGCCTACCATCTGCTTGCGGATATCCGAAACCGTCCGCAGCCTCCGGTATTGCAAGTAGTTGTCAAAGCACCAGCTGTTGCTAAAGCTTGACGCCTTCCAGGAGTTGTACACTGTCAGCAGCGTGAGGTGGTCGCCCTCGGGCTGGTGGAACTTTGCCTTCTTCGAGTCAGCGGCTGCCTGCTTCTCCCGCGGGCGGTAAAATACCGTGCCATCAGACGACAGCATAGGCGGCAATGGTCAGAATCTCTTCGCTGCACCCAAGCTCAACACTTCGCCAGCAGCGACTTGGCTAGCTCGGGGCTCATCGGGAATTCAGCCATCTTGCGGCCGATGCGTGTCAGCAGGCCCTCGCTGTCAATTGCGCCCAGCGAGTATAGCAGCTCCAATGACGACACCAGCGCCTGCACAGGCGGCGGGTCCATGAAGTCATAGCCAATCAGGTCGTTGATGACCCATGGCCTTGAGCTGCAGCACCGTCGACGATAGGTTGACACGCTGTATCTCGGGCACACTGTTTGGCAGCATCTCGTTGTGAAAGGCCTGCTCGGTGTACAGCCGGTAGCACTTGCCAGGACCAGTGCGCCCAGCTCGGCCAGCACGCTGGTTCGCTTGGGCCTGCGAGATGGGCGTCACGATCAGCTGGTCCATGCCTGTCTTGGAGTCAAATGTCATTTGCTTGACGAAGCCTGGGTCCACCACATAGTAGATGCCGTCGATGGTTACCGACGTCTCGGCGATGTTGGTCGATATCACAATCTTGCGCGAGCCAGGCGGTGCCGGTTCGAATATGCGCGACTGCATGTCTGACGGCAGCGACGAGTACACGGGCAGGATGATCAGCTCAGGGGCAGTAGAGCCGAGCGCCTTCATGCGCTCAAACAGAATCTCACAGGCAGTGTCAATCTCCTCCTGACCCGTCAAAAACAGAAGAATGTCGCCTGGCGGCTCCCTCAAGTGTATGTCCATGACGGTTTGCAGAGACGCATCGAGGTAGTCGGACGCGGGTTCGAGCGAAAACAGCTTCTGTACCGGGAATGTGCGCCCTGGGATCGAAAAGATGGGGCAGTTGTTGAAGTACTTTGAGAACTTTTCTGCGTCCAGCGTGGCTGATGTGATAATGACCTTCATGTCGTGCCGCCTCTTGCAGAGGCCCTTGAGCAAGGCAAACAGCACATCGGTGTTGATTCCGCGCTCGTGCGCCTCATCGAGCATGACCACCGAGTACCGACGCAGCTCCGGGTCAACCAGAATCTCACGGATCAGCATACCCTCAGTGCAGTACTTGATACGGGTCTCGGGCGATGTGCAGTCCTCATATCGGAATCGTGTACCCGACCTCGGCGCCTAGCCGGCACCCAACCTCCTCGGCCACGCGCTTCGCAACACTTGTGGCGGCAACTCGTCTGGGCTGCGTGCATCCAATGCGGCCGCGCCTCGCGAAGCCCTCCTCGTACATGTACTGCGTCAGCTGCGTGGTCTTTCCCGATCCAGTCTCGCCCACGACCACCAGGAACTGGTTGTCTCGGACTGCCTCAATGAACAGGTCCCGTAGGTCATACACCGGCAGACTCTTGCGCTGGTCCTGGATCGAAAGGTCTGTGATTTTTCCATATGTCACGGCCTTGCCCTGCACGGCTCGCTGCCACTCGGGCATATCACCACCGCGTGCTTTATCGGCGATATCTGCTGCTATGCCACGCAGATCCTGGGCGAAGTTGCGCTCCCCTGGCGCCGGCATCGGGTCCTCCCACGGCCGGTTCAGATCCTTTGGCAGGTTGTCCAGCTCAGCCTCGGCCTCCTGCCGCTTCAGCTCCTTGCGCTCTTGGGCCAACGCTGCACTTGCCAACGCTGCTCGGTTCAGCGTGCCCTCAGGCACCTTGACGACCTTGACAGGGCTCAGCTGCATTGTATGTGCTGTCTGCCCGCGCAGGAACGCCGGTTCCTCCTCCCGCAGCTCGATATCCATCTCCTCCTCATCGTCCTCGATAACCAAGTTTCCGTCTTCATCAACTTCGTCCAGATCCGGATAGTCAGCTCGGTTCAGGACGCCTGACGCAATGAGCTGCTTGATCTCCCACCGCTCTGGTGAGGTCATGCGCTTAACACTCTTGCTGCTCTTGCTGGTAGACGCTGGTAGTTTGGCTTCGCGCCCATGCCCCTGGCATGGGGATAGCCGGCGGTCGAGTCACTCGAGTGAATGAGTTATATGATTCGCTGTCTCTTGGATCGTCCCGGAGCGGTGGTGCCAGGTCTTCCCCAGTTGCTTGGTCCACGTCCTTCATTGACAGGCCGACTTTGCTGCCAACCACCGAGACAACCTTTGACCTTGACTCGCTGGTCGCGATCCAGAACCTCACGCGGATTTCCGAGACGTACGCCCTTTTGGATCGCCGAAATGTGAACAAGACCCTCAACCCTGCCCCTGACCCCTTCCAATGCCACAAATGCGCCAAAATCCTTCAGGTTGGTGACACGCCCATCATAGATCTTGTATAGAATTGGCGCATCGTCTACACGCGATGACGAGTGCCGGTCACTGTACCGACCGTAAGAGAACCCGCTTCTCCGATCATCATGGTGGCGGTCGTTGTCTCTGTCGCTGTGTCGCGGTCTATAGTCTCTGTCATCATAGCGGCGCTCAGACCTCTTTGCCGTCGTGCCTTCTCCGATCATGGTGATATGACGGCGACCTCGATCTATCTCTGCCGCTTCCATGACGGTCACGGTCACGGTCACGGTCACGGTCACGGTCACGGTCACGGTCACGGTCACGGTCACGATCTCTTCCACGGTCACGATCCCTGCCACGATCCTCGTACTCACGTCGGCTCGATCCACCTTCTCTTCGACTGCCCTTCAACATCGACCCAACATGTCTATCAATGTCACTCTCCATGATCCGCTCCGCCTCTGAAAACGCCCTGGCTTTCTCGGGGTCATCAGGAATCGACAGACCAGGAAAAAGAGCCGCCTTTTCCGTCGCAGATTTTGCTGTAACTCCCTGCCCGCCTTTTGGCTTTTTTGATTTCGGCTGCATGGCTTGTGATCAGCCGGTGCAGAGTCTGTATAAAGGCTTCCGAGAACCCACTCTCGTCCTGGTCGAGTTTATTCTTGAACTCGGCATAGCCACTGCTCGAGTCGTGAAGATGGATGATGTAGTCGGCGACGTCGCGGTCAGAGATGCCAATGTGGTTCGAGAGCTCGTCAGTGATCTTTGTCACCAGTGAGAGCCTTTCCAGCTTTTCTAATTCGGTTTCGTCACCCATGGTTTATTGGAAAAAAAATGAATACTGCACATTACGAAGGTGCAAATTTCGAAAAATATGCGGGTTGAAATATGTACCCAGATGGCATTTTGCTGAAATTATGCGCGAATCACGTGTGCCACTAAGCGTGCGTCATTTCGATTTTTTTCTCTGGGTGTGTACGCAAGCACTCGGCAAACCACGGGCTTCTAACTCCTTGGCTGTATATTTGCTGGTTCTTGTCTTTCCCCTCCAATCCACACAATTTTCCACATACCTTTTTTACAATGGTAAGACCCAATCGAATTTGAGCTCAAATGTGGTTCCCTACGTTCCAGACCCTCGCTAACTCAGCCAGGCCCCATGTAGTCTGCCTCGTTCAAGTTTGACAACTCCAGCAGCACTACGGCGTCGAGCGTGCTCCCGACAGCGACAGAGTTTGGTTCGACGAACGTGATCGGCCACGGCCCCAACCGGCGTATTGATCAGCAGCTTCAGAAGGCGCACCCGCTGGAGTCGCGTCTGGCGAACTGGGAGAGCTCGCAGCTGAATATGAAGCTGCACATGCAGCGCAGAATCTACGGCCTGCACGCACCTGTGCGCACCATGATGGAGCTCCAGGCAGTCAAGGATGTGCCGAATGTGTTTGAGTCGCCGGCCGCCCGCCTGCAGTTTGACATCCTGAACGGCCGTGACGAGACTATTGAGATTGAGGACATGTACTGCAGCGCGCATGTTGAGCAGGACCTGGGCGATGTACACGAGCTGCTGGCACGTCACGTCGAGGCCTAGATCTTTTGATTTAATATTCAATATTAACCACTTGTTCTCCATTGGCTGAGACGCGGGGTTTTCGAGGCAGAGGCGCGTAGGCAAAATGCGCAGCCGCCTTTTTTTTTCTTTCTCAGAGGCATATAAGAGACAGGCAGTCCGCCAGCCCTCGCTTTTTGTCTTCACATCTGCTCCCAACCTTTTTGTTTTAAAAACTATCGCTGCCGCTTTTCGTTTAAAACACCTCTTTTTTAGTATACTATGCAGGCAGAAGAATACGACGAGCGCTCTGAGGCCGCGGGTCTTGAGGATGAGGATATGGAGAGTGGGCCTTTGCCCATCCAGCAGCTCGAGGTAAGCAATCGACTGCCACGTTATCCACCACTTTAGCTTGCATGCGCAGCCAACTAATATCTTGGTACTATTAGCAAGTTGGTGTCAGTGCGGCTGACGTCAAGAAGCTGAACGAAGCTGGCTACTACACTGTCGAGGCTGTGGCCTACACTCCTCGCAAGCAGCTGCTGACCATCAAGGGTTTCGCCGAAACCAAGGTGGACAAGATCCTAAATGAGGCCGCCAAGCTCGTTCCCATGGGGTTCTCAACTGCTGCCGATTACCACCAGAAGCGGTCATCGCTGCTGCATATTACCACAGGCGCAACTGAGCTCGACAAGCTGCTCGGTGGGCAGGGCATTGAGACTGGGTCGATTACCGAGCTTTTTGGCGAGTTCCGCACAGGCAAGAGCCAGATCTGCCACACCCTTGCCGTCACCTGTCAGCTGGATGAAGCGAGCGGTGGCGCCATGGGCAAGTGCCTGTACATTGACACGGAGGGAACGTTCCGGCCTGAGCGGCTGGTAGAGATCGCCGAGCGGTATAACCTGGATCCAAGCGAAGTGCTGGACAATGTCGCGTATGCACGTGCCTTCAATTCCGACCACCAGACAGCGCTGCTGAGTCAGGCGTCGATGCTGATGACCGAGTCAAGGTTCAGTCTGTTGATTGTCGATAGTGCAACTGCTCTGTATCGCACAGATTATTCAGGTCGTGGCGAGCTGTCAGCGCGCCAAATGCATCTGGCCCGGTTCATGCGCACGCTCATGCGCCTTGCCGACGAATTCGGCATCGCGGTAGTCATCACAAACCAGGTGGTCGCTCAGGTTGATGGCGGCATGGCGATGTTTGCTGCTGACCCGAAGAAACCCATTGGCGGCAACATTATCGCCCACGCGTCAACCACGCGTCTGTCGCTGCGCAAGGGACGTGGCGAGACGCGCGTGTGCAAGATCTACGATTCCCCGTGTCTGCCCGAGTCGGAGGCTGTCTTTGCAATCACTGGCCAGGGCATTGCCGACGCTAAGGACTAAATCTGGCCCACTCTTCTATTCATAATCAACGTTGTTTCTGTTTCATACTGGCACACCAAATGCTACCAGGCCGCCGCTGCTATTGACAACAGGAGCCGCCAGAGAACTGTGGCATGTATACAGTTCGAAACTTGGCTGAAGTGTTGCCCGAGCTGCAGTGTCGCAACCGTCCATCCATGAACAGGACACTGCCTGCTGCCATATTCGCCCAGAACGGCTGCTTCCCAGACCGTTTGTTCGGCTCTACACAGACTGTGCCGTTGCCTTCACTGACGTTGTCCAAAGGCGACCACGCGCTGACAATTGCGTGCTTGCGCTCCTCGGGTTTGAAGTACAGAATATCCTGGTGCCACTCGAACTTTGTCTTTGACCGAGGCGGCTTCACGATGTACTGCTCGTTCAAAAGATACGCGGTGTCTGTCTTGTTGAGAAGCTGCATTGCGCACTGGCCGTACTTTAGTAGAGTGCAAGTGACCAGGTCGCCCTTGTGTATCTGAGAGCGAGCCTGCTCGTAAAAACTGCGGTCTGATCTGACTGTATTTGTTATTTGAGCAGTGTCCAGGTAGCCAGACCCAAGCGGCTCCACTATGCATCCCCAGCTATCGACCAAGTCACCGCACTCGTAGCAGTGGTTCACCAGCAACTCCGACTCCTCGCGGTAAAGGCCGATTTCTCTCTCTGTCAGGAATCCTTCCACAATCAAGTACCCGTGCTCTGCATAGAACTGGACTTGCTCGCGTGTCAACATCGTATTCAATGGGATTACTGAAGTGGTGAAATGAGACCTGGTAATAGACGGCTGTCTACATTGGCCATGATTCCCATCTAGCAAACTTCTACCGCTTAGTACAAATGTATACATAATGGTATATCGTTGGTGCTGCAGCAACAACACCCGACCCATCCACAGTTTCTGTAAGGGACTCCGTCTCAATCTCGACTCTCTTGATATCCCAGAGCGCCTGGCCATTATTTCCCTTTACACCAATATCCTCGTTACGCATTGACGAGTAGCTAACAACTATCCATTTGCCGCCGGTTTTTGCACACTCTATGTACCTGCTTTGAGAGCCTTTCTAACAACTTCCCATCTGCATCCATGCACGCAATACAGTCTGATGTGCTCTTGTCAATGACCGCGTCCCACGAGCCCTCCCTGACATTTTCCATGTTTAATGCGTCCTGAACTGACCACCGAATCGCTGCGACTGCTGGCGACTCTATTCCGTAGATTTGCACGGTTTTGGCTTGCATTTTGCTAATAACTGTAGTACTGAAATCCATGTTATCGAGCGACCGGTACCCGTCATTGTACATATCAAACGGCAGATACGAATTGCCACAGCCGATATTCAGAATGCAGGCTGCTTTGTTGACTGCTGTATCAAGAATTGGCTGAAGCTTGGCGTAGCTAGCAAGCCATTCAAAGGATTCTTCGTTGAGGAACCGGTCTTCCCAGTACTGTTTCGAGTCGTATTTTGAAGGCGCCATTTTTGTGACATGGATAAGAGGTTTTGAGAGAGGCAAAAGGATCCGGGCTGGATCCTAGCAGTTTGTTCTGCTCAACATTTTTAATGCCCCCATGTCGCACAGACTGTGATTGCTGATCCAAGCATTCAATAATCAGCTGATCCGACTCTTGGTATGCCTGTGAAAACTGCATGTGGCAAGCAGATGCGGTGCGCATCTCAGCTTGTCTACAGCTGTCTTCAAATTGGGGTCTGTGTCATAGTGGCATGGGTTCACAATACAGTGTATATAGACGTTAAGTAGGCACTGGTTGGCCAATTAAACTGCTATGCAAGCAGCAGGAGGCTCTTGGCATCTCTTTCTTCGCTACAGCAGTTTAGCACACAGACAACAGGAAGACAATTATCCCGAGGGCAGCATATTTCCTATTGTTTGCACTGCAACTACCATTATAACACCACTGCTAATATTTGGATTAGAACTAGGGCCCAGGCATCACTCGTCAATGAACTACTAGTTTCTTCGGCAATCAGCTTCTCCGAGTACTCCCCACAGCTTCTCCTGCTCCATTTTGTCCAGCGGCATTCGGATGCGAGTTCGCCTCTTCACCTCTCATAAAGTATTTCCCCGAAACACCATCAACTTCTGGTGAAAGCGCCAAATATATCGATGTAAATGCACTCTCATGCACGTCAACAGCAAATGGCCTAGCGATAGCTCCAATAACAGCGCTTGAAGTCATATGCCGGCCCAAATTTGTCACAAACAGTTCCGGGATGCAGCGAGTTGACCATGACCTTTGTGCCCTCAAGTCTGCACGCTAATGCATTTGAGAACATAATGTTGGCCAGCTTCGAGATTGCATAGTTGCCTGTTGGCGAGTATCTGGTTCTGTCCTCAATTGCACCGGTAGTCGATCCCAGCCGTGATGATGCACATCATTGACGAGACATTGATGACCTGTGCACCATGCTCAGCTGCCTTCAAGCAGTCAAGAAGTTGAGCTGTCAACACAAAATGGCCGATGTGATTGGTGCCGAACTGCATCTCGATGTCGTCCTTTGTCTGCGCATGCGGACATGCCATCACACAGGCATTATTGACCAAAATATCCAATGATTTGTACTTCCGCCTTGGAATTGCTCGACAAACTCATTGACTGACACCAGCGATGCGAGATCAAGCCTCATAACTTTGCAGTTATTTAATCCGGTTTGTCGCTCTAGATGGTCAAGTGCTTCCTGCGCGAACTCTGGGTTTCGACAGGCAAGCACAGTCTGATACCCAACACGAATCAGTCGCACTGGCAGTCACAAACCCGATACCCGAGTTGGCTCCAGTAACTATAGCTACATTTTGCTCTCCAGCGGTGTCTTCCATGTGAGCGTTACGGTAATCTATGAGAATACGGTCGATACGGCTTATATATGATGGTCCTGATACATCGGACTTTGGAGATGGCCCCATACATGTACTCTGGAATCCCTTGGGCAGCAGCACCAAACAGTAGCACCAACCTGTTATCCAATGTTTATCTTGGAATATGCTAGAGGGTGAAGCGAAACTCTGGAGTGGGAGGAAATTGGATTCAGTCTAACGAGCAGCGGACACCAGACTATACAGCAGCCCACAGCTGTAGTTCATTGTGTGCGTCCCTACTTGCAATTGAAAATTTTCTTTATTTCTTGCCAGTGGCTAATGGTGAATTGTGCAGGTAGACAGACAGTGCATTTGGGTTTATTACTGTTTACGACGACCACCAAAAGCCACCATTTATCCCAATATACCCTCATTAGCAGCGAAATCGGTCAACATGTGTGCATGCTGTCGATGCACTATGCAGAGCTGGCATCATGTCTGTGGCACATTGATAGCACTTGACTACATTGAAGGCTTTGACAGGTATTATTCAGATAACTATCATGAAGAATATGTGGTCATGCTATTACCTAACCATTGTTTCTGCTAACATAGGGTATATAGTGGCACAAGTAGTATGTCCCTTTCACATTAGCGCATGTGTTCTATTCACAATACATGTATTCCGAGCACCCTGGGTTTGTTTACGATGTGCTGTATAGGTTTGGCCCTTTTGGCATATTGTATAAGGGTACCAGGTCCTCCATACATCATCGTAGGGCGTCCATAGACAGTTCGCCTTGACATGCTCTCGCATTATTTCACCTGGAAACACGTACTGGCTGCAGACTTTGCATGTCGGCATCGTCTTATTCGTGCCGGATAGAGTTGTGTAGTAGGTAGTCAGTTTATTGGTAAGCGAGTGGTGAAAACTGGTCAAGACCACTGTTGGAATGCATTTGCCTGTATTTAACAGCTGTTGAATGATGTCTGGGTTCGGTGCATCAGTAAGTGATCTATCACTATATCACTCCTAGTTTCATCAAGACCAGGAATGCGGCTGTGGTTGGCAATTCTTTGCTTGGGCAGTTCCAATTTTTACGATAGTGAGTCTCAGCCACTTCTGGCAGCTAGTCATATTTTATATTCGCAGAATATAAAGCAGCCCAAATGGTGGACTCCCTGTCGTGAAGACAGCCTTTTTCACATTTTGCAAAAAGCAGTCTGACTTTTCGAACCACAGCTCCGTGAGCCATACCTTGACCTGCCCTATCAAGTATCTAAGCCATACCGGCATCACCCCGACTGATGTCTATGACTGGTGGTGGTCATCTGCGGTGCACAAAGGACAAGCTCTGGCTTTGCTGCTCATCACCAGGTGGTAATTGCGAATAAATAAAGCCCCCAGTCCAATCCCAGCTATGTATTGATATCACCAAATACGGCATATCCACGCTGGCAACCTCCATGTACAAAACCCTGCTTCTGCTGCTCTGTGGTGGGAGTGGACCTTCCATGTTTCTGATTTTTAAACTCATCGTGTACATTCAATATGATTCTGCAGATCAACAATCGATCTGACTACTTGCTATTTGTTTTGCTGGCAAGAGAGGCTAACGGTACACATACCCCATGAATCCAAGGCAGCTCACATTATATGGGGCTATTTGGCCCCACGCCGTATGTAAACTCCAGTCTGCAAGGGCATATCCTGATAATCGCTTCGTCATGACACTACCACCATATCACTAGGGGAAGGGCACAGCTAGATACTGGGGATGGCATGCTGGTCTACCGCACTGAGGAACTCGCAAGCGGTGGAAAAAGTCATGATCCCCGACATGGTGGGCAATGACCCGAGCATAGATGGGATCACCCATGGGTTAGACACTAGTACTCTGCAATTTTACCGCGACAAGGAGGAACACATATACCACAAGCCCACCAGGATGTAGAGTCATAGGCAAACGTCGAGAATTAGTGCTGGCACAGCGTACAGCACACTAATCCTGTATCCCTGGGAGTGATACCTGGATCTGTTGATTACATAAGGCAGTAACTGTTTCCATTTATATGTCGTAACTCTTAACAAAATCCGAAAAATAGCCACCGAAAGCACCAGGTATACTGGAAAAGGCCCTGTCAACATTTCTATAGCACTGGTCTGTTATTCCATTTTTCATATACAAACCCACTTCTTGTTAATGGCGCAATCATTCAGACTTTTTACATATGCAGTTGCTATCTTGTCGGCATTGCTGGTGCAAGTCAAGGCAGACTTTAACCGGTGTAATGCAAACGAGTGGCGCCCAGTGCTAAAGAAGGCATACCTGCAGCAAAAACACATGGGGCCGCCAGCCAACTTGTCGCAAAAGGTAACACCCAGATGCTGAAAAGCCTTTGCTGGAAAATCAGGTTACTAACTCTCGTTTCGATCTCTTCTAGAGGGTGCTTGAGGAGGAGCTACCCAAGCCGTACCGCATCGTCACGCCCTTCACACCTTACTCGCGCTATCGCACAACGCGCCGTCTGACTGTGTACGTGGACAAAAACAACATCGTCGAAGATGTGCAGTGCGAGTGATGATACGAAAAGCCCCTTCCACAAGTCACGTGGCTGGCTTTTGGGTGCGTAGCGTAAGACTGTCAAAATTCTGAGACACACAAAAGTGTCGCCACCTTTCCCTCCCTGCACGAAATTTCCCTCCGTTCTCCCTTCTTATTCATAGCTGTTTTTTTAACACAAATTCTTTTTGTTCAGTTTGTTTTGACCCGTAGAAGAGAATGGCATCAAAGGCAGCGTACAAGCGGCTGAGCAAAGAATACCTCGGAATGCAGCGCAATCCGACGCCGTACATTACGGCCAAGCCGTTGGAGAGCAACATTCTTGAATGGCATTACGTGCTACGCGGGCCGCCTGAGACACCATACGAGGGTGGCGAGTATCACGGTAGGTTTGAAAATAGGAAGGGATTTAGAGAGGGGGATTACTGCGCACGCTAGGGTGGATACAGCACACTCACAGTTTCTGTTCTATTTGCTAGGCCGGCTCCGGTTCCCTGCCGACTACCCGTACAAACCACCGGCGATTCAGATGATCACGCCCAGCGGACGATTCCAGACCAACACAAACATCTGTATGAGCATGAGCAACTTCCACCCAAACACATGGAACCCGGCGTGGTCGGTCTCAACGATCCTCAACGGCATGCTGTCGTTTATGGTCGAGGAGGAAGTGACCACTGGGAGTATCCGCACGTCCGAGGCCGACAGGCGGGCGCTAGCGCGCAAGTCGCACATGTTCAACATGGCAAACAAACTGTTTGTCGTTCTCTTCCCTGAGCTCTGCACGGCTCAAGCGGCCAGCCACAGGCGCCAGCCCTAGCAAGAAGCAGCCAGTCAGCGACGGAACAGAGGATCGCAGCTGCAGTAATGATTTGGGTCACAAGACCGCTGCCAGTGCCCCAGCCATGGAGGAAACGCCGGTTGCGCCAGGTGGGTGCGGCCCAGGCTGCAGCTGTGGCCGTGGCCAACAACCAGCGGTCGTGGCTGGCGGTGCCGACGCTGTCGAGCAAGTGGGTCATTCTGATTGTTGTGCTAGCATATGTCTTTGCGTCCAAGGTTGTTACGCGGCTGTTGACTGCCGCCTAAGACCCACGTCTCCTCCCCTCCACTTTCTCTGTACTTGTGTGTGTTCGCCATCCACCCAAATCCATTTACCAAATAAATTGCCCACTGCTTCTATAGCTGTTCGGCCAGCATATTCTTGAGGATTGGATGTCTGTTGAGCATGGCGCTGCCTGCAGTCTGCACAGCAGCCTTCTTGGCCTTCCCGCGCGCCCGGGCATCGAGCAAGCACTGCGCCTCGGCGAACACCTGGTCAGCCTGGATATCCACCACCGCGTTTGCTTCGACCAGTATCCGCAGCATTTCTGCAAACAGCGGCGATCTCAGCAGCGTGGACTTGGATCCAACCATGAGCAGCTTGCGCTTGGCGCGGGTAATGGCCACGTTGATGCGGTGCCAGTCGCGCAGCAGGTCGCCGATCGCCTGGGCGCCGTTGCTGCGCACCCACGAAATCACAATCACATCGGCATCGCGGCCTTGGTACCGATCAATCGTGTGCACATCCAGGCCTGGAATCCGCAATGTCGACGATTCAGATACGTCGCCCAAAGGCTCCCGGACCAGCTGGTGCTCATTCTCGTCGGCCATCCCAATCCCGAACTCAATCTCAATCTGCTTCAGCTGCGCACGATACGGCGACAAGACTCCAATCTGGCTGCCTTCAATCCCACATGCCCGCAGAGTGTTGACCAGGATCCTGATGACGTTGACCTCAGAGTTGTTCTGCACCAGGTCGCTGCCCTCCACGCGCGTCTCCAGCCCTGGAATTGCATCGGTGTTCAGAAACACCGCACCGCACTTTGGATCCAGAGCCTCAGTAATCCAAGGCATGGAAAACCCTTTGCTGGGCTTTCTTCTGCCTAAACGGCCACTGTGCCAGTGCCTCTGCCGGATCTGCTGGGTACTCGATCCTCCGGCAGGCCACCTTCAGCGAGCCACACCGCAGATGCCCGTCATACACTAGCCGGTTCGCCAGCTGCTGGATATCAGAGTTCATGCGGTACTGGAACCCGAGCTGGACGACTGCCAATGGGTGCGCCTCACACAAGCGCTTAAACAGCGACGTGCCAAGCCCTAAATCGCGCGCTGCCGCATTGCGCACCAAGGGCGGCAGCTGGTGGTGGTCACCAACCAACACAAATCTGTGTGCTGCCAGCAAGGGGCCTAGACAAACCGGCAGAGTGATCTGGGATGCCTCGTCTACAATGCAGTAGTCAAACTTGCGGATGGCAAACAGCGGGTGCGAGACGCCCAGGCATGTCGCTGGCCACCACCGGCGCCTTGCGGAAGTATGCATCTAGCTGATGGACTGACGCCAGGTTAGCATGCGAGGGTGTGTACTTGTGGATACGCGTATCCACCTTTGCTGTATTCCCAAGCCGCACAAACGGCACTTTGCGCTCATCCAGCTTCAGCAGGATATTATCTACTGCCACATGCGTGTATGACGCCAAAAGCACAGACTTGCCCAGACTCACGAGCACGATCTACCAGTGCCGCAATTGTTGTCGTCTTGCCTGTGCCCGGCATGCCCATCACCAGCGCATAGTCCTCCGCTGCCAGCACCCTGCGCATCACGCGAATCTGGCCCGCATTAAGATTGTCTGCCTGCTGCGCTGTCGCAATTCGCGCCTCGATGCTCTCGTCCAGTGCTACAAAGGACGGCTGCTCGAGATCCACAATCCGCGCTCTTGCTACCCTGTCTCCATTTCTCTCAACAAACATGCGCATTATGTTGGCACGGATCCGGCTCATGCCGGTACTCATTTCGTCCTTGTCGAGTCGGAACGTCGTTTCATCAGTCACTGGCCCGTCAGGGACTGGTGGATGGATCACAGTTTCGTCCTCCTAGACCGCAGGCTGTACGTCTAGTTCTGATTTCCATTATCGATGCGAAGTCCTGATTCCGCTGCGCGTCGAACCCACCCAGTCGCTGTGGAATCCCGCGTACCGGCAAATCAATGACAACCACCACCCGGTTAAACTCGAATGACGATATGTACCCAAGCGCAAAAGCAAAATGTCCCTTTTCCGATGAAACAATAATCGGATCCCCCACCGACAGCTGGCTATCAAGCATAGATGCACGCTGCTCACCGCCCGCAGGAACAAACGCCTGCCTGTATCGGCTGTACGACCCAACTATGCCCGAGTCTTCGAAGCTGCCAGGCTCCAGGACCATGTTCGCTAGGCATCTGCCGGTCTGTGCCTCTCGCTGCCCCGCAGACATCTTCCACAGCTCCGACCGGAAGCGCTGCATATCTGACTCCTCCCCATCAATCAGAGCCATCCAATTGCGCACAAACGCCAAGTGGCTCTCGGCAAGATGGCTCACTGCTGGCTCCCACATCGCCGCAGGCACCTTTGCAGACTTGAGCGTGCCGTTTTCCATCGCCCTGTGCACCACAAAGCATGTAGGCGCAAAGCTGCAGTGCTTGCACGTAAATTCATTGCCGATGGGTGCTGGTAGCGGCCGCGGCGTCTGGTGTGCATGGGCAATATACGTTGTCATTTCGTTACGAGCCGCCATCAGCCCCTGCATTTCCTCAACTAGCCGCGGCACACGGAGCACATCGTTTGGACGCGGGTAGTATAGAATCCCGCTGCCGATATCCACGTCGTAGCGGTCAGACAGCAGCAGCGTATATAGCACAAGCTGTGCACGATGAGACGCGTTCTGGCTATTTCGTCCCGTCTTCAGCTCCATCGGCTCCACCAGCGTTGTGCCATCACGGTACTTTGTCTGTATGGTTAGATCTATTTTGCCGTTCAGGCCAAACTTTGGCGACCACACATTCTCTTCGATCGCCAGCACCTTGGAGATCGATACCGCGTTGTCTACATCCTCACCCCTGGATGCGTTGCTGCTGAGCGTGAATGGCGCACCTTGCTCTGCCGACCCATGCATGTACTTGCGCGCCCAGTCCTGATAGATGCCCTTGCACTCGATGACTTGCTTGAATGCCGAATTCTCATCGATCCCACACTCCCACAGCCGCTCCAGGCTGCTGGCTATCAGCTGCCACACAGTCTCCTCGATTGCCTTGTCATCCCACTGGTTCTTCTGCGCGCAGCTCTGGAACAGGTCGTGTAGCAGCGTGCCAATCAGCATCACTGGTGTCATTGGTCCATCGTCACGAATTTCCTGAACGCGGTCACGCAGAACAGCCCTCCGAATACATGAATATGCATCCGACAAGTGTGTGCTCGATACAAGGGTATCTGGATGCAGAATCGGCATCAGATGGTGCGATGAGTCGTCGATAACCACCTCTGTGGATCTTTCGGGGATCGTGCCCACAATATTCATGTAGTCGCCCACACGCACTGGCGTTGGATACCACCGTCCACGCAGCAGCACTGTGCGTTCCAAGCTAGCGGTCTGCGAGTATATCCGCACAACCTTTTGTGCCCGTGCCCCTGAGGACATACTCTCTGCATACAGCTCTACCGACGTGTACCGCCCCTCAGTCACTTGTAGTACCAAGCAGCGCTCATAGGTTGCAAACGGATAGCCTCTCTTCACTGGATCCCTAGGTTTGATGTCTTGCTCTACATCATCATCCAGGCCGTCCAAGAGCTCGTCAACACCCATGTCGAGCATATCCAGGCAGTCATCCACATCAACAGTTTCGGTAGCTGCTGCGGTATTGCTCTTCGCGCCTGGCTCCTGTTTAGCGGGCTCATTGCGCTGGCTTTGCGACTCTCCCTTGACCGACCCGCTCGTCTGGAGTTGCAGCTGGTCCACCACTGTCTCAGTGTGCGACTTGGCATCGACATGCGGTTCCCTTGGTGACGCTGTATCCACATTTTGTGTCGATACCGAGCTACATGATTCCTGCTCGCCATTGTCATCAGCCGAGTCATCATCAATAACAATCGGCTTGTTGTGCAATAGGCTGGACAGCAGCTCTCGTTTATCAAATTGTCGGGCACTACGTGACATTGCTAACGGCCTTGGAATGGCCCGCAGCCGCCGTTTCGCTACTGGTGTCAGCTGCTCGCTCGCTGACACCTCAATCACATCGTCGTCAAGTGGCAACGCATCCCCTACAAGCTGCTGCTCCAAGCCTGACATCGATCCTGTACGGGATCGCTCTCCCAGCATCCGCGGCCGTCTACCAGGCCGTGTCGGCGAGAATTCATTGGCCATCTGCCGCTGCACCTGCTCGGCATTGCGCATCTCTATCAGATGCTGGATTATTGTGTTGCCTTGCTGCTCGCTCTCGGGGCCTGCCACCGAGCCGCGCGCCCGGATGACGTTCTGCAAGGTGCCATTCGGCGACATGGTTTGCCAGCGGATCAGGTCATGGGAGCTGGTTGCGGGGCTTGTGGCGGATGTTGCGCTGTGGTGCCGCTGTGGTGTGGTTAGAGAGCCCATGCGTGGGGGCGGCAGGGGCACGCTGGAGTGGGAGCTGCTGCCGGTGGCTGTCGAGTCGTCGGTCCTCCGCAGCCGCTTGTTTGGGGTTACAAACCGGTCATCGTCTTCGGTACTCATTTTTCCTTGACGTACTGAATTCGAATGAAATAATGAAAGAAAATAAATATGTGAAATATAGGCGAAGGAGATAGACCAGCTATAATTCTGCGCAGCCGGGGATTTGTTGTGTCACGGCGCGACTCTCGGTTTCGGGATTTGGTGATTATTAGTGGATTAGGCGGTATTGTCATCTGGCTAGGTGGCACTGGTGGCGGCAGCCTGGACAGTGGCCTTTGCAACAGACTCGACATCATGCCGCATCTCAGCACCTGTGGGCTCCTATTTTGGTTGGGCAACATGTATCGCACCTAACATCTGCTTGCCAAGAATACCAAGACACTGGTGGAACCCACATGGGAGGTTAATCGTTCATGTGGCTACAGCTTTGATGTTTGCTCCCAGCAAGACCATTTCACCCATTGACATGCGCAACTATACTGAAAGCACAGGAGACCAACACAAGCTTGGCTTATGTGATGCACGGACACATTTGAGTTCTTCATATTGCTATGCTCTCCTACAGCTACAGCCGACTCAAGGTTAGAGACATGCGAGGGCATTTCGATGGAATCGGGCCCTTGTGGAGTCTTTGTTGAGAAGGTGGCTGGCAGTATACCCATTAGGCCACGCATCAAGGGTCAGAGCGGTGGCAAGCATTCGCTGTTTGGCCACCTGCGCTTTGTCTCTGTGGCTGACCCGGTGCATTCCAAAATGTATAGGCAATCTAGATCTATCAAAGGGATTCTTCGTGTGCGAAGTTTTCCCGCACCCAGCAGTCACAGTCACAGATGGCCTGGCGAGGGAGTTCAGGAAATGATGTGGAGGATCTCTGCGGAGACATCCATCCTAGGTGCAAGCGCTTCCTTTCGCCTTCCGGCTCTCTGCATTAGGAGAGGTAGGCTTTTGAAGTCCAAGTAGGCAGGTGCCTGTTGGGGAGGTGGGATTGCTGTCTTCTACACATGGCGGAATTGCAGATGGCTTGAGTAGAGATCTGGCAGGAGAGCCGAGCTGCAGAGTATAGTGGGGTTGATCAGCGGCGGGGCAGGCGGTAGTCAAGGCCTAGTGATGGGGATTGGAGCCAGCCCATCTGGACAGTGGACTGCCGGAGTCCTGCAGTCGCTAGCGAGGGGAGAAGACCAACTCCGCATCAGCTCACCCTGCGACGGCCGATGCATGCGGCCTGTCGTCCACTTCAGAAAGCGTGATCGGGAATGCTGTTGGTGGGTTTTTGCACTACACAGCAGGCAGAGCAAATCCGCTGCCGAGTTTTTTACGGCGTCCTCCCCTCCCCAAAAAACCACAGCTCGACGCTTTCCTTCTTAACCACCCTTGCTTCTCTAGATTGATATTGCTCAACTTGTCCTTCTAATTGTCTCCTCTTTTCTTCACGCTTATACTCTAAGGCGCAGGTCCACCAAGAGGCATAACGGCTGGTTTCGCTTTTTATTTTATTTCTTTATTTATTTTGTGCTTCCAGACCCTCGTTTTGCGAGCCCAAGGATTACACAAACAAGGAACTGTTTTTTTTTGGCGCTTTCCGATATTTACTAGTCGCCAGGCTCTAAGAAACGCAGACGAGCCCTCATCGATTTTTACTCCTGGCCCCATTCCGTCCCCTTTCTTCTCTCCTGAGCCACTGTCAGAGAACCAAACCTCTCTCCCTTTCGCCTCTATACACCACCATCGATTCGCCATTCTTCCGGACTCTTGGGCAGTAACAAAACAAGCATGGCTTGCACCGAGCAAACAAGTCGAGTATTCGCGGGCAGAGGTGGCCAAGCACGACACTGGCAAGTCGCTGTGGGTGATCCGCGCAAACCAGGTGTTCGACCTGACGACGTTCTACACGGACCACCCGGGTGGCGCCGAAATCATTGAGCAGTTTGGCGGGCAGGATATCACAGGAGGCGATGCGCGACGGCGACATCCACGTGCACGCGCTGCAAGCATACCGCGTGCTGAAGGACTTTTACATTGGCGAGGTGATGGCGGAGGACCGGCAGGCGGACAGCCCGCCGGGGGGCACGGACGAGATGGAAATGGTGGAGGAGGACAAGTTCCTGGACATCCACAAGCCGCTGTTTATACAGATGTGGAACTCCAAGTTCTCCAAGGAGTTTTATATCCAGGAGGTGCACAAGCCGCGGCATCTGCCGCAGCCGGCGGTGTTCTTTTCCAACCCGGTGCTGGAGACGCTGACGCGCACGCCGTGGTGGTTCATCCCCATATACTGGACGCCCATCATGGTAACAATGTTCACGCTGGGCCTGCGGTACGAGCCCGTCAATGTGATGCTGGTCGGGTTTGTGTTTGGCATGCTGTCGTGGACGCTGGCCGAGTACAGCATCCACCGGTTCGTGTTCCACTACGACGAGGGAATCCCTGAGGGCACGCTGGCGCAGGTCGCGCATTTCCTGCTACATGGAGTGCACCACTTCTTGCCCATGGACCAGCTGCGGCTCGTGATGCCGCCCGCGCTATCGACGTTCCTGGCCGTTCATATCCTGGCGCTGCTGACGCTAATCTTCACGCCCGGCATGCTGCATGCCGTCGGCTGTGGACTGATCACTGGGTATGTGCTGTATGACGAGTGCCACTACTGGCTGCACCACGGAACCACCAAGAACGAGCGCCTGGCGTACCTGAAATCGTACCACCTGCGCCACCACTACAAGGACTACAAGTCCGGGTTCGGCATCACCAGCGACTTCTGGGACAACATCTTTGGCACCAACTTTTGCGACCCCGAGTACTGAAAAGCAGCGTGCTCCATAGCTTTTTTTCATCTTTTGAGCTCTACACTAATTTTTCCACCTCATCTCCCAGCTCCAGGCCTGCTGTCTTGGCTTCGGTCCGCATCTTCCGGTTCTGGACTGGAAGATAAACAAGCCGCCGTGATCGTGATCCCAATCGGTAAATACCGCGGGTCCGATCAGATCTGTCTGATTGCCAAGGACCAATCAGTGCCTGAGACGTCTTCGCTTGGGCGGAGCTCGGATCGTCCCAGGCTGACCCGCCCAGCAGGCGCGCGAACAGAGAGACAGGCGGCTGTGGCAGGTGGGCTGAGCTCTGGCCGCATTCCCTTGTATTCTTCTCCTTTCCTCTCCCACCATTATTCCAGTCCCCGTACTTTATATATTTTTTTATTGCGAAATAGCCATCTGCCGCAATGGGATTCCGTTTCCTGACGCTCATCCGGCCGTTCATGGCCATCATTCCCGAGGTGGCCGCGCCCGACCGCAAGGTTGCGTTCAACCAGAAGGTCCTGTGGACTGTAATTACCCTGCTCATCTTCCTTGTCCTGTCTCAGGTTCCGCTGTACGGCATCATGTCGTCTGACTCGTCCGACCCGCTCTACTGGATGCGTGTCATCCTCGCCTCCAACCGCGGCACGCTGATGGAGTTCGGTATCACTCCCATCATCACCTCGGGCATGATCATGCAGCTGCTTGCTGGCGCCCAGATCATCGAGGTCGACTATTCGCTGCGCGAGGACCGCGCCCTGTTCTCGGGCGCGCAGAAGCTGTTTGCCATGCTGATCACGTTCGGCTCTGCCACAGTGGCCGTGATGACCGGCCAGTACGGCGACCCCAAGAGCCTCGGTGCCGGTATCTGCCTGCTCCTGATCATCCAGCTGTTTGTGGCCGGCGTGATCGTGATTCTGCTTGACGAGATGCTGCAGAAGGGCTACGGTCTGGGCTCGGGCATCAACCTGTTCATTGCGACCAACATCTGCGAGGACATTGTGTGGAAGTCGCTGTCGCCGCTGACGGTGAACAACGGCAAGGGCCCCGAGTTCGAGGGCGCCATCATTGCCTTCTTCCACCTGCTGTTTGTGCGCTCCAACAAGTTCAAGGCCGTGTGGGAGGCCGTTTACGCGCTCGACCCTGCCGAACCTGACGAACCTGATCGCCACCGCGCTGGTGTTTGCCGTGGTCATCTACCTGCAGGGCTTCCGCGTCGAGATCCCCGTCAAGTCGGCACGGTTCCGCGGCCACCGCGCGTCGTTCCCGATCAAGCTGTTCTACACGTCCAACATGCCGATCATGCTCCAGTCGGCGCTCGCGTCGAACGTGTTCATGATCTCGCAGCTCCTGTACCGCCGGTTCCCCGACAACCTCCTTGTGCGCCTGTTTGGTGTCTGGGAGCCGTACCAGGGCTCGTCGCAGTTCTTCCCCACCTCGGGCATCGCCTACTACATGACGCCGCCGCGCTCGGCCGTCAGCACGCTCAAGGACCCGATCCACTTTGCCCTGTATGTGACGTACATGCTGACGGCCTGCGCGCTGCTGTCGCGCACCTGGCTCGATGTGTCTGGCTCGGGACCGCGCGACGTTGCGCGTGAGCTGCGCGAGCAGCAGACGGTGATCGCCGGCTACCGCGACACGTCGATGTACAAGGAGCTGAAGCGCATCATCCCGACCTGCTGCTGTGGTCGGTGGTGTGATCATTGGTATTCTGTCGATCTCGGCTGATCTGCTTGGCGCCATTGGCTCGGGCACCGGTATTCTGCTGGCCGTCACCATCATCTACAACTACTTTGAGACCTTTGCGAAGGAGCAGGCCGAGCTTGGCGGTCTGGGTGTTGGCGGCATGTAAAAACAGCCCCCTCTATCTTTTTTATTAGCAACTTGAATAAGAAGCACTCTTTCATTTGGAAGCCTTGAGTGTGGACGGAGCATAGGCAGTCTTGAGCGACGGAGTCAGGCCAAACTCGAAAAACAGCTGCGCGATGACTGCGTTGTGATGCACCATATGGTGAACGCAGAACCAGAGCTCCCTGCCCACAGTCGACATGAGCGCAACCTCGCTGCCGCTGCTCATGACGTCGACAACCTCAATGGCCTCGCCTGCCTCCACCCCCTGCTTCCTCAGGCCCTCCGCACACGCCACCGCCTGGCGGATCGCCTCCAGGCCGGCCTGGACATCGCTCTCGGTGGACACATTGCGGATGCGCTGGGCGTAGTTGACGCTCATGGTGTCCGCGTTGCAGCCGCTGTCTGTCGAGGCATTAGGAGGAGAGTGCAGTGGAACAGCAGGTTGAAGTGATCCAGAATGTGGCGGACGTGCTTGCCTATCGTGCTGCCAGGCAGTGCTGACGAGTCGCGCGTGTATGTGGAAGCGTCGAGTCCATGGATGGTCTGTGTGAGCTGCGCCAGTGTGGTGGTTGCGCTGTCAAAGAGCTGGTCCGTTGTGTTGGAGTCCATGGCGAAGGAAAAGCAATAGGCGAAATGGTGTCAAGGGTTTGGATAAAGGAGAAAAGAGAAGAGGTGGTCGCAGACCTTGCAGACAAGGCTAGGTGTGGTGGTGGGGAAAAGGATTGGCCGAACCTCCAGAAACAAACAAGCGCACATAGTCTTTTCTCTCTCACTCTTGCTCACGAGGGCGTGCCTCGTCAATGCTCAGGTGCTCTTTTAAACAGCGCCTTGCTTCCCCTGAAAAGGCGCTCTATTTCCAAAAAAGGGGGCAGGAGGTGGACTCTGCATTGATCCCATACGCCCAGGCCCCGTGCTGTCAAGCACTTGCATGAGCCACTGCAGTTCACTCTCTCACGTCGCTCAGGCCTCTCTCGCATTCAAATATTTGCCATGTCTACCAAACACACAACAACAGTCGAAGATGCACACACAGACATTCGCGAGCACGCGCAGGCCATCATCGGTGACCTGGGCTCGCTCGCACACGAGTCCTCCGGCGGCAATGAGGTGCGCGACAACCTAGCAAAGGCAGCAAAGCTGACCTGTGTCCCTGGACGCGTCAATCAGGGACGTGCAGCAGGCACTGGCGACTGCGCAGGGGAACATCTCGCGGCTGGCAGAGAAAGTCGATGAGGCGAACGAGCAGTGGCGGGCGCTGGCGAAGACCACGGATATCGTCAAAATCTCAACCGGGCAGCTGGGTGGTGACACATTTCCGCACCACTGAAGCTCTACTTCACCTGCAGCCTGTGCATAATCTTGCTGATATTTTTTTTTCTCTCGTTTTTGGGTCTGCATTCCACTTTTGCCTTTTTTGCAATTCAATTTTGGGCAGTTTTCTCTCTCGACATGGCAGACACGTCGCGACGGCTTTTGATCCTCTATGGCTCGCAGACCGGCTACGCCGAGGACGTCGCCCGGCGGATTTCGCGGCAGGCCTGGCGGCGGCATTTCACCACAGAGGTTCTCGCCATGGACGAGGCAGACCGAAGCCTCGTGTTCACCACCGAGGCGCCAGTTATTTTTGTGTGCTCCACCACAGGGCCAGGGCGAGGAGCCAGACAACATGAAGAAGTTTTGGCGGTTTTTGCTGCGCAAGAGCATCCCTGGCTGATGCCCTGGCCGGACTGTCCTTTGCGGTGTTTGGGCTGGGAGACTCGAGCTACCGCAAGTTCAATTTTCCAGCAAAGCGGCTATTCCGCAGGCTTCTGCAGCTGGGCGGCACGCCAGTGGTGCCGCGTGGCGATGGTGATGACCAGCACTACCTGGGAACCGACGGGGCATTGGATCCGTGGCTGGAGGAGCTGTGGGAGGAGCTGCTGCTGACGTATCCGATGCCGCAGCCGATTATCCCCGACTCGGTCACACCCGATCCGACCTTTGACATTTCGTTTGTGGACTGCGATGTCTCTGAACTGCACAAGACAGAGAGCACGCCGGAGAATTTTGCCAAGGCTGACGCATGCAGAGCGGATCACCGCCGAGGAGCATTTCCAGGACGTGCGGCATTTCCGGTTCGAGCTCAGCGAGCCGGCGCAGTGGAGCCCCGGCGACTGTCTGGTGGTGCGGCCGAGCAACCAGGCGAAGGACGTGGAAGAGTTTCTGGAAGCTGGTGCAATGGACCTGAGAACGCAGGACCGGCCGATCCGCGTGGTTTCGCGGTCCAGCATGCCCACGTGGCTGCCGCAGCTGACGAACGCTGCGCTGGCTGTGTACAAACTACCTGGGGATAGCAATGGTCCCGCGGCGGTCATTCTTTGAGCTTATGGCGTATTTTGGCGGGAGCGCGGACGAGACAGAGAAGCTGCAGGAGTTTGCCAGCACGCAGGGCCAGGACGACCTGCACACATACTGCATGCGGCCGCGCCGCACCATCATTGAGGCGCTGGGCGATTTCCCAAAGACGCGTCTGCCGCTGTCTCATGTCATGGATATTGTGCCGAGCATTGCCGAGCGCTCGTTCTCGATCTCGTCGGCGGCAGCGGTGACCCCGCGGGCAGTGGATCTGACGGTGGCGATTGTGGATTACAAGACCATGATGTATAAGCGCCGGGTAGGCCTGTGTACGCAGTGGCTCAAGCACATGCCATATCGGCACACGTGTGCCCGTGCGTTTTGCGCGCGGCACGATGGGGTTGCCGCAAGACCTCGAGACACCGGTGATCATGGTGGGGCCTGGAACAGGCATTGCTGCGTTCATGGCGTTTATCCGGCACCGGCAGCACCAGGGTGCCACGGCCAACTATCTGTTCTTTGGGTGTCCGCAGCCACGACGCAGATTACTTCTATCGGGAAGAGCTGGAGTCGCTGCAGAGCGATGGGGCGCTGCACCTGTTTTGTGCGTTTTCGCGTGATCCAGGACCACAAGGTGTATGTGCAGCACCGGATCCGAGAGAATGCTGCCACGCTGTGGCCGCTGATCAGCGAGATGGGTGCGGATCGTGTATGTGTCGGGGAATGCGAACCAGATGCCCGATGATGTCCGCCGCGCGTTTGTGGATGTGGTTAAGGAGCAGGGGCAGGTGGACGAAAGTGAGGCCGAACTCTTTATTGATAGCATGGTCAAGACTAGGCAGTACCAAGAAGAGTGCTGGGAGTAGGCTATAGACGCGTTTATACATATCAGGACCATCCTTTCCATCCAACAATACACCGGTGTCACCATACGTAGTCCTCGTAGTCGTCCGAAGACTCCTCCTCGTGCAGAATGTCCCGCTCATCCGATGAGTAATAGAACTTCTCGACTATACAGTTGCTGTGCTCTTTAGTACACGCTTCGTACAACATTGTGGGCACCATCTAGCCATGCACTTACCTTCGCTATTAAAGTCTGGCTCATCAGGGTAGTCGTTCGTGTAGTAGTCTTCGGCATTCGAGTCCTCGTCATCGTCATTCCCATCGTCGCTCTCTCTGTTGTTGACAAACTCCTCTGCGTCGTCAATCCACAGCACCGATCCCACATTCCCGGTCCTCAGCACATTCGGATCGAGTCCCGCCGGGTGGTTCTTCAGGATATAGTAAAAGTCGTACACGTACTCGGGCTTTGTCTGATTAAACGACAGGTAGTCGCGTACCATCGGCAGTAGCTGCTCCATGATCGCCTCCTCCTTTGTCGTCGCTTCACTTGTATCCATCGGCGTGCCTAGCGATCCAGATGGCTTAGCAGGCCGCGTTTCCATGATATCGTCTTCATTGATTGCATCAAACATATTGATATCGCTGGTCTTCTCCAGGTCCTGCTGCCGCAAACACCTGTGGGATCCCGTAGTCCTCCGACTGGTGCGGCGTCTGCGGAATGTCGCTCAGAAGCTTGATCCGCCGCTTCCCAAGCACCCGCAGCTTCGGCTGCTTCCCAGTTGCTGCCAGGATCTTCCGCTGCGCCTTAGCGCTCTCCCTCTGGGCCTCTTCCGCTGCCTGCCGCCGCCTCTTCCTTTTGCTCTTTGGAGAGCTGAATTAGCCGGCTGCTTAGTGCCTTTTGCTCCTCGGGGTCGGCAAATTGCGCCTCGGATATCGTCTCTCCCAGCTGGAAGTATAGTGGCGAGCCACCTGGTGCTGAGGCCGGCGCCGGTGTGCTGTGACGGGAGTCAGGTCGGTCCGTGGTCCTGCCGAATAGGTCAACGCTGCTGGCAACGCGCTTGCGCAGGTGCTGGTCGATGACTAGGGCGCCCATCGGCTGCTGGTCGCGCGGCCGCTTGACGCGCAGGATCGTTACTGACTGCTTGCCACCAAGTGCCGGCTGCGAGTACTGCATTTTGTTGTGCTGAATTGCGGTGGGTTTAAATAGAAAAGTAAGTCAAATTCAAGCTCTTAAATAGAGAGAACCGAGACGTGACGTATCAACTTTTTTTTTTCCTCTTGGTGATCAAAAGTAACATCAAAGCGTGGATTAACGGATTCGGACCATTGGATGTGCCGAAAATGAGCCAGTCACTGGACGATGGCACACCAGCTCTCTTTCCAGCCTGACAAATACTTGCAGATATGGTGTGAGCGCAAAGAGAGGCCATTAAAATACTTGATTGGTGGCCCAAGGCTAATATATTACCTGCACCAGCTGTCTGACAAGCATATATATCAACGAAATGCTCCTCTTTTCCCAAAGCACAAAATCACCCATGTATATACTGCTGGCCAATGCCACTCACTAGTCGCATCCACCCCGACAGCCACATATACACGAGCAATACACCCATTTTATCTGTGCCAGATTGTTAATAGCAGCGGACATTCACATATAGCAGCTTGCTTGAGTCTTTTTGCAGACTAGTTAGGTTTATTCCAGAGCCGTCATGTTCGTTTTTCAACATGTATCCCTTTGCTAACACGGTCAAGTCCCAGACCTTCAGGCTTACCTCATTTGATGCTATAGTATCGCATATTAACACGTCATTTGTAGCGTTCTACAAGAACAACACCTCCGATGGCGAGGACTTTGCCTCTGATGATATCATTACAGCAGCCTTTTACAAGGCACTTGTCCATTTCCCAATCATGGCAGGGGAGCTGGTTCAGCGGAATGACGGTAGGTTCGAGATTGTGGTCGACAAACCCAAGCTCAATATGCCCAACTACCGCATGTCGATAACAGACGATGTCCATTTTGGCCCTGTACAATCTGCGAAATTCAGCCCCCCTGCCTGGCCAAAGGGCCTGGCAACTGCTGGCGCCATTGCGGTCGCAAATCCCCAGTCTAACCAGCTCCATCTCATGCATGCCCATGTCGTGCGCTTCAAGGAAAACAGTGGCGCTGCTTTCTTTGTCAACATTACCCACGTTGTTGGCGATGCATCCTGCTGTAGAGCATTTGTGCAGGTCTGGGCCAACTACATGCGTGAACTAAAAATAGGCAGGGCAGCCGTTAAACTGCCGCTTCTCTTTGGCCGTGCGGTCTTCCAAAAGTGCATCCCATCTGAGCGCATGCCCCTGGATGATATGGCCCACGCATTCCTTACTCAGCCTAATCCCAAGGCTGAGAAGTTTGCTCGGCTCTCTTCTAATGACTGCAGCATGCTGGTTTTGAAAAGATACAACAGCATTGTGACCGTCGCAGTGGGCTATTCAGAGTAGATAGAGCCAAGCTGAATGCACTCGTGGACAGGGTGAATGATGCTATGCCCGAGGGAGTTCGACTATCAGCTAACGATGTCTTGACTACACTGATCTCAAAGTCACTTGCTCAGGCAATTAGGGATACTTCACGCGGTTCTTCTTCAGCTTCTGGCAGCAGCAACGTTCTTGACATGCAAAATGTGGGTTCCCTTGCGATGTTCGCCAGCGTTTGGGAATACCCATCACATACATGGGGAATGTGCTATATCAGATTTTAACATACAACTCCATTGAGCAAGCAGAATCGCCGATCACTCCCAAATCAATTGCTGAAATGGCTGTAAATCGCGCGCTGCACTTGGTGCTGCAACAGCACCGCTTATCACGCAGCTATACGACACGCTTGAAGCTGATCCTACTCGCTTCACACGCCCGCTGATAGTGGACAATATGTTTAAGAACACTTTCACGATCTCCAACCAAAGCCGTGTTCCACTCTATACACCTGATTTCGGCCACTGGATGCCCGAGTTTGTATCCTTGAGCCCCGAATTCCAGCTGGGATGTGATATGCATTATACCTGTGCACCCTCCTAGCAACGACCTCCATGTCGCCTTTGCCGAGTCAGAGGCGGTCCTTGGACATGTCTGCATGAACAAGGCATGGGCAAGCATTGCTGAGACAGTGTACTGAGCAAGCAATTGCCGTCTCTTGCAAGCTGTACAGCAGAGATATTTCGCCGCCAGTCATCTTTCCGGACTAGCCTTTTCCTCTATTTTCCCTAGCAATACATATCTCGTTTCTGATTGACTAGTGGTGCAAGAAGGCATGTATCTTCCACCAGCGATAATATCCAGAGTTGCTGTGCTGGTTATTGTGCATTTGGCAGTTGTTCCAGCACCGCCCAAAACCATGCAACTCGAGCCTTCGCACAAAAAAAGCGTGCAGTAAATCATAACATGTGTTCTCCCTGCAGCACCAGTGGATTTTTTTTGCGTTCATTCTACCACCTACCATCTAATATATTCTAGCTTATGTGGCGAGCAAGGTCGTTCTATCTGGCGCTTCTAGTTGCACGCGTCGCATTCTCGGTGCTCCCGGCGTATATCCACCCAGATGAGCTATTTCAGGCGCCAGAGGTTGCGGCCAACGACATATTTGGGCTAGAGGCAGTGCGAACATGGGAGTTTGACCCACAGGCGCCGATCCGGTCCAGCGTGCCAATCTACATATACGCAGGATTTCCGATGCTGCTGGTCAAGATCGCACAGCGGATGCTGCTTGCTCTGTTTGGGTACCGGCTCGAGCTGACATCGCAGCTGCTGTTCTGCGCGCCGCGGGTATTCATGGCCCTCCTGTCGTTTCTGGTCGATGCCAGCATCTATGACACCCTGAAGCGGCTGAATCCCACAGCGCGAATGACCCCGACGATGATTCTGGTTGCGAGCTCGTACTGCCTTGCAGTCTTCCACACGCATACGTTTTCCAACTCGTTTGCGTCGATTGTCCTGGCGTTGTGCTTCAATCTGCTGGCGCGGATTGAGCAGGCATGCGTGCCTACAGCAAGTTCGTCCCAAGCTGAGCTGGCCACACACGGGCAGCTGATAAAGCTGTCCATCCTCTTCGGGGTTTGCGTGGCACTGGGCACCTTTGGACACATTGCCTTTGCGGCATTCGCGCTGCCGCTCTGCCTGGTATGCGCCGCGATACTGGTAAATGCAGTGTGGACTGACACAGTCGGTTTGCGGTGTGCGCTCGGTGCTTTTTCGGGGGTTGCGGTTGGCGGAATTGGATCGCTCTTGGCAATTACTCTAGCGGACTCTGTGTACTTTGGATTGCTAAAGGTGGGTGCTACCGGTGTATCGGGATCACTGACATGCACACTGCTGAACAACCTATCGTACAACACGAAGAAAGACAACCTGGCCGAACATGGGATCCACCCGTGGTACTTGCACGCGACAACGTCGATGCCAACGTTGTTTGGGCCGCTGTACATCCTGGCCATAGCCAAGCTGTGGGCATTTGCAAAGTCGTCAGCAGCCAGAGCGGAGACGAGCTACACCTCGGCTGCAGCTGCATTATCAGTTGTAGTTGGGGTCGGAGCCATGTCGATGGTGCCGCACCAAGAACCACGGTTCCTGCTGCCAGCATTCACTGGAATGGTGCTTTGCACTTGGCGCTGGCATCGGCTGGCGCCTGATTACTTTTGGATCCTATGGCTAGTATTCAATGTGTTGCTGAGCATTGGCTATGGCGTGGTGCACCAGTCAGGCGTCGTACCGATGCTCGATTACTTATCACGGACATCGGTGGCCCGATCAGCAGTTTGTACAATGGCGGCCAGGGATAGCCATGGTGCATTGTGCGCGGCTTCACCGGCAGCTGCAGGCGACCAGCGGATGACTACCAGGGTACTCATCTTTGCGACATACATGGCCCCTAGGCACTTGCTCGTACAGCCAGAGCAAAAGGACCAGTGGCAGGCCCGCATCGAACTGATCGATCTTGTATCGGTTACCGACAAGCAGGTTCCAAGATATGCTGCGTAGCTCAGTACAGGTAGATCACCCGACAGCCACACTATCTGCTGCAGAAGGACCCCATGCATTCAAGCAAACATCGCCAGGGGTGTTTGAAAGGTAGGTTGAACCTGTGCATTGTCACTTGTGCGAATTACTGGACCCAATAGTTGAAATAGCCCATGACTGCTGCGTGCGCTAACAACACAGGACTTTGTCTCTTCTCTGCCTTTTTCGCTTGAATCCATCTGGAAAATAGGACGCTTCTGGTGATGCCGGCATCCGCAGACATCGAGCGGGTACAGCCCAGCGGTAGCACGGGATACAAGCTCATGCCTCTCAAGAGCTTTGCACCACATGTGAATTTTGACCACATTGGGGAGATACTGCAGCGGCCTCTGGCACGGTCCAAGCTGGACATGTACCTGGTTGTCGCCTCATAGAGCCGTGTGGAAGAAAAATATATATCCGTGTCTGGACGTCAGAGCTTACAGTGCGGATGTGCATCGATAAAGGGCTGCAAATCTGCAATTTTGCTTTTGCGCAAAAGGAAAGAGGCTGTTCGCGATCTTCTTTATGGCCGTGCGCCTTTGCAGGACATGCAAATGCTCATCTGACAGCTGCTGGCAATGGCTCCGGCCATGCCGCCGATGCCCTTCTCAGAAGAGAGCGGCAAACACAGCACTCTGGTATGTGGAGCCAGCGGCAGGTCGGGAAAAGTGCCGTACTGCGTCGCGGGGGCCAGGCTCTAAATCAGCGAGAACCCTCTCGCTCTTTCCCAAAGCAGCTCCTGCCAAAGACTAGTCCATGCACTACAGTTCATGAGCACCTCGAGTCTGTGCGATTGACAAGAGGGACGCACCACTCCTCATCCTTGCATCCTGCCCCGATTTTCAGCTTTCTTTCAATACTACCGGCTTGGCAATGGGCATTCATGCAGCTCGGGGCAAGGCTGCAAATCAGCTTACAGCCCTCTTCGCACGATGGTGCTCAAGCGCGGATGGGTTGCAACATGGGAAGGGCAATTGGCGTTCCTCGAAGTGCAATTTTTTTGGTTTCCAGGACAGCCTGGGGGACATGCGTGGAGATCTACAACTGGGAATATCCCAACCACACAAGGATCAGCTACATGTGTGGTTCCAACTCTCCTTTCGCAACCACCGTTGGCCAAAGAGATATGCTGCATGACAATGGGGAGAGAGCAGGGAAAGTGACTGGAATGCCTGCGCACTGCACCAACTGACCCAGCCAGGCTCCCCTTTGTCCGCCACAGTGAATGCCCAGGCTGGCAACCACCATGGTGCGTGCTGGGGGATCATGGCTGCATGCATGTCTTTACAAAGAACGGCTTTCGTGGCGAATGCGAATTCTTAACAGTGATCTGCCCGCCATACTACACCACACAGCACAGCCGCTAGCCGAGCCCTCGGTTTCCGGATATCCAACGCCGCATGCTCTAGAGAAGAACAAAGTGCGCTGCTAAGTTGCACGGTGGCTATCGCTGCGGGTGATTGGCAAATGTGTGGGAGGCTGAAAGCGCATTTTCGCCCAGCAACAACCAACCTTGCGATAGCCTGTGCAGAAAAATAGGGCGCATGTTGGCCAGCTCCGAGCGCAATCCTGGGTGGGGTGGGGTTTAGGGCAAGAGAAAATGCTTCTGAACAGACCGACAATCCCTAATTAAAAAATAACTCACAGCTTGCAACCCCCTCATGCCAGGGAACACGCGGTGAAAAAGGGGGCTACGGTCAGGGCAGGTATATAAAGGCATTTGCCAGGCGGTAGACATTAACTACCCTTCATCATTCACACATCGCCACCCTCTATCACAACAAACAAACCACAAAAACAGAGTCCGAGCGGCAACATATATAAATACCGTCGTTGACCCTTTATCACTGTATTGCTTCTGTCTATACGCCTCTCCTTGCTAAATACCCAGAGCGCCTTCCCTTTTTGCTCTGCACCTCCCACACTAATGCGCCTCTCTCTCTCTATCCTTGTCGGCCTGGCTGTGTCTGGGCAATGTCAGAGCACTTTGAGCATACCTTCATCATCAACAGTTTACAAGTTCACTCAGCCTGTTGACCACTTTGGTGCAAACAACAGCCAGTGGCAGCAGCAGTACCTTATCAATGCAACATTCTACAGGCCAGGCGGCCCTGTATATATGATCACTCCCGGCGAATCCACACTGGCAACATACTACACCGATCGCACGTTTGTCAACGATCTGGCACGTGTGACTAATGGGGTGGTTCTGGCAATTGAGCACCGGTACTACGGGTCCTCGTACCCGATGCCTGACCTTTCAGGCGCCAGCCTCAAGTATATGACACCCGAGAACGCTCTCGAGGATTTTGCATCGATCCTGCGTCTGGTCAAGACCGACCCCAGCCGGATCTTCCCGGTGCCGGTGAGCGCAAACTCGACGATTATCACAGCCGGAGGCTCGTACTCTGGGGCGATCGCTGCATGGATGCGTGCAAAGTACCCGCAGCTGGTCAAAGGCGCCTGGGCATCGTCGGCGCTGATCAAGGCGCAGTACGAGCTCTACAGCTACGACCAGATGGCCGGCAAGCGCCTAAATGACATTGGTTGCGGACCCAGGTTTGCGGAGGCAGTCAAGGAGGTCGACAAGATCCTGTACTCCGGCAATGACACGGCAGTCAAACTGATTGAAGATAAATTCGGCACTCCCCATCTGACTCCCCGTGACTTTGGCGGCCTTGTAGGCGGCCTCACCACGATCATCGGGATGAACCCTGTTTTCGAGGGCTTCAACCAGTACAAGTCGCTGGTCTGCGACCACTTCGATGGCACGCGCTCCGATATTGATGCTTATGCACGTGCGTTCCAGGACTGGGTCAAATTTCTTGGCTTCACGTTCAGTGACCTCAACGCGATAGCGAACACAAGCTTCAACGTGGGCAACTATTCTCTGGGCCAGAATTCACGGGTATGGTTCTGGCAGTCGTGCACATGGTTCGGCAACTGGCAAGTCGCTCCCCCTCGCAGAACGCACCTGACCCCGTACCGCTCGCGACTTACGGATCTCGACTATTTCCAGCCGCCCTGCCAGGCCAAATTTGGCAGTCAGGTCAAAATCCCAGTTGACGTGAAGGGATATAACAAGAAGTGGTTCAACATTCTCAAGGGCGTCAAGAACATCCTGTATACTGTCGGCTCATATGACGTCTGGCGCGAGACAACGGCTGGCGCTGAGTACAGCTATGTGCTTCCCAACACAACCAGCTCGCCGATCATTGTCATCGAGGGGGCGACGCACGCCCAGGACCTGGCCAGTAACAGGCTCAACGATATCGACTCGGTGAAGTGGGCCCGTGCATTTGGCACGGCGCAAGTCAAAAAGTGGATAATGTCATGAACATTCAGCGTGATATTCTCCGGCCTGCCTGATTTTGTCGTCTTCCAATCGCCTCCCTTTTTGCTACATCAGCAGCTGGGTGTTCCGCTCAAGCTAGCAGTTCGCCCAGCCGCCTCCCCACATATACCCTTGGATAATAGCGCACTGCCTGATACAGCACGCGCATTCTGTGTTTTTCCGACATGGCACATTTAGCCAGCCTGTCCTTGGTAATCAATAAAACAAAATACCCTCACCCCCATGTTGGAAGCACAGCAAGTGAAAGAAAATAGGTATGCTTGTCTTGGGGGATCCAGACGACCCAAGGAATGCACGCTTACTGGTGGAGAGACATGCTGCCCGCGCCAAAACGCCTATCTCTGCCGACCCTGATCAAGCCCTCTGCCGCCGCCGAAGAAGCTGGGCACCCCCGAGTCAGGCAGCAAACTGCATGCAGTCAAAAACCTGATTACGCTTCGTTGTTCCGCTCTAGGGTGTGAAAACTTGGGCACGCGGTCAGCAAGAGAGCAGCCCAAAAATCAAGCAGCATCCACATTTGCCCAGGCACTTCATTGCATCACCCAGCTCGGTCGATTGTGCGAAATGCCGCCATCCGCTGCCCCCCTCTTCCCCCTACCCTATGCCCTGTCATGCCTGGCTGCATCCAGAAATCCGAACCTGTCATCAGGCAAGCATGCATTGCAGGAATAGAACAGGGAAGACGGGGGAGGACACATCGATGTATGGCCTAAAGTGGAGGCAGGCAGGAGAATCTCGAGAACAACTTGAAACGTGATAACGATGGACACCCATTTCCGACTTGCTTGCCAACATTGGAGCGAGGGGGCTAGGAGGTCAGTGTGCGGCGTTGCCTCTCGATTTCAATTTGCCAGTCGAGAGATGGCAGAAAGGAAAGCCAGAAGTGAGACGCTAGATTAACAAGTGGGGTTCTTGCGAATGCCAGCAATTGGGAGTGCTGAGATAATGCCATTCACTCCCGAGACTCCTTTCCTTGCTTCCGCCTGTTACCGCCTGAGGCCGCCCGCTCCCTATCCCACTCCTGTTCGTCGGGCCCACTCCAAGATGGGTAAAACACCACGCCTATTGTTTCTCCTTCATTTAAATACGCCGTTCCTTACAAATGGCGATACACCAGCCAGCACCCTTTTCTTTGTCCAGAATCACCATTAAAAAACACTCTCCCCCTCTCTGAGCCAGCATAATATACGCTTGACATCTTCACATTATACTCGCATTCACACACCTATCACAAAGACAACCAACCCAGCCCTACGCAAACTACTGCTTGTTTGTATACATCAACAGCCAGCAACCATCACTAGCTAGACCAGAACCAAACACGCTTTTTGACAGAGAACTTGTCAACACGGGATTTCTTTCCTATTCATAGTATATGCCAGCCAAAGCAAAACTAGGGTTATAATGAATTCCCCAGATTTGTACACACAAGAGCACCACAGCAACAGAACATGTGGCCCGACACTGACGGACCTGCTCCAGACAGAAAACCACAGAGCCCCTTCTGGCATCATGCATACGCTGCCGGCTGCCTCCCCGCAGCAGCTCATCCAGGAATCGGCCCGCCAGCACACCCCGACGTCACTACGTTCATCCCCATCCCTAGCTACATCACTGCCGACCCCCACAAAGAGATCTGGCCCTTCCTTCCCATCGAGGACCATTGACGAGATCATAGCCCATGAGAACGAGTTGCGGGCGCAGCAAGCAGCGCGGGAAAAGGCAAGGCTTGAGGAGCTTGTACGCCTCGAAATAGAAGGTCCAACAAGGCCCTGGGCAGGAGGTAAGCGGCGCCGCTACACCAATCCTACTCCTGAACAGCGCGCGTGGCGGAGGCAGCAAGAACTCGAGAAAAAGAAGCGCAAATACCGCAACCGCTGCAAGGCATGGACGTACGAGGAGCGCGAGGAGCGCAGGCAGATACGCCGTGAGCGTGCGCGGCTGAAACGCAAGACGGAGACACCCGAGGAGGCCGAAGACCGGCGCGAGTACAACCGGGTGCGTATGGCGGGGGTCCGGCGGAGGGAGCGCGAGCGCAAGGTTCTCAAAGACTTCTGTCAGCGACTCCGGCGCCAGCAGCACAACATCCGCTGTCTGGCGGTCAAGCGAGCAAGCAATACTGTCGATAGCTCAGCCTTGCACTTGGACAGCTCTGCTGCACATGAGGAGGTGAACGACACAATAGAGGCGCTGATGCAGTGGGCAGCCAGCGGGCTCCAGGTTCCCGAGGAGTTGGCGCCTGCCCAGTCACTCTCGCAAATCGCAGTGTCCGAGCAAACTGCGCTTGAATCCGCGTGCGTCATGAGCCCTCTACCCGGAGATCCGATTGATGTGACCTCCACGCTTTTGCTACCCAGCAAGCCAATGCCGGACACCGCGCTGCTTGATCATGAAGCAGCGCTGGGCAGTGACGAAGAGATAGGCTCGTTATTTGGAGACCGCAGCAGCGGAGACGAGGTCAGCTCGCTGTTTGGCGGCGCCAGTGGAAATGGCGAATCGGAAACTACCGCAGGACAGCATGCAGGCGCCGGCAGAGGGCTAGCCAGTGTTTCGGATCTGCAGGCTGGCGCGGCCAGTTTGCTGCTGCCTACGAATGGTACCGCCTCAGTTGTAACTGCAGAAGAACTGAGGCGCGCGGCTAACAAATTCAACAAAGTACAGGCCGCTGCAGATGCTGCTGCAGATGCTGCTGCTGAAGCGACAGCACAGGCTCAGCGGCAGCAGGGTATCGAGAACACTGTGGACAGCCTGCTCAGGGCTGCTGCTGACGCCGCCGAGGAGGATTCAAGGACACCGGAAGATCCTGGGCAGCCTCTGATGGATAAGTTGAATGCGGTCGTCAAAGCAATAGCTGAAGCAGACGAAGCACCACCCACGACTGCATCCGATGACCCGCGGTCGTATCTCGCGGGAGTTACTGAGATTAATACAGCCCTGACAGCCGTCGAAGTCTTGGACGGTGCTATTGCACGAGGCGACACGGTGCCCATCAACCTTGATGCCCTTGAGGATGTTGTGCTCAAGATCGAGGCCCTGGTTGTGATGATCACGCTTCTTGGAAAAGACACCACTAAGGAGTCTGGCACGGGGCCAGCAGCAGCAACAACAACAGCAGCGACTGAAGCTGCGGCAGTAAAAGCGGTGGTGGCAGCAGCAGCAAGTCAACCTGCCCAGCTGCCAAATCTGCAGCATATTCGGAAACGCCCGTCATCTGATATGCGCGTCGTGCAGCACGACGGCATGGCATCGCCATTGTCTGTCTCCAGCCAGTGCCCGCTGACGCCGCGACCAGGCTCAGTTGTGTCAGTGGGGGCGTTGAGCGACTCACCATGGAGCCGTGACATCGCTGTCCCACGCTCCAGGCAAACTGGTGCCGTGCCATCGCAAAACATCGAGGCTATCATGTTCTCCCCACTGATGCCCAGCAAGGAGCTGTGCGTATTGCCGTTCGACCAGCAGTTTGTTCACTGTGTTCCGTCGCATCCAGCCTCCATAGCGGTCAGAGCACTCACTGCGCCAAACCGAGGGTTTGCCATGCCGCCACAGAAACACGTCGTGCCATCGCAACAATACGGTATGCCGCCTCGGGCATACACTGTGCCTGAACACCCGTATGGTGTACCTTTACCAGCCTTCTACACCCAGTTGCCACATCACCAGGGGTCACAGCGCGTCCCCTCAGCGCAACCACGTATGCAGGTCCATTTTAGGGGCAGCCCGGCCTATGCTGCACGCGGCAGAATCATCATGAAGGAGCTTGAGCGCAGTGGTAAGGAGCGGCTGGCTAAGGAAGCTGAGGCCAAGGCTGCTGAGAAGGCTGCCAAGGCTGAGGTGTATGCGAAAATTGCTGCTGCTCAGCTGCGCAAAAGCAGAGCCCGTGCCAGCGAGTCTGCTGCACAGCCGCCAAGTTCTCAGGCTACTACCGGCGTGGATATGCCCAGGACCTGTGTTCCCAGTGTAGCGTCGGTTGCTCAGGTTAGCGGCACTCATAGCTGACTACAGGTTTGTGTCAGCATTCTGCGTTCACTGGCACCTACATTAACCAAAGCTATGTATACTATCCATTTTTCAGCGATAGCGATTCTGTTTTCTAACACCCCTTGCTCTCCAGCGCCCTTTTGTATATCATCTGTCCATTCCTGCATTCTACAGCCCAGCAGCCCGGCTGAATGGCTCCACGCCATTGCCAACCACACGCGCTCCGATCTAACCAGCGTACCTTGCCAAGGTCTTTATCGAAAGAGCAGTATTAAAAGTGGTATTTCAGAAGATGACTGCATACCTTTATGTGGAGGCAATAAGAAAAGAATTAGATAAAGCGAAGCCTTGCTATACAAATGACAAAGACCATGTTCTGTGAGCGGTGATGAGGGGAGGAATCAGCCAACCACCATAGTCTTCTGTGACAAGACATTATCGCACAGCCAGTCGATCTCCTCCAGGGCGCCAGATGACAGCACTACCCTGTCGTCCCAGGACTCGGGTGTTGTGACAGAATCCTCCAAGCACTGCTCGATCTCGCGGATCCGCTTGTACTCAGGACCCACTGCGGGCATAATCGACCGGATCTTGCCGATTAGCGATGCCAGCTGCTTGGCAGTGATGCTGCCCGACCGCGCCGTATGCGCAGCCCGCCGCACCTTCTTAATCTGGTCGCGCGGCACCTGGACCTTGCATTCAACGGTATTGAATACGAAACCAAGGAACCGCTGGTTCTGTTGCGGCACCAGATCAGAGGTTGGTGTGTTGATCAGGAACCCAAGATCCGTCAGGTGCCGGCACAGCACCTGTGTCTGCTCAGCCAGGTCCTCGGCCGACCCATTGAGCAGGCAGAGTTCGTCGATATGCGACACAATGCGGAATCCATTGGTGCGCAGCGGCTGCAGGGCTGCCTGAAGCAGTTTGGTGAACACCTTGGATCCAACGGAGATCCCAAACGGCAATGTGCGGTACTGGTAGTATTTGCCGTCAAACCCAAACACCAGATACCGCTGGTGGTCCTTGTGGATCGGCACCGACATGTATGCGCACTTTATGTTGATGCGTGTGATGTGGTCGCCCGGGTGCATAAGCGAAAGCAGCGATGGCAGCTCTTTGGCGACATAGTTGCCCGCCTCCAGGTACTTGTTGATGGGCCGGCACTCCAGTAGCGCCTTAAAGTTGCCAGCCACCTTGATTGTATACATGTGCGACACAAACAGCTCCGGCGAATGGCTGACCTCCTCAATCACGCGGTCGCCCAGATCCCACCGCACAACCTTCTCGATCGCCTCGCGCTCCTCGTTGCTGTACTCGGGCATGGCCGGCTCCACGTGCTCAGGCTCCATCACAAAATCAAATTGCAGCCCATGGGTCACGGTCTCGAGCACCCACGGATCGGCGGTTACACCAGTCCAAGCTCTCGAGAATTCGCGGATTCGAGCACCCAGTGCCACCGTGCGGTTATCACGCACCACTGCCTCTTCAGCTACAGCATTATGAACAGCCTGCGAAATCACTGGCGACTCCTGCGGCGTAACCGGCGTCGACTGGGCCAGCCCAGAGCCTGACGCGCCAGATGCGGCTGACGGCTCCATCGCGCGTCGCTCGATCTGCGCTGCCTCCAGCAATGACGCCGAGCAGACAGCCATCAGGCCGCTGGCAATCTCGCCCAGCCCCTGACCAACCTGCCGGCCTACCAGTGTGGTCTTCAAAATGTGCTGCAGCCGGAAGTGCAGGTGGGCCGCCACATTGGCTGTGAGCCGGAACCGCGACGCCACATGCAGTTGCGTCTGCGCCGCAAGTCCGCCGCCGCCGACCATCTCCTTCAACAATGCGCTGGCGTTCAGCTCGCTGTTGTCCAGGCCTGGGTATGTGGCCTCGAGCTCGGGGAACGATGTGTTCTTGTCGCGCACCTGAGCCAGAAACTGATCAACCTCGGACTCGCTGGGCTCAAGCTCCTGCAGCGCCGTCACCAGCCCGCTTTGGGGCTCGGGCGTCGCTGATGACGGCGTCGGCAGCACCGGTGTGGCTGCTGTGTCCAGCTCTACCTCTGGCTTTACAGACAGTTGCTCGAACGCCTGTAGCAGGTTCCTGAATCTGTCCTTGTCCATGTCCTGTCGAATAATTGAAAAATGAGCTCTCGTGTAGCTGGAAAAAGTGCGAATGAATTAGTCGGGATAAGAAAAATAATAATAATGAGATGCGAAAATACAGGGAAAGGGAAGGTTTTGAGACAAGCCTGAGAGCGGCTACTGCTCTCTGTGCGCTCCCGCCCTGTTTTCTTTCTCAGCCCGGCGGTGTTTTGCGATTTGTGCAGCAGCTGAATGGCCATTGGCTTTAGCTTTTTGTTCGATGGTCTGGCCCGCTGTCGGGAAACTGAAAACATTGGTCAAGCTCGCTGCTGCCTGGTAAACTCGCCCAGTATTGGATGTGTTGCGAAATTGCCAAAAGCAGGCCCGGTGCGATTATTAACGCCAGCCTCGCAGCCCTATACTTAATTCTCCCGGAGCAGCGCATTGTCGGTGGCATGAGCAAAAATAGTGAAAGCCCAACCAGCAGTAGCCGACAGTTGGCCTACTGACTAATCTAAACACGATGCTGGCACGCCCCCGCACTTATAAAGCCCCGCCGCTCTCGCATACGATCTCCCCCACACGGCCCACCTGCAGCGTACTTGTGGTACGCACAGTCATGCGCGGGGCTGCAGACGAGAAGCGGGGTCTGATATCTGGCAATTACACGGATCAGGAGTGAAAAGGGCACAGACCCCTATGTTCTGGATACCGGGCTGTCCCTGATCATGCGCTTGAGGATTTATATAGGGTGTTGTTTCGAGAGCTGCACCTTGGGTCTGCGTCTGATGTCATTGCCACGACAGGGGGAGGCAGCCACGTGTTCGATCTTCAACGCATACTCCAACACGACTCCCCAGCCCCTAGATTTGCAATCCTTTTCCAGACGCTGCGTCCATATTCCATCCCCTGGAATGCCCAGACACCGTCTCATCTTTCTGTCCTTTCTGCCCATGTAGCTGGCGTGTCCCCCTCAGGTCGGATGATGTTCAAGGGGTAAGCTGATTATGAGCAATTCGACTCGGTTTTCCTAGCTTCTCGTTTATTTTCTGCTGCTGTTGAACATTCCAATGCAAACACTGGCATTACGGCCCTTCGTGGCGAACCCGTTGGCCAAATTCCATGCATCTACTATTCACACGATGGCCGCACGTAAACACGGGCATTGGTACTGCCTCATGTCGCGGAAACCTGCGATGGCAAAGGCAACCTGAGCTACGGGAGAGGGCTCTGCTTTATGCAACCCTTTTCTAGCAGTCGTCATCTTCATCCAACTATTATTTTCTACACAACTACGTCTGCACCCTGCTAAAGGAAATGGATAATGCAAAATCAACTTGGGTTGCAATAATAGGTGCAGTGCTGTTGTTTACCTTGGCATATTTTACGGGCCGGTCATTTGTCAAACACCGCCGACAGCGTGATATGGTCACCAGCAGAAATATTCGTCGTAATCGCCATGACCCGCGGCCAACAGATATTGAGGCTGGTCAAATATCTCGTGCACATACTGTTGACTACGAGCTACCTACCTACGAGGCCCCACCGCCTGTATATTCGCCAAAGTAGCTAGTGGAGGTAGTGGAGGTATGGTGCCCTGTAGATTGTAATGCCCACTTGTCCCGAAAATATATGATGTTTATTCAACTTTTTCATGGCCAATTGACAGGAATTGTTGCACCCGTGCAAGCTGCTGGTCGGTCAACCGTGCTAGCAATATTTTGGTTACGCAGCATGAATTCTTTTATATGCATGCTACTGCGTTTCACCGGATGCCTCTATGAGTGTCAGCGGCCCGTTAACAAGGATGGCGCTCGTGTCGTCACTACCCCGAAGCTCCGCGTGAATTAGCTCGTTTAAAAAATGCTGCCAAGACATCCACAGCTGTGCTGGTGGTTGCTTTCAGTGCATCAGTGCTATAATAAGCATAATGCTGGTTTCTCATCTTCTCTTTGGACAGGCTATTTTTTTCTATTCCTTGGCGCAACTGGCATACTTTTTTAAAACACCTTGGTTCATGCACTTGCTCTAGAGCTTATCACACAACTCTTACATTCACTTTGCTCCTCTCCACTCAGGCCCCTGGTTTTCTTAACCATCAACCGATCTTATGTTTTACACTTTAAACGGGATGCCGAATGTCGTGAAAGCAATGGACATGGCCATTGTGGCCATGCTGGCATTTAATATTCTGCTGCTGCTCATTATCTCCCACCACATTCCACGTCAAGGCCACATTTGCCATAGCAACGTAGTCGACGAAACAAGCTACCCAGTGGATGGACGGCCTGTGGGAATGCAGCATAGGTGCTGGGACATGTAGGCTAGATGCTCATCTAGACTGACAAACCAACGATTTCAACATGGGTAAATATCCACCAATGTAAACGTGCTCATTCTCACAAAGGTGCTTGGGGCAATAAATGCCAGCATCCTACCCCAATTTCGCCCCCTTCTCCCGCCTCTGCATGCACTCGCCAGCTACACCGGCTGTGTAAACCAGTTCCTACGGCTGGCTGTGCAGAAGGTTCTAAATTTCTCCCCAAAGCGGCACACTTCAACATATGCTCAACCCACCTGTGTCCAATAACCAGGCTCTGGTTTATCTGGCATTTCAGCATGATGCAGCTGACATCGACGTCATGAACGTTGTACCAAGCTGAGATAGTTCATAAGGCCTTCGTAGCGTGCGGGCAATGGCTGACTAATATTCCTAAGCGTGTAGCAGTAACCAATTTCACCTGCGTTCGACCTAATCCAGTTCCAGTATGCACGCATTACTAATGGCCCTATGACAAATGGCTACGAGAAAATTTTCATATAAATCCGACTGGTGATCCAGGCTCATCGGACTTGGCAACCCAAACGCATCACGCAAAGCACTGCTTTCAACTCTTTTACTCAAAAGCGTCTCTAGACTCAACAACCTACTGTTCCTTTGTATCACCGCCAAATAATGACCAAGCTCATCGCTATTACCGGTGCCACTGGCCTCCAGGGAGGCAGCGTTCTCAAGTCTCTGCACGCGACAGGCGCCTACAAACTCCGCGCTATCACACGCAATACCTCCAGCGATAAGGTCAAAGCCCTCAAGACCAAGTACCGAGACGTTGAATGGGCTGAAGCTGACCTCGACAGCGGTGCCTCTCTTGTCAAGGCGTTCCAGGGCGCTGACTATGTCTTCGGCGTCACCCAGTTCTTCCAGCCTGGCGTCATGGACAAGGCCTTGGAGGGTGATACTGATGCCGAGTTTAGGCAGGGAAAGAACATGGTCGACGCTGCGATCGAGGCCAAGGTCGGCGCAATGATCTACAGCAGTCTGGACTCGATGAAGCAGCTGTCCGGCGGCAAGTACCCCGGTGTGCTGCATTTCGAAGGCAAGCACAAGATCGAGGAGTACCTGAACAGCAAGTCTGACAAGATCAGCCCGTTCTTTGTCTACTTGGGGTACTACATGGAGAACTACGTGGACTTTTCGCGTATTTCGCCAGAGGACAACACGACTGTTGAGTTCGCCATGCCTCTCCTGCCTACGACGAGGGTTCCTCTTGTTGATACTGCCAATGACACAGGTGTCGTCGTGCGCTATATTATTGAGCACCCTGAGGAATGCCGTGGCAAGCCAATGGAAGCCAGCGGTGGGTACTACGAGGCACAGGAGATGGCCAAGGCATATACTGAGGCTACGGGAAAGCCTGCCCGGTACGTCCAGATCCCGTACGAGGCAGTGGGTTTGGACGAACTTGCGCAAATGTTCAAGGGGCTTAACGAGTTTGGCTTGTTTGGAGGCAGAACCGGGTTCCTCAGCCGTGGCTATTCGGCAGCAGGTGGATTCACTACCCCAGTCCAGTTCTGGAAGAACCGCAACTGGAGCGGCCCTTCCTCTGCCTAAGCACCTTTGGTCGCCTCACATATAACATAAAAATGAATAATCAGGTCAATATACTTATTCCTTACTGTCTGATTTTGCAAAGGTGAGGCTGTAGATAACCTGGCATCCTGTTCAGCTATCGGCCACTACACCCTGTGTCAGCTGTGTATACAGCACCATGGGCGAATGGCTGTCTCTGACCCGATCACGTATTGGGCTTTGCTGGTAGACCTACCCACCAAGTAGTTGGCAAACTACCAGTTAATATGAACTGCAAATATCATAGAGCGGAAGGCTGTCAGCGCCAGGCCTTTATTTGTGAGAAAATGAAGTCGAAAAGGGGCTGTCATGTGCGAGAAAGTCACTGATTGTCTGATTAAACTCGGCGCTGCACGTGCCGTCCCTGTTTTCGCCATGCGCTATATTCTCAGCTACCATAGCGATTCTTGGTCCACGAGGGAGGATGGCTGCTGGATCCAATTCAGCCGCAGAATCCAATCAATAGGCATATACGCTCATTCTCGTAGAGCTACATTTCCCCGGCAGCTACATGCCAACGGCATCTTTCACTCTGGGCTTTTTGGCAGCTGCCAGATTTCTTGCGTTTAAAAACTATATCTGTAGTACACTCCCTCTTCATAGGCACTTGAAGCTGTTTTCGTTTTCTCACCTACTTCTGATAGCTATTAGCCTTTTTCTCGAGATGGTTCTAATCGTTGAACTCGAGCCAAGTACCGAAGACCTACTTGACTATGCATCATCCACCCCAGTCTCCACTAGCCCTACTGAGCCGGCCAGGGAGTTCCCACCTGAGGGCAACGAAGTAATTCCGTCGAAAGCACTCGACAAGAATCCACTCACCAGGTACCTCAAGTACCTGATTACAACGCGAATCTCGCTGGTTGACACCTATGTTAGCGATCTCCCAGGCGTCTACGAGGAAGCCCTGTCCTCTGATTCCTCACTGCTCAACACCAGCACCCAGAGCTTGGGTCGCCTGGCAAGTGCTAGCATGCAATTCCAGCAGCACATCGAAGAGCTGTCGCGGATTGGTGGCGACATCAGCACGGCGTGTGGGGCGCTGGACACAACCATCGAGTGCCTAATGAGGCGTGTAGTGGCAGAACGGATGCAGCACGCGATAAAGGCTGAATTTGAAGACTACTTTCTGCAGATTGCCGAGCAGAGTGCCAAGAGTTTCGATTCCTTCGAGTTTGGCCTCAGCCCCTCTCAGTACCTCGATGACTGGATTCCCAGTATTGTTGTGTATGGTGGGCCGACGGAGGGTCTGAACTGGCGTTCGTTCATCATTTCCCATGCCTCGCCTTTGGTGCAACACTATGCCAAATATGACTTGGAGAGCGCCGTTGACTGGGAAGTGGCCAAACGCAGAATCAACAGAAAGCTCACTGTCAGCATGCCCTGTGACAGGCTTGTTCAGGACAGGGACCTGATTGCCGATGCAGGAGGGTACCAGCAAGCACTTGACAGGCTGTCGAAACAAGTATCCGGGTGCTAAGATTAGTCTTCGCTGGGTTAGCGTGCTGTGCAGCAGTGCAATAGCAGGAGCGCATGGTGCAGGCACTGACAAAGCTGAAAATTCGTGAGATAGCCTCGTTTGATTTCAATAGCCTGAGGGACTACAGACCTAGCTCTGGCTCTAGCTCTAGCTCTGGCTCTGCTGGACCAGATATTCCGTAAGGTGATGCCGGCATAACATTCCAATAAAATACTTGCATTGAGATATGGCCGGTACCCCATAAATGGCGCGGGCTGCGCATATACGCGGAGCCAATGGCAGAAATGTTGGCTTCGGCCCTTGTTTCAGATACCCTCGCATTCACAGTTACAAGCCATGAAGTCTACACAGAACAGTAGGTATCGCAATGAATAGCATACATCCTTTGGTATCGGCACAGGTCTAAAAGTACTTTTTGTCGGGCTGGTAGTTTTTGAGTTTAGAGTTTACGATCTCTCGGAGCCAGCAAGATCGCGTGTCTAGCTCAGTGCCCAGGCAGAAGAATTCCCGGCAGGCTTCGCCAGCAGTACTATCGGCCAGCAGCACTGGACTTGCAGATCCAACCGCATTCGTAGAACCAGCGAGCATCAGCAGTTCAAGTTCCAAGGATGCATCGACAAACTCCCTGTATTGTGCAGCTTGCAAAAAAAAGTTCAACAACGCGTCGAACATTTGCTAACCACCAGCAGACGGAAAAGCACCGCAAAAACGCAAAGGCGTCGGGAAAACGCCCACCACCACGACAGCAGACTTCGAACACCCACCAGCACCCGGTGGTTCAGGGGGCGCTTGCAAGCCTGAAGAAGGCGAAAGGGCATTATGCAGAAGGATCCAGCTGTTGCGGCTACAGTTATGTGGAATATTGCCAAGGACATCGCTGAGCATGGCGACGATACTGACAACCAGATCGGCGCTTGAAGGCGCGCTCGAGTGCATGGAGCGCATGAATGCAGACAAGGCACTGAGAGGAGCCAAGGGAGCGCCGGCATCGTGGACTGCCAGGACGCTGCTCAAGACCATGCTGGATTGTAGGATGGCGCTGGCAAGGCTCGAGCCGGCAACAGACAGAGCTGGGACCATGTATGTTGATGCACTAGGCAAGGTTCCTTGGGATCGAATCAAAGGCACTTCACGGTCTTGCGCAAAGCCGTGATCCAGTCAGCCTAGATGCCGTGGCATCAAAGCTGAACGAATCGATTCCGCGGAAATTTGCTAATACAGAGGACGTTGGCCAGGCAGTGTCGACCATCGAAGAAGTCGCCAGCGGACTGCTATCGTTTTCTGGCGGCCAACGCGAGGACCCAGCCATATGGACTGGTGTAGCGCTTTATTTCCTACTACACTCGTTCGCAACTACAAAGGGTGCGCCAGATACTGCATACAGGGCAGTGTTGACTGCTGGTGAAGCTTTCAAAGCACTCGGCTTCGAGTACTTGCAATGCGACTGCGCGTTGGTTCTCATCGACAAACACTGGCAGCAGAACGCCGCCAAGTTTATAGTTGCCCAGGCTATAACAAGATCGCTAGAGATGGGCGATCTAGTGCGTGCCCAGAGCATTCTGAACAAGACGAAGGAGCGGTGGAGCGACCTGTGGATCCAGTACCTGGCCAAGGTTGTCACCCGGTCGGTTGATTCTGATGCGCTATGGCTCGAATTCGATGCCAGAGACGAATGGACCCATGTGTGTTCTGACTCTGTAAGCCTTGACAGCACAATACGCACTCTGGTTGACAATTGCCTGGGCGCTATCTTGGCCGACCTATACTTTTTACAGTCCCAGCTACTGCGAGATAAGGACCCATCATTCCAATACATGCGTGGTTCAAATGACGAGCACCCGCTATGCGCAGAGCTCTGCCCACGCGATGTAGATTGTCCCCAGCCCCATCTTGACCTCACCTCATACCTTTTGCAATGCGAACAATCCTGCCCAGCACATTAAAGCAGCCTAAGAACCTGGGGAGTCTCAGTAAGACTGAACGCCAGCAGAGGCCCAACTACTTCTTGGCAGTCCGGCTCAGCAACCCATCGCTGCAAACACAGCTCCAGCATTTTTACAAGAGTGTCTCAGAAACCTTCCCCAGGCACAGCCGGTATCTTATCAACCCCACGCTATCACATGTAACATTGGGCACAATGTTCCTGGAAAAGCACGACATCCCTGGCGCAGTTGACCTCTTGGAGTCGTTCGCCGATCTAGTCAACGAGTACATCCAGGAGCCACCCAAACTGACGCTTAAGGGGATTGGCAACTTTGGCGGTAATCGTGTCGTGTTTGCCAACGTCGATGCCAGCCACGGGTTTCAGTCACTAGTGCGCGACATCCGGGTGATATTTTGGTCGCACGGCTACTCTAACACCCCTTTGCTGGCGCCCAGGCGCGTACCGTATTTCGGCAACGACATTGTCCCCCATGGGAAGTGCCTTCCAAGTGACTAGTGGGCACGTCATGGACTGGAAACCACATGCAACACTGATGAAGGTGGGCTCGCTAGCAATGCCTGTATCTGTGAAAAAGGCCAGAGAGCAGATCAAGTCCTCGCTGGCGAAACTGGAAAACAGTGGGACTCCTCGCAAGAAGCCTGCGACCAAGATCCCAGGATTCGTATTTAAGAACTTTATGAACCACTCGTTTGGATCGCAGATCGTGTCTCGGATCGAGCTGCTGTCGATGACGGTGAAGGACAAGGACGGCTACTATGCGCGCCTTGGTGGGCTGGATATAGACAAGTGACGACGGATACCCTCAATTGATGGTTTTTAGACTCTGCAATAACTACAAAACGCAAAAGGCTACTCGCCAAAGGTGATCTTGGAGCCCTCGAACTGCACGGCAACACCCATCAGCTTGGTTTCTGCTATGTTATCAGTGTTCTCGGTGTCCATCTTGCGTGCCTTCTTCAAGTCGGGTTCTGCCGCAGCCATCACTGCAGGCGCGCCACTGTCGTCGGCCGTGCGCTTCTTCAGGTCCTTTTCCCATGGCCGGCCCTTTTCTGTGGCAGCTGTGCCTGCATACTCTATGCGCATCATGCGGCCCTTCAGCTTCTTGCCATTCATGGCCATCAGCGCCTTGGTCGCATCATCCGTGTACTTGAAGTCAATGTACCCAAAGCCCTTGCACTTCTCGCGGTTGTCCTCAAACGTGGCAACACGAATGCCGACGATATTGCCAAACTGCTCAAACATCGACTTGAGATCTGCCTTCTTCACATCGAAGCTGAGGTTGCCCATGAACAGCGTTGGGCTCGGGTCATGCTTCTGTTTCTTCATCTTCTTATCCTTGACCTTGCTCTTGGGCTTCTTGTCCCCCTTCTCCTCGGCCTCGGCCTCTGCCTCGGTTGCCTTCGGGTCGATGCGGCTTGGGCGGCCCGTCTTCACAAAGTCACTTGCGTTTTTGATCAAGACAGCACGCCGCCCGATCTTCTGCTCAGAGTGCGCCATGGCTAGCGTCATCGCATTCTCGGTGTCAAAGTCAACGTACGCAAACCCTCTGATCTTGTTGTTCTTCTTGGGCAGATTGATCCGGGTGATGTTGCCGCCGCACGGCTTGAAAAACTCCTCGATGTCCTCGCGCGTCACTGAGAATGGGAGGTTACCAATCCACACGCTGTATTCAGACCGGGGCTTCTTTGCCTTCTTAGCCTTCTCCTCTTGGCCCTCTGCTGACGGCTCGCTGGCGTTTGTGCTCTCCTCAGCACCTGCTTCGCTAGTAGGCTGCTCTGTCGTCTCCTCTACTTTCGCTGCTTCAGCTACGGCCTCTGCCTTCTTCTTTTCCTTCTTGTCCTTCTTGTCCTTTGTGTGGGAGCCCATGGTGAGTGCAGGAAAAGCAAATAATGTCGAGTGTGTAGAACTAAAAAGGTCAACTGCCAGTTGATGAGAAAATAATCGAGTGAACCATTTTTTCGTAATAAAAAACCAGACACATGCTAATTACATCCGCAGTGATCGTGATCAGAGCTGCTTTAGCTATAGCCCGATTTGGGTAAATAGCAATTAGACTACCTGCCAGCGCCTCCATTGGTCCAGCCAAGCTGCTGCAGGCACTGCTCAATAGCAGCAATTGTCATGCCGCGTAGTTCGTCTGATATATGGCTGTCATGTCTTACCACCATTCGCCGGCCTCCCAGGAAGCCTCTATTCCACCGCCTATCACAGGCATCAGGTATGTGTGACTCCGAATCGCATAATGGACAGCACATGGCATCTGTAGTCACAGCAGCTGCCGATACACTTGAACCAGCTAATAAAGGAGACTGCAAAACAGAAAGCCTAGCCGCCAAAGAATTCCTGGCCAGAAAAAGCACCTGTGGGACTGACACTGCATTTGCAGGTATAGCAAATGGCACAAAAGCACTTACTTTGGGAGGCTGATGGGTTTGCGGGCAAACTTGTGTCAGGTCTACCAGCTGATCCTGCTGCTGCTGAACTATTGACTGGGCGACAGTAGATATTTATTGTCTGTAGGGTGCAATGGCCTCTTGAAGGTATTGGATTCTCATCTTAGTAGAGAGTTGCTGAAGCTGTAATATCACCTGCAGACGATTGTGCTCAATGTGGCTGTCAACCCATTGCTGTACCATTTGCTGCTCATATTGCTGCTGCTCAAGCTGCCACTGTTGCTGTTGCCCAACAATCTGCTCTCCTGCCTGCTGCAGATTAGCGACCTGCAACCCAGCCTGATACTGGCTGTAGGTATTGCTGCCATAGGTAAATGCACCTGGGAATGCAGGGGATGCCGGACTAGCATCCAGAGAAAACGGGCTCAAAGCGGCTGGACACTGGGGCTTGCTCGTTGCCGGCCATACAACTGACTGAACCGTGGCTACCGAAGATCTGTGGACAAGTGAAGGCTGCTGTGGTGTCGATGCATGCAAAGGAGTCAGCAATGCGTGGGTATCAGCATCCATAAATGAGGGAGTAGCAGTGGACGCTCTCGAATAATGCATATTATCCACGCTGGGTGTTCGCGTTCGATGTACCTGCGCTGTCGCTACAACTGGCTGCTGGATATAGACACCAGATGGATTGGACGTCGTGCACGGAGCTATGTCCACCGAAGGATTCGAGGATGAGCTTGCCATGGCCATTGATGGCCAGCCAATTTGGGCAACAGCAGGTGTGCCGGGGCTAGGAATGAGCGAGCTAGAACCAACAGTACCACACGGGAGCACTGGCTGACATGATATGTCCATTGGGCCAGATATCGCTAGTGGCATAGCGGATGCAGATACCGACGAACTGACATGCGAATGCGGTGCTATGTATGGCGATTCTACCGATGACTGCACCGGCGTAGTAGCAACAGCTCCCTGAACAGGTGTAGCCACTTGGACAGACATAGACACCGATTCCGAGACAGCAATCCCAGGATCTACTGTGACAGCTGGTAATGCGACAGGACGATTTGCAAGCATAGCAGCATCGGATCTTTGTGCTAGTGCAAGCGTCGGGGGTGATAGCAACAAATCGTGATGCCAGGGAGGAATCTGAAGCAGAGGAGGCTGGGATGGAAATAGCAACTGGACCCGACGCGGATTTTGAGTTTGCCACAGGGGCTGACGTCGATGCTGTACAGACTGCAACAAAACCCATGGCCGATGAGGATGTCGATATAGGCTGCTGCATACTGACAGCAGTGGCAACTCCATCAGGAATAGACCTCAGTATTGAAGCAGACGTAGTAGCTGAAGTGAGCACTGCCGCAAAAACAGGGGCCGACACATGCATTGAGATAGGTGCTGCTGTCGATCTGGGTGCATATGGTTCTGGAGACACAAGTACTGCAGAGTCTGTAGCTGGCCATGACTTCTCTGCTGGTGTGGCGTCGCTGTGGCTAGCCGGTGCTTTCTGAGTGCCCAATTGCTCAAGGAACGAATGAACCAATCTCATAAGCTCCTCCTGAAATACGGCGGGGTCGGAGGCGCTGGTTTTGGCGGCGTGTTGGTACAAGCTGTAGACGGCGTTTAGTGTTGTTCGAGAGCTAGGCGTACCTTGAATGCTGGTTTTCAGAACACCAGTACAGTTGCGCACAGCCTTGGCGAGATCATCCATGATAGCGCAGTCTTTGGAACTCAGCCTCATACCCTTCTTACGGATTGCCAAGAGCAGACCCCACAGTTGGAAGCATTTGGAGAGTCGCCCTCTCATTTCAGGATCGAAGCTAGGGACTGCCCTTTTCGGCAGTGAAGCTGGGGATGTTGCTGGTACCAGCGCAGAAACAGCAGGAGGGACGACAGGGGCAATCGGTCACCCAATTGGAGACAAAGCAGCATCCATAGCTACTTCTGAGAAACTGGCTGGAGCAACCGAAGCCTGCAATGGTGCCTGTATAATTGCAATGCGGGCCTCAGTACGCCGAATCTTGATTGACAGACAGTCACAACACGTCATCAGTCCCTTCAAATCCAGAATCTGACGACTTGAGCCCGCTATGGCACAACTGGGCACGTAACTATCGCCAAACTGTTTGGTAGCGTTGGCACGGGTCAGCTGGATCAAACGAGTCCGCATGCCCTTGAGCTCGTTCAACGAGCGCCCCAGTGTAGCCACATCGCTGATTGCTAGTTCGTCCACGATCGTCGCACAATTCTCTGTGATTTCCTGGCATACAGCAGCATACCTCTCCAAGCAAAGATCTGACGACAGCTCCATAGTGTCATTCTGAGGGGTCAGAGGAAGGTGCAACTGGAGCCGGGCCAAGGTAACAAATGGGCGAGCATCGACAGCGAACTCAGGGTGGCGCCTGATGTTGCGAGCATTGACAGCCGCTCCTTCCGCGCTGCTCAAGTAGTACCAGGTATACTGCGTCAAATACCAAGGCTGCAGCCTCACGTAGTATGGATGGATATCGTAGTTGCGGGTATATAGCAGTTTACTCACCCCCTGGATGAACGCTGGGTCGCAAATTGTTGGGCAGAATGTAGCGTCATGTGGACGTCCACGGCACGCAGGACACTCGTCGCTGAGCCGAGGCTGGGAGGGCATAGGGTATTCGCCTGGCGCTATCGAGAGATTTGTCAAAATTGGAAAGAAGAGGCTGGGTGTGGTATCAACAGTGTTTGCCATCGGTTTGCGCAAGTCCTTATCGAACATCTCGTCAAACAGGTGCTCGATAGCCCTGCTCTCGTCTTCAGAAAGTGCACGTTTCTGAGAACGTGTGTGCAAAATGTAAAGCTCGGTCAGCCTGGCAGCAAAGAGCTCCATGATAAGAGGCAGCTCCTCTGGGTAGACAGTAACCAATTCCTGAGATAGAGGCAAACCTGGGTCCGATACAGGGAGCTGGATCTGCGGGTATACGACGACCTCCCGTCCACTTGACATCGCACCATCGCGGCCATCATCCCCTGGACAGTCGTCGTCGAAGGTGCCAGCTTGAGCTGTTTGGACCGTCCGTCAGTCCCAGACACAGCTGCATCAACGCTGCTGGAGATGGCCACTGCTTCGCTTGCCTTGCGTTTGGTCGCTTTGCTCTTCAGTAGGTCTGGTGATTCCACCCCTGCGCCAGTATCTGGTTTCGGCTTCACAGCATGGAACTCGATCGGGCGTCCAGTAGCAACATGCACCGGCATATTATCGGTTGAGAGAATCCACGAATCTGGCAGCTCACATATTGACACCGATTGCGTGTTGGCACTTCTCCCCAGCAAGCTAGACTGAGCACCATGATGCAGCCCTGATGCCTGTACGCAGCAGTCAAGTATCCTCTCCGCACGCTCTGCGCTAACCATCTCGCTGTCAGCGTTTGTCTGATTGACATAGGAACTGCTGAGCACTTGTGCTGCATTGGTACCTAGGGCAGATACGATTGCTTCACCCAGACGGACGACATCTGACTCGGAGCCGTCATCGCCCGGAGACCCGCTCTTTGCACGCAGCTGATGGCAAACTATATGTTCGTCAGCTGTATCCCTTGCTACCAGCCGAAGCACCCATACGAATTTGGACTGGCCAGCACCCGTCACACGCCCCAACGCCACACGGTCTACTCCAGCATCGACACTGCTGTCAAAGAAGACGACGGTATCAGCGGTGATAGGATTTGGTGCATATGATTCGAACATCGTCGACGAGATGAGAATTGCGACAGGGGAATGTTTTGTGTTGGAAAGATCAGCACGCTCTTGACTAGCGCTCTGCCGAAGGCTGCTGTCGATTCGCAAATGGTCGATACGGGAACTAGCCAGGTACTTGCTGATAATATCAAGCGTCCGAAGGTGCTGCACAAATATCACTACGCGCCGCCTCTGTTCAAGCAAGCCTGGCAACAGCAGGTCAAGCAGGCCGAGTTTGGCTGAAGACTCAACCAGGACATTGCGATGCTCAGGATCTGAATTGGGCGAGACTCCGGTGTTGCTGATAAGATGCGGGTAGCTAGTCGACTTCAGGGCCTCGACAAGAATATCCATGAGTACGCTGGCTGCATGAGCGCCCGGCTTGCCCTCCGACTGATTGGTGCTAGGATGGGCAGCTGCGTGTTCGGAGTTTGTGCTGCAACTGGGAGTCAGTTGGCGCTTGAGCTCGGCTAAACACTTGTTGCGCTGACCATCATCTAGGCTGCTTTGCCGCATCATAATGATAACCTGCCCTACCAGCTGAATGGACGCCATGCTCTTTCGGATGATTGCCTGATACAGCTGACGCTGCCATGCTGTCATACCTACGGGGACAACGAGGTCGAAGTAGTGCATGTTGTGCATACTGATTGAAGAAGACGCAGCGGACGGCTTAGATTTCGAGTATGCAACAGGCACTGGGGTTGCTGGAGTGTTGATCACTGGTGATGGTTTTCGCGAGGCATAGTGCCTGCCCTTTGAGTGTGCTGGATTCTGCGGATCGCTAGCACGCTGTGCAGACATCGACGCTGAAGTACTGCTACGTGACGCGTCGCGAAAATCGGCTGCTGTCGACTTGCACGAACTGGGAGATGGTGGTAGTGGTGGAGTCGACCGTTGGTGACCATCTGGACGCTGCCGGCTGCCCGAGATGGCAGCGCAGGCTGCCATATCAGTATTCAACTTTTCTACGACCTGCTTGAGCGCAAACATTTTTGCACACTTCACAATATTCTCCCTTGTCGGATCGTCAGTCAAGTCAAAGTGGTCCCGAAGCGACTCTTCAGTAGAGTACCGATTTGGCTCAAGGAAATGCGCTAGCGAAAACAAGTCATAAACGCTCTGTGGTGGTTGTGAAGATCCAATAAGTATGTACTGGCGCGAATGGAGCCGACCCACCAGATCCCAGCAGTCACGCAATGACTCGCCCTTCAGGAACGCGTCGTATGTTATGATGCTCTGCCAAAAGACTTTGGTTGAGCGTAACAGGCTGGCCACAGTGTCGTTCTTTATCGCCTCGAAGTCTGCGATAACAACATGGCATGAAAGCGCTGGGCTCAGCTCCCCTTTTCCATATCCGCGGAACACCAGATGCTTAAGTAGCATTTCCACGGTACCCTCATCGCCGTACAGCTCGCCAACAACAACATTAGGTGCGACTGCCCTAAAGATAGCTGACCAGGCAGAGATATCAGTATGTGGGGCGATAATCAGGTAGGGAACCATGCCACAAGCGCCTGCGGAAGCACCGGAACTGCACATCTCACGAACTGGCTGTGTAGCAGTAGCTGCCGAAATGAAAGCTGCCACAGTATTCATGAAGCGGACTCTTCTGATCGTATTGAACACAACTGGCTTGGACGCCTTCCACGCAGTCAGGAGCCATTCGACTCGCTCAACCTCCAAATCGGAGAGTCCAGCGCTCACCGAAAATGACGATGGGTTGATCGTGCTCACAGCATTCATTAGACAGTCTCCTGGACGACTCACCCACCTCCACCATCCACGCATGTCGATTGCACACCGGTCTCTGTACCTTTTGTATGCATACAACCAGTACATGAACTCTTGGCGATCTGAGCAAGGGTCTGGGATGGCCTGGACGACAACCGTCTTGTCATTTGGTGGTTCCAAGATTACTGCCGCTTGCTCAAAGTGCAAAGCCAGGTATCGGCCATCGCTATCCATATCGAGCCTGTTATGCTCCAGATATCTACTGCGTGCATCCACATTGTTAGGCGATCTACGCAAAACGCCGACCATGTGCCTAATCTGCTTTCCGCTCCTAATACTCGACTTGCTCAAAATATCCCCAGACCAATCCGGCATACCCACTAGTGGGGTGGAGTCCTTTGGCGGGATCCTGGGGCTAATCGTGCCTGAAGCCAGTACCTCCTCGACATCCATAGGCTCAACCGCTTCCGAAATGCCTGCTACATAGGAATGGTGTGTGTGCTGCTTAGCTATACCGAACAAATCACTTTTTTTTTACCAAACGTCCCTACATGCTATATGATTTTCATACCTAGTTCCTGCCTTTCGGCATGTGAGAGAGAGCTTCCATATTGGCCAAGAGTATCTGCCAGAGCCTTCGTTTTGCCACCCCATTCATTGGAAGATGTGTCTCCAGGGTTGCAATTGCTCTGAGGTATGGCATTTTCCTCATCTGAGAGGGACCTCATGTGTGACTCCTTGCTATGAGCAGAATTGCGCAGGGTTCGACATAGTGTCTTCCTGGACCTGAGATCTTTCGCCAGCTCGTACTTCTCCAGAACATCCAACAGGCTGGCGGACGTTGCTAGTGATTCCCAAGTAACCTGTCCATCACTCCAAGTCACCAAAAAGTAACGGCGAAGTGAAGGATCGGCCAACATGCCTTTGATATTTTTGATCATACAGGTAGGCGACCAGGATGCACTATTGACCCTGCTCCATCCATGAGTGGCCCCCCACATACCACGGCGAATCCTATTCATGGACTTGGCCCCTCGTTTATTTAGCGCATTAGCCTGACTGGTACTTTTGCCATTTTCTGCATCGACATCCTGAGCACCAAACACCGAAAGATTATTAGCAAACGCATCGAGTGCCTCGTCCACGATACTCGCAATTCCCCTGTTCTCGAACCGGTCAACAGACATTGGTCTGGGTAAGCCGATTCCTTGGCGCATGTCGCTGCACTTCTTCTCAAAATTTTCGACTTCCTCCTTGCAGTTCAGTGTTTCCTTGGCATCTATCCAACTTGCGTCCTCTATCCTGTACCCTTTCCAAAACACCAGGTACTCGACACCTCTCTGAAGGGAGATTCGCCGTCCAATTATACGTTCCACCTCATATTCATCTGCGTCCCTTTTCCTCGCCATACTAGCTATAACGGTTAATCGATGTTAAGCAAAATATGACTGCTGGTATCGTTTCCTTCCTTTATGAGTGGGCAAATGTAAAATAACGAGCAGTTGCTTCGATGTGGAAGGAAACCATGCATTGCTGCAAGTATGAATGAGGGGACGGATTTATAGTCAGAGTGCCACGAGTCTGCTGATAGCCAGCTTTGGTTGGTTTTTTACACAGCACAAATCGCATTTTCCCTATATGTGAGTCCTGTCCTTAATTGGCTCATTGTTCAGACTTTAGAGCATGCATGAGTGAGGATCAGCGACAGGTGGTATTGCAGTTTTGGCATATATTGCACCATTGGAATGCCATGGCCAGCATAGCCATGCTGCTTCCAACAAATCAGAGCCCTAGCATCACCAAGCATGTGGTTGGCGATCTGCGCAACAAGTTTAAATTTGGAATGCTGCAACACCACTGCAAGCCGCCTGGTGGTTAAAGATACGTGTACACTTATCCATATACATAGCGGTGGAAATAGCGATCTGCATGCACCACTGAGTAGAGAGCAAATAGAGTAGCAATGCCAAAGTGCACGGGTCGGGAATCAATGGTTGAGAGATAAAAATCATTTGCCGATTTTCACTACTTTTGTTCTGTTCACAGCAAATATCCTCAAGGCGCTGGTTCCTCGACTGAACGCATCACATGAGTATCTTAGCCTTGAAGCTACATGCACACAGTGTATATTGGTCCTCGGCATACAGTGCTTCACTGGCGGGGCTAATTCCGGCCCTAATGTCACTCTGAGCTTCTGCTAAGGTGCTTTCATCGATTCCAGAGCAAGCTTCCGAAGCCCTTGTCATAATAGGTAACATTGAGTGGTGTCCTGTATACTAGCTTTCAATCCAGGCATGCAAGTTGGCTACTTTAGCCCTCCAAACCAACCAATATCCCTCTCTCTCCTCTCTTCTTTGCTAGGGGTCTTTCTTAGTATTTCTCATAGAGTATCAATATTGTTGCCTTATTTCAGCACATTTTACTCACAAAGCGTATTAATTTTCTTTAAACGCACAGTATTCGCTCTATGCTGGTGACAATTAGAGGTGTTTATCAATATATACACGCAACAGCTATATATACAATACCCCTTTCTTTACCCAAAATAAATTCTGTAGCATTCACATTACGGACACTGTCTTCACAGCACATTTAGCCAATATTCAATGGCTGCACTGACAAATAGACTAATAATGCGCTGATATTCTATCTCATAAAACTTTGCTAACAGTGTACTTTTGTCTTAACACGTTATGAATTCCCACAGAGTGCACTCGGACTACATCTGCAGTATTTCTGTCCTTGGTCTCTGGTAGCAAAAACCAGCAGAAAACCACACCAAACACATTGCAGATGCCAAAAACAACAAACGAGTATCCGCCTATAGCGCTCTGCATAGGTGGAAATACCAGGCCAATGACGACCATGAAGAAATAGTTGACCGTGCTGCCAATGGAGCCAAATGCAGCTGCAGCATACGTGGGCGTTAATTCGCTGCATGTGAGCCATGGAATTGGCCCCGAGCCAACAACAAAGGCAACATAATGCACAAATACCATTGTGATTGCAAGGATATTAATATGCCCCACGGTGCCCACAACAATAAATATGCATGCAATGGCCATGCCGCCATGCGAGACCAGCATTAATGGCCGACGCCCGTAGTATGCGGACAGGATCACCCCAGCCAGTGTCGCTAGCGCAGCAACAAGAGAAAGAACACTGGTCAGGATCTGCGCCAGTGTCGGAATGTTTGCAGGGTTGCCGGTGGTGACTGAGCTGAAAATTGATGTCGAGTAAAACGACAGAGAGCCAACACCACACGACTGCTGGAGGAAATTAACTGTGACTATCACTAGCAGTTGGTGGCGGAGGTTTTCTGGCGTTCGTCCAGCTACGACGTCGTAAATGTTGGCAACGAATGCGCCGTCGCCCATCTCTTTGCGCACGTCGGCGACCATTTGGTCGAACTCGGCTGTGCAGTCGGCGCCCTGGCGCAACTTCTCCAGCGATTCGCGGGCCAATTCGAGCCTGTCTTTCATGATTAGCCATTTAGGCGACTCGACACAGAACATCAGCAGCTGGATGTTCACCAGTGCGAGGACGCCGGTGATGGAGAACAGAATGCGCCAATAAGGCGGGTTGGACATTCCCAACGAGACTGCCTGAGACACGGCAATTCCTAGTGCAATGCCCATCTGGAGCAGAAACCCAAGCACATTCCGAGCCTTGGGCGTAGCCGCTTCGACAATATACGCGGTGAACGTGCTATTAGCACATCCAATGCCCAACCCTACGCATATGCGTCAACCACCAGCATTGAGATGTTAACCGCCAGAGATAGAAACAGCGCGCCGATGATGGAAAAGACCCGGCAATAGGCGAGCACTGTTTTTCGGCCGTACCGGTTTGAGAAGGGTGTACAGAACAGAGCGCCCAGCATCGCACCCAGTGGCATGCAGGAGACGATTACTCCCCAAACGGTGGGGCTCATGGGGATGCATGATGGGAAGGGCCCGATCCAGTGCAGGGGAGAGGTGATGCAGCGGGAGATTACATCGCCAGGGACGTTAGTTGCACCAATGTCCCAGCCGTAGCCGACGCTACCCAGAGAGCCAACAAGGGCGCAGAAGAGCTGGTACTTTGTGATGCCCAGTTCGCGGGAGTCCGTCATTGAATATAGCAAATGCGTAGGGATGGGATGTTTGTGGAAATGAAAACCAAGGACCAGCACCCGGCTGGGTTTATATTGGGCGTGGGATTGATATGCCAAGGCAGGAAATGTGCGTGTGTGCGAACGTGGAAGCTTGCGCTCTCAAGAGCTTATTTTTGACACTCTATGCTACCCGTGCCATTTTGTAATATTTTTCAGCACGGGTAGGATGGTATGCTTAGATTAGCAAAAAAAACCAAATAAAGACCGTGCAGTTCAACGCCGATTGCAGGCAAGTCGTTCCCACACGCTTGTCAGAATGTGATGTGCCAAAGCGCCCAGAGGACCGATTTCCGATCCGGTAATTGATTTCTAATTTCTGTCAACCGCCTGTTGGGAATCAAGGATCCTCGACGACTGGATTTTCCGCGCCAGCTAGCTGCCGTGTGCCCGCGGGCCACCCAGCGCAACGTTGGGGGGAAGGCGACGATGTGGGCTGAGCTGTGCAGAGCGTGGAACAGCAGGACTCCAGCGTGTACTAATGTTGCACAAACCGGTGTTTTCCTCCTTTCAAATGAATTCTATCGGGCGGCGAGTGCTGACATTGTCCTGACAAACTCCCATTTGCACCTATTTTCCGGGGCCGTCGCACCAAGCACTGGCGAAGGTATGACGGCGATCATCTACTAGGTATAGTCGTGGCTTCTGACCACACCTACCTGCAGATGAATGAGCAAGGCCGCCAAGACTGTGGTGAGAGCAAACTGAGAGCGGCGAATTAGATCGGCGGTGTAAAGCGAGCTGGATCCACAATGAATGAGGGTAGAGCCACGTTTCGTCTGGGGTCGTCCATTCCCAGGGCATGCGCGGTCTATTTCACGACATCGTGTCTCTCAGTTCATTGGAAGTCAAAAACTGCCGTGCAGCATCTGCTCGAGTACAGGCGAGGGTGGGCATAAGCATTTTTGGCGCAATCTGGCTGACGCTATGCGGATAAAAACACCAGTACCACCAGCCTACTGCTGCGGCAAATAAAACAGTGCTATCCTCAGGGTGTATATAGATCGCACTGAGATAAAGCCTACTGTCACTGTTGCCGATGACGCAAGGACACATTTTTCAAGGTGTGTATTTTGTGCAAATGTAGTGGAAAGCCAATAACTGCCAGCATCAAAGCCGCCTCATGCCAAGCGAGGCGCTGGCGTTGAGCAGCTGCGGGCGAGATGCGTGGCGACTGTGACGATGACAACGGCGGCCCAAGCCCTGCATCTGGTGACAGACTTGGCTCTCCACAGTGCAACGCCAGGCGGTGGCGGCAGCAGCAAAAAGCCAGAAGCTTTCCCGCTTGATTGCTGGCGCTGGCAGCCGAAAGAAAAAGGGCCAGGCTCTCAGTGACCTTTTCAGCACACGGTTGGCTGGGCGTGGTCCGGGCCAATCGGGTGGCGACTTCAAAGTAGGCGGTTTCAGGAAATTGAGAGCAATGCGGGCACACCCAACCGAAGCTCCTCCCCGGCCTGGCAGGCGAGGAGGTTTTTTGTTTTGGCTGCTGGGCTCACAATTATATAAGGAGTCTCGCCTGGCCCAACGGCCAGTTCTCGAGGCTCCCTTGTTTTTATCCATTTCTTGATCAACAGCCGCCATCACCATAGCCATGTCGACAGCCATTGCCTCTACAACCGCCCTGCAGGGACCCGCCCTGGAGTACAGCAGCCACTCGCAGCTGCTCCGCACGACGGCGTGGTCACTGCGCTCGCTAATGCGCACAACAGACCGGCTGGCCAGCGGGCCTGGGCTGCGCGGCAACTTTGGCCACATAATTCCAGCCTCGGCGACCCTGCCGTCCATCGAGGTGTTTGTGAACAGCATCACCGCCTCGCTCCACATCAAAGCCGCAGTGCTCGTAACAGCGCTTGTATACGTCGAGCGGCTCGGCCACCGGCTGCCAAAGAGCGCCCAGGGCACGGCTGACACCCCATACCGCATTTTCCTGGCTGCGCTAGTGCTGGCCGACAAGTACTGGTCAGACTACGCAGTCAAGGCAAAGAGCCTGGTCAAGGCGGCTGGCGGGCTGTTCCAGCTCAGCGAGATCTGCGCCATGGAGCGCGCAGTGCTGAAGATCCTCGGGTTCAGACTGTATGTGTCGACCGAGGAGCTGCGCCAGTACGCCGACAAGCTGTCTATCGATCTCGACCAGGCCTGAAAAGAGAAAGCCAACCAAGCATGCATCACCCCTGCGCAGGGTCTCCTCTCTGCCGTCCACCCACAGTACATATCCCCTCTCACCCCCACCCCCTCCCTGTTTATAGCTGTTTTAAATGAAATTCAAGATGTTTTCAAGCTTGTCTTTTCTGTACACTGAGAATTGGTCTACCGCGTTGACTCCTTGAGCTGGCCCTCGAGTATTTCGCGCTCCATCAGCAGATACTTTATATACTCGACGGTCTTTTGCAGAATCAGCGCCTCGCTGCGCTGCGACGGCGTCAGTGTCGGCACGATCTGGATAAGCTGATCGTAGCCAGCCCGGATATTCTGCCGGCGCTTCTGCTCAGACGCAATGTGGTTCGCCTTCTTTTCCTCCTCCGTCAGCAGCTCGCCCTTCTTCTTTGTAATGCGCGTTACTCGTGGCTTCCTGGGCTTGCCAGACGACCCGGAGGGCTGCTGCTGCATCTCAGCCATCATTGAGGCAAACTGCTGGTCGGCAGGCGCGGATCCGATCAGCCCCGGGAGTTGTGGTTTTGTTTCGTTGTCCATGTGCTTTTTTCCTGAAACAGGTTTTGGACGTGTGTGTGTGTACAAGAGCGGCTAAAAGAGCGGCACAAAAAGTGGGCAATTGCAAAAGGGCAAATGGAGAGAGCTAGGAAACAGAGTGAGAGAAAGAGCGTTCCAAGGCTGCAAGAAGGGACAAGGGGTTTCAGGGTTCCCTATTAAGAAACAAATAATGTGGGAACGACTGGCGATGGCCAGTTCAAAGGGAGAGCTTGTGCGAGTGGGAGGCAAGAATTATGCGGGAAAGCAGCGCAGGCTCTGATGGCGAAAAAGGTGAATATAGCAGTGTGAGGAAAAGTATTATATAAGGGCGTGTAGCACTAGTAGAGACAAGAAGAGCTGTGCTTGCTGCTGCAGAGAAGGGAATCTGCTGTCCTTGGTCTATTTGCGCCCGTTCACAAGACGAATGCACCTGGCACGTGAATGTGCGGGCGCCCACAGAATCAGCCAAGGCCTTCCCCTAGATGTTGGAATTTCCAAACACACAACCTCGAGTGGTGTTGCATTGCTTTTCTGTCTAGATTCACATGCGGCCTATGCCCCCCCCCCGCAACTTGCACCGTACCCCTTTACCAGTCTCGACGGTCCGCGTGGACTGTTAAGAGCATGTCATCCTATATTAGCTTTGCCACCAAGGCCCTCATGTGAAAAATCTATTCACTCGTCACCACTGTCGTCGTCCTCTGACAGATCCTCGTTCTCAAACAGCGACGAGTCCACGGCCACATCGCCCTCCGAGATAAACTTGGAGTCCGACTGCGCCAAGGACCGATCTTGCTCAAACAGCTGGCGCCCAGTGAGCATCATATCCGACTGCTTCTTTGAGTCCGCCGTGCGGCGCGCCGTGCCCCGCGACTCAGCCGCCGCCAGCGCAGCCTTCTTCGTCTCAGCCCGCTCCAAGTCAAACCTCTCCTTCCACTCGAGGAAGCTTGCCCGAGTCACCTGCGTGCCGATGAACTTGGCCTGGTCGGCTTCAACCTCCTTCTGGATCCGCTCGTCCTCCTGCCGCTTGATCTCTGCAAGCTTCTCGATAAGACGCTCGGCCATCAACTCCTTGACATGCATCGCCATGTTGAACACCATAGCCATCCCAAGACTCTCTTCGCCGATCACGCGCGTCTTCTCTTTGAACTCTTCCAAATCGTCGTCATCGAGCTCTGCCTCGGGTTCCGGCACGTTCTCGTCCTCAGAATCTGCGTCGGCGTCAGCATCAGGCAGTTCCAAGTCAAATACTGGCAGCTCGTCGGGGTACGTTGCTGTGTATTCCACCGTCAGGAGCACCGTACTGGCCGGCAGCTCGTCATCTTCAAGCGCAATCTCAATCGAAAACCTGTATGGAGACTCAGCAAGCTCCGTGAACTCGCTCGGGTAAATCGATTGCAGGATCTCCACCTCGCTGCGCTGCTCTTCCAGATAGTGCTCGTCGGACATGCCTTTTAATGTAATTAACCTGAACTTGAGAGAGAGGGGAAAAAAAGCTATCGAAAATTGCACTCTAAAATCGGACATCCATGATCAACCTATGGCTAAGGCCTACGAAGCCAACCTGCCAGAGCCAGTCGTTGTGGGAATGGAAATAAAATTAAAAAAAAAAAAAAAAAACCCTGCTGCGGCTAATCTCATTATCTCGCTGACGATTTACTCTGAGGCCTGAAGTTGTCCGAGCAGGTGCTCCAGATGCTGGACTTTCGACGAGAGGCCCGAGTCCAGGATGGCACTGAGTTTCGCACGCAGCGGTCCAGAGTTGCTTGTGGGGATAACAAGCCGCTTCAGATTAGGCATACGAGCCAGGAACATCGCCAAAGCGTGCAGCTTCTGAGGCGAGACTCCCTGGGGGAGTCCGTCCTGAAGGTTAAAGTACGCCAGCGATATGCTAATAGGCACATACTCGCTGGGAACCCTCAAGTCGGGATGACCTGTATCAAGCAGATTGTCCTCTAGCATTTCATATGTTGTGCATAGCTGCTTGAGGCGTGGAAGCTGTCCCAGAAGCTTAACCAGCTGCCCACGGCCGCATTGGACGTACAATCTGAGGCATTGCAGTTGATTGAGCTGGACGTCATCTGGGACTGTAAGCCTTGCACTAGTATAGGAGTTCAGATAATACGACACCTCCAGTGTCTTGATGCGAGAGTTGGAAGCAAGCAGCGGGTGAGTCCAGTAAGGCGAAGTCGAAAAGTCCGAGAGAAGTAGATGGTTGAAGACCACCTTGAGGCTATCGAGATTTGCAAGCGGAGTAAGATCAAGTTGAGCCCATCCAGGGTGATCATGAACCACCAGCTCTGAGATCTGGTACAGAGGGAAATGGCTCAAAAAGTTGTTGATGTCACCAAGGAAATTCTCAACACCAAGTTTTCTGAGCGCACCGAACCTAGCATTCCTAGGAGCTGCTACCTGGCAGTCCCCAACATCATCCTCAAACTTGAGGTAAAGCGACTCCAGCTCATTGAAAGCTAATGGCTGGCAGCCATTCCAAGTGTGGAAGTGCTCCCAAAGGGTTCCTGGGTCCACATTATTCAGCCGCAGTGACTTGATAGTAGGTGCGAATATTCTAATCGGCCTGAGATACTGGTCACCAAAGCCCACCTCTCTATCCTCATGCATCCCCACGTTCACAGTAACATTTTGCACCGTCTTTGGCAGGTCTCCCAGGCGGACAAAAAAGAAGTCTGTATCGATAATGTCGATAGAAACCAACGAGCTCACCATGCTGTGCAAAAGAACCTCGATCAGCGGCTCGCCGTACGCACCATCGCCTCTGTAGTAGTAGATCACCTTCTTCAGGCTCGGCAACGCCTTACACAACTCGTCATTAAGCTCTGTCAGCCGGTAGTTGATGGCACCAGGAAGTCGATCGTCAGAGTCCGGGACATGCTCATTGGCATCAGCGCCTACTCTTGCAACGCTGACTCCTTCATCACCTGGGCCATCACTATTGCCTGTGTTAATCCCGTAGATACGCAAAGTCGTGATATTTGGCCACACGCGTCCCAGGAACTTCTTCTCTACTAATTTCTCCAGTAACTCGCTGGCGCTGATGCACGGGTTAATACGCAGTTCAAAACACCTAGCTTTATGAATATTCCCATGCTCCACGATAGTAGGAATGTTCGTAGACACCAAGAACTCGCCCCTTCCGTTGACATGTGCGTTTTCATCAGGATTATAGAATCCAGCCATGGCAGTCTTGTACATAGATGACTGCACGTCGCCATGGTACCTGCGGCTCACAGCAGTCGATTGAATGTCGAACCTTGCCGCATTGGTAAAGAATTCAGGCTCATCCTCATGATCACCCAAAAAATAGTCATTCCCAGGACTGCTCACAGAACGAAGGTTGTCGAATATTATATCTAGCACTTCGGGTGCAGCAGAATCGAAAAATGACATGGCTGAAAAGGCTTTTTGCTATAGATGGCGTTTGTTGGCTAGTTGGATGTTAAAGAAAGGATGAATTAGGAAGAGAACAGCGAATGATGCGCAGCCACCAGCGTATATTTATATCAAGGCTATTAATGATACTTTTGTCGGTATTGCTGATCATTATCAGACTCATCATCGCCGTATTAGGAGCCTTCAAACTAAATATACACCAAAAGTCAGGGAAATAATCAAAAAGGAAATTTCAGACATGCATAAAATTTATTGTTTGCTACAAACACAAAAAGGTACAAAACAACAAGACCATCACACGCTTCAGTTTATGGTAGGGTAAGCCCGACACCTGCTGGGTGATACAGTTCAAGGAAATAAGTGCTGTATGTTTCCACACAGCCTCGTACTTGTCGTGAACATCATTGCATTTGTTTTCTCTGAAAGCGTTGCTGTGGCAGTATAGAAACTCACAACGACAGTCAGACTTCTAAATCTGAGTCGCAGTATCTAAAGTTCCATGCCATAACCTCTCCTGAATACAGTGCGTGGTGCACCAATACTACCCAATCACCGCATAGGCGACTCAATTATTCATGAGATATGAAATGAATGAGCTGGATGTTGAACATTCAGAAGTACATTGATAATCTTTCTGCCAATCCTAGCTAGCTTGTCAAAATTGCACTCATGTTTTGGTACTGTCACTGGCTCGGAATAACAAAGAACCGGTTGTCTAAAGGCTAGCTGAAGCAGAGTAGTGCTATGAACATCCCTCTAACTGGCACCATCTCAGTTGCCCTGGGGTTGGATATGCTGAGTGCAGGAAAAAGGACGTGAGCTACTCGATTTCCTATGTATCTTTTTGACGACCCCTCCGCATGCTGGTCAGCAGGTCAAACACTTGCAGTATCGTGCACAGTAGACAATTCGTGTATGCTGAGAGAACGATTTTTGCTTTGCAATGCAAGTGGTTAAAAAAATAACACTATCAAAATAGGACAAGCAAAAATGATTTCTGCCGGGTTCGAACCGGCGACCGTCTGCGTGTTAGGCAGACGTGATAACCAACTACACCAAGAAATCTTCACGCTTCCGAGCAGGTTCTCTGAAATACATATATAAGCCAGATGGTCCATACACCACCTACTTTTCAATGATACCTCTGCCTATGGCTCCCCAGCTGCCTTTGCCCATTAGCCAAACTTCCTATCTGCAATGAAATAAATACCAAAATTCACCTGTAGTACAGACAAGTCTCATTGTTATAAAGATATTATAGGATACCCTATTTCTAGATTAGTTCCTAATAAGATTGCTTATTTCTCCTAGCATTATGCTTCCCTTATGAATATACTTAAAATATTTGCCTGGTTTATAAAAGAATTGCATTTGCTTACTATTTAATATACTATTTTCTAAACCTATATATTTAATAGTTTAACTAAAGTATACTTAGAGGATATATAAAGTTTATTATCTACTTATAAATTATATATGCATATTATAACTAGTAGTAATTTTAGTAAAATAAATTTTTTGCCTAAACAACTATTAGTATCTTAGAGATATTTTAGTAAATATAGTTTCCTTATATTTACTCAGCCATATCTATTGAGATATTAACTTTTGTAGCCCAAAGATAATTAACCCTAAATATGCAAAGTTTTTTCTTTCTAGTTAAAATCATATTTATAAAAAACTTTTCTAAGTTACTAATAGCAGTTTGGTAAAATAGTATGAAAATATGTCTTAGTTATTTAAATAATTAATTGTAGAATAGTTATTTACTACTAATTATTTTTAATATAGATATTATTAATTAATATATCTAGAATGTTTCTATATATATAAATGATTACTAAGTTGAAGAATGACCCCCTAGCTAAAATTTTTTAGGATGCTGATAGGGGTTTCAGAGAAGCACTATATTTGGTAAATAAATAAAAAATTTCAGATAAATTAAATACATATCTAGTAGTTTAGTAACTATGAATATCCTCCATAATAGTTTAAAGTAAAACTACTAATTTTTATCCCTATTTGATGAAGTGCATATTGATGGAAATTTATCTGAAGAAATAGCTAATACTCTGTATGTGGTCTGCAAATTCTGCATACTTTGGTGTCTTCATAAGAGTCTCTATAATATCACCAAGGTATGGTTCAAGGCTGTATGAAACATACACTCGCTTGAGAGATGGAATAAGTGAGATAAGCAGTACCAGTCTGTCGATTGTAGCTTCATTGGATGTCTCGATAGCCAAATTGACATCCAGTTCAAAAAGACGATCCCTGCCAAGTGGATAGTGAGTACCGCGAACCTTTTGCACTTCATCCAAATGAAGATTGTACTCATCTTCCAGTGAGTTATTGCCTTGATGATCATCAAGGCATAGGGACAACTTGGTGATGTTTGGGAGCAAGCCAATGAGTGATATTACTTGAGCGTAACTGAACCGCACAGTTGTAATGTCCAATATCCGGAGGTTGGCAGCACATATAGAGTCTTTGAGTATTGTGAGCACCCAATCGGTATCCCACAGAAACCAGAAGTCGATCATTAGCTGCTGCAAGTGTGACGAAATGCTGAATTCCGAGGTTATCGCATGTTCATACCACTCTTCCGACTTGTTTTCGCTGGTGTAATCCCATGTAAGGTTTACGCAGTGTAGGTGGGGATACTGGCTGTGCACATGCCCATCGACTAGAGTGATAATGGGGGGTGATGCTTCAGGCATATCTAGAGTGATCGTCTCTAGCGTCTCCGTATTGGGTTCAACGAGAATATCCTGGGCGAATGGGTAGTGGTGCTTGCATTTGACATGCTTTAGAGCTGGAAACGGCTTTCCTGGTGGCAGATCGTAGCGGGTGGTGACATCATCGTCATCCAGTTCAATCGATAAGGCCTGAAGATTGGGGTATATGATCAGACTGCCTCCGTCGTGCTGTATCAGGTGCAAAAAATCGGCTGATGTAGCATTGACCAGTTCAATACTCTTTAATGTTGCTGCGCTGCGGTATAAAAGCTCAAAGAATGACCCGCCCAAGGATAAGTCAAAAAGCGTGATATTCTCCAAGTTGGCAATGAATGGTAGTTCGCAGACTCCAGGGCCAAAGTATGCGTCAATAAACGTAACTGAAGCGGCTCTCGATGCCATTGATGCAGCAAACTCCATTAGCAGCTTTCTATGGTGATGCTGTGGCCCGATATCCATACCAAGATAGCACCTTTGGATATGCGGAAACAGCCTGTTGAGCTGAGCAGTTGTCCTTGCGATCTCCTGAGCGGCCATAGCGCTGTCGATATCAGAGTTGCTATCAGGTAATCCAGTCAAAATGACTTGCAAATCAACTGGCTTCAGAAATACAGCGTCTCCAGTAGCGCCAGCTGCGAGTTGTTGAGCTACTGTGCCGTTCAGAATATCGGTGCACGAATGATTCATGGCGACAGACTTTACAAGCCCTTCGGCACCAGAAGTCACAGCAGTAAGGAGCGTTGGAAGCCAGCAATGATCCTCTGTAAGCATGGCGAAGCCGAGATTCGTCTCGTCTACTACTTCCTGGTACAGTAGCTGTAGAGCAGTAAGTCGCCAGTGCCGACAAATGCTGAGAAACGGCATAAAGCTCGGACGTATGCCGGTTGGACTCTTATCATAAGTACGGACTGTGCCACGCAAAACGCCCGACGTATACTCGATTATCAGCTCGATAATGTGGGGTGGCAGACTAGAAATATCAACAGACATTAGGGTAAAGGTTTGGAAAAGATAGAGAAGTAGGAGAACGGTTCACAGTTTGCTTCCAAGCCCAGCTGCACTAGACAATGAAAACAGCACTATACTGGCTGGTTCTACAGCCTTGATGGCCGATCCATCGTGCATCATCATATCCCTTTGCTAAGCTAGAGTTGAGCCGCTGAGCATCTGTACTCTTCCAAGCAATGTATAGCTGGTACAAGGAATACTGAGTATAGCTGCGCATGGGCACCAGAACGTTCAGAGCCACTATGTGCATTTAATGATGTGTTGTGTGAATAGCAATTCGAGGGCTGGCTTACTGTCGCAGTTTATTGGGCTTTTTCAGCTCTGCTCGTAATGGCTAAACGGTGCATTCCAGCTTTCAAAATAAACGAAAGTTCAGCAGCATCCAAAGACTGGTTACACGTGCGACGCCAGATCATCACTATCTGCTTCAGTAAGCAGCCCATCGTTCCTGGCGGAGGGCAGTTGCATCGCACACTGCACTCTGGACATTCCAGTCGTCCCATGCAACACCGGAAAGATAAGCAAAGGTGTCTATTTTACTCAACTGAAGCCAGCAATAAGAACTCTCCGGCAAAAGGGTATGGCGAAATAGGCTACTGCTTACTCGTAGATGACGTTGTCAACAGCACGCGAGTACGACTTGATGTTGTCACCGAACCACAGAGCAACCTCGCGCTCAGCGGACTCGACCGAGTCGGAGCCGTGGCAGACGTTCTTGCCGATGTCCAGGGCGAAGTCGGCGCGGATGGTGCCGGGAGCCGAGTCCTGGGGGTTGGTGGCGCCGAGCATGACGCGGCCGATCTTGACGGCACCCTTGCCCTGGATGACGAAAGCAGCAACGGGGCCCGACTGCATGTACGCCAGAAGCTTGGGGAAGAACGGCTTGTCAGCCAGGTCCTTGTAGTGCTCCTGCAGCAGCTCCGCCGACGGGTGGATGAGCTGGAGGGCGAGGATCTTGAATCCGCGCTTCTCGAACCGCGAGACAATCTCGCCGACAAGGCCGCGCTCGACGCCGTCGGGCTTGACCATGATGAAGGAACGCTCCTGGTTGGCAGACATGGTGGATGTGTGGTGGGTTATGACGTGCTGGCTGTTGCGATTAGCGAAGCAGAAAAAGACAAAGAAGAAGAAAAAGGAGCAGACTGCGAAGGGCCGCATCGTTTGGGGCCGACTTTATATGGCTGTCGAGTACTGAGAAGCAAGAAAAAACTTTTCGTAAACAAATTGGATATGCTGTAGAGTGGCAACGACGATCCCCTTCCTGTACACCAAGCCCAAGCGACGGTCACAACTGGTTGATTGAAATTCGCAGATGGATTACGAAACATCAAATTTTGGGATTGGGGTTGGGTTTGGATTTGTAATGCCTGCGATCATCATCACCGCTGTTCAGATGGGCTGGCACTTGCGCCTTCACGTTTTCCTGACACCTTTTGCTATCAAATGTTCGCCTCAAAATTAGCAACCTTGACCCGGAATCCGCCCCGACTGCTGAATCTGCCGTCACTGGCTCGGAGCAGCGCTCTGCTGAATGCAAAGAGCACACTCGCAGTCGCTCGTAACCTGCACAGCCTGTCGAGACAGCGACCATCAGCGCTTTCGCAGAATATTGCGCTGCAAAGTGCTACTCCTCGTGGACAGCAGTGGCGTGGGGCTCGCTGGGATCGGTACACTAATGCCGATTATGGATCCAAGCGTGGCAGCAGCTATGGCAGCAATCCGAACCCAGGCGGCTTCTTTTCGCGACTGTCGCCTGAAGCCCTCGTCTATTCAATCATTGGCGCAAACGGTGTAGTGTTCTTGGTATGGAGCTCTGCACAGCAGCGGCAAAAAAGCTTTGGCGATACCAAGCTGCTGAGGTGGATGGTGGACAACTTTAGCGCGACATACATCAACCTGACATCGGGCCGGGTGTGGACGCTGTTAACGCCGGCATTCTCACATATAGAGCCCATGCACTTGATGGTGAATATGTTTATGCTGTACACGTTTGGCACCGATATGGCACGGCTGCTAGGGCCGAAACGCTTCCTGATGTTCTACCTGGGAGCAGCAGCATTCGGAAACCTGCTGAGCGATTTGATCCGCGGTATCTACCTGCCGGCCAAGACCGGCAACTACAGAACGGCAGCTCAACCGGCGATTGGCGCATCGACCTCGGTAGTTGGAACCACAACACTATTTGCGTGCCTCTACCCGCATGCTACGCTACAGCTCTTCTTCATTGTGCCTGTGCCGGCATGGCTTGCAACTGCTGGCTTTATCGGCTGGGATGTCTACCGTGTCATGCGCTCGGATCGCACCAGGGTCGATGGTGCAGGCCATCTTGGCGGTGCTGCTGCTGCTCTTGGATACTACTGGTTCCGTCTGCGTCCGCTCATTAGAAGGATGCGCTAGACATGACTGCATTCATTAGAGTTGTACTGCCCTTTTCTGACAGCAGAGAGTAGCCTTGGTTGTATGATGAGCCTCCAGTACCGATTTGGAGTCTAGTCGACTAGGCACAGACTAGCCTCTTCGTATGTAGCATATGTGGTATATATACCGTGTGCCAGTCGGCCCGGTCCCAATGATAGCCATGCTCCGCTAGTCCTCCATTTTAAATGCTGTCCTCTACCCCGGCTGCGTGTTGGGTCTGGGTTGTTGGTGCAATGGCCAAGTGGTGGGCGATATAAAAGTTAGGATAAAAGGCAGTAAATAAAAGGCAACATGTGCCAAGCACTAATACTGCAGTGCAGGTGCATGGCAAAATCATTCTTCACATGGGCAATGCCTTGAATTCCAACTTACAATTGCAGTCAACGTCTCAGCGCCATTCCCACCCGACCGTGGCCATGCGAAAACAGAACAATGCTCTGCTGCATTTTGGACAGGTACCAAGATGTGGCCGGGCAAAACAAAGGCACAGCAAGTATCTCGGGCAGCGTCCTTTTAGCAAATGCGCCAGCTTGCTTCGCTTGCCCCGTCGTTGGATTTGCATTTTTGTTTACTGTAGAACTTCGCTCTGCATCATATTTTCCCATCCCATTTCTTTAGCTAATATATCCAAGATGTCAGACATCAAGCACACTATAGCCATCGAGGAGGGCGAGATCGTCGTCCCTCAGGTCGGACCCGAGCGCGATGCCATTACCAAGCGTCTCCTGCACAAGCTCGATATGCGCCTTGTCACTTATATGTCGCTGTTGTACCTTTTCAACACTCTTGACCGCGGAAATATTGGCAATGCGCGTCTTGGTGGTCTCGAAGAGGACACACACCTCACCGGCAACGACTTTTACAACGTGCTTTCCTTCTTCTACTTTGGCTACTGTATTTCCCAGGTGCCCAACATGTTTCTGCTCAAGAAAGTCAGCCCGTCGCTGCTGATCGGCGTGACCATGGTGCTGTGGGGCGTCTGCTCGACTTCTATGGCAGCGTGCAAGAACTACTCCAGCCTACTCGCCGCACGCTTCTTCATGGGGGTGTTTGAAGCTGGTATTGGTCCCGGCGCCCCACTGGTCTTGTCGTTCTTTTACTTGCGCAATGAGCTTGCATGGCGCACAGCTCTTTTCTTCGGCAGCTCAACCATTGCTGGCGCCTTTGGCGGAGCGATCGCTTACGGGGTGTCCAAAAATCTGGCCCACGAGAAGCTGGCACCTTGGCGGTTGCTGTTCATTATTGAGGGTATCCCTACAATTGCACTAGGCATATTCACAATCTTCTTCTTGCCCAACTCTCCCCACAAGCTCGAGAAGTGGTTTGTGACGCCCGAGGAGAAGCAGGTGGCCATTGAGCGTGGGCGCTCGGGACTCAACACCGACAATACTGTTTTGGACAAGCGCCAGCTGATTGCTGCCTTCAAGGACTACAAGAACCTCTTCACGTGTCTGATATATATCGGCCTGAATATCCCGCTAGCCTCGTACACGTCGTTCTTGCCCACGATTGTCAAGAACATGGGCTACTCGGACGCCAAGGCCCAACTGATGACTGTTCCGCCATATGCGTGTGCGCTGGTCACTGTGCTGCTGTTTGCATGGAACTCTGACCGTACCCAGCGCCGTGGCTACCATGTTGCTGGTGCTGGCTCAATTGCCTGCCTTGGCTATATCCTGTTGCTCTCGTCGGACCACATGCACACCAACTATGCTGGTGCATGCATCGTTGCCGTGGGGTTGTACCCGGTTGTGCCGCTGATGCTGTCATGGGTAGCCAACAACAATGTTGGACACACAAAGCGTGCGATCAGTGTGGCTATGCTCAACACATTCGGCCAGTGCTTCGCAACCGTAGGCACGCAGATCTACAAGACTCACATGGCACCACGCTTCTTCATGGGATATAGTGTGTGTCTCTCGTTTAGCTTTCTGATGATCGTCGTGGCGCTGTCCCTGACATACATTCTGAGGCGGGAGAATGCCCGCAGGGACGCCGAGTTTGGTGAGCCCAAGCTGTTGACCCCAGAAGAGCAGGCTGAGGCAATCCGCAGCGGCATCTACGACGACCACCCAAGCTTCCGTTATTACGTCTAAATCACAATGCTCTAGCGCAGCAATGAATTGCAAAATATAGCTTGGCATGCTTTGCTGCCTGCTAGTGACGTCGTCTACAAGCGCACAATCGATCGATCTAACAATGCAGATCAAATATAATCAGCACTGCAATGGCCACACGTGACTGGATGGGTTCTGCGTTCAATTGGCTGATCTCCAGCTCATGCAGGCAGCGATGCCAACAGCCGAGGTTTGCCAGGAAAGGTTTTTGCGCGTCTTCGAGCCATTGAGAAGTTTTCGGGCTGCTGTGATAAACTGCCCCGCCATCCTTTCCTTTCTCATCTTTTCGTCCGTTCAGCACACCCCCTAGTCGCTATTCTCTATTTTTATTCTCTCGGCCCTAGCTTATACTCTGTGCTCTTGCAATTCGCACCCTGCGGTTAATATCATTTACTTCCCCTGCCTAAAGAGTTGCCACCCCTTCTTTTTCGCAAAGCAAACAGGCGCTTACGTTTTGGACTGCTGTGCCTCTTCCACACTATCTCAGCCAGAGACGCAGGGTTCTGCCTTCCACCGTTCTGACACCTGCCTGTTTGTACTAAACATACTCAGGTTTCTAGCAGTCTGCTGGGCACACTCTACAAACATTCTACGCTACTTACACATAATTTTAAGCCTTCGATGTCGACACTTGAAGCAAGCAGCCTTTTGCCTTTTGATGGCTGGCAAAAACCCCCATGCCTCTCTCGGCAGCTAGCCACGCACCAGAACCTGGTAAGCGCGGTGCGCGGCAGTGGCGATGGCGTGACAAAGCGGGTCACGCGAACGCGCACAGTCAGCGACACACAGTGGAGCCGGGCGCGACGGCCGCGTGGGCAGCGCACCAGCATCGACGGACAGCACTGCGACTTGGACTACCGCACGCTTCTAGATGCGGAGCGGTTCATGGATGACACGGTGATATACAGGTCGCGGCGTCAGTACGTGTTGGCGCGTGGGCACAGGTGTGTGAAGATGACACTGACGCGGAGACGTTCTCACCCAGGCCATGTTGGCGCGCCGTCGTTGCCTACATCGCCACTGACATCTGATATCGATGGTGTGCACAGTGATCTGGAGGATCTCATCGCGCTGACAGACATGATGCCGGTTGAGAGCAGCGAGGCTGCGGCAGCCGAGGACTCTGAGGGCAAAAACACAGGCCGAGCCAAAGACTCTCCTGGAAACGCTGATTCCAGCAAAAGCAGCAATGACAGCAAGGAAAGCAATGATAGCAAGGACAAGAAGCCCAAGGGCCAGCGCGGCAAAGACAGTGGGCCAACAGAAGATGCAGAGGAGAATGCAGCGGAGGACTCGGGCAATAGCGAAGAAGAGAAAGACGAAGGCGACGATGAGGAGGAGGACGATGAGGAGGACGAGGATGATGGGGTGGTGAGGTGCGTGTGTGGAGAGCGCAATGACGGCGAGCTGATGATTCAGTGTGAGATCTGCCAGGTTTGGCAACACACGCTGTGCATGGGTATCCGCGACGAGAAGCACATCCCAGACAAATACTACTGCGAAAAGTGCCGGCCCGAAGACCACCCGTACATCAACTCGCGGCCACGCACAATCGTTCTTGCTGAAGCCAGTTCGATCGGTGCCACCACTATGATGCGCCGGTCTGCTGTTATGGCTGTGGCCAAAATGACCGCCCGTGAGGAGTACCGCGCAGCGGCAGCGGCAGCAGCTATTGCAGCGTCGGTGGCAGCAGCAGCTTCGTCGGGCGGCAGATCGGGCGGCAGCCGGCGAGGATCAAAAAAGCAGGCAGTCAAGTTGGAAACCGGTCAGACTACACCATCATCGAATGGCCGATCTACGCAGCCTGCCAAGAAGGGCCGGCGCAATCGTCGGCAAACGCGTGACCCTGACGAAGAGAGCGAGGGAGAGTACGATGCAAATTCTGGATCCAACAGCACCTCTGACAAGTCTTCTGGTAAGAACAGCAAAGGAGCTGCTAAGCGCACCGGCGGCGAATCTGCGAGTCGCGGAAAGCGGCGCAGGACCGGCGGAGCTGCATCCAAAGAAAATTCAAACAGCGGCAGCGGAAACGAGGAGGATGAAGGCAGATCCCCAGTCAACGACTCGTCTACTCAGCTGCCTGTACTGGACACCAAGATGCAGCGGATTGCTAAACAGACAGGCCGCGGCCGATCAGCATCGTCGGTGGTCAAGAGCAGCAGCAAATCACTTGCTGCTGGTTCACCGCGGCGAGGAAACAGGCTGGCAGGCATTCCGAATGGCATCGAAGAGGAGGGGGATGAGGGCGAGAAGAAACGAGTCCAGAGCATGCCGGGGTCGCCTCGGTCTCCTTCTCCGTCGCTGCAGTCGCTACTGCTGGAGAACGGCCCGGCAGGCAAGGGCGGACTGATGGTCGAGATTGGTGATGCGTCTGATGGCGGTCAGTCGACGAGGACCGATAAATCGAACAAGCGTAAGCGCAATGGTCGCAGTGGGGCTGTTGGGCGGGGCGGCAAGCACCAGCGGTTGACGCAGTCGGCGTCGAATTCCCCGTACATTTCTCAAGGGCCTAGTTTTGGCGACTCGGTATTTGGGGCCGATCAGCGCCAGGGATCGCGGCATGTCAGTCCTAGGGGCACCCCGGCAGGCATTGCCGAAGGTGATGATGAGTATGAAAATGGCGGCCAGGGTAGCATCGGCGATGGTGCAGAAACTGCAGGCAAGGACGAGGAGCACGCGCACCACCGACAACCAAAGCACAATTTCCCACCGATCGAGATGGAAGACGTTGATGGCAACACTATCACAGTGCCGTCCAACATGCTGAACTCGCACGGCCAGCCGATATACTCGTCGGTTACGCCTGAAACCATGTGCAAGATCCGGTATCCGCACAACCGTGCCAGCCTGCATGAGCTTAACCGTCGCGCGAAGCAGCTGCTGGATTGGCTGGGCAAGGCACAGTCTGAATACGAGCAAGAGCGCCTGACATGGCTCCGACCATTGCATTCGGGGGATGATGAGCAGCAGCAGGAGGAGGATATCGAGCAAGATACAAAGCCCGAGGGCGACTCGTCATCGATTCTCCCTCGTCAGCAGCAGCAGCAGCAGCTTGATCGCCGTCCGTCACAGGCGCTCTCAGAGGCACCCACGTCGCCAATCAACCCCAGCGACTGGCCTACCGACGACCCTGAGCTGCCACGCGAATTCCCTGCCGACGACGAGCCCTTGATGGAGACCGAAGCAGCGGCACCGGCAAATGAGGGAAAGCCAGCAGATCCCAGCAGGCCGAGACCCACGCTTTCGATCATGGAGGACCTGGTCTGGCGGCTGATTCGGTTCCAGGAAACGTACGCGATTTGACTTCAATATATTCTTTGTCGGCAAAAAGGCACTGAGACGTTTACTTTAGCGCATGTACTTTACGCGGTTCTTCTTGCGCTCCTTCTTCTCTCGCCGCTTGCGCTCCTGCTCAGTCTCATCCTCCTTTGAGGCCGCACCGTCGCCCTTGGGCAGCAGGAAATCGCGCACGTACGGGCCAAACACCACAGCTGCGTAGGCCGGAATCACCATGTACAGGCCCCACGCCCACTTTGTGGCCAGGCTGAGCACATGCGTGGCCCACGAGATGTAGATAAAGTCAAAAATGTACGAGACCAGGCCGGGCTGGCCCAGGTCCGTGCCGGCGTCCATCAAAACACCACTGGCGTCATACCGCGGCCGCGAGACCTGGTACAGGTTCACGTACAGGAACGACTCGAGCGCCAGCGACAAAAAGTACATAATGCTTTCAGTCCAGTTGATGCTGCTGTACTGGAAAAAGAACCGCACTACGATGTAAAGACCGTTTACCAGCAGGTATACCTTGTCCATTTTGGCCATCCGCGCTGCATTCTCTTGCACAATTCGCTTCTGCGACTGGTTCGCCTACAGGGGTTGGAAGCGCCAGGCGGAGTTCCTTCAGCTAAGCTGCTGCCAACGGGGCGGATAGTGTTTAGCCAGACAACGTACCATTTCTTCGGGTCGTTCTCTGAATGAGCAGGTTCCTCAAGAGTATAAAGGTGAGAAGGTGATCTGAAGCAAAGGAAAAGTGGGTTTTGATTGTACTGTGCACCGCCATGGTAGCAGGAACGGAAAGCAGTTCTTGCCAATATCTTGAGGTCACGTGCCGAACAGATTGGTTGGATCTCATCTGTCAGCCTAGAGGCTCATTTGCCTGCTGCACTCCGGCGTAGGAGCTAGGCGAGGGTGGTGTTGGCCACATCGGTAGATGGCGTGCTACCTGTGCATGGCAGGACCTGTGCATGGCAGGGCTCGGTGGTTGGGCTTTTTCATGTATTGGAATGGGTAGTTTGGAAAGAGAAAAACATAAAATCACATTTTCAGCACGTATCTCAGGACGACCAGACAAGATCCACCATGTGTCCTATCACCAGGAGAAAAGGCGCTTCGTTTGTTTACTTGGTCAACGGGATCCGCTCGTGGATCTGGGGCTTGTTTGCAGGCGCATCCGGGATGTTCTTCTTCCATCCCAGGGCCTTGAACAGGCACGCGTTGTACTCCTTCTCAGGCGCACGGCACTTGTTGAACGACTGGTTCTTGTTGTCCAGGCACTGCCAGTGGGTGCGGAACTCGGTCGCGCAGTTGGCCTGGATCTTCTCCAGCACGTCAATGGCACAGCGCGTCACCTTGCGGCCCTCCGCCAGGCAGTGCTTCGGGTCACGGTCCTCGTTTTTGCACAGCATGAAGTCCTCGTTGTACTCTTGGCATACGCTGCCAATGAAGAAGGACGCTGACTTTAGCGGCGCCCCGCTGCTGCCGACCTCATCGACATGCGGCAAATCGGCAGGCGGTGGTGTCGGGTCGACCCAATCCTCACTCTTGAAATGTTTGTAGCCCGGAATCGCCATCGCTTAACAGAATAATAGACTGAGCTGTGTGGAATTACGAGGAGGGATTTGGAAGGAAGAAGGTGAGGAAATGAGATTTCGAGGGCTGTCAACTGCTAAAGGCTGGCAGCGCAATTGTGCCCTTCCCCAAGGCTTATCTTTTTGTCACCGCAAGATGGTCTACTAGTGCTGATCTGCCCCTGCGCCGCGTTATTTGATCTGGAGATCACGATTGCTGGTTGGCATTTTCAGACAACAGACGCGAATCTGCAGAGTTTCTTTGCTCTCCTGCCTATACTTTCTAGTTTTTTTTTTTTTTTTTTTTCGCGTCATTTGCTAGACACCTTTTAACATTCGCACTGCATTTATATGCTCGCTTAAAAACACCCCTTTCCCTTCTTTCTTTCGTTCCTACTCTTGTCTATTACTCGGGCTTTTGTTGTCTAAAGGCTACGCACATGTACGACCAGACACCAGACAGCCAGCGGTCCTCGCTGTTTTCAGCCCTGTATGGAATATACGAGCGTGCGTGCTTGTCTGCAGAGCGCGAGTCAAGGCGGCTGTTCGGGTCCCATCCAGCCACTACACACCGGAGGGCATCGTATTCTAGCAAAGAGCGCAGCAGACTTAGTGGGCGCCGTACACGCTCCCACAGACACGCATCGCACCAAAGCGACCTCCCCGAGTCGCCGATGGCTGTAAGTGTTGCTTTTTTGTTGCAGGCTATGGCTATTGTGGAGCTCGGTTTGATGGTGCGAGATTGCTGACCCCTGTCTTTGATTATTTTCCTTAGGCTGGGACAGTACAGCGCACGGACAACTCGGGGCTATATCAGGCTGTAAGAAGCAAGCGGCGCAAGATGAGCAGTGGATATGCAGGGGCGTCATGGCTCCATCTGAACGACAGCGACACAACACTGTCACCTATAGTTGTCAGTGACGATGAAAACGACTGTGGCATTGGCGCGTTGGGTGAGATGGCCTCGTCGCCGACGGTTTCTGGAACAAACCGGAGGCGCGAGAGCACTTTGGTTGAACTGGAGCCGGAGGACAGTCCGCAGTGGACCCCGCCGCAAATGGACCTGAGGCACCTGGAGCGGTTTTCTGAGCATGGCATGGGCGTGCTAGAGCTAGTATCAATGCCTCCGCCGCCAGCTCCGCCACCACCACCACAGCCCCAGTTTACAGCACCGGAAGCGGATGCACCGGCGACAAGAGAGTCTTGCCGTGAGTCGCTGGTAGCGAAGCAGACCCAGACATCTGCGGCAGTGTCTGAGCACGGCAGCGTTCGCAGCCAGCATGCAGGCAGGACAATAGCTGATTCGGCAGCTGTGGAGCAGGCGCGGCTGGAAAATGTCGAACGCGAGCTGCGCAGACTGAAAAGGATCATTGCTGCCCTGCTTCCCAATGGGCTGAACGAGGAGGATTTGCAGTCGGTATATGGCGGTATTGAGCAGCCCGAGCGTACGTCGGACGATATTATCTCTCGGCTCGTCAAAGCGCGGTTTGGGGGAGCTGTGGATCCGCAGCCACCACACCGCACTCCACTGCCGATGCAGCGGCAGTACTCGTTCCCATCGGCGATGCTGCCGCCGTCACCAAAGTCCAGCGACTCGGCGAAGGCAGGCAGCGGAGCGCTTTCGTCACCGCCGCCCTCTGCGCGTGCAGCGGAGTGGCCGGGTAGTGGAGACTATTGCATTGCTTCGAGCAGGCGGCATTTGGATTTCTTGTCAAGGAGCCCGTCGGTATCGTCGGCCGGGCCGCAGCGTAGAGCCTCGGGCACAGTTCAGCGGAGGGCCCGGCAGACGCAGTACCGCAAGCCATCGTCCATCGGACTGAAGCCGGCGGCTTCATTGGAGGACCATCCTGAGGCACCCCACAAGGACCCGACGTTCATGGCCAAGCTGCTGGATGAAATGAAGACTCACAAGCTTCGCAGCGTCGAGAAGCCAAAAGACATGAGGGGCTATAGATACCGGCGGATATGACGCCCTAGCATACGCTACTCTTGTTTGGCAGTCTGACTAGAGTCGCATTAATGTAAAGACAAAGTTGTTGGTTCTACATGCTTAAACGAGTGCTGGCATTTTGTGGATGCCGCTGGGAGGCCGGTACTGGCCACAGATGGACGGTTTCGGTGCCGATCCCTTATATGCGTTGCAAATGTCACGGATAAAGTCGGTTGGGCGATACCCGCCTGGGCACGAATACCACCCGCCGTCCTCAACGCACCGCAGGCTGCCGTCAATATACACAGTAGCGCTTGTCTTGACACCAGCAAACACGGCAGCCTCCACCGACTGCTTGAACAGGGCCAGCCCCTCGCCCTGCGTCGTACAAGCCAAGAACGCCGCCGTATCCAATCCCGCGCTGCTGGCGCACTTTAGCGACAAATCGGCGTCCCTGCCAATATCGCTAAAGTGATTGTTGAGACAGGTCAGAAAGCGCCAGAATGACGGCAGGTCGGGCTTATGCTTCAGCGCGCAGAGCTCCTCGATGTTGCCCTGACACTCGGCGTCGCCGTGCATACACGTCGCACCAAACGTCGCATTGGGGTTGAGCTCCGCAATGAAGTTCAGCTGCACGTCCATGATGGAGTACACTGCGGGCACGACGCTGCCGAAGACCTCTTCGACCTTGAGCGCATCGGGACACCGGGACATCACGAAAAGCTCAACTTGCACCTTGTCGCTCCCCCACAGCGATGGGACTGACTGGGGCGGGTGTGCTGGGGGCGGTGTGCTGGTGCCGGGGAGTAGGGCCCAGGTTAGAGCGCCAAGACCCGCTAGAAGCAGAGCGAGCCAAAAGACGGCCCGTCTGTGCAGTGGCTTTGGCGCCGAGTCATTGCCAGGAGCTCGATGGTCCTGGGTAAGCAAGTAGTCGGTCTCCATCGGACGGTACCCGAGGCAAGAAAGCAGATAATAGTGATGAATAGACGAGCTCTGGAGAATGAAGAAAACAGAGGAGAAAAAAAGCCGAGACACGGCTAGTGTCGTGTGTGCGCGGAGTGATCCCTTTTCGATGCCCAGCATCCTTGCTATCGATGAAGTCAGCTACTGCGGCTTTTTAATCACAAAGCTGCATCACCAGGGCGACCCATTCGAAAGAGGCAATTGTCATCGCAAGCACGCCACACATAGCAAGAATGGTGAATAGTTGGGATTAGAAAAGAAAAAGAGAGATAAGTGCGATAAAAACGAACGGTTCAGATACAAAAAAGCGACGAGGTACTGAGGCGTGCTTATTGGAACATGCGCTTGAAGAAGCCAAAGAAGCCGCGGTTCTTCTTCTTGTGGTCGCTGCTGGAGCCAGCCGCAGCCTCGGCCGTCTCGGCAGTAGGCTTGGCAGGCTCGGACGCCTCCGCAGCCTCGGCAACGGTCTCTGGCCGCGACTCCTTGGGATCGGTCTCCTCGACAGGCGTGGCGTTCTCTTCTTCGGGGACCGGTGTGGCGGCCTCCTCAACAGCGGCAGGAGTCTCCTCAGCCTTGGGCTCCTCAGCCTCAGCGACAGCAGGCTCAGCGACAGCAGGCTCAGCGACAGCAGGCTCAGCAGCGGCAGTCTCCTCAGCGGTAGCATCAGCCTCAACCTTTGGCTCCTCAATAACAACAGCCTCATCGGCCTTGGGCTCCTCGGTAGTGGTCTCCTCAGCGGCGACCTCAGCAGTAGGCTCTTCGGTTTTAGCCTCCTCAACGACTGGAGCAGTCTCCTCAGTCTTAACTTCCTCCTCAGCAGGCTCAGCGACAGCCTGCTCCTCGACCTTGGTCTCCTCAACCGCCGGGACAGTCTCCTCAGCCGGAGCGGTAACAGCCTCCTCAACAACAGCAGACTCCTCGGTCTTGGTCTCCTCGGCAGCAGGGATAGGCTCCTCGACCGGGGTGGCAACAGCCTCCTCAGCGACGACCTCAGCGGTGGGCTCCTCAGCAGCAGCGACAGCGGGCTCCTCAGCCTTAACTTCCTCCTTGGCAGGCTCAGCGACAGCCGGCTCCTCGACCTTGGTTTCCTCAACGACCGGAACAGTCTCCTCAACCGAAGCAGTAGCAGTCTCCTCAGGCTTGACCTCCTCAGCAGGAGTGGCCTCTTCGACAGGGGCCGCATCCTCCTCAGCAGCGACCTCAGCAGCGACCTCCTCAGGCTTGGTCTCCTCAACGACCGGAGCAGTAGCAGGCTCCTCAGCAGCAGCGACAACCGGCTCCTCAGGCTTGATCTCCTCGGCAGCGGGCTCTTCAGTCTTGGTCTCCTCAGCAGCAGGGATGGCCTCCTCGACAGGGGCCGCGTCCTCCTCAGCAGCGACCTCAGCAGCAGGCTCCTCAGGCTTGGTCTCCTCAACGACCGGAGAAGTCTCCTCAACCGGAGCAGTGGCAATCTCCTCAACCGGGGCAGTAACAGGCTCCTCAGTAGCAGTGACAACAGGCTCCTCAGTAGCAGTGACAACAGGCTCCTCAGTAGCAGTGACAACAGGCTCCTCAGTAGCAGTGACAACAGGCTCCTCGGCAACGACAGGAAGTTCCTCGACCTTCTCAGTAGGCTCAGCGACAGCTGGCTCCTCGGCCTTGGCCTCTTCAGTGGCCGGAGCAGTCTCCTCGGCCGGAGCGGTAGCAGCCTCCTCAGCGGCAGCGGGCTCCTCAGCCTTGGTCTCCTCAGCCTTGGTCTCCTCGGCACCAGGGATTGTCTCCTCGACCGGGGCAGCAGCAGGCTCCTCGACAGGCTCAGCGATAGCCGGCTCCTCCGCCTTGGTCTCCTCGACAGAGGCAGCGTCCTCTTCAGTGGCGACCTCAGCAGCAGGCTCTTCGGTCTTCACCTCCTCAATAGCCGGAGCAGTAGCAGCCTCCTCAGTAGCAGCGACAACGGGCTCCTCAGCGGCGACAGCAGCCTCCTCAGTCTTGGTCTCTTCAGCGGCAGCGACAGGGTCCTCCTCAGTCTTGGTCTCCTCGACGGCAGCGACGGACTCTTCGATCTTCTTCTCCTCAACAACAGGCTCCTCGACCTTGACCTCCTCAGCGGCGGCAGGAGGCTCTACGACAGCAGCTTCTGCTTCAGCAGCAGGAGCAGGCGACTCCTCAGCAGAAGCATCAGTCGTCTTCTCAGCTGGTTCCTCATCAGCGCCAGCAGCCTGCTCGTTAGCGACCGCAGCAGCGGGTTCCTCGACAACCGGAGCCTCATCAGCAGCACCGGCCGGCTCGTCAGCAACAGCTCCAGCAGCCTCGACACCTGTATCTGCAGGTGTCGCTGCAGCATCTTGAGCAGGTACTGCGTCAGCAGCAGCCGCATCGACAGCAGCAGCCGCCTGCTCTTCAGACTCTTTGACGGGCTCGGTAACCTCGCTGTCCACGTGGACATCAGCTGCCGGGGCCGTGAATGAGTTGTTGACAATGCCTGCGGCATCGGTAGACTTGTCGGCGGCATCGTCCAGCACCCACTCGCCATCGACCTTGTACTTGTAGATGTAGGCGGTTCCTGGCTCCAGGTCGGAAACCGTGACCTCGTACTTGCCGTCATCGGCCTTGGTCATGGCGATCGGCGACCAGTGCTTCTCAGCGTCAGCACCAAAAGTGCCCAGGATCTCGACGGTAGCAGCAGTGTCGGCGGCGGCTAGCCGGAAAACATGGCTGACGGTGTTGCTCATTGTTTTTGTTTGTTATGTCTGGATTAGAGCGGGGGATATCTGGTTATGTTGTGCGTATGTGCAGGAGATAGCAAAGGTTGTTCTCTATCTCAAAAGGACAAGCAAAAAGTCAGTGTAGTGAAAAAATACAAAAATTAACGCAGCGGCGAGGGAAAAAGTGGAGAAAGGAGAAACGGCCCGGGAGGTAGGGGCACTGACGGGCGGCGCGCCCTTATAAAGGGGCTGGTGGGGTTCCGCCTTTGTTCGTATCATGGCCACCTCTGTCCCCCAGTCACGTCTGGCACTATAGCGACAGGCACAGTGGGTGGGAGCCAGCCTGATTGTGCCATGGAGTCTGAGTGTCAATCACAACACTTTTTGCGTGTTGTTTTCGGTCGGCGCTCAGAAAATAGATCCATTTCCTCGCTTGCGCCTGTTGTGTGTTTGTTGGCACGTCGATCAACCAATGCCGCGTCTAAAAAAGCACACAGAACACTATACTCCGCAGGAGCATGTCTGGGTGTCGCTGTGGGTAGAGTAGCGTGCCCCAGCGCAGACGTCGGTGCGCAACAGGACCTCAAGCACAAAACTGGGATAATGGCTTCGATTGGATGTGCATCGGCTCGAGGCACGAGCAGGAGGCGCAATAGTGGGCGATGCATGCGTGCATAAATACGCCTGGATTCGCCGATGAGCGAGCTCGGCCACCGTCCATCTGTCCCACCACCGCGGCGCTATCTCTGCCTGCCTCACCCACCCCAACCGAATTTAGGTGGTGGTGCAGACAGGGGGCTGCCGAAACGGCGCCTGAGACGAAGAGAAGGCCGTCACGGGCATATCCAGCTCGCTTCTCGGATCTTCTGGGCATCCCGCACTTCTGATGCAGAGCAGCGGACTCAAGTGACATAGGCATGACCTCGCCGAGGGCCTCTCCATGTGCCAGCTGAGGTGGGCAAATATACATGCAACAATTGCAACAGAAAAATTAGTTTATTCGCCACCAATACAAGCTGCGCTGCCAACGGCCGCTGGCACGGGGACCCGGATCACTGAGATAGCAAATGCTGAAAGCCGGCGCTCAGCCGCAGCACAGGCCAGCGAGAAAAAAAGTCCAGTGCTACATGTCGCCAAATGCGTTCTTGAAGCGCGGGTTCTGGCGATTAAACTCTCGCGAGTTTTTGGCAAATATGCGCTTCTCGGCATCGGTCGTCTCGATGGCTCCGGTAGTTTTCTCGTCATCAGTCATCAGCGACAGCAGGCCGGTGATGATGGTGGCAACGGACCATGCGGGGTTCCAGGTGTTCTTGTGGTAGTTCGAGTAGGACGTGCAGATATCCATGTTGACCTGGAACCGGCCGTTGGGCGTGATCATCTGGATCGCCGGCGGCGCAAACGGATACTCTTTTGGGAAGATCAGGCGGCCGTGGTACTCGCCGCCCTCGAAGGGCGTGTCCGGTGGACCGCTGATGATGTAGTGCCATTCGAGGACGTTCTTCTCCAGCGGCTTCGCTGTGATGAACTCGGGCGGCGACTTCTGGATCATCTTGTACTCCTTTGTGAGCCGCTTGCTTGCTGCCTTTGATGCCATGACGAATGCTGAAGCTGGAGATATCTAAGAGAGTTATATGCTGCAATCATAGCCTGCTGTGTGCAAAAAAAAAAAAATGGGCAGCCAATTAGACAGCTTGGTGCATTTTCCACAGCGTTATGGAGGACGGGTACCCGGAGCACAGGATGAGATTGATCAGACCATATGTGAGCTTTATATTGGGGAGTAGTGTTCAGCACAGGCTCCACTGCATTTCTCCTTATCTCTTCCCTCGGTCTCAGCCATGAAGTGCGCAGTCTGCCAGGACCCACTCTTTTCTAATGTCCCATCGGATATCGCCGAAGCTGCGGATCTACACCTGGCATCCATTCGCTGCGGACACGTCTTTCATATGCACTGCATCAACAGCTGCCGAGACAACACCCATTTTGTACTGTGTCCTGTGTGTCGCCGGAGGCACAGCGGGGCAGCAGTCCGACTGTTCCTTGACCACAGCCCAGCCGAGTGCGCCAATAGCGCAGGCAGCACCAGTGACCGCTCACAGATTGTACATGACATCGAGCGACTGAAAACGGTACTCCACAGTGCAGTGGAGCTCATTGGCGACATCATCTCTGAGCTGCTCAGCCGCACTGATGATCTGGAGCTAGTATCAGCGATTGAGGGTCTGGATATCAGCGAGTTTTGTCTAGAAATTCCTGACATGGACCTAGATCTCTCTCAATTACCCTTAGATTGGTCCTAGTTTCAACTACCTTTACCAAACTAGGCGATATTCGTATAGGAATCAAATTTGATGCGCTGGGATGGGCGTTTTGCAGGCATAGTCTGATTGCATGTCTAGATATGAACATCTTGAGGTGATCAATTAATTGAAGTGTGTGAAATTGTTGAGAGCATGTCACTGCGACAGCTCGGAAATAGCATCTGGGGGGAGAATGGTGAATGCCGAGATGACGCCGCTGTACTGGTCGCCGGTCTCGTCCCGGTGGCCGCTGGGAGCCAGCGACATATGGCGATCAAGCGCATTGCGAACGAACAGCTCGACTGACAGCGCCTTGACCTCCAGGCGCACCAGGACGCCCGGGCCACCGACATTCGTCTCGTAGCACTGGAAGCCCTCCTCGGCAAGCTCTTTGCCCGCAGCATCAACCTCGGCGCTGGGAAGGCCATTCGGGATCAGCGTCAATGCGCAGCCACCGCCACCAGCACCAGTGAGCTTCGAGGCCATACCGCGGGTCCCGGTGATGTCACGCACGCGCTCCAGCGCCGGATGGCTGACGCCCAGGGTCGCCAGCAGGCCATGGTTGATGCGGATCATGTCCTGCAGCTGCACTTCGAGATCACCTGCATCGGGTCCACCAAACAGATTGGCAGCCTTAGTGCTGATGCTGTGGATTGCGTCCATGATTCCGTCGATGATCGGTGAGTGGCGGTCCCGCAGTACACGCACACTGGCGACCAGCGCCTTGGTGCTCTTGGGGACCTTTGTGTTTGTGATCAGAACGCGCAATGCCTGCGTGCTCTGCAGGTCAGTCTGCTCCTCGCCCTTCCTGTACCGCACAAACCCGCCGTACGTGGCCACTGCATTATCAATCCCCGAAGGCGTCCCGTGTGCCACCTGCTCGCCACGGAACGCCCAATCATTAATAAGCTGCTTGTCCCCTGCCGACGAGCCCTCATCGGAAAGCTGCCCAGTCAGCTTGAGCATCGCCGCCGACAGCGCAACATTGAATGCCGCCGATGAGCCCAGCCCGGCACCTACCGGCAGCAGCGACCGCACGGTGATTGTGAAGCCGCTGGTGCGGTCCTCGCTGCAGAACAGGCAAGCATACAGGTAGACAAACGTCAGAATGGCCGTGCGGCCCGGACCCACGGGAACCGTGATGGCCTCTGTTACCAGTGACTCGATTTCTGCTGGATGCTCCAGGTCCTCCTTGCGGATCTGCGGCAGCGTGTGGGTGCTGAAGTGCACGTCGATGTCGATATCGGGTAGCACAAGCCTGACGGTTGCGTCGTCGCGGGGCGTCACCAGCGCATATGCTCGCAGGTTCAAACTGCCAGCCACTGCCGTTTTGCCATAGACGACTGCGTGCTCGCCAAACAAAATGACCTTGCCAGGCGCGCTCACGACAAAAGGACTCCACGAATTGCGCATTGTCACCATCCTGGGCTCCGAGGGGGTTAAATGAGGTTGAATGAAGAGTGTATCGAATAGAAACAGCAAGGTTGCATGAAATGAGGATTGTTCAGGTTGGCTGTTTGTAGCGCCAAAATAAACGGTCCCCCTTGCGGCTCGGCTTGCTTCGAGCCGACTGCTTTTGATTACGCTCAATCTTCACTGCAGTCAGGTTCGATCTGTTTTTTGTGCCTATCTTTCGCTCCCTTTGCCATTCCATACACACACAATTTCACCTCTAACCGCAAATGAGCTCGCCCTCAGAAAACGACAAACCCAACACGTCCAGGTACCTTACTCCGCCGTCGAGCTACACGATCCACACAAAGCCGCAGAGCAAAACCGAACTCGATATTGTGTCCGAGCGCTTCACCTACACGCACTACCCAGCTATACTGCTGTCGGCCTTGAACTTTGCTGCGCTGTCGAATGCCTCGCGAGGCGTCAAAGGGTACCCATCGGTGTTCCAATGCAGCGCATACACCGCCGCGTTTGCGTTCTCCGGCTATGCGCTTAGCAAGGGTGACGCTGTAAATGGGTCTGGCCTGACTGCCGGGTGGTCGGCTATCTGGTTGTTTTTCAATGCGCGTAATGCCCTGAAAAGTGCGCGCCCGTTCCCAATTGCCATGACGGCAGCGGTAGCAGCTGTTGGGTCTATATATGGTTACAGCTATGCGAATGTTGGAAAAGAATAAATTGTATGTACTTCCAACCAGCAGGAAAGCACCAGCTTTATATTTAGGTGTGTTGTGGCTAGCATACATTCTATAAAACATACCATTTGTATTTTTATGATATGTATGTTACTATCATATGCCTGTCTATGTTTCGATGCATATTGGTGCAGATACGAATCGGCACAAAGGATCTAGTGATAATCACGGCGAGATTGAAAAGAAAAAATCCATTTGTTGTGGCCAAAACAACGTGGCTAGGTTGGCGGCTTTGATGTCTGCCACACCCTTCTTCTTAAATGTGATCACAGCAAACTTCTGCTGGGAAGTGCTAGTGATACCATGAAAGAAAGGTGTATGAAAATGTGCTGGCACATTTTTTTCGTAGAGTTGCTTACGTGCCTGTATCCATAGTTGGGATGTCTGCAAGCTAGGCAATTTGTGTTTCCAGTTTCACTACACTTTTTTTTTTGCACTCGTCTGCCTCCATCTTTGATGTTTTCAAGGTGGATATACTGACGAGATTAGCCGTTGCTGAAGCCCAATCCTCGATATCCGCCATATGCTCCTCCACAGCGTATCTAACAAGGGGTGATGTGTGGCATGCAGGGTACGTGTGCCAGCCAGTTGGAGAAAAGTCGCTATCAATACCAACCCATGGAATGTACCCATCCATGTACTATCCTGGGGTTTGTGAAAACGCGAGCGGATCGAAGAACATGTCTCTAGAGTCTAAAATGCCATGGAGATATGTGTCATGTTCCTTGATAGCCTTGAAATTAGTAGGGTGGCCAAGTATGCCGGTGTACGCCTGAATGCCGCTATCCAAATTAGTTCACACCTTCTCAAAACTGTGCATGACATCTTTGACCTTTGCATTGCGCATAGTCATACGCATAACCGTGTCATCAGCGCTGTGCGCATTACTATTTCCGATTGAGTTGCCCGTGTGCTCGTTTGAAAGGGGTTCGATCTATGCCTTCAGGAAATCCTGTTCGTGGTACGACTGGGTAGTATCATGTAGTTTGATGAGGGCATGCAGGAATTGGAGAGGAATGGAATCGCTCACATCGCCACAGCATCAGGTTTATAAACATGGGTTGCTTGATGCATTGCGACCTGTTTACAATAACTGGCAAAGCGGTAAACTAGCAAATTCTAAGTGTATGTGTTCATTGCATGTATCTGCATTGGTCGTAGTGGTGTTGTACTTATCATGACCTGATGTGTTATCCTAGTGCTGATATATAGGCTATATATGATTCGTCATATAGCATATTCTATGCCTGACATTGGTACAGCATATAGCAATCATAGACTGTTGCGCGCCCACCGCGGCTGTGACGTCAAGATGTCAGTCGAATCAGGTGACGGCGAACCGGGCACCAACGAGAGCCCCCTAGAACCTACACAATGGAGGAAACATCGGGCCTCTGATGAGTTGCGCAGACGGCCACATTGAAAATACCCCCGCGCAGCTCGTCTATTCCTTTTTCTCTCTTTTCCTCAGCATTGAATATCACCTTAAAACCCTCTCACATTTACTCAACGCAACAAGACGAATATTTAAATGCAAACATGGTGACATCTGGAAGGGATTCTAAATCATTTCTGTGAATACTTTATGCTATTGCTCTGCTGATAATATCAGCTCTTTTCATTTCTCTGTTGACTTGAGAGAAGCGGTGGATAGTCAATGCCTGGTTCAATGCTCTGCTGAAATGTCCCGTACACCTGTGGAATCTCTTGTGCGGGAATTGCCGGTTTAAAACATTGACCCGGCTGTCCGCGTTCATGGAGATTCGCACAGCATGAAATCCGACGCTTCTCATGGCTAGGAATTTGTGGGCAGGTTTTAGATATGCTAATAGGTGTTTAAGTGTCCAGAGATTTACCTGCCAGCAATCCCTCAGACACATGACCCCTTCGCCCACCCTCTGGAGTCCGTTAATTTCTTGCGCACAGTTCTGCCCACCCGCATCTTTACGCTTGACAAAATTCTACCAAGAACAAGAGGCAGCCTAGACGCACGGACGGAGGATACACTGGCCCGGGGTCCCGGGGATGTACTGAGGTCAGATGCTCATGTTTACAGACTTAAATTAGGCGGGAAGGGAGCTCGTTCTTTTTTCTTGCTCTACATCACTACCCTCACTTTTTTCGCAAGACTAGCGAGCAGCCTCATATAATCGTTTACATAAACAAAACAGCCACCAACACCTTCTAAACAGTGCGATGATTTTTAAGAGCCTTCTGCCCTCAGCCGAGATCCCTACTCTCGACATCCCAACATTCTACCTGGGCGCATCCAAGGTCAACGGCGCCACACCTGACACGCTGGCATACGTGGATATTGCCACCAGAAAGGCGCTGACCTACGGCCAGCTCGAAGATATGCATGATAGGATTGCATCAGGTTTGGTCAATAACTTTGGCCTCAAGAAGGGTGACATTGTCATGATCTTTGCCTCAAACAGCATCTACTATGCGCCTGCATACTTTGGGATTCTCGCTTCGGGTGCCGTGTGCTGCACTGCCAGCAGCGTGTTCAATGCGTCAGAGATTGCGTACCAGTTCAATGACTGTGGTGCAAAGGTTGTCTTTGTCACCAAGTCGCAGGAGAAGGTCATGGCGCAAGCTATCGATGAAGGGCTGGTCAAAGTCAGCCCCCAAAACGTCGTCAGTCTTGAGGATGTGCCATCGGATCCCCGTTTCACGAGCATGCAAACAATGTTGTCAGACAAGGCGTACACGCGCTTTCAAATCACAACCAAGGAGGAGTCTGCAAACACTCTGGCAACCATCGTCTACTCGTCGGGCACCACTGGTCGGCCTAAGGGAGTTATGCTGAGTCATCGCAACATGATCAGTTACACAGTCAATGGGGTTGTCTACAACGAGTTTGTAGAGGCTAAGACTGGTGGCACAAAAGACGACTCGCAGCGCTGCATTGCAATCTTGCCATTTGCACACATCTATGGCTTGACAACACTAGTCCAAAACTCGGTCGCTGGCGGTAAGACGCAGTACATTCTTCGTAGATTCAGCATCGACCACTTTTTGCAGGCCATCCAGGACTACAGGCTGCAGATCGCTCCTGTCGTACCTGCCGTCTATACGCAGATTCTCAAGCACCCGAAGCTGCACAGATATGATCTATCGTCGCTGCGTGTCCTTGGATGCGGTGCGGCACCCTTGGCTAAGAGTGTCCACGAGGGCATTGCCAAGATGTTCCCGATCAAGGTCAGCCAGGGGTTCGGCATGTCCGAGACTTGCAGCGGCATAATCCAGATGGCAGCGTACAAGCCAGTCTTTGGTGCTGTTGGGTTCTTGTACTCTGGTGCCGAGGTAAAGTTTGTTGACCAGCATGGCAAGGACCTGAGTGTTGGCCAGGAGGGCGAACTGTGCCTACGCGGCAGTCAGATTATGATGGGCTATCTCAACCGGCCAGAGGAGAATGCCCATGTGTTTGATAAGGACGGGTTCTTCCACACCGGCGACGTCGGCTACATCAACGAGACTGGCCATGTGTTTATTACTGACCGGATCAAGGAGCTGATCAAGTACAAGGGGCTGCAGGTATCTGCATCCGAGCTCGAGGACATCCTCATCACACACGAAGCAGTCAATGATGCAGCAGTCATTGGCGTCCATGATCCTAAGCGCGAGACCGAGGTCCCTATGGCATACATTGTTCTGGCTGATTCCATCGATGCATCGGATAAGGCCAAGGTTGCCAAACTATGCACGGAGGTCCAAGCATTTCTGGCCTCCAAGGTTGCCGGACACAAGCATCTGCGCGGCGGTGTTGATGTCATTGAATCAATCCCGCGCAATGTGTCGGGCAAGATTTTGAGGCGCGAGCTGAAGGTTCGGCATATGGCAAAAATTGGTGCCAAGCTTTAAATGATGTAGTTTCTTCGAAATACCAGGCACTGATACAGTGACCATGGCAGTGTCTGTAGCGACATCCTTGCCAACGTAAGTGGCTAGCGCATCATAGCATGTACTCGATCGAGAATTAATATACTGATTTATGATCTAAGAATTTTGATCACGCCGACTTTTTTGAACGCTGATTTTTGGACGCGACCATTGCTTGTGTCGGCTTCCGAATGACTCGTAAAAATTTGGCTGCTTGGTCCTCTCAAAAAATTTTCCTACTCCGTTTTTCTCTCCATCTCGTATTCTTTACATAGCCTTCTCCCCGGCTCCCTGCCTCTCACACACAACACATATCACCATCACAATAGAAAAAACAATGGCTCCCACGGAAGGTATCCCCGAGGTTGCGGCTGCTGCCGAGATCAAGAAGGACGCTGTTGCCGAGCAGCCCAAGTTGGACCTCCCTCACCTGTCCGAGGGCGAGGCGGCCAAGGTTGTGAAGCAGGTCAAGCACTACTTCACCGACGCGAACCTCAACCACGACAACTACATGGTCAAGAGCCTTAAGGAGGAGGACGGATGGATCAAGGTCACCCAGCTTGCGCGGTTCAACCGGATCCGCCAGCTGCTGGGCGTGCCGACCGATGCGCCCCAGCAGAAGAAGCGCGGCAAGCAGCCCCGCTTCGTCCCAGTTCCTGAGGAATTCATCCAGCTGCTGGGCAAGACAATCAAGGAGGGTCTTGCTGGCGAGGAGACGCTGGAGGTGAAGGAGGACGGTTCGGCGATCCGGCGCACTGTCGAGTTCACGCCGTCGGGCGACTGGTACGAGCGCACTGTGCACTTCAAGGGCCTTGACTACGGCCGCGAGAACCCCGATCTTATCGACGAGCTGACCGACTTCTTCAGCGCCAAGGGCAAGGTGATGCTTGTGCGCCTGCGCCGCAACCCCAAGACCAAGGCGTTCAAGGGCAACGTCCTCGTCGAGTTCGACACCAAGGAGGCTGCCGAGGAGGTCTCGAAGCTGACTGACCTCGAGTACAAGAGCAAGAAGCTTGAGCCGGCTATGCTGTCCGCATACCACGACGAGAAGCAGGCTGCCGACGAGTATATCCAGCCCGAGCTGCAGAAGCCTGGCGCCGAGTACCAGTCGTTCGAGGACTACTGCAAGGCGCATGGCCGCGAGGTGCCGGCTATCCAGGGCGAGCGCAAGCAGAAGCGCGAGGAGCCCAAGGAGGTCGAGGTTGAGATTGAGTCGCTGGTCAAGTTCTCGGGCGTTGAGGGCGAGGTCGGCTTCCCGCAGCTCAAGGAGCTGTTCAACACTGTTGGACCGGTCCGGTTCATCGACTACGAGCGCGGCAGCCCCGAGGGCATTGTGCGGTTCCGCCAGCCCATCGCCAAGGAGGTCGTCGAGAAGAACGCTGAGGGCATCATGATGGACGGGCTCACGCTCAAGCTGGCCGAGGTTGATGAGGAGGCCCACAAGGCATTCGTGGAGCGCGCCAAGACTGCTGTCGAGAACTCGTCGGCGCGCGGCGGCAACGACAGGAAGCGCCGGGGCAACTTTAGCGGCGGCCGCGGTGGCAAGCGTGGACGCCACTAAGCTCCCCCAGGACTTGGCTGGATGCGATATCGATATTTCTTTTTTAAAATACATGATGACATGGGAATGTAACCTCGCAAAAGTCCATGTGCGTTTGTGATGTGGGCAGGGGGACCGCCGACCGTGATCTGTGGCCAAGCCTTTTTGCTGGACCATCCTGTGTACTGACGTGGGTATCGGCAGATCGGGCCATCCGCGGTGGATCGCGCATCTATTTTGAAATTCAAAATCTTCTGGTAGATCTGGTATTCTGCTTGTTTTGTGGCAGGAGGGGGGAATTTCTGTTGAGCGCGTGCGAGGTGGCGGTGCAGATACTCAACCGCCTGCTCAAACCCGTTCTCAACCCCTTCTCCAGGGGGGTGCGTGCGGCTGCCATGCCAGGAGATAGAGTGGTTCGAAGCACGATCAGTGTATCGCGTTACACTAGGCCACTGTAGCCATTTCCGTTTTCAGACCACCGGTGCTTCCGGGGGAGCCGCAAGCTTTCGGACGCAAAAATCCTGTGCTGGCTGATCGCAGCAAAAGGCGACCGAGACGGTCCGTCCTCAGTCGTTTGCGCCGAGCAAAGATGAAAATACCTCAAAGTGTGCTGAAAATGTGCAGCCAATTAAACTGGTCGGCGATCATTTACGCTCAAATCTGCTGCTTTGGCGTGCTGGCAGGGCAAACTTGGCGGCGGCGCGCGCTTTCTGAACCTTTTTTTCCTCGTCGCTATTTTTCTTGTGCTATTTACTAAGAACCAGCTCTGCTTCTACATGCTCCTTCAGAGATAGGCAAACTCCAACCAGCAAGGTGCATATCAATTGACTTTTTCTGCTACGTGTGTCGTCTGCCTGGCTTTACTGCTGGCCATATACTCGCTCAGCGTGCGGGGGAGGAGACGTTACAGACCCTCGCCTTTCCAGACCCCTATATGCTACAACGAGGCGATTCTAATCGATATACCCTGCCTTTCCCCCTGTTACATAGCATCAGCATCACTCAAAAGGCGCTGCCATCTAGCTCGTCCAGCAACGAAGAAAAGGGGAGAACCTGTCAGACTTCCCCCTTCTCCTAACTCAACGCCATCTTTTTTCTTTTCGCCTTTATGTTTACTCTGCACTGGTAGCTCTTTTTCCTCTACTGAAACGACGGGCCGCCCCTTCCTCCGTTTTTTCTCTCTCTCTCTTTCTCGTATAGCCCTGTCTATATCCCAACCACTTTCTTCCTGGGAAGGAAGACGCAGCCAAACCAAAAGGGAACCCAGCTTGCCCTCCTTCACCGGTTATTATTATTATTATTATTTATATCGGATATAGTAGCAACTGCTCTCTTTATAGACTACCCACGGTATTTCTACTCCACTCTGGCCGCACACCCCAACCAGCCAACTATACATCCTATACACACATCGTGGAGCGGACTTTGAGATGCAAGACTCGTTGCTGAACGCATACATCTACGATTTTCTTCGCAAAAAACGGTTGCTGAAGACCGCGCTGGCATTGGCCGAGGAGTGCGGCAACCTGCCACTTGCTCAGGTCGTGCCCAGTGATCCGCGCGTGCCTGACGACACACCGGCCGGCGCGGGCGCAGCAAAGGCGAAGGGCAAGGCCGACGGAGACGCAAGGGATGGCGCCAGTAGTAAATTCACTCCGCCGGCACATGACTCAGCGAGTCCGGCCAAGGGCGATGGAGCGAATCCCGCAGACCGGCCAAAGGGCAAGCCTGTGCCGGCCGTCAACGTGCCGCTAGACATGGCCAACACATTCCTGGGGAATTGGTTTGAGCTCTTTCATTGCATGGCACAGGCCTACTCCGATCGCCAGCCGGCGGCCAATGTGCCCGATCTCATGCGTACGTACGTGCAGCACCAGCAGATGCGGAAGGGGCAAAAGCCTGCTGCCACACAGCTGAATCCGAATGGCAAGCGCAGCGGCTCACGGTAAGTTGTTTTTCTACCTTTGCATGCCGAATGCTGATGCGGCCAGGCAGGGAGAGGGGTATCCTGAAGACCCCCTTGTTTGCAGAAGGGCACCCGTCTTGACTGGGGCTCGCTTCTCCCCAACTGTGTACAGGTGGGGGTGTTCAGAATCCTCAAGGGCCGCGTTACTTTCAGTGCCCGCTTTCAAACACGCCCCACAGCATCTCCTGTTTTCTCTCTTCCGTGTCAATCCCCGTTGTCATTTAATTTTGGCTAACAGAAACCCATCCCTTTTCTGTTTACGGGGGCAATCCCATGCCTTTTTCTGCGTATAGTGACGACGCGGATACAGCTGGAGTTTGTTCAGAGCAGGTGGACGCTGCCACGAAGCGGATACGGTCAAACAACGGCGAGAGCTCGCCGCAGAGTGCCGCGCTGGTGGCAAAGTACACACCGTTTCCTGATGGGTCTGATCACCAGCAGCAGCACCAGGAGCAGCAGCAGCAGGCAGCGACAAACGGCGTGCCGACGATTCCCCACGGCCCTGGCGTCAACATGCTCCCGCTAGGCGGGCACATGCTGTCCAACGACTATACGCAGTATCTGTCACGCAGCCTGAAGGTTGTCAGCGAGGGCACGCAGGCTGCCGGCACAGCGCACCAGGCACATAGCAACGAGCAAGGTAATGTTGGGTCAACCACGTAATGCATGTCAGAAAGTGTTGGGGGATGTACAGGCGCTGTTCCCATATAGTGCATATATGAGTGGTCGCCAAGCTATTGTACCTTTTCTGGTCGTTTGCCAAAGTGCTCATATTAATTTCTGTGAGGTAGACCTGTGCCCTATTGTTCCATGTCTTGAGTAGCACTTTATTGTGCTTGTTTTATGCATGCCATTATCCGGGTCATAAACTTTTTGCTTATTAGTGTGCCATTGCCTATTTGTTTGTTTCGGCACCCTCTATTGTCTGCATCTCACTCACAGGCAAAACCACAACAACATACTGCACTCTCGAGTCCCACTATACACAGTGGATAATTGATGGTTGAGGAATATCCTTGGCTAATACGAACTGTACATTCGCTTGTTACCCTTTCCGTAGATGTCCGAGTCAAGGTCGAGCCCAATTCATCGCCTGCAGCCCAGTTGAAGTCTAACAACAGTGTTTCAGGACAGAGTGAAGCATCTACACGGTCGCCGCCTGGTCCGAAGCAGCAGCAGCAGCAGCAGCAGCAATCACAGCCGCAGGCGCAGCCACAGCCGCAACCGCCCACAGCGCCCCGGACGAGTGCTACACCGTTGAACGCAAAGATGACAGAGACGCAGGCGCAGCCACCGCCGATTAAGCACGCTCATACATTTGCATCCCCGCACGTAGCGAATGCCAATATCCCACGGCTTGTGCCAAATCAGCGCACGGTCAGCCAATCCATGGGTGGCAGTCCAAATGTATCGGGAGTCGCCACAGCACAGGCAGCTCAGCGGCTGATATCGCCACCGCCGTCTATTACTTCGCCAATGATTCCCAATGCAGCTGCACACAATGATCTGCGCCGCGCATCGGTTGCCTCCATGACGTTTGGCATGCCGCCCCAGCCACACCAGCAGCAGGTGCATCCCGGCCAGCTTCAGCGTGTCGGATCGGTCGGTCCGCCTAGCCAGCTCATGCACCAGGCGATCCCCGGCAACTTTTCGGGTGCTATGCCCCAGCCAGGGATGGGTGCTCCGGGACAGGGCGAATTCAGCTTCAATAGCTCGTCAACGGTTCTGGCAGCAGCAGCAGCAGCGGCGGCGGGATACCCGATGGCTTCGATAGCGGGTGCCCCGAATGCTGCTATGCTTGCATATTTCCAAAACCAGCAGCAGCATCATCAACAGCAGCAGCAGCAACACCAACACCAACACCAACACCACCAACAACAACAGCAGCAGCAGCAACAACAGCAGCAACAACAGCAGCAGCAACAACAGCAGCAGCAACAACAGCAGGCAGCGAACGCGGCTGTAACTTCACATCCAGAGATTAGCACAGTAGGCGCCCCGAGCTCGTTGCAGATGGACCAAGCATCTCGGCCACAGGGACAGCCAGGCGTGCCCACAAACCTGCCGCCTGGGATGCAGGTGCCTAATGCCAATCCGTTTGCGATGCTGAGCCCGCAGATGGCCGTTCAAGCCGAAAATCAGGGGTATCCGCATGGTGTTCCGTCTCAGACGCTTCCAGCCAACCAGCCGCAAGTGCAGCCACAGATACAGCCGCAGACGCAGCAGCAACAGCAACAGCAGCAGTTTCAGTTCCAGCTCCAGCACCAGGTGCCTGGGCCGCATGGTGCCATCCCACCGGGTCATATGGCGATGCAGCGCGGCGGCATGCTTGTAGGCAATCTCGGACCTGGCGGGATCCGGCGCCCTGGTACTGGCGAGCCCGACAATAGCGCACCCAACCAGGGGCTGATGATCATCTCGTCGGCACCAACTGCTTCAATCCCGACCTCGGCCCCTACACCTGCCACGGCTCCAAAGAAGGCGGCTGCGAAACCCAAATCACGCAAATCCACGAAGAAGGGGGCAAAGGGCGTAGCAAACAAGTCGCAGGCCACGTCGAGCCCCGCTATGGTTATGCCGGTAGGTGCGGGTCCCATGTCTGCACTAAACCCACCGCCAGCACCAGTGAACCGCAACAACCCGGCAGCCGGAATCGAGCGCGTTGCTTCCCCATACACTATTAAAAGTGGGGTTGTCAGTAGCAACAGCGGGAGCAGCGGTAAGGCTAGTGCCAGTCCAGCCTTGGCCATGAAGGCGCAGCAGCAGCAGCAAGTGGCCAATGCCATTGCCACCAGTGCCGGTGGAACGAATCCAATGATGGGCGTGGCCAAGCCTAATATCAATACGCCGTCGCCATCGTTTGCAAACAGCAGCATTGCAGGCCGCAATCTGGTCATGGCCAGTGAGGGGGGTGATGCAGGTGAGAGCACGCTCTCGTCGATACTGTCGCAGCGGGGAAATCAGGCAGCCCAGCAGCTCCCGATTCAGATGATGGCTGGCACCACGCCTGGATCGACAGGCGACTTGCAGACAACGGAGCCGAGCGATTTTGGCGCCCTCCAGCTCAGCGACTGGCTTACCGACGGGAACGGGGACTCGCTCAGTGACATCTTCAACTTTGGTACGTCACTTGGCGACCAGCATGCGAGCAGTGCGCAGGCGATGGGCGGGTTCAGCCTGGGCGACGCCAACTTTGCTCATCTTATTGGCAGTGGCGGAATCTCGGGGGCGATGCCGATGCCGCTGAACATGGGGACGACGTCGGCACCGGCGGATGGTAGCTCGGTGGCTCCTGCTGCCACACAAAACAATGTGTAGATTATGCTCGAGGAGGACTTGCAAGCTGCGTGGTTCGCCTTGGTTGTATAAAAGGAACAAACGCCTTAGGGCTACCAGTGGTTGCAGAGGAGGGGCCGCGCTTAGCATCTGGATATGGAGCCGGGCTATTCTAGATACCAAGCTGCTTTCATGTACTTGCTCTGCCCCTTCCTCTCCCCAAAAATCTAACCTCTCACTCTATTTCATCTATTTCTTTTTATTTCCGCTACCCCCTTCACCACCACAGTCCTAATAATAACACCTATGTATTACTCCCTCCTTTTCCCTCGCGTTGCTGCAGAACCGAGTTGACGTCTACATGCGCAGCCGAGACAGAGGACCAGCGAGCCGTCGCCCAGACCCTGGCACGCGTCCTGCGGGCGCTTTGTCACAGGATGGAAATACTGACGAGAGCCTTTAATGCTTAATGAGAGATGGCGGCATATGGTTGCCCCAAGCTATCCCCGTCATCTGTTTCCACTGCCCCGAAACATAATCCCGTTCTATATATAGCATCCACATACAAGGCGATATTTGCAGCGGCGTGACATGTATGACGATTAGAAAATGCAATCATTGCGATTAGTTCGGGGAATTTTAGATGATAATGTATGAACGGGACATTTGTCTCTTGCGTAATGCGGTTGGCCTTGTCCTGCGCTCCATTTGTGATTTCGAATTGGTTGAGCAACTAGACGCCATGCATACGAGAAATGGCCATTTTTCGCATGTATATGCTGCATGCCTGATTGAAAGACACTGCAGGTGGATTGCATATACACACGCGCTGGGAGTGGATGCGAATTGGCAGTTATTTATCCTCTTTAAACCTGAACGTATTTTTGCATCGTATTTATATATCGATTTTTCTCCATTCTATTTCACATACCTTTACAGCATCGCCTGCAAAAGATTTGTCGCATGGTTTCACACAATATTGCAGGATGTCCTATTCGCATGGGCATTCCTAGCTGCAGCCCAAGCCCGCGCACCACTCGTATCGCTGACGGTTAGTGTACAGAGCAACGTAACAAGCGACACCCAGCGCAGCGCCTATCAAGCAACATTCGATCGTAGCGACTACGCCTACCCACTACCACAAACGGGTCTCAGCACATTTGGCTTCGCAGGCGAGCTCTACGTGCCGGAATCTGCTGACTGTGCTGACGATGCAATATTGCGCACGGTGCGGAAATACACCAAGCCAGATCACCCAAACGGCATTGCATTCCTGCCGTACAAGAGCTGCCGCAGCGAGTGGGAATGGGTGCTGCACCAGGAAACCGAATCGGGGCGGGCAGCTGGCGCACTCCTGTACTCTATGAAAGATGATGCAGCGCAGGCAGCCGAGCGTGCAGTAGTCGACTTGACCTACTTGCACACGCCTGTGTGGGTGGTGAATAATGTGGCAGGAGCGTACCTCATCCGGGTACTGGAGCACGTATACGGAAACGCAAGTAAAGTGGATTTACCTCAGCCGCCAAACAACATCAAGTATGAGTATTTGCAAGACGACGTGAAGATGGCAGTGCGCATAGCGACTGAAGGCAGCCAGCTGACACACCCGCGCGTCTTCATCACTATCGGGCGGTCTGCAGCGGATGTGGCATCGGCCGACAGAAATTTCTTTCTGAAAGCTATGGTTGGTGTGGGTATCACTGGGATTGTGTGCTTTGTCATCGCCATGCTGGTACGCTATTTTGACTGTCTGAAACTCAGCCGGCATAGGGTGCGGGCGGGGCGTCGGTCGACCGAATTTCATCCACGCGCTACGACCATGTGGGCTCGCAATAGTGGACAGGCGTTCCGGGCACGCTCCAGACGTGCACGACACGCCGACGCCCATGGCCATCGACGGAATTCAACCCGACGCGTTTTGCAGCAAAGCGAGCTGGATCTAATGCCATTGCGCATTGTAACTCACCGCGATCTCCAGCCTCCTGATACCCTGGGCCTGCCAGGTAATATGAAGAAGCCGCAGATGGCGATTCTGCGGAGCAACGCATCCTGCCCACACTTGCCCCAGATGCCTGGCAGTTCCTTGGAGCTAGCCCGTGTGTATTCGGCGCAACTAGGCGAGCTTCCTAGCAAGGATCCGGTATTAACGTCGTGGGATGATGACGATGACGACTTGAATGAGTGTGCGATTTGTCTAGACGAGATACGTGAAGGGGATGTGGTGAGGGAGCTGCCCTGTCCGCATACTTTCCACAGCAGGTGCATTGATCGGTGGCTGCTGTTCCAGTCGTCGGTGTGTCCGTTATGTAAGCGCGATACGCTAATTGAGCCGCCAGCTGTCGAGCATGTGGCGTAGTCCATTTAATTTAGCAATAATGTCTTACACTACAAGGAAATGGACATGGGAGAAATGGAGCTGGATATGGATGTCCAAGGTGAATGCTCCCCGGCCGAGCCGACTCGGCGGACCAGCATTCCTTGTTTGTCGCTCGAAAAATTCTCAGCTTTTAAAGGCTTCGGGCTGCGTATTCGTTTTCTTCTACACCTACATTCCGTTTTTTGCTTCCGTGCTGCATTCCCGACATTAGCTGTTTTCATTCTTGTCCTCCAGCTTTGGTGTCCTTTCGCCTTGGTTATACTGACGCGTGCACGCGCGTTCTGCAAAGCACTTTTATTGTAAACACCTTGAATTCCCTTTGCTTTTTCCGCGAATGCTTCCGACAAAACGGCAGTTCAGGTCAGTCACGTATACACGCGAGAGCGAAATACACCAGCTCTCGTACAGTATTCCGGAGGGCCTGCCACACGAAGAGCTGTTTACGCCCGAAGGCATTCCGATCGTACAGCCGGTAGCCAAGCGTCCGCGACTCGTGTTTGAGTTTGCTGGCGGCCTTACGCATCAGGATCCGTCGGGGGACTCGACACCAGGTAAGGGGATTCTGGCACTACATCCTTGTCTAATGGCCAAGGCAGTAGGTATTGACGGGTGGGCTCCTTTTTTAGACGACTCAGTCGTTCGTAATGTCACGGTGGACAACGACCACCTCAAGCATTTGCTAGAAACGCAGTGCGCCGAGAATATCATTGAGCAGATCGCAGCCCAGGTACCAAACACGCCGGTCATCGAGCAGCCAGAGAGTGCAGAGGATATCCTCGTGGCAAAGCCTCAGATGCTGAAGAACCAGCAGATCACACTGCGGGTGAGTTGTCGCTAGAAGGGTGCGAGGAGACTGGACAATTCCGGAAGTTGAGCTGCTGGAGATCAAGTGCCACTATTGGCGAAGAGTCGGACCTGGATGCAGCCTGCAGCAGCCAGTAGGGCTTAATGAGAGGTATAGCCGTTCTGGATGTCGTGGCACTGAGCTATCAGAAGCCAATGGGCCTGGATTTGAGTATTTTGGTTTACAAGAGACTGAGCAACCGCAAAAGCAACGGCAGCAAGAGACAGAACAAGATCGAACGCACGACACACCTATATACAATGGATCTGGAGCATGAGTATATCTACACCTGACACTGGTGGAGATACACAGGAAGCAGACGACAGCCGCTGCTCAGAGGCACCAGAGCAAGGTCGATAGCGAAGAAGAGGGGAGGAGGGGAGGAGGGGAGGCAGCAGAAGAGGGGGAGGATGACAGAGATGAGAATGAAGACGGGGATGACAGCATCTCTGAAGAGATCGAGGAACTGAAGGGCCTGATACCAGGTCTTTCTGATCAGTACAAGCTCTTGGGCAAAATTGGCGAAGGCACATTCAGCACCGTCTACAAGGCAATCGACCTGCAGCACGACCGCTACGACAACCACAGCTGGGAGATGATCTACGACGATCGCTGCCACAGATGACGAAGCCTCGGGCCGGTTCCGGCGACCCGGGCGGCGGCGGCGATCGCACATGGTAGCCATCAAGAAGATCTATGTGACAAGCTCCCCTGCACGCATCGCCAACGAGATCGCCATCCTCAACGACCTGCGCGGCAGCCGGTTCGTTGCACCACTAGTAACCGCTATGCGCAAGGATGACCAGGTCATCGTCGTGTTGCCGTACTTCCCCAATGACGATTTCCGCAGCTTTTACATGACCCTGTCTATCGATGAGATCCGCTGGTACATGGCGTCGTTGCTTGAGGCCCTCAAGTTTTCACATCGCCAAGGCATCATGCATCGCGACATCAAACCATCGAATTTCCTCTACGACATTGGCAGGCGTCATGGTGTGCTAGTAGATTTTGGCCTGGCCGAGCGCGAAAATGACCAGGAGGCAACGAAGCATCGGTCACGGCATGCGCTGCAGATGGACTCGACGACGGCAGCACGCATATTCCGCAGCTTTGATATGCGCGGACGGCCTGGAATTCCACGCAAGGATACACGCCCCGGTCTGCGCGCCAATCGGGCAGGCACGCGTGGGTTTCGGGCTCCCGAAGTTTTGCTCAAAGTCGCAAAGCAGTCGGTGGCTATTGATATCTGGTCGGCGGGCGTCATTCTGCTGTGCTTTTTGACGCGCCGATTTCCATTCTTCCAGTCTACCGACGACACAGAGGCATTGCTGGAGATCGCTGTATTGTATGGACGGCTGGAGATGGAGCGCGCAGCAGTGGCCCTGGGCAGGACGTTCTTGACGAACATCCCGACCGTCAAGGATCGCGGGATTCGATTTGAAAGCCTGATCAAGGCGTACAACCTTGATGGATTCCTTGTTATGCCGCCAGAGGCCTACGATCTGCTACGCAAATTGCTAGCACTAACACCCGATAAGCGTATCACGGCGGCCGAGGCCCTCGAGCACCCGTTTATCACGAACCGCCCCTTTGACTAGAGCCATTCCTTTCTTTGTATGCTACGTCACTCACCCAGTATCAACATATTAGATCAGCATATCATGATGTGTGAAGGCATCAATGTGCATGCGAATCACACTCCCTTTTTCTTTTCTGAAACCCCCCGCCCTTGTATGAATATGTCACGACAGCTCCTCAATTCGACAACTGCTCTGAATTCTCTTTTCATTCGCGGCTATGCCACTGTGTGCAGCCCCCAGCAGCGGGCTACGCAGCCGGCTGCCCCTCCAAAGCCTGTACTTGCGCAAACCCTTTTGGCTGATATCAGCAGCAGAGCAGCAGCACTAGCAGCCAGTGATAGCTGGTCAACAGACAACGAACGACAGATGGTTACGGTGCTAGAAACATGCCAGCAGCTACTTGGAAATGCCCACACTTCTGCCGAGACCCAGCAGCTGTGCCAGGTCGCCGACCAGCTGGGCCAAAAGATCATCATGGGCAAGAGCAAGAGCAGTCTATCGCTGCTGCCGTTTACGCGATACCTCGAGTTCTACGCGCAGCTGGGTCGACCAGATATTACACAGCTGGCCTTTAGCCGGATCCGGCGGCAATGGCGGCAGCCGTCGATCTCAGTATACTCAGCGCAGCAGCGCGCACTGCTCAGGTTCGCAGCAGACCGTGCCAGCGGTCTGCAGCTCCTGGCCTGCACAATATCGCACGAAACTCCAGCACTAGCTGCGCAGTCTGTCGAGAGTCGGCTGATAGAGACCTCTGTGAGGCAGATTGTCGAGGACGCGTTGGCATGGGAACGCCGGACTCGTCGACTGGTTAAGGTATTTGAGTATGGATCGTACTCGGCCCTGGCAATGCTGATTGCCAAGTGGGCATGGATTGGAAACAGCGTAGTACTCGCAGGCATGGGAGTCGTACCCAAAGCAGTGGCCTCAGCAGCTGTGCTGGGAGTTTCAGCCGCAATAGTCCGTATGGCTGTCAAGCACTCGGTGATGGGATCGCTAACTGTGCCGGCGCTGGCCGAGACTACTGCACCGCATACAGCCAATACAGTACAGGCACAGGATGGCGAATCGGAGGCGCGGCGGATTCTGAGTCGCGCATTCCCTGCATCACCGTCAGACGAAGCCATGATGGAGATCAGCGAGATTCTGAAGACTGCAAAGGCAACGAGGTCGCAGGCTATGTCGTGGAAGCTGCGCCTGGCCTTAATGTGGAGTCGGTTTGCAAGACGGTTCGCTATCGTTGAACCGGTGCTGATGAGCGATCGGGCGCTTACGCAGAGGCTTTGTGTGCTGTGGGCACGCAACATCACGCAAATGGTACCTTCGGACGTTAAGACTGGCGATTTAGCCACTGAGGCGGTGTGCTCGGAGGCGCTTTTGGAATGGATCGCATTTGTCGAGCGAGAGAATGGCGAATCGCCGCTGGTACTAGGCCATGACGGGATCGTCGATAGTGCACGGTTCGCTGCTAGACATACTGATGCCAACACGATCAAGCGATTCCTGGAGTTTTCATTTTCTGGCGCACTGTCCTTAATGCGTGGCCTGGATTCTGGCAGTTCGACACATTTGGACGAGCAGTCGATGAACCAGGCAGGGAGTGTGGTTACAGTGGCAGACAGTCGTGTAGCAATGAACGCCGCCGACAACCCTGCTCACCGAACTGCCGCTACGATCCTTGTATCAATAACTATCGTCAACCAACTTCTCAATCAGGCACGCGAGTCCCGTGGACCAACAGACCCAGCATCGTGCGGAAAGTTATTTGTTGCGCTCAACACCGTACTAGCATCAGAAAGCTGCCCAATTCCGGTCTCGCTCTATTATGCCGCGTTTCGCGCAGCTGCTGTGCTCAATGATACAGTGCTGTCTGACAGATTGGCGCAACGGTTTAGAGACAGTTTTGTAAAGGGCGATCCATATATTGCCAAGGCCGTACGAAGCGACCGTGATTCTACTGCTATGGGCTGGCGGCTCGGCAGTGCGGCTCCGACAAGCGTTCCGCCTATAGTGCGCTGTGTTTCGCCTTACCTATCTATGCTCGCACAACAGGACGTGACCAGCAACACTAGGCAAGATGCAGTATGCGAACTCGTTAAGAGCTGGAAAAGAATTGGCCTGCTTGACCACGCAGCAGCAACGATGGCCTTGGTTACCGCTGTAAAAGGGATAGATACGACCCAAGCACATCCTATGCTTGTGCCAACTGTCCAGCGGTGGATGGATCTCGGGCAGACCATCTTTTCCGGTGTTCCACAAGGTACATCCACAACCGACAAGGTCCGCGAAGCAGAGTGCGCTCGTGCACTCTATTACCTCGCTACCCGCGTAATGGAGCTTGGAACCACAATTGGGCATTTGGAGCTTGGCTTCCAGGCCCACAGCATCGCATCGGAGTCGATCAAGCAGCGCTCGTATTTAGAGACATTTGCGCCGTCTGACTACAATGAGCAGTCGATTCGCGTGTTTTCGAGTATGGCTGAGCAGCACGCGCCGAGCGAGCAGTCACAGGTTTGTGTGCATATGGCTATATCAGTACTGGATCAGATGCGCACACTTGGACAGACCCCGCAGTGGCAAACATTTGATGCGCTGTGTGTGGCTGCAGCAAAATCATATGTAGACATTGAGAAGCAGGTGTCGGTTTGGACCAAGCTTATCAAGGATCGAGCGCAGGCGAAGAAGCTCAGCAACTTTGCAAAATCTTTGTAACCATATGCCCATGGATACCATGGCAATAGTTCTGCTAGTTGAACCAGGCTAGCCATAAACAACCCAAGAGTATCAACACTATTTCAACCTTTATACCATCTCAATCGCCCACGAAGCATTATACCATGCGGTTTACATACATGACGATGGTTGCACAAGTGGGGACGGTTTAAGAATGCTGGGCGAGAGAGACTTGATGCTACCTGAAACGCGCGTACTGGTGGCAGACGGATCCTAGCGCAGCCACGGAGCGGGCCAATAAATACGGCTGGCTAGACTGACCTCCATAGGATACACGCTCAATCGTCATCTCCACTCCTGGCCAATATATTTTCGTGTATCCCCACTATCAGCGTGTAGAGAATGCACCAGAGGCATCTAGTATTCGAAAACACAGTCATACCTATTGCACAAACTGCTAAATTGCAGTTTTCGATAGCGTGCTGCGTTGCTTGGCCAGATAACGCAAAAGGCGAAATACTACAACCATCGGTCCAGTGCCCTGCCGTGGAACTTACAGGTTGCTGTTCTACATGACCTCAAGAACAGCTTCTTGTTTTTGTCTGGGCCAATCGGTATCCCTGGCTCCCTTGAACTCTCATGGCTTGTAGAACTCCCCAACCCTCCCTCACCCTTTTCCTGAATGCTCAGCCTGGTGCCAGCATGTTTCCCTTTGGCAGCCTGCCCAGGAGTAACAGGCCCACAATAGCACTATTATATCAATATTTCTTCGCTGGTAGTGTCCACTTGACTCTATCTGAATAGTCATTTGCCACTGCAGCATATTTGGGACAAGGAGGCATGTGTTATAAGAATAATGTATTTTGGATACACTAGTTATCCTATTAGAAGGTACCTTCATATGCTTATGCGCGACTACGCTCATACTGATCGTTCCACTTGACAAACACGCCGAGGTCCTTTGCAGCTTCGAATACGAACGATGGATCACGCAGGTACTTGCGAGCTGCCGAAGCTACATCCGCCTTGCCCTGCTCCAGAATCTCGTTTGCCTGCCTACCGTTATCGATGGAGCCAATAGCACCAACAAGAATACCAGGTACAGCCGCCTTCACAGCAGCCGCATACGGAACCTGGTATCCAGGTGCGTATGCAACCTTTTGGCGCGGGTCATTACCAGCGGATGAGCAGTCAATGAAGTCGACGCCCTCGTTGTGCAGGATCTTGGCCAGCTCAACTGTATCTTCGGTATCCCAGCCGCCCTCGACACAGTCACTGGCTGAAACACGGACAAGCAGTGGCTTCTCAGCGGGCCACACTTGGCGAACCTTGCGTGCGGTCTCAACAAAGAATCGAATGCGATTCTCGAACGAACCACCATACTTATCGGTGCGCTGGTTTGACAGCGGTGAGTAGAACTGATGAATCAAGTAGCCATGGGCACCGTGAAGCTCGATAAAGTCGAAGCCAGCCTTCTCTGCGCGCACCGCAGCATCAACAAACGCCTGCTGGACATCCGCGATCTGCTCAATGGTCATCTCCTTTGGTGTCCAGTGCTTATCGTCATAGGCAATGGCTGATGGGCCATAGACATCCTCAGACCAGCCGCCCTCAGAGTCTTCGGCCATGAGAGTAGGCCGCTTGCCATACTGACTGAGGGGAATGGTGCTGCTCTTGCGGCCAGCGTGACCAATCTGGATTCCGATCGTGGTGCCAAACTTGTGGGCGTAGTCCACAATATGCCTGAGCCCTGCAATCTGCTCATCCTTCCACAGACCGAGACAATTGGGCGTGATGCGGCCCTCAGGTACGACTCCAGTAGCCTCGATAACGATACCCCCGGAGCCACGAACCGCAAACTGGCCATAGTGCATAAAGTGGAAATCGTTGACAAAACCGTCCTCTGCAGAATACATGCACATGGGGCTGACCCACAGTCGGTTCTTGAAGGTGATGTTGCGGATTTTGAGCGGCTGGAACAGTTTTGGCAGAGGGTCGAGAATCGATTCAGATGCCGCTAGACCATGCCTGACTTGTGTCGCGGAAGCGGTAATCGGAGTTGCCGGGGACGGGCTCTGGGTCAGCTCAAAGGTGGGAGTGTTGAAGGAAGGCATTTCTCTATACTATTGAAAATATATGTTGTGTGGAGGCAGTGGTAGACAAATAATTCTCTGGGTGTTGTTGTTGGCAAGTTAGGATGTCAGTGCCTGTCAGCCCTTTGTATTTTATATGCACGCAGCCGCAGTACCCATTAGTCATCGGACATAGTAACAGTGTATTAACTCTACCTTATGCTGACACCACAGCTATATTATGCTGACACCAGTGACAACCTCCGCTGCCCCTCTTTAGTTCTAGAAGGTACAATCAGGCAGAACAATTAGTCAGCCATGTTGGAAATGCATTTAGTCAAGCCACGTGCAGCGCTGACAAATTTGAGCTCTATCAGGATCAGCAATCTACGGCTTACATCTAATCAGGTGATTGGAGGCTTTGCTTGTTGGAAATTAGCCCAGACTTCCGAGGATGGCCGGAATGGCCTTACAATCCACATCCCAAGTTCCTGTATCCAGTTCGCTGGTACCAGATGAATTTTCGCGCCTTGCAGCTGGATCCAAAGCAGGCCTGGTCTCCACCCGGGACAAAGTGAGTTATTCTAGTTTTAATATTTATTAAGGATTAGGAGGGATTAAACCAGTCCAATCATCACCATTGGGTGTAGAGCCTGCCATATGGAGTAGAGCTTGTAATAGCACGGGTTTTGTGCTAACCAATGGCGCTGCAGCCTATACCATCGAGAGATTAGTAATCGTTGGTAATGCAAAAAAAGTACATGTAACCACTGCACCAGCAGTTATCTGTATTGAGTGCTCCACCCCGTCTCTGTGGTCGGTTCTCTGTTCGGCAAATGCGAGGCGATCAAAAGCCGCGATTTGTAAATCGCACAGTATGCTGGTGAATATAAAAGTAGCCTGTAGGTCAGATATCTCGTTGCCCACCAACAAAAGCATTCGCAGCAGCCTCAAATCAATCGATCTTCAAACATGCACTCAACCTCGAACAGTACTAACGTCGCAATTGTCACTGGTGCCTCGCGTGGAATTGGCAAGGCCATTGTGCTCCACTTGTTGTCAGAGGATGTATCCGTCGTTGGGCTTGCACGTAGTGCCAGCACCCTCAGCGCCCTCTCGGAGGAGGTTTCCAGGCTCCAGACCTCCGCCAAGTTTATTCCTATCGCCGGTGATGTCACTGATCAGACAGTTCAGCAACAAACGGTCGATCTTGCCGCGCAGAACGGCACACTTGTTGCCCTTGTCAACAACGCTGGTGTTGAAGGACAATACGCGGCAATTGCAAGCGGTACCGTTGAAGACTTGACGCTTCAATTTGCGGTCAATGTCATTGCACCAACGAGTCTGATCCAAAAGGCTTTGCCGCAGCTGCGCCAGTCAAAGGGCAGGATCATTAATCTCTCGTCGGCTCTTCATAAAACGGCTCTCAAGAACAAGTCTGGCTATGGCGCATCCAAGGCAGCCCTCAACTATATCACCGAGACCCTGGCACTAGAGGAGCCCGATATCACTGCTGTTGCGATTCACCCGGGCCTTGTTGAAACGGACATGACGAGGGGTTTCGTAGACAGGATGGCAGTGGGCGGAGCAGAAGAAACTGCAATGGTTGATAATATGCGATCTGCCATGATTCAGACTGCGCTTCCAGGCCATATCATAGGAAACCTTGCGCTCTATGCAGACCATGAGCTGAGTGGATCTTATGTGGAGTACGACGAGCCCAGGCTGTCCAAGTACGCCGAATAGTTGGCAAGGTGTAATTTTATTTTCTTCATACTTTTCCAACACTGTCATGTTTTTGAACTAACAATATACCCATCTTTTGAGTATATGCGCAGCATCTAGCTGTGATTTGTGCACCTATGTGTTTCTATTGCTAATGAATCTAGAGCATCGCATCTATGCCATTTTGGATGCAGGGCGAGTGGGAATGGCAGTTCCAGTGTTTCGATTGGCATCATCACTCACTTCGACGTCGGCGATGGCACCGTGGTCCACTTCCTCATTCGAATGGTCCATCGTGTCATGAAAGTACACTGTATGCCGAGATTGGTTGGTGCCGGATCCTTTGCCATTCTTGTCTGTCCCTGCCGATGTTGGCGAATTCGACTGGCCGGTAGAGCCCGATATGCCACTATGAGGCTCGATGCGAAGGTTTCGTAGCCCCTCAGTTACGTGCTTCCATCCAGGGATGATCGGTGCTAGTACATATACAGCGTCAGAACTTAGCAATGGCATGTAGGGAGCCGGGTTACATAAGACGCAAGCGAATGCCTGACCACGTTGCGATACTATGCGGTAAATGCCCAAAGGTATGGCACCGTGACGCTTCATCAGTGTCAACACAAGCGTGTCATAGCGCTTACCAATGAAGCGGTCAGGGATGTACAGCAAGCTCAGGCGACCAGGTTTGAATGTGCGCAGTGGTCCTGCGTCGGCATGGCTGAACGTCATTTGTCGCAGCACATCCAGAATATGTGAGCTAAAGTAACACTGGCACAGCGCAGTGTCGATAAGCGCTGGCATGAAAATGTGGCCGCCCATGAACGTACGCTTGAGAAATGGCTCTCCTAACAGCTGAGTATGGTCGAGATACCTAATACTTTCGATATCCAGTAACTCGGTGGTCACAAAGAATTGACCGCCACAGACAGACTGGATGTTCATGTTGGCCAGTATCGCTGCTGAATCATTGCTCGAGTCACCAATATCTTTATCAGTTCGCCCGCCACAACCCCCCAGCACGATTGCCTTCTGAGCCTGCTCGATATGGGTGCGCCGCAAGTCGGCCTGTGACAGCGGTGTGCCACGCACTATATAGACGTTCGCCAAGTCATCCAGCACCAGCTCCACCATACGATCCATTTTGGCAGACGACAGAATGACAATTGGTAGCTCGTCATCTTCGAAAGCCTGCTTCAGCGACTGCACCAGCAGCTCGATGTTTCGCGGGAACATGTTGCTGGCATCACATATGACAATGTGCCCCTGGATCTCCGATGGTACGGGATCTGACCGTCTCACGATGCGCTCCGCACGGGACCCGACTAGGCCTTTGTATGGGGTGAATTCTGGATAGCTCTTTTCCCGCGGATGGGGATCTGCCACAGTGCGACTGGGCGAAAAGTACTCGCTGTCACCATCGCTAATGTAGTTGGTGCCTCGTGCCCGCTTAACACTGCCATTCGAACGCACGATCACACGCCGCGGACTCCCGATCTGCACTGGCGTGGTGGGCTCCTCGAAATCCATCAGCTTTCTTGCTGGGGACATTGGCGACGCCGGAGTCAAGAATCCAAAGAACGGCATTCGCGATCGTGTCGATGAAATAGAGATTGGCGAAAGTGGTACGGGATCCGGCACGTCTGGCGGCAATGTCCTTTGCTGTGCCTTGCTAGTCCTGATGGTGACACGTTCGGCAAACACCATGGCATCAACAACAGACTGCACGTCAGTTGAGATCGCAAACAGTATATCATACTTGCGCAGTATGTAGTTTCGTGGTGCAAGCAAGACCTGGTAGTGCCCCATGTCGTTGTCAATCGATGGATGGTGTGGAGTATGGACCTGTGGCGAGCGAGTAGGTGAGAATGCGCCAACTCCGAATACCAACAGCCCATGACAGCGGTAAAAGTAGCGTGCTACCTTGAAAAACGACTTCCCCAGCAGCGACCCAGGAGCCTTAGCCTGGTAGATCTCGAGCCCAAATCCGTGAATGTAGTTCTTGACCCACCCCTCATCAGATGACTCTGCAATTGCCTCTGCTAGCACGCCAGAAAAGTCCCATTCGGGCTCGTTGCCCATCGACTTGGAGAGCATGAATACCAGGGTTGCAAATCCCGGCGTTGCACTGTTCTGTGCCATTATGCCCATACGCATCTCGTCGACAGAGACAACACGCGTTGTCTGCAGGTACATCATGTGCGCAATACTACCTGGCAGTATTGTCTGCGCATACACGCTGAACTTGGGCTGCGCGTGGGCTAGCATCTCATCGACGGGCTTGTAGACCACTCGACTTCTGAATGCACTGAGCGCCAATGCGATCAGAACCAGTTCGGCATCCTCCTCAACACCGGTGCCGTGGCAGTGTTTTTCAGCCAGGATATACACGCAGGTAGCCAAATCAATGCGTGCACGCTGCAGTGCCTTGAGGCCGGTGGCTCTGCCTTTGACATAGAAAACGCGGTTTGCAAATGCCGGATCGCACAGCAGTGCTTTCATTTCCATGTCCGGCTCGTCAGGATGCAGAATAACGATTGTTGTGCGGAAGATGTTAGGGCCATGGTCGGCATTGAAAAACTCGTGCAGAAACAGCTGCACCGAGTCCACGCCAATATGTCCACACACTAGCGCGTGTCGTGTAGCCTTGGGCAGAGATACGGTCTTTGCATATGCTGATGTCTTTATCGTCAAGTCGATCAGCTTTGAGATCCGGGGCGGTACTGTGAAGGCGACCAGTGCGACGATCACGATCGAAATTATTTCAGAGAACGTGCTCTGCGGGATGTTCGTGCTTGGGCTTGTGGCACTCACTAATGGAAGCTTGTTTTATACTCTTGTATGAAGAGGATGGTAGGTTTTTGATATGCATGTAAAGGGAAGAAAGGGAGAGAGGTGAAATGGAGAGTATGGGCAACATGAATAGTAGTACGCCAACTCAAGACAGTGGATGCAGGTTTGAATCTCAGCAGTGCTGTACTTACTTGATACAAAGTATATCGCGTCTAGATATGTGAATCCGGTAAAGTCGATGTTGTTTGTTTGGCTGTACCAGTAGATGCCAGAATGCACTAGGCTTGCAAACCCCATGATGACCACGGCAATATCAGATGCAAGTGACGACGCCTCCTGCTTGATCAGTGTCAGGCGGAATCTACCTTCTGACGCTGCCGCGGACGCCAAAATCCGATTTACCGCGTATAGCATCCTCAGAAACCGGGCTGGGTAGAAAATGGCCAGCACACCCGCACTCAGGTAGCTGCTGCGGACTTTTGCATTGTGCTCGCCAAGCACGTAAGCAACCATCGGTGCTATGACTGCCATGAAAAGAACGCCATGCTCTAGAGGTCGCGGATTTGCATTGATGATTACGAACCGTGTAATATACTGGCTCAAAAGTGCCACTGCCAATACAAATTCTATCTGCCGGTTTGCTGTGGGGATTGGAAGCGGCTCGTGGGTCTTTGGATCAACCACTGTCGTGTTCTAAGGAATGCTCGTTTGCATCTGGAGTTAGTTTGTTGTTACAATGTTAATTCGCACAACCACCCTCTGCAAAGGTTGAACTTACAATAATGTAGATCACACATAGGCCCAAGTTCAGCACAAAGTCCACTACCTCCCAGATACGACCCCATATAGTGGTGTCGAGGGTAAATAGCACGCGCTGTCGCCATCCATTTACGACATTGTCAAGCGCAACAAACGTCGCCTGCTCTGGCATTCTAAAAATGTGGGGTATGCTGGTGTGAAAAAAAAGTATAAAAAAATATGAAGCTGGGAGTACACTGGAGAAAAACTTGGAACGGAGTAAAGCGCAGCAGCTGCACAAGTGCTTGGTGGAAAGTTGTGCTCCTTTATTGTCATGGGAGGAGTATGTTGACGATCCAGTATGACACATCAGGTGTCGTGCGAGTCGGGCAGCATATATGTGGCTTTGAAGCAGTTTTCATCTGTTGAGCCGGGAAGGAGTATGACAGCAAACACATGTAGTGACCTCCGATCATGCGACCTGTGACATTGTAAAATTGCAAATATCATCCCCCTGTTTATTGTCGGCATGACCACGCTAGGTCTACGGCACCTGCCGAAATTTGGGGAGGGTACGTGATGCTATGGAATGACCTGCTATTTGCGCAATTAATAGGCATTAAATATACAACGCTCAGCGCCTTGGCCTATTAGAGTCGTTTGACATTTGCATTTCGTCAAATGAATAATCAGGCTATGTTGCTACTATGTCATACAAGCACTACCTGATGCAGCACGCAACCCAAGGTCTAATACTCAGAGCCACATAGGGATATTATTGACGGTTGATACATCTTGTTGGCTGATGCCTAGGATCGGCACCAGTCATTCCAAGGTACAGATGAAGTAATCTGTGTATATTCTGTCCTTTGCTGCAGGCAAGGGTCGGTTAGCAAACATCACTACTGCGAGCCAAAACTGGAGCTCTGTATTGTGGGGGATATGGCAACAAGGGAAACATTCTCCAATCACCCTCCACCGACCGCTTCCCCGCACTCTCTTAGCTATTGCAATCAATCAGGATGTCTCACATCCTTCCTCGCATTCCTTCCTCCTTCCCTGCGATACGCACAGCTACCTACTGTTTGCTCAAATATTCTCTGTCGTATTCGTGCCTCTCTTGTAAACATATCAGCTAGATTTTCCATGGACATACAGATGTACAGCGCAGGATGCACTACTGACGAAACCACACCTGGAAACTCGCGCAAGAGTAGAGGTGTAATGTGCCTAGAGACTACAGTCAGCGAGATCCGCAGCTCCTCTGGGTGGATCCAGCGGCTAGTCCGCGAGCGTAGGCGCAGTGAGATGCAACAAAGTGCTTCCCAGTCCCTTTCGTTTGCCACTGCTAAAGATAGCTTAAGGGATAGTGCATCAAATCTGAGCTCGACACCGTCGCTAGTAGGCAGCCAGCCATCAACCCAGCCGGAGACAGAGAATATGCTACTGATTCTACCTTCACTGCAGTCCAACATACCTGCCAGGGAGATAACAGAAGCCGATCCGTTCAAGTCTCTATCGGGCTTAGAGATAGAGAAGCCACCTGGACAGCAATCACTCGAATGGCAGATGCCAGCTACGCAGCATCCATCCGGCGAGCCACAAAGTCTGGTATTGCGACTGGTAAAGCTCTTTCTGTTGGCAATTTCGCAAGCAGGCCTCGCCCTGTTCCTCATGGCTATGTGCCGAATCGTTAGCAAGGCGGGGAATGCGGGGCTCGCCTACCACCAGATCCTGCAGACTACCGTACTGGCCAGCTCGACTCAGGCCGTCATTATCCTGCAGCACTCACGGTGGCCAGCGCCACCAGACTCGAAGCGCACAGCACGCACCGCCCACATAATCCTACAAGGAGTAGCTGGCATTGCGTGTCTAGCAGCCCTTGTCGACGGCGCAATGCGGGCTGGGGACAGAGGTGCTGATCAGTTTTGGAAGGCACCGCATGTACGAGCAAACATAGTCACCATGGCTATGTTTATCCTGCAGGCTGTGTTTGGCATCTCCATGGTGTTTTCAACAAGGCTGTTTGGTGGGCAGCGCAAGGCAAAGCATTCATACAAGTATCATAGAATCTGCGGCTACGCCACGTTGACCGCGATGTGGACGACAGGCGCGCTTGGTGTTCACGCTGTGCTGCAGCAGGAAGGTGCGCAGGCGCTGAATAGCCGGTATGAGTGGCATGCTGTTCCGCGAGGAACGTGGGTGGCGGCTGGTGCCATGCTTGCCCTGGGAGTTGTTTTTGGTATTGACGTACGAAAGATCGGGCTGCATCGGTCCGCACAAGTCAAGAAGGGCACGTTTGCGCGCGCCTGGCCATAAGGATACGCAGGACTAGGGGAAAGGGAGGTTGGTGGGCCAAGCCTGCGCTTCTGGTGTCCAGGGCATTCGTTGCCTGTCGCTAGCTAGCCTCTTTTGCTTCTCTGTTTTATCAGTCAGCATAAACACCCAGCATTATACCATGGCCACCCCGCAGCACAAATACTCGCTCTGGCTCAGCCCGCCCAAATATTCCCCCGCACATGCCAGCATCCAGTCGCTAATCGCCCAATTCTCCACTGCGCCAGGCTCACCCGTTTTCTCGCCACACCTGACACTATTCTCGCCTGTGCGCACAGACAGCGATGCTGCGGCAATTGAGCAAGTGCAGCTTTATGTGGCAAAGCTACGAGAAAGGCAACTGAGCCAGATTCCGACTGAGATCCGTAGGGTCGCCAGTGGAAGCAAGTTCTACCAGTGCATCATGCTTGAGGTCGGCGGTGTGCATGAGGACGCTGTGCGGTCAGCGAATACAATTGCGCGTGAGCACTGGGATGCTACCGACCAGCCTAACTACTACCCTCATGTCAGCTTGGTGTACAGGGAGTGCACAGCCGAGCAGCGGCAAGCAACTGAAGGAGGCTGTTGAGATGGCTGTGCCTGCCGACATTCGGATCGCTGGCATATGTGGCCTGACGAGGTGCGTATCATCGAGACCGTCGGACCGTGCAACGAATGGCGCGATATTGGCAGCATTTCACTTGCTACAGGCCAGCATTCGGTCAGCCTGATCATCCAGCTGCACTTTCTTTCGATGCAGATTTGGTGCCAAATATATTTCATAGCAGTATATAAAACAAGCATGCGGCTACTGGGTCTTTGGTCCTCTACATAGCATACAGCGCAAGCAATCCAGTTAGTGTCGAACAGTTGCACGGTACATAGAACTATATTCCAGTACGACGATACTTACTCGCCTCCAGGAACAAGCATGCAGATGTTGTTGCCGTTGAGCAGGATCTGATCGAGATGGTTGACCTCCTTCACGTCGCCAACCTGTTCGTATTCTGTGACGTTCTCCAGCACCATGTTAACGTAGTCGTCAAACCCATTAGTGTGCCGACGAATTCCTTCTCGGACTTCATCATGACCCAGATCCGCGACCCAATGCACTTGTCGATAAGCTCTACGGATAGCAGGCTGTGTGTTAGAATGCCATCGACATAGGTGTGGTTCCGACAGGTGAAGCACTGATAATACGAGAGCATGCATACCTAGCGGGAGCAGCTGTGACGTGGCCATTTTCCTTGTAGTCTGCTTTAAGAAGTAAAGAAGGGCGGTAGTAGTTGGGTCGAACATGGATGCCGACAGAAAATCACACTGGTCTAACGGCAGCATCACTATGGGCGGGTTTATGGGGGGTGGCCGAAGATGTGTGAGGAATATTTATAATATCAGGATTTCCGCGCAGATTCTAAAGGCCGCTGCTAAAGAAAGCCTAGCTGGATACCTGCGGCACCTGGTGGATGCTCGACGCGGCACTCGCTGTGAGCTCAGCATCTCTGACAAACGCCAAGCCGCCATCGCCGTCATGGTCACCTGGCGGGTGCATTTTGTCGCCACCGCCATTATGCTGCGTATGGTTCGAGCGTTTAGCGAGGTTGCGCAAGTTGGTCAGCGATGGCAGGATGCTCGGTGTGCCGGCATACCCAACGACCTGCGTGGGCTCAATGCGCTCATATATTGAGCAGATACGGGTTCGCACACAGCACCTCTGCCAGTGTGACTGCCTGCACATCTTCGTCCGAGATCAGGTACCACTCGGCAGTCATGGCATCGGTGACACGCCAGGCCCGCTTTCGGCCGCACCTCCTGTTGCATGGGAGCGGGCAGCGCAAAGTCGTTGACAGAAGATATGCTGGACATGCTGGCGGTGGCCATGCTGCTGCTGCCGCCGACGATCCGGCGTTTGCGCAGTCCGTCATGTGCAGGAGACATGTCCGAGGCAGGTGGGCTGGACGATAAGGCTGCGCGCTTGTCAATGGGAACATGGGCAGACATTGGTAGTGCTACAGGGTTGCTGGCATGGCGAGGTGTGTTGATGCCAGAGCGTGTGGGTGGCCGCGGCTTCCGCCGATATGTGATGAAATGGCCGTACGAGTGCGAGCCAATGTGCACCACCACCGCCTGCAGACGGTAGCCTGTCTGTGGACTGATCCCCTGGCTGATCGCATCAGCGACATCCTTGGACCGGCGCTGCTGCTGGCTGGCAAACACGCCCTGGGCAGACAACTCACTCGTAGTCAGCGACTCGTCAATAATCGATGCCATCGGATCGACCTTCAGGTGCCCGTTAGTTGTGTACGGCGCGAAATCCAGGTACTCTGGGAACCGTACATGGCACGGGTTTTTCACAATATACCCTTCGGGTGTCACTGCGGACCGCGACAGGATGCAGGCACAGGCATGGCGGCAGCTTGGCAAAGGCGATCTGCTTGGTGCTCAGTGGGCTGTAGGCGCGCCGCAGTTTGACGCCTGGCAGCTCCATTTGAACGTCTGTGCGCAGGGCCTTGGCCACGTCAGTGGCTTCTGACCTGAGTCGCTGGATAATGCCAGGCACATTGAGCATGTAGGGCGGCGGAAGGTTGTGTGTACGGTCGACGCGCTGTGAGGCCGGATTGATCGGGTACTCGTCGCGCGACAGCCCTGAACCAAGCGAGAATCCGAGCCGCGCGTTTGGTACTGATGTGCCCGATTCTTGATTATTGGTGTTGAATTCAGAGTCCTCCGAGTCCGAGTCGGAGAACCTTTCGTTGTCGCTGTCATTCAGCACTACTCGGCGCCATACCGCCTCGGCGCGCGCAGCCTGCCGCTGTGCCTTTGCACACATCTCTGACTCAGCGCCGATACTCTCGACTGATTCGCCATTAGCACTAGCCGTGTTGTACACTGGGTTGTTGGCGAGCCAGGCACTGGCAGCCCTAACCTCAGTAATTAACTCCTGCAGTGTGCGATGCAGTGTGCATTTGCGGCACTGCACGCCTGACAGCTCCTCGATCGAGATGTAGTCCCGCAGCGCCTGGTCCAGTGTACACGATGCCAGCAGCGGCAATGTCAGCGAGACGTTGTCAAAGGCAAAGTGCCGAACAGCCTCAGTATACCCACACTGCGCACACGTCAGTCTGCTGGCCATAAGCCCCGTAAACGGATTCTGCAAGACATCGCGTCTCCCGAGCGTCAGGCTCTGACCGCCCTCGGCTGGCAGGCCGCCAGGCTGGCCAGTTTCCGGAATTGCCCTTACACGTGCCAGGCCTTTGGTGCCAACGCTCTCGAGGCCGCGGGGCACAGCTAGCACATGTGATTTCGCCCGGTCAGTCTGCGCCAGCATGTGCACAAGGTCCAGGTTGAACAGCGACGGCACCCGCAGGCTTGCAAACACTCGCTGCTCTTCCGACATCGCGGTCGAGATCAGCTGGAACGCCTCCTGTGCGTCCTGCTGCTCGCGGTCATTGAGTCCCCTAGTGCCCAGAGCAGCCATGACTGCGTATGGCTGGAAGGCCGAGTCGCGGTTAACCACCGTGTTGAGATCCGTCAGGGTCTCCCACAGAGCCTCGGTCAGCGGCATGCTGACCAATGGCCGCTCGCACCGGTCGTTGACTTCGTCCATGCGCTCAAGGATCGCCGCCAGGTAGTTTTGCAGGTACTCCGCCGACGCCAGCGCCTGTAGAACCGAGTTGAAGAAGCACGAATTGCCGGTGTTTACCAGCCCATACACGACCTGGCGCGAATCCGCGTCATCCTGGCTGTCCTCGCCGCTGCCCTCCTCGCCCTCAAAGTCGTCGTCCTCATAGTCGTCGATATCACTGCCGACCAGATCATCGCCGAGCTCGACAATCCGGTCAATGCACTGCGACAGCCACTCTTCGGCCTCCTCGCGCAGCTGCTGCCGTAGCGCCCGCCGCTCCTCGCGCCTGTCTGCCACGGGCTTGGCTTTGCGCTTGCGCCGCCGCCCGCAGCGTGCGATAAACCAGATCCACCGCCAGACCTGGACCCACCGCGAATACTTGCCGTCGGCACGTCGCCGGTAGGCCTGGGGGCTCAGGTATTTGGCTTGGATAATAGATGAGGAATATCAGCACGAACACTATCCCCACGTAGAGTCCGAGAACGTGGTACCACTGCATTTCGCTAACACAGTTCTAATACAAATTCTCGCAAGGTGCTCCCCTCAGTTGCTGTTCGAGCCTCCTTCCCTTTGTTTGATTTCGTGTATGCGAGAGCTGTTTGCGCTGAAGGCGCGATGCAATGAAGAAAAAAGTGGTGGAATGAAAAATGGTTGGAAATTAAGGTCGGATGGCAGAAAGAACACGAAACCCCCCAGGAGCTGGCGAGAAAACCACCAGGCTTTTCCTTCAGCTTTTGTGAAGAAAAAAATCCCTTTGCTCAAAGGCTAGCCCGTCAACTCCCAGGCAGCCACTGGGGCAAATCACGTGTGGCCATTTACGGGGCTGTATGGCAATGGCTGGTGGCATATGCGTGCCTCCAATGCGCATTAGCTGTCCTGGCCGGCCAGTCCTATAGCGCAGGATGACGAAGGCACCGTACTCAGGCACCACTGACCAAGTAAACTGCGCTTCCTCAAGCCGTCTCCACCCAGAGCACAAGAAACTTGCGTTCTAAAGGGTGGCCGGGGCGCAACATGCAGAGTGATAAACGAGCTGAGTCACGACGCCCCAGCGCCCTTTTTACCATGGCTGGCGGCCGCTGTATGTGCTGCATGGCAGAGAAAAAGGCCTTCATGCAGCGTTATCCGGTTTCAATCGCCTTTAAAGACAGAGATGCGCGCGTCTAATCAATCTTTCAAGATGATCAGGCGTAGGACATCAAGTCGCCTAACAGATATCGCTTTTATGTCGCCCAGCAGATATCTCAAAGGGTCGCAAACCCCTCATGCACGCTTCTTGCGGCGAGAATCAGATTAGTTTGCCCAATCCAGTGCTGCGGATCCTGCTGGTGAAAGCTGACGGTTTTCTGAATGTCGTCATTTCACAGCACATTTACATCAGCACTCTACTCCTCCCCCATCCCAGTACCATAAATCATGCGTGCGGGGCCAGGTCCTGACATCTCACAATCTGCTTTTTCCTTCGGATGCCAGCACGGACATTCCACATCTTCCAACAGTTCTCTCTGCGCATCCTTTTTTCTCTTTGATTCGCTGCAATCTCGTAGCATCTCTCAGCCATTACGCAATCAGTGCACTAAATGAGCAGTTCGTTTCGCAAGCGCGTGGTAACATCCCAGGCCAAGCTGCCGGCAGCAACACGTGTGAATCCGCACAGCGCACAACTCCTTGTGTCGACAGGCGTACCAGCCCTGGATGACGTGCTTGGTGGCGGATTGCCGGTCGGCGGGATATTGCTTATTGAGCAAGATCGGCAGACTGGGTACAGCAACACGCTATTGTCCGTATTTTGCCAGCCAGGGCATTGCATCCTGGCCACCAGCTGTGTTTTGTCAACGCCGAGCAGGAAGAAATGGACCTGCAGAGCCAGCTGCCCGGCTGGACATCGGCGTCCAGTGAGGCAGAGAGCAAGCAGACGGCGGGACAAAAAGGACCCGGATCTCAAAATCGCCTGGCGGTACCAGAACCTGCCCAGGGTTGATAAGGAAATGGAGAACACGCAAGGAACAGCTGGCGAAATGGCGTTCTGCGAGCGGTTTGACTTGTCCACGCGTATCCCCCGGGAGGCCTTGGAAAGGGCGAAGATTGATTTAATCGACGGCGACAAGATCGCCGAGATGTCGCAGGGCGACAGGTACCGAGGCGACATGTACAAATGCGTACTGGACGAGATTGCGCGCATCATCGATGACGGCGGGTTCAGCTCGCTCCAGCAGCCGCCGGCGGGCCACGAGCGCAACATCCTGCGTCTGGAACTGCGCTCGCTCGGGTCAGCATTCTGGCGGGGCGACACATCGATTCTGCAGTTCCTCCATGCACTGCGCGGGCTCCTTCGCTACTCATATGTGGCATGTGTGATCAGCCTGCCAGTACATCTATATGATGGCGACTCTGGTCGCTTGCCGGTTGTGCGGAGGATTGAGCATCTGTGTGACGCAGTGATTGAGCTCGAGTCGTTTGAGGGCGCGTATGCAAAGCCCACAGACATCGTCGGAGGGAGGAAGGCTGGCGCGGCGACAGAATACCACGGGTTCCTGCATATCCACAAGCTGCCGAGGGTGAATTCTCTCACAGCGGCAGGCGGGCGGCTGTCGATTCTGCATTCAGGAGGTGGCTCGGCTAACAACCTGGCGTTCCGGCAGCGGAGGAAGAAGTTCTGCATCGAAACGTACCATTTGCCCATTGAGGGCGGCGTGACTGAGCGACGCGTGCCGGAAGACAACAAGAAGCCACGGGCGGTTGGCTGCGGCAGCCGTCCCGGCAAGCCCGACCCTCTAGAGTTTTGAAAGGTAGCACTTTTTCTGCCCGTTTCAAAATGCTCAAGGTGAAATGGATGGTTTTTTCCCGTGGTAAAAAGTTCCCGCCCATGTTCGAGTTCAATGCCTTGCCTCCCTCTGGGACTGTGATGAGATGCCTCCGGAAGCTGGCCGCTGCCCGATCCTTCGGGATTCATGACCGCGAGAGGCCCGAAAAAGGGGATTGGCCTCGTTCGCCGAACAGGTTATGCTGTAGGAAAAGGAGTGTCGATCATCAAAAAAAACCAAAATCTAGCGGGGCGACATGCATGAGTACATACCGCTTCTAAGACAGCGCATTTATATTGCACGTTTGTTTGTCAAAGACCACATGCTCTCGTGGGTACAGCGCCCTGCACAAGCACAGCAAGCACGGGCATAGGCAGTAGCCGTATTGAAGCAGACCTGCTATGTACTTGTGATATGATATGATGATATGCCTGTCGCCTTGCCAAAAAAAAATCTACTTGAGGCGGCATTTGAGTGTGCGACCCCGCCACTACAAGGGAGATTGAGCACGGCCAACGAGGATTCGCCCATTTTTGAAGGCGGCCGATGTTTGGCAATCGATGGCGACATTGCGAGCCAGGATTGCGAGAACACAGCCCCCTTTTGGGAGAAGGCCAGCAGTGGAATTAGAGACATCGTCACTGGGCGGGGAGGGCAGGCATATCCAGAAGCCCAGTCTCCAATTACTAAGAATTCTAACACGCAGCTCTGGTATAAAAGGACCAGTATGCGGCGACATCCATATCAGCATCCAACATCCCAATTCCAGACCAAACAACACAGCCTGAGCTTCCCTTTCCTTCTGCACCTGCCTGCCAATGACAGCCACTACGCAATTCGAGCTCAAGCCCGACTGGGCGCGCGTGTACCTGAACCAGGCGACACATACGCAGACTTCCACTACTTCTGGCTGCGGCACAACTGCCCATGTCCTGTCCGGCTGCCGGCACGAGAAGACCAAGGAGCGCACAATTGACGCAGCAATCATCCCGCTGGACATCCAGCCGCTGCGCGCCGAGCCCACGACGACTGAGGAAGGCCCGGCGATTGCCTTCTACTGGGCGCCAATCGCAGTCAAGGACGACGCAGGCCAACTGGTGGTGCCGGACGAGACCGAGCACAGGTCTGAGTTTTCGCTTCTCCTGGCTGGCCGAGAATGCATACGGCGTCCAGCGCACAGACGTGCACCCGCTGCCGCCCCACAACCCGGCTGACGTCACAATCGACTACAAGGAGCTGGCCGCCTAAGTACGGCGACGCCGGGCAGCTGACCCTGAAGGGTAAGCAAGTCTATAAAGCGCAGCTCTACGATCTGCTGAAGAAATTCGGCGTGGTGGTGGTGCGCGGCCGCGGGTCGGACACCGAGGACATTATTTACGATTTCGTCGACTCGGACGACGCCGTGATTCCGACGCACTTTGGCCGCATCGAGCATCTGCGCACAGACAACGTTGAGAACGCCAACAACGACCAGCTCGGATACACCAACGCGGCGGTGCGCCTGCACACCGACCAGTGCTATGCCGAGACGGTCCCAGGCTTCCAGTTCCTGCACTGCATTCGCCCGGCGGACGTCGGTGGCGACAACTACTTTGTGCATGCCGAGTCGGCAGCCAACTACCTGAAGACCGAAGTCAGCAGCCGCGCTTACGACCTGCTGACATCGGTACCGGTGCGGTTCGACCGCAAGCAGAGCAAGTTCCAGGCATTGCACGTGAGTCCCATCCTGCGCTCTGTCGGATAATGTCGATCCGGGTACCGGCGAGTGTCGGCTGGAGCAGGTGCGGTACAGCTATTTCACGCAGGCCGCGCAGAACAACGTGCCGTTTGCGCAGCTGCGCGAGTGGTATGAGGTGCCTGCGCGTGTGGGACGAGCTGCTGTACCGCGACGACTTCCAGCTCAAGGCGACGCTGGAGTCGGGCGACTTTCGTCATCTATGATAACCTCAAGGTGCTGCATGCCCGCAATGGCTTCCAGGGCCCCCGCCACATGGCCGGCGTCTATCCTGAACGCCCCAGATCTCTGGGCCCACCTGGAGCAGGCCAAGCAGCAGTCCGCTGGCTGCCTGAACCGCCCCCACCCTCCCATTCATAACTTTTCAGGCTAATTCTTTTGAAGGTCACAAGTGTACCATATATATTACCTCTGTTCAATGAAACAAGCATGCTAAATGGCGCCTGTCAAGCCGATATTGGACCAGAAGCATGGATCGCCGCGCCTTCTCTCTATTTGTCCGCCAATCCTTGCCTCTGCTGTCTGCATGCCTTCGGCTGCTGTGTCCTGTGAGGAAGCATCGCCGCGATCAGGCACAGTCTGATCGTCAGCATAGAAGTCATCGGACATTGGTCACATCCCCGATGTGAGTGCGGCGCTTGGCAGCCGACAATGAGCTGAAAATACTGCGCAGGCGGCCTGACACCGTCGGCCTAGGCGACTCAGCCAGCGGCCACCCTTCGCCGGGCATCATGTGGGAAGCCCCGTACTCCTGGCTATCCGCCTGCAGGCTCTCCGACACGGCCGTGTCCTCTGAGGCGCTGCTGGACGCGCGGCTGGGCGCGCGGCCTGTGGGCTTGCGCTTGATTGTGACCGCACGTGCATTTGACACACGCGGCGGGTCGTCGGGCATGTGCCGGAGCCTGGCGGCGACTACCAGCCGGATTATATCAGGCGTCGTCATTCTCTCGAACTGCTTCTCCACAGGGTCCTCGCGCACCAGCAAATTCTGGATGCCAGAACGCGCGCGCATTGCCCAGGCTGCCCGACGCCATGGGCGCCGTGGGGCTGCCGCCTGCGCTTGCGGACGCCTGCAGGTTCTCCGAGATCCCAGCGTCCTCCACGCTGCATCGGCGCCCGAGGCGCACACGGAGTCGCCGCCGGGCCTCCCCAATGGCCGATGTGAGCCGGCTCACCCACAGTGCCTTTTCCTCATGACACCGCGCATAAAACACCATGCACTGCTGGCTCTTGGTGTGCTGCAGCCGCCACGAGAACACATGCTCGCTGGGCTCGTCCACCAGCTGCATGGTGTGCAGCGGGAACCAGTACTTGGGCACCACCGCCTTCTTCACTCGCAGCACGATCAGGAACCGCCGGAACAGCACACATCCAAAGCCGCGCGGCGGTCCAGCCGCCATGCGGTCCTCGTGGCTGGTGATGCGCAGCGGCCCCGAAAGCACAATGCTGCCGAGCTTGACCACCAGGCTCAGCGGCAGCTCTGCATTATCGCAGTAATTGCCCAGCAGCACCCGTCTGAGCTTCAATGCCTCGGTGCGTCTCTGCTCGTTGTCGATGCGCACACACACATTGCGCACACTCTCCAGCGCCCGCTCCAATGCCCGGAACGTTTCGGGTTCTGCCTCCCGGTCCGTATGCTTGATCAGATCCTGCAGGAATAGCGGGTACTTGCAGATTCTCTGCACCGGCTTGATCAAAAAGTCGCGCAATGCCAGCCGCCGCCTGCCCGAATGCCCGTCAATCTGCCCCTGCACCTGCGCCAGAAACCCAGCCCACCCGGCATCTGCCTTCCAATGCATCCAGGATATCGCACATTTTGTGGTACTTTGTGCAGTACTCAATGTACGCCTCGAACCCATGCCGCTCGCTAGTGAACAGCTTCGCCACCGAGCGCACCGAGCGCCCGCGCTCCAGTGCCCGTAGGAACCGGTGCTGGAACGTGAACAGAACCTGCACCGCATACGACACCCCCTGGACACTCGGAAGCCGCGCGTGCTCGCACAGCGGCACCACGAACGCTGCCAGAATCAGCTTCAGATCCAGCACAAACAGCTCCTCGGTCTCTCCGCAGTTCCCGCAATACGTACTCGCGCTTGTCGCTGCTTCCCTCGCTTGCCGGGCTGCCCGCCACACTGTACTGAACCCCAGCGCTCTCCTTGCGTATGGGCGGCCCATTGAATCCACGCAACATGCCGTGTGCTGCGCGCAGGGCCGTCGGCGTTGTGTCCTCGGACAGAAGCTGCGCCAAGTGCTGCTCGAAACTGGCTTTGTCCAGCTCCTGGATCGTCGATATCGAGCGCCCCATGCCTGCCTTGGTGTGTGGTGAGTCTGAGGTGTGCGGGTGCTCGACGGGCATTGCTCGCAGGTTGCTCGTGCTGATTCTTAACGGCACCCGCGCAGTAACTGCATTCTCGCTTGCTGGCTGCGGCAGCGCGCGGATGCTGCTTGCATGCGTTCTCCCCGACATGCAGGTCATGAGCTATGGAAAGGACAATCTCCTTGTAGGATATAATGCTACGTGAACAAAAAATAAAGAACAAGAAAGCATTGTATCAGGACAAATGCGTTAGCGGGGGCTGCTCTACGTGTTTACGGTGGGTTTTCCTGCCTTTGTGCGCAACATGCAATTTCGCCTTCATTATCTGCCAGGCGTCCAAAAACATCATCTTACAAGCTAGTAACGTGCAAGAGAAATTTCCAATAGGGAAATAAAGGGCGAGGGAAAAAGACCCATGTTCCCACATTCCTCCCATTCACTCCCCCTTCCTCCTTCCCTCCTGCCAGATGGGCAATTGGGCTGTGCTGTATCATCCCAGGGTTAAAAATATTTAGCGAGTATTGGAGATGGCCGTAACTGCCCTCATCCCACCGAGCTTTTCTTGCCAGCTCCCCCATTCCTCTCCGCCTCCCGTCTCTGTCACCAAGTGATCCGATACACGCACCTCCCCCTCAATGATTCTCTTGCTCTTACCTGAAGATATATCAGCTTCGGATTGACGCACGTTTCTGTGTGGCCTCACCCCCGGTCTTCCTGCGGCAATGGCGTGTGGATAAGAGAAAGAATTGAAAAAGAGAAGAATAAACTAAAGCGTGAAGAAAAGGGAAATGAGGAAGGAAAAAGCTTGCAGCGTGGCGTCGGGAATATTGCCTACTGAGGACTATCCTATGACTCCCTCCCGAATGACGTGCGTGAAATCAGATACCGCTTAGTTGGGAATAATCGGCAATAGATGAAACCCTATACTGGCAAAGAGTATTGCACGTTGGATCAATATGCTCTTTGTGCCAGCAACTGGTGCAGGGTGAAATGTAGGTTTAGGTTGTGAGAATATTAAAAACTCAATATTGTATCAGGAATATCCCAGTATTGGGTGGCTATAAGATTGCAAAAATGGGAAAGAGAAAAGGAAGAGGTAGGAATGGAGAAGAGAATAGGGGATGCCAAGCGCGAGGAAAAATTGTGGAGAAACAAGCACGACTCCAATGCACTCACATTTTGACTCTCGGGGGGGGCAAGCGCAACGGGCATTGGGGTGGACTAGAATGACCGAAAAATTGACTCTGGTGTGAATGCCCGGACTGTTCAACCAATACTGCAAAAAAAAACACGACTTTATGCACGAAAATATGTACCAATGAACCACGCACCAAATAGAACGGCGGTCTCTCCAAGCGGGCAGCATTGAGACATGCCCACCATGGGCCATATAGTGTGTCGGAATAGTACTAAAATGAGACGTATTTTGCTCGACAACCACTGCTGAGTGGGCTCGCCGATCAAATCCGCATCCCCCACACACCCTTTTTCGCATAACCCACGTTCTGACCCACCTCTCTCTCTGCGCATCACACAATGATATTTACAAGCTGTGAAACATGCCAGGAGAGGAAGAAAAGAACTGGTCTGGATCTGCCCCCGACAAAACACCACCCTGGATACATGTCTCGCGATAGCTGGGAATGGAGAGAGCCTTGTCTTGCAAGCCTGCAGGGCTCAGTTTGATTCCTTTGTTCCACATACGTTTATTTTTCTTTTTTCTTCAACTGTGGCCAGCGCTGCAAGCACAGGGCGGGCGGCGGAGTCCCAGGTGCTGCTATCCTGGACACCGTCTGGGAACCTCCGCGCAGCGATGACTAATATCAGTGAACTTTCTCGAAACAACTGACGCCTGCCAGACCGCAATGGGGGGCTCAAGCCATCGCCAAGTAATCCTGGGCACCACACGTGCCTAGAATGGCTGATTTCTGGATTGTGTCCTGCACCCTCGCTTTTTCTTTACCCAATTTACAGCTTCTTGACACGAATCCCACTACATTTCTACTCTTGTACTATTAGACAACAAATGTCACACTTGGAGGCACTGCCATTTCCCAGCAACGTCGGACAGCCTGCCATCAACCGGTCGAGCACGCATTGCGGCAGCTGAATGGGCCAATGCGGGACGCAAACAGCCAGACGTATGAGCTAGCAGTGCCGTTGGAAAAGAACCTGTATTCGGCATGCCCGGGGTGTGGGCTCACGTTCAACCTATTGAGACGCAAGGTATAGTCACTTTGTTCTCTCCGCATTCAACCGGGGTGGTGATGGAGCCCCTTCTCTTCGTCAGTAGTTTGGCTAACCCCTCTTACCCGACTCTCGGGCACCTATGCCGGGGCGAACCTGCCGGTGCCTTGGCTATTTTTATTGCTCTCTCCACACTCTCTCCATGTAGCACAACTGTGTCAACTGCGGTAAGTGCTCCAAAACAGACACCTGGGATTATTTATATGCACCCCAAGAATGCACAACCTAGATGAACGAGGAAGGGAAACCCCTAAACGCTTATTTTCTCTCCTCAAGCGTAGGGCAGGTTGTATGCTCGGACTGCAACAAGAACAAATGGTACCTGCCAAAATACGGACTAAGCACGCCCGTCAGCTGCTGCACAACGTGTGACCGCAACCTGCGCCTGTCGATTCGTAGCAAGTCGGAGCTGGAACAGTGCGCAATTCGCGACCTACGCTTGTATCTGCAGCTCTATGGCCTGTACAATCCACGCCGGATGCTTGAAAAGACCGATCCTCGTAGCTGCCATTTACAGCCACTCCCCGATGCCCCAGATGAACGAAGTAAAGTACCGCAACTCGCTGCCGCGCCCGTCCGCCGCCGCACACACAGCCGGGAGCAGCCACGTGGATCGAGTGGCAACTGGGATCAGATGTTCTCGAGCATTGGCGAGGACATTGGCCGGGGGATGGCCAATATAGGCCAGCAGTTTGAAAGCCTGTTTGATGAGGATCAGTCAAGGCGCTCCCACGGCGGCGGTACCTACGAGCAAGTGCCAGCCTACGACTCCAATACCTTCCCGAGGTCGCGCCCCGCCCACCCGCGCCAGCCCCCACGGCAGCAGCCCCCGCCGGAGCCACAGTCGCGGCCGAGATCGGCCCAGGGCCCAGCTCAGCCGGCAGCCCAACCAGCAGCCCGACCGGCAACTCAACCGGCAACTCGACCGAAATCACAGCCAACAAAGCCAGCAGCTAAAGCAGTAGTGATCCCTGAGATAAAGGACCTAGTGAACGACAACACCGATGTCAGCACACTGAGCGCAAAGCAGCTGAAGCTACTGCTGCACAAGCACCGCGTGGACTACACACACATTGTGGAGAAGCACGAGCTGGTGGAGCGGGTCGAGCGGCTGGTGGCTAATACGCGGCTGGAAATGGGGCGCGAGAGCAATGACAACGATCTGTGCAAGATCTGCTGGGACGAGGCCACCAACTGCGTGTTCCTGAACTGCGGGCACATGTGTACGTGTCTGGAGTGCGGCGAGCAGATATTCAAGTCCGAGCGCAAGGAGTGCCCGATATGCCGCGAGCACATTGCGCGCATTGTGCATGTGTTTCGGGCGTAGTGATGTCATGCAGATGCGTGCATTTGAGGGGAGAGGGAGATATGCTGTCCCATTTGGCTTCTGCTATATTCGTGGTATGCTGTGATGTTAGCCCTTGGGTGGCTGCATCGAAAATCGCAATTTCGCCGAAAGCTAATAAAGAGATTTGCCCTTTGTTTATTTTTTCTGAAGGAAAATTTTAAAAACTTACTCTAGGACCGAAGCGCTCGTGACAAAGCGCAGGACCGCAAAGTATTAATAGCAACTGAGCGCGGTTCGAAGAAATATTGGTATTTTTCTTCATGCATCGGTCCTGGTTTTAGTCCAGGACCAGACCAGCTTTTTTATTGCAAAGAGGATTAGCAGGTACGCACTACACACTTTATTTCTCGTGCAAAAGAAAAACTTCCCTCCCCTCCCCCGTCACCGGGTTTCTTGCAAAGCACAGAGAAACAGGTCGGAGCCCACATGCTACTTTTTTGTCTTTGTTATTTTTTTTGTTACATATTTTGTTAATACTCTTTTGGCACCATCGCTCTTGACAGCTGCAGTATCCTAGCAAGACAGTAAGCATACAAATGGACGTGAGCTCAATTGTGCGCACAGGACCGGGTGCATATGGACGTCCAGCGACGGCATCCAGAGCACAGGCGCGGCGGCCGCGGCGGCCAAGCCAGCAGGAGGCAATGAAGCGGTATTCGGTAAGTTTGCTTTTTTTTCTTGCAATGCAGCGTGGGAGGCAGTAGCAGTTTAGTAGAGTGCGAAGATGTTTGTTTTTGAAAGAAACCCCGAAGAAAAGCGCCTGTTCCTCGATTTGCAAGAGCATCTAGAGCTGGGAATGTGAGGAGTACACAGGGGGATACCACTGGGCGAAACGAGGACTGTGTATCCTGGGAAAGAGGACATGTACTAGGCAACACAGGGCAGAATCTGTGTGCACACCAGTATACGTTGTTTTTCACGCATTGATTGGATGCAGAGCGGCTTCTTCACGAAGGTCGCAAACCGCCCTTGCGTTTAGTTTTTTTGGGGAGTACCCGTCTCTAGGACATACCGTTTTGCGCCTCCTTTTTCTTTTTTTCTAATCTGGCTTTTCGCGACCCGTCCATTTTTCTCTTCTTCTGCACCTTAGGTGGTATATCCTACCGATATTTTACATACGATGGGGACGACGGAACACTCACGGAGACCACCGCGCAAGCAGGCGGCACCCCAGGGATATTATAATTCGCGGCTGACGCCGGTGCAGGTGCAGCCGCGGGCGCCGCAGGTGGCGGTGCCCAGTGCATACAAGACCGTGGACACAATCAGCCCGGCAGTGTTAAGACCGACATCGCACGCACTGCGAACGCGGATCTACCCGCAGACAGCCATCAGGACGGCCAACCGGCGGTCGCTAGTAGCGATACACCAGCAGCGGCAGCGGCAGCGGGAAGAAGAGCAAGGCCGGCGGAGCGTGGAGAAGGGCGAGGAGATTGCCCGGCAATCAGTATCGCTGGATGAAATAGACACAACAGAGCCAGCTGATGAGCATGGGTCGCTGGTGGCAGTGGAAGAGGAAGAGGAAGAGGAAGAGGACGTGCTTGAGGAAGAAGAAGAAGAGGAAGAGGATGTGCTGGAGGAAGAAGAAAACGAGTCGGACGGCAGCCGGGATTCAGGAGACCACGCCAGTGCGGAGACAGTGGTGGATGTACCGGCAGCAGAGGTGTTGCGGCGGCCAATCACAAGCACGGTGATGCAGCGGCGGGCACAGGGCAGTGCGGCGCGGCCGCAGACGATCGTCCTGCCGTCGGCCAGCATGCTGGAGGACTGGGAGCCGATTGAGCTAGACTACGGACGGACGTCTGCTGAGCAGCTGGTGGTTGGTGCACCGGCAGCACAGCGCCGGGCGCAGACAGTTGTTCTTCCGTCAACCAGTATGCTGGAAGACTGGATGGCGAGCGGGGCGGGGAGCGGACGGGCATCTATTGACCTGCGGCCACAGTCGAGCACAGCGACAACGCAGCAGTCGGCATGCAGACTACAAACCAACATGCCAGCAGCACATCGGCCGCAGACCAGTACTGCACCACCGCATCGGCCACAGACTAGCGCTGCAGCTGCGCATCGGCCGCAGACCATATGCACGCAAACCCCAGAGGAGCGCGAGTGTGCGGGGCCGGCAAACAGGCCACTGACTACAGACGTAACAGGCGGTTTGGCAGCAGAGACGCAGGAGGTGCCGCGGCGGGTGCAGACCAGCGCATCTCACAGACAGGCGCGGCCGCAGACCCACATGCAGCGGCAGCACGGGGCGCAGTACAAGGAATGGCGCGAGATCCATGCCAAGTCGCTGTCGCGTGTGGATAGCATTCTGCGCGAGGCAGCCGGGCTTAGCAGCCTGCAGCGGTCGGCCACCACACGCACCAACGGGCTGGGCATTTCAGTGTCGGCGTCCGGCAATGCCCCGCCGCTGCCTGTGCTGGCGCCGCTGGCCATCGAGGCCGCCCGCCAGCGCCCAGCTACCACACACAACCGCCTGCCCCAGTCAGCATTTGGCAGCGCTCGCGCCGAGTCGCGGCCCCCCACAACCAGCAGCTGCGCCAGCAGCCAGGAATCCATGCGTCCCGGAACCCACCACAGCTTCGCATTCAGCCTGTTCAATGAGTCGGGAGCCGAGCCCCAGCGCCCGCACACAGTGCAGGCGCGGCGCGCCGGCTCTCTGCAGATGGCTCGGCGGCCGACCACGCGCACCTATCTGCTGTCGCGCGACGACGCGCACCGGTCGCGGCTGTTTGCCGAGTACGAGAGCCTGATGGGCAGCGACGACGACCTGACCAGCGCCCTGGCCGGCATTGCCGAGGAGGAGGAGCCGCGGCTCGCACGGGCTGAGAAGCGCTGGACGCGAATGCTGCATGAGAACCAGCACCTGTTTGCCCCCGAACTGCTCTCCGAGCACCCGGTGGAGCTGCCGCGCCTGGACATCAACGGCTCCGACTTTGCAGACTCGGTGCAGCTCGCCTTGCCCGAGATCTCGCCAGCCTCCGACGCGACGACGGCTGCCGAGGAGCTGCTGCCAGGAAAGGGGGAGGAGAAGGAGGAGGAGCCTGTCGAGGAGCTATTTGAAGGCACGATTTTCGCCGCCGACAGCCCCAGGACAGCACTGGAGCCACCCGAGCCGCAGAGCGCAGACATGCAGGCGCAGCTCGATGCGGCCGTGGCCGGCGTGGGCGCGGGCAAGCTGGGCGAGTTCCTGGCCGACCCCTCGCGGCAGACGCTGCTGGCAGCGTACATGCAGCGGCTCGGCTTCAGCGAGCGGCCGATCGACTTTGCGCTGCGGCAGCTGCTGCGCGAGCTGCACCTGCCACGCGAGTCGCAGCAGATCGACCGGGTCATGACGGCATTCGCCACGCGCTACCACGCATGCAACCCAGGCCTGTTCTTCTCGGCCGACACGGTCTACGCATATGCCTTCGCGCTGCTGCTGCTGCACACCGACGCCCACAACCCCAAGGTGCGCACCAAGATCACCAAGCCGCAGTTCATTGCGCGCGCTCAGCTGATGGACGACCAGGGCGAGATCTTCGAGCCCGTGCTCGACATCCTCTACGACAACGTCACCGTGGCGCAGTTCGAATACGCGCCCGGCGTCACGCGCCCACCGTCGGCCGACGGAGCCTCCGGCATCGGCGCCTGGTTCAAGCGCATGTTCTCGGCGCCGCCCCGCCCGCTCTCGCCCACCGACCTGCCCAGCAAGGAGCAGTACTCGTACACCTTGCCCGGCCGCCAGCCGCGCCGCCCCAGCGCCAGCTCTCCCGACGACGCGCTGGACGGCCACACGCTGCGCCTGGACGAGCCATCCGCGTCGCCGGTCTCGCCCACCGTGCCATTGGTGGAGCCCGCCGAGCCGCCCAAGGTCGAGTCGATCCGGCTCAGCGGGCTCAAGTCGCACGTCAAGCGGCGCACGTCACTGCGCACCGGCCGGCCGATCTCCGGCGTCATCTACGAGACGCCTGGCAGCCCGCAGCCTGACCCCACCGGCACGGCATTGCTGCGTGTTGACATGGCTGGCCGCGTGTTCCGCAAAATGGACCGCCACGGCAATGGCCGCCGCGGGCTCGTGCGCTGGTGGAAGGAAATCTGGATGGTGCTTAGCGGCAGCCGCCTGTACTTTTTCCGTCTGGCCGACGACCACTCGCGCCCGCTGGCCGTGCAGACCGTCGTGCCCTTGCGCCATGGCGTGGCGGTCGTCGACAAGGCCTACGACAAATACCCGCATGTCTTCCGCATTCTCGCCGGCGACGGCAGCCAGATTCTGGTCAAGGCCCCCGGCGACGACAGCGTCGCCGAGTGGATGGCCCATATCAACTGCGCCGCCGCCTTCAAGACCATGGAGATTGCCAGGCGCACCGCCGGCCAGGTCCACCCTGCCCGCATCGAGCGCCTTGAGGCCCGTCTCGAGAAGCTCGACAAGAAGCTCGCTGATCTCGACCAGAAGCTTGCCCGCTCCCTGCGCCTCTTCAAGCAGCTCGCCGTGCTTGTGCCCCTGACCAGACAGGGCAAGGCCCGCGTTGTCCAGCATGCCCAGGCCGTCCGCGAGACCCTGAAGGACCTTTACCTGGCAGAGCAGCGTCTGATTTGCTACAAGGACGTGCTGGAGCTGGACCTCGACATCGAGTACGAGATCACCGGACACATTTGATACCCCCCACATTTCTAGCGACCATCTCTTTCTGTACTTGCACTAATATAACTTTGTAATCAACCACAACATTCCCAATTCTCCCAGCCCAAGATAACACCGGCGAATCCTTCAGCTGCTGCAAGAACATCGAACCTGTCAGCAATGTATCAGCCAAACGGCATAGCGTGATAGACTCTCCCTACATATAAAAAGACGACCAGTCGCACACACACCTCGCTGCATTTTGGTCGTTTCTACAGTATGCAAAGCTAGTCTTTTCTCACAAAACTCCTCTACTCCATTAGGCCACATTCAAAAGCACAAAAAGATGGCTTGCGGAGGCATCATATTACCCTCACAGCTCCCTCTATTTCTCTTTACACATGAAGCACCGGCAGAGAATATATGCTCGCCGGCCCCTCCGCTCCCCTCGCACTGAGAACCAGTAGGTGCTTCCCGTCGCAGCTTTCATTTGGTGATATACTTGTTGGTTGGCATGTATCGAAAGGCATTCGTGATTCAATCCAGTGCTCCTGCTGGGGGGGATTTGGAAATTATGTTTATTTCTCTTTGTTGAGCTGGACTTGCAATAGCATGCAGTTCGCTATGGACAATCCGAAAACTCTGCATCTCTCACCCACAAACAATGACAACACCTCATCCATACTACCCGCTGTCGCTGGCCATGGACACATACGTGGCCCCCACGCAGCACCCGCTGACCCTGGTATGCACCATCGGCACGGCGCTCGCACTGGTCCTCCTCCTCTCCTACATCCTGGTGCTGCGTCCGCTTCCACTGCCGCGCTCCACTATGCTGACAGCGCAGTGGTTTGTTCTGTGCGGCTCCCTGCACTGTGTTTTTGAGCTCTACTACCTAGCTCAGTTCACAGCGCTGCCGGAAAGCACTGACATCATGGCCAGCCTCTGGAAGGAGTATGCAAAAAGCGACAGCCGGTATCTCACGCAGTCGTCGATGGTTGGTGCGCTGGAGTCAGTCACGGTTGTAGTCGTGGGGCCGCTCTGCTGGCTGGTGGTGATTGGGATTTGCAGAGACTCGCCTGTGCGCTGGCTTGCGCAGCTGGTGGCAAGCGTGCTCCATGTGTACTCGGTGGTGCTGTACTTTGCTACAGAGATCATTGCCAGCGAGTCAAGCTGCCGGCCGGAGCCACTCTACTACTACGGGTACTTTTATGCCATGAACGCCCCCTGGCTGGTGGTCCCGCTGTGGCTGGCCACAAGCGCTGCGAGGGAGATCCACACAGCCATGCATCAGGCAATGCAGAAGCCTTCACAGTGCATTGTCGAAAAAAAGAAAAAGGGATAGAAATCCTTTGTATTAGGAATAAAAAAGTGAAACAAGAAACATTTACGCCTCAGTCTTCTCCTCGGCCTTGTCCTCAGACTCCTCGGCACCGTCCTTGGGCGCGGCGTCGGTAGAGTCCTGGATATCCGAGGTCCACAGCGTCAGGTTGTCCCGCAGCAGCTGCATGATCAGCGTCGAGTCCTTGTACGAGTCCTCAGACAATGTGTCGAGCTCGGCAATAGCATCATCGAATGCCTGCTTCGCCAGGTGGCACGCGCGCTCGGGAGAGTTGAAGATCTCGTAGTAGAACACCGAGAAGTTGAGGGCCAGGCCCAGCCGGATCGGATGGGTCGGCGCCAGCTCCGCCGTGGCCGTCTCCGACGCCTGCTTGTACGCCTCCAGCGACTTATCCGATGCGTCCTTGCGCGCCGCGTCGGTCTCGAACTCGGCCAGGTAGCGGTAGTAGTCGCCCTTCATCTTCAGGTAGAACACCTTCGACTCGCCGGTCGACGCACTGCCAATCAGGCTCGAGTCCAGCACGGCCAGGATGTCCTTGCAGATGTCTGCCAGCTCCTTCTCAACCACCTTGCGCTGCTTCGCCACAATCTCGACGTGCTCAGTGTTGCCCTTCGATGACTCCTTCTGCTCAATTGACGAGATGATGCGCCACGACGCCCGCCGCGCGCCGATCACGTTCTTGTAAGCAACAGACAGCAGGTTGCGCTCCTCGACAGACAGCTCCTGCTCCTCGGCAGCAACCTTCTTCATGCTCTCGACCATCTCTACATCCATGAAGCTTGAGTCACATGCAAAATGGCACAAAGCGCCCCTCGTCTATAAATAGGACCACCCTCTTCAGAGCAGTGGCGGCAGAAACTTACCGTCGTAGCGCTCGGCCTGCTCGGCCAGCTTGGCAAGGTACACGTTATCTTCGCGCGACATGGGTATGAGGTAAAAAGGTGGGTTTTGAAAAAAAAGTGAAAGTGTGGAAAATAAGCAGAGATGAACGCCGGAAAAGTGTGAAAAGAAGCCCAGGCTGGGGGAGGGCTTGGATTTAAATCCTCTGGTTCCGAGGCGGGGACGCGCAAGCCTTGCCTCTGCTCCCTGCCGCTTTGTAGAGTGTTGTTTTTCTTTTCCAAACCTCCTCGTGCAAATCATGGAAATGCGTGCACTTTACAGCCTGACCAGCCCATGGCCTTTTTTTGCATATTTATTCTCATTCCAAGCAGCCTGAGAGGCCAGGGAGGCGGAGGAGGGGTTGTTCCTTATTGCTGGCCCGCCCCTAACCCCACGCAGCGTTTTCCGGACTAGGGGACACAAACAATCCCGCCGCCCAGCGCTTGTTTTTCTTCGCACATGAAAAGATGGCGTTGATAAACCCGCCTATTGCCGCAACGAGCATGCGTTGAGCAGTAAAACTCCTCCCCACCGGCCGCGGGCCAGTACCTCCGGTCTGCAGACGAACCGGTGCCCGGCCTACTTGCGCTTACTGGTCTTTTTGCGGCCTGCGTCTCTGGCCGCCATCGCCTTGCCTACGCAGAAAAAAACAAAACATCTGGTGGGTAAGGGGGTTGTCGGGGACTCCTTTTGCTGTCACGTTATCCGCGCCCAGTGAGCGGGGGGCGCGGCACACCGTTGCCCAGAATTTCCGTTGGGGAGGACCAGGGCCTGAGGACAATACTTACGCTTGCGGTCGATGTTGCTCTGCTCGCTGGACGACTCGTACTGTGTGGCGGCCGGATAGTTGGGCGTCGACGCCGCGCTGTTGACAGTTGACCTACAGCATCTATATTTAGCGCATCCACATCCACATGCCACCACGTATCTGCTGTGCTACGTACCTGCGCGTAGTGGTCCGCCGGCTCGACAGCCCCATGCACTTGTCCATATGCGCAGCGAACCGTGCGCCCGGGAACGACCGCATGCAGCTCGGGCACTCAAACATCTCGACGCTACCCAGACCCGGCGACACCCCACCTGCAGCCCCCGACGGCACCGCAGCCTTGCTCTTGGCTAAACAAAGAGATTATCAGCTTCCGAGATCCCCCTGCTCATGACGCTGTCCTTCCAGCCTCCTTACCTTTGGGCGATCCCATTGCATCCCGCTGCGCCGACTTGCTCTGGCACCTACATCCATGCATTCAGCAAAAACACGTATGCCCCTCGCCATCGCCCGTGACGCCCGCTGATTTACGTACCGTGTGTGGCATGACGCACAAACCGCCTGCCGCTGCTTCGCCTCGAAATGCGCCTCAAACACTACATCCATCATCATGTCGTCCACCAGCTCCGTCACTAGTTCCATTGCAAGCAGCGCCCGAGACCGCGCCCCCTCTCCCTTCTCCGGCACCATCACTGGCTTGGCTTCCTCCAGCGCTTCCCGCGCACGCTTTAATGACGAAATCTTGTCGTCGTAGTACTGCATAAGCTCTTCAAACACTGTCATCGACGTCGGTCGCCGCTCCCCGTGTGCATCGCCTTTAACCTTCATCTTATTCATAGCAGTGGATAACGATGTATGTAAAAAAAAAACAAGAATACAAATATTTAGCGGATAAGTGATCAGCCTAGTTGCATCCGGCTCAATCGGCATTTTTCACTTGTTTTACAAAACCACGATTGTGGTATCAAAACCAAAAAACAAACCAAAACCGGACTAGCAAAAATGATTTCTGCCGGGTTCGAACCGGCGACCGTCTGCGTGTTAGGCAGACGTGATAACCAACTACACCAAGAAATCCTCACGTTCTGGAATGGTCCTCTGACATTAGTATGTAAGCCAGATTGTCTATACAACATCCACTTTTCAATGGCACCTCTACCTACAGCTCCTCAGTTGCCTATATCTATTAGCTAAACTTGCTACCTATAATGAAATAGATACCAGAGCGCACCTGTAGTGCAGATTAACTATACTATTGTATAAATATTATAAGATATCCTATTTCTAGTTTAGTTCCTATTAAGATTGCTTATTTCACCTAGTAATATATATCATTTACTAAGATACTTATAGAAATAGACCTGGTATGCAAAAGTATTGCTTTAACTTACCTTTCTTATAATTTGTATAACTCTAGTAATACTAGCCCTAATAAAATAGATACCTATTACTTTACTGTATTCTATACTAGAGATTATATAGAGTTACTTATCTACCTATCAATTATTTAAGTATATTAGAACTACTAGTACTTTTAGTAAAATAGGCATTTCACCTAAACTGCAATCAGTATCTTAGAAAAACTTTGGTAAATATAATTTTAACTAGATAGAAAATAATTTAAATATTTATGGTTAATTATCTTTAAGCAATAAAAGTTAATATCTCAATAAATATGGCTAAGTAGCTATAAGGAAATCATCTTTACTGAAAGTGCTAATAGTTATAATATAAATAGTTGATAAGTTGGCAAGTAACTCTATATAACCTTTAGTATTGAACCATATTGACATTTAGGGTCTGGACTTCCCTATACCACTATAAGTAAGACTGAAATATACATATAAATGCCTAGGTAGGTTATTAGCTTTCCTTTTCTCCCTCAGCCAGATTATTGTGAAGTTATCTTTCCATCTATACCTAATAACCATTTATCTCTTAGGGTAGCAAAAAGGCTTTCATGTATGATGCTCACACACATCATACTGATTCATGCTTCCCCTTGTGAACTTTCTCAGCCTAGCCAGAGTAGCATACTTCCTAATCAAACATATGCCAGTTATAAGGTGGTTTATTCAATAATTTGCCTTTTACTGTTGTGACCAGCGCCGGATTACCACTGGAACACCAGCACGCTCACCAACCAAATCTGAGACCTGGCCTGGCTCCAACATGAGCTGAACCATGCGATACTCTTTTGGAGCGCGAGTCCCTTGTACCGAGCCAGCCAGAAGATCATTCCTGCCATTAGAATTAGCACCGGGAATTGCTAGCTGACGATATCGTGATAGTCGCCGGCCGCACAATTTCCAGCCCGACCAGCGTCTCGAAAGCCTTGAGCGCAACTGATTTTTTGTAGATTTTCATCGAGCCTCCAGAGGTCGCTGCTGTGATATGCCTCGACATGAATGATTTGTACTCGTTGTAGATCATCTCAAAGTTATACTTGGTGTTGCCGCCTTTGACAAGGCTCCTCATGGCGATTATCAAGCAGAGCTCAAGCAGTGAGATGTTGCTCAGAACCAGCATCTTCGCCGAAGACCGCTCGCGTGCTATAGCTGCCAGTACATCTGAAACCACAATAAAAGGGCTTCTGATTGAGAGATGGCTGACAGCGAGTACAAATGTGCGCAGCAATTGCCGAACATCTTTGCCAAAATCGAACACGTCTGATATGTACGCGGATACCTGCTCATCTGCAAGAACATTGTCGACCTGATGGTTAAATTCGTTAGAAAAAGCTGCACTGAGCTTTTCGTCGGCACAGTTGATCCGCAGTGCAGTACGGGCAATTCCTTCGAAATCTTCGAGGTTCGCAGTATTCTGAACGTAAATCTGGCGATGCGAGAAGCGCGACTTTACTCGTTTCTCCAGCAAATCGATCACATCGATGCGCGCAGAGACACCAAGCACCGCAATCGGTGTCTGCTGGCTCTGGGCAATATCGAACAGTGTGTACAGCAGAGATTGTTTGGGGTGCTGCGCGAGGAGATCGAATTCTTCAAGAATAAATATAACCGGCGGCATTTCACCATCAGCACCTGATGAACGCAGTAGATTCAGGATATACGTGAAGGCGTCTGCAAATGATCCGACAAGCACATCACCCAGGTCCTGCTCTATCAGCAGCTGCGTAGCAATATCACGCAGCGCGATTCGGTCATTGGTGTGTACAAACCCGTTCAGCCGTACGATATGGTATCTGCGTGAGTCTGCGCGATCGGTGTGCTTCTCGGCCAACATGTTCAGCACCCGCTCAACGATGGCTGATTTGCCGCTGCCTCGAGGTCCAATGAGTAGCGCAGTGTTTCCTTCCTGGCTTGATATGGTCCGGTCCAGCAGCGAGTGGACCAAGTCCAGCGGTGTCTCGAGTCCTATCAGCTCTGGCAGCTGCGTACGTCCATGTAGTCGATCAAGAACCAGGCGACGGGCATGTTGGATGCTGCTTGCATCAATCATGCATGAGCCCGGTCTCTGTGAGGAGGGCATTGACAAAGAGCAGCAAAAAAGGTTAAAACAAAACTGTGAGCAAAGCCAGACAGGAGAAAGCGCAATCGCCAGGACTTTTTTTAAAATAAAATTACAAAGGTAAATATGGCCCCACCAATCAAGTATGGCAAACTGTAAACTGCAAAGAATAGTGCACTGCGTGTATTCACAAACGGCTTTCAAAAACAGTAGTAGCCAGCGCTGGTGCCTGTCGCTCTTCTCTCCTCAACTCAATTCGTATACTACACTTTTCCACAATTAATACCACGATAAAATAATGTCTTCGACCAAGGCCCTGAACAAGAAGAAGCGTGCAGTGCGCCAGAACTCAAACGTGTTTGCCATTTTCGACCAGAAGCAAATTTCCGAGTTCAAAGAGGCTTTTGGAATTTTTGACCACAACTCGGACAGTATTGTTGACCGCGACGACCTGCGCGACATGCTTAGTTCGCTAGGGCAGGATGCGTCAGATAGCTATATCGATGCAATGATCAACGAGGCTCCTGGGCCCATCAATTTCACCATGTTCCTGACCCTGATGGGCGAGCACCTAAGCGGCACCGACCCTGAGAGCGAGATTCTGGCGGCTTTTGAGGCATTCGACGTCGACGGAAATGGGCTTATCCTGGCTGAGGATCTCCGGGCAGCACTGATGCACATGGGGGACCGCTTCTCGCAGAAGGATGTGGACATCATGTTCAAGCATGCGCCAATCGATGCCAACGGCTATCTCAAGTACCGAGAGTTTGTGCAGATGCTAAAGCATGGCGAGTAGATGTTTTGTAAAGAGATTAGGCATTATCAAGAGTCACTGTAAATGGGTGGCCGGCTGGTACTCCCTGACACACGCCTATTGCGCCTGTATAGGTGGGATGTGTTGTCTGCATCGTGTTCCGCGCATACAAGGCTGATCTTATTGTGCTGCGGTCAATTGTGATGTGGTGGTTTCCGGAATGGGGCATCCTTGTTTGTGTGTAGAGCTGCTGCCGCTGTAGGTGAAGTGGAAAATAGGGGTTGTCATTCTGCAAACGCTTCCATGGGATAGTACCTCTCCTCCTACTTTAATGAGTTTCCTGTCTTTATAGACTCTTTATACGCAAGTCAATGGCCAAGAGTATCACGTATGTATCTTTGAGTCAACTGGGCACAATTTTGTCTGCCCTGAAACTAAGAACCCTAGGCTGAATGTAGAAGCGTCGGTATCTTAGCGGATATAGCACTCCTCGTCTTGGGTGCAACATCAGCCCTAACCAAAGCTACGCAGCGATATGGGCACCAGCGGTCGATGGTAACAGTCTTTTTGGGCTCTGTCAGTCTCATGTCTCAACTGCTATCTACCACTCCCACTCCCACGGTTGGCTCGACTGTCTCGCTCATGTCCTCCCTCATGCTATTTTCATGGGTGTTTGGTGTTGCAGGTGTTTCAGCAAACAGCCAGGCTATTGCCCATGGAGTACGCACTATGCGCCTGACCATTGCAGAACCCTCAGATTGGTCAACTACCAGCAGCATAGCAGTTCTCTCGCATCTTGCTCTTGCATGGGCATGCCTTGCTCCGGCTACAAAGCGCGCCGTCACCAATTTCCTGGCAAACACTCTCTTCCTGAACACCTTGTTGTTTATGTACACATGCACCAAGCGGGATCTAGTTCATTCTGACGTTGATGACCCGGTGTTTCGCGAACAGACCTTGCGAGAATACGAGAACCTTCGAATCATGAACAAAACCAGGGTGTCGGTGGTGCGCAGACTGATTTCGTGTGTCTGGAAGGAAATGCTGCTAGTATCAGCTGCTGAACTAGCAATTCTTCTTGGCCTTGGATTCCAGCACATAGTTTTGGCGAACATCGGTAACGAAATCGAGCATGGTTCCAGCAGCAACAAGGGCGCCTGTTGGTGCTGTACGCAGTTTGGGTAGTGCTGGGATTTCTCGAAATCGTACATTCATATTTGAGTATCGCAAAGCGAGCGATGGTCAAAAGGACCCATGCCGTCCTACAGCTCAAGGTCGCCGAGGCATATGTAAACCGAAGGCACAACGAAGAGCTTGACAAGGAGTATGAGGACTTTGGGTCATGGAGTACGTATACGGTTTCTTCGAGTGCTCATACGGTGGTCGATTTGGCTGCTCGCATTGTTGCCATTACGTTCAACCTTTGGATAATATCGTGCTCGATTGGCTGGCGTGCACTTATCCCCGTGCTCTTCACCGTTGGAAGCATGGTATCCGAACAGCTTGTTGCAAACAGGATCGCCGAGTTGTTGGAGCTGAGCAAGGCGGAAAGGCAGCCGCACTTTCCGACGGATGCAACGTCGCTCATAAGCAACATGAGGACTGTAAAGTTCTATGGCTGGGAGCACGTTTTTGACAATCTGTCAGCAAACGTTGATCTACCCCACTTCACTCCCCCATTGCTTTGGAGCACATTGAGCTATATACTCGACATCATGAATACTGCTACTGTGGAACTTTCAACTGCACTGACATTGCTTTCGTATCTTCGCTCGGACATCACAGTATCCTATGCAGAGATCATGTTGGTTGTAAACACGACCGGGCAGCTCACTACGTGCCTCAGGTTTACTAGCTCTACACTCTCCACGTTTCGCGACACGGTAAAGGCATTGGGGCATCTTGCCAGCTTAGTTGCTGATGACAAACGGGAATTTCTTGCACACAGTCGAACATGCAATACCCTCGCTGTTGATATATGCCAGTGTGAATTCCAATGGGATAAAGGGTCATTTGCGCTGGCCCCTATATCGCTAACCATAAAGCCAGGAGAGTTTGTGGTGGTTGTGGGAAGAGTCGGTAGTGGAAAGTCGTCATTACTGTCAGCTTTATGTGGCGATATGCCAATGATCAGCGGTCAAGGGCATATATACGGTCGAGTCGGGTATGTCAGTCAGAAGCCATGGATCATGAACGCGACGTTCCGTGAAAATGTGTTGTTTGGCCAAGAGTTTGACGAAAAATTTTACTGGCGCGTTGTTGAGGCATGTGCGCTGGCTGATGATGTTAAACAGTTTCGGGCTCGGGATCAGACAGAGATCGGTTCGCGCGGCATCAATCTGTCGGGTGGACAGAAGGTGCGATTGGCACTTGCCCGCGCTATATACTCCCGCGCAGACATATATCTATTCGACGATATATTGGCTGCAGTCGACAGCTGTGTTGAGCGGCAGATAGTCGAAAGGGTTCTGACTGGGAACGGAATCATTAGTGACAAGGCGCGGGTTTTGGTGACACATGCCGAATATCTTTTGCCATTGGCCAATATGGTTGTTATGCTCGAAAATGGCAGTGCATCGATTAGGAGCCAGGTTCCAGCGACCCTGACCACAGCTGTATCAGAAACACCGCCAATGGAGCCAGACAGCGCTGAGGATGATGGTACCAATGGCGACTCCGGGATCTTCACAATCAGTCCTGAACTTGATGTGCCACAGTTTCAGCTATCGTATCTGTGGAGATATCTTTCAATGAGTGGAGCTGCTGTAACCGCCATTCCACTTGTGATTCTCGTGGTTACATCAATCGCTACGCACCGTGTCAACAGCTACCGCCTGGATATTCTATCCGAGTCGGACCAAACCACCATGGTTGCGTCTCTCCGATGGTATCTAGCTATCCATGCTGCTCTATCTATCGGGATACATTGCAGTTACTTAATTCTGAAGTGGGTTTCGGCAGCAACTTGGTCACAGAAAGTGCGACAAATCACAAGGGAAGCAGTCCGTGATACCCTTCTGTCTACCCCACTGCCGGTATTCGAAAGGCTGCCGTTGGGAGTGCTTAGCAGGCTATTTGATTCAGGCCGCAGCCAGATGAGCATTCTACTTCCTGAGTTGCTAAGCAGCAAGCTCTCCACGCTTCTTGACGCACTGTTCAGCATTGCCATTATCGGTCAACGCATGCCATTTCTCTATGTCTTTCTCCTGCCAATGGCCGTCTTGGGGTGGATCGCGCGTAAAACCAGTGATTTAGCCAGGGAAAAGCTCGAAAAGCTTGGCAGCTCCTTGAACACAATTGGGTCTCATTCGATTATACTCGAAATCATCCAAGGTCGGCAAACAATGCGCATATATGGTGCACATCACCAATATCTACGGACAGGAGCGATCGATTTGGCAAATGCCTATGCGCTAAATAACGTCATGAACTCTGTGATGTATTGCTGGAGCGCCATTTACCAATTTTTCCTCACTATACTCCGTTCATCCGCTCTGCTTTACCTGGTAGTCATGAGCCTTGACTCCAGCTCTGTATCGCCAGGAAGAATTGAGGCTATGCTGACTATGTCGGTTTGGATATATACACTAGTCAATCCAATAATCCGGTACGACCATTACTTATCGAGTTCCTTGAAGAGTCTATCCGAATACTTCGCCTATATAGAGCTTCCTCGTGAGGCACACAGAGTTGTTAAGGGCTCCCGTCCCCCACAAGGTTGGCCATCGATCGGCACTGTTGAGTTCAGAAACTACAGCATGAAGTACCTTGACAAATTGGATACGGTTCTTAACGATATATCCTTTTCGATCAAGCCCTGTGAGAAAGTCGGCATTATTGGGCGTACTGGGGCTGGCAAGTCATCGCTGACGTATGCGCTGCTTCGCATAGTGGAGCCATCCAGCGGCTCTATCTTTATCGACGGCATAGATATCTCGACGATTGGTCTCCAGGATCTTCGTTCCAAGATTAGCATCATTCCACAAGATCCAGCCTTGTTCGTTGGTACGATACGCGAGAACCTGGACCCGCTGGAGGAGTTCACCGACGACGAAGTCTGGGAAGCAATTCGCAAGGGCCAAATTGAGGATGCCATCCTTAGACCAACCTATGCTCACGTCAAAGATGATCGGCGCAGTGGTCCGTGGGTATCGGGTGTTGGCTTGGACAAATGGATAGAGAATGGAGGCAAGAACTTTAGCGTCGGTCAGCGTCAGCTTGTCAGTCTGTGTCGTGCACTGCTGTGGAAACGCAAGATCCTGGTTCTCGATGAGGCGACTGCGAATGTCGATGCAAAAACGGATCATATCATGCAGCAGGTTATCCGCGATGAATTCAAGGATTGCACTGTTCTGACTGTTGCGCACCGACTCAGAACTGTTATGGATAGTGATCGAATCCTGGTCATGGATCAGGGCAGAGTCGCCGAATTTGACACTCCCACGAGTCTATTGGAACGGGACTCACTTTTCAAGCTTTTTGTCGAAAGTATGGAGCTCAACAATAAATGCTGAGAATACTCATTACATTAGGATATACATGCTAAATGCAACAACAAATCCAAAATAAACAAATACAGATACGGCGGCTATTGCTCAATGAGCGAGGTAGACTAGCATTACTAAATGCAGTTATTAGTGTCAATTTATATTGATAATAACTGGACGTCTGTCACATGTAGTGTATATAGCTATGCTCACTATTCCTTGCACCAGCTAGACGTTGCTCAGAAGAGTATAGATGCACAGTGGTTCAACTCTAGCTTAGCAAAGGGATATGATGATGCACAATGGATCGGCCATTAAGACTGGAAAATTAGCCAGTGTAGTGCTGTTTTCATTATCTAGTGCAACTGAGCTTAGAAGCAAACTGTGAACTGTTCTCCTACTTCTCCTCTATCTTTTCCAAACATTTACCCTAATATCTGTTGATATTTATATTCTGCCACCCCATATTATTGAGCTGATAATTGAGTATATGTCAGGCATTTTGTATGGCATAGTCCATACTTATGATAAGAGTCCAACTGGCATATATCTAAGCTTTATGCCATTTCTCAGTATTTCTCAGTACTTGTAATTTTCTGCTCTATAGCTACTGTACTAGGAAGTGGTAGATAAGATGAATCTTAGCTTCACTATAGAGGCTATTTATAGTTACTAAACTAGGTATTTAATATTTAAAACCTCTAAAATTTCTTTGTCTTTTGTTATTAATATGCTTTTCTGAAACCCCTATTAGCATCTTAGAAAAGTTTCAGTTAATATGATTTCCTTATAGTTGCTTAGCCATATCTATTAAGATATTGACTTTTATTGCCCTATAGTAATTAACCCTAAATATATATGGTTTTTTCTTTCTAGTTGAAATCATATTTACTAAAACTTTTCTAAGATACTGATAGGGGTTTTGGAAAAGCACCCTTTTTATTATTTATATTTACTTATTAATTTAGTAGTTATTATCTTTTTGGCTTATACTAATTATTCTAGCATTTAAAATAGTTCTTAGTTATAAGTAAATAATTTATAATATATTAATTGGTTTTTCTGATAAAAGATTATTAGTTTCGCTAAACATTCTTAACTGTGAATGACCTCTATAGGCAGCTAGGGAGCAATAGGCAGAGGTGTCATTGAAAAGTGGGTGATGTATAAATCATCTGGATTACATACTAATTTCAGGGAACCACCCCAGAGCGTGAAGATTTCTTGGTGTAGTTGGTTATCACGTCTGCCTAACACGCAGACGGTCGCCGGTTCGAACCCGGCAGAAATCATTTTTGCTAGTTTGGTTTTTGATAACCTATGTACTTTTTTGACAACCTTTCCGCGTGCTGGCCAGCAGGCCAGAAACTTACAGCATCGTGCATAGTAGACAACTCGTGTATGCTGAGAAGGGCATTTGCTTTGCAAAGCGAGTAGCTCTCGTCCTTTTTCCTGCATTCAGTATACCCAACTACAGGGCGACTGAGATAGTTCATGTCGGAGTGACATCCATTGCATCCCTCTTGCCACCACTACTGCTCCTTTTTCCTTTAGTTTCTTTTCCTCCAAAGGTCTTGGAAAAATATTCGCGTATTTTGTCGATGGACAAAAGGAGGCTGGAAACCTGCTACCGCAGAGGGTAAAGTAGGTGCGCAACTACATGTGGGTCAGCCGCATGTTTAAAGAACAAGTTACCAAAGTGCTGTTCCGCACAATGTTTGTGAGTACGCAAATGTGTGACAACGAGGTCGATTACACGAGGTCTGCCACTGGGGTATAGTCTAATGTCCAGTACATGATCCGACAGGACTGCAGATCAATCCCAACTGAAATGATTCTCGAGGTCGGCCATGGCGTGGATATCAGCGGGATCATAAACAAGCTGGAGGTGCCCTGACTGTTCCGCCACACTTGGCCTTCTGTTCGGTCTTTGCGTATATCAGGGCAGAGCGACAATGTCAAGAGATGGGTAGAGTTCGACTATGATGAGCTGGCCTGTCTTGACAAAAGGCTTGCCAAGGCATTCCCGAATGTCACCCGTGTAGCTCATTCTATTCATGACCCGTCGACTAGCGAGCGTCCGTTTATGTCGGATTTCATTAATCAGAAGGCTGGCCAGTTTAGTGAACTCCAGATTGTTTTCCCTTACAACGGAAGCATCGACATGGGCAAGTTGGGCATTTACTTGACACCCTTTTCGTTTTTGAAGTCTGGGCTGCTGCCACCACAACTTGTCTCGCAGTTCAATCCGGTGATAGTTGAGTTACCAGAGGTGCGTTTGGACAATACTGCAGCACGGCGTACTCTATTTAGCGGAGGTAGCGGCAAGGGGCTCGAACTACCGCGACTCAAAACGCTGGGTCTATACATCGACTCAACTTTAGTAAAGCTAGGTGTCCCTGTGGACCAGCGTTCAACTGGTCTAAAGTTCCCAGAGCAAATGAACCTAAGGTTGCTTGGAAAGGGCCGGGTTATGCGAAACCGTACGTCGCTCGTTTCTCTGGAGAGCATCAAGCAGCTGTCACTGGGTGAGGAGGTGGATGCTTCCAGCAATGATATCACCATGTTCACAGGGCTAGATACCTTGCGGCTGTGTCAACATGACCGATGTGCTACACGAGAAGGTATGCTACAAACATTGGGTCCAGAATTTGCTATCATCCAAGGTTTATGCTAAGCGTCTGGTGATTGACGGCGAGGATCTAAACGAGTCTAAGACTGCCGAGCTGAACCATATGGTCTATACGTTGCAGCACTGCATTACGGCGCGCGTAACAACACTGGTAGTACCATCCATTGTACAGCTCCGTGGCCTGCAAGAGTTGGATGTGCGCGCTATCTTGCAGTCTGGCAACCTCGTCAAATTGCTAAAGAAGCTGCCCAATCTCTGTCGCTTGCATGCGCGCGTGTATTCAAACATCACTTCTGGGATTCTGGGACCAGAGTATTCGCACGAACGCAAAGGTCCAACCTACAGCTGCATTAGCAAGACGGTCGAGTTTGTGGAGACTACGTTTTGCGAGGGCACAGCTGAGGACAAGGGGCAGGCATACCATGCTGCGTGGTTGATTGCCAGGTTGTCAGAGCTTAAACGCTGGTAGTGCGTACCACACAAGAGAAAGCTCACCAGTATAATACTAAAGGATATTGTCGCTGAGCGTCGTTTCTTTTATGACGTGAAACACATCAAACCGCTGCTCAAGATGTAAAGACCTGCTTGCTCTTTGTATGCTACCATTTAATGTCCAAGTAGTTTTCAAGTATGTTTTATTTTCTCCAATCCATCATACTAGCAGTTTGCTTTTGTAAATGGTTCCAAACAACGTGGTAGTAGGTAGACACTAGTCCGTAGACTTGTTTCATTAGTGGAATCGTCAAGCGACAGAGCTATTACTGTTTGGAGTTTAGCACTGCCTCCACGTTATTTTCTGCAGTGCGGTACATCTGTTAGACAATCTCTCCTAAAACCAACACTTGAGACACACAGCGCATAGTTACTACTTTCCCATTCCAAATTTGATCCCTGCTATGCATATGACAAGTTGCATATATACAAGTTTGCAGCTCCACTTTTAGTTCTGGTGAGAACAAATCGAGACCAACTTATCCATATTATTCCACCAATCCTTCTTGCTCACGGTTTTCTCATATAATGCTATTGACTGTGCACACCAGTCTCTTTATCGTATACGCTAGCATCTCTTTTCTTGATGCAGTACCATTTCCGCAGTATATGCCGCAAGGAGTAGGTAACCACGCTCCTTGCGGCATGAGTGGTTACCCGCAAATGAAAAGAGGGTTTCCAACGAATAGCGGACAGATGAGTGGCCCAGCGGGTAATCAGCACAGCGGGCAGATGTACTCGCCAGGTGGCGAGGAGAGTAACCACCACCATATTCACCACAACATGATGCGTGGGCAGCGGTGGCATGCACGCCCCAATGCCGAGGATTGGCCCATGGCGGGTAACCCATATGGCTACACTCGCTACGGACGACACGGTAGTAATCTAATACCAAATAGAGGCGGCAGCACGGTGGGCGGACCGATGGTAGGACCGGTGTGTCACAACCGTATCCATCTGGGTGCAGGAATGGGTGGTGGGATTGTAGGCAAGGGACTCGACAATGGCTTCAGCAGCAGCAGTGGAAATAACAGTGGTACCAATAGTGATGACGACAGCGACAATTATGCTGGCTCTGCCACCAAGGATAACAGCAGCAAAGAGAAGCAGTCAGGATTGCTTAAAAAGTTATCGGCAATGACGGATACAAACACTAGTCTGGATTTGGCGTCGTTCAGTGGCAGAATGCTCACCATTGATGCTCTGGCAGGAACATTAGCAACGATGAGCAACTCCACTGCAACTCCAGCTTCAACGCGCAGCTCTGTGGGAAAGTCTGTTGCAGTAGACACAGCGTCATCTAAAGTATTGACTACCAAACTCGCATTAAAGCCAGCAGCAACATCATCGTCGCCGCGCGGAAAAGTATTGTCAGCCAAGCCATGCTCTCCTTCAGCCAAATTACTGCCGGCTAAACCTGGTCAGACGGTACATCTCCCATGTCATGGACCAACACCGACAGGCAAGGTCATGTCAGCAAAGCTCATTAGCACAGATGTTTCTGCTGGCAGCTCTTCTGCTAGCAAGGTGCTTTCGACAAAGACATCCTCGAAGCGAGTGTCAATGGATATTGCTTCCAATGAGCTTCCAACCACAACCACGCACTTCCTTGCCACGCCAAGACGGCTGTGGTCGGCTAGGGGTCTCTCCGCAAAAAAGACAGATAGAGGTCTGGGCACTGAACAGTCAGCAGACACTCCGGCCCATTCGCCAGCTGCACGCAAGATCCGAGGCATGTACTGAATACACACAAACCACACATGCAGATTGTTTACACGTTACATGTTTGTTCGCAATAGAAAATCACCATGCCAGCTCAAAACAGACTCTTCATGCGTTTCGATGGCGGCGGCGGAGTGGCATCGAGATCCTCATCTTCGCCAGACATGTCTGTGTCTGAGTCAAGCTCAATGGGACCATCCTTGTTCGCCGACGTTGGTTTATATGGCAGCCTTGTCTGTACCTTCCCAGGAGGTGCCAGACGCGAGGCCTCATCTTCTTCGTCTTCGTTCTCCTGGTCAGTAACCCCAGGCGGCGCTGCTGGTCTGGGCATCTGCAAAAGCCTGTATGAACGGGTGTTGTTGGCCGGGCTGTTCATCACCGGAGTAGGCTGCACTGATACATCGCTGAGCGGCTGGCTGGCTGGCCCGGCTGGCAAATTCTGTTCGATCTGCGATCTGCCGGTGCCGGCAGTAGCTGCGCGGCGCATGGTGCTTGCTGACGGGGTGGGTGTGTTGAGTAAAGAGTCTGAGCGATCGAGCGCCGGGTTGTTGTTCGCCCAGAGTCCAGCATTGCTGCTGTGTGCTGACGATACAAATGGCGACGGCGATGGCACAATGCTGACATCGACATCATAAATGGTCTCCTCGTGTCTCCGTAAACCGGTTGTACGGACGCTGCTGCGTGATGGAGATGGCTGACTGATGTCGTCCACTTCATGTACTGGTTTCTTTCCTGCTCGATTGAGTTGAGGTGTGCGGTTATATCTCACCGAACTCGCGCTGCCTGGCGTAGACACTGCGTCAATGTAGTTTGAGATGGTGGCAATGGCGAATTCGGCAGTCAAGTCGTCTGGTGCCATGCTGTACATGCCAGTATCATCGCTTCGCCGTGTCGAGTTGACACTGAGAAGGAGCGGGTCGCCAGCTTTATCAAAATACGCAGATACAGGCATTGCCATCGCTTCTGCATACTGTAGCACTGCCTTGAATTCGCGCAGCCCAAATGTCAGCTCGGTCGGATGGTGTCCAGCCACGCTGTACATGTCAAACTCTGCTGGCTCCACTGTCAGCTCCGTCTGTAGAGCCCTTGTGGTCTCTGCTACAGCTGCCTCGATCTGCGACCTACCGATACCAGCGAACTGCCCTTCGGCCCAGCTCCGTACCTTGACTTCGCTTGTGGACATCCAAATTGACACTTCTTCAAGCCCACGCGCAAAATGTGCGATCCAGTCAGCGGCTACCTTGGCACCCACGCGCCACCGGTTCTTGCACTCGTCCTTGCGGTACACAGAGTGCAACGTATCGCACACTTCATAGAACAGCCGGTGCGTTTTGCAAATTCCTTGCTTATACGTCATTTGCACCACCAGCCGACACTCTCCATTGACGTTCGACATCATATTAGAGCTGTCGCGGTCAAGGCGTCCAGCATGCATAGGCTCGGCAGCCTGCTCGATCCGCAGCACGCATTTCTCGACTGCATGGACGGGCTGTGGGCCGCGCGACTTGAATATGCCGACAAGCGGCTTCGACAGAACCTTGCATCGGAATGCCTGTGACGGCGAGCCATCAGGGGGCAACAGAACGTTATATGCGTCAAAGAACTGCTGGGTGAATTTGAACGACGCATAGGCAGACCGCGATGCATTTATGCCAATGAGCTCCAACTCATCGCTTCGCGCCGCAAACGAAATGTCGGTACCTATACGTGCTAGGCACTGTAGCGCCTTGTAAAATGCTTTGAGCGACGACGCTGGAATTTCGGCCTCCATTTGAGTAGAAAAATAAGAAAAGCAGGTGTAGAGCGGAAAAGAGGAACTGAGCTGGACTTGTTGGTCTTCATGGGGTTGGGCCTGATCGGCACAGCGGATTTATGCGGAAAGGCTCTAGCAAAAGATGGCTGCGCAAAAAAGGCTAGTATGGCCTGAAGTGACGGTTCTGGCGCATGCGGGCAATCTTCTCCTTGTCCTCGTCGAACTTTTTGCGCAGCTCCGCCAGCTGGTCGCGCTTCCGCTCGCGCATCTGGAATCGGTACATGTTGCCGAACTGCACGTCCTTCTTCTTGGCTTCGGCCGACTTGATGCCGTTAGCCGTGGCCGCGGTAACTGTGATCGTGCCGTCAGTATTCGTGCTCTTGCGGCCGCTCCGGATAACCGTAATGAATCCGTCGGCATCCGGCACGTTGCGCTGCTGCGCCAGCAGGCGCTCGCGCTCGTACTGTGCTTCTTCGAACTTGGCCATGTACCCGTCAACGTCCTGCTTCAGCATCTCGATAGGCGGCCGCGCCGCGCGGTACTCGTAGATATACCGCGACAGTCCGTGGTATGCCAGCGGATCGCTGGCTGGGTCACCCAAGGGCCACTCGCGCCGCGCGCTCTTCATGTTCAGCACATTCGCCAGCTCCTGCTCCTCCAGAACCACCACGTGTGCGCTGGCTCCCGACCCCAGCAGCTGCGTGCGCATAACTGGCTTTGTATCTTCATCTTTGCTATCGTTGGCCAGCGATGCAGTCAGCCTTGCTTCCAGTGCCGACGTCTTGATCACATCACGCCCGATCACGTCGTGGAACAGCACCTGCACTACACGCGCTGTGCCCTTTAGAAGCCGCCGGATCGAGAGCTCCGTCGCGTCCGCTGGCAGGTTGAACATGAACAGCGTGCGGTTGGCCGGCAGGAGAACATCCTCCTTTTTGGGCTTGTGCGCTTTGAAGTATACAAAGTGAGGGGCATCGCTGTCGGCAAAGTGAACAGGCAGGGCCTTGTATCCGCCGATCTCCTCTAGCTGTCCGCTGCTCTTTTTCGATTTCGAGGTCTTCATTTTCTGCGAGGAGCGTGTATTGACAAGAATGTGTGCGGGAATGCGTTGCAGAGCGAAATGCAAAGCAGCAAAAGGTTCAGAAAATGGTGCAATAACTAAGGGGAAAAAATTTGGAGTTTATAGATCAACTGCGATCAGATCAGCCAAATTTCTTTGCAACAGGAATTCCTGCAATCGCCTTGTGGGCGCAGTGGGGTTTGTCACCAGATCATCCCCCAGGCCGAGTGACAAAGCACATACGGCTTCCAACACCAAAGATCAGCTTCAAATGGGTGCGGGAAGCACAGTGCCCCTCCAAATCTTCCCTTGGGCATCTTTACTGACTGGCAACCAGTCCCAGCGACTGAACAGCATATCGCACTACTCACTATGCCATCTGCTGCCGACATTGGATACCAAATGAATGTCCAGCAGTCCCAGCAATGGCACGCCCGAACAAGAAGTCTGGCCCAGTGAATTCCATGCGTAATCGGTGCAGGCTCCATCACTCGACACTCTGTGGGCTCATTGTGCCCGCAAATCGGCATGTCAGGCAGGCGATTGAGACTGGTTGTTGAACCCAGTGGCAGGGATGCGCCTTCCAAATTAGGAAACTCGTACCAAGCAAAAATTGTCCCCTCCCTCCCCACTATGACGCCGGCAGCCAGCGAAATAGTTGCTGAAAAAGAATTTCTAGTTCAGCAGAAAACTATTTGGCTTTCTCTCTCGCTCTTCTCTCCCCACTACCTCCGTTTCCACTTCACGCCAGACGACGCGTTCTCCCCCATCGTTGCTGTCGCAGACACTAGCCGGAACATAAAACAGAACCTTGTTCGTATCTTTTTTCGCTCCTGACGAGTCCTTTTTTATTTTCTGACGCTATACCTGCCCGTGTGCTCCCTCATCTACTAATTTCAAAATATCTCCAGCGAATATTAAGCACGCCTATCTTCTCCGCACATACCCGTTCCACGGTCCTTGATTTCCCTCACCGCCCTCCACACCACACATTGGTCAGTAATCATCATCTCTATCTATTCGCATAAAAAGTAAGGGCCACAATTTTTACTGCATTTTTCCCAGGTAACCCAAATGGCTTACCCTGGCACCGGGACAGAAAGGCCGGTACATATTTCATCTTGAATTTTTGCATGGCGTCCTCGCGTGCGTTGGCGACATAGCATCGCTGGCGGTAATTCATTCACATCCTGCGCATGCACTGCAGCGACATCGTCTTCCTTATCCGGTAACCGGAATTGCGTTTTTTTGCTATTTTTACGCACTGAGGGAAAAATTTTCTGCCTAGAAAAGGCGATGTCAAAAATAAAAGAAAAGCGACTCTGCTGCTCGCCTCTTGTGCCACACCACTAATGGCGCCTTGCTTGCCCGTGGTAACAGCCCCGCCTCACCTCTTGTCAAAGGCTGTGCTTACACCTTTATTGCCACTCTTTTATGTTTATTATTTCTTTCTGTGCACCTCAATTCTCTCCCTTGCCGTTGCCCAGAAGGGGCTTTATTTGCCGCGTACTCGGGTGTCATGAGCGGTATAGGTTGCCGGTGAACGCTATTTGCCTCTTAATAATTCGTTTTCCGAGTTAGGTAGGAGGGAATACCGAAGCTCACGTAATACTGTGCCCCATGGGTTACGCACAGGTCACACCTTGTCATCTCATATAACACGAACAACCGCCGGTGCGTATCACTGGAGCTTGCCGTATGCCGAGGTGCTGCTAGTCTGAAGACAGTCACCGCCTCTGTCCGATACGGAATGGCCAACTCTGTGTTGTAACAGGGGAAAGCAAGGTCTGTTTTGCTCATGTGCCTCCGGCCAAGCACAGAGAACGGCTTCACAACATAAAAGAGCTGCCCTTTCTCCGCTGAATATGGCCGGTGAACTTTTCCTGCTGTTTCAACTACCCTCTCCAAACATTTGGCGTATTTCACTAAACCTACAGCGGTTATACTTTGGATTAGGAACGCAACAATGGCTCCGGGACGGCCACGCGCACACCTTCGAAGACACCCAAGCAATACACGACAAGCAACCCGATCAACATCGACCGGAATCCCCTCATATCTCTTCGAGTCATATGAGCGTCTCTTCAACGATGCCCAACCACGGCCACTACTGATCGATGCTGCCACCAGTCGCACGTTCACATATGAGCTTCTGCGCTCGCACTGTGTCTGGCTGGCTACTGCCCTGCACACGCACTTATATCTGGGCCGCGAGCAGCTGGTCGGTGTTTTGGCTCCATCAGGTATTGATTTGCCTGTAATTGCACTGGCCACCTGGATGGCCGGCGGTACTCTGATGCCACTGGTGCCCGAGGCCACTGCAGCAGAGCTAGCAGTTATTGTGGACCAGGCACGCAGCATGCCGCACACGTTTTTTGTTACTGGAAGTCTGGCAGGCAAAATCGTCCAACTAGTCGCTGAACAGTCTGTTGCCCTGCCTAATATTGTCATTATTGATGATACACCGGTGGAGGACTTGGGTGGGGCGCCATGCTTTGGTCTGCAAGAGCTGTATCGGGTTGGGCAAGAGCTACCTCCAGTGAGTTGGGAGCAGTGGGACCGGCAGCGCGGCGTGCGTGATCGGTCAGCGATAATGTACTTCCAGTACCATGTGTTGGATGACGGGGATGTTGATGTGACAGCAGCGCCGGTTGACCACGGCTCGGTTATCAACCTGTATATGGCGAACCGTCCACCTACATTGCGGGCTGCCAGCCCTGCATACTCTGTCCTGCGCATGCACAGCGCATTCCGCACGCACATTCCACTGTTCGATATCCTCTGCAGCGGAGCGCAGTATGTGGTTGCGCGTACCTTTGACCCAGGCCTGTTTTCCCAGTCCGTTGCGCAGCATCGCCTACTGAATGCCGAGCTCACGTACAATGAGATCGCTGTTCTGCTCCAGTATATCGCCATCGCGACGGATCGCTCAGCTGCAGTAGGCTTACTGGCTCCGCTCAGGGCTCTGTTCACAGAATCGGATCGGGCTCAAGCGGATCTGACACCGGGACTTGCATTTTTACTGCCGGATATCCGCATTATCCGCACGCGCTTTGGGTCATACCTTGGCCCCTTTGTACAGAACCCACTAGGTTGAACTCTACAAGCGCATATTCCTTTTACTCGCCCATTTTCCATCATCACCTTTTCCTGCGTTTCCTTTCATTCTGCAACTTTCTTACATCACTAATATCTTTTACCTATATATAAGATTTTATAGTCTAAAAAGTGTCCGACCGTCCGCTAGAACATTTTTAGTTGGTTAGAAGGTAAAACTTTTAAACCTCAAAGCGAGTTTGGGTGACATACTCCATAAACTCCTTTTGATCCTGTGCGGCATCTGACCTCATCGGTGAAACTAGGGTGACAAGTTGTTATTGTAGTGGTCACAGGTCTCCACTATATATCTCCACTGGTTCAGCGCAAGAGCTGCTCTCATTGTCGGTCGGCCTGATAACTTCCATGGCGTCATCATGGTGGTCATCACCGGCTGCGCAACACTCTTGGGATATTTATCTATGAGCACCTATTGAATAAGGCCATATAGCTCTTCTAGCGGTCATACGATATTTGTGGATTTATTTTATAAATTAATTTGTCTTATGGACATGCGTAAGCGGTAGTATTTGGGCCACAATGGATCCAGTATATATAGGGCCATCAGCATTGATACAGTCTCTCAAATTAGCCTACGAACGATGCAATCCAGATCATTTTTAATAAAAAGTCCTTAATGCTATGCATACGCAATAAAGCAAAACTGAACAGCATCATTTCTCTTCTTACTTGCCTATTGGATTTCTCAAATAAATATTACCCACAGCACTACTGTCATAAAGACATCACTTGGCGGTATTGGCTTCCGTGATTCTATGTTGCCCCACCTAGAACAATTTATATACAGCGTTAATATCATCAAAGAGCATACATACATGCTTGTACGATGGATACTACTCCATCAGCTAGCTGACAGGGATGCTTTTGACCCTGCAACATTTGTGAAAAAGGGATTATTTCATTCCATTTATTTATTTATATATCACAACCTAAAGGCGAAGACTGTCATATCTGCCGAGGATTTCGTCAACCGGAAGGACAAGTCAGAACTGTCGAGTGCAGATTTCTGTGATGTAGTTAGATACCATATTTATGATTATCTATTGCATAATGGCGATATCGAGCTACATGGTGTACGTGAAATGAATCAAGTAGCAACATATGTGGATACCAAGCTGATGACAGCATACAAGAACAACATTGTGGTGCACTATGGCACTTTCCTACAGCAGATTCTGGCCAAATTGATTGATATTTGCTGCCGCAAAAACACACTGCACAGTACAATGGGCAATGTGTCCAAGGCTGAGTTCAATAATGCATGTCAAGTGTGTATTTATACGCCTGCACAGAAGCTCCGCCAGGCAGTTGCCTCTAGGTACCCTGATCTCAGTGTGCTCACCCCACCGATGCTTGCAATCTACAACAAGCTGGCACCAGTCCTTAATGCCTATGATGCCAAGTAGAGATTCGCCAAAGACAGCCGATACTATGATGCCAAGGTAAATCCACTTAAGCATCTGTGTGCATACATTCGCCTATGCCAGCTTATCGATAATGAGCAGCTTGGCAAGTCTCCCCCCCCAATGCTTGCCTCTGCGGATATCATGGATCCCAGGCCATGTGCGCTTAGACAAGCAAATAATCAAGCGGGTGTTTATTTCGAAAACATGCAAGCAGGTTACCAAGATCAGCGAGGCAAAGAGGGCAGCAACAGAGGCAAGGAAAGCAGCAGAAAAGGGCAAAAAATTGGCCAAGAAGGCTGCATGCGAAGCAGCGAAGATGCCATCGGATGAAACAGAGGCCACTGCAGCAACTGCAGCAGTAGCGGCTGATTCACTTGCTGCTGCATCGGCTGCAGCAGCAGACACTGTTGCAGCACTTAACAGTGCATATGCATCAGCACCCCTAGTCTGTGCACACGACCCGGTCCAAGGGATTACACAACCTGTGGGATGTGTGGGGCCGGGTCGTAGATCTAACATCAAAGCCGTTTAAGGTGTATGGTGATAGAAAATTCCACGGAATGGCAACTACAGATGGTGTGACGATATGCATTTTGTTGCAAGACAAGATATCCAAGGCTGATGCTGCAGGAGGCGATGCTGCGGGAGGCAATGCTACAGCTGACTGTCACTACGCCTACCAAATCCTACAGCCAGAGCTGCAGAATCTGAAAGGCCGCTGTGTATTCATCGATCCAGGTCGGGGCGATTTGCTATACATGATGCACGAAAATAGCAGCAATGGGAAAGAGGGTGAGAGAATGCTCTACCGCTACACACGGCAGCAGCACAATAAGGAGCTCAAGCTGCGCCACTATGACAGGATTCATCAAGCTACAAAGGATCAAGTCCCAGAAGATGCTGTCCGCAGAGCAGAGGCTGAGCTTTCCAAGCACTGCTGCCGGACCCTTAGCCCAGCAAAATTCTGTGCCTACGTTGCTGCCCGTGCATCTCTGCGGTGTGTCCTAGCACCGTTTTATGCCAGCACGATGACAGCGCGAAGGTTACCAGAGCAGCAACTCACTAAGTCAAACAAGCAGCACCAAAGGCACTGGAAGGCCCATCCAGGTGTCAGTACCAGTCCCAAGGTGTACCCGCTTCACCGCAAGCTGCGCCTTGATTCATTCATGAACCAGGCCCGTGCAGACCACAGGCTTGCCGCAAAACTCCAGAGCAAGTTCGGTCCAGACCCAGTGCTGATCATGGGCAATTGGAGTGCGCCGATGGCCCGATACCATGCGCCGATTCGTGGCAAGGGATGGCGCGACAAGTTCAAGCACCATGGCTTTGAAGTCTATCTGGTCGACGAATTCCAGACATCGTCAATATGCCCGTTCTGTTGCGAAAAGTCGCTGCAGACATTCCAGCATGTTCCCAACTGTGAAGTGCCATGGCCTTCTCCACTGTGCAAGCGAGTCATGTAAGCGGGCCATGGCACAATACAGATGGGTCTGTTCGTCTCGGCTCTTGAACCGCGACCTCATAGCAGTTCTAAACTTCAGACTCGTTTTCCAGTCACTCTGTGATTCAGGCAATATTCCTGAACAGTTCCATCGTTCTATGGCCATTGCTGCCGATGCTTCTGGCACTACTCCGGCAACAAAGAGGCCGCGCAAGAGGCGTGCAGCAGCAGGCGATTCTGTTGCCAGCAGCAGCAAGCCAGCGCTGAAGCGCCTACGCAGAGCAGGCCATCAAGATAGGAGATGTCCAGGATCGACATTGCACCAACAACCATCCGACATGTTCAAATTACCGGTTCGCCGTGATGCTCTTATCGACGTGTCAACCCATGCTGACTAGCAGCCGAGCTCGCATCGCGAGCAGAGCAATTCTAGTAGAGTATGATATCTATCCACAAAGTATTTGCTGTCTGCTTTCGTAAGCAGTGTACTATGCTGCGAGCTGTAATATTCATTACCAGGATACATATATCAATCATACGTATCTAGTTGAATGGGGATACTTGTATATGCATAAATGGAGCTGATGAAAGATGTGGAGCTCATATATTTTCGTTGGTTGTGTGATCTAATGTAACCTTTGGAGGCCCGATATTGTATCATGGTGGTAATATTTGCTTAGCAAAATTTTTTTTTTGAAAATGGTGGCAGCTTCTTCAATAGCAGCTGGGCTGGGCATTAAACAGCCCATCCGACATGTCTATTCTTTCAATGGCCATTGTGCTACTTAAAGTTAGACTATTTGAAGCAGAAAGCAACTCGTTAATATGCCTCATGAGCTTTTGGCATCTTATATACATAGGCTTTCCTTGCACACAGAGCCTGGCGGAGACCGAGTATCCTATGAATTATCTGTTTGTCGGTTCTGATTGCCCGGCGTAGCCAGACATCGGAACCACAGTCCTGCCTGGCAAGGGCAAGACGGAAGGAACCCTGGCTTTGATCCACCGCGTTGCCCACTTTTTGTTTCCACGATAATATATTAAAAACTGCACAGACGAGAAAGCTCCAATGGATCGATTTTGTGGCTATATCCCCTTGCTGTGTGTAACGCTCCCACCGTTGCCATCTAGCTTAATTGCCAAGCAGGCGAAGCTATTGTCCACCATCCGGGAGTAATGGTCGAGCGCGCTCATCAGATGCTTCAGCTGCCTTGAATACTCCTTCTCATGCTCGTCAATTTCAGAAATGATGCCCTTCAGCTCCCAGCTCGGATCCACAGGTCTTCCTCTATCGACTGTGCGGTCGTAGATGCGCGCACTCACATTATCGCGCTTGCGCGGAGTTGCCTCAATGAGCACCGACGTGCGGTGCTTTATGCGCCGGTCCAACGAGCTCACAAAGCGATTGCATCGAACAAGTAATTCGAGAATCATCTTTGGCAGCTTCTTTTCGCACCCGCACTGGCGGAAAATGGTGCCTAATGCAATACTGTGGACCTTGCGCATCTTGTCGACGGTCTTGGCCTGCTTCATCTCGGCCATCATTCCGGCCCACTGCGGCTCAATCACCTCCCAGCAGCAGTAGTACAAAAGCTGCTGCACGCAAACGAGCATCCGGTGGCGAACCGTGTAGATCCGGTTGAAAGCAAACTTGCGTAGCTGGCCCGCACTGTCCGATGCGCTGGGAGTTGTGTAGCGGCGGTTCCTCGTCCACATATCCAGTAGATTCTGCTCCGTCTGACGGATCGCTAGCAGAAGTCTCCCCAGCTCCTTGTACTTGCGCATCGACACAGCATCAAGCACAATCGAGTACGGGAATGGAACACGCAGTGTCAGCGCCAGGACCTCGGCGCCAATCAGCCCATGCTCGGCTGCTGCACTGGCGCCCATGAACGACACGCCCGACTTATCGGTGCTCTTGGATAGGTCAGTCAACGGCGTGTTCTCGATTACCACCCGCAGGTGGTCACGCAGCGGGTCGTCGTGGGAGATCGAGGCTGGATTCAGCAGCGCCAGTTCCAGTGCTGACTGCAGCTTGTTTAGAGAAACCATGTGTACGTTCTTCTGCAGCTCACCCCGGGCCAGATCCAGAAAGTAGCCCAGGTAGTCGGCCTTGTCAAACAGCAAGTAGTGCTTGACCGCGCCGAAATACGAAAACAGGTGACCGTCCTTGAGCAAAATATCCATCAACGCCTGGTTCGCACGCAGGTATGCGGCCTCGATCTCCTTGACTAGCCGCTGCTGATTCAACAACCCGTTCAGCGCCTGCTCGCCTTCGACGGCTCCGTCCATATCGACACGGTCCAGCTTGCGCAGATCCACACCACAGTTCCTGACGATGTTCAGGTACAGCCCAGTGCGCACAATCTGGCTGTTGAACTCTTGCAAAAAGATCGGCGTCAGCGCAGGCACAGGCACAAAGTTCGGAATCCTAGGTGCATCAGTATCCACCTCCAGAAAGTCATCGGCGTTTAGAGCCTCAGTGGCCACCATGAACTCACCGCACTGGCTCTTTTCCAGCGTACCGTCATGCAGCCAACACCGCAACATCTTCAAGAATGGCACTGTGGCGCGCGCCAGCAGGAACTCGTACAGTTGGCGCGCCGACACATCGCCGCCACGGTGGTTGATCAGATTCGAGATCACGTTCAGCGTGGTGCCGCCTCTGACATGGAACGTCTCTTCCTCCGCCTCCTGGCTGTCCTCGTCCTCGTCCGACTCGTACTCGTCCGGCACATTCGAGCGCTTATCAGCAAGGGTCGTGAATCCGTCGTCCTCCTGTGGCACATCGGCGGGCTGTGGGCTGACCTGAGCCTGTGTCTGCACGCGGTCAATCAGTAGCGCCAGGCGCTCAAACACTTGCAGCGTCGGAGCCACATGGAACCACACCTGCTGTAGCGTGAAGGGCTTTGTACGCGTGGCGGTTCGCAGCCGGTGCTCGAGCTGGGCCACCAGAACATAGTAATCCTTCAGCAGCGCCCGAATTGCCGCCGCCAGCGCCTGGTTCACAACACCAGCGCTGGCCCTGGCATACACGCGCACAAACCGATCAATACGCATGTGCAGCACAGCAACCGGAGCAATCTTCCTCGCCATCTCGCTCAGCACTGCGTTCATCCATTGTGGCACCTCCACGGCCTCATGGACATCCAGCTGCTCTCGCCAAACATTGCTGTCTGGCGCATGCCGGAACTTCATATACCGTCCGTTTGTGCGCATCATCAGCGACAGCAAGTCGTCGATGATGGCCAGCTCCTGTAGCGCCCCCTCCACGCGCTGCCTGGCCACCTCATTGTCATACGAGCTGTCGCCGATATCCTCCGCCTCTAGAGCCTGCATCCGGTGCATATCCAAGAGCCGCGGCTCCAGGGGCGCCCGGCCGCGTCCGCGGGCACCGCGAAACGACGACTGGAACATATAATTGTCGGTCAAGGCGTGCATCGGCTCAGCGTCAGACTCGCCCTCGGAGTGTGTGGGCTCGCCGTAAAGCCCTTGGGGTGTGTAGTGCGAGGAGTTTGTGCGACTGCGGCGTGCTTGCTCGTAGTAGTGCTCGTAGCTGGCGCGTTTGACGGCAGTGAAGTTGTCAAAGTCGTCAAAGTCATCATAGTCGCCATACCCGTCGTAGCTCATGGCGTATACAAGGTTTCTGGTGGTGAATTGAAATGAAAGCAAAGAGTTGAGAACCGCCAGGCGCGACACAGCGCGCTTGCTTTTGTGCACACTGAAAACCACGTCGTGGCTCGTGATTAGATCGGCGAGCTGATCATGACGCGTTCATAGCCAGGGATCATGCGAGAATATGCTCCTTGACTACTCTTTTGCTGCTCACCAAAGCGCATTGCTCGAGGGAAAGATCATATGCGCAGCATGGGCTATCCGCTAGAATGCAGAGTTGCAATCCAAATACACCATATGCAAATGTCGGGAAGCTGAGGCTCCACCCAGCTTCACGCCCTATGGCATCCATTTGCTTGCCAAAAGCCTCGCTATGGAAATGCTGCAACGTTGGATGCTAGGGTAGATAGCACCATGAACAATATCAGCAATAGGATACTGCCGCATCACTTTGCTGTCTCTTCCAGTCAACTTGCTGCTTTGGATCAGGCATTTCAAGAACGGCAGTGCTCGGTCTCAAATGGGTGCTGGCAGAAATTTCCAGATAATTGCTCCTCGGCACAAACACCCGCCTCGACTAGCGGATCGACGGGTTCGCTGGTCCAAGGGCTGCCTTGTGCTGTGCTGTAGGAGCTTGGCAGTGCTCTAAATGGAGGGCTTGCTCGCACTATCGGAGTTACCAGGCACGTGCAATCAACCTGGGGACCAATGAGGCTGCAGCCCGGACTTTCCGGGCGCAGGTGGAAAAATTATTGTCAACAATGTAATCCGAAAATTTCTTGGTAATTCCGGAAACAGTGCAGCTATAAAAGCTGCCTTTCATCTCCGCTTTTTTGTTTTTATCTTTACTTCACCACAGCTCTGGTATTCGACTCGTAACATCCCTAAAACAAAATGGAAGCACAGCAGCAGCATCAGCACCCGTACTACCCGCAGTCGTCCCCGATGCCGCACTACCAGCCGTCACAGCTCAAGATGAGCGAGTCGCTCCTGACGGTCGGAGGCTCTGTCGTCGGCCTCAGTCTCTTCGCCGCGTTCCTTATTGGCCGGGCCAAGACGCCGTTGACGTGCAAGGACAAGTTCGTCACCATCTGGATGATGGTGTGCACTGGCATCCACATTGTGCTTGAGGGCTATTTCGTGTACAACCACCGGGAGCTGGCGGGCATGCAGACGCTGGGCGCCGACCTGTGGCGCGAGTACTCGCACTCGGACTCGCGGTACCTGACCAGCGACCCGTTCACAGTGATCATGGAGGGCATCACAGCGGTCTGTGACGGGCCGTTTGCTGCCCTGACGGTCTACGGTATCCTGACGGACTCGCCGGTGCGCTACGTGGCTCAGCTCATCACCTCGCTGATGCAGCTGTACGGTGACGTGCTGTACATGCTGACGAATGCCTTTGAGGGCTATGCGTACACGAACCCGCACCCGTTCTACTTTTACGGGTACTTTGTTATGATGAACCTGCCGTGGATCGTCATCCCCCTGTACCTGATCCGCGACGCGTGGCTCAACATCTACCGCGGCATGCTGATTGCAAAGCGCGCCACCACTGTGGCTAAGAAGAACCAGTAATAGGAAAATCGAATAAATTTAAAAATAAAAAGTTAGGTGTTGATCTTGAATACCATCTCCAGGGCCATCCGGAACGGCCGCGCAAACTGCCCGCTGTGCAGCGAGTCGGCTATTGTGCATACGTCGACAAAGACCTGCTTCGTCTCGGCATGCTTCCCCAATAGACGCAGCGAGTGAGCCGAGAGACACTGCGTGGATGCAAGCGGACTCGTGACTGATGGGGATGCCGGCACCTCGCACACAATACAGCACATAGGGCTACTGCACTGCTTGCTGCTGCAGCTCGCCGGCGGCTGCTCGCACACCAGCGAAACAGAGTCCAGCTCGCGCGACATGGCCAGCTCCTCGGCTGCCGCAAACTTATCCCACGCCTCATCGGCCTCGTCCGCCGCCAGCATGCTCTGCAGTACCCGGTACTGCTCGTCGGACCAGCCAGAGGCCATGCTGGCGATCCGCCGGCTCACAGCGACGAACTCGCGGAACCACCAAAACGCCGGCTCCTCAGTGAACTGCAGCCCGTCGGCGCCCTTCACAATCGCATGCAGAATCGCCAGCCTGGGCAACGCTAGAATCAGCTGCGGGTCCATTGACTCGACATCGTCTTCGGAAAACAACCCCAGCCGCACCGAGCCCTGCATGGTCTCGCTCAGAAGCACCACCAGTAGTGCGAATTCCTCCTCCTGCGCTGCCGCCTGCCCGTCATCCAGCCCAAAGTATGCAAAGCACAGGTCGCGCTCGAACCGCACCCACGCCTCGTCAAAGTCCACCAGTACCGTACGCAATGCCTCGACGCTCTCGCCTCGCCATGTGCGCATAAGCGCGCTGGACCGCGCATATAGAACAAACCGCAGAGCGGCCCACGCCGAGCACAGCAGCCATGCGGGCTCGCGCAGCTGCACTGTGTATGGCTCGGTCCCGCGGATCTGGAACCCGCGTGCCAGCGCCTGAGCCGCAAACAGCACCGACTCGCTGAACCCGCGGTCCAGCTCAATCTGATCGTCCTCGGGCAGATAATACCGGTAGTGTCGCGACCGTCCCTGGCCAGCGACCTGCGTAAACAGGATATGGATACTGCACAGCAGCTTGCCCTGCCACATGTGGACGCGGTCAGCGCGTGCCCGGAATGACGACGAACGCGTGCTTTTCGTCTTCTCCAGCTGCCGGATCGCAGAGTCCAATGAGGACTCGGCCGCAAGGGTCTCGCGCAGGGCCGTCTGGCATATCCGATCGACGCCCTGGGTAAAGAGAGCCCGCGGGATTGTCCGAACCATCCTCCACGCACGCTGCAGAACCTGGCCACCCGCCTGCACCTGGCCAATGGAGAAGATCCGTGCAATGGCCGCTGCACTCGGCACCACAGGCATTGGCGTTGTCTGGTCTACGTACTCTTCTTGGTAGTACGGAGTGTCATCGCTGCGCTCCAGGCCCTCCTCTTGCGGCCATTCCTGGTAGTACGACGCATCTTCCTGCACGTCGCCAGAGATGGTCTCTATGGATTCGGGCATCGACACGGGCGATATTGGTAATGCTGGTGCGTCAAGGTCTGCGAGGGCCACGGGGCTCTGCACTACCTCGGGCTCCGAGCCGCTCTCCTCGGGGAGCTGCCCCGTGTGTGAAATATGGCTGGACCAGCGAAAGCTTCGCCGCCGCTCGCCCAGAAAACAATCAGGCGTTTCCACGCCAGCGGGGTCAGCTGGACAGCCCGCCTGCCCACGCCCAGCCGTGAGCCATTGCCGACACCGTATCATCGTGGGTGCTCCCATGATGGTGGACGACGATGCCGAGACGCTGGCCATAGGTTACAGGAGAGAATAAAAGTATAGAGCGGGTGGAGAGAGGAGGAAGGGAGGTGAAATAAAAAAGATTCTACAGCATGCAAGTGAGAAGAAAGGGAGGAGGAAGGGGAGAGAGAAAGAGAATGACCGTCGGCGATATAACCGCGAGTTCCTGGGTGAATTAAATCCTTCTCGCCACAAAAACAAAGCCCGTACAACAAGAAAAGCGTAAATAAACAGCTGGAATAAACTGAGAAAGCAAAGAAGAAAGCGTTGGCTCTACTGCTTCACGCACAACACGGTTGCACATCGAAGACTCGCCTACTCGTTTTGGAGCAAGAAGCCTGCAAGGATGCCGGGGCCCTATTTTCGCAAAAAGGAACTGAGCCCTCGGTCACGCAAAATAAAAAATCTCCCCCTCCTCCCCCAAACGTGCTGGCAAGAAAACGCAATGCACTGCTTTGCTGGCAGGTAAATCTATTGCAAAGATGTCTCTTTTTCCCCGTCTGCCTTGCACTATTCGAAAGAGCAAGGAAATAAGGGCTTGCATCTGTTTAGACTTTCACGAAAACACACACCCGCCGATCAGTCCTGCCCCATAGAGTATCGGTCAATCATTGAGTCAAGAACCGTTCGATATTCGCGGACTGATTCGCGCTCAAACTCCTTGAAATGCCTAGACGCACCCGTGCCTACCAGCCCGTGGAGCATCTGCAAGTACCCGGCCGACTCGCTCGATGTGCACAGCGCGCTGGCCGCACAGACGATCCTTGGTCCTATTGACAAATGGATTATGAGTATTACCCGGACCTTGTCTGCAAATAATTGCTCCTTCCCCCCCACAACAACCAGGTCCATTCTAAATGTGTGCTGCGCAATTGTTCAGCCTTACTTGTCAGCTCGCCCAATGTGCTCACCGCCATTCTACGCCCATGCACGTCGATACCGCGGAAAATCTTGGGGAACGACCGGCTCAGCCGCACCGGGCTGTCTACCGGCACAAACGATGGTCCAGCCATGTCAATGTCAATGCCATTGCCAATAACCAGATGCCCCGATAGCTGCTTTGAATCGCGAATCTCTGAGCCAGAAAAGGCAACAAAGTCCTTGTTGAGGATCTGCCCCAGGTCCGTGCTTTCGGTGCAAAGACCCGGCGCCAGCATCAGATCCGCTAGCTTGAAGTGCTCTTGCTGCGTCACTTGACTCACAATTTCATCAAGAACTCGGCGTCCCGCACTATTCCAAGAATCAATGAACGCACCGGTCCGCTTTCAGCAATAATTGGAAATTTGCAGTAAATTAGGAAACCTGCGCCTCGTGTCTACTTACAGTAGTCCGGTCCCCCACACGTCCAGTCCCATTGCCATCAGTGCACTCGAATGATAAAAGCTGTCTCCCTACAAGTGATCCCGTCGGTATAGTACGTCCTGTGCTATGTTGTACGTCACTGCTACTGTCGTCGGGGGGGGGGATACTTACCTGAATCTGCACACCTGGAAAAAGCTTGGCCAGACCCGATGGTACCGACACTGGCACGTACATTGACACGTTCTCCAGATTGGCTGCCAGCGACACCGCTGCATCCATGCCCCTGCCCCTGTCCATGTCCTCGACTGTGGTGTTCCCGATGCTATACAACAGCACGCTCTTCTTTGGATACTCATCGCGGATCCGTGCCAAGTACCCGCATCCATACCCGGCAAACCCGCCATACATGTCCGCCATCACCTGGAATCCCTGCAGGCAGTCACAGTCTTCGGCAACCCGTCTAAAGTCGCCATCCATGACGTCGTCTGCGCGATCCTCACCATCAATCACATCCAGCCCTTCATGGAATGTGTTCATCTCGCCCAGACTGTTGCCATGGGCGATGCCCGACACTGGGTGCAGGCTGTGTGAGCTATACCGCACCTCGCCAAAGTCCGACCAGAATCGGATATCACGGGGTTCAATTTCGACCGAGTGGTCGCGCTGGAACTCCGACGTGTTGGGCTGCTGGGCACGATGTGTTTCGGTCTGACCCTCCCACTGCATAGCGATCTGTCGGGTTTCATCCTCATTGCCGTCCTCATCACCAATAGCAAGCAAGCCAAAATTACTGGCCGTGTCAAACGCCAGCAGGCGCGGAGTACGTTGGGCGGGTCCACGGGGGGCGGTGGTCTCGCGGAACAGCACGTCAGTCGATAGGCCTGGGTCATCGAGTTTTTGCTGCTGCATGTTCCAGTAGTGCGTGCCAACGTAGTTGGCGCTTTCGCCAAACTGCAGCGTGATTATCTCGTGCATTACTCTATATGAAAGTGAGAAGAATATAAGCGTGTCCACCGGCAAAGCTGGAATTCTGGTGCGCAGCCATGGCAAGATGGGCATATATGTAAGCATTGAGCAATTTATGGGCATGCGAAATTCCAGCACCAGTGCTACTGCCACTGAAACATGGGCGTCGATGCGTGCAGACAGATCAATAAATGTCTTAATGCCTATAAATTTATTTATTGAAAATCAAGAAAGAAAGAAAAAAAGAAATGAGAGGTTTCATGGCATAACCATTACAAAGTGTTAAAACTAAAGGCTGCAATGTCTGCCACTTTCTTTTCCTTCAAAGTTACCACAAGTAATTCCTGCTGAGAGTTATTGGTGATACCACAAATAAACGAGAGATTGTAATACTTCGCAACAATTGTCCCCCAGCTGGTACATGAGTGGTAGTTTTTTCGGCTACCCGTTAAGCATGCCCCGCATGTTGACCTTGGCTGCGTATAAAGGGCATTTTTTAAGTGGGCAGATATATCACTCCAAGAGCCCATCTCAGCAATGGCACATCTGATGGCTGGCGAATTATCCTTCAAAGCTTTCAAGGCGAATGCAGCAGCAAGAGCAGCCTTTGCTGAACCCCCAATCTTCAGTATCGACTATGTGTTTTTCCAGGAAGTATCTAACAAGCGGGGATGCATGGTATGCAATGTAGGTGTGCCAATTGCTTAGGGAAAAATCCTCATCAGAAACAAGCCATAGAATGAACTTGTCCAAGTATGAATCAGGGCTCGTCACAAACTCCAATGAGTTGAAGGTAGTAGCTGCCGAGTCCAAGACTCCACGGAAATATGTTTCATGTTCTCTGATAGCTGTCAATTTGGTATCATGGTTAAGTGCCCTAATATACGCCTTTATGGCGCTATCAAAGCTAGCGCATACAAGATCAACGTTTTGTATGACATCAGTAAACAGAGTATTGCGTCTAATAACACGGGCTTCCGCGTCCTTAATGCTACTGGTGTCGTAGTTCTGGAGAGAGAGACCGGCAAACTCCTGGCAAGCTATATTGGAATATGCCTGCAAAAAACACTCTTCATGGTGTGACTTGGTAGCGACACGTAATTTAACGAGGGTGCGCAAGTACTGGAGAGGAATTGTATCGCTCGCATCACTGACCTGTTGCTCTTTATCGGCAGGTAAATTGCTGGAAGGTATCTCTGGTGTATGGGCAGTCGCAATAGAGGCACTATCAGCGTCCTCTACCACAGAATAGTCGTCAGGGTCAATGCCCTTGATGATGTTTGTCATGGGGAAGGAGGTTCAATAATAGGTAGGGAGAGCAAATGAAAAATATACCTGGCAGTTCGGGGCTGAGGCTTCGATGTCAACTACTCTCACGATTCGCCTTTTTATAGACTTTTTACCAGCTGATTTTCTGTCGCAGGCAAGAGGCATTTGCTTACTTTGTGATGTGAAAACTTTACAATGCACTCGGCACTTGGTTCCAAGCATACAATGCGAGCTCGGCATGTGGAGGATCCACAGCCAGTTTTGGTACCACTAATGTGTGACACATATTGCCCGGTGGTCTGACAGATCCGGGGCGATCATTGCAAGATGCTCCTGGAATAGACACATGGCGTTCGGCTCCTTTGCATGTCAGTTAGCCACCATACAGAACTCATACCCACTCAAACTCAAATAAGCCGCTTATACTACCGAATTTATTCGGAACTGGTAGCCATTTGCCATGCAATGTAAACAGGTCACAGAATGTCAAGAAACTCCATATCTATGAATCCAGTGTTGTAGCAAAGCGGTGAACTGGCAAATTCAGCATCCATGTACCTGCTGTAGAGGGCTTTGGGGATCATAGATGTGTTATGTCTAGCAGGCATCCCAAGGTTAGGCACAGTGTGGCTATTTCTGAGAGCACGACACCCATTGTCTGGCAAATTCGCAGCATCTCTGAAACAGGCACCGCATCCCTCCAGAAATTATGTCCCTGGCACAGCTTTCCAGCAAATCGACATGCTGCTCTATGACTCTATCCAGCAGAGCACACATAGTATTCACTTGCTGAGCGATATTGCTGAATTCTTCAGTGTGGCTTTTAATCTTTCCTCTGTATCAGCAATAGCACAGAAGTTGAAGCTTCGGGAAAAGTTGCTGGTATATTCTGCCGAAATCACTTCCCCATATGCTAACCAACAATTATATAGAAGCATGTCTACCTCAGTGCATTTACCATTGAATATTCTGAACATGGTTAGCTAGTATCTCGCTCCCAGAGCTACAGAATACCTGTGCTGACTCGCGAGCGTAATCCGATTCAAAAATCACCTGCACGCTTTCCTGCCAGAACCGAGCAAAAAGATGTTAGAATGCAGTAGCATCGCCTGCTGGCCCCAGTGACCGCAGTGGTAATAGCTATTTCGTGTCTTTACGAGCGACGGCCGTAATTTCTGACTGCACAAATGAACTGCAGAGCTTTTTTGGAGGGAAGTAGAATGCCCTGTGTGCTAAAGGGATCTGACTAGCATTAGTAGTGCCAGTGGTATATAAATGCTATCGTTTTCTGTATAGAAATCGCCGCCAGTATATCACAACCACCTATCTCACCCGACAAGCTCGTTTTCATACTTCAACAATGAACGGATTCACCCTGGCTATTGCCGCCATTGCTACTTCAGTTGTCTCGGCCCTCCCGCTCTATGGCGGCGGATACTACCCTGGCATGCAGTCAAGCCACCACAACGCTGGTGCGTACGATAATGGAGCTACCACGAACATGTCACCGTTCGGCAGCAGCAGCAATTCGTGGAATAACGGATTCTCGTCGACACAAGACAGCGCTGCTTCACCATTTGGCAGCTCTGGCAGCTCATCATTCAACCAGTGGAATAACAACGCGTGGTCCAACAACTATAACCCTTATGGATTTTACGGCGGGTATGCCCCCTATGGTGGGTACGGCGGCTACGGCAGCCGCTGGTAACCCTAAGAATTATCCCTGGCATGGGTATTTTAACTGCTATGCTTTCTGTGTGCGCATCAATGACGAATAAACTTTTTAAACTATTTCCATGAAAAGACTGATGCCTGGCATGTACCGCAAACCTTGCCAGTACACTGCCTCAAAACTGATCACTTGAATAAGCTATAAAAAGGAGAGCAAGACGGTGTGAAAGTAGAAAGTTTGTAGAAAATTATCTAAATGTAGAGCAGAGAAATAGACTACTTTTTGGAGGATAACGTACTAGCTAGCTCATAGTTCTCGAACGAAACTACCAATCGTATCCATAGCTTTTGCAGACTCTGGCCGGTATGAGAATATCAGCTGGAAAACATGCGGCATCCCGTCGTATACGTCGTGCTGAACGATTCCAGGCGTATCAGGATTCTGCCTCTTGATCTTTTCATACAGGGCAGCATTGTCATCGTACAGGAATTCGCAGCTGCCACTTTGTATTAAGGTAGGTGGAAACCCGGTGAACGACCCAAAGATTGGTGATACCAGGGGAGACTCGAGCTCCTTCTTCATCTGCTCACTCAGTGGCTGTCCAGGTGCGTACATGATGCGTATAACAGACATTGGCGACTCAAGGGGGTAGTCGACAAGGCAGTCGAAGTTTTCGGCAGCGCCATAGCTCGGTTTAACATGCCGCAGATTTGATACGGGTGAGACCAAAACAATACCTGCGGGTGCTGGGGAGCCAATGCCACGAAGCAGATGCACTAGCGAAAGTGCCAGCTGACCACCTGCGCTTTCCCCAAAGACAACTATGCTGGAAGACCTGAATCCTTGCTTGAGTAGGAAACAGTAAGCGATATACGCATCATGTACGAACGCTGGAAATGAGTGTTCAGGGGACAGACGATAGCCGACGGAAACCACCCGGGTGCCTGTGACCTGGGATAGCTCCCCTGCGAACTCTCTGTGAGTGTCAATACTTCCGCGCACCCAGCCTCCGCCATGGAAAAAGAGAACAATTTTCTCACCCCGAACCACAGGTACCGTGTCAAGCAACCTCTCACTGCTAGACGTATAAGGTTCGAGTGCCGTGATAGCTGACTTTCCCAGGATGATTTCGCAGTCGAGCATCCGAGGGCTCTCCAGTGCCACATCCTCCCGAGCTAGCCTGGCTAGTTTGTCTCCAACGACAGGAATGCCAGCACAGCCGTCAGTATTTATGGCTACGCCCTTCGTGTCGATGTGATGCATACGGTGAATCCCCTTTTCTCTTGGCCAGGCCGATACGTTCGGAGAACAGCTGCGCAGAGGGATAAGGGTCTTGTGAAAGTCAATGTTTTCGATATTGTCATCATTGGCATAATAAGGAAGAAAGACCGTGTGCATGTTGACTCCAACGTCGACCATCAGCTGTATACATAGATCCCAATTTGGATGGCGCGGCCCCTTACGATAGTACCTGCATATGGATTTTGCAAAGACAGCGGTTGACTTGTAGAATATTTTAGCGAGCTGCGCGAGTGAGTACGCAGATAAGGCTGCGGGGCCATTGATGGGTTTTCGATTTAACAGCGAGTATATCTCTGAGCTTCACGTGGTTTGTCATAGCGTTCAAAGAGTTGGGTAAGGAGGTTGTAGAAAGATATAGCTAAGTCAAGAATAGAGGGACTGACGATGCACCACTCATCAATTGGACTCTTAAATCGACCAGATTCAATAGTATCAAGACACTACTGGCGTTCAGCACTGGCCCAACTAATATACGTTGTTGTGTCCTGGAAAACCAGAGGCGTAGGTACATAATGGAACTTTCTCCAATTCGCTAGCGTTATATTGGCAATAGTACAAAAATACTCTGTGGCTATGTTTCGAACCATTGTCAAATTGTGGCTAACTTGCATCAGAATGTATCTTACAACACATCAAAACATACGTTATAGCTGTAATATGAGCAAGCCGTCAATGGCTTGACAAAGACAAATGCATGGGGGCACTGGGGCAATCGGATAATGTCATCTTTGGCCATGGTTGGAAACAGCACTTGGCACCCTCCGTTGTCGCGCTGGCTGGCACTTTCAGAGCGAGGTCGTCGTCTACGAAAGCCTGGCATGTATAGCTGAAGCTCGAGCATCTAATTCGATTGCAACTGCAGATATAATATTGAGGTGCCAGCTTAGAGTCTGTGAATAAAGCTACTAATCATTTCTAATGACTTGGCAGTCTCGGGACGGTATGAGAATATCAGCTGGAAAACATGCGGCATCCCGTCGTATACGTCGTGCTGAACGATTCCAGGCATATCGGGATTCTGACTCTTGATCTTTTCATACAGGGCAGAATTGTCGCCGTACAAGAATTCACAGCCTCCTGTCTCTATCAGAGTTGGTGGAAACCCGGCGAACGACCCAAAGATCGGTGATACCAAAGGCGATTCGAGTTCCTTCTTCATCTGCTCGCTCAGTGGCTGTCCAGGTGCGTACATGATGCGTATCATAGATAAAGGTGATTCAAGGGGATTGACAACAAGAAGGTCAGAGTAGGTGTCTAAACCGTGTGTGCCCTGGTAGTACCTGAGGTTTGAAGCGGGCGATAGAAGTACAAGGCCAGCTGGTGATGGTAAATCCATATAGCGAAGCAAATGTGTCAGCGATAGCGACAAGTTCCCACCTGCACTGTCGCCTGCAACAATAATATCGGCGGGTCTAAATCCTTGCTTAAGCAAGAAACAGTAGGCAATGAGTGTATCGTGTAAATGCGCTGGAAACGCGTGCTCGGGTGAAAGGCGATAGGCAACGGAGATAACGCGGGTGCTTGCGGCTTGAGAGATCTCACCAGTTAGCTTCCTGTACAAATCGATGGTTCCACTTATCCAACCACCGCCATGAAAGTACAGAATGACTTTCTCACCGCTAAATGCAGGCTGGGCATCAAGTAGAGTGCCGATATCATGCACATGGGGCTCGAGCTTCCGGATAGCAGCATTCCCTAGGATAACCTCATAGTTCAGCATCCGGGGCTCTTGCAGCTCCATGTCGGCCTGCACTAGCGTAGCTAGCTTTGGCCCAGCCACGTCAATTGTAGAGAATAAGCTGGTGTCAATGGCGATCTCTTTTGTGTTGATACAGTGTCCACGGCTGAGTCCCTTTTTTCTTGGCCAAGGGGTACTAGTTGGAAAACCGCTGCGTAGGGCAGCTGCAATGTTTTGAAAGTCGATGGCTTCGATGGAGTCATCGCTTGGGTGGTGAGGAATAGCTGCCATATACATGCGGGCCACAACATCAATCATCAACTGCACCCAAATGTCCCAGCTTGGATGCCCGCGGCCCCTTACGATAGAACCTATACGCCGATTTCGTAGCAGTGGTGACAAGCAGGCAGCTCATATGAACTAGTTGCCTGAATGAGAAGGCAGATGCCGTCTGGGCATTCTTTGATCTTGACTGAGCCATGAATAAATCCATAGAGCCAGTTAATCTAGGGAACGAGTGGTTATCGGGTATATGGAAAAACAACTTTTCAAAACTATGACTGAAAGGAGGAAGGAAAGCTGGCTGTCTGTCTGGGTCTTTGTACGTATGCGTTTCGGCCTTGTCTATGGTGAGGCAGGGGGACTCTGGACCCCGAATGTCAACAGAGCCTACACGAAAGTCCACGACAATAACAAAGTACAGTGATGTCGATAAAAGAAAGAGCACATGCCAGCGTTGCCTAACCTAGTCTGCTGGTAGAAGGCAGTATATCCTGCAAAACAAACACGTAGCTATATTTGCGGATACTTTGAAAGTGCCTGCAAGGCGTTGTTATAGGAGACAAGTAGAATGAGTAACACCGGATATAAATTACGAAGCTTCTTGTTATTCAGGCTAGCTCCAGGACCTTGATGATGCCCTGGCTGTTGGCTGAAAGCACAGTATTCGACCTGTTCTTCCAGCAGACTGCGCTGACAAATAGCGACGGGTCATCTTCAGGCTGTTCAACGCCAGTGACAGGGTTGCAGTTACCAAACTTGTATACGACAGCAGGCTTGGAGAGATTGCGGTAGTACGAATACATGGTGTTGTTCTCGGAGCCACACGAGATCCACTCACCGCCGGATGTGGTCAGACCAACAAAGTTCTTTTCGTTGGCGTGGCCAGTGAAGGTGCGTACACACTCTTGCGAGCGCAGGCTCCACAGCTTCAGCGAGCTATCAGTAGACGCCGATACGATCTCGTCGGGCGACAGGAACCGCGTATACGACACAGCCTTACGGTGGCCACGCAGCACGCACAGCGGCTGCTTTGGTGAGCGCAGGTCAAAGCAGTGCACGTTGTGGTCGGCTGAGCCGAAGCTCAGAATGTTGCCATGCAGAGGGTTGAACCGCACACAGCACACGTTCGCCTTGCCCTCGATGGTCAGCACCGATGCGCGGCGGTTGGTCGCCCATACCTTCACCTTGCCGTCGTCGCTGCCTGAGCACAGCCGCGTTGGGTCGGTGCGAGAAAAGTCCACGCTCCACGCGCGCTTCTCATGCTCGTCCAGGCTCAGCGTCGGCACGCTCGAGCCGACATCCCACAGCGTCACCGCCCCGTCGTAGTCCGAGCACGCCAGCTGCGCCTTTATGTACGGGTTGAATGCCAGGCAGCTAATCTTGGACCGGTTTGTGAACTCCACTGACGGATACTGCATCGCTGTTGGCACAAACGCCGGCTCGTCTGCTGCGTCGCCCTCGCGGTGCCACCACTCCTGCCGCCCACCATGTGCCATGCGCTGCCGCTGGAGCTGCCGCTGCCGCTGTCGCTGTCTCTGCCGCTGCTGTGCAGTCTGTGCCAGGTCTGTCCAGGTGTCGGCCTGCGAAATGACATTGTTGTAGTCGTAGATCTTGATTTTCCGTGTCACTCCGGCCACAGCAAACAGCTCGTCATCCTTGTCAAACTCGATGCTGGCCACGATGGCTGTGTTTGCTGTGCTGTCTCCATACCGCAGCGTCGCCACCGGCTCGAACCGCTCGTACCGCGCAAACGTCGTCAGCGTATCCAGGAACTCGTCCAGCGACTCGTCACCACCCGCCCCGCGCATACGTGAGTCAAAGTAGAACGCCTCCAAGTCCTCATAGTGCTCCTCCACGCGCCGGTTCTTTGGCCGTGCTGACTCGCCCGCACCTGCCTTGCTGCTGTCCGGCTCCGCCGAGTCAGTATCGCGTCGCGGTGCGTCGGGGATCAGCGAACCGTCGTCAGCAGTCACCGCGTTAGGTACCGGCACGCCGCTGGCATCGCCTTGCGTACCAGAGCGCTGCTGCAGAAACTGCGTGCTGCCCTCACCCGTTGGCGCAGCAGACTCTAGCTGTGCTGTCACATGGTCGAGGTCCTCCTCAACAATCAGTAGCTGCTTGCGCAATACTTCCATCGACGCGACCTTGCGACCGCGAGCCGCCAGCAGAAACTGCCTCATGGTAGCCATCTCAAACTGTCGCTCGTAGCTGCGCAGCGACTGCTTTTTTTGCTGCAGCACTGCCAGCAGCGCATCGACATCATCAGGGTCCAGGGGTGAGCCGTTCTCTACCGAGCTGCGCAGCTGCTGCAAAATGTCCGACGTGCGGTGCAGCGGCGATTGCACCAGCGACCCAGCATCCGCAATGACTTGGTTCAGCGTGAAGTTTGGGAAGATCTGGTCACGCTCCAGCGGCTGTAGGCATGTAGGGCACATCCGCCGCTCGGTCAGATGCCGCGAGATGCACCGATAGCAGAACGAATGTCCGCATACAGCCATGAATGCCTCCTGGATCGTCTGCAGGCATATCGGGCATGTACCACCATCCTGCCTATCCATGCTGCGTCCACCTGCCTGCCGCCCGCTCTCTGCGCCAATCGCTGCCAGAAATCCGCTCTCTCCAGTCGCTGCCCGCCCGCTGCCGCCCCGCCCCGGCGACCCAGGTAGTCTCGGCGCTGTATCAGCCACCGGTGACGCGTGGCCTGAACCGCTGTCGCCCGACTCGGTCGACGCATCCGATTGCATCGGCTCGGACTGGAACCCCAGAGGGTGCCGCGCAGGTGTGCCTACGGCGTGGTACTGCGCTGCCCGGGGGATGTTGGCAAAGTCACCACCCGTTGTGCTCAGCGTCCGTGACGCCGTCGGTGACGTCGGGTATGGTGACGTGCGCGGTGTGTGCGTCCGTGTGTTTGATGTCCGGATTGGCAGCTGCGAGGTTTCAGTCAGGTATGTGCTGGTGGAGGCCGGCGGGGTAGACACCGTAGGCGACGGAGACTGCTGTCCACCACCAGCTGTTGCTGGCGCTGCAGCCGAGGCACTGGCTGTGGTGTTTTCAGTAGCGTTGTTTTCTGGTGCTGTGCTTTCGGTGCTCATGATTAAATGTGTCTGTGGTGGAATGAAAATGAAAATATGAAGAAACCTGCCGCAAAGAGTATCAAGAAGTAAAGGAGAGCGGCAATAGTAGCCCAAAATCGACACCACGACTGGCTAATGAAGCCAGAGCCGAGCCGAGCCGCCGGGTTCCTGGAAGCGGGGCATAGCCTGGCCACAATCACGTGAGCACCACTGCTAGCACGATGGCCCAAGCAAGGATTTTTTGTTGACAGAATAACTTTTGGTTCCTTAACCTTTCCATCAAACGCTTTTTTTGTTCATCTGAGACGGATTGTCGTGGTGCAGTTTAATTTTCTTCTTCGGTCGTAGTCGTTCAGAGGAGAAAATCAGTTTAGTCGAGTACACAAGAGAGCTTGAACCTTTTTGAATCCAGCAGACGCTTTACCCTCCCTGATTTTAACCCATCTACAATGGCTGGCGGCAGATTCTCCGTATTGTGCTACAAGTGTGGCAAGCCTGGTCACTTTAGCCGGGATTGTGAGGAGGCCGAGGGGCTCTGCTACAACTGCGGACAGCCCGGTCATGTTGCGCAGGAGTGCCCGGAGCCGCGCAGCGACGCACTGCGCGAGTGCTTCAACTGCGGCGAGCAGGGCCATCTGTCGAAGGAGTGCCCGGAGCCGCGCAAGCCGCGTGCCGAGTCGCGCGAGCCACGTAAGTGCTTCACGTGCGGCAAGCTTGGCCACTACGCGCGCAACTGCCCGGAGAAGGAGGGCGACGAGCCGGCGGAGCGTGCACCAATCAGCCAGCGCGTGGGCGGCGCAGTGCGGGCCAAGAAGACCGTGATCTGCCATGTCTGCAAGGGGCCGAACCACTACGCCAAGGACTGCACGCTGGATCCGAAGCGCTGCTACACCTGCAATGGCGTCGGCCATCTGGCCAGGGATTGCCCGCAGGGGCGTGAGCCGCGGGCTGCGTTCTCGGACCGCAGGTGCTACAACTGCCAGCAGTCGGGCCATCTGGCCAGGGACTGCCCCGAGCCGTATGATGGCGACCGGCGCGTCGGCGACCGCAAGTGCTTCCGCTGCGGAGAGCCCGGCCACTTTGCCAGGGAGTGCCCGAACTCGGACGAGGAGTAGGCGGGGTGCGTGGCTATTTGCTGGGCGCCTTTTTAATCCATGTTTAGCCGATAATATATGGATCAAGTGAGAATCACTCGGCAGTGCCGCTTACCTGGCTCGGCGGCCGTTTGTGGACTATATGCATCATACTGTATCCCGTGCTGGAGGCGGCTTCTGAATACATGGCGGCCTACATGATACGCTTTCCGTTGGGGGGTGCAGGCGGCAGTGTGAGAGTGAACACAGGAAATTCTGCTGCAGTATTGGCTGCTGCTCACAATGTTTCGGTACGCTGATGTCGCTCCAGTGTGGAAACTCAGACAAGGCTGGTGAAAATCATCTGCATAGGTCATGCATGTCTCGATGACAACCTCCCTCCTGTCGCACGGCAACAAGCCCCCTTGCCCCTCCTATCTACTGCGAGGAATAGAGCCCCAGTTCTGTATTGTCCCGTTACCTGGCCTACGCCTTGTCTCCCGCTGTTTCCACCGTGCGAGTCACTCCGAAATCGGCTCTGCCAGCTTCGCTCCATGCATTTGCAGCGACGTATGCATGCACCCTGGTTATAAGACAAACGGGTGTATGCACCACAGAGTGCTGTTGCGGAAGCAGCGGCCTTCTATTCGTTCTGCTTCGCCTCCTCTTGGTCGTTCAGCACACGCACGGAGTGCCAATGTACGTGGTGCCGATCGCTGCAACACGCAGCACATATATATGCACGTCAGACAATAGTCCATGGCGAAGGAGGAAGGAGGACGCGGATCAGGGCGTGGTTTTCTTCAGCCCTTTTTGAGCAAAAGAAAAAGTAATTTGCAGAATAGCACGCACCAACAAATCCCCCTGTCTCAACCGCCCCTCAATCGGCACCCTCAATGTCACCTGCTGGCCGTATGTCACGTTGGCATAAACTCCAAAAAAGGAAATGACATATGCACCATTTTCTTATACGTGTCGCCGAGTGAGAATTCCGTGCGAGTGCTCTCCCAGCCATACAGTTCTCTTTTAATTTTAGCAGCTCTACAAAGGCAAGCGTGAACGGAAAATCGTGCTGGAATTGCTTCCTCTCCTCTTCCCTTTGCAACGACGCTGCTACCACACGTCCCAGCCATCACAGAAAAGCGGGCTTTTTGTCTTGGTCCATTGTCCTTGTCACGCCATGCATCCCATTGGTCCCTTCTCCCCACTTGATAACACCGGCCGTAGTCTGAAAACGTTCTAATTCGCTTTCAGCCTTGCGTCCTGGTGGTTTGTTTCGTGGCGAGGAATTCCTCACCTCTTTGCTCGGTCAACCGAGGGTGCATGGCACGATGCATGCTGGCAAAGGGCCGTATAATGGCACTTTTGGGGGCGGTGCTTTGTCGATGGCCTATGAAGTTTTACAAGAGGCATGCAAATGGAGTGACAGAATCTCCGAGTGGGAAAAACTGTGGCCGGGTGTACCCGGATATGACGGGCATGCGAGGAGCCTAACCTGCGTTTTATAAAAATAACAGTGCTCAAACGATCTGCTGGGATTCGTTCCTTTCCGGCAAGGACTCTGCAGGATCTGGCACTACCTGTAGGTCATACATAAGCAGAAAAACGCTGGTATGGTTCAGTGGATGGTGCCTTTCAGAAAGGACATCTCGGAGCGGTGACGTTGAAGGACTTCAGGCCATAGAGTCATTGTACACACCCCCTCCCCTTCAAGTGAACAGAATGGGTACTTAAATAGAGCATTGGAAGAGATAGACAATATTCACAAAAAACTACTACATGGGAGTAAGTGGGAGACGACTTACTCCATCTCCTTATCCTGGTCGTCCTGCTCAGCGTTATCGACCGCCATGGTCTCAGCAGCAGGCTCGGCAACCTTGCTGGAGCTGGCGACAGCCGCGGCATTAGCAGTGGCTGTCGCAGCAGCCAGCAGTGCTGCGTTTTTCTCAGCGGCCTCCGCCTTGAGCTTAGCGGCCATGATCTTGCCCTTGAGGTTGCAGAGCCAGCGCTGGCGGCACTGCAGGTTGGTGCGGCCCGGCACCATCTTGGAGACCTTCACCCACTGGCGCTCGTCTCCCCACTTCTCGACGGCCTTCTTGAGCAGCTCGTCCTCCTCAGGCTGCCATCTGTTGGCGGGGCCACGGGAGCGCTTGCCGTGGTAGAAGTTCATGACGCCGTCCTGCTTCTGCGGCGCCTCTTCTGGGTAGTATGAGGGTGGGTAGGGGTGCGTCATGTTTCCGGTGTTCAGCGGGGCAAACACATACCTCTCCTGCGGGACATTCACGCTCGTATGGAACGCCATCACCGACTCTTGCCCATGAACCATCTGGTGCATGGTCGGGTGCTGCATATACGGGTGGATGCGTGATGGCTGGGCGTAGTGGGCCGAGTGTCGCTGGTGGAGGTCGATGGGGATTTCACGCACATCGGCCTGGTGGTGTGGAAGCGGCGCTCTTGTCAGCGTGTGCATAGGCTGCATCTGGGGAGGCATCTGCATCTGGTGGGGTGGCATTTGGTACTGGGGCGGTACCATCTGGTGCTGGTGCGGCACCTGGTACGGTGACACCTGACGCGGCTTGCACCTGGTGTGTCTGGTAAGTGAGGCGCATAGGGGTCAGGGCTGCTGACAGGCGCCTATGCCAACCGGAGAGCTGTTATGCGACATGGGAGGAGAGGGCTGGCAGGCGTACGGCGACCGTGGCGACACTATTCCCTGCTGCTGGTAGCCATAGTCTGGTGCCTTGCCTTTCGGGCCACGGATGCTGAGCTGGTTGAATTGCGGGCCGAGGGTGTCGGTGGGCGACAGAGAGAGTTCTGGGCTCGGCAGCTGCTTGACCGGCGACAGCTTGTAGCCGCTGCGCCTGGACATCTCGGCCTGCTTCTCCTGCTCCCCCTTCTCCTGCTCCCCTTGCTCCTTCCTGCCATTGAGCAAGAACTCCACCGAGATGCGGTTGAGATCCGCTTTGTGGCTTAGCTTCTCCTCCACCGTCTTCATCACATCCTGCCGCGTCTCCGCCGGGCGGAACTGGTGGTGGGGCTGGGGGACAGGCGACAGGGCAGACGCGTGCTGGTGGTAGGTGGGGCGACCGCCCAATCACAGGCTGGCCTTCATTTCCCGCTCCTGGCGCATGAGTATACATGCTGCTATTGTGGACAACTTGGGTGTTGGCAAGATGAACGCCTGGCTGGCCACCACCGCCATTGTTGATGGTGCCACTGCGGCAATAAGAATTGCGCACGAAGGATGCGACGAGCTTGGGCATTGTGACGATGAAGAAAAAAGGAAACCCCGAGATTCGTGAAAAGGGATAGAATCCGAAAGTTTAAATAAACGCTGGAAAATCAAGTCAGAAATGTAGTCTGCCAAGCTGGCAAAAAAGTAGACGACAGCGCTGGGCCGCGAATGTTGGCTTGCGAGTGCGCTGGAGAGGATATCCTCAAGGAGAAATGCTATCGAAATATATATACCTACGCTACTTGGAGAGGCTATAGCGGAGCTAAAGATTAGGAGACAGAATAGCAAATGCCAGAGTGCCACCAGTATATGAGAAAAGTACAAGCTAGAAGGGTGCGTTGGCAAGAATAGTTACAAGAGAGTTGTGAAGAAATATAAAAGTAACTGTAGCTAAAAGAGGGTGCGAAGAAAAAAAAAAGACGAGAGGGAGGTGAAGAACAAGCAGCAGAAGGGTGGGCAATGAAAGGAGTTTAAGAGAGCGACTAGTGGGGAGGGAGCTGTCAATTACAAGTGTAGCAAGAATGGGAGACTTGCAGGACAAAAAACTGGGCATCCATCCGACCATGTATTTATAATTTTTGTGTAAATAGGCAAAATAGCAGCCGATGGGCACAGGCGCGGGGTGGGAGAGGATTACTTTACACATCATTTGATGCGCGCGCGCCAGATGGCACGGAAACCAACGGTTTTTTTCGCTCTCAGAACAGGCCAAGTCGCTGAAACAAAAAAGCGTGAATTCGCGACGCATTCTTCTTTCTTTTTTCGCTAAAGGCCAGGAAGGCCGCGTCAGACAAAACGACTCAGCGTGTCCCGATTTGGAGCGCAACAGGAGAGAAAAATACGGCCATGGGCGTCCTCAGCGCCAATTAGAAAAATGCTACGCTGATTTGGTGCCTGAGCAATGCTCTCCAACATTTCCTCAACCCGCCCCGCCAACCACCCCTAGGTGCGATTTCTGGTTATGTTGTGCCCTGGATGCTCAAAATAAACAAAAAACAGGCAAGGGGGTGGTCGCGAGGGGCCATGGGGGAGGGTTATGTGCCGCTGCCTGGTCGATTTGCCCCTACTTTTTTTCGCTGTCGCCAAAAAAACGGATACGCGCATTTACATTGGCTTGTTCACAACCCCGATAGCGGGGATACACTACATATCACCCACAAGATAGAGCAACAGAAATCTATTGGGCATTCTGACCAGCGTTGCTGCGGTGCAGAAAACCAACCCAGCCATCACTGCTTTTTGTTTTGCTCATGGCCACATTGCATGTGAGTCCATCGATTAGCGTGCAGAAATTGCTGATTGCTTATCTACCAGGTTTTACACAAAAATGGTTTTATTAAAAACAGGACACCGAAAAAGAAGTGGGAAAAGAGGGCTTGTAAAAGCGAGTTCACAAGGGAGGGGGTGGTGTTGCGGAAATTGTACGCGGCGAGATAAAAGGAGGAAAATGTAGCCACACGGCGACACGGCGCAATTTCCCACTGTTTAGGTCACAACATCCCCTATATCTCCAGTGTGCCCAAACACACCAGCACAAAAGAGAGAAAAAAAGGAAGGATGGCATTTAATTTATGTACGACTGCATATGGGACCTTGTTTTCACCCTCCCCAGGATGTAGCCAGTGGAGCGAACGCCTGCTCCGCCTTTTTCTTCGGTCGCCTCACATGAGCAAATGGCACATGGATTGTGTGGTTCGCCTTGCTGGGAGGCGAAAGAGACGGGTGCGGATTGCTGCAGGCCAATTTTCCTTTCGCTCTGTTGACATGCCACACAACTTCGGCGTTTTCCGATATGGCAAACTCCCACAGATGGATTTAGCACAGGCACAATTGGCTAGACATATGCTAGAGAGATGCCGCTGCCGAATGTACTTGATTTTTTCACACTCGGCGAATGAGCGCACGCGGCGAGAAAAAGCAATGGCGCTGGGGTTTCTTTTAGCGACAGTCATAGGAGGTGCATATTCGGCGGCGTGCATACGATGACGTTGCATTTAGGAAGTGATAGTATTTGACATAGGCGGATTAGATCATATTAGTTCATGTATTGGATCTTGGGCGCTGGCTAAAAAAACTGGAATTCGGGCATTGAATATTTTGGTCGATTTTCAGAAAATCCAGCCAGATCACCGAGGCTTCACTCTTGCGGACAGACATTTCTGCTAGATCCAATTACGTACAGATATGGTGCGTATCACATGAAGTCATGTAACCTGGACAAGCACCATCCACACCCCCAAAAGTGCTCTGTGGACCGGACAGCGGCCGTTTCATCAAGCGCAAGGACGTAACCGAGCGAATTGATAACAACAAGAGTTGTTTACCTGTAGCCGGTGGATCTCGGGGCTGGCTATATGTGGCGAGGATTGTGCATAAAAGGAAAAGGTAATAAATCAGACAAACAGTGACCTACATGGCAACTGTCGTGTAACCTTCCCGAAGCAGTATTAGTATTCGGGTCGATCGCAGTAATCACAGAACCCAACAGCTCAAAAACTATAGAAAAAGGAACATGTAAACACGACATATAATGTCAAGGAGCAGATATTGGGGGAATGGCTGAATGCATGCATTGTCATTTGCAGCTGTTGCGGAGTGTGGAGAAAGGATGCGGAGTGTATAATTATGTTCTAAAAATGTCACAGTATTTAGGTCTGAGCAAGTAGCCATATCGAGGAGGCATTGTTTACAGTGATCTTCCTTGCTAGGTGTCAATGCGGTTGCACGGGGAAACAAAACTGCAGCGATGGCGTGAAAAAGGCATCGGCTCAGTTGTTTTTGGAGCTAGAACAGCTCCTGGTAATGGACTCGATTGAGGCGCCGATATCTGAAAAGCGCCCGGTGGCGAGGGGGCACAACCGGCTTCCAAGAGGCGAAAAGGTGAATGGCCGCTTAAGCTCTGGGCAATGGCATTTGATTGTTGGTGCAGAGTCGGGTTTGGCCAACAGTGCAGTGGGATGGGGAGGAATCGGCGTGTGGGCACCAAAAAGAAACCATACGAGGCCATGTAAGGCAACGATATACGGCCACTATTTCCTCCCATTGACACAAAGGCATTGGCGAAGCGCGACAAAAAACAGGCCATGTTGATGCTGCGCAACTCGAATGGAAGCAAAACAAAAGAAGGGGATTAGAATGACGTTTCGGGCAAACGTATAGTGTTGGGCGAGGAATGGCTCAAGTGTCAAAGCGTCAACAATAAACTCACTATTTCAAGAGAGCCAAGAAAATGGCTAGGAGTGTGGCAGCAGGCTTTCCGCTGACCTTGGCTTTTCTTCTCTGCAACTCATATTATTATCATAAATATTTTTTTTCTTAATCCTTAGAAATTGCATCTAGACGATTTGAGGCAGCATATAATACTTGTATTCTTGAATGGCTCTTAACGACAGCAACGTTCGGTTGCAAGAGGCAGGTGATGAGGCAGCAGGCGTGGTCGGTGGACACGCATCGTCGGGCGAGCCCAGCGCACAGGCCCAGGGGACTCGGCACTCGCGTAGCCCGTCGTATGCACGGCGGGCCCACCGCCACCATCGGCGGCACTCCCGGCGCAACGACACCTGGGAACCTGAGTACTCGAGCGGCGGCGAGTCCGGGTCGACGTCATGCTCGACATGTAGCGCGGGGAAGCACTCGGAGCGGCGGCGGGTCGGCCGGCGCATGTCAGTGCAGCACGTGCCAGTGTCACGGCGGTCGACGCGCCGGAGTCATGATTGACGAGTCGAGCGATTCGGCAGAGATGGAGGGGCTGCAGGGGTCAGACGAAGACCTGGAGGAGGACGACACAGTCAGGGCACGGCAGGAGGCGATGAATGCGCGGCATCCGTTTGGACTGCCGATCTGGAAGCCGGCGCTGTACAAGAAGTCGCGGTCGGTGACGCGCGCGGCATTCTTGGCGCTGCCACGCGCGGCCGCTGCGGTCGGAGACTCTGTATTTGAAGCCCGGCAATATCATGTGGATGCTGTTGGCGGGCTGGTGGCTGATGGCTGTGTGTCTGGCGGTCTCGGCGGTCCTTGTATGTGGTGCCGTGGGGCGGGCGGTACTATGCGCGGGTTACGGCGGGGCTCGGGTGGTATTTGTTTTGGCCGTTTGGAAGATACGTGGAGCGCATTAAGGATAATGTACATGCGCGTGACCGGTGCTCTCTGGAGCGACGCCGAGCACGAGGAGGCACCGCTACTGGGCCAGGCAAGCGAGGGCGTGTCGGCTGAGGTCCGGCATAAGCAGTTCCGGCGGCACAGCGTGCTGGGGCGGGCCGGTGTTTTACGTGCTGCTGGTGCTGGTGGTGAATCCGCTTCTGATTGTTGTGTCGGCGCTGTCGTGGTTCGCGGTGTTCTCCATCCCGATGGGCAAGCTGACCCACACGCTGTCGCGGTATCTCTGGCGCGACCCTCTGGCCCTGCACTTCCGGTCGGGCGACCTGCCGACGGTGCAGGTAGCGCAGGAAGGAGAGGGAGCGCCGGAGGAGCAGCCGGCGCCGAACGGTCCTGCTCTGTACAAACTGAGGCGGTCGGGTGGTACTACTACAAGTACACGGTTGATGGGGTGAACATTCTGTTCTACAACATGCTGTCGGTTGCAGCGTTTGTTTTGTTTGCGGCGTTTGTGCTGGCGCCGATGACGCACCACCAGCACCCGACTGGTGCAGCCCGGTGTGCTGTTCCCCATGTGTCTGGTGTCGACGGTGCCGCTGGCGTATTTTATCGGGCAGGCGGTGAGCTCGATTAGCGCGCAGTCGTCGCTAGGCATGGGCGCGGTGATCAATGCGACGTTCGGGTCGATTGTAGAGATTATTCTCTACGCCATTGCGCTGACGCAGGGCAAAGGCGCGCCTGGTGGAGGGAGCACTGGTTGGGTCGCTGCTGGCAGGGGCTGATGCTGATGCCAGGGACCAGTATGATTGCAGGCGGGATCAAGCACAAGGTGCAGCGCTTCAACGCCAAGAGCGCCGAGGTCACGGCCACGCTGATCATCATGTCGATTATTGGGGCGTTTGCGCCGACGCTGTTCTACCAGACCTTCGCCGAGCCCGAGTTCGAGTGCCGCGAGGAGAACGGCCGCAGCATCGTGCTCGCCCATCCGCAAGGACGTCTACAAGGACCCGTTCTACAAGGAGCAGGTCGAGCCGTTCATGTTCATCTGCGCAGCCATTCTGCCGCTGGCGTACCTGATTGCGCTGTGGTTTTCGCTCAAGACCCACGTCAAGCATATCTACTCCAACACGCAGACGTCCAACCCCATTGTGCGCCATGTGCTGGAGCTCTTCCGCCGCACGCTCGGTCCCGATGCAGACATGCGCAGCCGCACCCACCCGCTGGCGCCGGAGCCCGAAGTGCCGGCGGTCACCGTGACCCAGGAGGCTGGAGTTCCGCTGGCTGCGACTTCTGAGACGCTGGTCGCGCAGGACGGAGTTCCCAAGTCGCCGCAGCCCGGCAGCCGGCCGCCACGGATTTCCCGTACCACCTCACACCACCACCGGGCGGCCGACGCGCCGTCGTCGCTGCCGAATGTGCCGCGTCTGTCGGAGCTGCCGCGTGTGCTGGCAGCCGATCCCGACGATCAACTACCCGGACCTGGCGCTGCTGGAGGTGGGCGAGGGCGCGTCGGAGGCGGCCGGGCACGGCCATGATGCGCCGAACTGGAGCAAATTCAAGTCGGCGTTTATTCTGTGCACATGCACAGTCATATTCTCCCTGGTGGCTGAGGTGCTGGTGGACACAGTCGATGTGGTGATCCAGAGCCTGGGAATCAAGGAGAAGTATGTTGGGTTGACGCTGTTCGCATTGGTGCCCAATGTGACCGAGTTCATGAACGCCATTGCCTTTGCCATGCAGAACAACATTGCGCTGTCCATTGAGATCTCAAATGCGTATACGGTACAGGTCGCGCTGCTGCAGATTCCCATTCTGGTGTTCTTCAGCGCTCTGTATGGCGTGCCTGACAACGTGGGAGGGGTCCGCGATGTGGTCGCGATGTGGATTTCGGGCGGCCATGGCGGGCGCGGGCTGCCGACCGATCCCTCGGCATATATGTTTGCGCTGATCTTCCCGCGCTGGGACCTGATTGCCATTCTGTTCTGCGTGTTCCTGCTGACGTACATGCTGATTGAAGGCAAGGCCAACTACTTCAAGGGGTCCATTCTGTGTCTGAGCTACTTTGTCTGGATCATCAGCTACACCTTCGAGCCCACACGCGAAACCTCCCCCGCAGTGATCCAATCAGGCTCTGATTAGATTCTTGTTTTGCTTGGCTGAGTTTTTTCGCCTTGTTTCGCAAATTCCAGCTCTCCTCTTTCTTCTTGCTGACGCTATTATAATTCACACAGTATTCAATTTCAAAAACGAAATGTTCCAGAAGAGCAATTTATTCGGCTCCAACACCAGCAGCACTCAGGCTGACTCGACCAGCAAACCCGCAGAGGCCCCGACATTCGGCAGCGCTGGCACGGGGAGCCTGTTCGCCTCGGCTAGCAGCTCAGCTGCCACGCCGTCTACTGGCTTCTCCTTTGGCAAACCCGCGGCATCACCAGCACCAGCCGGCAGCACTGCGTTCAGTGGGCTGAGCTTCGGCAAGCCAAAGGAGCCCGAGACCACACAGGCTCTTGGCAGTTCGGCGGCGACTGGCAGCATGGGTTTCGGCGGGCTGGGATTTGGCAAGCAGAAGGGGCCTGAGACTACACAGTCGCTTAGCAGCCCAGCGCCGACCGGCGGCATCTTTAGCAGACTTGGCGGCACGAGCACGGCCGGGGAGACAACTACTGGGTTTAGCTTGAAGGGCAGTGCCAGCACTGGGTTTAGCAGTACGCTGGGCGGTAGCCCTGCGGCAACGGAGACTGCAAGCACCGGTATTAGCACCAAGCTTGGGGGGACGAGCGCGGCGGGGGAGGCGACTACTGGGTTTAGCTTGAAGGGCGGTGCGAGCACTGGCTTTAGCAGCATGCTGGGCGGCGGCGCATCGGCCGCTGAGCCGGCCAAATTCAACCCATTCGCTCCTACGACGAAGCCGGAGGCATCGGCGGCTGCTTCGACGACAGTACCTACATCAGCTGCTGAGCCAGCCAAGCTTCAACCCATTTGCTGCCATGAAGAAATCAGAGACATCGACAGCCGCCTCTACATCAGCTGCGGCTCCGTCGGTGTTGGGTAACCCGACAACCGGAACGGGTCTGGGTGGAGGTGGTCTGAAGCTGTCGACGACGCCAGCCGAGCCGGCAGCCAGTGCCCCGGCTGATCCGAGCAAGCCGGCGACACTGGCGAACAAGGCGCTTCGCGGCAAGACGCTGGAGGAGATTGCGCAGATGTGGACAGACGAGCTGGCGGTGCAGACGCGCGAGTTCCACAAGCAGGCGGCGACGGTTGGGTACTGGGATCGGGCGCTGGTACAGCAGGGCGTGCGGATCACGGAACTGTATGAGGCGACCATGGCCGTGGAGGCCGAGCAGGCGGCGGTGGACCAGAGCCTGGAGCACATGGAGGGCCAGCAGGCGGCGCTGGCCGAGCTGCTGGACACATACGAGGGCCGCGTGCGCGCCCTGGTCCGCGACACCGTGCCCGCCAACGGCCGGTCGGCCGACGCCGAGCGCACGGCCTTGTATGCATCGGCCGAGAACCTGAATGCCCAGATGGACGAGCTGGCGCGGCGGCTCACCGATCTGGTGGGCGCCGTGAACCAGGTGTCCAATGCCGAGCCGGCTGGCAGTGCTGAGCGCAGGCAGGATCCGTTCGACCAGATTGTGCAGATTCTGAACTCCCATCTGAGCGCAATGGAGTGGGTTGATGCCCAGACCACGCATCTCCAGGAGCGCGCCAAGACCGCATTGCGCGTCAGCCAGCAGGTGGCTAATGATGTGGTGGAGGAGCAGCCGCCGCAGATCCGCGTGCCGGGCGGGTTCCATGAGCCGGCGCCGCCCAATATGTCGCTGTTTGGCACCCCCACGGGTCGCCGCGGGCTGTAGTTTTCCACACGTAGCTTCTATGTCTGGTGAATATCAGGTAGCCAAGAGCAATATTCGCATGGGCTACATTGTCTAGCAGCGGTGTTTTGTGTTAGCCAGAGGGCTTGAGGCATTGCTTTGTCGAGGAGGCCTATAAATAGCTGTGCCAAGCAGCAGCCATGAATGGGTTTGCGGTCTCTTACACGCTGTGTTCCACAGCAGCATAAAATTGCCCTTTTTTTAGAGCACCAAACAAGTTTGCTCACGCTCCTTCTCTGCTTCTTTTGCATCTCCCCTCACCATATATTTCCACCATGACGAACCTACGCCGGTCGCGAATCGGGTCGCTTTTCCGCTCGGTCAAGCGGGCGATGACGACCAAGACTGGCCAGCCCATCGCACGCCCACGGTCGCCCAACCACCTGACGCAGGCTGTCAGCCGCATGAGCAGAATCTTCAATCCAGCGCTAGCCCGGCGCTCCACCCCGCTCCCCTACGACCTGATGCACATGATCCTTGCTGAGCTCTGCTCCGGCAAGGGCGGACCGGCCGAGATTCTGCAGCAGCGGCTGTGGATATTCCCGATGACCCTCGTCTCGCATGCCTGGCGGGAGGCCGCATTGCCTGCATTCTACCATTCGGTGGTATGTATGGCGAACCGCAATATCGACGGCACCTTGACCTTGCAATGGCAGCCAAAAGTGCATTCGCAAGTATGCTCAGGAATGCGTAAGGCAGCTGGTTGTTATCGTGGGCGGGCTGGGCGGGCTGGACGATCTGACGGAGCGTCTTGAGGTGGTGCGGGGGTTTGTGAATGTGCAGTCTCTGCATTTGGTTTTAAACGACGGGCCGGCGGGCGGCCGGTGGAATGCCGGCACGAAAGAGCAGATCGCCAGCTTCAACCGCTTCCTAGCGTCAGGCATTGCCGCGGCTCGAAGCCCTGCGGTATTTTTCGTACGTGGACGACGCATTCTGCCCGGTGTTTCCTCTGGAACCTTTTAGTACACATGAATCTGCCGCGTCTGCACAGCCTAGGATGTGTTTTCGAGCTTTGTGCCCAGATTCCCCGAAATGCTGCCAGAAACCTATGCCCTGAGTAGCCTGACTCTGCGCAGCACGCGGCTGGAGGCCAGCACTGCGGCCATTGAGCGGTTCCGTGCAACCCTGGTCTATCTGAATCTATCGCTGGTGCCAGTGGCTACGGTGTGGCAGGGATTTTTGCTACCGACTGATTGCGAGCCGGTGGAGTTCCCGAGGCTGGAAGTCCTGGCTTTAAAGTTTGATCTGACTGCGGAGCTGTCTGAGCTGGACGGGCCTGAGAGCTTCTGAAGGGGAGGGGTTGGAGGATCTGCGCGGCCCGGCGTTCCCCTGCCATGCAGGGCCTTCGGGTGTCGTCGTATCCGCGCAACATCCAGCGGCTACTGCGGTATTTCCCCTGCCACCGCCTGGCGCACCTACAGTTGATGGACTGCGACACCGGTCTGATGTACGTAAACCCGCAGATGCTTGCATGCATCGCGTCTGTCTATATCCGCGCGGCCGGCGCCCCTACCGCTATGCATGGCGAACTGGCTGGCCGAGATTCTGCAGGCCGCCCTGCCAGCTCCATAGCCTGCATATCGACTGCACAGCCACGCTGCCATTGCTTTACCTGGATGTCGGCAGCATGCTGCGCAAGCTGACCCTGTTTGTGAGTCTGCAGCTGTCTGCAATCGAACGCTTGGTTGCCTGGCGCGCCCAACCTGTGGTATTTGTGCGTGCGCATTAGCGATCAGCATCCGTACTGCGACCACCAGATGGGCTATGGAGGCAAGGTTTCTGGCAATGTGGTGAGCCACAGTCTGCAGGCGTTTGCTGTGTATGACCCGGCGACTGCGGTGCGGCTGTGCGACCGCAAGATTTGCGAATTAGTGGATTTGCTGGCGCGCGTGCCGTCCTTGCTGGCCTTGGATATGGGGTATGCCGATACCGTGCGTGTCTTGGAGCGTGTCCGGGCGATGCGCTGGCATGCGGGCCATATGGGCTGCCACTTGAAAGACATTGGATGTTCAGTATTGTGTAAAATAGAATCTGTCAGCGGTTTTTTATACGTTATCTGTTCTCGTGGGTGCTACGGCTTGTGGTGACGAAATCCATGTGGTACCAGCTTTGATCACACTGGGAGCGGGTTTTGTAAATAAATCACAAAGCGGTTTTGCAGACCAAGCGCGATGTGGTCCGTGTTTCTTTTCGTGGGCTGACTGTGAAATATCGCCAGCGGGCTATTGCGCAACTGCCTTCTAACTGGTCATTATCCACGCTGCTTACTGTGAGATACCGTGAGGATCCAAGTGAAGACAATCAGTCCCACTCACACTCTGGTAAGACGCTCCCCGGTTGCACCTGTCAGTTTGCGTGCTTCTCTCCATTGCCTCGCAACATACTCGCGGCATATCACCGAGCGAGCCAATTGCATTTTTCTCTTATTTTGGTGCATATGCCGGCTACCATGCACGCGTACATGCAAGCATTCATGCGAATAATGACCCCACCAAGATGCACATCCAGCGCAAGACGCGCGCATTTGCTGCACCTTCTCCACCCAGGAGGAAATGCTCCTGCCCATCAGTCAATCCCCCTCCTGATGTGCAGTCTCCTTTGCACGGGTGCCCTTTTTGCATCTTCCCTTTCCCATCACGCCCCCTGTAAGTCTGGTCGTCAGGTATGGAGGACGGGATGTGTTAAGCAGCCATTTTCTCTTCTTTGCGGCGGGTGGGATCTCCTTTTTCGAGAACGGGTGGGGTCGGCTCCATCACTGTTGAGCACGAAGCTGGACAAGGTATAGGTGTGATATTCCCCAGGCCTGTCTTATCTAGGAAGCCCCCTAGTGTGGTATCCGCCTTGTGCGCTTGCTTGATAATCAGTGTATAAAAAGTTTTCCCTTCGGTCCATTTGCTAAGCCCAGCCTGCCATGGTCAGCCCATTGCCATGTCTGTTTTCCCACACGCACATCGTTGCAGTCTCGTTTTAGTGAAAAGTCGGTGAAAAAACATCCAGAGAGCGGCAAATCTGCACTAGCGAAAAAAAGTACGGGGCCCTTGTCCTACAGCGAAAAAAGGCGGCCTTCCGTTATTTTTTTCCAGCCAGCTTGACTAGCTGGAATGGCCTGGCTATAAAAAGGCTGCTGCTTCTGCTTCTGCTTCGCACAGACATTGGCAGCATGAAGATTTCTTTTTCCTTGGTCCATTGACTTCCTAAATCCCCTCTTATAGCTTTTTGGCAGGAGATAGCTTCATCTGGTATCTATTAATCGCTGCTCTATTTCCAGGTCCCGCACTTTAATTACATCCTCTCGCTTTCTTCCCCGGCTCCCAAAGAACAATGCGCTTCACCACCTCTTTTGCTGCAACGGCGTTCTTCGCCGCAGCCATGGCTGCCAGCTCGACCGACGGTCTTCAGAGCACGCAGTGTGTGTCCAGCGATGCCTCGGACGACCTGTACTCGCACAAGGTCGACGTCAAGTACGCGAAGCTGTTCTCGGTCGACTACCACAAGACCTACAAGGTGGTCAACAACCTGAGCACAAACAGCACATACGTGCTGTACCAGTGCGGGCTCCAAGAAGCCCTCGGAGAAGGCCGACGCGTACATTGAGGTGCCGGTGCGCAGTGCTGCGGCGTGGGCGACCACGGCGGCCATCTTCATTGAGGCGCTGGGCGTGCAGAACAACATCAAGAACCTGGGCACGGCGCCGAGCATCGTGTCGCCGTGCCTGCAGAAGCTGCTGCAGGAACGACATCCAGCCGTTCAACGAAGGGCAATGCCACGGCGGCCGAGCTCCAGGAGCAGCAGAACATGGTAGTGTTCAACATGCAGGGCGGGCAGGACGCCAAGTCGAACCAACACCGTGTACTCGGTCGAGTACCTTGAGGGCAGCGCGCTGGGCCGCTCCGAGTGGGTCAAGTTCTTTGCGCCCTTCTTCAATGCCGAGGAGCGCGCCAACAAGCTGTTTGATTCGGTGGCCAGCAACTACGACTGCTTCAAGTCCAAGGCGAGCAAGGAGTACAACGACATTCGCCCGGTGATCGCCTGGACCTCGTACGCCGCCCCGTCCAAGTTTAACAACAACACTGCCTACTGGCAGGTGTCGTACGCCGACTACAAGTACAACCTGGTGCGCGATGCCGGCGCCCGCATGCTCAACACAACCGACCACCAGACGACCAAGTTCACCAAGTCCGATGCGTTCCTACATGCCCTGGAGGAGGCCGATATCCTGATTGACGAGTCCGGCCTGAGCTACAACTACACTGATCTGCTCAAGAACTACGGCATCGATGACCCCTCCAAGGTCAACTACACGTGGGTCAAGAACAGCCGCATCTACCGTCCCGACCTGATCCAGAGCGCCGAGGGCGGCCTGGGCTGGTTCGAGGCGCCGTTTGCCTTCGCCGATCGCCCTGCTGCAGGACATTGTCGGCGTCGCCCACCCCAAGTTCATCAAGGACGGCTACAAGTCGAACTGGTTCCGCAATCTAGGCCAAGGACCAGAAGGTCACTGTGGTCACTGCCTGATTCATGCAAGGACGAGCTCGCCCAGCGTCCCGACCCCTGCCAGCCAGTGCTCGACGGTTGACTTCCAGCAGGCCAACCCGTCGGATGCCGACTACTCGGGCGTCGACCGAGAACCAGACCGCCGATGTCGTCTACGATGCGTCCAAGTCTGGCTGTCATCAACGGTGGCGCCAGCGCCAGCGCTGGTACTTCGAAGAACTCGGGCGCCAGCCAGCTCGCCCGCCCTGCTGCCCTGGTCTCGCTAGTCGCCGGAGCCATTGCGGCTGCTGGTGCCATTGCGTTCTAAGTGCTCTTGACTGTTTTCTTTTGCAAAGTTTTTTATTAACACATACTCACTTCCTTGATTGGTTCTGGATTGGCTCCCCTAGTGAAGAGATGCGTGCTGCATAAGCAGCGCTGACGACCCCACCCGTCTGATGTTTTGATGCTTCGATATCTGGGATCTTCCATATCTGGGCAATTCAAGCGGTGGTAATACTGGACATGCACCAGCTGAGTTTACTTTTATTTTTGAATAGTAGCCAGTTTCTGAAGAAGCTTGATCCTTGCGTGAAAATCAAAACACGTAGCTAGGGAAGGCGTAAAAAATATGCACGCAAAATCTACATCCTGGTGTTCGCGGTGGATCTTGGTGACGACAAAAAACAGATGATACTATGCGTGGTTGATGTTTTCTATCGGCCAGAAATCAGCATAGTCTTTACAGCTTGGCCGGGCCGCAGACAGGCCAGTGGGGCCGCAAAACAGGCAAGCGGAGCCTGTAAAAACAAGTTAGCGGAGGGTTGCCCCGAGTTCTCGCCCGGTTTGTCTCCAGACAATAGCGCAGCCAGGCAGAAAAAAACGATATATAGGAAATAGCGTGAGTCGCCACATGGGTCCTTTTTCTCATTCACACAGCCGCTTCACTCTTTTCTCTTCACCACTCACTGTATACATTTTATACTTTTAAATAAGCCCTGCCCCATCCCCGCCTGCTGCCATGCCCCGTCTCTTTGACCTCCGGTACCAGTTTGTCAAGTACGGCGAGTACCACAACAACCCAGTCAACATTGCCATCCACATCGTCTTTGTGCCGACCATTATGTGGACAGCCATTGCGCTGCTGACCTCGCTCACACCCCAGGACCTGCTGCCAATTCCCGCACCGCTGTCTGCGCTGCTGGAGCTCCTGCCGGGACCCGCACCACTGGGCAATTTTCCGACCTGGCTGATTTTTGGGTTTCTAGCTTTCCATATCGCACTGGAGCCGATCGCTGGGGTAAGTCCAATAGACGAGTAACCCGGGCACCAAATGAGCGACGAAGCTAGCGCTGGTCCTTTATTTATCCCCAAATATGGCAATGCGCTCTCTGCTGCTCCTCCCCGTGAGAACTGGGACGTAACGGCTGATTTGGTTGCACTCTGCTAAACCCCCGAACCCCAACTTTCCTCCTGTAGCTCTTGTCGGCGCCATTCACATACACCATCATCGTCACGGCCGAGCAGTTTGCGCTGAACAACGAGAACGCAGTGGCGTGGGCGAGCGCCCTGTTTGTCGTGTCGTGGATTGTGCAGTTCATTGGCCACGGCGTGTTCGAGAAGCGCGCACCGGCGCTGCTTGACAACCTGGTGCAGGCGTTTGTCATGGCGCCGTTCTTTGTGTTCCTGGAGATTCTGTTCAAGCTCGGCTACCGCCCCAGCCTGGATCGCGAGCTGCGCAGCAAGGTTGGCGTCAAAATCCTCGAATTCCGCTCCAAGAACTATGGCTCCATGAAGCAGACCAACAAGTAAACCTGTCTTTGTGACCAGTTGTTTTTCCCTATTGCCGCCCCTGGCCATGATTTTTTTTTTGCCAGGCGTTTTCCGGGTGGTGGCGATGTGTCCTTATCAATGTATCTTGTGCTTGTAATTTCTTGCGGGCCCACGCACAAGCATATGCCGCACTGGAGCAAGGTAGTGTCTTGTGACTTGGGATCTGACTGCAGATCGATATCAGCTATGCAGACTGCCAGGCGCATTTGATTGCGCATTTCAGCTCCGCGCAGCAACCAGTGCTGTCCGCACTCCCCAGAGAAACAAAGATACATGGGTCTGCGTGGTGGGCACATTACATAGACTGCATTTCAGCAACCATACAAGTTGGATTTTTAAAGGGCTGGGTGGGGAAAACCTAGTGGATATATCGTATGGGAAGAGATAACGAGAGCCACTAAAACAGCTTACTCCTTGCGGGCCTTCTTTCCCTTGACCTTGGCGGTACCGCGCAGCTTCTTCAAGCGGTTCTTGCGCTCCTTGCGCTGCTTGCGCGAGGTGGTGTCCAGAGTGAGGTGGCCCTGGCGAGCAAGACGGTACTTGGGCTCGAACTTCTTGGCAGCGTCCAGCGAGTCGTAGACCAGGGCGAAGCCGGTAGTCTTGCCTCCACCGAACTGGGTGCGGAAACCGAACACGAAGATGCTCTCCTTGTCCGACTTGTACAGCTTGGAGAGCTTCTCGCGGAGCTCCTCCTTGCTGATGTTAGCGAGACCGGGGTGGATGATATCCACAACCTAATTGATCACACATAACGCATAGAAATGTTAGCAGACCCTGTCTATAGTCCGTACACCCAGCTATCCTCTCTCTCGGCGCATTTCTGCCCGGACGCACTCTCTTCCTGAGCGCGCTGCTGCTGCCACTGCCGCTTTTGATGTACTTACCATCTGCTTGCGCTGAAGCAGGCGGTTGGTCATGAACTTGCGGGTCCTGATGGTAACGGTGGAAGCGTCAGCCTACAAAACATACCGGAATTGGACAAAAGGGGGTGGGGTTCTGAATTAGCACTCGCTCCCGAATGCCTTCGAAATTTGGCTGTGCTGGCGCAGGCAGATGGTCTGCAGACCCCTCGCGAACGTTCGGCCGGACTGTCTGAGAAGCAGATCACAATTCGAATTGGTCGCCAGTTCAAATTCCCAGGAACCAGCATTGGCTGCCAAAGTATCCCCGACGCCCGGTTTGAATTCAACGGATACGCGATGGATGCCCGGCCGAAAATATCACGATCTGCCTGCTGCCCGCGGATTCAGCTGTCTGTATCCATACCATTGTCAATATATTTGTCTACGCAAAATTGCAAAAAAGAAGGAGTCGACCCGTTTGCTGTAGACCCACTAGCTAATAGCCCGCCCCGCGCACACTGGCACGCACCCGCTGGCCATCAGACCAATTCAATCGGTGCTTGATCCCAGCTCTGGTGATCGGAATCACATTATCATCTCAGGATTAGAGATCAAGGCTGTCGTCAGAGCCTTTACAAATTTAAGGGGTCTAGTGATGACGAGTGAATTGGCTTGAGTTCCTGCTCTTGTTGTCTCTTCTGGGCACTGGTAATTTAGTGGTAGAATAGAAGCTTCCCAAGCTTCCAGCCCGGGTTCGATTCCCGGTCAGTGCAGCAAGCTCTTTTTTTGCCTTCGTCGTTTATTTTGCTTCAAGAGATGCCCTGAGGAACTGCTCGATGTCGCCCTTCAAGACCGCGTCGATGCGTGCGGTGGATATGTGTGTGCGACTGTCTTTTACCATCTGGTACGGCTGGAGCACGTACGAGCGCACCTGCGATCCCCATGCGTTTTCGGGCAGCTGGCTGCGCTCTGCCGCCTTCTCTTGCTGGCGCTTGTCGTTCTCCATCTGTTTCAGCCGGGCTTGCAGCAACTCCATGCATGCAGCGCGGTTCTGTATCTGCGATCGCTGCGCCTGGCACTCGACAGTGATTCCGGTCGGGATATGAGTGATGCGTACTGCGCTCTCGGTCTTGTTGACATGCTGGCCGCCGGCACCGCTGGACCTGAATGTGTCAACGCGCAGGTCCTTAGCCTGGATGTCTGCTGCAGCCTTTTCATATGATGGTGCTATTGGGTACACCAGTACCGACGCAAATGACGTGTGTCGCTTTCCCTTGGCGTCAAATGGCGAAATCCGCACAAGACGATGCACCCCGGCCTCGCCTTTGAGCCAGCTGAACGCGAAATCGCCAGAAATACGGAACGTGCTGGTGCGATATCCGGCACGCTCACCGTGGACGGTGCTGATGTCGGAGAATCTGAAGTCCCTGGAATGTGCCCAGCCAGTGTACATCTCCACAAGCATGCGTGTCCAGTCGCAGCTGTCAATGCCGCCGGCACCCGCAGTGATGGTCATAGCAGCGTCAGCGTTTTCTTCGGTGCTTAAAAGGCACTGTAGCTTGAGCTCCTCGTAGTCCTGAGCTAGTCGCTGAATGTCGTCATCAATCAGTGCCTGCTTCAGGTCTTGGTCGTTGGCATCGTTGGCGAGGCCGATCATCTCACCCAGCCCTTTGGCTCGCGTCAGCAGGTCTGCATCCTGGTGCTGCTGGAGAGAGTCGCTGATATTGCGGAATGTCTGCACAGCAGCCTCCCATTGCATGCTACTGTGCTTGGAACCAGTGCTCATGCACCTTGTCGCAAGGACCCGAACTGACCGAACAGTCTGCGAAAACATGTGTGGGGTGTATCTGAGGGTCAAGCGAAGCAGAGCAATCTGCCCAAGCGCCCCCCGGCAGCGGTTTCGTAGCATTGCAATTTTTCGTACAGGCCAGTCAGGGCTCTTAGGGGAGAGCGGGGGATTGCCGCATTCTAGAAGCAGGGGTACTCTTACATTAGACATTACGCGCTAGAAATTGTAGAAAAGGCTAGAAAGGAAGGGTGAGCACACGGTTGTAGACAAAGGTTCCGTACACCAGGACGACAAAGCCGACGACCTGGATCCAGCTGAACGACTCCCAGCCCAGCGCCAGCGAGATCATCCAGATGAACAGCGTGCGGCACGTGTCGATGGTAGCGCGGGACGTCGCGCTCAGGTAGTTTGTAACCGACAGACCAAAGAAATTGAAGAACGCAATCGACAGCATGATGTAAATAGACGTCTGCCACACAGCTGGGTTTTCAACAATCTGGTGGAAGCCGTCCGGGGCATCAAAATAGCCGCCTGGGTGCGACCGCCCAATAAGCACATGCAGGACAGGAATCGCCACCATCACGGTCAGGGCGCCGAACGAGCCCTCGAGCCCGACCGCGCGCAGGGGCGTCAGATGGTAGTTGCGGATGATCTTCTCTTCGACCACAAACTGCGTGGCAGTGAACACCTGCGCGCCAAGCACCAGGACAACACCAAGTGCGGCCTTCCAGGCGCCTGTATCGATGGACTCGGTATCATCCAAGGGCAGGATGTGCAGCTTGTACACTTGCGGCGGCGGGGAAATAATGTTGCTGAGCCCAACGATGGTGACGCCAATGACGACCAGAGCGAGCGAGATGACCTGGAAGCGCGCCAGCCGGTGGCCAAGGAACAGGACAGAGAACAGGCCAGAGAAAATGACAACCGCGCCGCGCAGCATCTGGTACACCGAGGCTGTAGTAAAGAACAGACCAACGTTCATCAGCGTGGTGCCAAGGAGGTCGCAGGCCGCAGGAATCCACATCCACAGCGTCGCCCAGCCTGCGATTGGCTTGGTCTGGACGCCTGCGCTGCCCGCCTTCGGCTACTGCTGGCAGGGCATCGGTAGTAGGCACGTCGTCGGAGGCTGCTTCATCCTCGATACGCTCGTAGCCGGCGGTGGCGGTGGTACGGCGGCGGTACACGTTGAACAGGTAGAAGCACGCAAGGCACAGCATCTCGCCGTAGAACATGTTGAGCGTCTGCCACACCGGCTGCTCAAAGTACTCGCGGTTGGCGGGGTCCGGGTCGGCGCAGTTGCGGACACACTGCTTGTCCTGGAGCTTTGTCAGCAGCGTGTTGGCCGTGCCTGTGACAAGCATGCCGGTGGCCAGGATGGCGCCGTAGTAGGGCGAGTTGGACATTATCTAGTCTAGAGGAGGTAAAATACAGAGAGTTTGTTTCGTCAAGTTTCGTTTGCAAATGAATAGGTTGGGAAGTTTGAAGTGGAGGAAAAATGCAGCCTCACAGAGCGGGCAACAAGAAAACCCTTTTTATAGAAATCACTAATCACGGGGTAGGACTCCGGCTCACCAACGCTGCGAAGCATCCACGCGGTCCATTGCGTGCTGGCCTGCTGACCAGCTCGCTCTGCATTTATTTTATTTTTTTTTGCAATTTTATCGTGGCCAGAAGTGTCTGTGACTGCTCCCCTGCTGCTACTGGTCCAGTGGCTACTGGGCCAACTGCCTCATCCTGGCTGTGGGCCTGCGCATCCTTCGGGATTCGCAGTGCGTCCTGCGGCATTTGTCCCCTTCCCACGCACATCTCTTCAGGTACCCTGGTTGGGTCAAGTCTGGGGACTACGCTTCGGTTTCCATTCGCAGATAAGCATCATATCTATCCGTTGTATGCGAGATTGCCAGCCACAAGGACGGCGAATCCCAGTACGCGTACATAGCTGAATGTCTCCCAGCCCAGCCCCAACGAAATTGACCACACCATGACTGTCTTGCATAGGTCGATGGTGATGCGTGACGTCGCACCCAGGTGCTTGACCAGAGACAGTGAGTAGTAGTAGCTGAGCGCCTGCCCCAGGATGCACACTGCCATGGCTACACTTAACCGTACAGAGCTCGTCAGCTGAGCGATGGCCAGCGGGGTATCTAGAATCCCACCGTGCTGGCAGGCACCAGCCAGGTAGTATAGGGGTACAAGCAGCGCCGCCATTGTGCAGAACCCAAACACGCCCTCGATACCAGCGACCTTGGCGGGGCGGATGGAATATCGACTCAGGATTGATTCTTCGACCACCGTCTGGGCTGCATTGAGGAACTGTGCTACCGCAGCAAGAGCAACCCTAGCCAGAGCGATCCTGGTGCTTGAGCGGCCAGTAGTCGGCGTACTGTTGACAGTGAGTCTTCTCTCCATATGTGAGCAGATCAGGAAGCATGCTAATGACCACACCCAGCAGTATGATAGCCAGCGAGGTATATTGTCTGGTCGACAGATGCCGATCAAGGAACTTTGCTGCCAGCATCCCTGAAAATATGACCGTTAGACCATGCAGCATGTTGATCAGCGACGGTGGTAGGTAAAAGAAGAGAACCAGCATCATCGTAGAGCTTACAATGTCCAGTGCCGTTGGCAGCCAGAGCAGCAGGTAGCCAAAACCCTGCATGGGGCGTTGCGAAATCTGCACTGGTGGTGATTCGGCATCCTGCAGCATATATGAAGTCTCCGACGCAATATTGGCTCCATCCAGGTCTGCTTCTTCCATGATAAGCTGCTTTTGGGTCCGCCGACGATTAGTTGGGCTACGGATAGCTGGTGTCAGCAGACACAAAATTCCGCCAAGGAACATCGCCATCGTCTGTAAGACCGGCTGCTGAAAGTATTCGCGGTCGGCAGAGTCTAAATCGGCGCAGTGGTCTACACATGTCTGGTTCTGAAGTTTCAAGCATACGGTACAGGCTGCGCTCGATCCCAGCAGCCCCAGCGCAAGCCGCACTTTGGATCTTGGGGAGATATGTCTTAGAGCAGGGGACGTAGTGTTCATTAGAGAGGTGCCAATACAGTGTAGCAGTTTAAGGAAAACAGAATGGAGAAAAGGCCTAGCTCAAACGAAGTGTTCATTATAAAGCCCTTTTAGCACCATGTCCTATTTGCTTTTATTTTTGACAGCATGGACACGTTATAGACAAAAGATGGAGGGAGTGACGGAATATTGGAATCGGACTATGCAGTGTCTCAGTGTGAAAACGACAACGTCACTATGAATATCTTAGGCAGTGAGTCTTACTCTCACTGTAATATAAAGCCACAGAACAATGGCATATATCTGCAAGGGATGTGCTGGTCCGTGAGCGTGATCTTCCTTGGCGCGTATAGCGACGTATGTGAGAGGGGGAAGAGGCACTGCATTAAGAGAATTTGGCTAGCCAAAGAACGGTAGCTTGGCGGAGCCATCGTACGCGACATAGCCGTAAACTAAGATGGAAAACCCAACAGCACGAACATAGCTGAATGCTTCCCAGCCCATGGCTAGCGATATCGTCCACACAATCACAGTGCGGCACAAGTCGACAGGTCAGTCTCGATGTCGCGCCCATGTACCGAGTAAACGCAAGCGAAAAATAGTATGCAAAGGCCCGACTAACCCAGAACATGAGCATGGTCTGCAAGACACGGGGTGTAGCTACCATCTGGTGCACGGCCAGCGGGATATCCAGAAGCCCGCCAGCGTACTTGGATCCTGTCACCAAATAGAACACGGAAAAGAAGCCAGCAATCGTGACCAGCCCAAACATGCCTTCGAAGCCTGCTAGCAAGATGGGTTCGATTGCGTAATGTGCAAATATTGCCTCTTCAACGACGCCCTGCGCGCCGCCGAAAAATTGGGCAACGAGGGCGAGCAGGATTCCTAGTGCCACGCTGCCCTGTGTGGAGACGGTGGTGGGGGTCGATTCGCGGGACGTAGTATCGGGAGCCATGCTGATGAGAACGCCGGAAAAAACTATTGCCAGCGATGCTATCTGCTTGGGCGAAAGCGTGCGGCCGAGGAACCTGGATGCTAGAATCCCAGCAAACACCACGCCTAGCCCGCGTAAAATCAGAAACAGCGACGGGGGAACGTAGAGGAATAGAGCAAACATCAGCGCCGAATCAATGACGTCCATAGCCGCTGGGATCCAAAGGGCGAGATACTCTATGCCTTTCATAGACGGCAATTCTTGTGTACTGGGCGCTTCCACAGTATGTGCAGCACCTGAGCCCTCCAGCAGTGCCTCCGCAGCACTACCAGCGACACCGACCCGCTTTACTGATGCGCGCTTTGTACGCAGGGCCTGGTATAGTGGAACAGCTAAACACAGAAACTCACCACCAAACATAAAAATCGTCTGCAAAACGGGCTGCTCAAAGTAAACTGGTGTCTCTGTGTCCTCTGGACTACAGTTTTCAATGCATGTCCTGTTCTGAACTTTCTGGAGTATTGTGCCAGCAGCAGTTGAGACCAGGAGGGCCAGAGTGAGGAGTAGACGGCGCAGCGGCGATAGTTGTGGTGCTGCGTGTCTGTTGCGCGGCATATTGTGCAGAAAAGGGGGAAAATTACCAAGGAAAGAGCCAGGAAGGCCACATGGCCAAGCTATTTACTGGTGTAAAGTAGTGGAAAATGGATCAAGCAATCTACCAGTCGCGATACCCGCGCACTGTCATGTGAGTAGGCAAGGCAGAGGGGTGATGGCTGCAGTTAGAGGCCATCATCAGGCATCACCATGTAACTGCTGTTGATACAATAACCCTTCACACAGCATACAGGCCTGTATTCCACTTTAGGACTAGCTGATTCATTGGTGTAAGGATATGTTACTTGATAGAGCTATGCATAAAATAATACAGGATAGAGTCGTATATCTAACCACGGACAAATGGCAGGCTGACGGAGCCGGCATAAGCAAAGTTTCCGTAGACCACAGCAGCAAATCCTGCAGCCTGCACGGCACTGAAGGACTCCCAGCCAAGCCCCATTGAAATTGCCCACACCACCAGGGTGCGGCATTGGTCGATGGTTGCGCGAGCCGTTGCACCCCAGAACCCAATAACCAGCAGTGCGCATACACTCGCTGTAGCCTGGGTCATCAAAAAGCACAGCATCGAAACCCACAGCCTCTGGTGGCTAATGACCTGACGCACTGCTTCGACAATATCGAAAAATCCGGTCGGCTGTGATGTAAGATAGAACGGGAGCAGCACAAGGAGGATAGTCGAGATGCCAAAGAATCCCTCATGGCCAGCGACCTCGACCGGGGCAACCGAGAAGCGTTCCAGGATAATGTCTTCAGAGATGTACTGAAAGGCAGACAGCAATTGCGATACCAGCACGAGCGTCACACCAAGGATGAGGCTTCTTGCGTCATATGCGCAGCCCTCCACACGGCTATTATCGAGGAGATCCGGCAAGGTGCTGAAGAAGATGCCAGCAAATACAAGGGCTAGGGAAATGCACTGAACAAGCGTGAGCCGCCGCCCAAGGAACTTTGCTGCGAAGATACTTGCGAAAATTATGCTGAGACCACGCAGTATGTTCATTATCGAGGTCGGAATATACACCAGAATGAGGAACAGCATGGTGGTGCTTGTGGTATCGCATATCGCCGGGAATCCCAGCAGCAGACGGTAGGTACCGCGCAAGGGAGCCTTGTGCCGCGCACGTGGAACCAAAAGTCGCGTGGTCTCGTCTGCTGTGTTCATTTCCGCGCGGCCCTGTGCAAACTGGTTGTAGAGCACGGAGAGCATAAAGCTGACAATTTCGCCTACCAACATGCCAGTGGTCTGCAGGATGGGCTGTGTGAAGAATTCCGGCGGCGCGGGGTCCTCAGGGCTGCAGTGGGCTATGCAGGTCTTGTTCTGGTACTTGAGAATAATGGTATTGAGGGCGCCACCCACCAGCATACCAGCCAGGACAAGAACCTTGAACAGTGCAGGCATGTGCGCGGGTTGCTGCGTTTGTCGAGGATGCATTGGCGCTTGTGAAAGTGCTGAAATACAGGCGAGTTCAAAAGAAAGCAAAAGGTAGAGAGGGAGCAGGGGCGATGTGCAAAGAAAGACATGCCATGCCTGCTTCTTAAGAGTCGCAGATACAGGGGCGATCTTTTAGAAATCCTGCTCGCTCCTGGCAGGGGAGAATCGGCGCGTGTGACGGCTGATGCCATCCGCCATTTACAGTTCGCACGGATTGCCCACAGACGTGTCGACTGACGACGATATCGCTCGAGATGGTGCAATCTCGTCTGGCATCTGTAACAGTGGCAAGATGCACGATGTATTTTAAAAATACCATTTCTAATCATCCTTGCGCTTGCCCTTGGCCTTGGCCTTGGCCATAGACTTGGACTTTTGCTTGATCGACTCCATGTTGGGCGCTGTCACCTTGACTTTGCCGAGCATCTGCGCAATCATCTCGACATCCGACACGCCCTTCATCAGCTCTTTCTCACGGTTAGCCAGGATCGTCTCGAACTCCAAGCGCTCTGCCTCCTGCGAGTCTGCAGAGTGCGTAGATTTGGGCTTGTTGTTGTCGGCTGCTGCCAAAAACACGCTCAGGGCCATTTTGCTGGCCTTGCCCTTCTTCATGACGCCCGGAACCAGCTTGACGCGGTACTTGTAGGCAGACAGCGAGTTGTAAGGTGCACACACGGGGATGGCAAAGCTCAGGTTGTCGCCGGCCAGAGGCGACGGCGTGAGGAGGTCGAGCACGTTCATCTGGTCCATGGAGATGTCGGCAGCGTCTTCGTCCTCATCGAGCTGCTTCTCATTGGCAGGCTTCTTGTACGGCTTGTCATCCGAATCCTGCTTGGTGGCCATAGCCTTGAACTGGTCGACGATGCTGGGTGGCGCCTGCGACGAAACAGGCAGACCAGAAATGCCTGTTTCCTCAGCCGGCTTGCTGGCATTGTCCAGTGCCTGCTCGACATCCTTGCCAGTGGATCCCAGGAGTGCCATGCGGATCTCGCGGTCATCGTCATCCTGCTCGGCGTACTTCTCCTTCATCTTCTTCATCTTGCCCTTCTTGCCGCGCTTCTGTGGCTGCTGCTTCTGCTTCTGCTGGGACGCCTCGAACTTGCGCTCCTCTTCGAGGCGCCGCATTTCCTTCTTGCTCAGCTTGCCCTGGGGCACCTCCGTCTCCTCGTGGTCCTTGCCTTGCTTGCGCTCCTTGCGCTGCTGCCGCCGCTCCTTGGCCGAAATCTGCTTTTTGCTGGAGGTATGCGCTGCAGAGGGGCCGCTATCGCCAAAATCGTCGGCGTGGGCCTGCTCGACTTCGTCCAGGTTGTACTTGCTCCGGGCAGCGACAAAATCAATGCCATCGGACCTGGCCGGCTTGGGCTGCTTGGCTGGCGGGACCTCTTCAGGAGCGTCAGCATTGATGATCGTGAACTCATCATCGTTGCCAGCAGGCTCCTCTGGTGCCAGCTCAGGCTCATCCTTCTTGGCAGCGCTGCCCTCGAAGGTGCGGCGGTTCTCCTCCATGATCGCCATCCGCTGCTGGTGCGCCTTGACATGGCGCGCGACGCTCTCGTCGTCAGCCAAGCGGAACAGGAAACCAAAGCCGTACACGAGCTGGGTGGGTGGCAGAAAGTGCTTCTTGCCGCGGATCATGAAGCTTCCGGTGGTCAGATACTCGCCAGTAGGCGCCGTCTTGCTGACCTGGCTAGCCTCGACCCACCATGCCGAAGTCACAATCTTGGCATCCCAAGCACGCGACTGGCACACACTCATGATACCAGCCTGGAACAGCGTCGAGGGCGGGATGGTCTCTGCTGTCTTCTTGGCTGAGGAATCGGCCTTGTCGAGCACCGAGGCAGCCTCGGGCGCAATCTTGTTTTTGACAATCACCGATGCCGCACCGTGGATATCTGCGTGGATATAGGCGTCGCCGGGCTTCAGATACTTTTTAACCAGGATCTCGTTCTGCTGCATGTCGCGCCCAGCGATCACCAGGTAGCCGTCCGAGGACACAAACCAGGCAAACTTTTCAAACCAGAACGGCTTGCGCAGCTGGCTCACTGTAGCCGTGATTTTGGTCGCCTTCAGGTCGGCGCGGATCTTCTGCTCCGCCGACTGCAGGGCCTGTTGTGAGACCGCCAGGGTCTTGGAGTGCTTGACACCGGCTGCCCGCCGCGACGTGTAGTACCGCTGTGCATTTGCAAATGCCGATTGGAAAATGTCAACGTCGACATCCAGTGGGCCTGCAAATTCCCGCTGCTCATCGTCATCCCCATCGCTGTCCGAGTCGTCCCAGTCATCGGGATCATCGAGCTCCAAAGTGATCTGGTTGACGCCGAGGTTCAGCTTCTTGATCTGCTCAGCAACCGGGTTCCCCAGATCACGCTGATCGTCGACCAGCTCCTCCAGCTCCTGCCAGTCCATGCCAGCAGCAACCGCCTGGACGAATGATCATGATTGCTTGGTCAACAAACTCCAGATTCAACTCGATCCGCCGAGCCTGCTCTTCGGCCTTGCGGTGGGCAAGCTCCAGAGAGGCCACACGTCCATCGTGCTCAGACTTGATTGCCTCGAGCTTTTTGACTGCGGCAATCTCCTGCTGCTGCACCCTGACCTTGAGCCGCTGGGCCTCGATGTTCGAGAAAAACACATCCGCTGCGTCAGCAAAGCTCGGGTACTCTCTGTACGGCTTGTTCTTGTGCTGCTCGAACAGCCAGGGGTGGAACTCGTCAAACAGATCCTCTTCCGGCGAACTATCGGTGCGTGGCAGGAATGTCGTGTAGCCAGGATGCACCCCGTGCCGCAGCTCCTGTGCAATTCCGTATGCCTCACCATAAGCCATCATGAGCGCGTCGATCTGCGGCGACTGCGGCGTGAGGTCCATCCCCGTGGCGATGCGCAGCGTTGGGCTGAGCTTGGCGCGCAGGATGACGTGCTCAGACAGCGCCGGTCCGTAAGCGCCAAACGTCGCCAGGGTGCGCTTCAGGTTGTCCTTCGGACCGGCCTTGGCCAAGAGGTTCACCAGGTCCTGGCGCTGCACCGGCTGGATATCGCGCGACTCTGCTAGCCCGTATGTCTCGCCCACAGCAAACTTGTCTTCCTCCAAAACGACCACACGCAAAAGCGCCAGGATTCTGTACTGGTAGTCGGTCAGGATGATGTTACCCGAGGCGTAGAACTCGCATACGATATGGTACGTGCCTTCTTCCTGCGCACCGGCCATGACGGCAAACTCAAAGTCCACGACACGGTCCATGCCGATCTGCTTTACTGCTGTCAGCTTAGCGGCCACGCAAGTGCTTGCGCAACTTCATGCAGAAGCTTGACGGCGTAATCGACTTGTCGCGGGCGTAGTCGGTTGTGTGCAGTCGGATTCCAGACTCCACCAGCACCAGTTCTTTGTGGTCTGGCTCGGTGAATTTCATGAGGAACGTCTTTGAATTCACATCGTACACGTTTTGCAGGCGTAGTCCGACAATGCGCTGGTTCAGTGCTGTCACCGTCGCGCACACATCGATGGCTGAAAAGCGCTGCTTCATTTTGTTCAATGGCCGAAATAGAATAGCGAGAGAATTGCGGAAGAGAAGCCTGTCGAACGTCGTCTTTAATCGCTGCGGCCGAGTTTCAGCTCAATCCCTTTTTTGCTGCGGCACGTGAGTCAGTGAGTGTTGGCCCCTTAAGCCTACAGCGGCCGATGGGCTCAGTCGATTTGAGAGCCAAAAGCGCACCCAAGCTTTTTTCTTTTCACTTGATCCACACCATATCCCTGCTATCCACACTGCGTTCTCGCCATGAAGGAGCCCGTGAAGAAGGACATGCTGGCGCTAGCTTCAGCAGACAAGGAAGAGCAGTACGTGCACCAGGTTTATAACGAAATTGCCTCGCATTTCAGCGACACCCGCTTCAAGCCCTGGCCTGTGATCGCCCGCTACCTCAACGAGCTGCCTGCCGGCAGTGTTGGTGCCTGACATTGGCTGCGGCAACGGCAAGTACCTGGGCGTGCGAACCGGCGACGTATTTATGATGGGCACGGACCGCAGCGAGTCGCTGGTGGAGATCTGTCGGCAGCGCAACTACGAATGCATGGTCAGTGACGGCTTGTGTTTGCCATACAGGACAGGCGCGTTTGATTTTGCCATATCAATTGCTGTTATTCACCATTTCTCATCGCCCGACCGTCGGCTGCAAGCAGTGAAAGAGCTGCTGAGGATTGTGAAGCAAGGGGGCACGGTGCTCGTGTTTGCATGGGCGCTGGAGCAGAACGGTCCGGCGCAAGTTTGATCCAAGCACTCAGGATGTTTTAGTGCCGTGGGTTGTTCCTAAATCGAGAAAGCCAGAGTGTGAAGGAGCTAGTGAACCAACTGACGATAAGGTCTACCACAGATACTATCACCTCTTCAAGGAGGGTGAACTCGACCAGCTATTTGTGCAGGCTGGTAGCTGCGAGCTCGTTGAGAGCGGCTACGACAGGGACAATTGGTATGTAATTGCTAAACGAAACTAGATATCGAATAGAGTATTGCATATCATTATACTTCACATACTAAAATGATTACCTGGAGGTAAGGAAATGAGTTGTATACCGCTACCAAGCAATCTTGATACATCGGCAAATACCAAAGCACCTTAAAGACTATGTTGTAGTAGCATACTTGATGCAATTCTATATCTTTGGCCGGCATAAAACTTGTAAAAGCATCTTATTAATCAGTATACCAAGGATGCAAAGTCGCTCCAAAACTCGTTTTTGAGGATAGACTTCATTTCAGAGGCTGAGGTTGTAAAGTTGACAAGAAAGTCCTTGCTGGGTGGTGGCGACGGTAGAATAAGAAAATTCGCTGCTGGGTATGTTGGGTGTGAAGTTGAAAACGCCTGCACACCACTGCCGAAATCTGCATTGTACATCCTAGCCTGGGACATGTTAGTTGTTATTGTAACAAGTTTGTACTTCATCATGGTTGCAATGAGTGCTCCTGTACTGAAGTCATCGGACTCGAGGAGGTCGATGAATGACCCAATGTACGGAGGTGTTACGTTCGATAGTGTGTCGCGGATTTGGCCAACTGTGTCGGCAAGCGTCTGGGGAGTGATCGGGTCCACTACACGGTTCATTTGGTTGGTGACGATCCTGTGCACAAGCAGGGTTTCCGAAATAGTTCATATCCGTCATTCCAAGGCGGCCGCGAAGGTCACAGGCTACAGATACGCAATGTTCACCTTCAATCCTTGCTTTGGCCTTAGTAAGCCTTGAGAGCCACCCTGGATTCTTTGCCTTTGCCCTCCGCTTTGGCTTGACCATGGACTTTGCTGCCAATTGCGGTCAAAAGGTCGTTTGAAGATACGCGTGAGCCAGGTGGCATGCATGCAAGCACCTGGCTGCGAAGGTCGTCGAGTTTGTCGCGCGAAATACGGAACAGATGGCCGCGATTGGGGGTTTTTCTCTCAATGTAGCTGAGGAGTTTCCCGCGGGTATTAGGTGGGAGCCCGACAAGCTTGTCTGCTATTAGGAGCTTTCGGGTATAGGCCCTGAAGAGTGTATCCTCCAGCGGCAGGCGCTCATTGGGGAGATATTGGCGAATAGCCGATCGGTCAAAGCAGAATCTGGTCGTTTCCGCAGGAACACCAGCGACCATTGCACGCGTCTGGTCCGCCCAGCAGTTGAAAAACTCGAAATAGCCATAGCCGTCAGTAACCCCATGGTTGACATTGAGAAGATACAAATTAGCCCGCTGTTATCCCTCAGCCGTACTACGTGGGTATTGGCGAGCTTGATCATCCCCGTAGCCTTGTCTGGGTGAGCAAAGTCACAAACAGGCACCAGATCGCTGGGCCAAGTTGACGGGCTGAAGTTGGCAGACTCGATGTCGCAGTAATGGATGTCGGACTGGGACTCGCAGTATCCGGGTAGGTTCAAGGTTTGGCTTGTCCACTACGATCTCCATCCGGCCGCCGTTCTTTTGCTTGAGATAGCCGGCGAGTATAGGAAACTGCAGCACTGTCCGATAGTAGGCTTCTTCGAGCTCCTTGGGCGGCATGAAGTTCACTGGTGGTCTCGTTGTTGGCATAGAAGAATACTGTGCGGAGATTGTTAAATGATAGAAATGATTCGAACTTGGTGAGGGCGTAGACCTCCGATTCGATGCTGTCTAAAAACTGACTCATGATAAAGCTACTTCAGAAAATGGCGTCAAAGACTATGTGGAATGGCCTACCTAGGATGCGAGTTCCAGCGACGTGTATTTATCTCACGGACAGCATTGCAGGGACATTTGTTTTGGCTAGCAGCGCCGGGGTGGGTACTTGTTTGTATTGCTGCTTGGCGAATTCATTTGGCACAAGTAATTTATTGTCATCCAGGGCATTTATTTACCAGAGTGGCTTTTGTTTCGATGCCAATGAAGGTGTTTGGCTCGATTATGTTGGATTGGGCCATATTGGAATTAAGTCACTCGATTGAACAATGGCACCGTTACTGATGGCTTGAATGCCAGCATAATGCCGACTCTTCCACGGCTGCTTCAGATAATCCGCCCCTGGCCCTGCGCACTATTTTCATTATCTTGCACACTTTGAAATCCAAAAGCTACGGAATATGTCGAGGAGGTATAGGCATGCTGCCACGCTCAGGAATTAGTCGATGGCACGGCTTTACTGTGACACAGCCATGGGTGTGCTGTTTGGATCGATGGGTGATGCATGCAGACGCTTATGTGGTAGGGTTTGATGATCAATGAATCAACCCATCGCTTCCAGCAAGCCCAAACGCTCGCTTGGCCAAAGCTTTTTCCTACTGAGGTTTGTTTTCTTGTCACTCCCGAATTCGTTATTTGCTGCCTTTTTAAATTCACAGTAAAGCAAGAATGGGCGTTCCAGGACTGTTCCGGTGGCTGCAGCACGAGTTTCCCACAGCGTGCTTCACAACCACGCGGCTGGACATACACAGCTTCCAGACCCTGTCAGTCGATCTCAACAGCACACTGCACCGGAGCGCACGGCAGAGCAATGGTGACCTGGCAACAGTATCGGCCAGTGTGGACAGAATTGTCGACCTGATCCGGCCAAAGCGGCTCGATACTCCTGTCCATCGACGGTGTGCCGCCGCGGATCAAAGAGTGGCTGCAGCGGGAGCGGCGGGCGCGGACGGCAGAGGCACAGGCGGGCAGTGGTGAGTTCCTGTCGTTTGCGATCACACCGGGGACGCGGTGGATGCGGCAGGTAGAAGCACACCTGGATGAGCACATTGAGAGAAAGCACAAAATGGACGACAAGTGGCGGCAGGTGAAGGTGGTGCTGTCAGGGTACAGGGATCCCGGTGAGGGCGAGCAGAAGATCATGCGGTATCTGGAATCCACCAGGGACACGCGGTTCCAGCACTGTGTGTGGTCGAATGACGCCGACACCGTGCTGCTGTCAGCTGGCGGCGCATGTGCCCAATATCACCATGGTCAGCGAGCGCACACCCAATGGCGTCCCGACATATACGGTTGTGGATATCGACGAGCTGGAGAGCCAGCTAGTTAAGCGGTATGCGCCGACACAAGAGATTACTGGGAATATCGTGAGGCGCCAGAAGTTCATCGACGACCTGGTGTTTATGTCGTTTCTGGCCGGCAACGACTTTCTGCCGCCGGCCGTCAACATGCAGACAACCGATTCAGATGCGCTGGATCGGCTGTGGCGGCTATATGCCGGCAGCCCGCTGGTTGATATGAATATTCACGACCGTGGTGTGATCAATGTCGACGCATTCCGCATTCTGCTGGATCTACTGGAGGTCGAATATGAGCAGAGAGATTTCCGCAAGCATATCGGCGTCATGTCGCTGGGATCGCAGCTCACGGCACTGCGGATTCGGAGGCTGGCATGGGACTCGCAGCGGCACCAGCTGTCAAACTCAGAGTCAGCAACAGCGACCGAGACAGAGGTACTACTGGAGGAGGTGGTGGAGAAGCGGCCACGGAAGAAGAAGCGGGGTAAGGAGTCGAAGAGCGAGCGGCGGGCACGCAAGGCAGTCAAGCAGAAGCAGGACCTGCCGTTCGTGTGGACCGGCGGGATCAGCGACATTTCAGGCCTCGGATACCGAGCTTGAGGTCAAGCTGCTGCCTGAAGCTGCTCCACTGGATGAGATCTTCCCTGTTTATGTTCCCTTGGGCGAGTGCCGCAGCGAGCCGACGCTGAAATACGATGGCAAGCCGCTGTTGTCACCGATTCTGTTGTCGGCTACGCAGTTCATTACCGATTTTGCTGCGAAAAAGCCAACAATGCCGGTCTGTGAGATCATCGGGTATGTCAATAGTGGGAAGCTGCGGTGGCTGCAGTCGATGGCACGGGCGCAGGGCCTGGAGCCCAAGCTGGTCGGCCCATCCGACGTCGAGTATGAGGGGATGTGCCGCAAATGGAAGCTGCAGCGCGCAAGCAAGGCCAGCGATATCCTGCTGTCTACAGCCATGGTTGTTATCGGCGATATTGACTACTGCCCACCGTCACACATCCTCACCCTGATACACGCGGAAGACACACCCGCCAGCACAACCATTGCGCTGGTCTCTGACAATGACTGGGATATACTGTATGCAGACGCAAAAACCGAGCACCGGCGGGAACAGGAGCACCACGAGTGGCGGCTGCGGCGGTACATGCAGACATACCGCACGGCCGATGCCGCTTTTATCTCCCATTTGTGCAAGCACTATGCACTGGCTGTGGGGTGGACGGCGCAATATTACTTTGCACAGACCGTACCGAGCTGGCATTATGCGTGGCCGAGAGACATTGAGTCAATGGGCACCGCCCCGATGTTTTCCGACTTTCAGCTGTATATTGAAGCGTTCGCGGAGGTTTGGAGCAGTGTGCCGCGGTCAGATCAGCCGCCGCCGCTGCCCCGTGAGCACATGCTCAGCGTATTGCCAAAAGAGGCGTGGAAGCTGCTAGACGCCGATGAGCAGCAGTGGGCACAGATGCTGGCCGGACAGCAGTACTCGGAGAGCGCGCGTAAGGTGGTCAGAGCAAGGATGGAGAACCGGCTGGAGGATATTGCCTGTGTGAGGATCTGGTTTTAAAAGCTGTCGATCACTCAGCCTTCGTGCGTGGGAGCCATGCGCCTGGGCGCACGCAGGCCATCATGCATGCCAGTTCGGCGTTGCATTCTGAATGCCACACTTGCATCGGTTTTTTCCGAGGGCAGATGGCTTTAAAAATATATTTGTATGCAGTACGCAGGTCTGGTGTGAGTGCAAAGGGGCCAGGCGAGGGGGTGGTTCACGATAAGTTACAAAGGGGGCGTATTTAACAGTGGTTGATGTGTTGGTAGAAAATTGTCGGGTTGTTGAAGTACCTCTGGCACTGGCTGCAGTATATCAACGAGTCGGCGGACTGTGGGCTGGCTGTGCTGTAGACCGACGTGAACTTTGACGTATCGGGGTTTGGCACCCAGACGTTCTGGATCAGAATATCCTCGGGCTTGACCTCAGGGATGGTAAGCTTGGGCAGGATGTGCTTGCTCTTAAAGGACATGTTTACAGTTCGGAGAAAAAGCGATGTTTTGGTGAAGGGTGGTGAAGCAAAGGAGAAAAAGGATGGGCCGACTCTTCTCTGGGCTGACCAAAAAAAAAAAGCACTTTGGCCGAACCTCAGCGATTTCTGACAACACATATTTTTTCTGACTCGGTGGAATCCAGCAGCGTGGGGAAAAGTAAAATTAACCTGGAGAGACATGGATTTATCTCCTAGTAACTGGGAAAACGAAATATTGATATTTCCAGGTCGCCATCGGTAGCGTTCCTTGCATTTTAGACGATTGCGCACGCGCCAGGCAGCGCAGCGCTCAGACGGCATTGGGAGTGGCCCCTGTACATCGATAGCGCATCGATCAAACATGGTCCCATCGATGGAATGTGAGCAAGCGAGGCAGCACGTGATAGAGTCGAATAAGCCATCCCAGGCCAATGAGCACGGCCAAAAAAAGAGTAGTGTGGGGTTTGAAAAAACTTTCGCTCCTCTCCTCTTTATGAAATAAAAGGCAATTTAAATTCAAAGTTTTTGCAAAATGGAGGTCGACCAAGAGTATGCTCAGCCTACGCCGGCACTGGCAGCCAGCAGCACATCGAGCACACCGACAGCCGAGATAACCACTACTGTAACACCAGCCTCTGGCGCGCCTAACGTAACGGTGACAACAAGATTGCAAACTGCGCCGCAGCCGCAAACAGCATCGGCAGTATCGCCAAGCGGATTGGCAATGGCCATGCACAACGCGCATATGAGTGCGCTAACGGAGACAGCATATGGTGGGCCTGCGGCGGCGCCGTTTTTCCAGGATAACCCGCACCAGGTGCACTCGTTCATGACGGACACGCATGGGGTGAGCCACTACCATCGGCCAAGCAGCATCCACCGCAACATTGCGCATGCGCGGTGGACGCAGCAGATGGCGATGCAGCAAATGGAGGTACAGCGCGAGATGCACATGATGCACCACCAGAACCTGCAGGCGATTCAGCAGGCACCGCAGCATAATATGGAGGCCCAACACCGTGCAGCACAGTCGATGGAGATCCAGCAGATGGCGATCCAGCAGATGGAGCTACAGCGCGAGATGAACAAGTTGCACCATCGGAACTTGCAGGCGATTCGGCGGGCGTCGCGGCAGCATATGGAGGCACAGCATCGCGCGGCACAGCAGGTGGCACGTCGGCTGGCCAACGCGCGGCTCCCGCATATCCAAAATGGGGAGCCATCGATTAACAGCGACGTGAGCCGCATGCTGATGGCGCCGCTGTTCGACATGCACCGTCGGCCGTTTGCCACCCCTGAGCGTTTCCGAGTGCGACATATGCAGCGGGTTGAGATGCTGCAGGCAATGCATCAGAGGCCGCGGCAGCATAGGCCGAATAGGGAACAGGGCAAGAAGGGGCCCATCATCGAGGAGATCAACAGCGGGCAGACATCTAGAATAGAGAGCGAAGTGGAGGAAGAAAAGGAGGCCGAGGACGAGGACGAGTGGGTGTCGGATGGAGATGACGTGCTGAGCCAGGAGACGAAGGAGATGATTGAGCGGATCCGGCGGCGCGCGGCAGACCGCAGGAGGGTCTTCCGCGGAGGCATCTCGAAGCCAACGGCCAGCACCCGGTCGCAGCGCCTGCGGAATGCTGCGGGTGCGTCAGGCAAGACCCGTGAAGAGCTGTCAAAGGCGTACAGGCAGTTTATGCGTGACGGGGCCAACGGCCAAGAGCTTGTTACCCAGATGGGCTCGGGCGACACCTATGCAGTGCAGCAGATGCTGGATGCTGGCATTCCGGTGGACATTGCAGACAACATGGGCCGCACACCGCTGCACATTGCGTGCTCGCACGGCAACGCCGACACTGTCCGATTGCTGATTTCCAGGGGCGCCAGCGTCAATGCCACCGACCGCATTGGCAACACCCCACTCGCATTGGCAGCTACCAGCACGGGAACTGAGTCAGTCATTGCCTTGCTGGAGGCTGGCGCCGACCCGCGTATCGGCTCAGGCACAGTGTCGGCGATGGGCATGGTTCGGTCGCGGCTGAAGCGCATGCGGGCGGCGATTAGGGAGACGCGTGTGGTGGAGGACGCAGTTGACTCGCAGCTTCTGGAGCGGGCACTGGCAGCTGCCCGTGACCGGCGGAAGCAGGCAACAATGGTGGCCCGCGAGTGCATGGACATCATCCGCATGCTGCGCAGCTACTCACTGCAGCAGATTATGCTAGAGAACGAGGAGGCCGATGCAGAAGAGCCCAAGGACAAGGGAGGAGAAGCCACCAAAGGCGCTGACGAATGAGGGTCTGTCTGATCTGGACGACTTGACGGCGCAGCTGCAATCACTGGGCATGGCAGAGCAGCCGAATGAGCCGGAGGCGGAAGAAGAGGCGATGCCGGATATTGTTGGTGTTGCTGTTCATCGGGTTGCCAAGAACACGTATGCGGGCAAGATCGCCCAGGAGAAGCAGGAGGAGGAGCAGATGGATGCATTGCTGGAGAAGTTTTCGCTGCTACTGACCAATGCCGGCGCCAACGGCGATGAGTAAAAGCATCTGCCGGGGTGGCTTTTCTGTCTCACCTTGGGTTCTATTTTCATTGGCGCCGCCCCGCGGTTCCCTGTATGTCTCCAGGAAAGCGATGCTGGCCCGAACACGAATATTTGAATCACCGATGCAAGGCGCTCCTCATATATATTTCGACACTTGTCTAGATGTGTCTTTACTAATTGTAGTTGCTTGTGCTTAAATTTAATTGCATTATTGGTCTACATAGGGTGGTCGGTAGCGAGGTGGGATATAGCGACGCTGTTGTTGTTGTTTTCGGTACGCCGTTTTTGATTCTTCAGCGCACTCCGGCATTCTGGGTAGCGCCTCTCATTTGGCCTGGGTTTTGTTTAATGATCATTCCGTTTGTTGTTGGTCCAGTAACACCACATTTCCTGCTCACATACCCTGTCCCCAATAAATATCTCTCCTCACCCCCTCACCGCTTACTAATTCACTTACCATATTTCTCCCTCCACCACCTGCACCACCCCTATATCATGTCGCTTCATCTGTGTAAAGACTGCATGACGGCGTTTGAAAATGAAGACTGGTACCATACCCACATGCTGCGTATTCACAACATCGATCTGCCAGCAAGAAGGCAGATGTCGATGAACTCGTCTGTCTGCTCGATTCCAAGCCAGCCAGCAATTGACGAGCGGGTTGTGGAGCACCGGCCAGGGTCGGTTTTACCAATGCTGTTTAGTGCGATCAGGCGGCGCCTGTCTCTCTGGTAGAAAAACAATTATCAATTACTTTGCTCATGATGTGAGCCCGGACTGCTAGGTCAGCATGGTTTGGCAACGTCAATAAAGAGCAACACGGCGAACCGGTCATTTGAACGTGTCGGATGGTTGTTGGTACAATGGTCGATCATGGACATCTCCTGTCTTGATGGCCTGCCCAACGCGGGTGTCTCTGCGCTGGTTCGTCGCTACTGGGAGCAGAATAGCCTGTAGCTGCAGCACGCCTCTTGCACGGCTTCTTTATTGCCGGAGTGGATGCCAGAAGCATCAGCAGCAATAGGCCGTAGAACGACGGAACCGTTCAGGAATACTGACTGAATCACAGGACTGGAAAATGAGTCTGGAGTTTAGAACTGCTGCGAGATCGCGGTTCAAGATCCGAGACGAATAGGCTCGCCTGTATTGTGCCATGGCCTGCTTACATGAACTCGCTTTGTACAGCGGAGAAGGCCATTGGCACGTCACAGTTGGGTTCTTCGATCTCTGGTAGGGCCGCGGATTGGGAACATGCCAGAATGTCTGCAGGCGACTTTTTGCAGCAGAACGGGCACATCGACGATGTCCGGAATTCGTCGATCCAGATAGACTTCAAAGCCATGGTGCTTGAACTTGTCGCGCCCATCCCTTGCCTACGGATCGGCGCATGGTGTCGGGCCATCTGGCGCACTCCAATTGCCCATTTTCTGCACCAGATCTGGACCGAACTTGGCTCCAGGGGTTTGCGGCAAGCTGACCGTTCCAGGTCTGAGCGCCGAGGATGCGAAAGTTGAGTGATTCGTTTATTGGACTGCTAAACATACAAAATGCGGAGGAACTAAGACGAATGGCCCTTTAATACATGGACCAAGGTTCGATTTTACCAGTGCTATTCAGGTATATATGGAACACCTTAGGATCTGAATCCATCGGGCAAAAGGGGAATACTGTTTTATGTGTTCATATAGCGAGTCATGCATACTCGTTGCGAGGCTCAGGAAAGCCTGAATCTATTCAGTTAATAAAAACGCTCTAGCAGGCGGTCCGGCGCTTTTTGGTCTATATTTTTTATGCCAGAGGTAGGTTAAGGGAAACAACATTTACTTTTCCCTCGTTCTCGCGGATAATCTGAAGCATGTCCTCGACCCGAGTGACTTTCTCGCGCGGCTTGCCAATTTCCTTGCCTGCAGCAAACTCGTACTCCTCCAGCCTCCTCCAGTCGTCGTTGGATACACGCTGGCCCTTTACTTTTTCCAGGACCGCGTCGATCTGTTCGCGCGAGCACTTGCCGTCAGGAATGTTCTTGTTGTTGATGTCCATGACAATGGTATCGGCTGTGTGGTATGCGTCTTGCATGGTGGTTGCAATGACCCCGACGGGCCCACGCTTGACCCACCCGGATACATATAGGCCAGGCACGACGTCTTCGCCGTCGACAACGCGCCCGCTGATATTTGGTACGATCTTCTTGGCAGAGTCGAACGGCGCACCCTCCACCGGCGTGCTGGCATATCCGATGCTGCGCAGGACCATACAGCACGGAACTACAGTTGTTCTGTCCGTAGGCACAGCCCTGGCGCTTTCCGCCGGGCCCTCAAGCGTATTGTGGTTGAGTAGAATCGCCTGTGGATACTCAATCTGGCCATCATCTGAGTTGATGGCATTGTATACGACCTTGGTAGGGCTCCTCAGGAACTCGAGCCGAAGCGTCTTCTTCTGATCCCCGGATGGCAGGGTGCGCCCGTGCTTGATCAGCAGGTCCATCATGCGTTTGAGTGGCCGCGACTTGGCCAGCAGCTCCTTGTTCTGCTCACACTCGCGCTTAATCAGTGGTACGTCGGTGATGATCTCCAGGCCCGGGATCTTGGTCATTTCGCGCAGCTCCTTGATTGTGAATGACGCCTGCAGAGGGCCACGCCGGCCAACCATGACAACATTGGTGACCGAGCTCTTACGTAGAGCCTCCAGCGCGTTGTAGGTGATGTCGGTTTGGGCCAAGACCTCAGGATCAGTAAGCAGGATGCGCGCGCAGTCCAGCGCGACATTGCCGTGTCCAATTACAACCACTGTCTCGAGCGAATTAAGATCGGGCTGCAGGTCCCTGCGCCTCTGGCAGTCCGTTGTACCATCCGACAAACTCGCGTGCTGCCAGCACTCCATCCGATCCCTCTATGCCGTCTTCGCCCGGGATCCCTAGCTTCTTGTCCTGGCTGGCACCGTACGCCAATACCACGCCATCGTATGTGTTCTTTAGCTCGTCGAGCTGAATGTCCCGGCCCAGCTTGACGTTGCCGAAATACCGCACGTTCTTGTTAGGCCGCCACTTCCTCAAACTTGCTCATGCAGTTTTTGACCTCCGGGTGGTCGGGCGCGACGCCGTACCGTACAAGTCCCGTGTGGTGTCGGCAGCCGCTCGAAGATATCGATTTGTGTGTCGGGCGCTTTTGCCAGGAGCCGTGCAGCCGTATAGAATCCTGCAGCACCGCCGCCCGCAATCGCTATGTTGGTGTCGACTGCGCGTGTCGTCGAGAACAGGCGCCGTGAAACCGGAGAGCGCGCGGGGAATGTGAATCGCAGCATTGGAATCAGAAAAATACGAATTCGCAGTAGACAGCGGAGGTGAGAAGGGCGTATTTTTATCGCGATCCAGCTCGCATTTGCGGACTGCTTGATAATTACTAATGAATACCAAGAAAATGGCCGAAATACATGTGCCTCAAATGGTCGACAGGCGGTAAGACCACAAAGCAGTCCGGATGTGGCCGATACGTGCTAATTATATGCCTGGTTTCAGGGTGCCACCATCGGGGCTCGTGGATAAAATGACAGCCAGCGGCCCGAGTCACTGCCGACCACACATCTGCGTATTCCCTCTCCACCATGAAGTACATTGCCCTCGTCTTTATCTTTGCGTCCACTATCGGTGCTCTGCCTTGCATTGGCCCTACCTGCCCGAGCACTCCCACGAGCAGACCGCTAATAAACCTTCGCATTGACGCCTCAGAAGACAGTAGAAAAGACGGCCTCCTGAACATCGACGCTTTGGACCGCTATGTTGTTGCCCGCGTTGGCGGTACGCCGCTGGCTCCTGAAGAGAAAGGCAAGCTCATCAATGCCGAGATCCTTGTGAGCTCAACCATAGCACCGCCACTCTGGGGTAACGCATTCCATTAGTTAACAACCGTTGAATAAATGTGTTTTATTTCGACGCCATGGGCTCAAATTTGCTAAAGTATCTGTCGCGGAAGCGCATATGAGCAGGTGCGTGCTCTGGGGCCGGCGTCGACTCGGTTGACTCGTCTATCTCGCGCACCTTCTCCATGGTAACGAGTCCTGCGGCTCCACCCGCCGAACGGCTGCTCCGAATTAGCCACCAGCCTGAACACCTCGTGCTGGGGGATATCCTTCGGATCGTACTCATCGGCGACGGTCGGCAGCCAGTACACAAGCCGTCCGCCGACCACCAGGTTCTCTGCGGCAAAGTTCAAAAGATCGGTAATAACCTCGGCCATCTCATAGGGCACGGTAGGCGGATAGTAGTTCTCGCGCTTGTAGTTCTCAACGCCGTCGATGATTCTGAAGCTGTTCTCGGCCACAGTGCCGTCCTTGCGGCCAAGGCGCTTGGCGCCAGCACGCACGCCATAGGGCGGATCGGTCACGATGGCGTCGAATTTGGCGCCCTTCCGCCACGGGTTGCGGCAAATATCAAAGACAAGCGTGTCGACGACCTTGTCGGCAAGGTTGTACTGCTTCAGGTTGGCACTGATGCCGTCGACGCCGCGCCGGAACCCGGCGGTGCCGCGGATCTGCCGCCCGTCAATGTCCGAGCCCATCGAGAGGGCGCCAAAGTGCGAGCATGTGAGCAGGAAGCTGCCAGTGCCTACAAACGGATCGTAGACCAAGGCACCGGGTCTTGCCAGCGCCTGGTTGGCCATGACCAGCGACAGCTCGGCGTCCATTGATGTGTTGCCCAGGTACTTGCGCTTCTTCAAATCGTACTTGCTGACCAGATCGCGGCTGCCGCTGGCGATAATGCGCCCGAACCAGATCTTCTTGGGCACCGCCGCCGCGTTCGTCTGTGTCGCTGACTCGCCATAGTCCTCGAGCACGGCGAATTCGACATCCGGATTGCGCATTTCGATCTTGCCCTCGAAGCCCAGGAAGCTGAACGACTCGATCACGGATATCTGCTCCTTGGTTGTCAGGGATTTGCCGAACCCGCCCACGGTGAACTTGAATGACGACTGGTTGTAGTCGGCCCAGCGCTCTGGTGTCTGCTTGACCTCGGCAAACAGCTCGTCATACGTTGTGCCGCTGCCCCAGTACTCGACAATCCTGCGCAAGAGAATCGCTCGCCGCACCAGCTTGGCCGCCAGCTCGTCTGAAGCCACCTCAATCACCAAGAACGGCGACATGGTATCGTAGGTCGACGGGTCATAGCTGATCTCGACGCCCTCAAGCGTTGCCAGTGACTCGAGCTCGGCTAGCCGGAAGTCCTCGTGGAAATGCGCAAATTGTACGATATACTTTGGCATGGTAGAAAATCAGAAAACGAAGAGTGCGCAAGGATACATTTTCCAATTTTTCTGTAAAATAGCTCTGATCTTGAAGCTAGAAATGGAATATTGGTCGTGATCGATCTAAGAATCTGGGGCAAAGATTAGTTTTCCTAAACTTTTTTTTTTTGTCGATGGTTCGAGCAGGCAAAGGCGGCAGAGCTTTTCATCCTGCTTTCTTGCACACTCACACCTTCATTCGCCTACCATTTCTTAAACCCAAAAAAAAGTATATATTACAAGGCATGGTTCGCAAGGCGGTAGACGCGCGTATTAACACGCTGATCAAGAACGGGGTTCAGCAGAACCACAGATCATTCTTTGTCCTCGTTGGCGACAAGGGCAAGGACCAGGTAAGAATGCAGAGGGCAAAGGCGCTTCAACGATGGCGGTTTCTGGGCGCCACACATACATGCTAACCCCAAGGCGTATGGCATAATAGGTGGTGAACCTACACTGGATGCTGTCGCAGGCACGGGTGACAGGACGGCCGTCGGTTCTGTGGTGCTACAAGAAGGAGCTCGGGTTCACGAGCCACCGCAAGAAGCGGGAGGCGAAGATCAAGCGGGACATCAAAAAGGGGATCCGCGAGGCGAACTCTGAGGATCCGTTCGAGATGTTCATTGCGCTGACAGACATCAGGTACACGTACTACAAGGAGTCGCACAAGATCCTGGGAAACACATACGGAATGTGCGTGCTGCAGGACTTTGAGGCACTGACGCCGAACATTCTGGCGCGGACGATCGAGACGGTGGAGGGCGGAGGCATTGTGGTGCTGCTGCTCAAGTCGATGAAGTCGCTGAAGCAGCTGTACACGATGACGATGGATGTGCATTCGCGGTACCGGACGGAGGCGCACGGAGACGTGGTTGCGCGGTTCAACGAGCGGTTCATCCTGTCGCTGGCAGACAACCGGTCGTGCGTGGTGCTGGACGACGAGCTGAACGTGCTGCCGATCTCGCTGGGCAAGAGCGTGAAGCCGGTGGCGCCCAAGAAGTCGAGCGTGCTGGAGCCGCGCCAGCAGGAGCTGGCGGATCTGAAGAAGTCGCTGGAGGACACGCAGCCGATCGGGGCGCTGGTGGGCAAGGCCAAGACGCTGGACCAGGCGAAGGCGATTATGACGTTTGTGGATGCGATCTCAGAGAAGTCGCTGCGCGCGACGGTGTCGCTGACGGCCGGGCGTGGACGCGGCAAGTCGGCGGCGCTGGGAATTGCGCTGGCCAGTGCGATTGCGTACGGGTACTCGAACATCTTTGTCACATCGCCGTCGCCGGAGAACCTGAAGACGCTGTTCCAGTTTGTGTTCAAGGGCTTTGATGCGCTGGGGTTCGAGGAGCACACGGACTATGACATTGTGCAGTCGACCAACCCAGAGTTCCGCGATGCGGTGGTGCGCGTCAATGTGTTCCGCAAGCACCGGCAGACAATCCAATACATCCAGCCGCAGGATGCGTTCACGCTGGCGCAGGCGGAGCTGGTGGTGATTGATGAGGCGGCAGCAATCCCGCTGCCGCTGGTCAAGAAGCTGATGGGGCCGTATCTGGTGTTTATGGCGTCGACCATCAACGGATACGAGGGCACAGGCCGGTCGCTGTCGCTGAAGCTGATCCAGCAGCTGCGCGAGCAGTCGCGTGGATTTGTATCCGGGGCGTCGGGCAGCGGGTCGGTCAGTGCAGGCGGGCGGACGCTGAAGGAGGTGGCGCTGGAGGAGCCGATCCGGTACAGCATGGGTGATGCGACCGAGCAGTGGCTCAACAAGCTGCTATGCCTGGACGCAACCGTGGTGCCCAAGACGCTGAGCGGCTGCCCGCACCCGTCAGAGTGCGAGCTGTACTGGGTTAACCGCGACTCGCTGTTCTCGTATCACCCGGTGTCTGAGGCGTTCCTGCAGCGGCTGATGGGGCTGTTTGTAGCGTCGCACTACAAGAACTCGCCAAACGACCTGCAGCTGATGAGCGATGCGCCAGCGCACCAGGTGTTTGTTTTGCTGCCGCCAATCGACCCAGCGGCGGCGACGCTGCCGGAGCCGCTGTGCGCCATCCAGGTGTGTCTGGAGGGCGAGATCTCGCGGCAGGCGATCATGAACACGCTGGGACGCGGCGAGCGCAACGACGGCGATTTGATCCCGTGGCTGGTGTCGCAGCAGTACCAGGACGAGGACTTTGCGGCGCTGTCGGGCGCGCGCGTGGTGCGGATTGCCACGCACCCGGACTACGCCAGTATGGGCTACGGCGGGCGGGCGCTGGAGCAGCTGCGCGACTTCTATGAGGGCAAGTTCCACTCGCTGCAGGAGCCCGACGCCGAGGGCATCCGCAGCTCGCTGGCAGACAGCGAGGAGGGCGGATTGCGGCGGATCACGGATTCGGAGCTTGATCAGGCGGATCTGCGCAAGGACGCCGTGGGCGTGCGCGACGCAAAGGCACTGCCGGCGCTGTTCATGCGGCTGGCAGAGAAGAAGCCCACGCGGCTGCACTGGCTGGGCGTCAGCTACGGGCTGACCGCCGGGCTGCACAAGTTCTGGAAGCGCGCGGGCTACGCGCCCGTGTATATGCGGCAGACCAGCAACGAGCTGACGGGCGAGTACACGTGCGTGATGCTCAACGAGCTCGCCACCGACGGACTGGCGGTGCGTGCCAAGCAGGACTGGCTGGATGCGTTTGCACGCGACTTCCACCGGCGCTTCGCCACGCTGCTGTCGTACTCCTTCAAGGACTTCACGGTTGTGCTGGCCATGAGCATCCTGGATGCCGCGCGGGCTGGGCGCAGTGCGCAGTCGCTGCAGGCCGACGCCAGCGTGCAGTTCACGCGCGATGACCTGGAGCGCGATTTCTCCGGCTACGACCTCAAGCGCCTGGAGTCGTATGCCAACAATATGCTGGACTACCATGTGATCCTTGACCTCCTGCCGACCATCGCGCAGCGCTACTTTGGCGCGCGCTACGGCTCCGGCGTGTCCTTGTCTGGCGTGCAGGCCTGCATTCTTCTGGGCATCGGCCTGCAGCACAAGTCAGTGGACGCAGTCGAGAAGGAGCTGAACCTGCCGTCGCGCCAGATCCTGGCGCTGTTCACCAAGATCCTGCGCAAGTTCTCCAACTTTTACCGCGACCTCGAGACCAAGGCGATTGAGGACGAGTTTGACCAGGAGCACGGCGAGGAGAAGCGCGGCGCCAAGCGGTCGCTGACGGATGACGCAGCGTGGGACCCAACCAAGCAGACGCTGGCCGAGGAGCTGGATGAGGCCGGCCGCGAGGTCTCGGAGGAGTTCAAGGAAAAGCAGCGCGAGCTGATCGACGCCATGGACATGTCGCAGTATGCGATTGGCGGCGAGGACAAGGACTGGGAGGCGGCCGAGGGTCAGATCCGCAAGGCAGCCAACAGCGGCAGCGTGCAGACGGTCGTCAGCGTCAAGAACATGGAGAGCTCCAAGCGCGCGCGCACCGAGAAGAAGGTCGCCGCGGGGCTAGCCAAGTCCGAGGAAGCGCACCAGCGCAAGGCTGCCGCCCGCAAGCCCACCAAGGTCAGCAAGAAGACCAAGCGCACCTAATTTTTTTCTTTTATTACAGTCTCCATTCAAACCTTCCTATTTCTTCTTGGACCACGGGAACATGCGGCTGCGCAGCATCGACGACATGCCGGTGCTGGCGTTCAGGGCCTCGGAGATCAGCGCGTCCTGCAGCGCCGACTCAGTGATCGAGCTGTCCGACAGATCGCTGAACGACCCCAGCGACGACGCCTTTTCCTCCGACGGCTCCTCCGCCAGCTGCACCTCGGCGACATTCGGGTCTGCCGGCCCGCCCACCGACCGCATCCGCACACTAGCAGCCGGCGCCGTTTTCATCGAGTGGTCCTCGGGCTGCCCAATGCTCCGGTCCTCCTCAGGCGTCCTGGTGCTCAGTCCGACGGCCGGCGACGGCGTCCGCGTGCCCAAGGACTCGACGCTACGCAGCCCGGCATCCGCCAATGGCTCCTCGGGCGCATCGGGCGTCCCGGGGCTCCTGCTGGCCTGTTCGGCCGCCGCCCGCGCGCTCATCTGCACTTCGCTGTCTTCCAATTTCAGGCTGCGCCCCGTGTGCCGCTCGAATAGCATTGCCGCCGCCGCAAGCACCTTATGTAGCGGTACGTTGAGGTCGTGGGCGAGCAGACCCCAGTCAAATGTCACTTCGTCCTCTTCGATTTCCGCCAGAATCTCCAATGGCCGGCCTTGCGGCGCCGTAAGCAGGTACCGCCAGACTTGCTCGTCCAAGGGCGTAGGTGCAGGTGCTACAAGCGTGGGCTGTGGGAATGCCTCGGGGCGCTTGAAGGGGAACCGGAATATTATGTTGACCGGACGGTCTGCCGAACCTGTGTCCATCAGGGGCGTGGCTGCGGTATTGATGTAGAAAAAGTGCCAGGGTCTGAGAGTGGGCTGAGAAGTAGGCTGATGCATATTTTGCGACAGAGTGCTGCAGCTGTTTATTCTTTGTCGGTAATGCGAGTATAAAATGGGCACGCGACATGGCGAACGCTTGCTACGCTTGGCTATACGCTGAGGCTGTATATCTATGAGCGCCAAGACCGCATTGCAGGCGGCTTCCTGCCCCTAGTTCTTTACGAGTTTTATGTGGTACTCCGCCATATATTCCACAGCTGCCATCGACCATTGACAGCGCTGGCAGTATCTAAAACTAGCCTGCAGCACACGCGGGTGTTCAAATAAGATCATCAAGGAACGCCTCCAGCTCATCCGCCGCTGGCTTCTTCGGCGGAGTGGGCAGCACCGCCGGCTTCTTCACCGGCTGAGGTCTGAACGCCGGCCTCACTGCTGGCTGTGCTGCCGGCCTCACCGTCATCAACTTGCTGGTCTGCAATGTCGCCGGCACCCGCCTCTCCACCCGCGCCTCCACCGGCATCCCGACCGATTCCTCGACCTGGGGCATCTCCGTCCACTCATCAATCCCCAGCAGCCCATGCAGGTCCTGCCATTCCGCCGCATCCCTGCTTAGCATCTCCCATGGCACCTCCACCAGCTTCTCCCACACATGGCTCTCCGGCAACTCCACTGTCTCGGACTGCAGCTGAAAGTACACAGCCGATTGTTCTGCTGCCAGCCCGTCCGATTTGTCCTGCATGTATTTGAGAAAGTCTGCGATGTCCTGTTCGTCCTGTGCGTCGCTGGGCACGTCGCTGGGGTCGGCGTATCGCCAGGAGTTGTCCTGCATGTTTCGTCGCGAGAACTGCTTGCGGTCAACTGATGGTGAGGTGCTTGGATGGTCGGCTGGGCGCGACTTGCCGTGGCGCTCCCGGTGCGTCTGCGCCGCCTCCTTGTGCGTCGCCTGATACCGGCGACTAGCCTTCTGTTTGTGCAAGTCTGGACGCATCTTTCAGAGAATAGCAATCGAAACACTATATCTTTTTTTTTTTTTAAATTGTTTATCGTATATTCATAATAGGAACTGGAAGATTCAGAGATATGGAACAGATAAGAAAAATAACGTCACTGGCTCTCCGTGAACATAGACACCAGAAGGCCAATAAGCAACGCCAATGTGGCTGTTGCGCACGCGCCCACCATCGTCCGCGACACCGGGAACCGGCCCTTGGTCATCAGCAACTGCGAGTGGAAGTACCGGTACAGGCCCAGCACCACAAACACCATTCCGAGCACCACAAAACACACCCCCAGGATCTTCCCCTCCACCGGGTCTTGCTCGCTGCTCGCCTGCGCCTCGCCCTCGCCCCCCAGGTCTATCGATACCCGGTACAGCTGCCGTATCGCTACCCCGACCGTCACCAGCGAGAGCGATGTGCGGATCCACGCCAGGTATGTACGCTCATTTGCTACAGGAAGATTCGTGGGATTTTTGCTGCTCAGTCTGGGAACTTTTTTCTGATGAGGTTCAGCGCATAACCCCCCTATCTCTCCACCCCCTTTTCCCTGGCATGCACGAATGGTGCAACACGCAGGCTATGGCGCCATCTCTGTGCACGCCGATAGGGCTTTGGTGGAATGAGGCAATGCACGCTAATGTATGTTCGGCTCGCTCTGTCACCATTTGTGGGCCATATCTCGCATCATCCGGTTTATCGCCCTTCCAGGGTTCAAAATACTGTATCCTCAACACTGTACCGGCATCTTACCTAAGTGATCGCGGGCAACACTACCCTTGTTCTCCAGTTTTAGAGACAGTAAATCCAACAAGCCAGACATTGTATGAGTGCACTAGAAAATAAAAGAGCCAGAAAATAAATAGGTTGGAGAGAAGCAAAAGAGATTAGGAAGGAAAGGAGCAGCTTTTTTGCCTCGCCTCGGAGTTTCGGTACTCCCGCCGCACATAAAATTCTAGTTTGATTACAGCATTGCGCTTTCGGCGACCTTCACAGAGAACACAGGAAGGTTCGTCCCTCGCAGGCAGCAAGTGACTTGACTCAGCGAACCAATTGCCTGCCGCAGATTGCCATCCACCCCACATTGTGGATTTGGGTTTCCTGAGCCAAGACAAACCCCCGCCCGCCACCAGCTCACCTTTAATGCCTCAGGCAGAAAGCCACTTGGCCGTGGCACCACGACGCGAGTGAGAAGTGCTTATTGACAGCCAGCCTTGTACGCAATAGCCGCGTATGTGGGTGGCGCAAACAAATCGACGCACAGATGTTTGGTTTTGTTGAAGGTTGATGCTATTTTGTGAAGGAAAAAAGTTAGGGAAAGCGATAAAGAAGAGGCATATGTGAACAGGGAATTAATCTCCACCCTTTACATGACAATTCCAGGCTCGCACACATTCGAGCTGATGGACTTGTGGGGCAGTACCGAGGCACCGTTGACGTACACCTCGTCGGCGACATGCACATCGTCGCCAAGCACAGTGACGCCGTCAAGACGCGACCAGCGCCCGACGCTCGAGTGCCAGCCGACAATGCTGTTCTTCACCCACGCGTAGTCCTTGACCTGGACGCCGTCCATCAGCACGCAGCGCTGCAGGCACACGCCGTCGCCGACCGTGACATTCGGTCCGATGGTGACGTTGGGCCCGATCTTGCACCCCTTGCCGATCTTGGCCGACTCGTGCACCAGCACGTTGCCGCCGCACACATACGGCTCCGACGCCGGCACCAGCATGTGCGGCGCCTTCTTGGCCACCGACGACAGATACAGGCACGTACCCGTCAAAAAGTCCTTCGGCTGGCCCACATCCATCCAGAAGCCCTCCAGGTCAAACGTGTGCAGCTGCATGTCGCGCGCCATTGCCGGGAAGATCTCCTTCTCAATCGACGTCGGGCGCAGCTCGATGCGGTCCAGGATGCTCGGGCTGAAAATGTAGATGCCTGCGTTGATGCGGTTGCCCACATACTCGACGGGCTTCTCGACGAACCGGTCGATCTTTGTGTTGTTCGGCTGCGTCACAATCACACCGTACTTGGACGGCTCCTCGACCTTGGTCGCCAGGATCGTGCCCTCGTTGCCGTGCGCCAGGTGGAAGTCGCGCATGTCCTCGAACGGATAGTCGCATGTGACGTCGGCGTTCAGCACAAAGAACGGCGAGTCGTCCTTGCCCAGGATCTCGCACGCCAGAGCCAGAGGCCCGGCCGTGCCCAGCGGCTCGGTCTCGACGGAGAAGGTGATGGTGATGCCAAACTTCTCCTCGTACTTCTTGAGGACCGCAACCATGACCTCGGGCTTGTAGTTGACAGCCAGGACGACGTCAGTGACGCCAGCCTACAGCAAGAACAAAAACGGAAAAGCGCAATAGAAAACATGCGATGCAGTTAGCGAGCGTGTCGATCATTCCACTGCCTCTTTTCAACTTCCGATCCCAGAGCCGAGTGCGAAAATGGAATCCTGGGCTGATCCCCATTCGCGATGGGCCTTGAGCTGCTGTGCTGTTGCTGCAGCATCAAGAATCGCTCAAAAAAAGCAAAACATAAACAACGCAGAAATCAATCTGGAAGCGGACCAGGGGGCACAGATTCCTCAACCCAAGAATCAGCCATTGACCCAGACCATGTGCGCATTACCGGCTGTGGAGACCGGCTGCACGAGTCCAGAGCTACCCCCTGCACCCAATGCATCGGTCTGGCGGCAGGACCAGCTTGCTTACCTTGACCAGGGCCTCGATCTGGTGCAGAATCATCGGCTTGTTCGCAAAGTCGACGAGCGGCTTGGGAACAGTGAGGGTGAGAGGGCGCAGACGGGTACCGAAGCCTACAGCACGCGTTTTGCGGCGACAAGAGGAATGCAATCTGCTTAGCTGGACGATGATATGGCTTGCGCAGCGCAGCTATGCTATGCTATGCTATGCTGTGCTATGCTGTGCTGCTATGCAGACAGGAAGTGAGGAGTGCTTGTGCGCGTCTCCCTGTTTGGCTGCACAGCCAATGCAGAAACTTACCACCGACGAGAATAAGAGCCTTCATGGTTTGGATATGTGTCTGTGCGTATGTGTGTTAAAGAGGGGAGAGGAGGGAGGGGCGAAGCGCGAAAGCGTGGGGTGTAGCTAGCAAACAAAAAAGCGAGAGCGGTTATGAAAAGACAGGAAGTGGGAGAAAAAGCAATTGACGATACTCAAGGAGGAAAGAAAGCAGAGCCTGTCCCTGGGCCATGCCGCTGTCTATTTAACCTCCATCAGGCACCAGGCCGGCTGTTGCTGCGTTCACTGCCGGCAAGAAGAAAGTGGAGCAGCCAATTAAGCCTGGCAAGTAGGAAACGCGCTGTGCCCCTCTCGCACTCGCCGGGCTGCAATCCTCCAAGGTATCTCTCTTTCCTCGTCGTTACGTGGGCCAATCGCTTCTACCCACGCCCGCCAATCCGCGCAATGATGGCAGAGGCCAAAAATAAACATCTATCTAGGCCGACAGAATTGCCCTGGCCCCGCACCAACAGCAACCTGTTCGGCGGCGACTGGAGGGGAGCCAAAATAGCCCACTGGCAGTTCTATTTTTCGCTCACTAGCTGGCGGCATCAGGGGCACGCATCTTTAGGCACACTCATTTATTTTTGTGGGGTGATGCCAGCCGTCCTGCGTGTCACAATGCTGGGGCGCTTGTGGAGCACACTGGTCGTGTATGAGTGGTGGTGCCAGTTCACCTAGCGGCTAGCAGCTAATTATTGCCTAAATTGGGGCCCAAACAAAGGTGGTGGTGAGACCGCATGGTCAGAATGGGCTGCTCGTTGCACACGGACCAAGACCGTCTTGCCGCTCTAGCCCTCCCCCTGATGTCCCGTAGCACGGAGGACCCCACGGCAATGATGTCGCTCTACCGCTGGCTCTGTCACCGTCGCCTCCTCAGGCTACATGTCACCGTCGCCTCCTCAGCTACATGTCACCGTCGCCTCCTCAGCTTTATGTCACGGATCGCCTGAACGTGCTTTCTGTGTCATCCGACCACTAGCACAATCGGCGGCATGTATGCACGCTGGCGCCCACGCACTGGTGTCATGTTGACTCTTGCAGCCAATTTATGCAGCCGGGAAATTGAGCATCGCTTTAGCTTGCACGCACACACAATACCTGAGTATGTTCTCCAGTGTAGCGATTTATTCTGCAAATACACCTGCGTGCACACATACCGCCAATTTCGCCAGTGCTTGTCGCCGCTGAGGCCTGTGTCAGTCCGCCTGCAATTGCTGGGCTCAGTCCAGGATGTCCTCGTTCGCCAGCTGCTCTAAAACATCTGCGCTGAGGCTGACGTCGCTCGTGAACGACTCATTGGCCACATCGCTCGGCACGCTGTCGTTTCGTGAACGATCGCCGTTGCTGATACTGTTGTTGTTTTTGTCCATCGGAGCAAGCTCGTCAATCACAGCTAGCGAGCTGGCCATCATCTTCCGAAACAGCTTGCGCTGCTCCCTATAAGCCTCCGGCGAATCCAAGCCCACAGTCGCACATGCACACGCGCTCCAGTCGATGCGCCCACAGCCAGCCGAGGACTGCTGCGATGATGTCGGCGCATGCCACGCGACGGATTTGTCACGCATACTGGACGACGTGTCGTTGGGGTTGAATCCAGAGCACCGGGCCTCAGTTACTCCGTAGTGTGCCTTGAGGAACTCGCGTAGCATGAACAGAATTGTAATGCTGACGCTGGTCTCCGTTGCCGCCCGCCACTGCGTCGAGTCGCAGTTCACCCCCTCGCTTCCCTCGGTCTCAAACAACTGGAACACCGTGAGCCCGGTCCCGGCAATGACTGAGCTGATTTGGTACGCAACCAGCAGCACCTCGTCCAGGTACTTAAAGTCCAGCGCCGAGATGTTCTCGGCCACAAAGCGCACAAGGTGCTGGTTTGGCACACTGCTGCTCGCCACTGCGTCATCGGACACTGCCATCAACATCGCCGATATTGACAAGCATAGTCAAAAAGTCGTTAGCGCCGGGTGCGCTTTGAGCGCTGCATCGTGTACAGCGGCTTGCAAATACGCCACAGGGTCGCTGGACCGACTCCATGGGCTCGACAGCGTCGTTGTAGCCAGACACATACTGCGGCCCGTCGCGCACCTGCGACTGGTACTCAAACGCCTTGCGCACTCCCTCTAGGTCGCGTGAGTGGATAAACGATGCGTGCTTGCCGGCCAGGTCTTGGTGCAGCTTCAGCGACTTGTTCCGGATATGTGCATCACTGTCGGTGCTCAGCGCAATCAGTGCTGGCACACACATGAGCGGATGCGCCAGCCCCTGCTCAAGCACCAGCGAAATGACCTCGAAACCGGCAGCCCGGAGCAGCGGTGCATTTCGCAACAAACGTAGCGTCGAATGATCCGCTCCAGGTATGTCTGCATCAGCGAGGCACCAACGCCAGCCTCGCCCATGTCGTCCGTGTTGCCGACCAGGGCGCGGGCATCGACCTTTTTCTTCTTCTTGCCCTTGCCCTTGCCCTCCTTGGCCTTTTGCACATACCGCTGGGCATCGTCGCGAAGGAACTCCAGAAAGTTGCGCATCACTTGCAGCTTGTGGTTCACGTTGCTACCAGCAAACACTCGGTTGACCACATCCCGGCCTGCCGCCGACAACGCCTAGCTGCGGCCGCTTGATGTACAACTGTCCCAGCATCTGGATCGCCGCGAGCTGCACTGTCGCTGGGAGCCCGGTGCTGCAAAGAACAGCAGCAGGACTGCTCATAAACTCTGGGATCATCATGCCCCTGGCCAGCAGAGCTAGCTCCTTGAACTGCGTCTCGAGCTCCGTGCGATGCTTGTCGAAATCAAAGTGCCGGCACAAGAGCCCGGCCAAGATCATGAACCGCATCGCGTTCTTGGGCGACTGCATCGCCGCCGCCCCGCTCTCAATCAGCCGCCTCTCGCGATACAGCTGCAATACGCATGACCGGAACAGCTTGATGATCCTGCTGTAGTCGCGTGTCAACTTCTCCACTATCATACACAGGCATGGCACCGCTTCAACCAGAATACTCTGCGGACTCGACGACAGCAGCGCAATAAGGTCGCTCTCCAGCGTGCTCCAAGAACTGCGGACTTGGGTGAGGAATCGTCAGCACCGAGTTCTGGAAGATGTGCAGCGCGTTGCTCAGCATCTCTTCCTCCAGATGGGCTGGTCATCTTCAGATACGCGCTGAGCATCTCGGCACGCGCTCCAACCGCCTCGGGTGCAATCCCGCTGAGCGCCGATAGGAACCGCAGACACGCGCTTGTCGAAAACACACTGGCCGACTCTGTCTCCTCAGATCTCAGCAGCTGCTCAAATAGAGCGTCGATGACGCACCGTGCCACAAACATCGCCGCATCTGCCTCGGCCTTGGACACATCCTTGGTAACATGCTCAAAAAGCGTGCCCATCAGATCCGACAGCTCGCGGGTCCGCGTCGCCTCCATCACACCTGTCATGACGCGCACCCGTCTTCATCATTTGCCGTTGGACCTCCTGGCGCCAGAGAGTTGAATATGTTGGCAGATGACCCTAGGGATGCCTGGTCATCAGTGATTGCATCTGCGTCGTTGTATGAGAACCACAGCTCCTGCAGTGTCTTCATTGCAAATTCGCGAATTGTGCGCTCCTCGTCGTTGGTCCGCTGTAGCACCCGCACTCCAATATCAACCAGGCGCGTCTGGTCGTCTGATGCAAGGTAGATGTCGCGCAGGATGCGCATCACACGCTTACGCACGCTTGTGCCCTTGTCGAGCGCGCGCACGCTGATGAACTCATAGTACTGGCTGGTCAGCTCGGGATTCTGCGCAACGTGCTTGCCGATTAGATCGATTGCTGCCTCGCGCACCAGCGACGAGTTGTCCTGCAGCCGATGGTTGATGGCAAATTTGACATTAGGGCTGGTACAGGACCGACGGCCGATGCGATGCAACATGGTTCAGTGCACGCAGTGCCTTCGACCGTACTGTGACCAGACTCGATCCAAGCGACATCGCCATCCTCGATACAATCATGTCAAAGCTGCGGTACAGTGGCAGAGAGGCAAATATTGCCCTGGCTGCGTCTGCCTGCCTTGGCATACGAAACATGGCTCGGCATCGCCTTGGTTGACCGGTGGGTGATCTTGGTGTACTCCTTCAGACACTCCTCGACCACCTTGCGCTTATCAGCACCAAACCCAGGACTTGGGATTTAGCGCTTCTTTGCGTCACCATCCTCGTAGTCGGAGTCAGAGTCATCGTCGACATGCATCCCGCCGTCTCCATCGCCGACGCTATCGCCGTCGCTGTCACTATCGGTCATGTCAGCTGCATCATCTCCTGCAAATCGGCTAGATCGAGTATCCGGCTGGACACACGGTAGGCGATTCCTCCATGCCCTCGCCGCCAGCGTCGCCGCTGCTGCTGCGTTTGCGCTGGCGGCTCTTGATGATGGCCGCGATCAGTGTTGTAGCCCATCCACCAATATAAAGGGGAATCGCGCCAGTAGTCTCATCGCTCAGCGCCTTGGATTGCAGGTATTCGAGCAATAGTGTTGTTGTTGATGCGAAGGTGTTGATAGCTTCCAGCTGACGAACTCGCAACGACAGGCGCCAGAGTCCCCAGCCCTCCGTCCTTGGCGCTGATTTCGCACTCCCGCTGAGCACGCGCGATGTGAGCTGCAATCTGGGCCTAGTCCATCCAGCGCCAGGCTCTTCATTGCAAAGTCGGACTTCTCCTCGTCAAGGACGTCGATCAGATGCATGGAGTAGATGCGGATCACCAGCTCCGATGCAGGCCATTGTGGATGGCCGAGCAGCGTGACACAGTCATCGATGAAAGACTCGAGCAGGTTACGGTAGTCTGCCTCGTTGAGCGCTGGCTTATTGTCGCGTCTGATGCAGCGGCCGATCAGATACCGGATCGCAAAGTCTGTGCTTGCCGCAGCAGCCTCTGTCGACTTGCAGTGCTTGTTCCAGCAGAATCCGGTACTCTTTGGTCGGCAGCGTGCCACCCTCAAACCCAGCAGTCAGGTCATCTGGCGGTTGGGCCGTGCCCTGCAGGAGCTTCAACAGCAGAATGCTAATAAACTGGACAGATTTGCCGCTGGCAATACGGTAGCTACCCTGGGACCGCTTCTGGGCTGGCAGCCGGATAAGCGACCCAAGGATCTCCTCCAGGATCCACGACCGCTGCTCGATGTGCTTTTCAAAAATGTGCCGCAGCAGCATCTGGGCCGAGCGACGGATAGACTCAAGCAGGTTCTTATCGAAGCTAGTCCCTGCCAACTCGCTGGTCGTGAACATGGCGGTGATGGAGGCAAAGACGAGCGAAATTACGTCCTGCTCGGCTAGCAGCAGCTGGATCCAGGGCAGAGGCGACCGGGTCGTGCGTCGCCAGAATGAGACCAAAGAAAGCATGAAGGTGGTTCTTCAGCGGCTTTCCCTTCTCAGAAACCAGTACAACCAGGGAGTTCGATGGCGGGAGGTCGAACAGAGGGATCGCACAGTTGAGCAAGCACTCCTTGAAGAAGGCGGCCGCCGAGTGCAGCGAGTCCTCTGTGTATGCGCCTTTTGCCGCCTTCCCGGATGCGATGATGTTAATGGTAAGACTGGCAGCCTCGAGACCAAGAGACGAAATGGAAATAGCCAGCTCAAGCTCCGTGCAAAAGTTGTCGGAAAGCCTAGCTGCCTTGCTGCAATGTAGACCCGCTTTTGATCATGTCAGCCAAGCCCATGCTGTCGGCTACCTCTATTGCCTTGCAAAGCAAACGAATAAGGCGGCCAATTCTGTCTTCGGGCATAAACTGCCGTAGCTGCTCTGCCGAGCATCGGAGCAAGCAGCACTTTTAGCCGCCCAATGGCACGCTTACTGATAATGAGGCTGTCTCCGCTGATACGCTGAATGCGACAAAACATTGACAGATCCGTGCTGCTATTATCGTCAAGTGCATCGTCCTCCTGGAATAGCCTGGACAGGTAATCATCGAGGTTTTCTACACAGACTGGAACGGCTTCCTCAGGCTTAGCAGCCATTTCTGAGGCAACACTAGCTACAGTGTCGCTGGGCAACTGCTGGTCTGGGGCCACTTGCTCGTCGGCTACATGTTTCTCGACATTGTCATCGACAGTGCAACGGCGATGCTAGCCCCACGTGCTTTATGCCATGCTTGCTAATCGCTTCCTCCTGGTGCTTCGGCTGGTGCTGGTGAATGTGCAGATCCATTAGCTGAACTGAGATCCGATCTCGACCGTTTGTTTTCCTCCATGACGACATCGGACGTCACCTAAACCACGCTTCACCGCCACCGGATCACCGGTGGGCTTCGGCGGTATATCGATAACAATGTCGACAGCACTGCCCTGATGACCGTTGACTACAGGAGCAAAGCGGACTGGCATGCTATTAAGACACTAGACAGAAGAATGCAGGCTCTGAGGCGGAATGGCAAGCAGAAAGAAAGATACGTTACCTGGATCCGATGGCACCGGCTTTTCCGTTTTATTCGATTTGCGTATATACGAAAACAACTTCGTATAGCAGTCGTCTGCCGTCACAATCTTTGCCTCTGTAGCTACATGGCGCGTATATCAGTGCTCAGTCCCGCTTCCCTGCAGAATCCGTTGTGTTAGCATACGTGCAATCCAGCAAGCTCACCTTGCGCAGACGGCATGGCGCCTGGAAGCCGCCGAGTTAAATCAACTAAGGTTTCTTCCAAACGCCGTGTCCATTTCCGGAGCCCTCGACACGCCTGGATCAACCCATTGGCGAAGCTGGCTACATGTAGAAGACAGAGTCAGCAACTAATCCCGCACTCCCTTTCCACTCCTTTACAGTTGGTTCTGATCGTAGGCTTACATGGTCTGAAACTCGGGGCTGTTTACTGTATCTTGATAGAGTGCAAGCAAGCTGTTGCACAGTGGGGACGAGTCTATTAGGCTCATTCGCTGCATTTCGGTCGTCAGCACCAGTTCGTCGCTCAGGTACCCGCGGTGCTGGGTCTGCTGGCCAACCTTGACCGGGGCGACGCTGGATACCGGCCAGCGCCGGATGCACGTCTTTGTGCTGGCAGGAGTTTCGTCGGTGGGACCCAAGAGCATAGCTGCTGTGCTGGTTAGGTACACTTTTTTAATGGTGCGTCAGTCAATTGAGGCAGAGGTGAATTTGAGAATGGAGGAAGAAGCTTTTGTGGCGAAGCATGAGCAAGCTAAAGTGACTCGCGCGCATTTTGGCGGCTCAAATCCAACACTGCTGCGCTAAAGATTCGGCTCGGCTCGGTCGAGATATCCGCAGCTCGCTGTCTCCCCCTGACCAGATATTGGGATACCTTACCGGTCCGTGGTCGTATATGTACTGTTAGCCCCAGCTCCTAGTATCTTCAACCTTTTTCGATACTCCTGAGCCACCGAGACGGCATTTGTCCCACCGCATTTTTACTCTTCCCCGCCATCATTCACTTGCATCTCCACGCAAGCATTCTCAGAACCTCCATCATGGAGAACTGCTGACAGCAGTGCTCGGAATGACGTCTTAAATCCCTCACGGTCTGAGCCCCCTTTCGCTCGACCAAACATTTGCATTTTGTCTCTCTCCCCTTGCTATCCTATACTTGATACTTGTTTTAAATTTTAAGCCGTTTTCTAGTGTTATTGTCATCCAGATGTCACTGAAGCTGCTAGCGGCCGCACTAGCCTTCTGGCTGAGCGTCGTGGCCATCACCCCGCTGGCGGTTCCAACACGCAACGCTCTGTCTTCTCGCGCCAAAACCCTACCGACAACAATGAAGCCTGTCGACGATAAAGATGCTTTGCTTTTCATGACACAAGGCGATGACAACGAACTCGATCTTCACCATGCATCTAGAGAAACGATTGGCCCGACATTTTATGACACCGATCCAGCCAAACGTGCACTGCGTGAGCTTGTATTCGAATCGGTCAAGCATAATATGGAGAAGGCTGTATTCCCGCACGGCATGCCCAGAGCTCACATCCGGTATGGGCCAGCGGCTGGATCGACGCGCACACTGCAAAATACAAAGCAGCTGCATGCTACCACCAGCAGGGATGTCGGATGAGTCAGTCGTCACTGAACTCGATACTACAATGACGGAGACTGTCAGGGAGGTCGGCAATGGGAAGTCTGATGAGCCCTCGTCGATAGTGCTCTCTGAAATTGTCGACGAGTCCACGACGGTCACTGTTACTGAAACACCTACAGAGTCGTCGCCAACAGATCCTTCGGCCACAGATGAGGACACGGCAATCTGCCACTGACTCGGAATCGACCTCCACAGGTACTGACGCACTCACAGACATCACCTCGTCAACTACGGCGCCTGGTGCATCCCAATACAAACCAGACGATCCTACTGAGACCCCGTCAGGAACGGCTACCGATGGCTTGTCATCCTCCTCGACTGGTGCCCCAAACCCAACTGCCTCCGCACTCGCCACAGTAACCGAGAAACTGCGCAACATTCTCTCCTCGCTCTCTTCCGCATCGGCTGCCAAACCTACACCAAAGGTGATAACGATTCAGCTGCATTCCTCGCAGGTCAATATCAACGATACTAGCAACCAGTCGTCAGGCGTCCGCGGATTCCAGAGCTACTTTGGCGAGCTGACTGTCGGCACGCCTCCCCAGAAATTCAATGTTGTGTTCGACACTGGGAGTTCGGACTTTTGGATCCCCTCAATTAGCTGCGACTCGGTAGCCTGCAACACGCACAACCGTTTCGATAACGACAAGTCTTTGTCTTTTGTGACCTCGCACGTACCGTTCTCGTTGACCTACGGCACCGGTGGACTGATGGGCCAGGTCGGTGTCGACACGGTGCAGCTGGGTGGCACTAATGTCTCGGCAATGCACGTCGGCATGGCTACGCATATGGGGCACTTCTTCCGCTCGACGCCCTTTGATGGCGTGTTCGGGCTCGGGTTCCCCAAGCTCTCACGCATACAAGCTGACCCACCGTTCTACACCATGGTCCAGCAGGGGCTGTTGGAGAAGCCCATGTTCTCATTCTGGATCCGTGTTGGCCGCAATGGCTCCCCGGCGGGAGGAGAGCTCGTCTTGGGCGGAGTCAACCCAAAGCGGTTCGACGGGAAAACACGCACCATTCCTATCGTCCGCAAGATGTACTGGGAAGTTGAGCTGAGCGGACTGCTGGTCGACGAGTACTCGCTACCGAACCTCTCCACCCAGACCGCAGTCATCGACACAGGCACTGCCCTCATGGTTCTGCCTGCGAACGATGCTGACATTGTTAACCAGTATCTTGGCGCCATACCGCTGTTCAACCAGTACGGGCTGTATGGCATTGATTGCCATCGGGCGCGCAAGCCGACAGTCAAGTTTGGGTTCGCCGGCGAGACTTTTGCAATCGAGCCTGAGCACTACATAATCCCTGTCGGCAGAGGCAGATGCGTGACGGCATTTGCAGCTAGCATGGACACGACGCTGGACAAATGGGTTATTGGCGATGCATTCTTGCGTGCCTGGCACACAGGCATTCGATATTGAGCACTTTACTATTCAGCTGACACCCGCCATCCAGAAGGAGGTTGATGATAACGACGATGATGACGAGCCGTCGACTGATAACAGGTTCGCCGAGAGTCTTCAGCGCAACATGCGGACCGCCGATCCGCTCAGACGCTTCCCTGAGGAGACAATGGGCACAGGACGGGCAGATGTCGCCAATAAAATACGACGGCAACCAGCTCGGAAGCATATTCGGTGACGACGAGTCAAGGCCATCACCTACTAATACTGCCGACGATGATGACGAGGCGAATACGTCTTCAACGAAGACCAAATGTCCTGGAGAGCCTGATGAAATGGCTCAACTACAACAATGGTGCCAACACCAGCATCCCACCGTTCCCGCCTGACGCTACCACCAGTAAATCTTACCGACGATGGCAGCAACAGCGACAATGAAGAGGCAGACACTACATCCGAATCACTTGTCTGAGCAAGATGCAGAAGCGGCTATAGAGACACATATCGAGCCAGCTTCTGCAGGAAAAGAGCCCGCGCAGTACTGTCACCCGGACGCATACGGCGCCAAAGCAGGATGTGTCCAGCGGCAGTCCAGGAGACAGACGAGTATGGTCTGCCGCTGACAAGCTCAACAGCATTACCACCATCACGACAGCGTAGAAGCCTCATGCCTCAGCCTCCGCTTCAAAGTAGCCTGCTAGCTTCCCCATTCCTCTAGTTCCCGATATGATACTTCCAAATCTATTTAGCAAACGCTTCCATCGGATGTATCTTGCAAGGCCCTTTTCTATGCAATATACAACGAACTATCGCCATACCATGTCTCATATGCCACTACATACTCTGCTAATACATGTCATTTGCAGAGAGCTCAGAGATATGCCCTTGGGAGGATTGGTATTCCTTTGCGATATTGCAAAAGCAGTTTATGCAAAAGGAAGTTGCAGTGTAATATTTACAGCGACTGATAATCTGCACGCGTCCACCACTGGCGTACCCAGTACGCCGACGCACCGACCAAGCCCGAACCCATGCCCAGACCAGTGACCCAGACAGCAGCATCCCACATACGCCTTCTTCCACCCACCAGGTGCGAGTAGGTCCTTGGGCGGCAGCTTCAGCGCACTGTCCAGTTCAAACACCGCGCCAGATCGGCCATATCCGGCTCTTACTATGGTCGCATAGGAAATGAATGGGATCCCACCAGGCGATTGATAGAACGGTATGCCGTCCAGCTGCAGCGAAAACCGGTCGGTTGCAAACTCATAAGCACGCAGTTTAGCGCCCTCGAGCAAGGTCACATACGTCTTGCGATCGGACAGAGTCAGGTCGCTGGCAGGCAGTCGCTCGCCGGGCTCTCGGTGGATGTCGGTAACAGGGATCACATGCAAGCGCACCAGCATCTCCAGGTACTGCTCTATGTCCTTGTTGGTCGAGTTGCGCCACGGATTCTCCGGTGTCGTCTAGCACGTGGCGGTCCTCCTCCTGGTCTCGACGAACCATCTCGCGGTATGCTGCATTCTCACGCCACGCCTTGTCTGAGGCAACCAGCAGCGAGTATCCAACAACTGGCTTACTGTCGCCATCACTGCTCTTGGTACTGTCATTCCCTGGCACACTCGGTGCTGGTGGGGGAGCCTCCAGGACGTGCGTCAGGTTGAACCGCTCCAAGAGCGACAGGAACACGTGCGCCTTCATTCCCCGCAGGAGCTTCGATGAAGTTATGTCGACATTGGGCGGCATGATCAGGCCGCGCTCCAGCACATGGGCCACACCGGTCCGCAGAAGCATATCGGGCTCAGAGATCTGTAAGCTCGTTGAATCAGCAACGCTCCGATAGCACATGGTGCTTTGTGCTCTTTTTCAGCGCCTGCGGATCCTGGATCTGCTCTGCCGCGACAAAGATGCCCTTGGGCGTGCGGTACAAGCCAACAGAGTTGCCGTTCAGCGTCTTGACCGTCAGCATATCGGCGCTGAGATCGCTGTGCATAGGGATCTCATCGCTGTACACGGGCTTTGTCAGGATATGCGACTTCACGATACGGCTCAAGTCCGAGCGTGCATCGGCATCTTCGGGCAGGCTCAGATACGACCACACGAGGCCCAGGGAAATGAACGCCTCCAGTACTGGCGCCAGCACCGTGATGCCCTGCTCCCGCTGAATCTCGCTGGCAGTCTGAGACGCGCCCATCGCGGCCACAAATAACGACAGGTCCAGATCCTGTATCAGGGCATTGACGAGGTTTGGTGGTGTGGGCATCGGCGACGACAGAAGGTAGATGGTCGTGTTGCCGACCACCACGGGCTCTGTCAGGATGTTGTCGGCGCCGTTGAACGACACGTGGCGTGCGGTCCCGTGCGGCCGGTCAACAAACGCCTTGACCACCTGCGGCTTCCCCTGCGTCCATTCGCTGGCCAGTAGCGTGCGCACCAGCGGCGTCTCTGCCAGTTCGGCTACGTTGTACTGTCCATCGACGATATGGTACTGCGCCCACTCGCGCCGCCGGTTGTGTGGGGCTCGCCACTCGGCGATAGGGCCGGCAGTCGGATCAAGGTCGTACTCGTTTTGCGCGGCTTCCACCAGCATGTCGTCGCCGTCATCCAGGTCAGCGCCAAAGGCGTCTTCCATAGCACGGTTCGTTGGCACCAGCAAGGGTCAGCTTGCGGTCGGGCTCGGAGCCGTCAATGTACGAAAGCAGCCCGGCGTCCTTGAGCTCGCGCACAAACAGCGTTGCATTCAGGCCAATCAGCATCTTCTGCGGGGTAAATGCAAGCCCGGACGGCCGCTGCACGCTCTCAACGCCATGCACGATACCTAGGGTGGCAGGCAGGGCGAAAGCAGGCGCCCAGAGGATTTTGTAGAGGGGTATGAGCATTAGTGGGGGTATCCTGAATAGAGATATAGTGGAGCAATGGGATATATGGGGCAGGCGTGCGTAATAATAAATAAATGAAGGGTGAGGGGGCGAAAGGGGGGAAGAAGCAGTCAGCCAAAGGCAGGTAGTGCACTATCGCTGCCGTAGTCGCTACCTCATGTGATGTGCCTGGCTGCAAATGCATCGCTTAAGAATGGAGCAGGATCGATGGAATGGCCATCAATAAAAGTAGAAAATTGCACCCGGGCGCAATTTGCGTCCCCCGCCGCTCCCCGTCCAGACCCGGGAATCATGGACGGACTCGAGAATTGCTGCAATGGTCTCCGATGAATGGCAACCTACCGTTTCTGGCAATGATGTCTGCTTTGCTGATGCGCAGTCCGTTGACAGTTCCGCTCAGCCCAGCATCGACAGTCACCGTATGCTCTGTGCCCTCGACAAACCCGGCCACTACAGGAAGACAGTGGTGTTCAGCTGCCACGTGAGGATTGGCAAATCCCGCGCTTTGACATGCACACAAGCAGATGGCTTACCTTTGTGCTCGCCCTCGCCCAGCCGGGCCAGACTGACCGGCTCCTTGGTGACAAACTGGCTTGCCACCAGCCGCGTGTCCCTCAGTGCAAGCGCTACTTCATCCTTGTCATCCTTGGCAAACTCGGCGCCGTGTATCAGGTACGCGCGCTCGGCAAACCCAAACTCGTCTCTAAACGCCTGGTCTGTGAAAGCCCACACCGTGCGCATGCGATTGGCTTCCATCTCGTCCCTCTTGCGCTGCGGCTCGCTGTCCAGCACATACGACCAACCGGCTGCCGCAACCAGCTTCTCGACAAAGTCGTAGTCGCCATAGCCCGCGCGCTCTGTGGGTGCTGCCTGATTATCCGCCACGTTCGCGCGCAGCACCCCCTGAATGGTGGGCGGCAGAGTCAGCAGGCCGTCAATTGCAAAAACATTTCCTGCACTGCAAGACATGTTGGTCTTGAGCACAGACACGCCGTTCACCTCCACATGCCGTCCATCCTGCACTGCGTGTCTTGAGCATGACTCCATATTGGTGCTCCTTTGGTGTCGTTGCCTTCGCCCACTCCGTTTCTTGGCGGATCAAGGCCGGAAATGTGCGTGAGCCTGCTGAACGACTCCCAAACCATATCCCCACCCACCAAGTCCGTCCAGTTGACTGGCCTGTCCCCAATCAGATGGTACCATGCCTGAAAGTCCGATACACCACGGTACACGTTCCCTGTCACCGTCGTTGTGTCGTGCTCCTTGCGATACCGCCTCAGTGCCTCGTTTGTCGGCACAAGCAGTGTTGCGTTCCGGATGCGGTTGAGCGGTATCACCATCCGCAGTCGCTGGACTGTGTGCAGAAACTCGCTGAACCGCGCGTCTGACGAGAGCAGGTCCACGAACGTTGTAGTCCGTGTGCCAGCGATGCTGTCGTCGGGTCCCTTCTTTCCACCAAACGGCCAGGCTGCTGCGGCGCTCTGCACCAGAGCTATTGCCACCACCAGCCAGCCCAGGACAAACGACCATGTCCACTGTCGCAGGTGCATTTGAAAGGATAAATGTCTATGTATATGAAGAGGATAAAATGTGTAGAGGTAAATAGAATTCAAGGTGTTGTTGGAAAAAAAGAAGCGCTGGAAACGCAGTCCCCCTCTACTACGAACGTCACCTGCTCCGAGCGCTGTGGGGAAGAATACCATTGGCCATACTAGTTGGCCATAAGCTTACACGTCCTGGCAGTGCATCATGGCAGAGCACGTTTTTTGGGCCAATTTTTTCTTTCGCTTTTTTGAATTCCAGTCGTCCTTCTCTTTCGCGTCTTTTTATTTCCACTCTTTCACGTTTAATTGAGCAATCCTTTTTGGGTCCATTTGGAAATGTCACTGCAACGGAAGAATGTCGCCTATTTCTACGACCGTACGTATCTATTTTTATAGCCAGGCAGCGCGAGTTAGTACATGCATTTTCTGATATGCTATGTATGCTATGTTGATCTTATATAGCCGATGTCGGAAACTTCCACTACGGGCCGGGCCACCCGATGAAGCCGCACCGCATCCGCATGACACACAACCTGGTGATCAGCTACGAGCTGTACAAGAAGATGTCGATATACCGCGCAGCACCCGCAACATGCCAAGAGATGACACAGTTCCATTCGGATGACTACGTCGACTTTCTGAACCGCGTAACACCCGAGAACGCGTCCTCCTTCCAGCGCGAGCTGGCGAGGTACAACTTTGAAGACGACTGCCCAGTATTCGACGGCATGTTTGATTTATTTTCGCTCTCGGCAGGTAGCTCGATGGAGGGTGCTGCGCGTCTGAACCGTGGCCTGTCAGACATCTGCATCAACTGGTCCGGTGGTCTGCACCATGCGAAAAAGTGCGAGGCGTCGGGCTTCTGCTACATCAACGATATTGTCCTGGCCATACTCGAGCTGCTGCGGCACCACCAGCGCGTGCTGTACATTGATATTGACGTGCACCACGGCGACGGCGTCGAAGAGGCGTTCTATACGACCGACCGTGTCATGACGTGCTCATTCCACAAGTACGGAGAGTTCTTCCCAGGTACTGGCGATCTGCGTGATATTGGCGAAGGCAAGGGCAAATACTATGCTGTCAATTTCCCGCTGCGCGACGGCATTGATGATGTCAGCTACCAGTCGGTGTTCAAGCCTGTGATCCAGCACATCATGGATTGGTACCAGCCCAACGCCGTGGTCCTGCAGTGTGGCACAGACTCGCTGGCTGGCGACAAGCTTGGGTGCTTCAACCTCAGCATGGACGGCCATGCCGAGTGCGTGCGCTTTGTCAAGAACTTCAACCTGCCGACGCTAGTACTGGGTGGTGGAGGCTACACAATCCGCAACGTCAGCCGGGTGTGGGCGTATGAGACCGGTATCCTGGTCGGCTCCGAGATGGATCGCAAGCTGCCCATGAACGACTACATGGACTATTATGCGCCCGAGTACTCGCTCAATGTCCCTGCATACAATGTCGAGAACTGCAACAGCGCAGAATACCTGGAGCGCATGACGAACCAGGTCATCCAAAACCTCGAGCGCACAAAATTCGTGCCCAGCGTGCAGGTCCAGGATGTCCCGCGCGACGTCGACAACGACATACACGATGAGGATGCGCTTGACCCCGAGGAGCGCATGCCGGAGCCTGTACGCGACCAGCACGTCGTGCCCGATACAGAGATGTACGATGCCGATGCCATGGGCTTGAAGGACGAGACACGCGACGGCACCAAAGTCATCAATGAGGAGATCCACGATAAGGATGACGTCGAGATGGAAGACGTTACCAATGGTGCAAACAAAGCGACTGCAGAGAGTAGCATTGTGGATGCTGATGAGCAGCCGAGCAAGGGGGCCAGCAAGGAGGACGCCATGGATGTCGATGGCGCCGAAGTCGTACCAGAAACTGCAGTCAAGGAGGAAGCCGCACCAGTGGTGCCTGCGAAAGGAGATGAGGGGAAGGAGAAGGCTGTGGACAGATCAGCCGGTGAAGGAAGAAGAAACTGTTGCTGTCAAGGTTGAAAAGGATGCAGCCCCTGCGCCTGCCACAGCTGAACCACTGGCTGACAAACAGCCTGCTGCAGCGGAGCCAGTGGAAGCTGGGAAGGAAACCGCCGCTGCTGCCGCTCCAGTCGCTGAAACCCCCAATGTGAAGGCACAGTCTAAGACAAAGGAGACAGAAGAAGTTGTCGAGGCTACCGCAACGACACAGCCCAAGTCCCCCACACCTGAACCCGCTGCTTCCAAAGCCAGAGCCGCCAGCAGCTCAGATTACTACCATCACATCACCCCAGGCACCGGCTGAGACACAAAGCCTGGCAGCGGAGACGCCGAAGCTACCAGCGGAGACACCGAGGCTGCCGGCGATCGCGCAGGTCGCCGAGAAGGAGGAAGGCGAGGCAACCGAGGATGATGACGATGACGAGGAGGGCGAGATCAAGGACTCGTAGCAGTTCTTTTTGTTTTGATAATTTCAATCGATTCCCAAACATGGAAGGCATAGCCGAAGAAACACCGGTGGTAATGCTGTGACTGGGATTGCAGACCAGCCACCTCAATACGATATGCAGCGGGGCGTACGCAGTACTTGCCAATAGAGGGTGACATGGGGCGCATGCCGTGGAGTCTTGCGCAAGTAGCAACTAGCCTAGACGAATGCGAACGCTGTGGTTTCCGCCTTCCAGACTACATCAGTAGGCACTTTTACAAATGCTGGATGGCGGCGGTTGGGAGAATGGGTGTCTGCTGGCTACCAAGGCACGGTGAATACATTTCTCTTCTACCAACTGTCTAGCGCTACATTGATGTCTATATAATTCCAGCTGTATACCTGCATTTGCTCCGCCTCGTATTTGTTTTCCATTTCAATAACCTAGAGGGACTAAATTTCTCAGCAACAGGTGGCTTGGGGCAAAGAACTTACCAACACAGCCGTTGAGTGAACCGCTATAGACAATTAGAAGCCACCGTGCCTTCGACAACCGACCTCACCTTGCCACTAGCTACCGACTGTGCGAACTTTTTCTATTTCAACCCTGCAAAGCAGCCATGCCGACCATGGGCAACGACTTTGGAACCATCCTGACCCACGGCTGGCCGTATCTCTACTCTTTACTCCTGTTTTACATAGCGACGAGCTACAGCGAGGTGCACCGTCACGATTTCTTTGTCTTTTCATCCGCCATTTCCATGTTCGTCAAATGGCTGTTCTCGCTGGCTAGCCAGCTCAACATGTCGCCCCACATCACCACCCCCACAAACCTGCTGCCGTTCGGCTGCATTTACAACGCCATGATGACACCCTACACGCCCTTCGTGGGAATTCTCGCCTATAACGCCGGTGTGTGGTTCTGGGACAGGGCAAACAAGCAGCAGCTGGGGGAGGCGAAGAAGAACGACGACTCGCGCAGTAACGCGCCGCGCACGTCGACTGCTGTCCGCAACGTTGTTGTCGCGCATAACCTGGCTTTGGCAGTATACTCAATTTGGACGTTCATTGACTTTATGCCAGCAGTAGTTAAAAGCGTGCAGACGCAAGGATTCAGGACCGCCTACTGCGATCGCCAACTGGACGCTGTGGAACAGCAAGCTCCTGATGCACGGGTACCTGTTCTACCTGTCAAAGTACTACGAGTTTGTCGACACCTTCATTATCCTGTACAAGGGCCGGTCGCCCGGTCGTCTCCAGACATTCCACCACTCGGGCGCTGTGCTGATTATGTGGCTTCGGCAACTATGTGCAGTCGGCGTACCTGGCGTTCTTTGTGTTTGAGAACAGCATCATCCACAGCCTGATGTACACGTATTATACGCTGACCGCCATGGGATACAAGCCGCCTGGGAAGCAGTGGCTGACGCGTATGCAGATCGCACAGTTCTATATTGGGCTGACTGCTGGCTTTGTGTACATGGGCATACCTGCGTGCCAGACTTCGGAGCAGCGGGTATTCATCTACCTGTTCATCCCGTATATTCTGGAGCTCATCAGGCTGTTCAACGCGTTTGCTCGCAAAGCATACGGCGGACCCGGGCCACAGCCAGTCGAAAAGGCAAGCTAGCAGACAGGGCGTGCGCACCCACCCCGGCCCGAATATCTTTTTTCCACATACCACCAATACACAGCTTTTAAAATGACCACGCAGGACGCTGAAAGGGCAGACGATATATAAAGTTGCGACAACGACAGAAAAAAGCGGAGGGAAAATGGCGCCTAGCGGGCTGGAAAAATCACGCGACGTGTTTGATGTTTACTCTTCGTCCTCTTCATCGTCGACCTCATCCTCGTCGACAATCTCCTCCTCAACAATCTCCTCATCCTCATCCTCATCCTCCTCATCTTCATCCTCGTCGTAGCTGACGCCAGTCCTCTGGCGTGTTCTTGTCGAGGGGCCCTCCTCATCCTCGTCGCCATCAACCTCGCTCAGCCTGCGCTTGCTATTGGCAGCGCGCAGGTTGTAGGTGGCCGAGCCGCCACGGGGCTTGTCAGCATCGCTGGCGTAGTCCTCCTCGTCCTCCTCCTCAATCTCGTCCTCGTCGTCAATGCCCGACTCGTACTCGTCACCAAAATCAGACTCAATGTCAGCCTCGTCGTCCTCGGGGTCTGCCTCCTCCTCGGCCACCTCGCCCGACAGGGTCCGGCCGGTGCCAGGGAACCTATCGCCGTTCCGCTTGGCGGCGCCCTTGATGGAGACCTCGGCCGGCTCATCGTGCTCCTCATAGTCGGAGGTATCCTCGACGAGGCTAGCAGAGAAAAATGGGAGTGATTTTAGATAATAAGCTCCAGAGATAAAAAAAAAGGCACATAATTAATAACCATGGTTGTATTGCCTCGTCCTACCTCGGGTCCGCGGCTTCTCCAGCGTGCTTCTCGATGGCCTCAACACGCTCCTGATGCTCGGCTTCGACAGTCATTGTGTACTGGATAGTATCGGTCAACCAAAGAGATGTATAAAAATGTAAAGAGTGGGAAAATGGGTGGTGGAATAAAAAACGATGGAGCTGCTGGAGGGGAGGGGCGAGGGGAGGGGCGAGCAAGGCTTACGAAGCGCCAGAAAAAAGAACCGTGCCGACCCAGAGAAAGGCGAGCAATTTGCCAATTCCTCCTGATTGACTAGCTTCGATGAAACTAAATTTGAACTGGTCACGTTTCGTGGGACCACTTGGCCTGCATAAAGGCCCCGTCAGAAAGCACCGTTTGGGACTGGCAGGCCCGCGCGTCGTCGCGATTGCCCAATAAGCGGCGCTGAAAAGGACCGATTCAAGGGGTGACTCAAATGTATGATCAACACGGTAAAACACAAGATCACGCAACAAGCTAGGCCTCCATGTCCACGTCGTCGTCTGTGATCTTGAGGTCGTCCAGCAGCTCCTCAAGGGGCACCTCGGGCGCGTCCTCGTCGTCCTCGTCGTCCATCTCGCCGGTGTTGCGGCCAGGCACAGCGCTGGTGTCCTTGTACAGGTTGATGCTCTGGCGCAGCTCGGGGTCCTCCTCGAGGTCGCGCAGGAAGGTCTCGAAGTCGGCCTCGAGCTTCTCCTGATCCTGCTTCTTGGGCGCCAAGTCGCCCTCGTCCTTGGACAGCGACTTGAGCTTCCAGGGACGCACCTTGCGCTTGCGGCGGCGCTCCGGATAGCTCTTCTTGACCAGCACCACGCTGGGCATGTCCTCCGTGTTCAGCTTGTCGAAGCTCGGGTTGTTGATGTTGGCCGTCAGCAGATCGTAGCCAAGCACGGTGTCACCAAAGTTCAGCAGGTTGCCAAGGTGCGAGCGCACAATAATGACATCGTCGTTCTTGCCCACATCCGGCCATGCGCTGGACCGTGACATCGGCTAGCGCAAAGCGGCCAACGCGCGGGCCAAGCAGGTCGACGTCGACGACGTAGAACTCCTTGAGATCGCGCACGGCGCTGACCGTGTCAATGCCCTCGTGGCGCCAGAACACGGTTCCCGAGATATCGGCCTGCTGCAGGGTCTTTGGGTCGATAACATGGATGGTGTTGCCGACGCGCGTGCACAGCACCAGCGGCGCAATGTGGCCGAGCGAGTTGGCCACCTTCTTGGGCATCGCCACCAGGTCGTCCTTGCAGATCGGGATGATCTCGACCGAGTAGGTAAACTTGTAGTTGGACGTGCTTGTGTGCACGTCGCTCGAAATCAGCTGCTCGGATGTCTTGGACCGGGTCGGCACCATGCTGGCCAGGAACTCAACCATCTTGATTGCGTGCGCACGCTGCGCGAAATGGAAGTCCAGGCCGCCCTTGACCTCCTTGATATTGATCGTGTCGTGGGCAGCGTTGTGCTTGAGGATCAGCTGCTCCAGGTAGAAGAACGTGCGCTGGTGGTCGACCTTTTGCCGCACCTGCACCATGGCCTTCCATGTGTTCTGCGCCATCACCCGCATGCAGTCGGGACACATCATTGACGACACCACAAACTCCACCTCAAACGCCTGCTGCAGGATCGTCGCCGTGAACACCTCCTTCTGGATCGTCAGCTTGACCTTTGATGCGTCGCGAATGCGGCTCAGTCCAGATGAACCCGGCGTCAATCAGCCGCACCTTTCCGAGGCCCTTCAGTTTCTTCAGACACAACGCCAGCAGCTCGCGGCTCTCGAGATCACACACCACCCATGACGCTGGCGGCTGCAGGTACCGCTCGCAGTTCTTGCACCAGTGGATTGTTGCGTGCTTGGGAATTCCCTCGGTGATATCTACGATCGAGCGCACGCAGTTCACGCACATGTTTGCCGGGTTTGGCGGGATCGCTGTACCGCACTCAGCAGCACAGAATGAGCTGCTCTCTTGTCTGTGGGACGTACTCCATTAGTTCTTGGTTAGTGAAAGAAAGTGAGTTCTAATATTGCAAAGGAGAGGGTGAAGGTGAAGGAACTGTGAGACTAGGACAGAACGCTGGTTTGTCAGCAATTGCGGTCGTGGCCGCAGAGGAAAGAAAGAAAAAAAAAAGCTAACCGCAGGATATGATCACTCGATTCGATCATTTGGCATATTAATTCGATTTATTCAGCGAGATTAAAACTCGCTGCCAGTTTTTGTAACGGCTGCTGCATAAACTGTGATTACATGTACATAGACATTGACCACCCTCGACTATTTGTCACTACAGCCGAATTGTTTGGACCATACAAAACTCGCAAAGATGTACCAAGAACTCCAAAGTGTGCGCTGTCAGCAGTGCATTGAGCCTTGTTCTGAGCAGACACTTCATGTTTTCATTTCGGAAGCAGTGCGCAATGTTTTCGGAAATAGCGACAAAGGGGAGATTATATCAAGACATTAATGGGTGGAGAGGACGACAAGTGAACGGAAACTGGTCAATGGCATTGCGAGTATATTGAGTTTCGGGTAACCGCAATAGCGCAATAAAAACACTCCAAACCCACTCCACACATGTCAATAGACGAAGAGGAAAATAAAGGACTGCATGGCGATAGACTGGTGACAAAGAGTGGCGATTGATTGGCATACTTGGATAGTATAGTGTTGTGCTAATTTCCATTATCTGTTGTTTTTGTTGAATTTCAGGAAGCCGCGTGAAGCACATTCAAAAGCCTGTTTACACCTGCAGCCTGCTCAAGCGATGAGTGGCCAAATAGATGTTCTGGGTGATTTTGCAAGAGAATTGTAAACAACACACGCGACGTAGTTTCCCCCCTTGTCGGGCCAGTGTCGGCGGATGCAGCCCATTATTTTTTGGGCCCACGGGTGGTGGCAGACAAAAGTAAAGGATTCACCTCAGCCATTCCTTTTTTTCTTCCTCCTCCTTACCTCTTTTTGCAACGAATATCCACTACTATATTGTATTATTTTTAACTTTCTCCACACTAGATTATTAATTACCATATATAGCATATCATGGGTAAAGCACTCCGACGCGGATCCAACCAGGCAGTGCGCAAAACCGATATCCGCGTTGTCCCCAACACATCGGCTGGGGCAGCAGTAAAGCCCACATTCACAGCGGCATCCAGCGTGGGCAGCGGCGACACACATGACCTGTGCTACCAGCGGACTGACGGCCTGGCTGCATATGGTTGAGAACTACCACGAATACTTCACCAGCATGTGCGCGGCCGAGCTCGACCTGGCAACAGTGTATGCGCGGGTCGGGGACATTCTGCAAGGTGCCATTGCACGAGCACTCATTAATGAAGCCCAATGGCATAGCCGATATGTCGAAGCGGCTAAAGACATTGCAGCAAGGGATGGTGGAAACACACTGTGGGATCTCGACGGCACATGAAGGGAGCGGTTAAAGGGCTGGAGGATATGCGCGGCTTGGTGAAGCAGCGCATGAATAAATACGCCGGGGCAGTAGGCGGCGTGCACCGGGAGCTGGACGAGTGTCCGGGTGAGCATCAAGCAGAGGCTGGCGTTACTACAGGCGACGCTGGACGCGGTTCGAGGTGGATATGAGGCAGGAGGTGGCCAAGGACCCGTTTATTGTGCGGCTGGAGATCGAGGCCTTGGTGCGTAAGCGGACGTGAGCTTGAGCAGAAAGCTCAATGAGCTGGTAATGGCCGAGCAGGCGCGTATTCGTGACCTTGAGCCCCAGCTGATCGAACGGCTCAAGGTGATTGTGGGCGGATACATGGAGCTATTGGGATCCAGCGGCAGGCAGCTACGGCAGACGGCCAAGGCCGGCGCCAAGGCCAACGTCCTTCTTGACGAGTGTGCCGAATGGGCGTATTTCGCAGAGACATTCCAGGCAGTGCTGGCCACCGAGCAGAGGGGTGGCAGGCGAGTACACGTATGGCGACAGTGAGTGGATCAAGGTGCAGCGCGAGGGCGTGGTAGCGCTGAAGGAGCAAGGGCCAATGTTCCGCAGCACATGGCAGAGCAAATACTGCGTGCTGACTGCGCGCGGGTACTTCCATGTGTTCCGCTCGCAGGGCGACGTGGCCAAATGCGCACCCGAAACATCGGTGTTCCTGCCCACGGCCCAGGTATCGCTGGTCCGTGCGGGCACCCTGCAGATCCGCAGCGGCAGCAAGTTCAGCGGCAGCCGGCTGATCCTGCAGGACGGGTCGGACTTCGCTAGAGCTCTGGCGGACGCTGATGCAGCGTGCGCGGTCCCGGAACCCCGCTGGCATGGCGACGCCCGAGTCCAGCGAGGACGAGATGCGTCCCAGAGCCAACACAGGCGCCAACAGATGGCATGAAGCCGACTGCCTAGCAACAAGCGGCTGACAGCTGGCACGCAGAACCTGTATATGCTTCCGCTGGAAAACACCCCAGCGTGCTCGCTCGACGCGCCGATCCGCCGGCCATTCTCGTGCATTTCGCCAATGGTCAATATCAGCGAGCTGAGCTTTGAGGCCAACTCGCCGGGCATTTCCGACTTCCCGGTGCCCTCGCCGCGTCTTAGCATCCATACCAAAGACGGCATGGAGCACCACCGCACGGAGTCGAGCGATGGGTCGCTGGTGTGGCAGGGCAGAGGATCGATTGTGCCGCTGCAGGCGACTGCGTACGGTGACGGGTGGCCGGTGGATCTGCCAGAGGCTGCGCGGTCGTTGGTGCATAGTGAGCGCCTTGACCCGGCGCTGATGGACCCGCACAATCCGTACCTGGGCGACTTGTTTGCCAAGAGCACGCGGGTGTCGTCGGTGGGCTGCCAGAACAAGGGGTGGCGAAGCAGTGTGCAGAAGACCGCGCGCGTGGCCTCGCAGCCCGTGGTGGGCGCTACGTCACCGCCACTGCCGGTGCGCATGCTAGGACCATGCGTGTCGCGGGACTGCATCGACGAGTGCGAGGAAGAGGGCTAATTGGACCGCATAGGATTTATTAGCTCGTTGTGACTCACAGCTCCCTGCCCCCTTGGACCAAGCCGTAATGCTGGCAGCAGAGCCAGAATGGCTGAGATTGTCCCCCGACCAGGCTGTTTATTGCCTGTGACGGATACACGTTTTCCCACATCGCATTTTTTTTCTTTTAGCGGGCAGCTATAAAACGAGCGAGAATGGTCCCGCTCGATCGCAAGCTCCCCATTTTGTGAATTCCTTATCCTTTTCCCTTTTCGTTACTTGACTACCACTTTTAAAAAGAAAAAACTAGGAAACCATGGCTGAGAAGTAAGCGTCCCTCCCAAGATCCCAAACCGGCGCGGATCTCTAATTTACACTTGTGTAACTAACCAGCGCTGCTGTCCCTTAGGAACATCCTCCTGCTGGGCTCCGGATTCGTGGCCGAGCCGTGCCTCGAGTACCTGCTGCGCAGCGGCAACAACAAGGTGACGGTGGCCTGCCGTCGTCTGGCCAAGGCTGAGGAGCTGACTGCCAAGTACTCGAACACCACGCCGATCAGCCTTGACGTCGAGGATGATGCGGCTCTGGAGCAGGCGGTTGCCGCACACGACCTAACGATCAGCTTGATCCCGTACACTCAGCACGCACGGGTGATGAAGGCGGCGATCAAGGCCAAGAAGCACGTGGTGACGACCAGCTACATCTCGCCGGCCATGGAGGAGCTGGACGCAGCGGCCCGGGAGGCGGGCGTGATCTGCATGAACGAGATCGGGCTTGACCCGGGAATCGACCACCTGTATGCGCTCAAGATCATCAACGAGGTGCAGGAGCAGGGCGGCAAGATCACCTCGTTCGAGTCGTTCTGCGGCGGTCTGCCGGCGCCCGAGGACTCGAACAACCCGCTCGGCTACAAGTTCTCGTGGTCGGCGCGCGGGGTGCTTCTGGCGCTGCGCAATAACGCGCGGTACTGGCAGGACGGCAAACTGGTGGAGATTAACGGCAAGGATCTGATGGACTCGGCCCGGCCAATCTACATTTACCCGGCCTTTGCTGTGGTCGGCTACGGCAACCGCGACTCGAGCCACTACCGCCAGCGCTACAACATCCCCGAGGCCGAGACGTGTGTGCGCGGCACTCTGCGGTACCAGGGCTTCCCTGAGTTTGCCAAGACCCTGGTGAACATGGGGTTCCTGGACGACGCCCCGCAGGAGTTCCTGAGCGCATCCAGCTCGGAGCCGCTGCCGTGGAACAAGGTCACCCAGCAGCTGCTGGGTTCGGCGTCCGACAGCCAGGACGCGCTGCTCGCTGCTATCGAGGACCAAGATCGACACACAGGATGCCTGAGGCCCGTCGCCGCGTCATCCATGGCATCAAGTGGCTCGGAATCACCTCGGCCGATGTCGCTGCTAGCCGCCGCGGCACGTACCTGGATGTCCTGTGCGCGCGTCTGGAGGACCTGATGATGTATGGGGAGGGCGAGCGCGACATGATCCTGCTGCAGCACAAGTTTGAGGTCGAGAACAAGGACGGCTCGCACAACACCCGCACGTCGGTGACGCTGATGTACGGCGAGCCCAACGGCTTCACAGCCATGGCCAAGACTGTCGGCGTGCCGTGCGGCATTGCCACGCAGCTGATCCTTGACGGCAAGATCACCAAGACCGGCGTCATTGCGCCCATGACCAAGGACGTCTACGAGCCCATCATGCACATTCTGCCATCCGAGGGCATCAACGCTGTCGAGCAAACTCTCTAAAAACAAATAGCAGCCTCTTGTCAAGCCCGACAAAATATACAGGTTTTCTCTTTTCTGAATTTTGAATTCTTGTATACTAGCTTTCCCTTGCTCACAATGGCGGCGCTGATGCGAGAGACACATCCGCTGACGCTAAAAGTAATGCGTCTGTCGCGGCCACAGCTGTCGCTAGCAAAGCAGCTGCCAGTAGACAGCGGTTCGGTAGTTGCAGCAGCGCTGAGCGAGTACACGCAGAACCACCCGACCGACAGCGGCAATGTGCTCAGCACCCAGCCGTTCAACACGGCTGAGCAGCCGTTGGACAACTTCCCTGTGACAGAGACACTGGTTCTGCCCAAGTCGTTCGGGACAATGTACCTGGGCGAGACCTTCAGCGCCCACCTCTGCGTCTGCAACGAGAGCACATTGAGTGTGCGTGACGTCTCGGTGCGCGTCGCCATGCAAACGCAGACGCACCAGCAGCAGCCGTTCATTCTGCACAATAACGCCCTGGGCGCACTGGCTACAGCCCAGGCCGGCAACATCCAGGTCGCGCATGAGATCAAGGAGCTGGGCACGCATATTCTGGCCTGCGCAATCACGTATCTGTCGGCGCAGGGCGAGCGCAAGACCCTGCAAAAGTCGTTCAAGTTCCAGGTCGCCAACCCGCTGATTGTCAAGACCAAGGTGAATCACCTCAACGCCGATGTCCTGCTCGAGGTCCAGGTGCAGAATGCCACCCAGGCCACCATGGCCTTGGAGCGCCTGAGGTTCGATCCCGCCGAGGTCTTCACTATGGAGGATTTGAGCGCCCCCGGAAATGCCTTCCTGCAGGCCGGCGATATTCGCCAGCACCTGTACCGGCTACGGCCCAAGCCCGCTGGGTCGCTGGAGGAGGAGCGGGCGGTGCGGTATGCAGCGGCGCTGGGCAAGCTCGACATTCTGTGGCGCGGCGCCTTTGGCAGCGTCGGCCGTCTGCAGACCAGCCAGCTTGTGCGCAAGTCCCCCGGAATGTTCCCCATTGACATTGCCAGGGCCACGGTCTCTGAGCATGTCCGCATCGAGGCGCCGTTTACTGTCAATGTTGAACTGCGCAACCTGTCCGAGCACCCGATGGACCTGGTTGTGGCCGTGGGCAGGCAGCCCAATGTCGTCTTGTGCGGCCTGGGCAGGCGGGAGCTCGGGATGGTCGATGTCGGCGAGTCCAAGGAACTTGCACTGCAGTTTGTGCCCTTGCAGGCTGGCGTGCAGAGAGTCGGTATGGTCAGGGTGAAGGATGTGCGAAGCGGTTATACGCGAGACGTGGATCACCTGGTCGACGTGGCTGTATCGAGCTGAGTGATTCATATATACATGCATCTCCTTTTGCCGCAGTCGCAGCCCTGCTAAATCGTTTTGCCGTGAATGACAAGATAGCGCGGATAAGGGAGAAGGGGGCATAAACGCAAGCCCTCGTCCCGTCGTGGGAAGGAGTGTGAGCGCTTCTTCTCTACTCCTCTAGCAGAAAACCTAAATTTCTTTCACAATGGGCACCTTCCGCAACGCTTTGACTGATGCCGACCAAGAATGGATCCGCAAGCAAAAGGTCTTCTTCATGGCATCGGCACCGCTGGCCAAGGACGGCCACGTCAATCTGTCGCCGCGTGGCTACGACTCGCTGCGTGTCCTCAACGCCAACCGCGTCATCCACCTGGACGGTCGCGGCAGCGGCTGCGAGACGATTGCGCATTTGCGCGAGAACAAGCGCATCACTTTGATGCTCTGTGCCTTCGAAGGCTCGCCCAAGATCATGCGTCTGTTTGGCACCGGCAGAGTCTACGAGCCAGGCACGCCCGAGTTTGACACGCTGTTCGAGGAGCACTTTAGCGAGCAGTGGAAGGACCCAGCAAAGTTCAAGTTTGTGCGCTCCATTATTGACGTCCAGGTTGAGATGGTTGGACAGTCGTGCGGATTCGCTGTGCCGTTCATGGACTACAAGGCGGAGCGCGAGACACTGGTCAAGGTTTATGCAGAAAGGTCTGAGGAACTTGCACTGAAACGCCGTATCGAGAACAACACACTCAGCATCGATGGGTTGCCAAGCTACCTCAATGGTACCGACCCTGGCAACACTACCAAGATAAGGCTGATGGCCATGGTGGATGCCGCCGCACCCTGGCTCGGAGGAATTGCACTAGGCGCTGCTGCTGCTGCTGCAGTCTTCAAGAACTACCAGTAGTTTCATGTGTCCCCTTCTCCGCCCTAGCGATGACGATTTGCTGCTTTCGCCTTCGTCAAGGTCTGGAGAATCCTCATTGGCCTTTAGGCCATACCCTGTGCTGGGTTCATCGGCTCTCCACGCCGCATCTGTCTTTATTTTTATTTTTATTTTTTTTGAATATATTTGAAGTATCACCAGTCCCCAAGGATCCTTTATCCCTTCCAAAGCTGTATCTAGTGCTTAGGCGACCAATACTCATAGTACCAAATTATAAATTCCCCAAGGAAATGTTCCCCTGTGCAAGGAACGAAGCCTTCTGAGCATATCGACTAAAGTAGAAACCAGCGAGTATTAGCCCAACATAGATATGCTGCAAGCTGCCCACAACTATCTTATAAACATGCAGCTATCTTTACCTATATACAAGAGGCAGCAGGCGTCTGCCAGCAGCAGCGAACCAGCGCTGAAGCACCTGCGCTGAGCAGGCCATCAAGATGGGAGATGTCCATGATCGCCATTGCACCAACAACCATCCGGCACGTTCAAATGACCGGTTCGCCATGATGCTCTTATCGACATGTCAACCCATACTGACTAGCAGCCGAGCTCGCATCGCGAGCAGAGCAATTCTGGTAGCTATTTATATTGGATGTCATACTACTGGATATGTCTCATGTAGTGACTGATGATCAGATAGACAACGCACTTAACCTGCAGCAGCTAGTCAGTATCGTACATAGCGATATGATGAGGCACTATTTACAAAATGTTGAGCTTACTGTATAACCACTGTAAAGAGAGCCGCAAGCTTACAGGTTGACAGAGAGGAGCAGCCGAGGATCCAACCCAGGAGTCCCAGGCAGGTCATGCAAGACTGGCGCACTCGAGTTGTACGCCCCAGTAGCGGGTACAACGCAGCTGCGTCGCCGATAGTGCTATAAGGTGAAGGAAATCAGTTTAGTAGAAACACGGCCAGTGGCCAGGCAGTCTCTGCGGCTGGAGCTTGAGCCACAGGTGTGGAAGCAGCCCTGAAAATCAGCTACATCTAGAGGGTGCCAGTTTCTCTCTCAGCGGTAAGAGGCCAGGGTTTGCCAGGATACCGGTGGTCTTTGTCGACTAGACGCATATTTTTCAACCATTTGTTGACAGTAAGCATTTCGCCATAACTGATCCCCCGGCATGGAGCCGCGTGGCTCACCCTGCCGCAGTCCCAATAAACAGCTCCTCTATCTAAATCCGGACAGCACAAAGGGGCAACACTTCAACTCTACTCTTCTAGCAGAAAACCTAAATTTCTTTCCACAATGGGCACCTTCCGCAACGCTTTGACTGATGCTGACCAGGAATGGATCCGCAAGCAAAAGGTCTTCTTCATGGCGTCGGCACCGCTAGCCAAGGACGGCCACGTCAATCTGTCGCCGCGTGGCTACGACTCGCTGCGTGTCCTCAACGCCAACCGCGTCATTCCACCTGGACGGTCGCGGCAGCGGCTGCGAGACGATTGCACATCTGCGCGAGAACAAGCGCATCACTTTGATGCTCTGTGCCTTCGAAGGCTCGCCCAAGATCATGCGTCTGTTTGGCACCGGCAGAGTCTACGAGCCAGGCACGCCCGAGTTTGACACGCTGTTCGAGGAGCACTTTAGCGAGCAATGGAAGGACCCAGCAAAGTTCAAGTTTGTGCGCTCCATTATTGACGATCCAGGTTGAGATGGTTGGACAGTCGTGCGGATTCGCTGTGCCGTTCATGGACTACAAGGCGGAACGCGAGACACTGGTCAGGTACTTTGAGAACAAGTCGGATGAGTCGCTACAGAACAAGCGTGTGAGAGATAACACCTGCAGCATCGATGGGTTGCCGAGCTACCTCAATGGTACCGACCCTGGCAACACTACCAAGACTAAGGCTGATGGCCATGCTGGATGCCGCCTGCACCCTGGCTCGGAGGAATTGCACTAGGCGCTGCTGCAGCTAGCTGCAGTCTTCAAGAACTATCAGTAAGTTTCACGTGCCCCCTTCTCCGCCCCCGAGGCAAATTGCGTCTGAACTTGCAGGCGTGCGGTAATAATCCCCAGTGGTGACGATTTTGTTGTTTTTTGGGGGTATGAGAGAGCACAAACACGGGTCGGGGCGTCGCTTTCAGGCGCGCATTCAATCACCCTCTCCTGCGCTTATACAAAAAGGCCCACGTCGTTTTGTTGGCTGTTTGTACGCCAGGCCCCGCAGCTCTACTTCTCTCCTCTGTTCCCTTTTTATCAAATACACCCTTTTTTCATCTTATGCCCCCGACAACGAAGACTGGAAAGCCAGACCCGCAGCACGCTGCCGCGCACAAACACACGCTGAAGCCGTATGTGCAGGCCCAGGTGGTGCACTACAAACCGCGAGTCTCGGTGCTTCGACAAGGAGCTAACGACCGTGAGCTACCACGGCCTGGATCAACTTTGCGCTGCTCTTGCTGTCGGCAACCTTGATCCGCCTGGCCATCGAAAACTACATGAAGTACGGCATCCTTGTCAGCATTCCGGGCGGCGGCGTTGCCCTGATCGACTGGCTGATGACACTACTGGGCATTCACAAGCGTGGCCGTGGCCTTTGTGGCCTGGCTACGTGATCGAGCTCATGGCAATCCCCAGGCCCGGCAAGGGTAGGCGGCAGAAGGGCGACGTGGGCGTGCCCAAGGAGGAGAAGCGCACAGTCGTCTTGCATCTGCTGAACCTGGGTTTTGTACTGGTAGCACCTGGGTGCATTACCTACTTCGGCATCTACCAGCCCGCGCTCGGCACGTTTGTGATGATGTGCTCGTGTATCATGTTCTTGAAGCTGTATTCGTGGGCTGCCACAAACTTTGACCTGCGCCGGGCGTACCGGCTCGGCGACGCCAAGCTCGAAAACGACCCGATGCGCTTTGCCCACATCAAGAACGGCCAGTTCATCGTCGATAGCCAGGCCGACGACGATGAGGACGAGGGCGTCGAGGAGCTTGTCAAGGAGGTCATTCCGATAACGACGCGCGCCAGCTTCTCGCTGAACGCACGTGCGCTGGACGGCATTCACGTGGCCGGCGACGACCGCATCGACGCCAAGGCCGACGCTCTGCCGCGCCCGCGCCCGCGCCCAAAGACCGTGGACAGCACCGCCGAGGTTCTGCGCAGCATGGCCGAGTCCAAGAACAGCTCGACCACGACAATTGCTGATGCTGCTGGGTCGCCTGCTGAGGAGCCGCCGGCACGCGTCGGCATGTCGCATCCGATCGACTACAAGGTCGCCTACCCAAAGAATGTGACCCTGGCCAACTTTATGTATTTCTGGGCTGCGCCCACGCTCTGCTACCAGCCGTCGTACCCGCGCATGCCCGGCCCTGTGCGCAAGTCCTTTGTGGTCAAGCGGATTACCGAGCTGCTGATCTGCTGTCTGGCCATGTACATTGTGATCCAGCAGTACGCTATTCCGACGCTGGTGGGCTCGGTCATGGCCATTGACAAGCGCGATGCCTTCTGGCTGTCCGAGCGCGTGCTGAAGCTGTCAGTGATCAGTGCCGGTGTCTGGTTCCTCGGGTTCTACGCTATCTTCCATGCGGGGCTTAATGCGTTGGCCGAGCTGTTGGGGTTCGCTGATCGCGCGTTTTATCTCGACTGGTGGAACTCGGTCGATCTGGCTGCGTACTGGCGTGAGTGGAACCTTGCCCATCCACTACTTTTGCAAGCGCCATATCATGATGCCTTTGGTCTCGGCGCCCCTGTCGCTGTCGCCCCACCTGGGTGTCTTGCTGACCTTTGTGGTTTCGGCTGTCATGCATGAGCTGCTGTTTGGCATTCCGACCCACTCGCTCAAGGGGTACTCGTTCTTTGGAATGATGTTCCAGATCCCCTTGATCCAGCTCACCCAGTGGTTGGTGCGGTGGCGTGGACCCGAGTCGGGCCTAGGGAACGCCGTGTTCTGGATATCCTTCTGCATTGTCGGCCAGCCACTGGGTGTCGTGCAGTACTACTATGACTGGGTCAAGAACAACCCCTAGGGGTGCGATGTTACACCACTTGCCCACCATCTCCCTTCTGCTTCTTTTCTTCAACAAAACATGTAGAATTATTGTTTTTGTTTGTGCCCCTGCCTTCTGCCGAACACCAGGCGGATCGGCGATGCTATTTTTACGGGCGGGTCTGCGGTACATGGCAAATCGTTCAATTAAAATACCTCAGTCTTGTGCCGACGGTCCATTGGATCTAGCGACAAATCCCACGCTGGCTTTCGGTATCAGGCGCAACCAGCCTCATCGTCGCTCTCGGTATCAGTCGCGCAGGGGCTGCAGAATGAGCTATCTTGCAGGTGCCGCTTGCAGACACCCCATGGCTGCAACATTCGTCACCCTCTGCATCCCGGGCGATTGAAGCGTTCTGGTCATGCATCTGCAGCCTGCTTGTTTTCCAGAGCCGAAGCCCGGATGAGTCCAGAAGCTCCTTCTTTCTTAGCGGGCTTTGAGTGGAAGGCGAATGCCATGCTACACCGAGCTGAAAATAAACATGTCTGGAAAAAGGACATCCCACCCCCTTTCCACAAATCCCTTCCTCGACACCGCCAAGCGTATTCAGAAAGGCGCTTGGCCAAGACCACGCAGTCCCTTTTCGGGCCTCTATTTTGGAAGCCTGTGGAGATTATCTGCGCGTCGGAAAGAGGGGATGGTGAGGGAATTGATATACAGACGACAATCACCCGCCGCACACCAAGGTTCACAAACGTTGACGGCCCAGCAGCCGGAAACCCGCGCAGAGGGGGAGGCAGGCGGCTAGTAGGACAGCATTATTTGTCTCGTTCCGAAATTGTACTTAAACTTGAACATTGCCTTGCTGGCTTTGTGCGCTTCTCCTCTCTCCAAGCTCTCGCACCAACCCCTTTTCTCTCTTTTGCAACACTTTCTTCTTCTCCCTCAGCGTCTTTCGCTTGACCATTCCCCTCTTCCTCCTCTCTTTTCGCCAAACACTTACCTTTATTTTACAGACGCGCTTCTCACGCCCACCCTCTTTTTACTCTCATAATGAAGGTACGTTTTTATTCCTAGCGCCTTCCTGGTGTGGCGGGCAGCCATATTAGTACTGGGGATCTGTGGTCCCGCCCCTTGCCCAGCGCCTGGGGATGGCGGTCTCGGTCCTTGATTCTTTTGGACACGGTCCGGTTTGCCGGCTCCCCACATACCACCCATCTCCCCACACACCTTTTTGCCAGCGAGAAATGGGCTGAGAATGCTGCCTTTCTACATGGTTTATGTGTCAGACAATAACTCAGGGAAATGGGCATGTTTTGTTGTTTTGCTGGTGCTCTGGAAGAGGGTGAATATGCCTCGATTGTTTTTTTTCTAGCTTTGAATGCATTTTGTTGTCAGAGCTGCGTTGATACTGCATTGTTGTTGCATTGCAGACCATGTAAACTGATGGGCAATCCTGGCATCAACAGAAGCACTTTCTGCGGGATGGCCCCACACATGCCGCATGGCTTCTAGTGGGCTTGCAAGTCACCCGGATGTCTAGCTAAGATCTGCACCCACTCTTTTTTGCCTGTAGTTTTCCACTGTGACAGCCTTTGCCATTGCGGCGCTTGTGCAAACCGGCCTGGCCGCCAAGTGTGGCACGCAGAGCTGCAGCAAGGACTCGCCCTGCTGCGTCAGGGGCTACTGTAACGCGAACGCCATGTACTGCATGCCGTTCAACTGCGAGCCGGGCAACTCGTACTCGCAGTCCTCGTGCTGGGACACAGCGCACTGCGTCAAGAGCAACGTGAACTTTGCCTCGGGCAACTCGTTTGCACAGATCGCCGACTACAGCGGCAACCCGGCGGATGCGGCCTTTGTGTCGCAGTTCGAGCCGTCGAACGCCAAGCAGGCGAACGGCGAGCTGGAGATGACGCTGGTGAAGCAGGGCGACGGCAAGGGCTTCGGCGCCACGGTGATCAACACGCGCGCGATCCAGTACGGAACCGTCACGGCGGTGATGAAGTCGGGCTCGGCCAGCGGCGGCGTGGTGTCCTCGTTCATTATCCGTAACGACAAGGTCGGAGACGAGATTGACTTTGAGTTCGTCGGCGCCGACAAGGCCACGGTCCAGTCCAACTACTACTGGCACGACAACCTCGACTACACCAAGATGGTCAAGTCGCCGGTGCTCCCGGACACCACCTCCAACTATCCACACGTACCAGATCGTCTGGACCCCCGACCAGATCCAGTGGGGCGTCAACGGCAACATCTTCCGCACTGTCAAGCGCGCTGACACGTGGAGCGCCGCGACCAACTCGTTCCAGTACCCGGACTCGGAGTCGTACGTGAGCTTCTCGATCTGGGACGGCGGCTCCGGCGCCAAGGGTACCTCCGACTGGGCTGGCGGTGCCATCCAGTGGGGCGAGAACTCGTTCGTCATGGGCGTCAAGTCGCTGACCATCGACTGCTTCTTCAACGGAAACGAGACCACCTACAAGCCCCCCAGGGCCGCCACCAGTGACAGCGCCGAGGAGTCCGAGTCCGCCACCAAGAGTGCCTCCAAAGACCAAGTCCAAGGCCAAGTCCAAGACCACGTCGGGCCAGCAAGTCCAGCGAGGCTGAGTCTGCCACCGACGACGTCGAGGACTCTGCCACCGAGGATGTCAGCGAGGAGACCGGCGCGACCGAGACCAGCACGACCAGCTCCAAGGTCACGTCGGCGCGCACCTCTGCCTCTTCCTCGGAGAACTCGGGTGTCTCCATGGTTGCGTCGCTGGGTGCCCTTGCTGCGGCCCTCTTTGCTGCCACTGCGTTCTAAGCAACAAAAGAAGATTCGTCTTTTCTCTCTTTGTAATGTTAGAGCGTTTTGGACCGCAAGTCTTTCGCTGCCCTCACCCCGCACTATGTCGTTCACATTTACGTTTTTTCACTGTTCCCTTTTAATTTTCCTTAACAAGTACCCTTTCCTCCTCAAAGTGGCAGTGTCTTTATCTACCCGCTGGTGTCTCGAGCGCTCTCCGATGCCATCCAGAAGCCGACTGATGTTGCACAGTTGTAGGAAGGGGAAACGCAAAGTGGGAAGGTGGGCGATCCTCATTTTCGGAATTTCGACTATCCCATTGAACCTCGAGAGGGAAAACAGGTTTGAAGAAACCAGGCGGTCCACAAGGACTGCATGGCGATTGGTGGGACCGGCTGCGGCCTGGGGAAATAGCAGGCAGATTGCTACAACAGATTCTTCTGACAACAAACACACTGCTGCATTATTCAGTCGCATAGTGCGCGCCATGTACTCAATCCATGCCAGCGTTTTTTTTCGATACAGATATCATACGCGGCCCTTCATTACTTCCGCAGCATTGCATGTCTAGGTGCCATCGAGCTTTTCAGCGTGTCTGCCCTTGTGTCTCGCTCGGTCGTGCAGGATCAGCGCCTGCTCAATTTCTAACCAGAAATAATAGAAGAAATCAGTGCAGCTCCCGGCCAGTTCTGCATTGATGTTTTTCTGCTCGCGCTTCTTGTTGAGGCAGTTGGCAAATTGGAACTCGCTTGGACGATCCCCGCCCTGGGTCCAGGACACGCTTTTTCCCAGACTGAAGGACGATAGCATGCGCTGTGGCCCTTCTGGCTCAGCACTCAATGGTGCCACCGTTTTTCGCACACTATGTCTGCAAAAAGGTGAGTGATTACCAGCAGCAGGTTGCGAAGCAGCTTGGTGCGCTTGCAAAGCGCTTTCCCTCCCCACACACGCTATTCCATTTCATGGGGGAATGAAGTTCCTGCCAGGCGGTTCAGAGAGGGGCGTCTATCCCTGCCATTGCAGAAAAGGATAGGCGTCAAGCAGTACTCGTGCATTTGTTTGCTTTTTTTTTGGCGCTGGTTTTTGTAAAGTTGGTCTGGTTTTCGAGCACCTCTTTCCTCTTCTCTTTCCCGTTTTCTCTTCTTTTTCGTACTCGTTTTAACGACCACTTCCCCTCCTCTCCCTTTTATCCTTCCTGCGTGACCTGCTCCAAAGAGACATTTTAATATCTCTTCAACATCCTGCTCGGCGCACACCTATTTCCCCTCGTTCCTCACCTTTTCCTTTTTTTTTTTTTCGAACTTTCCTTTTGTAACGACCCGCTCTTTCATATCCAACAATGGTCTCGTTCCTTTCCTACATTGCCCCAGTTATGGCTGTGTGGGCACTGTCCGTGCCGGTTTCTACACCACCTACCCGGTCGGCGCTGATGCGATCAAGTCTGGCCAGACGATCACCATTACGTGGAAGCCAGATACCATCGACCCTGTGCTGACGAACGTGCCGCAGTACACGCTGAAGTTTATGACCTGGCGGCAACTTTGTTCAGACAACCGTGGCGACCATCGGCACCTTCGACATCTCGAAGCAGTCGGTCACCTACACCATCCCGAAGACCGCCCCCGGCATGTACTTTTTGATGTACACCGCCTCCACTGGCGGCTCGTCCTGGTCGACCCGCTTCTCGGATTGATGGCGGCGATTCGTGGTATCCGGAGGGTGTCGCCACCGGTGTTGACCCGGGAACCTCGACCACGGCCGCTGTTCCCTCCCGAGCGCCTCCAAGTCCACTGGCGGCCAGATTGGTGAGCCTGAGACCGCCTCCAACACCGCCGTGCCTAGCGCCTCCAAGGAGGAGCCCACCTCCAGCACCAAGGAGGAGGAGACTACAGCTAAGACTACTGCGGATGAGAAGCCTACCCCTTCCTCTTCCCCTGCACCTGCCACCACTAAGGCCAAGTCGTCGGTTGCTGCCACCACTGAGGCTAAGAGTGATGCCCAGGAGGCAACTGACGGTTCTGAGGACACCGAGAACACCGAGGACACGGATGCTACCAGCGAGGAGGGCGACCTTGAGACCGAGGAGAAGTCGAGCGCCCACTCGAGCTCTGCCACTAACAAGACCTCCAAGACCACGTCCAGCGACCAACTCGGCTGCCACCCGCTATCTGTCGATGGCTGCGGCACTGGCTGCCGCTGCCTTCATGCTCTAATCATGCTAAAGAGCTACCTCGTCTGGAAGTGATTTGAGCACGCCTCGCTGGTGCTCATTCAGCCGCTCTTGACCTGTAAGCTTGTACGAAATCCCTCTCGTTCCATTTCATTTACGTTTTTTCTTCTCTTTTCTCTATTGGGCTTTTTTGAAATCGTTTTCTAGTTTCTCTCTCTTTTCTCTCTTCTCGCTTGGAACCAACTTGACAATAATATTTTGAATACCATCACCATCCATGACACCCACTTGATCTGGTTGTTCCCATGTATTGCCATTGAGAGAGGCACTTGCTCTATATTATCCGCTGGGTCATATGGACGGGGTCCAGTGACCTCTGCCCCAGGGTGGCTGTATATTGGTACTGCCCAGTGGAAGGGAGCTGAGCATTGTTTCCACACCACGGCTGACCTGCCGGCAGATAGGTATTTTTACGTAAAAGAGGCTGCGCTGATGTTTTATTTTTAAATGCCACCAATCTCACACGTCTTATTTTTAGCAGCGCCTTTGCTGCAAAGAAAACAGGGACAGAGGCGGATGGGGATGCAATGTCTGTGCGGGACATTTCTGAGTCGCTGGTTTCTCTGCGACAGATGGCCAGGCACATCGCTTGTGCATGCATGTATATGTGTATGTGTACAACTCCCCAGGACCCAGGTATACTGCGTCGGCATCCAGGGCAGTAAATAACACAGGAAGCCACCACTGTTGGAGTATAGCAGGTTGTTTGCTCGACGAATACCCGACTAGGGTATAGGCTAGGTGCATATACTAGTGCATGGAGGCACCTTTTCCGGTTCCTGTAAATGCAATTGACCAGCGTGCACGCGCATACTCCGCAATCTATACAGCCGATGGGCAAAAGTATACCACAGCATTCTTCCCCAACAACCCACACCATGCACACGTTATACATGGGTATGGAGAGATTTGGCCGAGTCAAACGGAGCACAGGTGCCTTCCGAATGCGGCAGCATACGGAGAGAAAAGAAATTTATGCAGCAAAGGTGCACTACTTGCCACATTAATAAATCCCGAGTATGATCCCATGTGCGGCAGCACATCCACGCATTTCTAATCTCTTGCAGTATTAGTGCTTTACGATTTGGGCAGCCAAAAGTAGTTATTTCGAGCCAGGTAATTTTATGGTACAGTATTTTTCCTGATATGATATGCGTTCTACTTCGCAGTATATATGAGACGCCTGCCGACCGCATATCCCAAAGAAAAGATTGCATATTCTACCAACTCCATCCAAACATACCGTGCGTGTCTCCTTTCCCTTTCTGGTTCAGATTTATACTTGTCTGCACCACCTTGTTTTCTCTTTTCTCTTATTTGTTTGACATTAAAATAGCCACTGGCTTACTTTGGAGCCATTCGAAAAGTATGGGGGTCACTCTGGGTTCAGGAACAACGGTAGATCTAGAGAACATACCGCTACGGCAGTTCCATAACCTTTCGATTCACCCAGCAACACCAGTGGTCATTGTTGTGTCGTATATCGCCATCGTGCAGTGGCTAAATGGCTCACGCAGCAAGTCTCTGTCTCCGAGTCGAGGCCAAACGCCAGTGCCTTGAACTGGTCGACGAGAAAGCATTGAAATACAAGCAGAGCGGTCCTTGGATGACAGCGTTTGTTGTCCTTGCACAATGTGCTGCTCGCTGGGTTCTCGTACTGGTGCGCGACCAACTACACTTCATTTTTCGCCAATGTTGTTGACCAGGAGAGCCTAAAGGAAGCGGTAGGTATACAGGCTCTCGTACGCATGACGCTCTACCGCAAACACTGCCACTAATGAACACCCACACGTTATATATGCCCCTTAGTACTGTGACTCGAACCTGACAATATGGAACAACATGTACAAGTTCAACTACCTGTTCTACCTCAGCAAGTACTACGAACTCATTGACACGTTCATCATCCTAGCCAAGGGCCGCAAGGCTACGCTCTTGCAGACATATCACCACGCGGGTGCAATTACAACAATGTGGCTGGGCTGCTACTTTGGCTCACCGCAGCTGATCTTTTTTGTGATCGAGAACAGCATCATCCATACGCTCATGTACACGTACTTTGCCACTGACCGCCATGGGCTTCTCCCCACCAGGTAAAAAGTACCTGACGCACCTGCAGATTGGCCAGTTCTTGCTGGGACTGGTCTTCATTGCTCTGTATATCACCCTGCCAAACTGCTTGACCCCGCTGCAAAAGAACCTGATATACGTCATGCTATCGTACCTCATTCCGCTGCTGTACTTGTTTGTCGACTTCTCCATAAAGACATACGGGAGGAAGAAGAAGACAAAGACCCTCTAATACAAGAGGTGGCATTTGGCGTGCCTGTCGCCGCGATTGATGTGCTCATCCACTGGCCGTCTCCATCCCAAGCCCCCTCCCCTACACAGACCTACGTTTTATTATTATTTTGCTGATTTGTCTTTCATCTTAACTTCCCTATATGATTCTGATAAACTGAAATACCCCTCAGCCTGTGAGGTGTGCCACTGCAGCGTGCCAATGAGGGGAGAGCGCCAAGGCGACCTATGTGGTGGCACATATTCATTGTTCATAAAGGCGGAAAATGCAGATAGCCTTCGCATTTTGGTCATGAGGCTGGGGAAGGAAATGGACCACGCAAGGGAACAAATGCAAACAACGATGCTAGGCACGCATGCTGAGCAGCTAAGCACGCTGGACAAAGGGAGGGCAACTACTGTGAAGCTGCAGCAACAGACAGCTGCTAGACCAGTTCTATCACGTTTGCTCTATAAAAGACCACACTATCTTCGTTGTTTGCAAGCTGCACACACTGAACAATAGAAAGATCCAAACCTGAACTAAGGGCCTTGAGATAGCTGCGTGATCGGCAGCTGCTGTCTGACACACTTCGACGTCTCCACCCTCACCCCGCTACGCCTCTTTGTCGCTGGTTGACTGAGCATACCTACAGAGAATGAAGAGGAGATAGCACAATTAAACGAACAAAATGAGGACAATATACAGCACCCTTTTGTTTACCCGCCATTCCACAGATAACAAGGACGATAGCTTCAGCTGGACTTGACAGGCTATTTTTCAGAGTTCGCCTCATTACTGCGCCGCCAATTCATAACCTCATGGCAAGTGCTCTACAGGCACCAAGCACTCGCTGGGAAGCTGAAAAGGTGTGTTATCGTTGGCAAATAAAATATATCTACTCTTTGTTTACGCTGTGGCTGTAACCAGCAAGCTCTCTCCATCTTTTGCTCGCTGCACCTTGAGAGCCAAATGGATACTCTGCCTTCTCGAGCTTGTAAGGTGCTGAATAAACCACTGTTTCTGCTTTAGTTGCCAGAGCACGTCCCATACAAGCCGCCCAGTCGACTGTCAGCAAGCTCTAGGTGAACTGGACAATATATTGGGTAGTGCGCATCCACTAGTGGCTGACAGTAATATGGTGTCTCAAATCGAGAGAAAAAGGCATAGAAGCAAGCCAATCCCTGGTCAACAGTAGGCTCAGTATGCTCTTGGCTAGGCATATAGGCTTGTTTGCTTTTGGGAGATGGGCTGATCCGCGGCAGGGAGGGATGATCGGAACAGCAGAGAAGTAGCATGTACTCCCTAATTCCAGCATTGGCAAAAATTCTCCTATTCAAAAAAAAAAATAAAGGTGCCAATGTCGCCTGCACTGTTTCGCCTGCATTTATCATCTCCAATACGTTTGAAAATGCCCGTTCGCAAGCCGGTTTGTTGACAGCAAGACACAATTAAACTCCAAAAAGTTGTAAACAGAAATCCGTCACACGCAGTTATTATTACCCTAGTTGGCAGCGAGCACCAGCTGTGGTAGAGTTACTGTGCAGTAGGTCTGGACTGTGGTCTGTCCCTCTTGCTCCCTTATTCCAAGGATGGCTGAGAAAATGAGCGGCCAGGCGCCAGAGCCCGTACTGGACAAGCGCTCCTTACACCCATGCACAATATTAGCAGAGTGTTGTTGATATATACACCAGATGCATTGATCCCTTCTTGTTGCAGGCAGGTAACCAGTGAACCGCCAGTTGACTCGACCTAATATAAACAGAACCACCTCACATCAGAATGGCCGCAGGCGGTCAATTGTGCAATGGCACAAGCCTCAAAAAGCCAAATAATAGAATGCCTGCAACTGCGTTGACTGCGGTGCCTCAATTCGGGTTAACAGGCAGTGTGGGTTGATAAGGGGCTGCTAGCGGCTGCTGGAGAGCATAATTGGCTGGCAGTCTTTTGAAAGCGTGCAATATAGGACTGGTCGCCTGCGCAACATGCAAACAAAACATGCACGCACACCTTGAAATCTAGTCTGGACAATCAGGTGTCTCTGGCTAAAAGAAGTAGAACGCCGGCTGAACTATGTGTGCACAATAGCAGTGCGGGTTATTACACATTGACTGGAGAATAATAACCCTAATATCTGGTGTCGACATTTACATGTTTGTGTAAAGTTAGTGCATAGCCACTAGCGCTGCTTGTAATTGAAGTCGAACAGTGCGCAGCGACAGGGAAGGCATGTGGCACGTGAGGAAGTACGAGCTACAATTGCCAGCGGGGTCACGGTAAACCTAATGCAGTGGGGGCTCAGTGCTTGAGTACATTTGGCACTAAGAATGCCCCAAGGCACATAACCTTGAGCTCGTGAGCACAGTTTTCGCACTCGCTTATTGTCCCGACTCCTCCACAATGCTGCGCTTGAGACAGCAACAACGACAATCTATTGCTGATGCACTTTTATCCAGCGAGAGAGCACCGTTCTATTATCCTCAGCGATTATGCACTCAAGCTAACCTCTTTCACCGCATACTGCCGAGACAAGCCCGCCCAGTTGGTGATGCTAGATTTGTAATATAGTTGAGTAATGATGGGCCTACATGCTCTACATGCACAGGAATAGGAACAGAAGCAGACTGCTATAGCATGAATACCGAGCTCCGTTGAGCCCCGAAGTTTCCTCTACTTTTTCTGGGCGGGCGATCCGGAGTCAACATACATGTGGGGTGTGTGTGCATTTCATGTCGGTGTCATGTGAAGCGACCCCTCCCTCATTCACTGAGCGGCAAGATGTATGCCTAGCCCCGTGGGAGCTGGATTAATTTCTAGCGGCGCGCGCATAGTCTCCTCCTTTACTCGGTGTCAGAATGAGCTCATGCCGCCTCATCTGTCCCTCCCCTCCCTCCCTCTTCCCGTACGATACGGCATATACGCATTACCACCCCCCCTTTCCTCTAACAATGCCACAGCTTGCCTCCCCCTTGCTTCTCGCTAGCCAAAGGTACACAGACACTAGAGGCAGAGTGTGAACAATGGAACTTCAGCTATGTACAGATTGTGGCCATTCTATCAGAAACTTTCCTATTCGCAAAACTTGAACCACTAACAGTGCGTCGAGTCGCCACACCTGGAAGGTGAAGGCACAATAGAAGCTTGTTGAAAATTTTGTGGCCGCGGCCACGATTGTTGATACTGTCCTTCGGTAATGCAAGGAAGTGGGTGGATTTGGCATATGTGTGGCCCCAGCATTTATTGGATGCTGAATGTCAGCCTGGATGGACTCTCCAAGGCTACGCAGCCAGGTACGCCTAGCAATGTGATGCCAGTAGCGGCGCAGCGGCGCATGCTCCCTTTGGGTGTCTCAGAACGAAGCAAAGAAAAAGCGGATGTGCAGTATAGTATGGCCGGGGATTATTCTGCCTGAATGCCGTCCAGCTCTCCAACGAAGGACAAACAACTATTTGCCTTCATAGTCATGTGCGCTGCGGGTCCGAATAAAGGATATGCAGCTTTTTGTTTTGGAAATAGCAGCTAGGAGTGGGGAGGGTGTGATCTGCGGCAGATGAGAATCCACGGCAACACAGGTTGCCGCCTTGAAGCTCGTCAGCAGCACCGAGCCAAAGGCAGCCCGAGGGGATCATGACATGGCTTCTGCGTATATTGATTGCAGAGGTGGCGCGTATCATAAGGCTGGAAAGCAGCGGACAAGCCAATAATGGCGGTGGGGACATCACACATGCGATGGCACATCCTACTGGACATGGCAGAGAATGCGAGGTGGGGAGCGAGGATGGATGGCAGCCATTCCCCATTGAGCAATGGGGAGGAAGGCCGCAGGAAGCGAACTGGCAATAGAGGCAGACAAGGCGTCCAATTTCAAGCGGCAGGCGCAAGAGAAAGTGGCGGTAGCGCAAACATAAAAGGTCGATTGAAAAGAGGGACCAAGGCAAGCTAGGTTGATATTGTTCTCCAAGGCGAAGAGAAAATGCACTAGCCTCCCAGCAGAGAATGCTGGATGTGCCTCTGGCTCATTGGAACAAATAGGACTAGCAAGCTATGCTACAAGGAAAAATGAGCGCAAAGTGGGTCGCAACCACCTGTACTCTCCCCACCCCCCATTCCCACATCTCCATTTCTCACACATCTATTTTGAGATAAAAAAGGGGGAGGAGGAAAATACATGAATACAAAATGGCGGCAACCAAAACACAGTAATCGAGGGCCCGAAAAGCGAGTAACAGCCCAGAAGGGAGTGTGTTGTGCGGCGGGAGTGCGGGACGACGGCGAAGAGGGGAGGAGACTCGAGCTGTGGTGATCTTTTCGGTCACAGACCTCTCAGTTAAGCGGCATGCTCTTTCTTCCATTGACCGCGTTGTTATTGTTATCGCGTCGAGCCCACTCCATAGAAGAGGACTCTAGTAATCCGACCATTTCTGGATTCGCGACAAGCTCCAGACGGCTCCAGGCACGTCGCTGCTGCTTTTCGGGATAAAAAGAGAGCAATTCGTACTCCGCTATACCTGGCTCTCGTCCTACCTCGTCTCCAGCCGCACATTACTTTATCCTTTTTTATTTCCATTCAATCCAGCAGTTGAGGAAAAGCTTTCCAGGGAGGGCTCTTCTTACTACCATTCTACATACCCTAGTCACTCTATTTTTTGGCCAAGAACGGAGGGACCACGTCCGCCTTGAGCCATTAGTCCTGTCTCCAGGTATGTCTATCATGCACAGATGCGTGCATCTTCCTCGCTCCCACCGTATCCGCTTTTTACATTGGGCCTTGATTTTTCCACACGTTTTTCTTTTTCTGATGCGTCAGTTTTGCCTTGTTTTGATGTGGGGGTGGAAAACACCGGCATGTACCTGATCCACATTTTCCCGAGCTTGACCGATATTCATTTAGCCTACCATCGCCCACATATGATTTCTAATCTCCAGTTCGGGCTATATACACTGCAGTATCTCACCCCTCGCTTCTTCACCACGCATACTGGTTACTCGCCCGACATCGGTTGCCGGTCACCTCCCACATCGGGCTAAGCAGTTTTGTTGCGCCTCCTGGCTGCACACTTTATCCCTGTTTTTCTCTTTATTTTGCTGCCGCCACACCGATTCCAGCGCACGATTCCCGGCCAAATAACAACGCTGCATGCCCCTTCTCTCCCCACCCCGAACATTTATTAATTCCTGCTGTTTGTGTGGCCTCAACCGAGCACTGCTGCATGTCTTTTGTAGGGGTTCGCCAACAAGAAAGCGTGCCTTATTTCGCAGGCTGCTGCTCCCGCACTTGCAGGCTGCAATCGCTTTATTGCCATCTATTTTTTCTCCTCTCCACTCGATTCCTTTTTAAGTAGAGGAGGCTTTACCGCGCACTGCATTAGTACAACGGGAGCTGGCTTTCTGTGTCATCGCCCAACCCTGTCTTAGAAAAAAAACAGTCTTGTCCTTGCCGTCCTCCATTCGACAGAAGCCAAAAGCCCTTTTTCCTCTTAGTAGCGGGCCCGGTAGGACACACTGCGCTCAAAGCGTCACAGGAACCTTGTCTATAGCTCGCATCCAGCTTATTATTTTATATTTCCCCTCATTCCCTACTTTGCTTCACTTTGCTTCGCCTTATACTCCACCCACCCTCCTCATCAACCCCTCCTTACCCACCCCCTGAAATCCAGGAAGAATTCCACTTCATCGGAAAAAAGGTACTTGAACCTTGACCCCATCCACCTCGCTTTTATTTCCCCTTTCCTTTTTTCTCTACACCACCACCGTTGCTTCTATACATCTGCCTTTCCTCTATCTCTTTACCATTACAGTCATCGCAATTGATTGCAACCACTAGAGCCTGTAGCAAAAAGACACCCGTTTTGTACCACCGCCCTATATTCATATCCCTAGCCTCCCTTGTAAATCCAGCCTTCGGTTATCTTGTTTCCAAATCTCAATACGACCAGCCAGCACACCGCGTTGTCCTCCCTTACATCGGCTTTCATTGACACACCCATGATGCCAAGAGCAAAGAATACCCCAGGCGGCAGCGCCAAGCCCGAGCCTCCCCGCCCGTACAAATGCCCCATGTGCCCCAAGGCGTTCTTCCGTCTCGAGCACCAGACACGGCACATCCGCACGCACACCGGCGAGCGGCCGCATGCCTGCACACACCCTGGCTGTGAGAAGCGGTTTTCGCGGTCTGACGAGCTGACTAGACACATGCGGATCCACCGACCGGACGCGAACATCAAGCGGGATACGCGCGGGGTGCGGCGCCGGGCAGTTCGTGGAGGAGCCCCCACATCGCAAACGGTGGCGATGGCCAGCGGGGTAATGGGGATGGCGCCTACTGCCACCAGGCCCGCATCGTTGCGAGTTCCGCACGGGTTGAGCCCTCTCATTACTACCAGGCACACGTTTGCTACTTCACCAACGAACGTGGTGTTCCCAGCGTACTCCCATCAACAGCGCCTGCCGTACTCTGCATCAGCGGCCTGGGTTTTCAGCAGCTCAGTTTGGAAATGCAGGCTACCCTTCACAGGCTATGCACCTTGCCGGATCGCATTCGGGGTACATGCGGCCGGAATTGGGAATGCGTCCTCACAATAATTCTAGCATCAGCAGCTACCATCAATACCGTAGTCACTCGTCGTCTCCGCCGCCTCTGTCCCGTGCAGCCGTGCAGGCCAGCCAGCCCCAGCACAGCACCGGAACTCAGCCGAATAGCAGCTGCAGCAGCAACAACAGTCCTCCTGATCACACGCTTAGTGCGCTACAGGGACGGGGCACTGCCTCATGCGCTGGCGGTGGTGGTGGCTCCGCGGATGCACACTCGGGCATTGTGCGCAGAGTCCCCCCCGCACACGAACCCCACCTGCCGTATGACCGACCAGGCAATTCGTTGGCTGCTTGTTCTCTGCGCCGGCTATTGTCACCGCACGAGCGGCGGCCATCCCCACTCAATCTGGGTTCTGCCAGCTCCTCTCCGCGTGCTTTTCCGTCTGGTGCGCCGCACTCGGCCTCTGCAACCGCAACATCGTTTAAGCCACCCGTGCGGAATACGCCCATTGTGCCGACTATTAACTCTAATTCTGGCAGCGCTTTAGCCGCTTCTAGCGCCCTGGAGCCGTTGGCCAAGCTGGCGCCAGCATGCGGGCCGGCTCTGAGCGGAGTGCGGATGCTGTCGAGCTCGGCTGCGTCGCTCGTGGCCACTGCCGCTACTGCCGCACATGCCGACGGCACACAGTCGCTGCCGGCCACGCCCATCCGGGCTGCACACTCGGCGGGCTCCTCACAGGTGCCATCCTCAGCCGCCGACTCCACGTCTACTTCTCCACGGGCTGCTGGGAGCGCCCCGTCGGCTGCCTCTGCTGAAGCAAGCAGTGCGACCTCTGCGTGGGGCTCGTCAGCCAGCGATGAGAACGATGCGGTGTTCGGTGCGCCTCCTCCGCCTCCCAGGCCTCCACGATGAATTCAGCAGTGTCCGCGCTGCCAGCAGCATAATGGGCTTGGGAAACAGCCCAGCATCGTCGCGCACCTCGTCAAAGAACTGCTCGCGCACTACATCGCCGCGCACACCATGGCTGGTACAGCAGGTTGGTGGGGCACTGCGGGGTGGGAAAGTGGAAATCTCGGGTCCGAACATCGAGGACTCGATGGGCATGTCTTCGGTATATCTGTATAGCTATAGCATTGCTAGCCATATTCACTCGCCGATCAAGCAGCACATCCGGAAGGATCCGCCGACCGATGTCGCTCCGCCGTCCCTCAAAACCCAACCCCGCCCTTCCCTGCACATCAAGGCCGTCCGGAGTGTGTCTTCCATCGCGGATATTCTGAACTGCACAGACAGGTCCGACCTCAGCCGGCTCCGCCTGCCGCCGCCAACCCCCACAACACCTGCAGTGCCAGGCGACACTGCAGGGAAGGGCAGCAACAAGGCTAGTGTTTTCAGCGTTCTAAATTGAACTACGATATTCCCACACCTCAAATGCACGAATTTTTTCTCTGACAGTCAAATATTCAGCAGAGATCCCCTCTGCTGTACGCTTCATGTGTCAGCTAAAGCAGGGGGCTGCTTCTGCTATCCTTGGTCACACTTTGCACAGCCCACCGTAGTTTATACATCGCAGGTGGTGCTTTTGGAGCTCACTCGGGCCACGCGTGGACGAGCAGCGGCGCTGATTGGTCAGCACTGGATGTTCAAACTCAGTCGTAGGGAACGAAGCTGGTGACGAAGTCCATTCTGGCAAAAGTGCCTTGAGCCCTTTCTACTTCACTGATTTCAACCCTCCTACGAAAATTTATTTCGGTGACTTTGAATGCAATGAAATTCCTCGGTCAAAGTATTGCACAGGCAGTTGACGTGGAGCTGATGGGCAGGTACGGCTATGCGATCGAGCAGCTGATGGAGCTTGCCGGCTTGAGCGTTGCCGAGAGCATCGCGCGCGAGTACCCCAAGGGCAGGGTCCTGCTGTGCATTGGGCCTGGCAACAACGGTGGTGACGGGCTGGTAGCTGCTCGCCATTTGTATCACTTTGGATACACGCCGTCGCTGTTCTACCCAAAGCAGCCAAACAAGGATCTGTACAAGAATCTGCTGCACCAGTGTGTCTCGCACCAGATCCCTGTGATTGACGATCTCGAAGCCGAGGTCCACAAGTGCGATTTGATTGTCGATGCATTGTTTGGTTTCAGCTTTAGTGGTGCGGTCAGACCGCCGTTCGACGACGTCTTGCGCACACTGAGTCAGACACCGAAGCCAATTGTGTCTGTGGACGTCCCAAGTGGATGGGATGTCGAGCAGGGCGACATAGTCGGGCTCTGGGCTGCAGCCCGGATATGCTGGTTTCGCTGACTGCACCAAAGAAATGTGCAGAAAAGTTTGGAGGCCGGTTCCATTATCTGGGTGGCCGATTCGTACCGCCAGAGATGGCAAAGGACCTTGGAATCCCGGAGTATGCCGACAGCTCTCAGTGCATGAAGCTAGGGCAGTTAATCGGCCAGCAGCGTCTGTAAGTGCTGTTGCGGACTGGGGCGGCGTTTTAGCGTTCTGCGGGCGACTCAGAGTTATGTATTAAATGTGGCTGGAAAGGTAAAGAGAGCGTGTTTGACGTTAATAGGTTTGCTTGCGGGGCCAGGGGCCAGGGGAGATATAAGAGTTGGACAACGTACGCAATAAATGGATGAAGAGGTAACGGAATAAAGGAAATATTAGTTTGGGTAATGGTAGCGCAAGGAGGATATGCGGGAAGGATACTGTGGTGGTAAATGTATGCGCTCGCCATGCACTACACGCTGTTCAGCAGCGCACTGATGGGCGGCAGCATATGCGATTCATGGCACTCTGAAATCGACGACTGAACGGCAGGCGCCGGAGTGTGCGGCGAGTTTGGGTGGGTTGACTCGCGGCTCTTGGACGAGGCAGCCGACGACAGAGATGCGGTTGATTGGAACCCGCCGTCCGAGTAGTATTCATTCCGTGCCGCAGTGAAGGCATGTCTGAGCTCGGTGGCCGATCTGTCAAAGGCCTGGTCTGCACGGCCAGCCGCATCAAGCGCTGACGAGCATCCCAAATGAGCATTACTCGTCGCCTCGCGCTCGATCGGCTTGCAATCCCCTAAAAAAGGCCGCAGCGGGGTTGTTGGACTGGTCTCTTTAGGTGAGCTCGTGCTGTGCGCGAGCGGGAGCTTGGGGAGATCGAGGACAGAGCTGCTTGGCCCGCTGCTTATCGGCGGCGTCCGGGCTTGGTATGATTCGTGAAACCCCAACGACTGGTACGACGGGTAAAGTGGCGACGCCAGGTTCGTCTGGGCCTCCTGTTGCCAAGAGGTCAGGTTCAAGATCGCCTGTGTTGACTGCTGATGAGCCACTAAGCGCGGTTCCATCTGTTAGGCAGAGGCTGGCCGTGCTGCTGGGTGCAGATGTGCTGGCGGAGACAGCTGGGTGGTCCGTTTGCGACTGCTGCGGCTGCGACTGGTGCCCAAGCCCAAAGCCAGTAACCGGCGTCTGGCTAGGCTGGGTTTGCGACTGGTGGGTGCTGTCTGATCCAAGTCGTCGAGGCAGCTGAGCTGTAGAACGGCAGGTTCAGGCTTGGGATTCCAGGAAGAGACGATGTGTCCTGAACGCTGCTGATCTCAGGGATGTTGGTCAAATCAACCAGGTTAGCAAGGCTCTGCCTTGAGCTTCCCAGCCTCAACGGAATGCTGCTGCTGGTGTTCCTGTTGATCTGGTTGTTGGGCCTGCTTGCTGATGCTGCTGGTGAGCCGGTTGTATGTGGCTGAGTGGCTGGTTCGGGACTTGCTGATGGTGCTGGCCAAGGTATGTGGATCGGGACAGCGAGTTGTGGCCACCTGAGGAATAAAGGACCAACATTGGACGAGTATTGATCATGGCTATGCTGCTGGGGCTGTGTGTGCTGCTGGGACTGCTGGGACTGCTGGGAATGGGACTGCGAATGGTTGTATGAAAAGCTGAAGCCGTTATTCTGGTGAGTGTGCTGCTGCGGCGGATGCTGTTGATGCTGATGGTGGTTTTGGTGCTGCTGAGACTGCGGTGACAGATGGTGCTGCTGCTGGTGCTGCTGCTGGTGGCCCTGGGGTTGCTGGCTGCCGAGGGTCTGCCCAAAGGATATCGGCTGGAATGCATTTGTGCGCTGGGCACCCGAGAATGATGCATTCCCAAGCGGTAGCACCATTGGATGCAACGTATCTCCTCGATGAGCTTAAGAAGTCGCTGGCTGATAGCCCCCACGAGGCAGTAGCTGAGGACGAGGGATTGAGCTGTTTGGACACTCCAGCGTGTAGTTGCGCCCAAACCCGTAGCCACCATCAAGTGCAGAGCTTGAGCCACCATTGGCGCTGCCGCCAGCACTCCCATTGCAGGAATCGCCGGTCGCTGCAGTGTGGAAATCGCCAGCAAATGCTCCCGAGGAACCACCTGACAGCAGGCCCCCAAAGGAAGTGTAATTGTTTGTAGAAATCGGCTCCGTCGCAGTCGATGCTCCTGCCGAAGTGCGGCTTGGCTGCTGGTATGGCGCAGCACCGAGTCCAGATGTCGACAGGGACGGGTACACCAGGCGGTTTAGGGATTGGAATGGTTGAGTAATATGGTGAGGCTGGTGACAGAGGAGATACCAGCGACTGGTTGCCAATAGGCGTCATGCCCCCAAGACCAATGTCGCCTATATCCTGGCGTCCCGACATCATCATACCAAATGAAGCATCGAATGCCTGGCTGGCGGCTAGCGGCTGGGCTGCCGCAGATTTGGCTCCTTTAGATTTTGCCGATAAGCCAGCAGATGTGCTGGCCGAGCCACCTGCTCCGCGCATGGCACGTTTTTTGGCACTGCGAGCCTCACGCCGCTCAGCAGGTGTTCCTTTGTGGATTCGCATGTGTCTGGTCAACTCATCGGAACGCGAAAAGCACTTGCCGCAGCCAGGATGGGTACAGGCGTGTGGCTTCTCGCCGGTGTGCGTGCGGATGTGCCGTGTCTGGTGCTCGAGACGGAAGAACGCCTTGGGGCACATGGGGCACTTGTAGGGCCGATCTCCCCCAGACTTGCTAGCTGTGTTCCGGGCCGTCATTCAGTGCCGACTGGATGCAAGTGGTAAGGTAGAAAACAAGATTGGCCAGTAAATAACAAAAGTTTGTGGATGCGCTTTTGCTGTTTGTAGAAGGCAGGGGTCCGGTGTGTTTGTGTTTTTGTGTACGGTGTATGCCTGTGTGCAGATGCAAAAACAGGTAATGTGGTCAACTCTGGAGTTGGAGGTATAGAAAAGCAGAAGGATGAAAGTGGAAATGGCCTCTTGGCTAGTCAGACAACGCGAGTAAATCGTATAATTATAGAAGGGGAGAGGTATAGCAAAGAGCCAGTTCTCTCCCTGGAAGAGTAGGAAATCTTTGGTATATGAAAATAAGGAGTCGAAGGAAAGAAGGAAACCCGAAAAGTTGCAAGCAGCCCGGAAGAGAAGGAAATAAAAAAGCGAGGTGGGTGAAAAATGAAGAAAAGAGGGGAGGCAGGCCAATTCCTTATAATCTAAATATGTGGGGAGGACTCGCCAAAGGGAGGGGTTAAAAATGTTTAGCGAAAAAGAGCAGTGAGGAGGCCAGGGTTCAATAGCCGTGCAGCATTTTTGACATTCACCTTGGGACCTACGCTTGGGAGGCAAGGTGTACTGGGTTGTCCCAATAGAATGCCTGGGATGGCTATATGCAGTCGATATCAATAATGAAATAAAGGAAAAAAATAGGTCCAAGGCGAATTCTGGCAATATTGTTTTATTTTGTGCCAAATTGGATTTCTGACTGCTGGTGCCCAATTTCAGGCGTGCCCAATTAACCCAAACACGAGAGGGAATATTAGACGTTTTGCTGGTGACCGCCCAGTAAAGATGCCTCCTCCCTCTCCAAGCTGCTGTTTCATATTCTCACTGTAAATCACTACCTAAAAATGTTGTATTAAATTGGGCAGTAGCACACATTTCATCCCACATTGCCGGGTCCGTCTCGCCTGCATCTCGAAGAGATCGAAATGTGAAGGGGAAAACTGTCTTTTCTTCCGTCCGGGTTCTCAGCCAAACGCTGCACTGCTGTGGATTCTCTCTTTCAGAGACATTGGTGGCGCTATTGGTTTAGTCAGACGCTGCCAGTCTCGAATATTTGTACGAAAGAACACCAGCAGAGCAGTAGCAAGTCCGAGGGAATGCGACATGCGCAGGTTCGCGGACCGTCTTTTGTTGTTTAAGCTTACCAGTCTGCCTCGATCACGGCTGGGAGTTTCATGTTTGGTGGGCATTTTCACAATGGCGATTAACTTGTTCGCTGTCCATTTTCATGTCTACTTCCCACACTAGAATGTCCTTGAATACTTGGCGGTATAGTCAAGACGACGCAGGAAATGACCAGACACCGGGCCATCCGTCTGCGCTGCTAGCGTTAGCCGAAAAGCATGCCATGTGCGGTAGCACATCACATACTCACCAGAGGAGGCAGCAGTTGGTGGACCCTGTGATATCTGCGCAATCCATACCATGGGTCGATGCCAGGAACAGTCAGAGCTGAGCCGTGTGTAGTTGAGGACGCTGGCTAATCAGCCATTACCAGCTCTGCTGATACACTAATCGAGATCTACGCTGATGAAGGCACTCTGCTTCGATGTGCTGGCAGGCTGCATAGCGTTCGCCTCATTACTCTCCAACCATCGACTATTATTAAAATGTCTGGGCAATCTGTTGACTCGTACTATTCGGCCATCAAGGAAGCAATTGAAAACGGCAATGTTGCAGAGGTCGTTGAGCAGGCGCGCTCTGGTCTTGCCGAGCACCCGCAAGAGTCGGAGCTAGGCAAAAATTGAGGTCATTGGACTCATCAAGCAGGACCTGGCCGCCCAGGCGCTGCTAGCGATTAAGAAGGCGCGCGCGGCGAAGCTGTTTACCGCAAAGGAGCTCGAATTTGAGGCTGCATATTGCCATTTCACGCTCGGCAGCTACGACGATGCCAAGAAAGCCCTGAAGAAAGTTACCGCAAGCAAGGCTGTCACGCACCTGCTTGCTCAGATCGCGTACAAGTCAGACGACTATGCCGAGTGCGTCAACCTATATGAGGAGCTGCTGAGGGATACTGACAAGGAGAGCGAGGAGTACCAGGATCTGCTGCTTAACCAGTCTGCTGCCAAGGCAGCGGCGCTGCAGAGCGCGCAGAGTGCTGGTGAACAAAGGCCAACTGAGGAGCATGGCAGCAGCTACGAGCTCATGTTCAATGCAGCCACTGATTTGCTTGTCCGTGGCCGTATTGCTGAGGCAGCAGATCTGCTCGAGATGGCTGCTACCCAGGCACGCTCGTCGCTGGCAAGCGAGGGGTGGTCACAGGAGGATATCGAGGGCGAGGTTGCACCGATCGAAGCCCAGCGCGGTGTTGCTTTGCAGACACAGGGCAAGACCGCCGAGGCACGTGCTGTCTTCTCTCGTTTGCTGGCAGACAAATCTCTTGAGGGCTCGGCTCGCGATATTGTCGCTCATAACGCGGCTGTCCTTAGCATCTCCGAGTACGCACGCCGTGACATCGCCCTTGATCGCGTTAAGCGTGCCTTGCAGCTCCCTGGCAGTGCTACGCGCCAGCTGAGCCGTGCCCAGCGGGCATTGATGCGGTTCAACATGGCTGTGGTGCAGTTCTCGCAGGGCCAATACGCATCTGCTCGCCGCTCACTTTCGCGCCTCAGTAAGAGCTACTCGGACATTCCTAATGCGAGCGCAGGTACTCTGTCAGCAGCCATCTCGCTCCATCTGGGCAGCGTGGACAAGGCTCTTAATGAGCTGGCGACGATCTCGCGCAGCCAGCAGCCATCTGATGCCGTCTTTGCGACACTGGCTGCAGCACAGGTTGCAATTTCTGCTGGTGATAACCAGCGTGCTCTGGATGTGCTGACTGCATGGAAAGACCGCGCGGAAGGCGTGTCTCTTGGTAGTCTGTCAGCGGCCGACCAGTTTGCTCGCTACTACTTTGGCATTGTGCAGCTCATTGGCTGGCTGTCGGGTAGCAGGATGTCGTCAACAGCTCCGGATGCGGCCAAGCACCTGTACACGCAGGTGAGCAAGCCCGGAACCTACTCTGCCCGGCTGCTTGCTGCAGTTGGTGATTGCCTCGCATTGGCAGGAGAACCCGACGCAGCAAAGAGCTGCTTCAACCAGGCCAAGCAGGCTGCTGCAGAGCAAAATGCCGACGTGGGAACGCTGGGCTCCACCTGCCTGCATGCAGTGCTGGCGTCTGGGGACAATGGGGCCCACCAGATGTCGATCGCACAGCTACTGAAGGGCTATAGCAGACGCTCTCGGGTCACACGGGTCATCCCCGGCGTCCGTATCAGGGTGTCCCGCCAGTATCAGCCCAAGTCGTCGAATGCATCGGCTGGCGACGGAGCACGCTCAAAGAAGTCTGCTGCTGCTGCCAAACAGCCGGTCAAGGCGAAGCCGCAAGAGGGCAGTCGCACAAAGAAGTACCGTGCAAGCCGCCAGCGTCGCCTGGCTAAGAACCCGCCCAAGAACTACGATCCCGAGCGCAAGCCCGACAGCGAACGCTGGATCCCACTGCGCCAGCGCTCCTACTACAAGCCGCGTGGCCGCAACCGCAAGCAGCTCAAGATGCGCGGTGGAGCGCAGGGCGGGGCATCGGAGGCAGGTGCTGGGCTCGGGGTCACGGGCAGTGCCCGCATCGCTGGCCATATCGATGGGTCACAAACCCCTGGCCATGATTCCGACGACGATCACCATGAAGATAGTGCTGCGAAGAACCCCCAGCAGACTTCTGGTGCCGGCCATTCAAAGAGCAAGGGCGGCAAGGGCGGCAAGAAGGGCGGCAAGAAGGGTGGCAAGGGCAAGCGCGGATGGTAGGGGATGTGCTTGGAAGTGTAGCTAATAAACGCCGGCTATTTTCTCTTACTCGCCCGAAGGCGCACTGTACGTGACGGCGTTGCGTCGATCGGTGGTTGAAGCCTCACAGTGCCGAATGTATCGACTGATGACTCGTAGCAATTAGCTGCACGAAGTACTCAACCACCAGCAGCGCTTGGGTCATCAAGCACCCTCTGACGACCAGATAATGCAGAATTTCATTTTGGGTAGCGTGGAACATTCGGTTGTGCATCGGTCAGTCCGAGAACGCGCTGCAACTCCCAGGCGCCGGAGGATGAAAATCAACAACCCTGACCCTGCCATCAGATGAAAGCACTATTTCACGAGCGAAAAGCAGCATTGGCACGGTGATAGTACAGCGCGAGGCTGTTGACTTTTTTCTGTCTATTGTCAGCGGTGGTGGTGGTGATGAGATGGTGGTGATGGAGAGACTGTGCACGGTAGCAATTGCACATGTGGGGAGATATATAGCTTGCATCAACCACCCGGCCATATCGCTGACTGCGATTCTTGTGACGGTTATTGGCTCCTCCCCAAAGCACTGGTGGCAAGTCAAGGAGAACCTGCCTGGCATAGCCGGCAGCTCCCATGGTCCGAAGAATCTGATTGCTGTTGGGCTAAGATCGGCAGTGATTTTTAGGCTTACATGGTGCAGATAAGGGCGTCCTGCATCTTTCCTTGCTGAACATTCGGACTATCCGGTCGCTTAACTGATGCGTTCCTGTGTATCGGCAATTTCGGACGGCTCTGACGGCTGCTTCCTAATATGGCCGACCTGACATGATAAAGTGGCCCTCCGCTCGCAGTCATTTGGGCAACTGCATTTATTGGTTTCACCTAAAGCCTTCAGCTCAGTGAACGGCACGCAAAGGGATGCAGAATAGAACATTCCTCCCGACGCTGCTCCCAATAAGCCGGCGTGCTCGCCGCCTTTGAACCGGCTGTTTGCGCCAATAAAACAATTTTCCTGGAAAGTTTCGCCTGCTCAGGCTTAGGCCCGGCGCGTTTTCCTGTGCAGATTGGCCACAATGGCATGGACAGAACGTACTTGGAAGACTGCCTGCCCCTCTAACGCCTCTCCAAGGAATTGGCAGCTACGTTTTCTGGAGTCTTTACACCAGGGCGTTGGTGATGCGGGATTTGCCGGTTTTACCAGCCAAGGACAACCTCGAGGCGGATACGTTCTGGTAAAGAAGCACGAATGTGCTCTTGTCTGCTCGATAGAGAGTCTAGCGCAACACACCCATTGCTCTGCGCCTACCTAGTGTGGGCCGGTGCTTGTACTGCAAAAAGCAACTAGCGCTGAAAACTTTTTCGCCGAGCAGAACAGATTGCGTTTGTTTCAACAGATAGTCGATCACAAGTAGCCCTAGGCCCGGAAACCCCCCCTGCGACCCCCCTCTCCCCACCCCATTTCACGGCAATTCCTTTGTATCTGTATCACAACGAAATGCGGCAGTTCCCTGCCACGGCCAGCTCCAGCTTTCCCAACCTTAATTCCTGTCAAGAGACAGCCAGAAGAACCTCGCAGCGTCAAAGTCAGATAAATTGAACTGCAGCTGGCGCTTGGAGAATCTAAAGATGGATAAAGTCATTCACAGCCTTCCTTCAACAGCCAGCCCCCTTTTCTATAGTTTTCTAGACGGTTGCTCTGCTGCCTAGCTACCAGCTGCTGACTGTGTCTCCAAACCATTCTATCAACTCTTAATCTTCCCTCTGCTGCGTTTAACTTTATATTTTTAAAGCACTTTCCGTCGCAATCGTTGCTCTTTTCTCTCCCTTAGCCAGCAGTCGATCTACGTTTGCTGCTGCCTGTCATCTGTACATACTTTGGTACCAGGACGCTGCTTATTACTATTGTCCATTCCATTGACACAATGCCACCAACAGGATCCATACACAATCCTATTCAGGACTCCCGCCAGCCAACGGGTACTTCGGCTGGTCAAGATACTCTGCCCTCCCAGCCCAGAACCACAGCCACACCCGCCAATCTTGCTCCACTGACCATCCCGACTTTGTCTCAGCCAGCTGCCATCAAGGAGAGCCCGCAGTCGACTGCTGCCAACTCCGAAAGTGGCAACATTGCGTCCAGTGGCAAGACTCGCCGCTTCCAGTGGCGTGACCTGCTCGACCCGGAATTCTACCCCGAGATCACTATTCGACGCACCGTGTTCTTTGCTATCTGGATGATTCCGCACATCATTCTGACTGCGTACCACGGGTCCGACAAGAGACGTCCACTGGTCAAGAGGATGAACGTCACATCGATGCACTGTATGCTGTTCGATGTTGCCTGCATTATGATCTTTATGTCGCCCACATTCCTGATGCTACTGCAGCGTACCTTCTTGCCTCGGTTCATCAAGTTCGAAAAGAACATCCATGCCCACAAGGTCGCCGCATACACGATGCTGTTTTGGTCAGCAGTGCACATTGGTAAGTTGCCCCCTAAACCCTCCTAGTAGAACATAGTGAAGCTGATGCTTACACCACCACGGGGCGTATACCACTCACTCAGACCACACGCAATATTATTATAGGCATTTATTACCAACGCTATATTGACGAGACAAGCCCTACGATCAAGAAAGGGAAGGTGGTTCCGGGAGTTCCATTATATAAGCCCCTCTTTGTTAAGAAGACTGGCTGGACCGGCCATGTTTTGCTGTTCTGCTTCTTCTTCATCACCATCATGTCTATCAGTAAGTATCACTTTGGCATGACTAGATGCTGGCTCAATGTGCTCAAGCCTGGACACCGTGCTCGGGTAATATGTATGCCACCAGCCCCACATCTTTAACAGCATATTGGTCGGCGTGGCCTATGACCGACACGCTAGAATCGCACTTCGGCCTTTTTGCGCTATTGCTTGATCATGTGGAGCTGCAGCTAAGGATGCTCCTCTGCCATTTTCCTCGATATTTCTGCAGTATAAACCAGCATCATTGTGACGCAGACATTTTTGTGCCCTTATCTTACCATCTGGTTCGTGTATGTCCTCTCGCCAAATCAAAATCTACATCTCCATTAATTTGTGAATTACTGTCTAGGAATCGTCCGCAAGCGCCAGTTCGAGTTGTTCTATTACGTGCATCACTTGTTCCTGGTGACATTCGTATTCCTTTTCCTCCATCATGACAACCACCTCGCATACAAGTACATTGCTGGCCCACTCGCTTTGTATGCCCTTGACCGCCTCTACCGCAACCTGCGCAGTGTCTTTGGCAAGTCGCCTATTCGCGCTGTGATCCAGCACCCATCTGGCGTGGTCGAGATTCAGATGGATAAGAAGATCGTCGGTGTCCGCCCCGGCCAGTACGTCAAGGTCTACTGTCCCTCGGTCTCGATGCTGCAGTGGCACCCACTGACAATCTCCAGCGCACCTGAGGAGGAGCTTCTCACCATCCACTTCCGCCTCGAAGGCAGCTGGACCCGCAACCTGGCCAAGCGTCTCGGCTGCAACTTTGGCGACGATGTCCGTGGCTCTAGTGTGCAGAATGTGGTTTCCAAGGACGACGGCGTCGATGTATTCAAGTTTGCAAAGGCAGAGAGACCGCGTCCCACGTCACAGCACATCGATATTCCCTACCACCCACTGCACCACGATCCTACAACTGCCCCGATGTATTCGAATGCCGGCGGCAACAGTTCGTATGTGAGCATCGACATGGTTGCTAAGGGTGGCAGTGCGTCTATCCGTAATAATATGGCGCTGGGTGTCGATGACGAGAAGGAGAATGGCCAAGGTTACTGTACACGCTACACAGCGGACATCTGATCTGAAGGTTATTCCATCAGTTCAGGTGGAGGACGGCAACATGGTTATCAAGATGGGTCGTGAAATGCCGTTGCTGTTCATCGACGGTCCATACACGGCACCTACCGAGCACTTCTTCAACTACGAGGTCGGCGTGCTCATTGCTGCTGGTATTGGAGTCACTCCTGCTGCATCGGTCCTCCGTAGCGTGTACTTCCAGTGGATCCGCGACAGATACGCAATGAACACGAAGAAGGTGTACCTATTCTGGGTGTACCGCGACATCGGCACGCTGGAGTGGTTCAAGGATCTTCTGGTGGCTCTTGATGAGGAAGGACTGAGCTCGATTGTCCAGGTGCGCACGTACTTCACCGGAAAGATCCCGGAGACACGCATCCCGCAGCTTACGCCTCCTGACGACAAGTTCGGTCGACCAGGTCATCAACACGTCGATTGGCACCAAGTCGTATGTTGGACGTCCTGACTTCAGCGATATCTTTGAGTCGATTGGCGAGCTTCACCCTGGACAGCGCATTGGCACATTCTTCTGTGGACCTAAGCCCATGGCACGCAAGGTCAGACGCGAGGCACACAGATGGGATAGCATCCTGCACAAACAGAGCAAGACCAAGATTGACTTCCGCAGTGAGTCATTTGCATAATTGCTTTAAATTTTATATGAAATCTCCTCTCATTCACGCTGTGCTGTCGTAATGAACCAATCCTGCATGGCAAACTATGCCAGCACATCGGATAATAGATGCAAATAACCACAGACAGCAACCTGGATATCCCTCATGCGAGTCATTGGAGTAAATATATCTCGTCGGTGTCAGCTAGCCACAAATGAAAAACTAATATATCTTTTCTATTTTCTGCTACAGTGTTATATGGCCGAACATCACAGAAAAAGCCGAGACTAGATGTTCTTGAGCGAATTTCGTACCCTACCTTTTTGGTGAGTTCCTTTGGAGAGCTTGGCAGCTGTAGCGCGGGATACCATTTAGTTGAGGGATATTATCTGTGGAACGTGTGGGTATAGCACCTGAGCAAGGTATATAGAAAAGCACCTTGAAAACATCATTGCTTGAGCCATTTACCCCTTTGGACAGCGGTACAATATACTTTCTAATGACAGGACATGCCTTTTCCGTTTGTGTTGGCACTGTCATCTACCACGTACTCTTCCTCAACCTCACAGTATCTCTTCAATGAATGGTTTATAATCAGTGACGTTGTATCCATATTGGTTAGCAGATTAGTGGCACCATTGGGTCCCTGTTGATATATGTAGTTTAATGGCCTTCATTCACTTCAGTGTTGGTGAGAGGGTGGATAGGTTTTGTTCCTTTCTGAACCTCCAGGAGTAAGCTTGTCTCTCACCATCGCTCCAGTATGCTGATAATAGGCCATTTTCTTACCAATTAAACCACCTATTGCGCTCTCCAGGCAATCACGCATTCCACCTTCTGATGTTGCTTTTGCGCTGCATAAATGCCGTTTTTGCCGTATCACACTTGTTTCATACTTGCTCTCCATCTCATCTTTGTTGCCATCAACGCTGTTATTTAAAGGGCCGGGACCACAGCCCTCGCCGCCCATCTCCATTCTAGTTCCTCACCTGGTTTTTCTGCTTCGTCGACACACCGTGTTCTTTCTTCACACCACTCCAAGTCTGATTTTCTTGTCTGGCATAGAAAAATGCCTTCATCAACCATTAAGAATGACTCCATTCAGGAGACGCTTCAAGCAACTGAGACTCCACCCAACGGGCCTACCCAGTCGTCGCTGCCCAGCTTGAGTGGTCTACCACCTCACTTAGCCCCACTGGACATATCTGTATCTTCTCAGATGACCGCCTACAAAGACAGTTCGCTACCGACGGAGGTGGGTTCATTGAACGACATGAACAACGGGATGCACTAAGAACACTAGATTTGTGTGGCGCGACCTCCTTGACCCCGAGTTCTATCCGGAGATTACTGTGCGGCGCACTTCATTCTTCCTCCTTTGGATTATCCCGCATATAATCATCACTATTTACGCGAGCACCGACAAAACCCGTACGCTTATCAACAGAATGAACCTGGCTTCGAAGATGAGCATTCTGTTCGACGTTGCTTGTATCCTGATCTTCATGTCGCCTACCTTCATGCTCTTGCTTCAGCGCACCTTCCTACCGCGGATTGTCAGGCTGGAGAAGAACATCCACGCACACAAAGTTGCTGCGTACACACTCTTGTTTTGGGCTGCATTACATGTTGGTAAGTTCCACACAGCTGCATCATGGCTTGCCTTGCCGATCTCCTTCCCTACATCATTTGCATAGGCGGCAATAGCAATTCGTCATCGATGTTGATCTGGCTGTGCATCTCCGCCATTTTTCGTAAGCTTAATGGTGCCAAGAGGTCCCCATTCCTTCAAACTTTTGATTTCCAAAGCTAACAACCTCACTCTTGGCTAATGCATACGGCTGCATACGCCCCATGCTAATATTCCCGAGTAGTCGTGTCGTCTCAAGTATGCGACACTCGGTGTTCACATGGTTGCTGGTTGAGCCTACTCCCCCAACATCACTGCTCGCCTTGCAGCTATGCCCAGCCTGTCATGAATTCGCATTAACCCTCCTGTTGCAAAACCCTTGTTGTGTATGAACCTAATTCAACCTCTTTGGTATTTCCAATAGGTATTCATTACCAGAGATACATTGACGCAAAGCATCCGACGGTCAAAAATGGCAAAGTTGTTCCCGGGGTACCTCTCGTCAAGAACCTATTCAACAAGAAAGAAGGCTGGACTGGACATGTTTTGATGTTCTGCTTCTTCTTTATTGCCGTCATGTCTATCAGTAAGTATCCTGCTACACACCCTGGCATTAGTTCGGCGGGTTGATACCGAGCCGCAATGCTGATCTGCTGCCTGTTTGCTCCACTCAACAGTAATATCTGGGTGATAATCGCTATTACTTCACATGACCGATGCATTCGCCAGGCAATCCGGCCAGTTCCATATCTTCCTCAGGCCATGCGCTGCCGATGAAATTTCCTTTTTATTCTCTTTCTTGTAGTTGCCGTGATTTTCTCAGGCAACGTGACACCGAAAAATGATTGTGCCTTTATCTTACCATCTGGTTCGTGTATGTCCTCTCACCAAATCAAAATCTACATCTCCATTAATTTGTGAATTACTGTCTAGGAATCGTCCGCAAGCGCCAGTTCGAGTTGTTCTATTACGTGCATCACTTGTTCCTGGTGACATTTGTATTCCTCTTCCTCCACCATGACAACCAGCTTACGTACAAGTACATTGCTGGCCCACTTGCTTTGTATGCCCTCGACCGCCTCTACCGCAACCTGCGCAGTGTCTTTGGCAAGTCACCCATTCGCGCTGTGGATCCAGCACCCATCTGGCGTGGTCGAGATTCAGATGGATAAGAAGATCGTCGGTGTCCGCCCCGGCCAGTACGTCAAGGTCTACTGTCCCTCGGTCTCGATGCTGCAGTGGCACCCACTGACAATCTCCAGCGCACCTGAGGAGGAGCTTCTCACCATCCACTTCCGCCTCGAAGGCAGCTGGACCCGCAACCTGGCCAAGCGTCTCGGCTGCAACTTTGGCGACGATGTCCGTGGCTCTAGTGTGCAGAATGTGGTTTCCAAGGACGACGGCGTCGATGTATTCAAGTTTGCAAAGGCAGAGAGACCGCGTCCTACGTCGCAGCACCTGGACATTCCCTACCACCCACTGCACCACGATCCTACAACTGCCCCGATGTATTCGAATGTTGGCGGCAACAGTTCGTATGTGAGCATCGATATGATTACAAAGGGTGGCAGGCAAGTCTATCCGCAACAGTATGGCGCTGAGTGCTGATGACGAGAAGGAGATGGCCAGGATCTCTATGCATGTCACAGACAAGAGTAACGACAACAACGTATCAACCTCGGCGAATGTTGAAGAAGGTAATATGGTTATCAAGATGGGTCGTGAAATGCCGTTGCTGTTCATTGACGGTCCGTACACGGCGCCTACCGAGCACTTCTTCAACTACGAGGTCGGCGTGCTCATTGCTGCTGGTATTGGAGTCACTCCTGCCTGCATCGGTCCTCCGTAGCGTGTACTTCCAGTGGATCCGCGACAGATACGCAATGAACACGAAGAAGGTGTACCTATTCTGGGTGTACCGCGACATCGGCACGCTGGAGTGGTTCAAGGATCTTCTGGTGGCTCTTGATGAGGAAGGACTGAGCTCGATCGTCCAGGTGCGCACGTACTTCACCGGAAAGATCCCCGAGACACGCATCCCGCAGCTTACGCCTCCTGACGACAAGTTCGGCGACCAGGTCATCAACACGTCGATTGGCACCAAGTCGTATGTTGGACGTCCTGACTTTAGCGATATCTTTGAGTCGATTGGCGAGCTTCACCCTGGACAGCGCATTGGCACATTCTTCTGTGGACCTAAGCCCATGGCACGCAAGGTCAGACGCGAGGCACACAGATGGGATAGCATCCTGCACAAACAGAACAAGACCAAGATTGACTTCCGCAGTGAGACATTTTCATAATGTTGCTCCACACCCCATGTGTGCAGCCTCGTATGCTCTCGATTCCGTAAATTCCTTGTTTATCAATGAGGCTTTTTATTATAGTAAATGCCCCTCAAGTGCTGTTCTATGAGTTGTATTTTACATGTCGACGACGGGGTATATAAATGTAAAAGATCTGCTTAGAACGGTCCATACTTTGCGCGCATCGACTCGCCTCTCATGGTAACAAACTGGACGCAAAGTGCACCAGCAAGTGCCAAGAGGAACATTATTGTGTACGTCCATCCCCACCCAACGCTGTCAAGCATTGTTGGCATTAGTTGGACAATGATTGCGGTCCATATGCTGCGCCAGAAGTTCTGAACGCCAGTGATTCTGGCTGCCATGTGTGGGAACACATCGATCAGGTATCCACCTAGAGTCTGGAATGTGAATGCCAGCCCGAAGCCGATGAGAAACTGCGAAACCAGCACGGCTGCCAGATGTAGATGGCGGTCAATAAACCAGCCACACATTATAACTCCAGCTAGGAAGACCAAGCTCCCAACCCACGATAGCCTCAGGCGGGCTTCTGCCTGGTATCTTGGCTGGTGCACAGTCATCGCCAGGGGTTTCAACGAGTCGCTGCTTATACAAACGCAGAAGTAAATCAGTCGTGCACCCGCCTGTAATAGACCCAACAAGGTTGCCGACGCCTAAGGGAAGGAAGCAGATGCCAGAAATGCCTTGGGACAGGTGATAGATATTCTGGAAGGCGAGAGGATTGCCAGTCGAGTTTGTAAAATAGGTGCCAAAGAGCATGGCAAAGTAGAACATGACCAACGCGACTGCTGGATAGCGGACGGTAGCGATATCGACGAGAGGGTTATTGGACCTGATATTTAAAGGTGGGGGGATATTGACCTGTTGGATCCTGTGCTTCAGTGACACCAGACGGCGGTGGGTCTCTGGCAGAACAAAGGTCGCTAATAGACACATCACGCCGCCCCAAATTGCCAGGAATCCAAAATACCCAGCGCCATCCGACGTCCTGGCCGACGTACCCACCAATTAATGGCCCAATGCAAGGACCAAGCAATGGTCCCAGATAGTATATCCCGAGGGCAGTGCCGCGCTGTTCGCGTGGGTAGATGTCAGAGATTGTTCCAGCACCGGCGCCTTGCACGGCAGAGGCACCTGCCGACTGAACAATGCGCGAAATGATCAGGGCAGATAATGAGTTGGACAAGGCACACCCAATGCTACCTGCAGTATAGATGAACATGGATACAGCATAGACAGGCTTGCGGCCGATCTGATCGGCCAGATTGCTCCAGACCAATGGAAAAATGGCCATGGAGATCATGTATGAAGTAATTGTCCAGGTTATTCCAGACTGTGTCGTGTGGAGATCGTCGCGTACTTTCTGAATGCTGGGATAGTACATGTTTGCCGACAAGGGGCTGACCAGCGCAGTGATAGCCGCGATGGAGACGATCACAGCTTTCATTCGGGGCGTGAATGGGGCGTAGGGCAACTGCCCACTTTCGCCAGGAGACACTGTCTTAGGAGTCTTTGACAGCTCAGACAGTTTCTCTGAGGCGTCGGTATGAGTCTGGCCCGAAGATATCGATGCCATTGTACGGGGCTTGAAATATGTGGCGGTGATCGGGGTAGGCTGACCGAACAATCAGTCTGGTGATACGAGGAACCGGTATCCTGATTCAAGGCAAGATGGAATGCTGTGTAGCTTGGGTCTATAAGATGACAGATGACTATCAAGATGATGAAGGATATTGGACGTATGAGAGCTGGGGCCGCAAGCTTCTGTTTTATAGGCAGCCAGACTGCTTTTATATGGGCCTCTTTGTTGGGAGACAAGACTATTCATACTCACTGATAGCAAGTTGAGTGGAATAGTCGGCTTTCCTTTCCCCACCCATTCTATTTGTCGGCACTGCACCTGGGCTTCGGAAAAATTATTTTGCGGCAATACGAGCAAATTAATGGCTGGCACCGAGACACGGCTTTGGGAACAGCTGGAGAACCATTTACCCGGCCACATCCAACAGGGCGACACAGGATTGTGTGAGGCATTCTGCTATGAAGAGCGTAAACCATACCCCGAGTAAAGTAGTGCCGGCAAACACTGGGTCCGAGACTGGACGGCAGATGCACACAATATACATGATACCTCCCTTGACAAGTAATGTAAGGGGGGATTTAAAAAAGTTAAACGAACATGGGATGGCTATATATATACTATAACAGGAGGTGTACGGGCTGTTGTCATAGAAATAAATGCAAAACACGGCCTTTGGATATGTAGTTGGCAATCGGAAACACTACTTGGATCGATCGATCGGGAAGCGCTTGCGAATCTGCTCACCATTGAACGAGATTAGTAGCGTGATGGCCCCGCTGATAGCAGCAAGGCCACCAAAGATAGTGAATTCCCAGCCCCAGCCAACGCCATCCTTGATAGTGATGATAATTTGCGTGCAAATTCCACTCCAAATGCTACGGAAGAAGGATTGCGAGGCCGTGATGCTTGCACTGCGTGTCGCGTAGAGATCAACAAGGTAGTTGGATGTGTTCGAGAGCTGCCATGTCATACTGAAGCCAATGAGAAACTGCACGACAATGGCTCCGGCGAGGGGCACATTCCCACGTTGTGCCATCCATCCATACCCAATGCTGCAAGCAATAAATACCACAGCACCAGTCCATAGGTACCGAATTCGGATCTCTGCTGGAACCTTGACTACGGCGTTGGGGTTGCCGTCTTCTTCAAGGGTTTTTCTTGGTTAGCTTTTTTCGTTCGCGACTCAGCAGAAAATCAACCAGCCGACCGCCAACAACCGAGCCCAATAGACAGCCCATGCCCATACCAAGATATGTTATTCCGGTGGTAGTCTCTGAGAGCTTGTAGACGGATTGCATGACAAAGGTGTTCGAGTTACTCACTAAGATGTAGCAACCAAAGATCATCGAGTTGTGGAAGATGATGGCCAAGATGACCGGGTTGCGCGCAAGAAGCAAGGTGCTGACCGGATTGTTGTCTCTCCACTTGGGCTTTGGTGGGATATTGACTGGCCGAATCTTGTGCCTTTGGGCTACAATGCGACGGTGGGTTTCGGGCAGGAACAGCGTGACACCGATGCAGGCAATGCCCGCCATGATCGTCAGCATCCAGAAGATCGCACGCCATCCCAGGTGCTGTGCGACGGCGCCACCGATGATCGGTGCCAGAGGTGGCCCAAGCAGAGCACCCATGAAGTAGAATCCCATCGCAGTGCCGCGCTGCTCGCGTTCAAACACATCAGCAATCGTGCCTGCTCCAACACCAAGCACCGATGACGAGCCCATCGACTGGATAATGCGCGAGGCAAGCATGGCAGCGATATTCCTTGACAGAGCACATCCGACACATCCGCCCATGTAGACCAGCATAGAGCTTATGTACATGTACCGGCGACCGTACCGTTCGGCAGCATTGGTCCAGAAAAGAGGAAAGACAGCCATTGCATACAGAAAAACCGATACCGTCGAGTTAACCATCGACAGCGACACGTCCAAGTCTTTGGCCATTGTTTGGATTGCGGGAAAGTAGCTCGACGATGAAAATGGACCAAGGATGCCACAGTAAGCAGTCAGCACAATGATCAGAGTCTTCTGGAACTTTGAAAAGTGTGAAAACGGCCGGCGCATTGGGTCGTCATTCTCATCGTTGTTGCCACTGGCTGGGTCAACCTCGAGACCCGCCCTCTCCTCACTGCCACTCCTGGACGATGTCCTTGCTTGCAGTGCTGTCTGATGGTTTGTGTGCAAGTGTACCACCTGCAATCTGGCTATTCTCTGTGCCTGAGCTGGACACCTGACAGCTGCTGTGTCAGAGTCATGTAATCAATAATATGTAACAGTACTGTTTAAAGGAATGTAACAAGGGAATGAAAAATGTCTGTGCGTGGTGTGCTGCGTGGTAATTGAAGAAAAGGAAGCAAAAGATTGCTGGATTTGGAATGGCAGGTCGCCTTTTTAACTGGGCAAGGTGCCTCCATAGCAAAGCTCCTCCGGGTGGCATGCAAAAAGGAAGCAGGATTCTTCTCTGATAGAATGCTGTGTGGAAGATACGGAGTTGGCTGTATGCTGCCCCTCTGCAATTCGCTAGCTCCGAGACCAGTGAGGAGAGCTCACAGGCAGCTCTGGTCTAGGAAACCCAGCACAGTTGTTTTTTTTGCGACCCGGATGCCTGCAGATAACGCTCTCACATCTTTCCCAGCCTATGTGCAGATCCTTTGCAAATAAGCAGGCTGCAGCCCAAGTACGGTGGCGACAACCAGCACAACGAGCTTGCATTTCCGCGAGATCGTCGCAGCCCGGGCCCACGGACGAATTGCGAAGTCCGCGTTCATTCTTCACTGCGTATGCTATTCAAAGCATACCATTCCCGAATGTAGACCGTGTAACTCTCATCTCAGTGGCCCTCTCTCCTCCTACATAGCGCACGCCCTCCCCCTGGTCGTCCGCGCCAGGCAGTAGACATACATGCGCTGCCTGCATGCTGAACAATGGAACTGGCCGCTACCAGATATTCCCATTATTTGTAGATTAGGTTGTATAAAAAACTGGCTAAATGATTTCCCGAACTCCGAACAAATCCGACTAATGCATCGGTGATTGATGACAGGGATTCAGACATAGATGAATCGCGGATCCTCATGGTGATTCAGCCGACCAGACAGCGTGGCGAACTGCCGCGACATGATGGTGCTGACTCGCCGTAGCTGGCGTTTCACCAGAGACTGCCGCCGAGAAAGTTGCTCTGCAATATAAATTTCGTCCTCTTCGTCAATGTACGGGATCGAATCCTCTGGCACGGACGTGTCGTATTCCAGGTAGGCAAGTATTTCATCCAGCTCATCGTTTTTAGACTGCGAGTACCGGGGACACGCTGAGGACTCGCGTCCGATAAATTTGACTTTGACATCATCTAATGATGGCGACAGGTACGGCTCATCCAGAGGCCCAGGCATACATGCCGATCGCTTTCTGTGCCACGGGTTCAGCGAGTTGCGCATGCGTATAAACCACTGTTGCTCTGAGACCATTGCGCACTGTAGGGTGGTGTCAATAGAGGTTTGTGCGGGTATTTGTCTAATATGTCAAGAGAGTAGGCGATCTCTGTTCTATTTATGTGCGAATTTTGCGTGTCAGCAGAGAAATTGAAAAGAGCCCAGAATTCTAGACGCCGCCCTTGCTTGTAGGCCGTCCATGCTAGCTTAAATATTGGCAGGCACCTCATTCCACCCTTCCATACCTCTCCATGCTGCCTTGCCTCAGGCCCATTTTCCACATTGCAGTGTGCGGAGGTCAAGAGCTGTATTGGATTATTCCAATGTGCGAAAAAGAGGGGTAGTATATTGGAAATCATGCCAAGGAAGAGACCATGTGTCCTGGGTGCTAGGCGCGGTATAAACGAGGGTGGAGATAAGTGGCGGGATCTGCTGTGGTTGTTATGCCAAGCAATCCAGGTAGTCCGCCAAGAATGTGGACTCGTTGGAGCCTGTGTTATTACTCCCTTTTTACCTTGGCACTGCGATTGAAAGCAGGTATGGTGGTCGCTCTATTTACTTCTTCTTCGGCTTGCTCGTCTTGTCGGTGACAGTGATCAGCCGCGGTGGGAGGCCGTGCTTCTCCAGCAGCTTGGCCAGGGCGCTGACATGGTGTCCCTGTACAATCACCGCCAAGGCGTTTTTCTTGCCAGGGACCGGATCTACAGTCGTACTCGATGCACAAATCGTGCGCAGCTCCTTGGCTACCGCATGGGGATCAATCTCGTACTTCTCCAGGCCAACAGTGCGGGTGATGACCTTGTTGCCCATCTTCTTCTCGCACAAGATCTCTACCTGTGGCGGAGCGCCGATCTTGGCCGTCGGCGTCTTACCGGGAATACGAAGCTCGGTGTACAGCGTCATCTTTTCCTGTAGCCGCGACTGCAGTTTGTCGCGCGGGAACACAGTCAGCTTCGAGTACTCATCCTTGGTCAGCAGCCCATCGCACAAACGGTGGTCCAGTTTGACCTGCCGCGGGTTCTTGGGATCGATAAGGCCGTGCGCCTTGATATAATCCTCAAGCACACTCCGCGCCTGATGGCGGCTAAAGTATCCCGACGGCGTTGAGGCGCCGACCTCATCAAACAGCGGCTTGAGGCCGTTTGAGGGCTTGAAAAGCTCGATGACCTGGATCATGCCACTGGCGGTCTTATCAACTCGGCCAACCGTGGGCTGAGCTGAAGATGCGCCAGTCGCTGCGCTGCTTGCCACAGCATGGCCCTTTTTCGCCAACGACACCTTGTACGGCTTGTACTCGAGCATCTCCTTGTGTTTCCAGTTGAACGACTTGATATGCGATTCGCCGCGGATATCCTTCAGCTGCACCAGGCCACGCTTCTCAGCTGCCTTCAGAAACTTGGCCAGCTTCTTGTACGTTGACTTTTTGATGTCGAGCTCCTGGTTGTGCGGCGCATTGGAAACAATGTAATGAGAGTAGAGCGTCGACGAGTTGAGCGGAAGCAGATCTGTGGCCGCCTTCTGGTCCAGCACTGTGGCCATGACCTGCTTGAGTGCCTCCAGCAACAGCGAATCCATCTCGGCTGGCGTAGGCTTAGTTGACGGCTCCGATACTGGGGCCGCAGCTGACTCTGAAATCACAGCCTCCTTTTCCAGCCGTGCGCTCAGCTGTGCGCTGTCGCGCTCTAGTGGTACCAACTCTTCGCTAGTCGCTGCGGCCGTGCCACTGGCAGGCGGTTTCTTGGTCACCACAGTCCAGTCGCCTCCGTCATCCTCGCCTCCACCGTCATCGCTGCTATCGCCAAAATCACCCTCCACATGCAGCGCAGAACCCGTGCCCGCCTGTAGAATCTCTTGTGGATGCGCCTTGCTACCAGACTCCCATAGATGGTCCTTGTACGTGTGGGTGATCAGCACTGCCTTGCCCTTGGCACCAGCAACACTGGTGACACCCTTGGTCTCAAAGGTCAGGACGCCAACTGCCTGCGCAGCCAAACTCCCTGGGCAGCAAATAGCCACGACAGCGCCCCTCTTGAGATCGGGCAGCCCGCCGTCAGGAATGATCAGTCCAGGAGCCATCAGGTCGGCTCCGTTGATCAGCTTTTTGACTACTGCTGGCCATGTCCACAGTATCGGCAGCATGGTTGGAAACCTCCACAGCGAGTAGACCGTCGGCACCAACACCGATTCCTGGTTGTCGAGAAGCTCGGCCTTGATCCACAGCGGGTCACCCGGCCCATCGTATATAATCTGGCCCCTTTCGCCAACATGCGATACGAATTTGGCTGTTTGCAGGTTGTTTGGAACCGGTAGCACTGCGTCAGAGTCCTTTGCATCCTCGACGGCCCCCCACGCCTCAGGGAATTCCTCCTTCGCCTCCTTAATTAGACGTCGACAGTCAGAGGACCGCACCGGTGTACGGCTCTTTATGTTAAACGGCTTCTTGAACATTGGACCAGAGACTAATTTATAACGTAAATGAAGGCACAAGGTGATAGAAAAGGGAGAAAAAGCTGAACGAGGCTTCTAGCAAGCCAAGCTTCGTGTCACCACAGCCGCAGTTGCGTGAGCCGGTTCAGTGGGACAACATCAGATTAAAAGTGTGAAAATGAAAAATGGAAATGGATGCTAGGTGAATTTTTTGTTGTTGCTGGTACTTGGCTGCACGCTCAGCGCAGAGAGAAACAGGTCCTATCTCCTTTCCTTGATGACATACGTGAGCCAGAGCAACGACAGCCCGAGGCTGCCGGCCGAGAATAACCAGCAGGATTCCGATATCTGGCCAGAAGGCAAGTACGTCAAACCCGAACGATGATAGCAGCGCAGCGCTAGGCACCTGGATCTCGAGTCCAAAGCGCACCTCCTCAACAGTGGCGAACCGCAGCTCGCTAATGGCCATAGCCTCATATGCCAAATTGAACGATGACACATGGCACAAAGGCTGGATGATGGCTGGCATCGAATCCTTGTTGAGAATCAGACCGCCGAACAGCAACGAGAACAGGAGCATGATCGAGGCAATGAAGTTTGAGACCACCAGCTCCTCCGCCAAAAGCCCAATGAAGAACATCTGCGAGGCTACAGTCAGGTTGAACAATGTCAACGTCCCAAAGAACTTGACAAACTGATGCACCTGTTGCCGATAGCCCAGTCATCGGGTATGCGATCAGCGTCAGCAGCAAAGGCGGAACCACACGCAGAGGAATAAGGTCGAATGTAACCTTCGCCATGAAATACGCTAGCGGATCGTAGTAGGCGTTAGCACGCTCGCGCAGATATAGCAGGCCGCTCCTCCGAAAACACCAAGAGCGATGTAGTGCATCCGAATCCGTAGAACGCCAGAATGAACATCAGCAGACCAAGGCGGTTCTGCATCCCCTGTATCGAGTTGTCGAGCTGGTAGAAGAGAACACCGCACATCAGCCCAATGAATACAGAAAGGGCGTAGTTGGCCAGCATCAGCGTCGGGTCGCGGTAAAGGTGGTTGAATATGCGCGCTGACAAGACCTTGAATTGCTCGTACACTGTCGGTCGGTGCTTGTCATTGAACGTGTCGCTTATGCGCTCGCCTCGCAGGCGGCGGTAGAACAGGTATGCAAGATCGCGCAGGTTGATGAGGATGACTGCAACCTGCTGGTACGGTGTTACTGGCCGAGTGTAAGGCGTGCCACCATACGTGCTGCTGGCGGTCTTGAATTCGGACGGCGTCCACTCCGCACCAGTCACTGTGTTGAGATCGTCTGTCATCTCGATGTACTGCTTGCTCTCTGTGAAATTCTCGACTAGCCGCTCAAGGCTGACTTCGATATCATAAACAAGGAACTGTGATCCCTGACGATTGGACTTGCTTAGGAACTTAGGGGCCCTCAGATGTCTTTAAGAGCTTTTCAGCCAGCTTCACTTGCCTGGCGCTGGCTGGACGGCTGGCTGTCTTCGGCAGGTGAAGGCAGAAGCTCGGGGCTGTCTTTGGCAAGCTTGCTCCACTCATCATATTCGCTATCAACCTCGTCGTCGACTAGCTTCACCGGCTTGAGTTCGGCTGTGATCGCAATTTGTTCCTTTCCCTCCTTCTTCTTACCACTCACCGTTGCCTGCTGCACCAGATCGATAGAGAAATCGGCGATGTTGTACCCTTCAGGTACTGGATGGCCGATGGACTCCAAGTACTGGACCATCGTATTTGCCGGTCCCGAATAGCACATCTGGCCAGCAGCCAAGATAATCAGCCGGTCAAACATGCTGAAAATGTCTGTCCGTGGCTGGTGAATAGTGCATATGACAGTGCGTCCGTACCTCCGAGCCAGCTGCGACAGCGTGTCCATGACAACGTATGCATTGTAGGCATCAAGACCAGACGTGGGCTCATCAAGGAATATGATAGAAGGAGATGTGACAAGCTCACAGGCAATCGACACACGCCGCATCTCTCCGCCACTGATTCCTCGTGCACCCGATTTGCCGATGCGTGAGTCGCGCACTGTCCACAGGACCGAGCTCCTCAAGCACCTCGCGTACGCGCTCCTCTTTTGCGGCACGCGACATTGACCGTGGCAGGCGCAATAGCGCCGAGGTCATCACTGCCTCGTGGACAGTGGCAGTTGACACATGCAAATCCTGCTGGTCGACATAACCTGACATTCCGGTGAAACTCCTCGGTTGTGATGTCGCCGATAAGGTCGCGGTTGTTTATCTGCACCTTTCCAATAACCTCGCCATACTTTTCGCGCCGCGAGAGAATATCCAGCAGTGTGCTTTTCCCTGCACCCGAGGCACCAAGAATAGCCAAGATTTCTCCCGGCCTGACGATGCCTGACACGCCCTTGAGGATCTCGACTGTCTGCTGGCTGTCTTCTCTGGTACTATCTTTCGCATTCCTGCCTGCCATCCATGTTAAAGCGCCTTTGAGCGACACCAGTTCGTTGTTCTGAACCGGGATCGAGTAGCTGATGTCGCGGAACGCAACCGTGGCCCGTAGCGTGCTCATCATCATATCGTCAATCTCATGCGTAGCCTGTGCCGCACCGCTGCCCTTCTTCTTGCTCATATCCGGTACTGTTGCATCCTTTTCGCAGCTTGCATCGTCTTCTTCGCTGTCGTTGGAGATTCCTTGTGTCTTCACCAGGATTTTGATTACGCGCAGCACGACGTAGACCATCATCAGAGACGTGCTGACACCGATCAGCATATTGCCTTTGCTTGTCAGATGGCTCTTCTTTTGGTATGTTGGCAGCTGGCTGTAGTGCACGCACTGGCCAACATTGCACGACATCTGGATCGAGTCTTCGCCAAAGATATCGGCAATGATTTTGCTGACGCTAAACTCACGGATATGGCATCCGCTGAACCCATCGTCATGGCACCGGATGTTCACTGGCCCCTCGACCTCCTCCAAAACCGACGAAATATCGAACCCAAAGTTGCCGCACAGGAGTCGACCCGGGACACACCTGCACGTCATGCGCTTACACTGAACGAGGGCGGTAGGAGTTTGCGCCCCATGTGCTGGTGTCACATTGGTCCAAGTCACAGTAGAAGGATTCCTTGCCATTCACCCAGAACTGCGCATCACATGTCCGCTCCTTCTTATGGCAGGCGAAGGTCATCCGTGGCACAACACCATCAGGCAAGTAGTCTGCAAGCTGCCGGTTTGCAACAATGCATAGCCCAGACACATCGGATATGAGTCTGCTACCACGGTAGCATCGACCTCCATCACCGGTTGGAATCAACGGGTCGCAGGCTGCGTCGGTTAGGCAGGCTATGTGTTGGAGGTGTCAACAAGGGCATTAGCAAAGAATATATATGTGGCAATGTGTTTTAGGATGAAATAAATGATACCATTTACTTACTATTACAATTCCAGCCACCCCAGCCTGGGCGGCACTCAGTGTCTTGGTGGCAGTGTCCGCTTTTGGCTGCGGGGCGCTTTCCTTCATCGACAGGACTCGCGCACGCTATATAAGAGTATGGCGTACATAACAGAGTTTTCCATCATTAGCGGGCATTATTAGGATAAAAAGTATCCGGTATTAGTCAAGGCTGGCCAATATCGATAGTGCTATTCTGACATGGCAACTATTGAAGTAGCAGCCCTGCTTGCCACAGGTCATATTTCAATAATGATGGCGACCACTTAATTAGCTGTTACTGCTGTTAGCCTCCCCAGCTCTCCTCTCCCCATCCACCGACACAAGCAGAACGCAATATACCAGCAAAACAATTCCGCGAGCTACTTACCTGGCCGCATACAATCTTCGCCTGTCCACCCTGAGGGACAATCACATCGCCCTGTGAACCGGTTGCAGGTTGAGTTGTGTCCACAGACAGAACCTGGATATAGGCAGTTGAAGCACGATGGGCATCCTTCGGGAATATGTTTCTCCTCGATGCTAACAAAGTTTTGAATTCCGACCGCCTTGGCAAGTCCAACCAGATTCGACGTGTCATTGCCTTTAATGAGATTGTCAACCGCATCGGCAATATCAACAGCTGCGCCGCTGTTAACTATTCCTCCAATGATATTGTTGAGGCCGCCACCCTCGGCGCCATCGCTATTGCCGTTCACCATCCCACCAATTGCATTAGCAATACCGTTGATATTGATGTTTCCGTCGCCACTAGCAACAGTGCTGATGATGTCGTTGACGTTCAAGCCGTTCAGCAAGTTGCCGATATCACCTGCGCCAAAAGCTGCGCTTGGATGGCCGCTGTTCTGGTCTCGGTGATGGGCACCAGCAGGTGAGACTCCGCCCACCTGATTATTGGCAATGATCTGACCCATCAGAGATGCGATTCCACCGTTCAAGCCGTTGTTCCGATTGCCTGTGTTTGGAGACGTATCCTGGCGCTGGCGTTGGTTGTTATTGGCCATGCTGCCAATTCCGGACATCATGATGCCAAAAGTAGTAGCCATATTTCCAACCTCGTTCATGTCGATTACGTTGGCCAGGTTATTGGCAATCTCAAGCCCAATGGCACCGAAGTTGACATTTCCTTGGTCATCACCCGCCATCAGGTCCAGGATGCCGTCCAGATTGAAACCAGCAAGCGGCAGCTCATCTGATGGAGCTGCGACACTGCCTGGTTTGGGTACACCAGAAAGCTGAGTGCTGGATTTGGTGGCCGCTGATGGGCTGGAGCCAGGTATCTTCTGGGGCTCAAGCGGCAGGGCGTTTGGCTCTGCTGCAGCTGCAGCCGGTAGGGGACTGGAAGGATGTGTATCCGGAAGCTCCTTACGAGATATTACAATATCGAATTCAGATCCTTCGTTTTCGAAAACAACAGAGACCGGTGCTTGGTTGTTGAGGCCAGGACCTGCCGTGTTGGCAGATACAGCCTGGATTATCAATAGCCAAGGGTAGACCAGCCAGTGCTTCATATCAAGTAGTTGAAAGCGCACCCAGTATTTGCAGCTATAAAATAAGGAAGGATATATGGTGTGGTGACTACACTGTGCGTGGTGGGCTAGGCAAAATAAAAGCGATATTACCAAGATATGCTGTAGGGGTTTGCACAGATGGTAGGCAGATGGATACAGGGATAGACAGAAGTGGAGCAAAGGGCTGTTTCTTTGTCATTCCAGAAAAGTGATGCAGCTGGCTGGCATATTGAGGCAGTGGTGAAGACCTCTGGCAGCTATGTAGTCTCTTGGCGTGCTCAAGCTGGCCATGGCGAGAAAGTAATGTACAAATATGTGTTCGCAGTTTCCACCATCTTTAGCACATGCGTGGCGCGAGTCGCCCGACTGCTCACCGGGCAAACAAATTAGATTGACCTTGTGGAGGTATGTGGAGAGATAGTGTTGGTTTAACTATAAGCCTAAGGCACACATGTAGAATGAGGTCTGTAACTGTCAAATAGGACGGAAAATATGCCTGGACTGCATGCAGCGCTGAGGCAGTGACAGAAATTGGCATAGGTATGCAGCACTGTAGCCGTGCAGGTATGACAAGGACAGTAAATATCAATATAATCGAACAATTTCGTCTACAGCGCTGGTGACTGGTGACTGGTCCTGGATACGTCCGAAAATAGGCGTTTCGCATTCAGACTCCACCGAGGATGTCGGCGGTCGTCAAGGAGTGTAATACCATTTAATCCAGGTGAAACAACGCAAGATCGAAGAGAAAGGTGTGGTGGGGGAAATGGGGGAAAACTACAAGGGCGGTAAGGGAACGGGAGGCAGGAGAGCAAAAGTCATAACAGATTCATTAAGCACTTTTTGGTCCGTGGAGCCAGCACAACAAAAAGAGAATGAGAATATAGGCTCGATAGCTCCTTTAGATGCTGGAAATAGCAGTGGCCAAAATTACAGCAGCAGCAGTGGAGATTACGCTGAAGCCCTGCACGTGTGAGGCAGCAGCTGATGAATTGACATTACGCTCAAGATACGCCGATATCTGGTCGATGCCGTCCTTGCGAGACGAGCCAGAGCTGCTTTGGTTCTCCAGCGACGAATTACTATCGCCACGTCCAAAGTCGCTCAAATCATCGTCATCGCTGTCCGATGCGGAGGCAGGAACGACGCTACTGGCATTTGCCGATGACTGCTTGTGGTTACTGTTCTGGTGGCCTGTGTTGCCTAGTGAACTGCTACTAGTGCTTGTGCTGGTCGAGTTTGAGTAGCACTTGATACTCACAGACTTGATGTATGCCGTGAACTGCGCACCGGCCTTGGAGCTCGGTATTGAACCTGCCCACGCGGTGGTAAGATACGGGTTAGTGGAGCCACTTGCGTCCCAGATGGAGAACGACAGCCGTGCAGCTTTTTGCGGGAAGGTGAATTTTCGCAGGCCCTCTGCCCACGTATCGGCGCGGTGAACTGTGCGAATAACGGCACCGTTCACGTACCAGGAGATGCTGTCTGGTTGCCACAGGATGCGGTACTCGTTGTAATTGGACACTGGGTCGGACGAGACCACTGATGACACTGGGTTTCCGAGATCCACCTGGCCATCGACGTAGTAGTTGGCCTGGACCCGGTTTGTAGTCGACCCGGCAAAATCTAAGCTGATGCTCCCACCCGAGTCGTCTTGCAACTGCATCGATGTGACCACTCCTGGAGCAGTCGAGCCGGACTGGATGGTGGCGGTAATGGATCCGTATTGAATCCAGCTAACATTGGAGAATGGTCAGGAAAATATAGTTGGCGATCAGTATTTTGTTTGAGCTGCGGGATCCAAAACGGCTCCAATGGAGCAAGACTGCGCCCAGCGGGACTTTTTCTGAGTTGCCTTGCAAAGGCTGGAAAGAGCAGTTCGCGGTTGGCTCCAGTTCACAAGCAGGCTGCAGTGATATCATCGACCACACATGGTGGGGAGGCGATCATTTTTTGCAGCTAGAGAACTCCCCTTTGCGGTGCATGGCTCATGCAGTTGAATCTGCCCACGCGTTGCAATCAGCAAAGGAGGAAGCCCCAATTAGCGGCCTGAACCATGCATTCCAAAACAATGCCCTATGATGCTGGGCTGGACCACAGGAGGGGTATTGCGGTCTGTGCTGGCGGTCCAAGCAGAAGCAGCGTTCGTGTCCACGCCCCTCGCCCCTTCCATCTGTCGGCGAGATAGCCCGGCTCTGCTGCAAACGTCGACTAGGCCTTACCTTGTAGAATAGACAGTAGTGCCGTCAAACACTGTGTTGCTGGGCTTTGACTTTTGCAGGGACAAGGCCAGCCTGGCTGAGTCGGCGGAAGCCCGGTCTGGCGTTAGCTCTGAGACAAACGATGCGTGGGCCGGGTTTCCGTCATACTGGCCTGGCAGCCACTAAGGACTTGAGATGGCCAAAGGTGTACGACCCCGACTTGCACTGCGCCGAAGGACAGGCGCCTGTATCTTTGGCGTTCAAGCCTGAGCATGCTGCCAGCGCATGACTGAAAAATACCGACGCTGCGACCAGCTGGAGCGCACAAATCCTCATTCTTTATAAGAAAACAATAATAAGGGCGAGGAGAGAGGAGAGGGAGGAGAGACCAGCACGCGTTCGGACCCAAGCCGATATATGCTGCTGTCTAATGCGGAAATGGTAAAGAGGGAGAATAGAAGGTTTAGAAATAAGGCGGAAGGGGAGGAGGGAAGGGAGGGAGGAGAAAGAAGAAAGAGCAGGCTAGAATGAAAAATAAGTGCTAGGGGAATGGTTAAAAATGCAGCTGAGAAAAATTGGTGGAAAGAGTGGAAAAGGATGTCCAAAGCTGTCAAAGGAGTAGAAAATAAAAGACTGGGAATGAGACCGTCAGCCTGCCACACAGAATTCTGGACAATCGATTGCAGTAGCAAGAGGAAAATCGATATGTTTCTTTGGTGTTGTCGTTTGGTCATGAACCCTGCTGTCCCCCACTCGCAGCATTTTGTCCTCTCTTCGCATAGCTGATGGTAAGGTGTGGAGCATACTTTTTACTGACTGAATTTGGCAACACGCAGTCCTATTAATAGCCAGTCCGACCTCGATGCGGCGCGGCCTTGCCAAGTCCCCCGCTGGTGCAGATCGGCCTGAAATCTGGTCCAGGGACATAGAGTCAACCATGTCAAGCAGGTCGACAACCTTTGCAAGGCCATCCTTTGCATGTGAGATGATGTCGATGGCTTTGGCGATGCAGCGGGTCTGCGACACTGATACCAGCTGGTCCAAGCCCGACAGGTCAAGCTCTGGCCCATGCTCAGCCTCCTCCCCGGCGCCATGGGGATTGTCCAATATTATTTCTGAAATGCCGCCTGCTGGAATCGGGGAGGGTGCCGCATCCGCCGGATTGTTCGGCGGAAACAGTGCCACCACGCCACGAGCCCTGGTCCTTGGGGGCTTGAGGAAGCCTGGCACACTGACGAAGCGGTCTGGCACAGCGCCATACGGCAAACCGGGGCCTCCACAGTCACCGGCATCTGGCTGACAATGTCTCTCGCTTTCGCTGTCACATTGTGCACCTGGTACTTGCTCATGGACAGTACTATGGTGGCCACATCCAGATAGTCCCCGCAACCCCCAATGACCAGTAGTAGACTGATGTGCTTGTCGCTCCACAGCTCAGCCCGCGCGGCTGATAAACGGCGTAATCGGCTCACTGTCTTTTGCTACTAGCCGCTGCATGCGCTGGTCGCGGATCAGGAAATTTGTCGCGCAGGTATCTTCGTCCAGTAGCAATGACGTTGTGCCAGCCTCGAGCGCCTCCTGGATTGACGCTGCCATCGATGTTGACCCTGATGCATCGAGCGTCGAAAAATCGCGCGTGTCCTTGCCAAATGGCAGGTTGTTGATGAATGGGCGGATATCGACGCTTCCGACGAACCGTCCCTCCTCTGCCTTGACCTTGGTAGCACATGGCTCTGTCACAACCAGCTCGCGTCCATCTCCAGGAATATGGTTGTAGACGCCATGCTCGATGGCCTGCAGCAGTGTCGACTTGCCATGGAACCCACCACCTGTAATGACCGTTATCCCATGCGGAATCCCCATGCCCTCGACCTGGCCACGATTGGGCAAGGTGAACGATACCTGCAGATCATCTGGTGATTGGAACTTGACGACACTGGGGCCATCCAGTGGCAGGTTTGATATGCCGCTGCGGCGCGGCAGCACAGACCCGTTGCCCACAAAAGCCACCAGTTTTGCGTCCGCCAGCATTCCGCGCAGCGCATCCTGGTCCTCAATACATGCCACAAAATCATGCATATCACCTGCCTCCACTGCGGAAAACAGCATTGACAGATCCACAATGCGTGGCAATGTCTTGAGGAACATTCCATGCGCCATGCTGCCAAGAATCGTGCGTCCTGCAGCTGGAAGTCCCACCTGTCATCCGTGCCTCAATATACTCGCTGTTGATGACAACCGACGTGCGCTCGATGACTTCTTGCCCAGGCCGCTCGATGCAGATATCACCGCCTTTGGCTGATTTCCACCCTCCGCCATTGCCTCCCTTTTGCGAGTATCTCGATTGTGCATGAGTGATCGTCGTATATATATGTCTTGACAGATAGTGCGAGCTGGCAATGGCCCGGGTCTGGCTCGAGTAAAGCGACGAAGGGAACTGTTGCTGCATCCTGGTATACACGAACCCTGATTCTACTAGGCGTTGCATACGGATCCGCTTGTATCTGGTCAAATGTCAGCTGGAACCGGTCAAACTGGAATGTGCGCCTGCCGAACTGCTTGTATGCGCCGTACTGCTGCCGATCGAGCCGGATCAGCAGCCGCCCAAGGTCGTCGCTGCTGCCAGCTGCTTGCTGAGGCGTGGTAGCACAGCCTGAGTCGGCAGAGCCCGTCATATAGGCATGCGGCTCTTCAGATGATCTGCTTCTGCGTCTCCCGTACAGTGCCTTGTAGTAAGCACCTCGTCCCCGAGAGCCGCCGCCGTTGCCTCCGCGGCTCCCTCGGCTTTTGCCGTGCGACCTAGTTGCCCCCATTGGTATTTTTTGTAGAAATAAAGCAGGATTGAGCGTGTGTATCAAGAAAAACGGGAGGGATAAACAGCGAGTTCAGCCTGTTCTCGTGTGTATATGAACACCTGAACTGATCGGTTATTCGGCCTGGACTACATTCTACGCTCTATCGTGGTACAATTTCGACCTGTTCCTACTGTGGCTGGCCCACATATGTATACAGAGATCCTCCCCATCCATCGGCCCATTGGCCTCAAGCGCAAATCCAGCTAGATCCCTGTGTAACCAGACGTGGAAAAATAAACACCAACTAGACGCACAGTGACCGAAATCCCGCCTTGGGGAACTGATTTTTTCCTTGCCAAGATCCAACAACAGGCTGCTGCCTAAACGGATTCCGCATATATAGCAGCAGTTCCTTCCCATGCAACCCTGTGGACAGAACTCTAACCCCTTCCATCGTCCTCTCCTATCTGTCTCTTCTACTTTACCATGGTTTGCGTATCTCGCATTGCCTGCGCCAGTATAGGTCCTGGGCAGCCTCGCTGCTGCTGCACCGGTCCACCAACAATGCCCTCACCACCCGCTCTAGCGAGAAGACCAAGAAGACGCTGATCATCTTTGGTGACTCTCTCAGCGATATCGGATCGGGATGGACGCGCATGAACTACGACGCAAACTACCAGCCGGCGCCATGGTTCATGGGCCGGTACTCTAGCGGATTCGTATGGAACGAGTGGGCTGCCGATGAGCTCAATATGACCCTAGGCCAACTTTGCCTACGGTGGAGCCACCTCCAACAACACCTGGGTCAATGGTACTGTGCCCAGCATTGCCGACCAGCTCCACATGTACGAGGTGCAGCGTGACGCTAAGCGCTTCCAGAAGCCCGAGGAGAACATTGCTGCTATTGAGATTGGCGCCAACGACATTTTCAACAGCGTAAAGAAGCTGGCTATCGCTTCGGACAAGAAGGTCGAGGCCTTTGCGACCAACCTCACCAACAACGTCGTCGCTGCCATGGACAAGCTGAAGGGCTTTGGTCTGACCAACTTCTTGGTGTTCAACGTGGCTCCGATTGAGATCACACCCAGGGTTGTCGAGCTACATCTGTCCAAGATGGTGAAGCCGGTCATCACCACAATCAATGAGGCATACAGCAAGGCCGTCACTGAGTACCGCCAGAAGAACAAGGGCATCACCGTCACCCTTGTTGACACATCGTATCTTACCAAGACCATCGCAGAGAACCTGCTCGAGGACCTCAACATCAAGTACGCTAACGCCAGCTGCATCAACACCAAGAAGGGCAAGACTATATATTGCACAAACCCCTGATGAGTACTTCTTTATGGACATGGTGCACCCGACCCGTGTCCCGCACCGCCTGATCGGCTATGTCGTCGCCAAGATCATCCAGAATCCCTCGTACAACGCCACAGTTGACGATATGCGCTCAATGATCAAGGAGCACAACATCCGCAATGTGTACGATGCCGTCAATGTTGTCGAGTTCCAGGCCGATGGAAAGTATGTCAACATTGATACTCAGGTCGCGGCCCAGGCGACCCGTGCCCTCAGCTCTGATGCGCTGACTGAGAATGGCGCTGCCACCCCGTACTCGCTCGATGGCGATGCCTCCAAGATCGACAACTCCGCCTACATTAACAACTTGCTTGAGGGGGAACTTGACGGCAGCTTCGACATCAGCAGCCTGATGGACGTCTACGCCACCGCCAGCGCCACAGACAGCGACGACTCCGACGATGATACCTTGGACTCGAAAAAGAAGAGTCTCCAACAAGAATAACGGTGCGGCCAGCATGGCCAGTATGTCGCTGAGCGCCCTTGGTATCTTTGCTCTTGCTGCTCTCCTCTAAGTATGTCTGCAGTATTTTTGTTATATTGTATTGCAAAGCAAATAATACGCAACATTTGGTGACTAGAGTATCTAGCAAATGTCGCTTAGCAGTATATGAAAATGGTATTCGGTAGTTGGACCAGCCGAAGAAGAGAAGAATTAAAGCAAAATAGAACCCACATGCGTGTCACTGCACACACTCTTCACACAGGCTTACCAGTACCTGGGATAGTAGGCACCGTACGCAAGGTTGTTTGTGTTGGAATACGCGTTGTTGTTCCACTGGTTAAAGTTGGAACTGCCAGAGCTGCCGAAAGGAGAGACATTGTTGCCCTGCGAGGCAGCAAATCCGTTGTTCCACGAGTTGCTGTTGGTACCGAACGGCGAGACGTTCGACGTGGCGCCGTTATCATACGCACCAACATTGTGGACATTGGACTGGGTGTTGCCGTAGATGCCTGGATAGTAGCCGCCATAGATTGGGGCGGCAGAGACTGTCGACGCAACCAGAGAAACAAAGGAGACGATGAAGGAGTTCATTGCTATGTATGTACGAAGCTGTGGGTGTGTGGAGAAAGGAAACTGTTGCTTAAGTGATTTTGCTGGTGAGATGTGCTGCTGCATAGCACCCTGCGTGGAATTTTATACGGACAGGGATAAGCAACATACCCACCATATAGCAAGGTACTGGGAGGTTCGTCCTACAGTATACTGCCCTTTCCTGTCCTTTCCTGTCCTTTCCTGTCCTTTCCTGCCCTTGTAGTGGGCATATAGCATTGAAAAGGCATGTTATCTGCTCTGTTGAACTGCTTTAATACCATGCTATGCGCGATTTTACGTTCTTTTATCCTAAAGCGGTAAACTGTACTTTGAACTTTGAACTTTGAACTTTAAGGCTTGCTAGCTCTTGCTCGGCCGATGCTCAGCATCAGTTACTACTATTACTTTTGTGTTTGTATTCCTACTAGTATTGACTTCATTCACAATAGTAAGAGCTATAAAACCCATGCTTGGTAACCATGGTGAGAGTATCGCTACGAGTCTATTACCGTACATAACCTCTTAGGGTCTTGGCCAGCAAGTATATTTTGAGCTGATGGCGGTATGCCAGTAATGAATACACGCGCATACACACGGTATACATGCAGACAAAGTGCCCCGATATATTACTGCTGATAGCAAATAGCTCTGCCAAAGTGCAGTGGCTAACTTCCAGCAGATGCAGAATACCCAAGCGAGTGCGTAGTGAAATGCATGACAAATCAATGCAAATGCTAGATGAACATGCGGTTTATGATTTATATATTCACTATGCCGGTGTGCATAATATAGTCGTTAATTAAAAGTACGGGTAGAATGCGCCTCCGATACCAGGGTAGGACAGACTGCCAAAGCCCGGATAAAACAAGCCGCGAAGGCCCTGAGAGACGGGGGATGTCTGCGATCGTGAGACTGAGTCTGACACAGAACCACTACTAGGCGAAAACTGACCATCCATGTGTGTGTTAAAGCCAGGGGAGTTGCTTGAGGCTGTGAATCCGCTGGGACCCCATGCTGCCTGGATGCCGTTTCCATTCGCAACCGAGCCTACCATGCCGCCCACCTGTGGATAATAGAATGCCGGTATGTAATAGGCGGTGGCTGGGAGGGCGGTCAGCATACCGTAAATTAGCGAAACAGTTGTGGCGGTGTTCTTGTCCATCGCGGTGGTTAAGGAGCTGTTGGCAGGAGGGTGTGATTATTGATGATGCTGCTGCTGGTGCGAGTTTGATGAAGTTTTCTCGACTGGATCCTTTGGAGTATGCGCTCTTTAAATATCTCGTGTGTTTGCAGTGGTCAATTCCAATAGGCAGCCTGAAAGAAACTATACAAATATTCTGAGCACTGCCAGTATGCACGCACAATGCTCTGGTAGCCGGCTTGGTGTATTTACCGCCGTGCAGTAGTTTCTGATAGTTGGCGCGCACTCGCGTTTTCGCATATACTGGAGCTGCTACTACGCCATACCCCAAATGAAAACATAAACAAACTAGCATCGCCAACGGCCCTTGTTGATATTGCTACTGCCTAATGTTTGGGATTTAAAAAGTCCATAATTATATCGTAATTGGTTAAGGTTGTGTAGAGTGTACCCAGGAACGTGGGCAGAACTATTTTGTTTTGAACAGTAGCCACTCCAGAATTTAATTTGCATATCTATTTTCAGCCCATGGATACAGCCAGTCCCGACGACGGCGCCATCGCGCAGCCCATGCTTGGTGTTGAGGATGCGGATTTCTGGCGTCAGAAGCAGGAGTGGGTCAAGCAGATGCGTCTGCAGTTCTCGCGCCGCCCTGAGTTCCCCGAGACACACAACATGATTGACGACGAGGGCATGCTCAACCAGGAGTACTTCCAGCCGCCCAAGGATGCAGTTGCCCCCAAGGAGCGCAAATGGGGCGACGACGAGAAGCGCAGGCTGCTGGAGGGCATTGAAAAGCACGGGATCGGCCACTTCCGAGAGATCTCAGAGGAGTCGCTGCCTGAGTGGTCCGGCAATGATCTGCGTATGAAGGCCATCCGCCTGATGGGCCGACAGAACCTGCAGCTGTACAAGGGCTGGAAGGGCGATGCCGCAGCAGTGCAGCGCGAGTTTGAGCGCAACAAGGAAGATCGGACTGAAGCATGGGACGTGGAAGGGCGGCGCCTTGGTCTATGACGACGACGGCGTGGTGCTGAAGGCGATCCAGGAGTCAAACCGCGCTAATCCGCCATAAGATAATCACCGGGCGGTGCTCGTTCCGTGGCGTCCGGCAGTACTCGTCTATGCTGTCGTTGTTGCTGCTGTTGCACTAATATATTTGGGTAAATTGCCCTGCATGTGAATTTATCCCTATTCCCCGTGCATTGCCCAACTCCGGACTCAGCCAGCACATCACAATGAAGCATGGGGACTGTGGGCTAATACTCGGACGCCATGTACGCGCCTGCAGCCTTCCCCCAAAAACCACGCCAGCCTTACACACTGCATATGCGCAACTGCGTCCGCCTCAACCGGACACTATGGAATTGCGCTGCACCCATTTTTCGGGCTTGCGAGTGGGCATTTTCCCAGAGAAAGTCTGTGGATTTTGCCCGTAAATGGCGCCACTGTTGATAGCAGCAGCGCTTGGTCACCAGCACACACTGGCCACTCAGCGGGCCCGTGGAGCAGCATGGAGATGCGGCGGCGCGCGTTGGGCGAATTGTCCAGCATGGCCACCGGCTCCTGATTTGCCACGCCGCTGCATCCTAATTGATCGGCCGTGCTTTCCCCTCGGTTAGTGTGGGGTGGCTCTGGCCAGTCAAGGTGGGCCTGGTTATAGTGGGCAAAAACTGTCCCCTCCCTTTTTGCAGCCATCGGGGGCAGGGCCAAGAGGAGCGACCGAGAATTTTCTCCTTTTCGCTCTGGAAATGTGCAGCACTGTGCGACCACAGAAGGGGCAGCAAGCCCGCAATATTGCCCCAGGCGCTGGCTGTCCATCATCTTTTGGTGCTGGTGTCTGATTCGCCTGTTCATTGAATTGGGCCATTTGCAGACCACGGCTTCATTCCGGCAGTGGTACACCGGGCCGATGAGCCAGATGGGAGCGCTGTGAGAAGGGCCTGGAAACTCAGAAGGCGGTCTTGTCCAACAAACAAACCGCCAACGGTATAAAACCGCCCCACCTGCGTTTCGGGCGTCAGGTTTTCGCTCACCTTATTTCGAGTTCGCCTTCCCAGCAAAGAGCAGCCTCTCTCTCTTCCTCCTCTCTTCCTCCTCCCCTGCCTTTCTTTTGGTTCCGCGCCATTTACGTTGGAAAGCTTTTGGTTCCAGTTGATCTGTCTACTTGGCTTTCTCTCTCCGCAACCGCCGAAATAGCAAACATCTGCGATTTGATATTGCCGATACACATACACCGCCCCCTGAAATCCCACACTCTTTGTTTGATACCATGAAGTTCATTTCCTTTGCTGTCGCTGCTGTTGCGACCACCTTCAGCGCTGTGTCTGCCCGCCCCGTCCTGCGGAGGGCCAACAGCTGCGCTTTCCCATGGGTGGCCAACAACACCGATAACGTCGTTCCGATCACCCCCTCGGCCAAGAATGCCGGCTGGGCCATGTCTCCGGACCAGGAGTGCGCGCCCGGCAGCTGGTGCCCGTACGCGTGCGCGCCCGGCTACTACTCGGCGCAGTGGGACCCGTCCGCTACCCTGTACAATGGCCCTGGTTCCATGAACGGCGGCTTGTACTGCGATGCCAACGGCGTCCTGTCGAAGCCGTTCGCCGACCGCGCGTACTGCGTGCCTAGCATGATGAACGCCTACATCGAGAACAGCCTTAGCCACTCTGTCTCTGCCTGCCAGACCGTGTACCCCGGCAACGAGGCCATGATTATCCCGTCGGTGGCCCAAGCCAACAGCAACGTTAGCCTCAACATTGTTCCCAACACCTACTGGCTCGGTGTCTCCTCGCAGTTCTACGTCAACCTGGCTGGCTCCAACGCCACTCAGTGCGTCTGGGGCAACGACGACAAGCCGGTTGGCAACTGGGCTCCGTACATCTTTGGCGGTGGCCAGGGACCTGACGGCAACACCTACATCAGCGTGCAGTTCAACCCGCTGTACACGGCCAAGGGATACAAGGTTTCTGATGCCTACAGCGTGCGTATTCAGTGCGAGTCTGGCTTCTGCAACTTCCCCGCTGGCGGAGAGTGCAAGTGTGAGGGTGGCAAGTGCTCTGTTGACAACGGGTGCACTGTCACTTTGACCGGCGATGCCAAGGCTAAGTGGGTCCTCTACTAGATGTAGCTGAGATCCGACTTGATATTCCCCATGTTCCTTATACCGCTATCCTATTCTTGCCCGCGCCTTTATACAGTTGCACCTTTAGTTATACGAACTCTAAATAAAAATTGGCTTCGAAAGCCATACAAGAATATCTGAAATGTGTCGTCTGAGTAGCTGTGTGGACCATTTGCGATCTGCAGTGGCATTATTAATTCATGTGTCTCAAGATGAAAGACGCCAACTCGTTATTGGCTGTGGCCAAGCGCTAATGCCCGCTGATGTGCGTCTACAGTCGCCTTTTGGCCAGCTACTGAGCTGCTTTAGCTGCCCAGCGTTGATATTCTTACGCCTCTCGGTATTCCCTACATTCTGAGTAAAAAAGGTGCGTCGTAGCAATAGCGCAATGACATATGTTGTTGTTTTTGGCTTATCCTCAGCATGGCACCACATGTAATGAGGCCAGTATGTCCAACTTGTAATCAGCTGATTGATCGGTTGATCGATCACACCGGGAAAACAAAACATCCATTATTTGGACTCGACTTCACGATTGTTTTCGGAGTTCCTTGGCTTCATCAGCATAATGCCTGTGTTTTCTGGCGACTGCGCCTTGGTGGTCATACCCCAGCAGTATATAAAGACAGTCACACTCTGGAATGGCCTGGTCGCCCACCCCCTTAGACGCACACCGTATCCTTATATTCCCTCGAAACTTCGTTGCAGCTACTCACTGCGCTTATCTCCATGTCGACAAATACGGTAGACTCCACAGCCAAGCAGGATGGCAAGTCTCCATCGGATCATCCCCTCCCCAAAGAAGACAATGAGGACTTGCCATATACCCATTTTTCGGCCAGGCAACGAGCCTTTATCGTCTTCATTGCCGCCTCAACAGCACTCGTCAGCCCACTCTCATCGAACATGTACTATCCCAGCATCCAGGAAGTGCGTGACGATCTTCATACAACACTATCGGGTGTTACATGGTCAATCACGTCTTTTGCTATCTGCATGGCAATCGCGCCTTTATTTTGGAGCAACTTGGCGGATCAGATCGGGCGCAAGCCTGTCTACGCAACATCGATGCTCATATATACCGCAGGCAGTATCGGGTGCGCTCTGTCCAAGTCCTTGACTGGGATGATCATCTCGCGCGTCATCCAAGCGGCTGGCTCATCAGCCGTGCAGGGATCGGGTGCCGGAACAATCTCCGATATCTACCCACGCGAACAGCGCGGCACTGCTCTCGGCATATACTACCTGGGGCCGCTGGTAGGACCATGCATTGGCCCACTGATTGGCGGATACATCGGCCAGGACATCGGCTGGCGCTGGGTGTTTTGGATCCTGGCAATTTGGGGCGGCGTGATGTGCCTTTTGGCAATTTTCGTCCAGCCCGAGACCCACCGCCGTATTGTTCTGAAGAAACACAGGATTCAGCCGACCAACATCCCACCACCACTCAACCTCAAAAACAACAACCCGCTGATCGACTTGGCACTGATTCGGTACCCGTCTGTCGCCATCACCATGTATTTCTTCGCAATGGTTTTCGGCGCATATATGGTAAACTCGACGGGCTTGACCTTGGCACTCCAGAACATCTACAACCTGTCACAAGGCAGTTCTGGCGTATGCTATTTGCCCGTCGGTGCAGGAAACATCATCGGCTCAACTACTGGTGGGCGCACTACGGATCTTTTGCTGCGTCGATACAGAAAGAAACACGACATTGAGGCAGCCCAGGGAAGCAAGGTACCGCCAGAGGCACGGATTCAGTTAGTCTGGCTCGGTGGTATCATATGCTTGGTTGGCATGGTAATGTCTGGCTGGATCATTGACAGAAGCTGGCCGTTAGCTGCGCTGCTTGTTATGCAGTTTTTCATTGGTATTGGCCTGGCATTCGCATTCCAGTCAATTGCTGGTTACCTTATCGACCTCTTCCCGCTAAAGTCTGCCAGGATTACAGGCGTGCAAAACTTTTACCGTGGAATCTGGGGCGCCATCATTGTACAGCTGTTTCCAACCATGATCGAAAGTATTGGCTGGGGCTGGTCGTACACCACCATGGTGCTAATCTCGGTTCCGGGCCTTGTTGGTCTCCAATTACTGGCGTTGTACGGAGAGGGATTGCGAAGAAGGTTTGGTCCAAAGTCGTAGAGTACCCTATTCTATTAAACTTAAAGTAAACTGAGGCGCTATACGCGAAGTCTTAGAAATAAGAAATGAGAAATGAGAAAACACTAAGCGGCTAACCCGATAAAGAAAAAGAAGAAAGAAAAGTTCTTTTAGGGAAGAGCTCAGCATCGCATAGTTGGCGAGCCAGGATTTTCCTCACACAGTGACTTGTCGATTTAAGACTAGCCGTGTAGTACATCGACTGGTGTCAAACAAAACTATATGAATAGAGCATACTGCCATTGACCTTTGATAAGCCGCTATGAATAAACAATTCCAGTAAATAAAATGCCACTAGGGCAACCATCAAGAGCAAAGTATCTGTCAAGCAAAGCAGGATGGTTTCAGTATTGGCAAATTCTAGCAATGCGCTTTGCAGCTATGCGCAGGGATCTGATTATGCCAAATAGAGCAATTTGGTGCTCGGCGGAAAATACCGGCAAAACAAATGTCTCCATGGGCGGAATATTCAAGCTATTCGGCTGTCCCGGGATACATAGTAGACGCTTCTGGGGATTCTTAAGTCGACGTATTGCTGTGAGACCAGCCTGGTACAGGTAAGGAGCCAGCCGCCCAGTTATATACAAGGCAACCTCATACGCCGTTTTGCTGGTGCCTGATAAATTAGCGCGCAGGGTCTGTAGCCCTGAGAAGAAATAACATCTTGACATCAAACAGCCCTAGATATATGAAAAGCTCACCGGGAGAAGATGTGTTTGCCACTGGATTTAACCTCCTCTAACCGCAAGAGCCAGTGCATGCATGGCTCTTGGGCCCAACCGCTTCCTTTGTCCAAGTCGTTATCTGTTCGTCAATATGCACGGCGGAATATCCGGTCTGTGGCGATCGAGAGTTGGGTACCTTCGGACAAAGACGCTGTTCTGCGCAGATTTTTCGTGAAATGGAAGATTTCCTGGCAGCAGGATGAGTCTTTGCGCCATTTAAAGTTTGCAGCTATTCAACAGAAAGCAGAGAGACGGCTGAATTGCAATGGCGTTCGTGAGGGCTGAAAAACTGAATGCTACTGGGATACTCCGTGCAATAGTAAAATACATAAAGCTGCTGCTCAAGAGGCTTGGGGCGAGACAAGTAGAAAATCAGATAAAGAGCTAGTGTATCTATCACATTATTGCCACTAGCAAGCGCTAGCAGTCTGCTATAGGCATGAGTGACAGTAGTCGCCAATGGCCACGCCTTTCCTGCACATCCTTGCCTGCTGCTTCCTCATGACTTTAAGGCTTTTCACATGAGACCAGTCTGATACTGCTGTTCGCCTGAGCGGACTATCCGCCGTATTCCACCCATCGAAATAGTCACCTCTGTTCCTGTTGCGCAATATCCTACCCTGCAATGTAAACAGGGATTCCCGCTACATGTCGGCCGATCCGCGCATTATCACTGTGCTGCTGTGCGGGAAGAAAGGAACTGGCAATTTCACTGCCAGACCCGGGCAGAGCCAATTCTGCTCATTGTGGAGCTATATTTCCCTCTGTCTGAAGAGGATGGAGAAGAGGAGCAGCAGGAGCAGGGGGTTCCATGAAATTATACTCGGATCTGTGAGGTGCTCCTCACACCGGCTAGTGTGTTGTGGTAGCCAGCACTAGTTGACTCCCACCAGGCCCCAGCTGTATTTAAGGCACGGCTTTCGCCTAGCGCTGACCAGACAGTCCATTGCCAATGAGATATTTCACTTGCTCTTCTTCTCAATTGCGTTTATATTGACATGGCAGAAAGCAACACGGCAGAAAACAACACGGCATCAGTAGCAACTCTGCAATCTGAAGCCTCAGTCCCGCACTCGCTGACACAGGATGATGATAAGGACACATTGCCGTATACGCATTTCTCGGCTCGGTACAGGGCGCTCATCGTCACAATTGCAGCCATCACTTCACTCGTCAGCCCACTCTCATCCAACATGTACTACCCAAGTATCCAGCGAGTCCGTGACGACTTGCACACCACCCAGTCGGGCATTACGTGGACAGTAACTGCATTCACTATCTGCATGGCAGTCACACCGCTGTTCTGGAGCAACCTGGCGGACCGGATTGGACGAAAGCCTGTGTATGCAGCATCAATGTTCATTTATACTGCAGGCAGTATCGGCTGTGCTCTGTCAAAGTCATTGACGGCATTAGTGATTTCGCGCATTATCCAGTCTACTGGGGCATCAGCAGTCAAGGGATCGGGGGCAGGGACCATTGCAGACATCTACCCTCGCGAGCGGCGCGGCACTGCGCTCGGCATATACTACCTGGGACCGCTGGTAGGACCATGTATTGGACCACTGGTTGGCGGCTATGTCGGCCAGAATCTGGGCTGGCGCTGGGTATTCTGGATTCTCACCATCTGGGGCGGCACAATGTGCTTTGTGGCAATGTTTGTTTTGCCTGAGACGCACCGACGCATGGTATCGATGAAGCACAAGATCCAGCAAACCAACATCCCGAAGCCTTTCAGCATCAGGAACAACAACCCGCTGGTGGATCTGGCGCTGATCCGGTACCCGCCAGTCTACATCTCGCTGTACTTCTTTGCGATGGTGTTTGGCACCTACGTAGTGAATCTGGTTGGTCTGGCCCTGGCATTTGAGGATGTCTACAGGCTGTCACAAGGGGCTTCTGGGCTATGCTATTTCCCGGTAGGTGCTGGAGCCATCACCGGGTCGTTGTCCAGTGGGCGGATCACAGACCTGATGCTGAGGCGGTACCAGAGGAGACAGGATGTAGAGGGCGGCCAGAGAGGCAGTGTCTCACCCGAGACACGGATTCGGCTGACCTGGATCAGCGGGACGATGTTCCTTGTGTCTATTGCGCTATCAGGGTGGATTATCAACAGACACTGGTCTCTCTCTGCGCTGCTGGTGGTGCAGTTTTTTACCGGTCTCGGGATGGCCTTCTCGTTCCATTCGCTGGCCAGCTACCTGATTGATGTGTTCCCGCTCAAATCGGCCAGAATCACAGGCGTGCAGAACTTTTACCGTGGCATGTGGGGTGCCGTTGTCGTCCAGCTGTTCCCTACTATGCTCGACAGTATCAATTGGGGCTGGACGTATATGATCCTGGTGTTTATTGCTGTGCCCGGTCTTGCTGGTATCCAATTCCTTGTCTCCAGTGGAGAGAAGCTTAGACACAGGTTCGGTCCACACTAATAGAATGTCGTAATACACTCTGGTTGTTGTCAGGTCCACCTTGGTCAGATTAGCATTGGGTGCTTGCTGGCGGATATCTAAAACACGTGGCAGCAGGATGGGAGCAGTTGTCCGGCGATAGCAGGAAAAGTGATTTGCAATGTTTCATTGACGCTTCAAGACAGATGTTTTTGTGAGTTTACTGGGAGCCAGCCTGGAGCTCGGCGAGACGGCGGGCAACCTCAGCCAGGTAGGCGTCGGTGGTCACGTAGGTCTCGGGGCCGGCGCTGTTGCCGTGGATGGAGATGGCCAGGTCCTTGGTCATGATGCCGCCGCGGACGGACTCAATGCAGGCTGCCTCGAGGTTCTCGGCGAAGCGCTCGAGCTCGGGGGTGCCGTCGAGCTGGGCGCGGTGGATGAGGCCGCGCGACCAGGCGTAGATGGAGGCGATCGGGTTGGTCGACGTGGCCTTGCCCTGCTGGTGCTGGCGGAAGTGGCGGGTCACGGTGCCGTGGGCGGCCTCGGACTCGTAGATGAACTCCCCAGGGGCCTCACCCTTGGCGACAAGCACCGAGGACATGAGGGCCAGCGAGCCGCAGCCCTGGGCGACCAGGTCGGAGATGATGTCGCCGAGCATGTTGCCGAGCGCCAGGATCAGACCGCCCTCCATCTTGACGAGCTGCGCGACCATGTCGTCGACCAGGCGGTGCTCGTACCAGATGCCAGCCTTCTCGAACTCGGCCTTGTACTCGGACTCGTACAGCGAAATGAAGATCTTGTCCCAGTAGGCGTCGTAGGTCGAAATGACAGTCGACTTGGTGCCGAGGTACAGCGGCAGCTTGCGGTCGAGCGCCATCTTGAAGCAGGCGTGGGCAAAGGCGGTGATGGACTCCTTGGTGTTGAACATGCCAAGGCCGACACCAGGGCCCTCGTAGTCGTACACGGTGCGGCGCAGCGACGGCTCCTGGGCGCCCTTGGGCGTGAACGTCACCTCGTACTTGCCGGGGCCGTCAACCTCAAAGTCAGTCGACTTGTACTGGTCGCCGAAGGCGTGGCGCGCAATGATGATGGGCTTCTTCCACGCAGGGATGAGCCGCGGCACGTTGTCGATGAAGATGGGCTCGCGGAACACGGTGCCGTTCAGCGCGTTGCGGATGGTGCCGTTGGGCGACTTCCACTTCTGCTTGAGGCCAAACTCGGCCACGCGGCCGTCGTCGGGCGTGATGGTCGCGCACTTGATGCCGACCTTGTACTTCTTGATGGCCTCGGCAGCGTCCAGCGTGACCTGGTCGTTGGTCTGGTCGCGGTACTCCATGCCCAGGTCGTAGTACTTGATGTCGATGTCCAGGTACGGCAGGATGAGCTGGTCCTTGATCTTCTGCCAGATGATGCGGGTCATCTCATCACCGTCGAGGTCGACGACGGGGTTCTTGACCACAATCTTCTGGATGGGCGCGCTGGAGTCTGAGCTCATGGTGATGGAGGAGAATAAGAGTATTAGTGCAGGAAAAAAGTTGCTTTTCACAAAATGTATTCCGACCGATAGGACCCACCGCCAGCGCTTCCTTTTATACCGGGAACCTCTGGCGAAGGAGTGACTGCTATACATGCCGCTGCGGGATTGGGGCCAGCTCCCAGCAACAAACCACAAAGACACGCACGATGCATCTTTATTTGGCGCGGCGCCGGCACGAAAAGGCCATGAAAACTTTCCGAGATTTACCGGTCTCTCTTGCTCCTCAGCCAGGCTCCGGCATTTGAAAAGGGAGAGGAATATTCTCCGCTGGGCGAGCCATTAGCGCATGGTCAAAGTAGCCTCGAAGCTACTTGCCCGCTTTGGGCTGGCCGGGATAAATAAGGCAAGGCGATGGGCGCCAAATGCGGAGCTTGCTCACAGGGATGTGCCCAGTGAAGATAAGCGGACCAAAGCAGCGTGGGCGCAGACCATCGGCCAGCCGAGCACTGCTGGTCTCTTCCCCAGTGGGAACAGGAGGAAAATATGCGTTGCTCTTCGCTCCCACGAAGCCCATCTCTCCGAGGGCAGATACGGGATGATGGGAAAAAGTGTGCCGTCACGCGTGCATGGAGCCAGTGGAGCCTTTCTGCCCTGTGCATACAGAAGCAGCCAGACCTGCCCAAGGCACGTTTCGCCGCTGGCACATGCTCGTGCTTATCTTCTCATCGATAGGGTTGATCCGCGTTAGATAGCATGGTTTAGGGGGTGGTACTTACAGTAACGCATCGCAGGCAGAGCGGCGGCCCTGGCACCGAAGCGCGCCGAGGCAGCGAATCCCTGGCTGGCGACTGGAGAGCGAGCAATGCGACCGATAGCAGCGAACATGTCTAGGAAAACATACAGGTTTAGCAGAAAGGCAGGGGTGGGGGCTAGACGGCAAAATTATGATCGGGCAAGCGTGCGCCACGAGAGGCTGTACACCGCCGCTCGCAGCAAATCGGCCTTCCAGCCACCGGTTTCGTCACCCGTTCTGTTGGGAAGCAGGCGCGTGCTGGTTCAGCGCTCTGCGGCGACGCGGGGGCGAAGGCGTGAGAAGAGCGCGAATTATTCCATTACCTTATTTTCAGAGTAATATCCTGTAGCAACTCGCCGTTTATTTTGAAGCGCTACTTTATTTCCGTAGTAGGGTGAAAAATTCAGGGGGAGGAGCAAGTAATAGAGGCAAGAGGCCTGGTCCCTCCCTGCTTCGGCAACTTGCCAGCGTATGGTGGTCCCATTGTCAGGACGTGGTGCGAGATCAAGGAGTTTATTAGTCACCATGCCAGACGGATCAACCAAAGCGAGCTTGGCTCTTATTATCGTAAGGTTCCTGTTAATATCCGAAGCAGCCTGCTGCTATCTTGGTGGTGCCAGAAAAGTCTAGAGGTGTAGCTTTGCTGCTTTACGCAGCCCGCACTGCGTACCAAAAACCTGCAGCACCATCGCGAATTGGTGCTCGGTCTGGCGTGCTTGCACAAAAAGAGACCATTTGTGCTGATGATGAGGTCACTGCCTCCTAAAGCACTCGCTGTGGAGCCACTGCTGTGGAGCCATTGATATAGGGACGGGGCTGGTCCATAAAGCAAAAAGGCGTGGGCAGCTCAGCAGTGTCTGTCATACACTCCTTCTCTATTGTGCCTTATTAGCTATGGCTAGCCTACCTGACCGCACTGTGCTTTTAGACGGCGGCTTCGGCATGCTGCTCGCCGACGAACACCCGGAGCTCGAAATGGCCGACGGCCTGTGGGGCTCCGGCCTCGCTGCACGCTCGCCACAGGTAATCAAAGACATTCACCGCCAGTACCTCGACGCCGGCGCCGACATCATCACCACAGCCACCTACCAGGGGTTCGAAGACGGATATAGGACCGCCGGTCTAGCAGAGACGTCTGCCGATGTGGCCAGGGTGTTTGCCGACACCATAGTGCTGGCAGTCGAGGCGCGCGACGAGTATGCACAGGCGCATGGGAGACAGGCAATGGTGGCAGTGTCGCTGGGCTCGATTGGCGCGACGCTGGGCGATTTGAGCGAGTACACGGGCGACTTTACCAAACGCATTAGTGCCGATGCAATCGAGGCGTTTCATTCACGGAGGTTTGAGCAGATTGCACTGGCCCTTGGAACCGACAGGCTAAAGGGGAAGGCCGAGTTTATTGCAGTGGAGACCATCCCGTCGCTAATCGAGGCCCGCGCTATCGTCTCTGCACTCGACCGCATAAACGCGTCCGGGCCACGGCTGCCACCTGCCTGGGTTTCCTTCTGTGGCAGCAAGCCCGACTGCATTGGCTCTGGCGAGACCATCGAGGAGGCTGTCAGGGTGGTGGATGGCTCGCCTAGCGTTTTTGCGGTCGGCGCAAACTGCATCCCCATGGAGGTCGCTACCAAGCTCGTAGCTCGCATGAAGACCGTGACGAACAAGCCGATCCTGTGCTATCCGAACGGTCAGATCTGGGACGGCTCGCCCGCTTACAGCGAGCCCGCGCACAAGCATCTACCAGAAAGCTTTGCAGCCGAGGCGAAGAAGTGGGCCCAGGCAGGGGCAAGAATCATCGGCGGATGCTGCAAGACTACACCAAAACACATTTGTGGACTGGAAAGGGCCTTTGGCATTTAATGCATGACGCGGTATGTGGGGGGAGGGAAATGCCAATATCGTGTGTGGGGGAAATATGACACATGGCATAAATGCGGCGCGCTCATGTGTTTGCGCAGGATGCGGGGGGTTTTTATTGAAGGCAGCGCATGCTGGTGTTTGGACAAGGTTTTAAGCTACATTGCATGTGGAGGAATAAGGCGACACTTATAAAGCTCCTATAAGCGCAAATGAAATATTGCCAGTTTGCTTCTCTTCCATCAGTTGAACTATTATATACTATGCCGCCTGTGGACATCTTGCGCGAATACTACGCCGCCGGCCTGGCAGTTGATGGCATTGTCCAGGTTCCGCAGCTCATTGACATACATGTCAAGAAGCTCACCGCGACTGGACCAAAGGGAAAGAAGGGGCAGGTAAAGATCACTGCCATCACTATCCGCGAGAGCCACACGGATCTGGTTCCCATGCCCGCTCCTCACGGCCACAGAGCCCACGGTCACCACCACCACCATGGACACCACCATGGACACCAGAAAGCCCATCACCATGCCCACAACAAGGTGCATCACCACAAGCATCACGAGCGCGTCGACCATCGCCAGCACACTAGGCCGATGATGACCGGTGGAGTTCCCAGCCGTCCCTGCACCCACCACCACATGCACCACGAGCACCACCATCACCATCACAGTCACAGCCATCACAACCATACGCTTCCGGTCCACCACGGGGACCACCAAGCGCCAGTTCCAGAGAAGCCCAATACTATGGCCGAGTACGCGCGGTTCGAGGTGCTCTGCCTGATTGCATCCTTGGCGCTCAGCATGGTTCTGCTGTACCTCGGATACAGGATCGGCGACCGCATCTGCAACTACGAGAATGCGCGCTCGCACCACGGCCGTGGCCACAGGCACGCGCGCATCCACCGCGAAGTAATCTGGTCATCGGCTGATGAGAAGCAGGGCTGCTGGAGAACGAGCAGGCCAGCGGCGATAGTGATGAAGAGGAGGCGGTCGAGAGCCAGCCGGCGCCGATAGCCGCACCCCAAGTGGCAAGGACACGCAAGTAAAGGATTGTTGAAAAGTTGTTTAATGAAAAGAGCAGTTTCTCATTTGCTAGTACGGCTTGGCCGAGGGCTTGACAACCGGCGATGCCAGATCGGGGCCGTTGCTGAGGGGCACGACCTGGGTCGGGTTGATCTGGGTGTGGCTCATGTAGTAGTGGCGCTTGATGTGCTCCATGTTGACAGTCTCCTTTGACGCCCGGCAGCTGGTAAACCATGCGGGTCCAGCGCAGGATGTTCGGATACCCAGGTCTCGATCTGCTTCAGGTTGGTCTTGAAGTGGCCGTGGTAGACAGGGTCGAACCGCAGGATGGTCGTGAACAGCCTGATATCCGCCTCGGTCAGCCTGCCGCCCACCAGGAACTCGTTCTTGGCCAGGATATCCTCGACGCGGTCCAGCGATGCAAACAGCGCCCTGCAGTGCTTCTCATAGACATCCTGCTGGGTGGCGAACCCGGACTTGTAGACACCGTTATTGATCGTATCGTACACCCACTCGTTGGTGGCATCGATCTCGGCGCGCAGCTCATCCGGATAAAAGTCCACGCCGCGGTACTGCGGCTCCACGAACTCGTCAAAGGCCGAGTTGAACATGCGGATGATCTCGGAGCTCTCGTTGCTCACAATGGTCTGGTTCTTCTTGTCCCACAGCACAGGCACCGTGAACCGCGCCGTATACTCGGGGTTGGCCTTCAGATACAGTTCGCGCATGTTCTTGGCGCCATTCACATCGTCCAGGGTGGCTCCAGGGCACTCGTCGGGCGACGCAAAGTGCCAGCTCTCGGGCGTCAGCAGATAATGCACCACTGACACCCCGATGATGTCCTGCAGGCCCTTCAGGTTGCGCACCAAGAGCGTGCGGTGCGCCCACGGGCACGCATAGCTGACGTACAGATGGTAGCGGTGGGGCTCGGCTGCAAACTCGGCCTCCGGGTCCGCAGAGACAAAGCTGCGGAAGCTCGACACTTGCCGCCGGAACTCGCCGTCCTTTTGCGCCCACTTGAAGTGCTTGTCGCTGGTGTTCATGGCTGCTGAGGTGTGGATGGTGCGGGGTCTGAGTAAGCTTGGTGTGTGTCTGCCGAGGCAAAGTGCTGTTGGTCTGAAGAGTGTTGAAATTCGAAGTGGTGTGGAAAACATCGCTAGGACTGGGGGAGAGGGCAGCGGCCTGCGCCTGCCCTTTTATTGGTGACGTGTATTAGTCAGTTGGCCTGCCAGCATATTTGCCTGGCTGATTAATACACCTGGGCTCCAGGCCCTGTGTACCAAACGGGCAATGCCACCGCAAGAGATTTCCCAGAGGTGAAACGTAAGCAAGGACTGAGCCTGCCTGTCTACACTGTGCCTGCGACTTGACTTCAGTGACAAATCGGCATGGCAGAAACAGGAAGTGGCAGCAAGGCCTGCTACGACCTGACGGCTAGCAGTAGCACCGGGCCAAGAAATCCCTGGCTGACCTTGGGCTATCAACCCACAGGTACCGATTAGTCAGAAAAAAAAACACGCGGCAGCCCCATAATTCATTACCTCAGGCAGCGATCGGCGGTACAGTACAAAAAGAAATCGTTGAGCCGGATCCAGATGTGAGGAAATTTGTCCGGTTTCTTACTTCGGTAAGAGTACCATTAACGAAGCTTTATAGTCTCTTTCGCCTTTTTCCCGATGGATGATGGAGGATTCCCGCTTCGGATATGATATCCCAGTGTGGAATTTAGAACTGGCTTTCGCTAATGTGGGTCCTCGGACCTGCACATGGGCGGCTGGTGTCAGAAGCCACATACACTTACCCCTAACCACTAGATGACAATTGAAGAGAATATATGCAGCGAAGGGCGCTGGCGGCTCAAAAGGAGCAGCATCCATCCCCTTCTACATACTTTCTAACCTAATGGCATACGTATACGACGTGCATTGCCATATCCAGCAGAGCCCGGAGTCATTTGATGTGCTGGACAGCAGCGCACCCGGCGTGCTATACTGCCCTCAGGGGACAAATTACATGGACTGGGCCAGCGTAGCCGAGCTGAAGGACCGGTTCCCCGACAAGATAGTCCCGGCGTTCGGACTCCACCCCTGGTTCATTGAGCAGGTCGTGTCTGGCGAGATCCCTGGCTCCTGGGCCACCGAGCTGAAGGACCTAATTACCAGGCACAACGGCACGCTGGGCGAGTGCGGACTGGACAAGGCCGCCCGCAACCCAGCTACCAACAAGCAGTACCCGTTTGAGCCGCAGCTGGCCTTGCTCAAGCAGCAGCTCACGCTCGCACATGAGCTGGATGTGCCTGCATCCTTGCACTGCGTGAAGGCATACCCCGAGCTATACAGCATCATCAAATCGGGCACTCAGGCGTTGCCGCCGCGCATCATGCTCCACTCGTACTCGGGGTCGCCCGATATGCTGTCGCAGATGTTCTTCAAAGACGAGCTTGCCCAGCGCATGTACGTGAGCTTCTCAGCTGCAATCAACGGCCGCAATCTGGACAAGACGCGGGCGTGCATTAAGGCAGTGCCTCTGGACAAGCTGCTTGTCGAGTCAGACCTGGATGACGCGAGGCACACGGTAGAGGCATTGGACACTGTCATCTGCCTGGTTGCTGACACCCATGGGATGTCGGTGGCCGACACGAAGGTCATGCTGGCGAGGAACTCGCAGGCCTTTTTGGGCAAGTGAGGAAAATACTGACCGGCACATTTGGTGAGAGCGGATTAGCGTCTCTATTCTTAGTGCGCTATTTTTACATGTATAAAGCATTGTTTTCCGCCCGCCCCCATCACACATGCAAAAGAGAAATAATGCTGGCTCGGCGAAGAGATAGAGATAAAGTGGCCGAAAATAGCCCTGGCAAAATGTGCCTCCCTCCCCACATGCACCGGTGATACTGCGGGTGCCGCGACACTGTGGACATACGAGCGTGTCAGGCAGATGGCGCGAATACCGTGTTTGTGATGGAAAATGTAAAGTCTTGCGTTATGAACGCGGCTGGATTTACATACCCAACGATGCCCACCAGCGATTGTCAACGTTGAGAGAGCTGGGCTGATTTTATGCAGGCTGAGACTCGCCATATATAGTGCGGGTTGGGAAGGTCGCTTGCCTTGCCGCCCTCCTCCCCTTCCTAGCCCAGCCTTCCCTGGGTGATTTTGTTCTTCAACTATCAATACCTTGTTCTAATTTCCATATTGCCCTGAGAGAATGATGACGTTGACAGCCAACGGCGACACGATATTGGCAGAGCCGCCAACGCTAGGCTCCGCATATTCAAAGCAGGCCGACTGGATGCTGTCCAGCTCCGTGCGCTCCTCGATTTCCAGCCAAGCCGACAGCATCGGCAGCATCGGCAGCGCAGGCAGCACCGGGTCGCGCCAGGGCCGGGCAGAGAAGTTCAGCCGCCTGGAGAAGCTCAAGAGCCTCCCCGAGTCCATCGAAGAGGGCGTGGCCGACCTGCCAATCGAGCTCGACACCATGTCGTGTCCGCCGGCGTTCCGCGAGCAGCTGGAGGTCGAAGCCAACACCATCCTGGACCTGACAAAGCTGCTCGAGCGCAGCAGCCTGCCATTGTTCCTCCAGATCCACGAGAATAAGGCGGCCACCACCCACGTACTATTGCTGAGCGTGCCGGCGGGAACCAACAAGCTGTCGCGGCTGACGCGCAGTGCACTGAAGCTTGGGTGGCCGCGGGTGACGTCGATTAAGATTTTCAGCGAAATCGAGTCGGTCGAGGAGGAAATTGACTACAAGATCTGGATGCCACGCGACTACAAGCGGTTCTTTCCGAACTTGCGCAGCATCTCGTTTATAGCCTACAACACCAGTGTCGGATACTTTCGCGAGATGAACCATACCATGGGCAGGCAGCAGAGCAAGGAGGTTGTGTTCAGGGCGTCGCAGCGCCACATGGAGGTGTTGCAGCTGAACTCCCGGCTAATGCACTATATGGCACATGCCAACTTTCTGCTCACCAGCCTGACGCTGACGCTCAACAAGGAGGCAAGCTACCCCAAGTACGTGTTCTTGGTCATCCGCTCGGTGCTGCTGACCGACCTGGCGGCGCCCACATACCTGCAGCTCAACGTGGACTCCACCGACTTGCTGTACAAAATTACCGACAACAAAACGCTGCATTTCATCTCGCCCAACCCTGAAAGCGACGAGAACGACCCGGACGAGATCCCGTTTGTCCAAGCCGTCAGTGCGCGAGCTGACACTGAAAGTTCAAGGAAATCGGCAAGCTGGGCATTCCATTCGCAGCGCGGCACTTTCCAAACCTCGAGAAGCTGACGCTCAACACATTCCCGGACGTCGGCCACCCGTCGCTCGAGAACACGCTCTACGGGTGCATGTTCCTGGAGCGCTGGGAAAACCTGTCGCGGCTGCAGTTGGCGCACATCAACGACACGCTGGTGCAGCTTCTGGCCAACAGCTGCCCGCAGCTAAGCGAGCTGGTCGTGTTCAATGCAGCAACGCACGATGAGCTGATGAGCAAGAACTCGTTTGACATCCACCGCAACCTGATCGCGCTGCCGAACATGATGGCGATGCGGTTCACGCCAAAGAGCCTGCACTATCTGCTGACAAAGTTCCCGCATCTGCGCGTGCTGGACCTGAACTACCCACTGTACGTCGACCCGAACACGCGCCAGCAGGACATTGATTTTTCGTTCTCGACTTCGCTGCTCAAAGCCGTTGGGCCGAATAACCCTCGGTTCCCGCGCTACCTGCGCTACCTGAGCATTCCGTTCATTCCCCTGACCGCCAGCGGCATCACCGGCATTTTGTCGGCGTTCCAGAGCCTGTCAACCTTGGAAGTCCGGCTGGCGGCAGGTTCGCGGCCCATATCGTCGCGCAGAAGGCTCCTGTCCAATGTCAGCAAGCGCGTCAAGGAGGCGATGGCTGGCGATCAGCCACTAGACAGCCACCGCAGGCCGGCTGAGCTCAGCGTCCTGTGGGTGTGGTCTGACTGGACATCGGCCTCCAGCACACTGGGCCCAGTGCTGGATTTGTTTGCACACTCGCGGCGGCTTCCTCGCGTGTACCTGCCATACGTTTCGGGAATGGTATCGCAATCTGAACTCGACAGCAGGCTGATTGTGCAGTATATGCAGAAGGAGATGCCCAATGTCAAGATTCACCGCTTCGAGTACAATATTACCGATTTTTATATCTAAGTTATCACCATGTTATTATTGTTCCTTAATACCACTACCCTTTTGCAAGCAGCTTTAATAGCCAGTCTGTTACGAAGTTGGAGCCGACAACAGGGAGCCTTGGCGGTTCAGAGGGCAGCAAAATGACGACTAGGCTTCCTAACACGCAGCCTCCCGGCGCCTCAGCACCATACAAAGACTCTAGTGAAGGATATGCAGTCCTGTGTTGAGAGATGCCAGCTTATAGTTGCCTGACGAGTCTACTTCGCCCTTTCGTTTCCTTGGGGTTCCAATCCATCCATTTTCACATATATTCCTGAATCAATAATCGCAGCAGTATACACACGACGTGTATGAATGATCCATATTGTGTGATCACAGTAGTGGCAAGCACATTCCAGGTGAGAGCTTCCATGTTGTGGTCGACTGTAGTGTTTTTATTTTATACTGAAGGAGAGGATAGACGAGTTGGCAGTTTTATATGCCATCTGTGCACTTATCAGAGCTAGACTCTACCCATATGGCTGTAGGGCTCGTGGCCTGGATTTCTGTCACCTGATCGCTGACATGTCGATGTAGGACAGCCATCGGCGCAACAAACCTTCATGCCAAAAATATACATAGCGAAAAACTCATAAATGGCACCAGATTCGTTTACCGAGCAACTGCCTCCTCACCCCGAACGGGCAGTTTTCCACAGCATTTTGAGACAGGAATTGGGTGCTACTTGTTTTTTTTGCTGCAGGAGCGCTCTTTTCTCCTTTTCCATTCCTCACCTTTTCAACTCTTATTATTACTACTAGTCGGAATGGAAGAGCAGACCATCCAGCAACTGACTACGCTCGTGGGTAATGGAGTCCCCTTGCGTAAACGCATGGTGGGTCTCATCACGGATATTGTTCCTCAAAGCTGATTACAACCATCTGCCCCAAATCAAGGTCAAGTTCGAGAGGCAGCCTCCCACCTGAGCGCTGGTCCCTTGTGATCCTCAGAAAGGTCACTTTCAAGCAAGCGCAATTTTATTGCAGTATCTGTGCGTGGATGACCCCAGCATCGTCCCCGATGGAGCGTGTGCGGTCTATCTCGACTGATGAACGAAGGAGCTGGATACCCAAATGAGCTGGCTGGTCGTACCTGAGCAGTCTTCGATGCATTGCTTTGCGTGAGAAGGGATAAGTTGGAAGTGCTTCGCCTGGCGTCAGGCAGCAATGGGCAACGAAAATTGAACCGGCCACTTGTTGCGCTCGCCAACATGCCTGTTTCTTTTAGTGCACCACTGTTATTTTCAATAAATACGAACGCTATATCAGCATCTTTCCTGTACAATGTCTTAGTGCCAAATATTTCTGATTCGAGTAATATCAATTGGTATAATTTAATGTAACATAAAAGCCACAGTTTGCTCAGGGAGCGCACCCATGTACCATGTGGACATGGGGGAGATTAAAACTCTAATAAAGCACATGTTTTTACTTTAGACTTAATATCAACTACGGGTTAGGCCTAGACAGCCTCTTGGCTGACATACTGTAGAAATGTGTGTGGGGTAGTGTGCACATGACACCAGCGCGCAATAATTAGAGATTGTCCAGACTCTTAATGGGACGCATGGCATGATGGCTGTATATAAAAGCACCACGCACCAGGCTAAACTCGCGCGCTTGGCTTCAAGTGCCTACACTTTATTCTTCAAAAGCGCAATGAAAATTTTGTACTTCTCAACACTCCTTGTGGCATTGTCTGCGGTGCGCGGTGACGACAGCGATGCGTGCGGGCTTGCGGAATGGCGCCCAAAGCTGCTGGGTAAACGGATGACATTCTTTTCCAAAAAGTTTTTCCAAGGCGACCGCACGGTATGTACATATTCATAAACTGTATCAGATTTGTCTCGCTGGTTTACTAAAATAGCCCTTTTAGAACGTCGTGTTCCGCGAGGACATGCCAAAATTCACACTGGTGCTGTATCCGCAGGCACTGACGTTACCTGCCAAGCCGTTCGTTCTGCGGGTCAGTCTCAACGACTACAGCATCGTGACAGACGCCAAATGCGGATAGAAATGTTGTTGTACCCATAGAAATAAATTCACGTTCCTGGCATGGCTGCCGTGAACAGTGTCCCCATGGGCATAAGCAGGTCGCGCATTACAGCGACAGCATCGGCACCAACATTTTCACAATAATCAAGATTCAGCACACGCAGGCGGCGACCGGGCTTCGCGCGGAACCGGCGGGCGCAGGCCACAGCAAAATCGCGGGCACCAGCGCCTGTCACATCCGTGATAGCCAAGTCCAGGGTCTCAGCGCCCATGCCCGCCACTACATGCTCAGTGAGCGCCCTAAGCACTGTATTATCCGTGCGCGTCTGCATCAGCTTCACGTGCAGCAGCTGCGGACTGTGGACAACCAGCTCTCTTAGTGCCTCGGCAGACAGTGCCGCGCACCCGCTCAGATCCAGATCAACAAGAATTAGCGGCGCAGTACCGGTGAGTCGCCGCACCATAGAGTCGGTGAGTTGCACTGCCTTGGTCAAATGGAGGGTGTATATGGTCGACATGCATGTATGGAACACTCTGAACAAGTCGAGGTCAGTGGCCACAGACGCTTCGCGTGCCGATATGCTGCGGCACTGGGCAGGCACCAGGTTGCAGCTCGAAATTATCCCCTTAAGACCTGCGCTCTCGAAGCGTCGCGAGGACACGGTTGGCTCCCATATACCGTCCATGTTCAGCGAGCGCAGCTCCGGGAACGGACACGGACGGGGGCCAAGACGGCCCAAATAAACCATTAGGGGGCCAAGCCCCGAGTACTGTGCAAACACAGCCTGGTCATACACCGCTATATGGAGGACCCGCAGACTGGCAAAGGTGCGGTACCGCACGCAGTACACAAGGAACTCGGGCAGCCCTGGGTGGTCGTTCAGGTACAGCTCCTGCAGCGTTGCTGTGCGGAACTGCCGGAACAGTGTCTTCATCCGCACCTGTGCGCAGCCCGAGATATCCAGGATGCGCAGGGTGGGCAGGTGCTGCGAAAGCTGTTCAAGCATGGAATCAGTCACGTCTGGGCAGTACGGCAACCGCACACTCGTAAGCGCCGACTCGCCAAGCAGCTGCCCCAGCGCACTGGCGCTAGCCGATAGCCGGCCAATGTGGATACTGCGCAGCAGCGGGCGGCTGGTCGCACGCACGGCCGCCAGCGCTGCATCGCCCAGCAGCGACCCGTCAGGTACATTGACAGCAACTAGGCTCTGCCCGGCTAGCCGCAGCACCAGCCGCAGCACACGCGCCGATACACGCATAGCTTTGCTTGCCGATGCTTCGTCGGCCACCGAAATATCGCCCCACAGCGCTGGTATGCCATCCACCAGGCGCTGCCACGCACGCGACACACGCCGACACACCAGCAAGCTCTCTAGATCCATCTGCTGCAATATCAGCACATTGAGCTCCGCTGGCAGCCGCACCACTGGGTCGCTCTGCGGGTCCTGCTTGGGCACATAGGCCGGATCCAGCTGTTTACGTACTGACTCTTGCAGAGTCGCCAGGTACCGGAACCCGGCTGCCATTGGGCTCACCTGCCGCCGCCCGCGCTCAAGCGCCGTGAGCGCGTCGCTTGGCCTGTTCTGCATCATGAGGCTACGCGCCAGCAGCGCATACGCGTGTGCTGAGTCGCTGTCCAGCGCGATTGCCTGCTGTGCGTCGCTGGCAACACGCGCAAACTCCCGCAGGTGCAGCAGCGCCAGCGCACGCTTCTCAAACAGCTTAGCATTGGGTTGCTGTGCGTTGCTGGCCAGCGCGATCCCGCGGTTGAGGTGGTCCAGAGCTGCGCGGTACTGTCGCTGCCGCAGGCTCTCGCTCCCAAGTCTATAGACCCGCTCGATCTGCTTGGCTGCCGTGTCCTGCGCGCTTCCAGCCGGCACCCGAGGTCGCGCGCTGTCAGCTGCCTTGCGCTTCTTGCCAGCAACAAACATTATGTCTCAGAATGCAAATTGAGTTGTGAAAGCTAAGAAAGCCAATGTTTTTTTTTTTTGCTACTGCCGCCGGAACGACATAGGCTTAATTGATGAGCTACTTGGGGCGCCCGCATTGGTTGCGCTCCGGAAATGCTTGGATGTGTTGTTGGTGAACACCGTCACGTTCGGCATTGCTCTGCCCGGGCCTGCAAAATCATCGCCGCCATCGTCGCTGCTTGCCATACTGCTCTGCTCCCGCCCGTGTCGCCCACGGCTTTTGAGCGGCTGTGCTGGTGCCTCGAGCCACGTGGACATCGAAGTCCTGCTTGGCCCAGTCGCCTTGGGCACCTTTGCGGTCTTCGGGGCCTTTGCAGCCTTTGCAGCCTTTGCAGCCCTGCCGCCCTTCTTGTCCCTCACCAGCTGCAGCACCACCCGCAGCTGGCCCTGCAGTACGCGGCCACCATTGCGCCCCACCCGCACATACGAACTGACATAGCCCATTGCATTGCTCTCGCAGTACTCCTCCAGGATCTGCCGCAGCACCAGCTGGTGGCACACCCGCTCTGCATCAGACTTGGTCAGCGTGTGTCCACGGTTGTACGCTGGCAGCTGGTCAAAGCCCTTGCTGACCAACTGCCGTGCCTTTGATCCCTTAAAGATATCGGCCAGCTGCAGCAGCGTCATCTTGGTACCGCCCTGCCCCACGCGCTGAACCGACTGCACCAGAGCGCCTGCCTCTGCCGTCATGTCTGCCTGCTCCAGCTGCTTGTCGTGCCGCCCTCGGCAGTTGTCACACGTGCCTGCGCACCGATCGGTGTCGAACTGCTCGCCAAAATACGCCAGCACCAGCTGTCGCCGGCAGTCCGCCACGTTCTCGCAGAACTGCACCACTTGCCGCACCTGCTGCCGCTGCCGCTCCTTCAGCTCCCAGTCGCCGTCTCCACGGTCAATCATAAAGTCCAGCGATGCCTTGTCGCGGTACGAGTAGAACAGAACACACACTGCCGGCTTGCCATCGCGTCCCGCCCGCCCCGTCTCCTGGTAGTATCCCTCCAGCGACGTCGGCAGAGAGTGATGGATCACGAACCGCACGTCTGGCTTGTCTATCCCCATCCCGAACGCAACAGTCGCCACGATCACCTGCAATTCATTGCGCTGCCACGCCCGCTGCACCCGTATCCGGTCCTCCTTCTCCAGTCCCGCATGGTAGTGCTCTGCGCTGACCCCGTACCGTGATCGCAGGTCCTGCGCCATCATCTCGCAGCTTTTCTTGCTCGTGCAGTAAATGATCCCCGACTCCCCCGCGTGCCGCGCCGCTATCAGCGCATGGATGTCGTCCTTGGTTGACGCGGTCTTGGGCCGGATCTCGTAGAACAGATTCGGACGGTTGAATGACGACGTTGTTGTCAGGCACCCTTCCATGTGCAGGTGCGTCACAATGTCCAGTCGCACTTTGGCGTTCGCTGTCGCCGTCAGCGCCATGAACGGCACGTCCGGGTACTTGCGGTGATACTCCCCCAGGTGCTTATAATCTGGTCGGAAATCGTGTCCCCACTGTGACAGGCAGTGCGCCTCGTCCACCACAAACCGCGCCAGCTGCCGTCGCTGGTACAGCTTGTCGATCGCTGCCTGCGCCTGCCCACTTTTCCCCAGCATCTCCGGTGTCACGTACAGCAGCCGGAGCCGCGGCTCTGCCGCCTCCAGCTCACGGAACACGCTGCTGCGCCGCTCTGCTGTCAGCGTCCCGCTCAGCGACAGCGCCGGAATCCCCCAGGCGATCAGGTGCTCCACCTGGTCCTGCATCAGCGACAGCAGCGGCGACACAACAATCGTCACACCGCGGGTGTTGCCCTTCAGCACTATCGCCGGCAGCTGGAAACACAGACTCTTGCCACCACCAGTCGGCATCAGCACAAACACATCCTTGCCCGACAGCGTCGCGTTGATCGCCTCCAGCTGCCGCGACCGGAACTCCTTCATCTTGAACACCTGCCGCAGCGCCTTGTACACGTCGCCTGTCCACGGATACGTGATCTCCTGCTGGTTCGGCTCCGGATCCGACGGCTTGATCAGGGCTGACGATGATGGCGCTAGCGGTTCATACGCCCGCTGGCTCGCAATGCTGGTTGCCTGGTACCTGGCTCCATCGTCTATAACCACCGGTGCCGAGCTCATTGTGACGCTGGTATATCCGTTGGTAGCCCCAAATCCACCATTACAACTGCTATTGTAGCTGCTAATGCCGGGTACTGGTACTGGTACTGGTACTGGCACTGGCAGACTGACAGCACCTTGGCTCTTCAGCTGCTTCATCTCATTCATGATATCTGTGCGATGTTGTTTCAGCAGCGAAATCTCGTTGTCATTCCGAATCTCATCGTCAAACTCGAGGTCACAGATCCGGTCGCTGATCCGCGCCTTCTCCTTCGCCAAGTACGCCAGCCGCTCGCTTACATTGGGATCGGAGCTGATCGACACTGCTGGTGCTGCCACCATTGGCGACGACTGTATCTACATTTGCGCACATACTTTATCAATATTCGCCCCATCTCCAACGCCAGATATCGAGTGGATTGCAATATGCCAATAACTACCTGTGCTCGTGCCATGGTAGGACTAAGCGACGATGTCTGCTGGTTGTTATGTATCGAACTCCCATGAGGACTTTCCCGAGTCTAGCATACAATGTTGAGTTAGTATATACATTCCAAAACAGCGGTAGTCAGTCGCCAAACATGCACTTACCGCATCATCGACCATCTGAAGCAGCGTCGCGTTGTCAATCAGCTCGAGCTCATCGGCACTGGCTGCCGTTTCATATTCTGATTCTCCTGAAAAAACTCCATTGCCAGTACTGACTCGCTTGGCTCTGCTCTGGCCAGACCACAAGTCAACCGAGCTGCCGCCAGATACACGCGATCTCTTCGTACCACTCTCCGGCTGGCTCTGCTGCGGTGGCGGAACCGGTGGCTTCCGAGGTGTATCCTCTATATCAGCAAACAGCAGGTCATCGTCGATGTCCGAGACTAGATCGATAGTGTCAGTGGCCATATTCGATATGCTAGATACGGTGCTTGCCTGTGCCGCCACTCTTGGAGGCAGTGTCTGCTGCACTACCGGCTGGCCATGATCGTCGTCGTCGTCCATAATCAAAATATCGTCCCAGTCATCCAAATCGTACACATTCAGTGAGTCATCCGGAATATCCACAACCTCAGGCTCCGGTGCAGACTTTTTTGACCGCGGCTGCACAGAATTGTGCGCGCCTCCCATCTCCATCTCCATCTCCATTTCCCGCAGCGCCTCTTCTTCATCGTTGTCAATGATCGCAAAGTCTACATCGTCATCCACATCCATCTGTGGCCCGCTTTTTAGAGCAGCTGGTGGCTGTGGAGCTGCCCGGTTCGGCTGTCGGCTCCGCGTACTTCGCCAATCATCTTGAAAGTCGTCGTCGTCGTCATCAATGTCAATCAGACTATAGGCAGGCTGGGCGTGATGAACTGGTCGGCTGTTGGCAGCAACAGTCTGCTGGCTGCTAGTAATCGCAGCCTGCTGACTAACAGGAGCCGGTGCCAACGGCTTCTTCCCGTTGCTGTTGCTGCTGCCGCCGCTCTGGAACTGCCTTTCTGTTGCTGGCATTGATAACCTGGTCCATGGGCTTGCGCAGATCAAGCAGCTCCTTGGATACCGGTGTGAACCTGCCAGTTTTCACACTGGCCGGTATCTGCCTGGAGTCTCCGCCGTTTTGCACCCAGCCTTCATACCAACGCTGCATTTCAGCTAAATTGTTCTTCATTTTGTGAATACAAGTCTATGAACAGAACGGGAGGAATAAAACTACACCAAAATTGCGAGAATTGAAACAAGGAGAGATTTTTATTCTGAACGCGCTTTACCCGAGATTTTCGCGTCGATGCCTGCGCAGCCACTTTAGGAGAAAGCCGAGCCGAGCCGCCCAGCACCCGAGGAGCCGCGGTCTGCTCTGCTTGCCACGTCGAATTCCAAGCGTTCAAGCGAAATCGCCATTTCTCGTTCGTCACACTATATTTTTCGTAATGGCAACAGTCACATCCGCAAAGCAAATCGACGAGCTCTGGGTCGGCGAGCCCTTCGCGCCCGTGTTCGACCGCAGCATGCACGCAACACTGGCTCTTTTGTTCGCAGCGGTCGGACTGGTGTACGCTGGCAAGTTCAGCATCACAAAGAAGGACCTGGCCAAGGAAACGCTGTTCGCTGCCGTCTCCTCGGTGACGCTGGGCCTCGCCGCAGTCCTGACAGCCCAGGCATGCGGGCTCTACGTATAGGCGGCATCCATTTAAAGCATTAGAAGAAATAAAGAAAGATCTTGCGTCAGCGCTTGTTGTTATAGTTCGGGTCGAATGTGCCCAGCATCATGGGCCAGATGAACAGCGCCTCGATGCGCTGGCGCAGCCAATTCATAGGCCGCGAGTCGAGGTCGGGCAGCGTCGGGTCGTCATCGAGGCCAACCAGCTCGGCATTGAAGGCACTGGCCACCTCGGGCACTGCCTTCCACAAGGCGCTGCAGGCCCTGCACGGTGCCCACGCACGGCAGCACCGGCTTCAGATGCTCGTCACCATCGTTGTCCGAGTCGCGGCTCTCGGCTCCCTGCTGCAAAATGCTGCCCCAGTTCAGCACACGCCCACGCCGCGGCGCCATCGACGACTTGCGGCCGCCCGGTGCAGCGCTGCTTTCGCGCTGCCCCACACGCACCCCCGCCGGCCGCACCGGCGCCTCGGCTCCCTCAGCCAGCTCAGCCAGGCCTGCCGGCGGCCGCGACTCGGCTCTGCCCGGCGTCATCTCCTGCAGCAGCTCGTCGGTCTGCGGCAGCGGCGGCGTGGCCAGCAATGGCGTGAAGTTGGTGGACGTGGCGCGCTTCCACTGGCGCTTGCGTGCGCTCTCGATACCGGCGGTGGTTTTGCGCTTGCGGCCGGTGCCCTGGGTGCGAGCAAAGCTCAGCAGACCCTCGTCCTCCACGCCCACCGCCGGCTCCTCGCCGTTCTGTCGCCGCCGCCGCCGCTCAGCCTCCCATTCGGGGAAACTCGGAACAGTGCCCTCCTCACCGCTCAGCTCATCCAGGTTCTCGGGCGGATCAGGTGCCTTGCCCTTCTTGTGCAGGCTGCGCCAGTGCCGCCAGCATTGGTTGTCGGTGCGGCCGCCCAGCACGTCGGCCACATACGACCACTTGCCGATGCCCACACGGTTGACGATTGCGATCAGCCGGTCGTCCTCGTCGGGCGTCCACTGCTTGTTGTTGACCTCGGGCGCCAGCACGTTCATGTACCGCTCGCGGCACTTGACGTCGGTGCGGCCCGGCACGTGCTTTGCAATTTTGGTCCACTGCCCCACACCGTACAGCCGCACAGCCGCCTGCAGCGCCGCGTCCTCGTCGCGGTCCCACCGCCCAGACTTGATCGCCGGATTAATGGACTTGCACCACCGATGCAGCACCTGCTGCCCTGTGCGGTTGTCCAGACACGCTGCCACCGACTGCCAGTCGCCCTCACCATACGCCATCACCGCCTCGGTCAGAATGCGGTCCTCCTCCTCGGTCCACTTGGACCGCGACATGCCTGGGTTGAGCTTGCGCTGGTACACCTGGAAGCACTGCGACGCCGTGCGCTGCGTGTTCAGATCTTGTGCAATCGCCACCCAGTCGCGCCCGTGACGCTCCTCAACGATGCCGCCGCAAGTCCTTCTCCTCCTTCTTTGACCATGGCTCCTTGTTGATAATCGGGTGGTCCTGCGTTGCCCACTGGATCGCGCACTCCACTGGCTTGTGCGTTGGCACAAACTGCTTTGAAATGAACTTCCAGTCCAGTCCTGTCAGATTCAGCTCCAGTTCCTTGTCGTCAAACTTGTCCACATCCCACACGCTGCGCGGATCGCCTGTCTGCTGGTACAGCCGCTGCGCCAGCAGCTTGCGGTTGCACTGTCGCACGCCCTTGACGAGCGCGTCGCGCTCCGCATCTGTCCACCGCCGCGCGCGGTAGATGATCGGCGGATGCTTCTTCTTGCGCACTGTGTCGCGGTTGTCCGGCGGCTGCTCACCCGTGATGTCCGCAAAGTATGTGTTTGCCATAAACTTGATGTCGCCCGTAACCGGATCCACCTGCGCTGCCTTGTCTTCCTTGTGCCGCCGGTTCCCGCGCCGGTTTGTCGCCCGCGCCTGCATTGACAGCAGCGCACCAATGCTCTCCTGCTGCTCGTGGTTGCGCTTCTGCGCCGCATCGATGCTGGCCAGCTGCGCCCGCAGCAGCCGCTGGTACCGCAGGTTGTGTTCGAGCGCCTGGCATGCTGCTGAATATGCCTCATCGTCGTCCAGGCCCTGGTCGGCATTGTACGACGCGGTGGTCAGCCCGTGACTCATCAGCGCCTGCAGCCCGCTGGTAACTCGCGAGACCAGCTCCTGCCGGCTCTCTTCGGTTGAGGCAGTTGGATCATAGTAGTATTCGTGTTCATTGTCGTCGCCATGCACGTCGTGTTCGACAAGAATGCTGTCGGCGTGCATACCGTCGGCTTCCTCGCTTCCTTCGCTCTCATGGTCACTCTCGTCGCTTACTTCCTCTTCGTCGTCCTCATCATCATCTTCTTGGAGTTGGCCCAGACCCAGGATATCGTGGGCAGTGAGCCCCAGCTGCTACCAAGGCACGCAGCTTGGACTTTGTCGACTCGATATCCTCGGCGTCAGCGAGAGCATTCGAGAGTGTCTCCAGCCCGCTGGCGCCATTGGGTGCCATGTCCAGAGAATCACGGTAGCCTTCTATTTCGTCCTGCTGTTCACTCGACATTGTGAATTATTTTTCCTAACTACGAATAATGCGCGGAAATGGGATGCAAAAGGTCTCATAATATCCAGTTAGTACGCGACGTCCATAGAACAGAGTTCGAGGGGTTTAGAGTGATTTCCAGACACTGTAATCGCACGTTTGTTCTCTCTTTTACCCTTGGCAAGAAAAGTGTATAATCGTCCTCTTGCCCAAACAAAAAACGCGCTGCACATTGGAACGCGTTGGATTCCCAGCAAAAACACATTCCGCGACGCAGTAAGAACGAAACCCTCACAGACTGAAGCTTACCTTCACTAGCTACGATTTGAAAAAGCAGAGAGTATGTGCGTCTGTTGGAAGAACGTGCAATTGGAAGGTTCAATGACTGAGAGGTAAAGGGAAAGAAAAACGCTGTCGTTTAGCATCAACTGCGAGAAAAATCCATAGGCGATTCTCCTGTGATGGGTGAGCAACGCGGCCCCATATTGGAGCACGATTATGGTGAAATCGAACCTTGCGAAAGCCAACGCTGCGATTTTTGCTGACTTCCCCCTTTTGCTATACTAAGCGAAGATCTCAGTGCACAGCAATTAATACGGCACATGGCCACTGGTAGCAAGCTGCCACAAGAATCATTGAAAGCAAACCTCGCAACCACCAAGCCCAGAATGCTGCTGAAGTGGAAATGGAAGCCGGGGATTCGACTTCGGTAGCCTGTATATGCTTTATGTTTGTTGTACTTCTAGTGACTATATGCATGGGAAGTAGAGGTGCTAGTGTCAGCAAAGCTACCCTATATAATAATGCACATTTGCCCATTGTGCATTTTGAAAAGAGTACCTGTTGCCAGTGATCCTGTTTGACCATGGTCGAAATGATGTCTATGAGAAACACCACCATCAGCATTACTTTTTCTCAGCAATTCAACTCGGAGAAACCCACACCGAGGCTTTGTACCAGGACGACCCATGAATGATCCGCCTCTGGCCACCTAGGATCTGCAATATCTATGAGCAAGTATGGCTACAGATGCATACCAGATTTTATTGGACTAGAGATATGTGCTAGCATACGCCTGCACTGGTGCTCTCGCTCACAGTACCATGCAAAGGATTCAACGAGGTTCTCCATCACTACTCGAGATCGGCTTTTTCTGGGGGCCAATCCTTATCGACAACTAGGAGCATTTCGAACATCCCTTTCATCGCCTGCCTACATTCTATTGGAAGGCACCATACATGGTGGTTGCAGGATATTTTCAGCAAATGTTTCAGCAAATGGGATATCGCAGGATTCGACTATGCAAGCTTGAAAATCCTGCCTTCACAAATTTTCAGAGCACACGGTCACAGCCATGTGCTGGTCATGCGTTTGCATAGGTCAGGCGCCCCAGAAGCTGTCAGTTTTTCTTTTCAACAGGAGCATCTCCGAATGAACCGAAAACCATTCTCACTATGACGAGAAAAGGCTGCTCCAGATTGTTGCTGTGTTTGGGTTCAAATGGAGGGGAGCATTACATGATGTTAGGGTCCTGATAGACATAACGTGGTATATAACTAGGGGCAGTAAAAAGAACTAAGGAGACCCACAGCTATGCTGGCGTGTGCTAATCTATATAGTGTAGCCACTATACCCTTGCGTAAGCACTATAGTGTGGAACTAGTAATCAGAATCAACTATGCAGCAGTACATCTAGTAGCCCTGAGGCGGGCTTTCGTGCGATTCATATGCATGGACATTCTTCGCACATAGGAGTCTTCGACAGGTAGTATTTCCATATTGTTCTTATTCTTATTTTAAAGCACACTATCTGCTACATGATATCGACGAATTTGGGGAATGATGTATATGTACGTGACTGTAGTTCCAAATCCACATGATTTCAGGAATCCATGGATCAAGACCCTTAGGCCACAGTGGCCATTCCATACTATTCCAGGTGACCAGTGCCACTACTTAGACAGGCACCCACCCCTTTCACCTGAAGATTCCTCCTTTATATAGAATATTCCATATTTTCAATATTTGCCATGGAAAGGCGATTGGAGAGTAAGCATATTCCCAGACAGTTTCAGGAGGCTGTCCATTCAAGTATATCGTATTTGAGACACTGCTTGGCACTAAGACATTGTACAGGAAAGATGCTGATATAGCGCTCGTATTTATTGAAAATAACAGTGGTGCGCTAAAAGAAACAGGCATGTTGGTGAGCGCAACAAGTGGCCGATTCAATTTTCGTTGCCCATTGCTGCCTGACGCCGGCGAAGCACTTCCAATTTACCCTTCTCACGCAAAGCAATGCATCGAAGACTGCTCAGGTACGACCACCAGCTCATTTGGGTATCCAGCTCCTTCGTTCATCAGTCGAGATAGACGCGCACGCTCCATGGGGACGATGCTGGGGTCATCCACGCACAATACTGCAATAAAATTGCGCTTGCTTGAAATGACCTTTCTGAGGCCACAAGGGACCAGCGCTCGGTGGGAGGCTGCCTCTCGAACTTGACCTTGATTTGGGGCAGATGGTTGTAATCAGCTTTGAGAACAATATCCGTGATGAGACCCACCATGCGTTTACGCAAGGGGACTCCATTACCCACGAGCGTAGTCAGTTGCTGGATGGTCTGCTCTTCCATTCCGACTAGTAGTAATAATAAGAGTTGAAAAGTGAGGAATGGAAAAGGAGAAAAGAGCGCTCCTGCAGCAAAAAAAAAACAAGCACCCAATTTCCTGTCTCAAAATGCTGTGGAAAACTGCCCGTTCGGGGTGAGGAGGCAGTTGCTCGGTAAACGAATCTGGTGCCAGTTTTAATGCAATTTTTCGCTATGCATAGTATATTTATTGGCATGTGTGGATGTGCTATCACTTTTACACAATAGAATTGAGAATATGTTAATGCTGTAGGTCTAGATCACAGGGTGGGTGGTGTAGGGCAAAAGGAAGAAACAAATAATGAATAACGAAAAATGCCTGATGCAAATGAGTGTAATTTTCGTGTGTCGTGGATTCTAAATATATTGTCAAGCGATGGTATATCAATTCAGAAAAGTGACAGAGTCAAGGATTATGTATAGGTGATGAAAGCAAAAGAGAGGGAAGGGAGAGGCGAACACAAAGGTTTTATACCATCGCTCAGGTGGCAGAGCCAAAAATAAAAGAGAAAAACAACGGGATGAAAAACTATGTAGTCCACAGTAATCGGATCTTGGAATTCTAATACCAGAGGTCGGGATTGAATAGCCTACCATATTCCAAATATAACTTGCAGAGCAATTAAATATCGCCATTTCGCTATCATTAGTAACGGCATTTACAAATATTGGCACGTGTCATCTTTGAGGTTTAAATATAATGAAGTACACTTAAAACAGCATATCAATAAAAAAAAAAACTATGCTTACGGAAGCACATGATTTCTAATTTTGTATGTTAAAAATTCAAATGCAGAGAAATACCTGGGTGCACTAATATTTATTTCCTTCGCTAATTTCTACATAGTTTCCGAGGAACTTATTTTGATAGCCCCAAAGGGCTGCATGGCATGGTTTGCTATCGTGACTGCTCATGGATGGCATTGTTGCATTCATGCAAAACTGGATGCCCCTAGCTCCAAACAAACCGCGGCTATATAGGATAAGCACTAGGGCAGTTTATATCTCTTTCCACTCTTCGCCAACATGGTATTGGTTTGTAATTGTATCACCCGTCCATACAGTGGCTACCAACTCCAGTATAGCAGTATGCTTTAGCACATCACCGATTTCCCAAAAATACCAACTCCCATTCTTTGGGCAACACACACCGTGGCTATATGGGATGATCACCGATCGTGCGCATACACGGATTCAAATATTCTCATCTAACAACTCACGCACACACAACTTCAGATGGCCGATCCACAACCAACAAGTGATCTTCCTGAGCCCGACTCCCAGGCTACCAGCGAAAGCAACAAGCAGTCCGAAGACGTGCATATGGAAACAGCAGATGGAAGCGACGACGAGTACATCGAAGAGTCGTACTACGTGGTGGCAAACATCCCCGCAGAACTCTGGCCAAAGCGCAAGAGAGCAACAGCAGAGGACGGAACCATGGCGCCAAGCAAGTACGCTATAATCGGCTTGGAATCAGACACCCCGATGCTAGAGATCGATCGGCGTGATATGCGAGGGCCGACACGACGAGCTGCTCGGCACTAGCGTGGTGTTTGAGGCCGAGGAAGGCGAGGAGAACGACGACGGCGACACGCAGGTGCGAGCCGAGCCTTTTGCAGTCACCAGCAAGGTGATCAGCTTCCAGACCATCAACATTGAGCTGCGTAGTAAATAGGAGAGGCTTTTTTTTAAAGGTTTACAGAGACAAAAATACAGGATCGAACAGGGCCCATCGGCTTAGCGATCGTTGTGTGCAAAGTTCATGCCGTAGCGCCTGCCCCACATGTACCGGGTGCGCCAGGTCTGCAAGTGCGGCTCTTCCAGCAGCGACATGTCAGGCTTGACTTGGTCAAACTTGACGGCCTCGGGCATGGACTCGCGGCGGGTCATCATGCGCTGGTCCATGATGCTGGGGTTCGATGAGAAGGAGCTGAACTCGCTCGGGTCGTCCTCGAGTATCAGCGAGCGGGTGTTCTCGGCCTGGAGGAACGAGGGGCGGCGCTGCTGGCCGTCTCCAGACTTGTTGTCGCCCTGCATGTTCCTGGCCTGGTACGCGAGGGTACCCAGTGCCCCGATGGTCGGGAGCGTAACGGCGGCGCCTGCTGCAAAGGCCATGGTTGAGATGTCAGGGTGCGGTTATTGATTCTTGGTGGGTATAGAAAGCGTAGGGGTTTTCAACAGAATAGAAGAGAGAAAAACAGTGCTTGGGTTCTAGCCCCTTCGCTGCTCCGTGCCAGCATCCTTTTGTAGTCGGGCGATTTAGCCATCTCTCTAAAGCTCCGAAGAGGCCCTGTAGCAAGTAAAAAGGGGGCGTGCGCATGTGACCCTGGTAAGCGCATATGCATGTGTGACCAGCCGCCAATCGCCGAAACAAACACCTGCCTTGCCCAATCCCAGCACCAGCCCTACTGGTCAGTCGGGCGACTCTTCTTGAACGAAAATGCAGCCAGCTTCGACTGCGCTCGACCCTGCGCCATGTCAGCACCAGCGGCCGTCTTCGATGTTTTCTTTGCTGGCGCCTCCTCCGACTCAGCGTCCGATCCGCGCTTGCTGGACGCGCTTCGACGGCTCGGGCCGCCTCGCTGTCCTGCTGGCGATGCCTCGCGGCTGAGTGCCTTGCTGTGCTGGTCGGCGGCGATTGAAGAAGCTGTCGCTGCGCTTCAGGTCCATGGTCTTGCTGGGTGCAGCAACGCCAAACGGATTGTACGGTTTCGCAGCGGGATGGCGTGGCGGGCGCACAACCAGGTCGCGTGCAACAGTGGTCGATGCAAGAGGAGGCCGGCGGGGCTGGCATTACTAACCCGTCCTCGTCGCCATCGTCCTGGCCGATAATATTAGTAATGTCTTTGTCAGCGGACGTCCCGTCATCAGCATCTGCCATGTCGACGTCACGCTCCTCAGGATCTGCAGCTTCCTCGCGCTTGCGGACCATAGGTTGCAGCCGGCCGGCGTCGCACAGGAGCAGGGGCCACTGCAGGCTCCTCTTCCTCATCTTCTTCCTCGGGGCCTGCCAAAGAACTTGACCTCCTTCAGCCGCATCATGCGCTCGGCCAGCGCCGACAGTTTCTGGAACACAGCAATCTTGATGGCTGCGTCAAAGGAGCGCTCAAGGCGGATCATGCAGGCCAGGTCCATGGCTCGCTGCGTACGCTCCGCCTTGCACGCCAGCTGGATCAGCTTCAGCACCTCCTTGTCTTGCTCCAGCTCATCGCGCTGCCACCATCGCCTGGCCGCCTGGGTACTCGCTGCCAGTGCGCTGCGACTCGCCAACCTGCTGCTCGTAAAACAGCCGCTCCTTAAACAGCCGTGCTTCGTGCTGCCCAATCTGCGTGTCGGTCTGCAGCAGCGGAATGCTGATGTCCAATTCGTCCAGGATGGGTTTCGGATGTGGCGGGTATTTTACGCGGCTGCGGACATGTAACCACCATGAACTGCTTGGCGGAGATGGCCACAGGCCAGTATGCCTCCTTCTTGCCATTGGCGGCGGCCAGCGCACGCGTGTCGAGTACAGGCACCCACGCCGCATCAGACGCATCCCAGTACTTGTGCAGCAGCCGCACATTGCCCTTGGAGTCGCAGGTCGCTGGATGCCCCTCCTCGGAGAACCCAGCCCAGACGATCTCACCGCGCGGCGTCACCGGGCAGGCTCCAGCAGCCAGCCTCGTCTGGCCATCGATGGTCATCAGAATGTACTCGTATTCCATGCGCTTCTCACCCGACGCAGTCCTGATCGAGCCCGCTGACTCAAGAATAATCAGCAGCATGTCCTTGTTTGCAACGCACGTCACGGTGCGGTCGGGCAGACTCTCAATGTGCCTCTGGGCGCCACCCAGAGTGAAGCACCTCAGCATACCCTGGGATGTGATGGCAGCGACACCGTGCGACGACGCGGCAATGCACCGCGGGTGCTCGTTCTCGGGCAGCTTGAACAGCCAGTCGGTGTTTGTCGACCACGACGCAAACGCGCGGTACGACAGCACCGAGACCTCGTCGTCGGAGCCCGCCAGCTCGCGCAGCGACTGGTCGTTGGCTAGCTCGCGGCTCGTGGTGGCAAACAGACAGCCGTTTTCCGACAGCGCTGCCATGGAAAACTTGTACGTGTCCGAGAAATGGAAGTCGCGGCGCAGCGACTTGTCGTAAAACTCCAGCTCAATGGTGTTGTAGCTGGAGTCCTGGGCCACTGCGGCGACGCTGCCCACCATGTTGAACGCCAGGTACCGCCGGCTGTTGATCCACGGTGTGGCGCCCGGCTGAAAACTGCGGGTCTGCTGGTCGGCCAGAACCGCCCACGGCTGGGCCTTGGGCTCCGCATACCCAGCGCCGTCATCGTCAACCACAAAGTCATCAAGCATATCGTTCGTGTCTTCGCCCTGTTCGAGGATCTCTGCATCTTCCTCCATCTCGGCCTCCTCGATCATCTCATCTACCGCTGCAGCATCGCCAAACAGGTCGCTCATGAGCTTGGAGTCTGGCTCGCTGATCCGCGCCTGCGTCTTCAGGCTGCCGGCCAAAGAGCTGGACTCCATTGCAATCTTGTTGTAGGGTGCAGCGTGTCCCTGGTCAATCGCAACGACATCGTCCCAGATATACATGGCACCGGTATTGTCTGTGAAAGCTAGCATGTTGCCGGTCGGGTTCCAGTCAATCTGGCACAAGCTCATGTTGGTTGTTGTGCGTCAGTACCGCCTTGCGTGCCTGCACATCCCACACCACAGCCTTGTTGTCGAGCGCAACCGACGCAACGTACCGGCCATTGCCGGACCATGCCAGACATGTAACCTGCTTCGTATGAACGCCAGCCAGCGATGCCAGAACCTCCCACGTATTGCGCTCAATCAGCCTAATGCCATTGTCATTGCAGGGCACCGCCAGGAGCCGACCATCGGGGCTCCAGCGCGCCTTGGTCTGCGCCATGCTGTTGCCAGGCTCGCACACATACGTGATTTTGTTGTCGATATGCACACATGCTGGATCGTCCCGCATATCCCACACGCGCAAGGACCCGTCGCACCCCACAGATGCCAGAAACACGCTGTCTGGCGAAAACGAGACGCTGGTGACTGGCGCCCGGTGGCCCTGCAGGCTGTGTAGCAAGGACATATCCAGCAGTGACACGATCCGGACCACCTCGTCGTCGGCTGCCACCGCCACCTGTCGCTCACTAGAGCTGATGCTGAGGTCCCGTGCCGATAGTGCCGAGCGAAGCACGCTGCCTGAGGGCTCAATTGACAGGGGGTCGCGCGAGCTAACATCAAACGACAGGATCACACCCTCCTCGTCGCCTGACAGGATCTTGTTCTTGGACACTGCCAGACTCAGCACATTGTCCGTATGGTGCTCGAGAGTGATTGCCTCCTGGTCGCGCTCGCCCTTGGGTGCGTGGAAGATGCGGACCAGCGAGTCGCTACCACCTGTGCACACGAACTGGCCAGTGTGTCCAAACGCTACCGTGGTGTATCCCTCCGAATGCGCAAACCGCGGGGGTGTGATAGAAGGCAACATTAGTTTGTATAGAGCTGAGGGTTGATCAGAAAAATAGTCTGGCCGTTAGGAGAAGAAGGCAGGCAGCCGGCGCGCTGTGCTTCAGATACGCGTCTGCTCCATGAACGCGCCTCGCGTCTGCTGTGACCAAAAAAAACACAGGTTGGTGATCAAGGTATTACAATCAAATTATTGAAGAAAAAACTGGCTGCTTTGGACCTGATGCTGATCGAGTTTGCTACCCGCGCTTTCCACTCTGTAACCCTACACCTCGCAATTCACACCTTCTTCAAAATGTGGACAGTCGCCGACAAAGGATCCAAGAAGACGCAGACTAGCAGCACGCAGACCGCCATGCGCAGTAACAAGCGGCGAAAGGCAGCGAAGCGCAAGGCGGCTCCGCAGGTGACGGAGGATGACTGGGCGCAGATCTCGCTCAACCCCCCGCCCATGCCCAAAAGCTCCAAAAAGGCCAAGAGGTCTCCGGTATCGACTACACAGCCTGAAGCCGAGCAGCCCACAGACGATATGGATATGGAGACGATCGCTGACTGGGACTGGAAGACAGTCAGCGCGCCAACATACCTGGGCGGCGCCGACAATGAGATCGGTGGGATGGTTTCGCTGCAAGAGATCGACAACGTTGATTGTGCATGGGAGGCCGACGAGGAGACTGGTGGCAAGGTGCTCAAATTCCGCAGGGTCGTGCCCAAAGATGGCAAGAAGCAAGCCAAGAAGCACGATAAGAAGTCAGCCAAGGTCGAGGAGGACGACGAGGAGGAGGACGACTATGACGATTTCGCTGCGACAGTCAACTGGGACGATTTTGTGATGATGGACGATTTCTCAGAGGAGAAGGCGGAGAAGGGACAGCTGGTGTCAATCGGCGAAAAGCTGCGCCAGGGCCATGAGCAGGGATTGGGCGGCGAGGGATCGGACAGCGAAGGCGCTGCAGATGCAGCCACATCGGGTGCAGAAGACCAGCAAGAGGACAGGCGACGAGGTCAAACGAGGATGGCTCTGCCGATTCTGAGGAGTCTCAGGACGAGGATGCCAAAGGACAAGGAGGACGCCATTGAGGATCCTGAAGTTGATGTCTCGGCCTGGGAACACTATGGCACGCACGATCTCCTGCTGCGTGCCCTGAAGCACCTGAACTTCACGCAGCCGACCGAGATCCAGGCCAAGACGCTCTCCAAGGCCATTGCTGGTCGGGATATTATTGGTGCTGCTGAGACTGGCTCGGGAAAGACCCTGGCTTTCGGTGTGCCTATGGTGCAGTGCCTGGCCACGCACAAGGGCAAAAAGTGGACAGGCCCCACCGGGCTGGTCCTGACGCCCACGCGCGAGCTGGCGATCCAGGTCACTGACCATCTGCAGGCGCTGGCCAAATTTGTGCGCGCCCGCGTCGTGCCGATTGTCGGTGGTATGTCTGAAGCCAAGCAGCAGCGCCTTCTGTCGTCATTCCCAGACATCATCGTGGCCACGCCCGGCCGGTTCTGGGACCTGGTGTCAACCAACGACGAGTACCTGAAGCAGCTGCAGTCGATCAGATTCCTGGCCATCGACGAGGCCGACCGTATGCTCGAGCCAGGCCATTTTAAGGAGCTGTCGTTCATCTTCAAGGCTGTCAACGAGCAGACAATCAAGGGCACCGGCGGCGAGCGCCAGACGTTTGTGTTTTCGGCCACCCTGCTCAAGGACATGCAGTTCCGTGCTCACCGCGCGCCAAAGAAGAAGAATGCCAACAAGCCCAAGCCCGGATCGATGGAGGATCTGATCCTGCGCGTCGGATTCCAGGATCCCAAGCCGTTCTTTGTCGACGTCACTCGCGCCGATGCCACTGCTGCCACCCTTACCGAGGCCCGCATTGACTGCCTTGCTGCTGAGCGCGACATCTACCTCTACTACTTCCTTGTCCGCTACCCGGCCCGCACCCTCGTGTTTGTCAACAGCATTGATGCAATTCGCCGGCTCGTGCCCATCCTCAGACTCCTCCAAGTCCCTGTGTTTGGTCTGCATGCGCAGATGGAGCAGCGCCAGCGACTCAAGAATGTTGACCGGTTCCGCGATACCCCGAACGCTGTTCTTGTCGCTAGCGATGTTGCTGCTCGTGGTCTCGATATTCCGCACGTCGACCACGTTGTGCACTACCAGCTGCCGCGCTCCGGCGATCTCTACGTCCACCGGAGCGGCCGCACTGCGCGTGCCAACAAGGAGGGCCTTGCCATCATGCTCGTCAGTCCCGAGGAGCGCAAGACATACCACAAGGTCTGCACGATGCTGAAAAAGGACATTGCGCAGTTCCCCGTCGACCTCGACATCATTGGCCGCCTCAAGCCGCGCGTCACCCTCGCCCAGCAGATCGACCAGCAGGAGCACAAGCTGCAGAAGCAGACGCACGAGCGCAATTGGTTCAAGCGCAATGCAGAGGAGCTCGACATCGAGCTCGACAGCGATTTCCTGCCTTCGTCTGATGACGAGGACCACGGAGAGATGGTCCGCGAGGAAGCCCATGCAAAGCAAAAGATCAAGGCTATGAAGCGCCAGATGAAGTACCTGCTGGCACAAAAGATCGTCACCCGCGGCGTCTCAGCACAGTACCTGTCGAGCGGCATCATCAGCGACCTTGCCGACCGCCTGCTTGACACCAAGGACGCGAATCCAGTGATTCCGACATTGAAGCGCGAGTCGGCCCTCGAGGCAGCAAAGAGCAGGGTGCGCGCACAGAAGGCACACAAGCTGCGCAAGCACTAAGCCATTTAGCTCGATCTTTTAGCCTATATACGCCTCATAAATTCGGTGCTTGGACAATGTATACCACAACATCCCGGGCTGCATTTGCCCAGCGCTCCCTGAGACCTGCCAGATATGGACATTTCGACACTTTAGGCATGCAGTACGCCTCCTCCGTATGCTTGCGGTGCAGCTGGAGAACAATAGCTTCTCGGTACTTTTGTGGACTGGCCGTTGTCCGCTCGGGGTGGGGCCAGAGCACGCCCAGACAATGCAGTGGAAAGGGGGGATGGGTGCGGGAGGCTGGGGCTGTCAATGTGCTATTATCCTACACCCCTCTCACGTTTACTGTTAATGGATTCCAGTTGCATGTTACTGGGGATGCGAATGCGGCACAGCAGTTTCCCCAGCCTGCGTTTTGGCTATTTTTGCTTTTGGATAGCCAGGGGCCGGTGATTGCCGTCGACTGGAATATGCCCGCGCATCCCACACCCACGCGCTGTGGCCAATGCCCAGCCAGCGATGCTCTCTCCATCGCATCTGGTCGTAATATTTCCCGCCGCCATTTCGCGCTGCTTGCTGTGCTTTGCTGGGGACGTGGGGGATCTGCTGCTCTTTGATAAACTGTGGGCAATCGATAATGGCTACCCGTCGGTATTGGCAACAATCCCAGAAAGAGCACGTTTCAAAAGAGCAATCCGGCAACGCTTACCTGGGTGACCTTTAGACAAAAAACAAAAGCTACCTGTATCAAAAGGATCACTGCCCATGCATCGCATCATGCCGAGCGTTTCCATTTCCGGTTCGGAGGGAAGCGAACAGCAGAAAGGCCGGGCAGCGGCACAATGCCGGTGAGCTGTAAGAGAATAACATTAGACAAGGAGAATACTGAGGGAATAGAGGGCATGGGTGTTAAGACATTGAAAGACTGCCAGTGACGAGCTGCTGTGGTGATGGCAGTGGGGCCAAGGCTGGGGCCAGAGCACGACACAGAGCGGAACCGCAGGTGAAGTCAAGCTCAGTGCTACCTCAGGAATTCCCACCCTTGTCTACTGCTGCCAGACGCAAGCATCCCACCCGCTATTAGACATCATCGTCCTCTTGGTCGCCATCATCGTCCTGCTGGAAGGTCCGCCCGCGGCCGTTCTTCCGAATGGTGATTTTGATGCCCTGCTTGGCGAATGCCTTTGACAGCTCTGTCGAGTCTGTCATCCCAGGGAATGCCTTTGGCGGAATACACCTCGAATGTGTCGCTCCAAACTATGGATTCTATGAACGCCCGTGGCTCCTCCTGCGACGGGATTATTGTGAATTGGAACTTGAGCCGGAACCGGCCCTCGGTCCGCACCGACAAATCGTGGAAAATGAAAAAGATGTTGTGTTGGTCGTGCTCGTCCTTGAGCAAGTATGCACCCGACACTGTTGTGCCCACCAGGTTCCGCACCTTCACTGGTTCGCTCAGCGACATTACCGATGACGAGGATGACGGATACATTGGCATTGGGCCGGGTAATGTGTTTGGGTTGATGACTATCGACCGATCATTCTCCATGTTGGGCGCCCACAGTGTTGCCGACACCACGAATTTGCAGGTATCGACATCCTCGCTGTTCATCAGTCGTCCGTTCTCGTCAAGCACCCGCAGCTTCACTACCGGCGGCGGGTCAATCGGCCGGCGGTCCTTCTCGCCGAATCCGCACATCCGGGCCCGGATTGGATGCTGCTGCCATCTCAAATATGTATTTGTGCGTTGGTCCATTGGGTCTATTTGGATGTCGGGTAGGAGTGGGAACATTAGGAGTTGTGTATGCGCGTAGAAATCAGTAGAAAGTAGAGGCACAGAAACGTAGAATGGAAGTGGACAGGGAAAAAATAGCAGCCGAGGAAAAGGGGAAAGTGGATACACAAAATGGAATTGGGGGACGAGGAAGAGGGGTGGGTTATCAAAACTGGAGTTGGCGCGAGTGCATATCAGACACAGGCGTCGCACAATTATGAGAGCATCGCCTTCTGCGCATGAAAAAAGGATTTACTATATATGGGAGGATGTCTGTAGGGAGAAAGGATCCGAGCGTTCATCATTGAACGCCTCCTGCCCGCACGCTAGGCCGAGTAAACACGGGCATTAATATCCTCGATAGCAGACCGTATGGTCTAGTCGGAAACTAAGGACCGCGAACAAATAGCGCGTGGAGCAGACGCAGGCAGATAGATTAACATGGCTCTTATTACCCTTTTTGGGGGAGGGGTTGAAAGCGGATGCCAGGCAGGAGGAAGAAGGCATCTAAAATGCAGAGTAATGCAGCTTACAGTTTACCCAGTAGCGCCTTCGCCATGCTATCGAAGAAGCCAGGCAAAATTCGGGGGGGGGGGGAGGTACTGCAGTGAGGCAGCGGTGCTGAGGCAGCTTTACCAGTCAAATAAAACGGGGAGTGGAAACGAAGTAGTTACCGCTGCATACACAAGGAACCGCCCCTTTTTCACAGTTTATATATCCGAGCCGCGCAAAGTAGACCCAAGCAAACATTGAAGAAACAGGGACGTAAGGGCGGAGAGAGCCGGCATAAGCATCAGCAAGCAGCGGTAGGTCTTTCTGCCATGAGGCAAACAAGCCGGCCTGTACAAGTGCTGTGGTTTTTGCCTGTGGACATGAATTTCAAATCAGGACAAGCGCATGGACAGGCTGCTGTTTTTTATGTTCAGTAGATGACGGGCGACGCACAAACAACAATCACTCAGCAGCGATGGGGCCACTCGCCACGTACGTGTCAGCAGCCGACAATTGGAGGGAGCAAGGTGATGTTGGTCCCTCAGACAAGGACTGTAGCATTGCAGCGACTCCAAGGTACCGGTTGGGCAGCAGCCATAGTTGCATGAGCCGTAACTGGATGCTGACGGACAAACAAAGCGCCACAGCAGAAGGCAATGTAGCGGCTTCACTTACCCACTGACCATGGTTGGGATGGTAGGCAGGTCCTGGCCAAAGCCCAACTCGGGCGCCGACCCGCCAGCCTGGAGCTCAGATGCGTCGCAAAACTCGTATTTTGGGCGAAGCATGACAGCGATCTATAAAGCAAAATGGTAGATTTGTAAGAATAGAGGAGCGAAGCAAGGGAGCGGAATGTATGTGGATGAGTGCTTTCTATTAGCCAGCTAGTTAAAGCCCGCCCGCCAGCAGTTGTAGATGGGGAGAGAAGGGGGCTATTGAAATGCCAGAGCAAGGCAGTGGCTCGAAAAGGCTACAAAAGCAGGCAATCGTCGCGGTGGGGGATGAGTATGCTGTACAGTGAGCAGATGGGCAGTGTTTGGCGTCGACAGGAAAACAGCTAGAGCTTGCTATGCGGTCAGAACCCGGAAAGAGGGACAGCAGGAGAGGTGAGGACAGGCATTTATACAAAACAGCACACCGCGCTGTGGCACTGCGACCGAGCGCCAGCAAGCAGCGCCGATGGCAGAAACCAAATGAGCGGAATACATGGATGGGTGAGGGATGAGAGAGACATAAGCGAGTCAAATGGGTTCCTCGGTGTCGCAATGAATGAGCCGGAAATAAAATAAAACGCAAGGGTCACTGGGGCCATTGTTCATCAGAATGCGAGTTGCCCCAGTGGGTGGTGATGCATCATATATGGCTGGGTTGCTGTCCACGCCATTGGATTCAGTGCAGTCGTGACTTTCAGCAAAAATAGCAACTGCGACACAAGTCCGTATCAGCATAACGGACGCTTTGGCTTGACACAAAGACAAACGCATCTTTCGCGGTTCCCAGCCTTGGTGGTGGAACATCAATGCCACTATCGACACCACCACCATCACAATGATATATATGCGATCGCCGGCACAAAGCGTCAAAGCACTATCAGGATCGCTTGGCCGCAACGAGCGAATCCGTGTGCAGTGTGGCACCCCTCAGAGAAGCAAATAACTCTCTGCTGCCATCGCACCCAGAGCTGTAAAGCAATTGGACGGCGCTCTCTGGACACACGACTTGCCTTTGTATATCCAGCTTCGAGACTTTTATCTTTTGCAATCCGGGTCACAAAGGGCCTCTGTTTGAGAGTCCGGTATATGTGCGCAGCTAGAAAGGTGGTGGCTACTGGTAATAAATAAGCGAGCAGGTAATTACATAAAAAGGGCACGCGCGCGCCAAGGGGAAGAGAGAAAAGACGGGAGGGAAGGGGTGGGGGTGAAAGCGTGAGCTGGTGGCCTGCGGCTGAGGGGATTCCACTGACACTTTATTCGACAGTCCAGAGTCGAGCGAAAATAATTTTGCTGGGAGGGGGTGCGACAAACCCCTGGCCTGCACCGGCCAGGACCCGCCCCCTAGGGTTGCAAGATGGGGACAGTTTTTTTTCGATGTGATTTCCCTGGCTTGCATCAGCCCGCTGTGCCAAAGTTTGAATTCGTTTCGAAAATGGCATCCGAGCCGATGTGAATATAGGCTGTCAGCGGGTGTGACCTTTCTGAAAGGAGAAGCAAGCTAAACAGCGGACAAGGGCGCGTCCTGGGCTCCAGTGGAACACAGACATGTTGTGATTCGCTTCGCAGGTCAAAAGAGTTTCGGCCAGATTAGGCTGATAAGGGCAAACTAATAAAAATCGCATTGAGTCTGAATAATAGGCCGCAAATGCTGAACGTACAAGACAGCAACCCACACCTGTGACCTCGCTGACTCCTAAGCCTACTTGGATGCTGCTGCGATTTTGGCCCGGAGCATAATAACGCGTTTCCTATTCGCAACAGCACTGGCTTTTGTTTAATAAAACGCTTTCCAATTCGACCCTCTCGACTCTTTCCACAAAACTCTGTGGTGCTCCTTTTCTGCTATTCTCACAGCATGTCTCTCTGCAGATCCAACAGGTCGATGCTGTACCACTGAGTGCCAGCCATGCTTCCCCACTTGCATCTATATTGACACCTGCAGATGCGTTGGGGGTACGTAGTCAAGTCGGAGTTTGAATCGCCCCGCTGGCGCACAAGATATTTGCGCACGTTTGGCCAAAAGCAGGACCTGCCGGTTCCTAATTTTGGTGCATTACATGGCAAGGACCCCTTACTTACCTATCAGCCTCCTTCACATTCTCGGGGGCACTGCGCTGGTACCCTTTGCTGTCGACAGTCTTAAGAACCTTGTCGAGCTCCGCTGTGAGTCTGGCGATCTTTGCTGCTCCTGTGGATGGCATAGCATGGCCTGTATCCTGCTTGGGGCCCAGCCTTGCAACCACACGCAGGCCAGGCGCCACGACAAGCCGTTGCTGAATCCAGCTCCGCCTGTGTCTATCAAATGAATAGGTATGTGCAGCAGATAAGCAGTCATGATGATCCCATGTTGGTTTCAATTGGGGACGTGCATATTCTTTTCATACTCCGCTCTCTAATCCCTGCCTTCAAGTTCAGCCGTCCCTCCTTTTCCGAAATGTGCCAATGCGAGGAATAGGCCGTGCAATTGGGGTTGGGCTTTGATGGGCCCAATGTGCACAGCCGACGAATGAGACGATCAACTAGTGCACTGTTGTAGAAAGGAATTGTGTGGCTGTGAGCCATGGCGGGTGGGGCGGACGAGGCCGATCGGCAGAAGCGTGGAGCTCAACTTTTTTGGTAGAGGATGTAGATCGGCTTGCCAGTTCTGGATCAAGCCCGCTAGGTTGTTTACGTTTCCAAACACGTTTTGCCAAGAAAAGTGTCAGAGCAGCAAGTGGGGGTAAACGACGCAATGTGTGCCATAGAATAGAAATGCATAAGGTGGTAAGAGGAAATGGCCGCATGGGATGAGGGCGACTCATTTGCGTGTGAAGCATGCAGAGAAGCATCGATGGGTCTGCCTGGCCAAACCGGTGCTTGAAGGCGTGGACAAAAGTCAAGCAGCCTGATCAGACAGCTCCAGCACCCGCTTCATTCACATGGGAGAACCATGCTTTACCGGATGCCTGGTGAAAGCTGCCCCATCCCTCCTTTCTGTGAGCCTGGGATGCACAAGGTTTTACGACCCACTTCCAAATCCAACCCCCAGGATCAGCTGGCTTTCGCCCACGCTCCCATCGCAGTAGAATGCAAAGTCGATTCTCTGTGCGACGCCTTCCATGAAAGCGATTGAATGCGGCAAGTAATACGCCCCTACATGCAGCTTCTACTTACGGTTGAATTGCTTCCTGCGTCCTCGCATATGCGGATGGCTGTCTCCTTGCTCAGGATTTCGATGCACTGCTGATGGGGTCCCTATACGCTGGGTATCCGGAGCTACAACAGTAAACCTCTGGACCATCACCTAGCTGCGATCCCAGCCAGCCGGTCAGCATGCTGCTGCTTCAGCGAGCGGATGCCAGAAATGACGCCAAATATAGCCTAGAAAACACAGCGACAATAGCTTAGTGGCTTGCAGTACCCTAATGCACGGTACGTGTTGTGCTCAGTACTTACGTCCACGTTGTCCTCATCACTGCGCCATTGGGAGGCTGCGATCCCGCTTCTCGATTGCCATTTGCACTCCATCACGGACATTTCTGCCCCCGAGCCCCGGTACGCATGCTTCTGCCATAGCTCCTACTTTAGGCAAGAGAAAACAAATTAGCCTCTGCCCGCAACCACGCCTGTGTACGGAAAGCGTTGCTCCTACTCACCTCCGTGACAAACGGCATGAACGGATGCAGAGCTCGCAGCACAATGTCCAGGGATCCAAGCAAAATATTGACAACCAGTGTCCGGGTCCTACAGAAAAGAGCCACGTATTCCCACTATTTTTAGTAGTCGCTACCTTGAAGAGAGGGTCATGCATCGCGTTGTGCGGCTGCCAGACAGAAAACAAGATAAGCAGTAAACGTACGCATTTCTTTGCGTGTCTGGCCAAGTGCACAGCGTGCGGCTAAAACTGGCTGCCAGGGCTAAAATAGCATCCCCAGGGTAATTATCCAAGGCTGATGGACGGCCATGGCCCAGGTTCAAAGCAGCTTGCGAATCCAGCGCCGCACATAACTGTCGGGCGTTTACAGTGCATCCATCAGCTAAGACGTCAGTAAACAGGGAGGCGCCGCACTGTCGTCCTCTCCCCTTACCGAATACTGATGCAAAGTGTGCGTCTTTGCATGGAAAAAGGCAGGCTGATCGCTGTGCAGAAATCGATGTGCTGCAAATGGCCATCCCCAGTGCCCCGCTCACTCCCGCCATATTGCGCAAAATTGCAAGACAGCAAACAACATCATAAGTCGCCTTACCTGTCTGGAGGCACTTGCATTCCCAAACAGTGCCGGTTTTGACACCTCAATGTATCTGTCGCACAGGATCCCTCTGCACAAACTCCCGGACCGCCTCACCCGCCACTGCTGGCCTGAACGTCTTCATCGCCTGATCGTATGTGTTCCAGTATACCATACAGCCGCGACACTAGCGCCCTATCAAACACCGTCAGATTTTCTTGGCTGATTGCCTTGGCAAATGACTCTGGGCTGGGTTTCCCAACCTTGTCAGCGTGCATGTGGACAAACTTGAACGTGTTCCACAGCTTGTTGCAGAAGTGGTACGACGACTTGACGTTCTCCAGACTCATGTTTATCTGCTGCGTTTGCTGGGTGTACAGCAGCAACGTAAACCGCAGCGCATCAGCGCCGAACCTCTGGAACCCGTTTGGATACAGCTTCTGCAGCTCCTTGGTGCTCTTCTTCAGCTCCTTATCTGAAAGATACCCGTTCTTGAGCGTCTGTTGCAGTGTTTTTAGGGGTGCTCCGTGTATGACATCGAGTGGGTTGATCACATTGCCCAGCGACTTGGACATCTTGCGGCCCTGCGAGTCGCGGACCATTGGGTGCAGCAGGACCGCACTGAAGGGCGGTGTCTGCGCAAAGTGCGTGCACAGCATGGCCATGCGAGCCACCCAGAAGAACAGGATGTCCTGGCCTGTCTCCAGCACCGAGCTCAGTGCGCCTGCAGTCGCATCAGCTGATGCCAGTGCAGCCGGTTGGTTGAAGACGGTCAGCGGCAGCAGCCCTGACGAGAACCATGTATCGAGAACATCCTCGTCCTGTTTCACGTCTGGGTTTGTCCCCTGAACCGTCCTTGAGCTCGCTCTCTGATAGCATCCCCATAGCCTTGTCCACCGCGGCCTCTGCACTCTCAGCTGCCACCCAGCGCTCCTCTGCACCACTCCACTTTACGCAGTACACCGGGATACGGTGACCCCACCACAGCTGCCTTGAAACGCACCAGTCCTCAATTTCCGAAAGCCAGTGGTTCCATATGTGCTTCTGGCGCTCTGGGACCATCTGGATTTGTCCGGCACTGACCATCTCGTTCGGCGTTGGCTGCCAATCCACCACACTTTACGTACCATTGTGGCATCAGCATCGGCTCAATAATATCACCCGAACGCGAGCACCTGGAGATGACGCTATTTTCTGACTCAGTGCTGCCAATGTACGACCCCGATTCCATGAGTGTTGCCACAACCTTGCGGCGCGCCTCCCATCGGCCCATTCCACTGAACTTCCGCTAATCCAATGTCGCCCAGCACAGTCCCTGACGAGCTAAATACAGGAATAGTGGGCAGGCCGTGCCGCATGAGCGCATCCGTGGTCGTTCACATCGTGCGCTGGGGTGATCTAGTTGGCACGCTCATAAAGCATTCCGGGAATTAGCTCGTATATTTCTTTTGGCCAGCCTCCCTTCCAACTCCAGCAGCGATATAGCATGTCTCGTCCGTACTCACCTTCACCACACCAGTGCCAAATTCTGGGTCAACCAGCACATCGTCAACAACAACTGGGATTGGTCGGTGCAGGAGTGGATGGATTACTGATCTCCCTGCCAGTCCCTACAACGAAAGTACTATAAAATTTCAGTAAACTGATTTCGGGGATACCTCGGCCTATTCACAATTCGCGAATCCCCAGATAGTATCAGCAATGCAGACTATCCCCTCGTCAAAACGAGTTCATTGGATACTCCATGCCCACAGCCGAGCGTAATGGGACGATGAGTGATATCCTTCTCAGCAGGGTGATGGGAGGAGCAGCGTTCGCAATTGCCCTGCGGCAGATCTGCCCCAAGCTGAATAAATATGCTGGCCGCGAATTGCATTCATCAATGGCGCATGGCATTCCTGATTGTACAATAGCTTGTGTGCTATTTTGAATAAAAGAAGTCGCTTGGGATTCAGGCTTACCTTGTATCGAGAATCGCTTGAATGCACGGCGAGCGCAACATCCCCAAGCATTGTCTCTGGCCGAGTGGTTGCCACCTGCAGACACGTCGGTGTGCCCGCAGGTGGATCGACCACAGGAAAGCGAATGTGATGTAGCACACCAAATTCGATCCTACAATGTCATTTAGTTGGTGGGAATCCTCAAGCAGGTTGTCTGCAGCATGTCAAATTTGCATGCAAATCGCTGGGCCATTCCAGGCTTTCAGAACAAAAGGGCTGTCAAAAACACATACTTTTCCCTGCTCCCTGGGACCTCGAGCAGCGTCCGCCCCTCAATAGGAATCTTGTCGACCTACAAAGAGAGCCTGTGAATTGGCTTCACCAAGACGCCGAAATTGGATACCGACAGGTCCCTTTACCATGGCAATGACACCATCCCCCCACCTCCAGGTCCAATCGCATCCCCTCTGCCAGCGAGCATGGGATGCCCTTACCTCAATGTCCGATATGACGCTCTGCAGAGCGCAGGACCAGTTGACCAATCTTTGTATCTCGGTATATCAGGCCCTCATCGAACAGACGGATGAACGCATCCCGCACCACCTTCGAGTGCTCTGCGTCCATGGTAAAGTACTCCTGGTCCCAGTTGAGAGAGGCGCCGATGCTAGTCGTCTGCTCCTTGATCTTGTCGCCGTGCGCCTTCTTCCACTCCCACACCTTCTCGATAAACGACTCGCGGCCCAGGATCATGACGGGTCAGTCCATGCTCTCGATTCAGTTTCTTTTCAACCACTGTCTGGGTCGAAATTCCGGCGTGGTCGGTGCCTGGGACCCAATTGACGCTGCGCCCGTGCATGCGATGCCATCTAGCCATAGAGTCTTGGATCGATAACGTCAGGGCATGACCGATATGGAGAACTCCAGTGATGTTGGGCGGCGGCAATAGCATCTTGAACTCATCCTGGACCGCCGCCGATAAGCCTGAGGGCTGTGGTTTGAACAGGCCACGCTGCTGCCACCATTCATACCAGTCACGCTCGACGACTGCTGGATCGTACTTTTCAAACTGGTGCACAGGTGCCGACATCCAGCGCTGGTGGCATGGTGCGTAGATCGAGCTGCGCAGCGGTCGGATCCTGGTCCGCCCGACCACGGTGCGAGCAGCTTGCGTCAGAATCTTGCTCGCCATTGGTTTTCTCTTGTATACAAGTATGCTGGATGGTCCTATTGGTATATGAATAGCGAGCAAAATAACGATATGAATACTAGGTATTTCTAGCGTACGGTCCAGGCCACTCCGACTTGCCTTGCCAAAAGACCAATTTCAGATCCGCTTATGGATTAGAACCCCCAGTTTAGGTACCAGGGCCCCTCTGCTGGGTCAAGCAGCAGCATTTCTCTGGCAGCAATTCCTTGGATGTTGGCTTAAAAGAAAAGGTGGGAGAAATGTATTTGGTAGAAGAGAAAGAAAAGGCAAGAGAAAGGAATACGTGTTTAGTACTTGCGGTACCACATGGTGGTGATGCGGTTGCGCTTGATCTTCTTCTGGAGCTGCAGCATACCGTACATCAGGGCCTCAGCCGTCGGCGGGCAGCCGGGCACATAGATATCGACAGGCACAATGCGATCACACCCGCGAACAACCGAGTACGAGTAATGGTAATAGCCACCGCCGTTGGCGCACGATCCCATGGAAATGACCCAGCGGGGCTCGGGCATCTGGTCGTACACCTTGCGCAGGCCAGGCGCCATCTTGTTCACCAAAGTGCCAGCAACAATCATCACATCCGACTGACGCGGCGTCGCACGGAACACAATACCGATGCGATCCTGGTCGTAGCGGGCGGTGGCCATGTGCATCATCTCTACAGCGCAGCACGCCAGACCGAATGTCATCGGCCAGGTAGAGGCGGTAAACGCCCAGTTATACAGCTTATCGAGCGAGCTCAGCACGTACTCAGGCGGCGCTGTCGGGCTTTGCGATGATCTGGTCGTGTGTGCGCGGAATCACGTTAGTCGACATGGCGCGGGCCGCCAGCAGGCGCGAGGCCGGGACGGCTTGTGTGGCAGTGAGTGCAGTCTTGCGAGGCACAAAGCGAGCCATAGCTACATAGAAAGTGGTTGGAGGTGGTCCGGGTTTAGCTTTCGTGCAATCCGCCCCAGGCAAGGACTGCTTTTTATCATCGAAATTTACCCTTCGTCGAGGCGCGGAACGAGCCGAGTCCAATAGCGTTCATTTTTGTCCAATTAAATAGTTGCCGAATCACCAAGTGCAGGAATTGAAGAGGCACAAGCAGAAAAAGAAAAAAAGGAAAGGCAGAGGTGGAGAATTCGTCAGGGAGAAAAGAAGCGAACTTCGAATTTGCCAGGCCAACCAATAATTCAACAGCGAAAACGCGCACAGCGCCAAAAAGATGTTATCTCGACTATTTGACAGCCGTCAATCTCATCATCGAAATCAAGCACTGAGTGGATCTGCTTCTGGGCCAGCGCTCCTTGGCCGTGACGAAATTACTGCGCTGTGGCGACAATGCGCGAAAGCAAAACTAGCTGCAACGCGCTCGCGTTTTCCCGACGCCTCTCTCAACTCCGCCTCAGCTCTCCTCCGCTTTACTTACCTACTCAATCTGACGCGATGCCAGACCCGCCACCAGAACCCGCACCGCACACCTCAGCGCCTTGCGATGGCCAGGCCGCCGACGAGGCTATTGTCACAGCACACAGCTTCCTGGTACACCAGGCTGACCTAGAGCGCGAGGCAGCCGAGGTGCTTCCAGGCAAGTTCGATGAATGCACATATGACAAGGGCTACATCCGCCAGCCCCTTTTTGCCTGCCTGACATGCACCCATCCGCCATCCAAATACCAGCGCAGCAAAGCCGATACGGGTCCCGAAACCGCGCCAGCCGGGATGTGCTACTCCTGCAGCATAGAGTGCCATACAGGACACGAAGTAATAGAGTTGTTTGCCAAGCGCAGCTTCCAGTGTGACTGTGGCACAGCACGACTATTGCCGGCAGGAAAGGGGTCGTGCTGCGAGCTGAAGAGTACGCGAACTATGCTGGCCGAGTTCACAAACACGAAGAACGCGTATAATCATAACTTCTGGGGGTTCTACTGCCGCTGCGATAAGTTTTACGATCCGGACGACAGTACGGTAATGATCCAGTGCTATATATGCAATGACTGGTACCATGACCGATGCATTGGCAAGATGCCTGACGAAGATGACTATGAGGACTATATCTGCCGCGAGTGTGTGGGACAAGCACGATGTTCTGAGGCGCATCGACACGACATTGGTCTTTCGCGGCGCCATTGCTTGGTGGGCTGGTTACCAAGGTCGAAACCCACGACAGGCTGCCGTACACGAGTGCTGAAGAACAAAAGGTCGATGTAGTTAGCACTGAGGACAAGGCCCAGGAGAATGCCGATGAGCGCCCACGCAAGAGAACAAAGACCAGCGCATGCCGGCTATTGCCTGACAACGTCCGACCAGCCAATGGATCTGTTCATGGCCGACAGGCTGGAAGAATGACATCTGCACTTGTGTCGTGTGTATCAAGAAGATCGAGATGCAGAACCTGGAGTTCCTGCTGGACAGCGACGAGATCGTTGAGCCAGAGGTGGACGACTCGCGTGGTGAATCGCTGATACGAGTCGGCAATGAAAAAGTTGCAGAGGATGGACCACACGCGGGCGGTCGACGCAGCATCAGCATACCACGCCATGAGCACCAAACTCAAGGAGTACCTGCGGCCGTTTGCCAGCACGGGAAAAGTGGTCACACAGCAGGACATTGCCAAGTTCTTCGAGCAGCAGAAGCAGAACACCCCCTAGGCTGTCTTGGACTCAGTACATGCTTTATTTCAACACCGATAAGCATCTGTGCCCGAAGTGAATATATGGAAACTCTAGATGGACTTCGCGAGAGTGATCTTTTGTTAACAAAACAACATCTGATCCTCCTCACGGCCCACATATAGCAGACAGGCTGCCTTTACTCCTCGACGGGGTCGGGGTTGGTGAGCGGGTTCCAGAACGGAGTGTGGTCACCGTCGCCATACGGGAACTTGCGCTTGCGGAACGTGCAGGTACGGGTAGCCGACAAACTTGGGCGGGTCGTGCTCCAGATGGTGGATGTGATCGAGCTCCTCCTTGGTCGCGACCACGCCGAAGATGGCGCAGGCCGGCAGGGCAAGGAAGATCGAGATCTTCTTCCAGGTCTCAACAGCAGCTACACAAAGGCACACAAATTTCGAATTAGCGTCGTGTGGGTTGTTTGCTGAAATTCAGGTTCCTCTGGTAGCAGATTCTACTCCAGTCACTCGGTCGTCTCCCGAATCACAATGTTGACTTACACTTGGCCTGCTCCTTCGAGGCCTCATAGCCCTCCTTGGTGTAACCACCAGAGTACGCGCGGGTGCCGAAGCGAGGGGCAGCGGTGCGAGCGAATCTTGCAGCGCGGAACATTTTGGACGAAATAAAGGGTTGGGTTTGAGAAGAATAAAAGTGCAAATCGAAATGCGCAAGTAGAAAAAGAGGAGAAATTGAGGCAGTCGCAAATTCAAACTCCCTCGTAGCTTGCCAGGAGCACGCTGTCTAGGCTGCACGGCGAACAGTCAGCCCACCGAGCATTTCAGCTGCCTGCGATTAACGATAAGGGGTTTTTGGTGCTTGATCTCGATATAGGGATCAGTTCTGATTGGATATCTGTGTGACGCGCTCTGGGTTCGTCTTTTGGCTGTAGACCGACCACATACTACATCGAACGGCTGGAAAAGAAAACTACCGGTCGGACCGCTGCGCACAGGCGCTAATAATGGCCCGCTCATCGCCGGTCAGCGCAATGCTATTCTTGGTCATGGTGGTCAGATTGCCCTCGAGAGCTAGGGCGTACGCCTTTTTCCACTCGTCAAACCAGTGAACCAGCCGCTCCGCCAGCACCCTGGATGCAACGTAGTCTGGACTGGGCATCGCCTGCTGATACTGCAGTTCGCCCAGATACCCCTTGACCATGTGCCGCCAGCACTGGGCAAAGTCGACGCTGGTGATTTTGCGGAGATTCCTTGGTAGCGCTCTGTCCTCAGACAAGGCAATGATCTCTGAAGCCAGCGATTCGGCAGCCTCCAAGTTCCGGTGCTCATCAACGCAGGTGTATATTGCCAGCATCTTGCGCGCACCCTTGAATGGCAGCGGCAGCTTGTCAAGCGCACGCAGCCGATCCATCTCTAGCTGCTGCTCAACCTCGGCCAGATCGTATGCGGGATCCTGCTCTTGTTTGTTTTTGTCGAGCGGCCGCCAGATTGCTGGAATTATATAGTACGGGTTGGCGAGGTTGAAGAGCCGGGCGTAGGGCGGGATGTTCTGGTTGATGATCCGCGAGTATGACGACCCCTCTTCGCGGAAGATGGGCATGGCGCTCATTCGATACTCCTTGAACCAGTACTCTGCCAGAGTGCGCTCGCTGCACTCCATTGCCACTGCGATGACGTAGCCCCAGGTCAGCGGCGTTGGCAGCAGCGCTGGGTTGAGGCGGTCCGGCTGGAGGCATTGACCGGATAGCAGCAGGGAATCACGCCTTCGAATATATGGCGAATCTGGCTCATCATCTTGGCCTTACCAAGAACACCAAACAGAACGTTGTAAAAGAAATTCGACGCCATGCCTGTGCGATCGGAAGCAACCGTAAAGCATATAGAGCCCGATCTGTGCCAATTGCTCGTTGTGCTCAGCCTGGTCTGTGCTGACAAGAAGCAGATCGGCGGGTGACTGGCCGCTCGGTGGCAGCATTGGCTCAAGCCCGTAAATGGACTTTTCAGATGACGACCACTTTGCATTCAAGACAGGAAGTGGTGCCTCAGAGGACTTTAGCGCAAGCAGCAGTTTGGCACAGGCAAACGGAGTGGCGAATTTGCCCATGTCAACGATCATCTGGAAGTAGTGGACGGCCTCTTCTATATCTCCAATCTGGGCATAGCTGACCATCGCGCTTTCCCAAACAGACATGGCGAACATGGTTCGGTCACGAGCCTTGACGGACCCTATGTTTGCCATCGCCTCCATATACTCCAGCATGTGCTCCTTAACTATCGGTTCCCATTCATCTCGGCGACCCCGCTCAGCCAGATCCGATATCAACCGCGTAAGATGCTTTGCATCAGGGACCTCAAAGTTCCGACGGCATGAGCGGTACCACTCTAGCTTGTCCTTGACTGGCGAGTTGCTTTTGATATTTGATGTTGCGCTGCTACTCCTGCTCCTAATGCGCCATTTGACTTTTGGGTGCTGGTCAGTCGTCTGCGAAGCCGTCACATCCCCGTGCTTCATATGTGCCAGCGCTTTCGAAGCTTGCTCAGCGGCAAGAATCAAGCCCCCTTTGTGGGAGTCGACAACTGACTTGCCAGCCTTAGCAACAAGCTGGTCCACAGCGGACAGCGATGACGGCGGAACCTTGGCCTTCTTGGAACGCATGGCCTTCAGCACAGACAGTGCGTTGAACGCCAACTCGTGGATGTCAGGCCGATCAGCGGCCTCCCTCACAATTGCATCGAGCGCGCACTGCCAGAACTGACTGTCGGAGCTCTCCATGATACTGCCCTCCACCTTCCATCCCGCAGACTCATCGCCGATTCTGATGGGTGCATCTTTACCTGCCTTTGGAGATACACCCAGGGCCCTATTAACCACGCTCAGTACCACTGCTCGTATATCCGGCACATCCAAGAGCTGGCGCCGATTGATAATCTCAAACAGCCCGCTCTGCGCCTGAGCGCGGACTCGGTTTCCCAACTCAGTAGAGCCGAATGTGTACTTCAACAGCCTCACATTCCACGCAGGAGCACGAGTCCCATGGCCGCGCTCGGATGTGTACAGCAGCAAATCAGTTAGCTGGCAGACTGGGTGCATCTCACCTGCCTTTGGCCTGATACCGCATCAAGCCAGCAAGTGCAAACGCTTTGTCAAGCCAGCGATCAGAAATCAGCGCCTCTATATCAGTGTACTGGCGCATACAGTCGTGTATTCTACCAGCGCATTCCTTGGCTTGGAGCATGTTGGATTGCCTCAGTGCCACCAGCATCAGCGCACGCGGCCCACTGGTGTTGTTAAATGCTACCATGGACCCGCTCTTTGCGTCATGATCAACCAGGCGCCAAGCGATATCCCACTTCTCGGCGTTTGCAAATGCCAGTGCCAGCCGATTCCTGGTTCGATTGCGCGGCACCTGCGTGTGGATGACCTGCTCAGCTGTAACCCCTTTGCCGCCATTTGAGTTGCACCCGCGGCTAATCTCAACATACAGCTTGTAGCCCAAGTCAAGACATCCCTTCTCAACGATGATGCGCTCCAACATGTCGAAATGATCGGGTGTGAATGCCACAAACTCCCTGTGCTTGGCCGCAATAACAAAGTCCACAGCACCATCAATGTCTCCTTTCCGGAGCATTGCCAGCGCGCGCTGGTAGTATGGATCGGCGGCTTGCTCTCGAATTGCCTTGGAGCTCTCCAGTAGACATAACTTTCGGGCTGTCGACATGCTCCTCGTGCTCTAGCCGCCATTTCTCGGTGCTTGCGCTTGACGTATCACACATGACCCTCTGCAATCTGATCTGGCTCCACTTGGCTTGCCACATAGACTGGAACTCGCCAAACACCTTGTCAGCTCTCTCTGCCTTGCCGACCCGGTAGTACAGAGAAATTAGCGGTGCGTAAATGCAGTCAGAACACCGATCGCCATATTTCTTTGACACTTCGAACAGCCACTCGACGTCAACCACACGCTCGTGAACGCACAGGGCTCGTGCCAGGACCCAGAACAGCCCCGGTGGCAATATACACGAACGATCGACCATAGTGCGTACAATCGCCATCCCGGCGTCAAGCGCATCGGTAGCGAGTGCAGCGTCTGCCAGGCGTGCCTGGCTCCTGGAGAGTATTCTGCTCTGAATCTGCAAGTCCCTTGGCAAGATCAGCCCTGGCTCCAGCTCAGCAATCGCGTTCTTGTATGCTGATTCATGGCTGTGGTCTGCGGCAATATGTGTGGTATTGGTGTACTCGAGTGTGCCGCTGTGCGCATTTGCCGCCGCACAGATATACCCGTCAAGACTGCGCTTGGCAAGCAAGATAGCAGTATCAGCCAGCACTACAGAATCGATCTCCCATCCTTGCGATTTAGCGTATTCATAGACATCCAGGATTGTCCTGTGTACCAATAAATGTCTCGTTGGCCGATTCGTCTGTCTTTGCAATGACCTCCAACAGATCCTGACACACATGCCTGCTTAGCAAGTGCATCCTGAATGGTACCGCCGACGAAGGCCCGTTCTTCGTGTCTCCTGCTGTGTCCCGCATGCTGCCCAGGATCTCAGCTAGATATTTGCTGTCGGGCACGGATCGTGCCTCAGCGATTCGATCCAGCGCGTCCTTTGCCGTTTCGATAGGGTTGTTCTTCAGAGAGTTGATAAGTATCTCAGACCGTGTGTACTGTATTACAGGGCCACTACCATCATTCTTTGCAGTGCTCTTGGTGCTGTTATGTCGCATGGCAGCCGCTGGCCTGGCAACCAACGATATCCGCGGCAGGATCGAGTGGGTCGGGGTGCCTGGCAGGCGAATTCCAGGGCCATTCCTGAACAAAGCCGGAAACTGCCGCTGCTGCTGAAGCGCCAATGTCAACAGACGGCTGGTCATTTCAAAAAAGCGAATCGAGAAGGGGTTGAATTGGAACTTCGAAGAGGAAAGGACAGTAAAATTGTGTCTGGGCAGCGATACGCAAAAACTGTGTATCTCCAAATGGAGGGCTGAAGCTGACTGTGGGAGATCGCCAGCTAAACTCTTGATGTGGCAGCCCTGATCACCTCCCGCGGCGTGTGCCCCAGCATGCCCTGATCTTGCGCCAGATAAGCAGGGCCAGCCAGCGGAAGAGCCAGTACAGAATCTCGAGAATGATAATGGACACGAATAGCCACAGGAAGAACCAACCGATCATTCTGTGGTGGACGATGACGACCTCGCTCTGACAGAACGACGCTTGGAACGAGTACTGCCCGCGGTACCGATCCACGTATCCATAAAAATAGTCTCCTATCAACCCCCAGGGCGCATACTTGAAGTACTCGGGGTTGTACGGTGGCCCATTGACTGGCCGGGTGCCGCTGGGATCGAGCAAGAATGATGTGCGCCGGTTCCGAATCTCGTCCAGGATCGCTTCGGCCGAATTGTCGGCAGCATTGATCGTGGTCCACGCATATGACGAGTCCGGGCGATGCATGTCGCTACCAGTCAGCCCAACCAGGCGGTCCGAGTGCTCCTGGATAAACTGGTAAGTGCGCAGATCGAAGGTGTTCTGGTTGACAACTTCGAACCCGTCAACTCCCCAGTCATACAGATCCTCGCGCGACGGATTGTTGGGCAGCCTAGGGACGTCCCATGGTAGCATCGTTGCGTTGGACCACGGAATGTGGTTGACAATAACCAAACCACCCATGTCGTGGACTCTTTGGATAACCTCTTTCAGCTGCTCGTCGCTTGGCTGCGGCGGACTCACGGGGATAGACTCGTTTATGCCGATAAAGTTCATGTGTATACGACAACTGGTGTACTCCATACCGGTGATGATTGTGATCTGGTCTTTGTAGTGCTCCTCGGCGTACTTTTTGGTTGCTAACGAGCCCGCCACGGTCTGGTGGTCTGTGACGATGATTGCATTGTACCCATTGGCCAGCGCAAACTCAATGACCTGCTTTGGTGTCAGTACACCGTCCGAGTACACAGTGTGGATGTGTGCGTCGAGCAGGATGTTGTAGTTGGTGAAATTCGAATTCATTGGCGACAGGTACGACTTGGGATCGATCTTCCAGTTGAACTCCATGTTGGAATAGGTTCTAGTCGGAGGCACGCCATTGTCGCTCATAGGAATGCCTACAGCAACCAAAAGGAGTATGACAATAATAGAGAGGAAAACGACCAAGATGAAGTGCCCGATGTAGCGAATAATGCGGTTCTGGATCATTGCGCGCCGACTCACAGAAGTAACCGAGGTGCGGCTGGGCCATCCATCACCATCTCCACCACCGGCTGCCATGCTGCCAGCAAACCCAGTGTCCTCGACCGTGGTGATAAACGGGTTGGTATTTTGGCTGCCTATGTCTGACGCATTGTCGCCCATGGCCCCGCGTCCATCGGAGCCATTTGAATCGATGCGCTGGTTCCGACTCAGGTGTCGCAGGTGGGCTGAGGATGCTGTAGGTTCATGGAACGCGCTCATTGACCGATCAGGGAGTTTCGACATTTATTTGATTGTGCAAGTAGCTCATTGCTGCCGAGGGAAAGAACGTGAATAAGTGCGGGTATCTGAGATGAAGTTGAAGAAAGGAAGCGAGGAGAGTGCGATGCGAATCCCTTTGCCTTGAGCTGCAGAGAATATCCATATGACCCCATGCATGAAGCCCCGCAAAGGACATGCTTGATTTCAGAATTACCGATCCATCGCCGCTTTGCATGAACGCCATGGCGGCATATTTGGTATGTAGCAAACATACGTGTATTTGTTTGCTTGGCATTACCTGGCGTCATTATATACGCTTGCCAGCGCAATTTGATGAAGTCGGACTATCAATTATCCGGGCAGCCGCACCCAAAAGTCGACAATGTATAGCTCGCACTGGATCATGCAGAATCGACTGCCAATGCTTCATCAACCAGTGCAATGCAAGAATTCTCGATACTGCCAAAAGCCGGTAATGGCTGGTTTTATTTCTGCAGCTCCTAGTCATAGTCAGACCACTTGCCCTGCGGAATCGCCGTCGTGCCAAGCTTCTGGTTGCCCACCGTGTAGATCAGATACGCCAGATACACGAGCGTCACGGGCATGGTGATGGCAGTGGCCAGGTCGATGAAGGCAGCGAAGCGCACTGGGAAGCAGTAACGCACCTGCCACAGACACATGAGACTTTATTCTACAAGAACCTCATAAAATGTCCTAACACGGGTCCGATCGGGTTGCCTCTGACATCATTGTGCAGCCCATGGGCATTTCACAGTGTGCTCGCCTCTCACTAGGCTGGCACAGTGAAATTGGGCTCCCAGTTGATTTTTTACTGCCAGTGACAGGTACTTTGTGTGCACCTTGCATGTGCGCTCTTATTCCTTTCTTTACTCTATGCTTCTCCGGCACTATTTGTATACTATGGCTATTTCAGACACCAATATTGACGCCAAGGATCGCACTCGTCGGGGATCCGCGTCATCAAACCACAGCCCCGATCATCAGGATACCGACAACAGCGACGCCTCCCTGGATGCCAGCGGCACCACCAGCGATAGCGATGCTAGCTCTCTACAGTTTGTACGCAACTTGGTCATTCCGGCAAAGTACAGGCGCACTGTGAAGCATAGCCCGAGGGCTGTGGCTGCGAGAGCTACGAATTACGGCAGTGCCTCTACCAGTAGGCAGTCCCAACTATCACCTGCAGGTAGTTCCGCAGCTGGAAAGCAAAGAAGTCCACTTGATGCCCTTGCTAAAGCGCAGCGCCGAGAACGACGAGTTGCAGACACCACGTGCCCGCACACGTACCACGGTGGCGGCACGCATGCGTGATACCGAGCGCACGGTGCATCGCTCTGCCGCCATGACGTCAACCAAGAAAGCGTTCTTCCTCTTGCTGAAATCGTTTCATTGGCAGTGGGGTGCTGTTCCTGCCCCGCGCGTTCCTCAACGGTGGGATCGTGTTCTCCAGTATCATTCTGTCAATATCAGCGATGCTGTCGCTATACTGCATGACCCTGCTGGTCGAGTGCTACCAGACGGATTCCGCACGGCTACAGTGAGATTGGCCGCCGCTTGTATGGCAAGGGCATGGGCCGGGTTGTCCAATTCTCGATCGTCATCTCGCAGACCGGGATTTGCTTGTGCTGGCACGATCTTTGTGGCCACCAATATCCGCGACCTCTTCAATGCAGCAACAGACTGCCAGTACCGCTATTCGCTCAGCTTCTGGGTCGCTGCTCAGCTTGCATTCATGATTCCCTGTTTGCCTGATCCGACATATCAAGGGGCTCTCGTCGTTTGCGCTGTTTGGCGACTTGTTTGTGCTTGGCGGCATCGTCTATGTCTTTGTCATGGATATCAAGAAAATCAGTACGCTGGGCACAGGCTTTGTGCGCAAGTTCAACCCCGAGGACTATTCGCTGTTCCTGGGCACTGCCGCGTACACCTTTGAAGGGTACGCGATGATCCTGCCTATTGCTGACTCGATGCGCAAACCAGAAAAGTTCCCGCAGATCCTGACCATCGTCATGGCTCTGTGTGGCCTCATCACCGTCACCATCGGCTCTGTATCCTATTTAGCATACGGTGAAGAGACGGAGGCAATTATTCTGCTCAATATGCCCTCTGGTACAGCAGCAACCTTGACTGTGCAGCTCCTGTACTCGATTGCTATGCTGCTGACAAATCCTCTGATGGTGTACCCGGCTATTCGTACCCTCGAGCACTGGCTGTTCCCGCGCCGCTCCGGAAAGCACAACGTGGGCGTGAAGATGCAAAAGAATGCATTCCGTACGTCATTCCTGCTGGCCGTTACTGCAATTGCTGTGTTTGGATTGGACCGACTCGATAAGCTTGTGGCAATCATCGGCGGCTCTGGCATGCGTACCAATCTCGTTCATTTTCCCACCGCTGTTCCACTATAGAGCTGTCGCAAGGACAACCCGTGCCAAGGTCATTGATCTGGCACTTGCGGGCTTTGGCGTGGTTGCATGTGTCTATGTCACATACAACGCTATTAAGAGATGGGGTATCGCAGTGCCGCCGTCCTGATTTCTGCGATCTCACACCATGAAATTACGATGTGAAATGACGAACCTTGGCATGCTCTGGGTTGACTTGTATACCAATATGCATATACTTTTCAGAGTGGGGAGGGCAGCCAAATATGTCCAGCCGGACTCATTGTTTCTCTATTCAGTAAATGGCATTATTCCTTCTTTGGACATGTCTTTTGGTGACTTGCATGTATATTTGTATGATATCGCTTCCATTGATTCATGGACACTACCATTCATGATCGCACTCACTGTACACCTATATTACCTAATTGCCCATTTTCTTTGCATATCAGCGCTGTGGTGCCACTATCCTACATGTTGTCGACATTACGTACTTCTACTTTGTGCCACAATGGTCATCAGCAGCAATCACTGGCAGTGCCGCTCGGTGTTGTGGACATCAATTTCCATAGCCACTTCAGACAGCACTGTTGATAGAAGTCATCCATTTTCTATTCCTTTTCGCTAAGGGCGCACACCTCCTCTCTTTTCCCTAGCCATTGACTCTGCCAATATCTATTTCTCCATCAACTCTTCACACCCCCTTTTACTGGACTAAATTCACCTCGCCTATGTCGCCTGTTGTGTCTCGGTATGATACACTTAGGTAGACAGCCTCCTGCAACTGTCTAGAACACGTTTACTCTCCAAGCACCTTCCACGACGTATATTGAACATATGAAATATGCTGTATGAAAGAAGGAAGGAGGGATCGCCAGGTGAAAGGCATCTAAGTAGTGCGCCGGTCGCCGGAATGGTATGCCGCCATTGTGGCTAAGTCTGACCATGGTCCTAAGATCATAAGGATTTGGAACCACATCGCCCATGAGTCGAAGTAGATGCGCATGCTCCATAGGGACAATACTGGGGTCATCCGCCCACAATATATCAGTAAACTTACACTTGCTTGAAGCGACCTTTCCGAAGGTCACAACAGACCAGTGTTTGGTGGGAGGCTGCCTCTCGAACTTGACCTTGAATTTGGGGTAGATGGCTGTATCCAGCTATGAAAATACTCTCTGTAAATCGATCCACCATGTGCTCACGTAAGGGAGCCCATTACCCAGGAGCGTAGTCAGTTGCTGAATGATCAGCTCCTTTCATTCCGACTAGTATCAATAATAAGAGTTGGAAGGTGTGGGGTGGAAAAGGAGAAAAGAGCGCTCCGCAGCAAAAAAAACAAGCGGGAACCCAAATTCCTGTCTTTAAATGCTGTGGAAGATTGCCTGTTCAATGCGAGGAGGTACAGTTGTTCGCTATACAAATTTGGACTACCTTGGTTCTCTGGTGGTGGGCCCATATACACCGTATATTTATTGGCATGGATATGAATTTGCTACTACTTCTGTACATCAAAGCTGTGAACATGTTAATATTAAGTATTAACCACATGCGTCAAATAATATATAACCCCATCTTCCAATATTGTGCATGGTTGTGGTGTCTTTGGGTAACTCAATATCAGTAGCTCAATTGGTTGGCTCAGCATTCACGCTTGCCCTTTACTCAAGGATATGACAGTGTTCTTCCGGTGTTGATACCAACTACATCCATGTGGAAATTTAATAACTGAAGTCAATGACCGGTATCAATAGTATGGTGCTAAAAAGCGCGTACCGAGTGACACTATCTACAGGCAGCCTGACAGCCAGCTTGCATACCGGTGCCATGGTGGGGTGATCAAATCACCCCACACTTGGCTGTGGAACATCCAGATTTGCACTATCAGCACTCTTGAGAGTGTAGTATCCCGCGTCTATCCCCCTTATCCTAGGCGCATATTAGAAGCACTATTTGCAATGGCCTCTGCAGAACCCCGCTCTCTTCTCTGTTACCCCTCGACCTTTAAAGCGTCTCCACCGCCATGCCGTTTATCCATATTGTTCTTCTGCCAGTAAAACCCGATGCTCCGCAGGAGCTGGTCGATGAGGTTGTCGCTGAGATCGTTGCGCTGCAGGAGAAGATTCCGTTCGTGCGCACAATGCGGTGCGGCAAGACCGTGACGCAGCGTGGCAAGCAGTTCACGCACGCCCTGGTTGCTGAGCTCGAGAATGAGTCGCAGCTGCCTGAGTACGCCGTGCACCCGGCGCATCAGGCTGTGCTGCAGAAGATCAAGCAGATCATTGGTGAAGAAGCCGTGGCGTTGGACTTTGACTCCAAGCACTAGCTAGATATCCCCATGGGCTACATGCTGCGAAAATAAATGCCAAATATATTTTTCACCCGCAATCAACATCGACCATAACGCAAAGTTTGTGAAAGCAAAGAATGACATCACAGCCAACTTTGGGCTGCGGATACCTTCAGGAAACCTCACCTTTTACATCATGTCGCAGCCTGTTCTATCTCTAGATCTGCCACAACATATCAAGACCAAGCTACTGCAAAACGGATACCGCACTGTCAGCGACTTTGGCGAGACCACACCAACAGACCTTCTCTCGTTTCTCACCAAGGCGGAGGTCCAGCAGCTTGACCAGGTCGCTAACTCCACAACCACAGTCACCACTGCATGGGCTCTCTTTGAAAAGGTGGACACCCGGCTACACGTCCGCACGCACAGATACGTCGATGTGCTGCTTGGAAACAGCGGGCTGGCATTGGGCACAGTGACCGAAGTGTTCGGCGCGCCTGGGTGCGGACAGCCTGACCTCTGCCTAGCAGCATGCTTTGGGGCGCAACTGTCGCTGCAGGGAATCCCAGGGAAATCCAACGCAATCTACATTGATACGACGGGGTCGTTTACACAGCGTGGTGCTACAGACACGCTATCGCGAATGGACGGCCGCTCTACATTGAGCTTGGCTGGCATACATGTGCTCCGGACGTCCACACTAGCTGAGCTGATATCGCTGCTGGCGCAGATCGACCAGGTCATTGCCGAAATCGGCGGTGTCGGGGTCATGGCAATTAATAGTATAAGCTGGCCGTTTCTGGCAGCGTTTCCAAACAACCTACTTCGGCGACAGCGGATGCAGACCGAGGTGGCGCACATGATATCGCACATTGCAGACAGACATAACGCAGCAGTGCTTGTGATCAGCAATGCAAAGGGCGCTGCCAATAACAATGCTCTTGTTGCTCAAGACGGCGACGCATGGGCACGCATATCCGCAAATCAATTGTGCATCCAGCGTTCGGGCGACAACTACCTGGCCAGACTGGTGAGTTCTGCCACATGCCCAGCTATGGAGCGGCAGATCAAGGATCCGAGGGACAGCGTGGCGTGCGAGTAGAGCGAACTGGCTAATATTATAAATTCTTGTTACAGGTAACAGAAAGAGAATTGGAAACTCGCTAGTTTCGTAAGAGAAGAAAAGGAGAGAAGGAAAAAGAACTAACGGTTCATAAACAGAGTGGACGAAGGAAAGCCAGAAGGGGTGGTCTTTCAACCGCCATCCTCATGCCACATAGCCATGAATGTTGTGTATCAGCAAGAGTGTTGCCTTTTTAGTAGTTGAGGTAGATGGTCAGGGCGCCAGTGTCAGGAGCGAATGAGCATTCGATTTCCATATCCTGCTCATCCTCGAGTTGGGAAATGACGTTGTCGTCGACGCGTACAGTCAGGCCCTTCTTGGTGCGACGGATGACCTCGATGTCGGAGTTGGCCTGGATCTCAAGCTTTTGCGTCAGCTTGGACACCAAGTCATCGACAGCCAGACGGTCCAGGTACACGGCCCGGTAGACCGCCTGGCCCATCACCTTGACGTAGATTGCCAGTACCGCCTTGTTCTTGCGCGGCATCGGCACGTACGTCGGGTCAACACCGACCAGCTCAACCGCGCCGGACGTAAAGCTCGCGTTGATACCCGACGACAAGGACGTGGGCGAGAACTGGCGCTTGTTTGGCGACAAGGCCTCCGAGTTCTCGGCAGACCGCTTCCGCGGGAATGTGGTGGCGATGGGCGAGTTGAGCCCGCTCAGCGTCATCCCTGGCACGCCAATGCCGATGGATGTCAGGCCGGCCAGCTGCGACATTCCGTTGGGCGAGTCCCCGGTAGCGCTGGCACTCGCACCAGCTGCCCACAGCTCGTCGACAGCCGTTGGCTCATCGGGATCGCAGTCATCGCCAGTCATTGTGTATTCGATGAAGCCAGTGACTGGCTGCACAGGCGCAAAGGTCATGTTGAATTCGGCATACTGCTGCTGGTGCGACTGGGTGCTGTTGTTCAGCGCATGCTTTGCCTTGTGCTTCTCCCACATTTTGTCCATGTGCCGCTGATCGTCTTTGTTCTTGCGTTCAGCGCCCTTGTCACGGAACAGCTTGACGCGTGCGTAGCACCGCTCGATGACCTTGCCAGCAGTCAGGCCAGACGACGACGGGATCGGCACACCTGGGAAGGTTGCCGCGGTGGCAGAGCTGGGCGGCTCTAGGCCGGTGGTTCCGCTGTTAGCGGCAGTGTTCAGATCGTCAGCACCAGACAGTCCCGGCAGAGACCGCGTGGCCTGCGCGACTGGCGCCACGTGGGCAGCGGAGGTGGATGGCATCGATGTGATTGGCGACGAGAGCTGTGAGATCGATGCGGTAAAATCAGCGACCGACGGGTTGATGGACATTCGCGGGGTATGCGTTGGGACCGCCTGGCACGTATCCAGGTGGATTCGCAGCGGGATGCCCTTGACGCCCTTGATTCGGCTAAAATCGGTCGACAGACAGTTGAAGCGGATCATGACCTTGGCGCCGCGCCTGCCCTGCCACTGGAACGTGACACGATCAAACAGGCGGCTCTCGGCAGCAATGACGCCGATGGACCCGGCCTTGTCGAGCTCGACGGCGCGAGCTGTGCGCGGGTTCTCCTGCTGGTTCAGCCAAAAGTTCCAGTACGTCGATGCGCCCTTGCGGTGGGAGTCCTCATGGAACGTGATGCGCAACGTGGTGCTAAAATACTCCTCCGAGTGTGTGCGGTCCTGCAGCGAAATACCGTATAGCTGGCCCTTGTTCAGGTACGTCAGCGCGGGCTCATCGACTTTTTGTGCTGCTGCGGTGGGCGCTTCCAGGATGCATTCGAACCGCATGCCAGAATCCAGCGTCGGATGGTGCATTGTATGCTGCATGGGCTGCTGGTGTGTCAGATGCACAGGTGGCGTCGATGTGGGAAGCGTACCCGTGACTGCCATTACGCTGTAGTCGTGGTCCACAGCTACAGCCGCTGCTGCCATTGCGGCAGATGTCGGGTCAGCGTGCCCAGTATCAAAGGGAGCGGAGTGCTGCGGGCCAGTATGCTGCGTGTGGTATGCCGCATGGTGCATGTATGGTGATGCAAAGCCGCTGGCAGAGTACGCATTGTTTGCACCACCGGCAACAGCGACGGCGGCTGCGGCGGCCGCTGCCGAATGCTGCGATTGGGCAGACACCTGGTGCGAATGGTGGTGCTGCGTGTGCTGAGCCTGCTGGGCCTGGGGCGCATGCGACGGCACTTGTCCTGGGGTGCCAGCATACGATGCGTGCGGCTGGTGCATGAATCCGTGCTGATTCAGCGTTGCGCTGTCTCGCCGTTCGCCGGAACCATCGAGACTATACGTGGCGTAGTACGACGCGGCGTCCGCTGGGATTGTTGACATGGGAACACCAGAGATGTGACTACAATTTCGAGAGGCGATTGTTCTGCGTTAGTGCCATGACCCGTGGTTTAATCTTTGGCAATAATAAGCGAGGGATATTAAGTGTAGATGAAGGCCGCTGAAGTGCAATAAACAGGAGTGGTGGTGGATTGGGCTTGGGCGGGACCGCATGATGTGCACACGTACTTGTCCTGCAGCCTGTACATCTTTGCTTTTCGACCCAGCCTGTAGGTGTAGGTATTAATCACATTATTGCTGCCAGCAATGCTTACCTGTTATCGTAAGAGTATGACATTGACGCAGGGGGTATCTAGTGTACAAGAAGGAAGTGGAGAGAGAAGGACAGACAGACAGACAGACAATTGGGGCTGGAGGAGTCTAAAAAGTCGGCCACTGGGTTTCCAAACAGGGACACAAAGGTAGAGAAAGGACAGCGATATGTCTCGGCCCGCAAAGACAATGTTGGTATATGTGTTTGAACTAGAGGCTATGTAGAGAGCCACCTGTATTCCTCTATCTGTCGGTGTGGGTATTGTTCGGCGCCGGCAAGCTAGCGTAAGCGGGGGTGGGTGTCTTAGGTGTCTCTTTAGGCAACCTTATAATTTCCCTAAACTAGCTGCTGGCTAATGTCCAAAGTGGAGCACAATCTGAACGAAGGTGCCGGTCTTTGTGTTTTTGTGAATGCTAACAGTCCCCCGCACTGAAGAGACCGCTGGGACTGCAGGGAGGTGTCAGAAATTGGGTGTTAGGTGAAACGCCCGTAGAAAATAGCACAAGCGGGAAAGAGAGATAAAGAGAGGTGGAAAAATGCGAGCAATAAGAAGCTAAAAAAAGACAGGCCAGAGAGCGTGTTCTCAAAAAACAAGGGAGAAGGGGTGCCAAAGAGCGAAATTTTTAAGAGTTCAGCAAAGGGCCTAGTTTGCAACAGGTACACCGCTGCCTGTGGAGGGAAGTAAAGGCTGCTGGCACGTCGAATTCTGCGGCATATCTCACAAGCCCGGCACGTACCACCCCCATAGCCCGCCCCCTGGACGCATGCTGAAAAGGCACGCTTTTCTTGTGATGTTGCTCCGGGCAATTTATTTTCTCGTCAATTTCGCATTTGTTTCGCTCTTTGGCGGGATGCCCAAAAAGCGAGCTGCAGCCTTATTGCCTCTTTTCGCCTTTTTGCCTTTTGGAACCCGTTGCGCCTCTCTGGGATTACTCGTGCCGTCTGATTCTTGATAATCGCTGAGGACCCGGGGTGACTGCGTGTCCTGGCCATTTTCCTCGGCAAGGGCGGGTGGAGAGGAGGGAAATGGATGGAAGTGTGCGCGATTTGCCTGCCAGCCAGCTGTTCCCATCAATTTTTGCAAAGCGCGCGCTCCCTCACCAGCCATCTCTGCGACAAACAAAAATTGGCCATCTGCAGCAGTCCTCGCTTCCATGCTTGCCGTGTCAATCCGCCGACCGCCCTTATTTTTGGGAGCGGTGGTTCCACACTTTTCCCTCCTGTGTGCTAATCCACGTCTGCCCATGTGTCCAGGGCAGGAGCCGTGCGTGTTGTTGCCGGCAGGAGCGAGGATGTTGATTACGTGTGCGCATATGCCAAGCATATCCCGGCTGTATGTGCTTTGCATCGCTGAACACGCTGCACCTGTGCTGCGGCCAGCCATCCCCACTATCCAATCCACTTAGTCGGATATGCCTGTTCATTGTGTATCTCCTAAAAACCCCCCGATATGTATCTTTTTCTCAAAAAGCGCAGGAGGGGCATACAATACATGCTTTTGGCGCAACCACATGCATGGGTTTTGGCAGGACGGAAAAAGATGGCTGGCAAGAATACACGCAGATTAATGAAGCTGTTTGGGCTTGCTTCCTCCCTCGCTTTTTCCAGCACCGCCCATTCGAACTGCGTGCTGTCGATCCATGGATGCCCGCCTGTTATCCAGACAGCACAGGTTTTGGGAATCTCGTTGCAACCAGTTTGGCCCAAGTCCCTTTCTCCACACTTTTATTAGGCCAGGAACGAGCAGGAATCGCTGTTTGTCATGGGCACTTCTTGTTCCCACATTGCCGGACGCGCAGCCCTGAATCACCTTCTTTTGCCAAGCATCTGTCCTTGGCAGGCACCTGCTTTTCCTGTGTGGGCCGAGGGGCTAGTTGCCGAATAGCAGGTGCCAATTCGATCTCCGCTCCCCTTTTCCTCGGCTGCGAACAGGTTTATTTTGCACACAGCCGCATCTGCGCAGCCCAGGAGCAAAAAGTGCTTTGTTCCTTTTTGTACTCTGGGCCGCTTTGGTCCTGGTTTGCGACCTGTAGACCCGCGCCATCGAGATTTCTTAAACCGGCAGGTTTCTTTATATAATCATCACGGGCTATGACTAAGGATTTGGCTACATGCATGGCGGGGACCCAAAAATGTATGATCTGGATCTTGAGAGTACGTCGTCGATATACTTGTTCCCGGCCCGTTATAGCACACTATGTATCTGCAGAAAGTACGGGGCTGTCCCTATTGATCCCCTTGCTCTTGGACCAGGCAGAAAGAGCTTGAAAATGCCGGTACATGATTTTATGGAGTCTGGCACTCACATGCTATTGTGTACCACCCCAGTATGGTCGAGGCAGGGACTTGTATCGGCCACGGCCCCCATGGGAACTGGGCAGCTGCCGCTGCTAAATGACACCCATGCATGTACTGGAAAGCACAGTGATGCCGCAGCATTTGCGTTTTTGTTGTGGGATCTTCTGTGCAAGTCGGCGCGAGAAGAACGGGAAAACACCAGATCCTCCCCTCCATGCCGACGGCTCTCCCGCATGCGTGCAGCTTCAGGCCCATCCCCTAGACAGTTCTGCGCCGGAAGCAAATCAAGAGCGCCTGCAGAGTGGGGGAGGGGCACCAGCAATTTTCGCAGTGCATGGACTGCCAGCCATCCCCCTCCATTTTCCCTATTGAGCAGAAATGAAAGCTCGCTGCTCTAGCAGCTGTCGATCTGGGTCGGCTTGTTTTATATCAATCGGCGAATGCGCATCACGTGGAGCTCTCGGCTGATTTACACCGGGGTGGGCCCGCCCAGAGACCATCCCAACACGATTGCGGGAGCGTCGTAGTGGCTCCGCCCCAAAAGAGGGAGCCACAGGCCTGCATGCTTGACTCAGTATTTTCGAGCGCAGTCTCGGGCACTTTTTTAAACAGAGCAGCGAATGAAAAGCCAGGAACCCCGTTAATGGTCCATGACAGGCTGTCGCATGGGGAGAGCGGAAGGCGCTGTCGCATTGCGATTTATGACCACATGTAGGTGGTCCGTCTATCCGGCTCTGAGGACTGCTGTGGAAATGTGCACCGCAAAGGTGGTGATGGGTCTGCAGAGGCGAATAGCGTTTCTGGAGAAAACGGCATGTAGATTCCGTATGTAAGGCGCTTCTCGACATGCAAAAATCCTTTAGTGAGAGCAGCCATCATGTTCTGGGATCTTTCTGAAAGCCGTACCTGGGTGGACCTCGGCGAATCTAGCAAAACAACCGAAGGTGATTTACGCGCGGTTAATACTTGGCACATTGATTTTTGCAACAAGACGTCGAAATGAAAGCGGACAGGCCGCCGCTCCGATCCCCTTGCTATAGCCTTCTTCAATCGATGCAAAAGTACCCACGCATGCCACTGTTCACGGAGCAGCGCGGTCGACGGCATCTGAAACAAATAAAGGGCATTTATGGAAAAACTATGGTTAAAGGGTGGTAATTAGAAATAAACAGTAATTAGAACCGGGAAACAGTAGGCGCAAGAATGGGCCAAGAAACAGCGACGTGTGGGGATAAAAACAGTAGGCAAGAGGGAGGCTCTCCAAAACATATTCGGGGAGTGGAAGCAAAACGTGCCCCCTTGCGTCTAGGGCGGGTTCATTTTACCGAGATGCGTCGATGGAGCGTTTCGCCTCATCGACTACATCGCGCAGTCGCACCGGGTCGTTCATGGTGTAGGACAGCGCGCGGACGTCCTGGCTCATATGCTCGAGGATCCACACAGTAAGCTTCGTCGAGTCCTTGTACCCCATGCCCTTGATGAGCGGGAACAGCTTGGAGCCCAGCTTCTTCTTGCGCTCTTGGTCGGGCTTGGACAGCAGCATCTCAATGTACTCCTCGACCTCAGTGCTGTAATCCTGCAAATGCAGTCCGGTGCTGGCTCCTTGGCGCTCCGGCTGCACTGGTGCAGGCGCAGTGACTGGCGGGCTGGGCTTTGGTGCCGGGTACTCGGCAAGCACAACGCGCTGCATCTGGCTGGTGATCGTCGCAGCCGGCTCCTTGTCGGCCGTGAGCTTCAGCTGCTCCTTGCGCGCGACCGTATGCTGCTCGACCTCCCACTCGGTGGCAAGGCGCTCGGGGTCGCGGATCAGGGCAACCACCTCCTCGACCGGCCGCCGCAGCAGCGACTCGACGACCCTTGCCGAGTCGCGCACGTCCACGGCTGGGTTCGAGGCGACCTCGGAGATCAGCTTTTGGGTCAGGATCTCGTTGCGCGCGTTCTCGGTCAGGTTCCGAAGCATGATCGGGTCCAGCAGCGGGTCGTTGTCGCTGGTTGCCGTGGCAGATCGCGAGGACAGCTGCGGCGACTGCGACTTGGCGCGGGGCGGCTGGATGGGCGGCTGGATGGGCGGCTGGACCGGGGGGCTGGATGGGCTGGGCTGGCTGCGGGACAGGCGACGCGCTGGCCCTCAGAGCCGGGTTGGTGGGCGGGGTATGCGAGGCGATGCGCGAATCAGCGCGGCTGGTGGCATTGGCAACCGGCTGGCCGTTCTTGTTTACGTGCTCGTACTGGTACAGCGTGATCTTGCGGCCCTTGATGTCGGTGCCCTGGCACTCGCGCAGCGCTTGCAGCGCGGCGGTCGGATCACTGAACTGCACGATCCCATGGCCACGCGACTTTTTCGTGACCGGATCGATGCTGACGCGCGCTGACTGGATGTACCCGTACGTCTTGAACAGCGCAAACAGCTCCTTGTGCGACACCGTTGGGTGCAGATTGGTGATGAACAATTTGCCAGGCACAATGACGCCGCCCAAACCATTGCCCGGGCCCTCATTGACCACCGGGCTGCCAGCACGCTTCGGGTGCATGCCTGTGGGCGTCGTTGGTATCTGCGGCATCGGCAGCTCGGCGCTGCTGCGCACGGGCGACACTGGCTTCGGGACAAACTCGCTGGGCGACATGCTGGCGCGCGACGATCGCGGCGCCCGTGCAGGCTGCACAAGCACGGTGTTGCCCAGGAAATCGGCGTAGTTGAGCTGCTCGACGGCCATATTGGCGTCGGTGCTGTCAATGTAGCATGCCATTGCAAAGTCCTTCTTTAGCCCATTCGCGTGCACTGGAATGCTGCATGCATAGAGCGGCCCCACGGGACGCAAAAAGTCGTAAAGTGTGAGCTCGGTTGCATCCTCTGGAATGTGCTTGATACACACGTATCCGGCCTGCGGTGGGTATGCGAGCTCGCTGCCATGCAGGGGTGACATCATCAGCGTTCCGTTGCTGTTTTGCAGCTTCCGTCTGTTGAGGACTGCCATGGCCTTCTCGGCTAAAACCCGCAGGGGAAGGGGAAAGGAGAAATGCGGTGTCAGTGTTTGTTGCGAGAATTGGCGGGGAGCGGTTACCTATGGTTGTTACTTACTGTCGTCGATGTTGCGGAACTCGACGTTGCCAGTAATGCTGTCTGACTCGTGCGGGTCCACATTGAGGCGAATGCCACGGCTCGACTTGAACAGCTGCTGCAGCTCTGGCAGCGACTGCTCGTTGACGCCCTGGAAGTACAGCACCCGCCTGTGCATTTGGTCCCATCCGGCCTGCCACTGCGCATTCTGTGCCTCAGACTGGCTTTGCCCGCGCGACCTGCTTTGCGGAAACTGCTGCGGCATTGGCGCAGGGTCATTGAGGTTCAGCGCAACTGGCGCGTCTGGCTGCTTCAGCGGCGACAAATCTGTATACGAGACCATTTTGAGAAGGGCAATAGGTTTTTTTTTTTTTAAAAAAAGAAAAATACAGTATGTACTAGTTTGCTCACGAGTAAAAGAAAGCGAGAAAAAAATGGTTTGGGGTCAGAGGAAGAGAAAAATGAGCAGCGATCCAAGGTCTTGCAACAGGTCAACATTGACAGTGACTGAGACACGGCCCTCTCCACATTTTCTCCTTGCTTGGGTGGGCAGGTTTCCGGCGTGCTTCCCAATTCCCCTCCCGCAAACCTCATACTCGGCAAGCTATCAGGAGGTCAGGCAGCGCCGTAACCGTCGTCCTACTACGAGGCGGATATCGAGATAGCAAAAACCATACTTGCCAATGCAGTCCCCCGGTGCACTGATGACTGTTGCCAGTGCAAAAGGAAGGCAGATCTGTAGGCGACTAAATGAAGACTAGAATCCAACAAAAACCTGGCATCAGCCAACAATGGCTGCAGTGCCGGCAGCTTGCACTGTGCCGAAAAGGGCAAACAGAAGGCACTTGCTGCCAGGGCTATTGAGCTAGTTCAAACATGCGGTTAGAAACCACTGGGCAAAGTAAAAATATTGCGCAAGGTTTTGCATGTGCGGTTGCTGGAAGCAACACCCTCTGTGCGACATGAATTCAGGAGGCGCTATTCCATGTTTCTGCAGCCAGCGGTATAGACTGGGTGGCATCCCCTCCAGCTTGCCAAACTCCAGCTGGCAGCTGTGTGGGCTGAGCTCTACCAGGTTCCTGTCCCAGATGCGAATCAGATCAGCAACCAAAATCATTGAATCCAGATCCAGCATTGGATCAGTCCATTATCAGATATCACGGGCAGTGACGCTGATTGGCCAATGCGGTGGCTGACGATAAAAAAGGTTGCCTTTAAAAATTTTTTGGGGAGCGCGGCTATAAAGCCTGGTCAACCGCAGTGTCTCTTCCGCGAGACTTTTCTTATCCACTTATCTGTTTGAAATTCAGCAAAAACAACACTTTTCCACCTGTACTTTTCTCCCCTTATCACACACCCTTCATAATAAGCATGTTCAAGACACTCGTCTCTACTTCTCTGCGCCAGGCCACCGGCATCCGCACGACACCGGCAGGTTTTGGGGCGGCCCGGCGGTTCTACCACGAGAAGGTCATTGACCACTACGAGAACCCGCGCAACATGGGCTCCTTGGATAAGAACGACCCGACAGTGGGCACGGGCCTAGTGGGGGCTCCGGCGTGCGGCGATGTGATGCGGCTTCAAATCAAGGTGGACGATGCGGGCAATATCACCGACGTCAAGTTCAAGACGTTCGGGTGCGGGTCGGCCATTGCCTCGTCGTCGTATATCACGGAGCGGGTGCGCGGAATGAGCCTGGACGACGCGATGAAGATCAAGAACACGGAGATTGCCAAGGAGCTGTGCTTGCCGCCAGTGAAGCTCCACTGCTCGATGCTGGCTGAGGATGCGATCAAGTCGGCCATCAAGGACTTTAGGAAGAAGCGCGGAGGAGAGGTCATCCACAGCGAGGGCGCCAAGCCTACCGCTGCTCAGGCCTTGGCGTAAAATGGAGGAAAACGGCTGGCGGGCATGTGCTGTGGGGGGTTTCTTTTTCTTCTTTTTTCTTCTTCCCCCTTTCTTCACAAAGAGAGGCGGGGGAGTGGCATGCGAAAGGGAGCGTATCGGCAGCGCGAGTGGTCAGCAGATACCAGGGCACACAAAGTTTTTTCTTGTGCCTTCGTATCGATGAGTCAGGTTGAAGACATTGGGCGGGATTTACGCTCCGCCTTCATGCCAGGCTCGGCTCAACCCTTTGCCCTCGGTGCAAAACAAGCGCACATGCCTATCGTCTGCACCTGGCCCTGCTGGCTCCCCCTGTTCAGCGCACTCACACGAGAGGTTTAAGCAGTATCTTTCGAATGTAAAGTATTTAACTTTTTTCTTTCTTTCTATTCGATGCCACGCCCGGGCGAGAGTGATATGTAAAATGGGCCGTCAGATAAGCGAGCACTAGCGCGGCTTCCAGAGCTTGTCCAGTCTGGCCCCCGGCTTCGGTTTCCCTCTGCGAGCGCGCGTGTCAACCACAACAGTCAGATTTATCCGCACCAGCAGAGTCTGCAGCGCATCCTTGGCCCTGGTTTTGTCCATATTATCCGCGCGGCCGTCGGCAATGCGGCGATTAGCCATGGCCAGCTTGGCATGGATCAGGGCGACCTCCTCGGGCACGTCCCTCAGCGCGTCCAGCGAATCCAGCACATTCCCCAGCAGTGCGACGCAGGCGGCCAGGCGCGCAAAATCAGCACCAGCGTGGACCCCCAGCACATCGTCGAGGAGCTCGCTGGCCATGCGCACGATCAGCTGCGGCGGCAGCACAATCCTGCTGGCCAGGTCATCGGCCGGCCTGCCGGCCATCCACAGCATGGCGAACGCCAAAGTGCGTCTTACCTGCATCGAGCGCGCATTGCCAGCCGGCATGCGCTCCACCAGCGCAGCCTGCATAGCCACCGGCATCGGCTGCAGCCGCCTAGCCATATGCTGCACGTAATCGGGCCACACCACCGACCACTTGCTGCGCGGCACCACCCGGGCCATCAGACCCGCCAGGCTGCGCTGGTTGGCAGCCAGCCATTGCTGGTTCCGGTGGTCCAGCATGGTCTCGCATACTAGCTGCAGCGCCTGTGCGGTATCTGCAGCCGGCATGCATTCGTCCAGAGAACGCGCGGCCACGCCGAGCACATGCTGGATGCGCTGCCCATTGCCGCCCGCTCGACTGCTGGTGCGCTGTGGCCGGCACAGCTGGACGGCGTCAGCTGGCGGGCCCTGCAGTTGCTCCAGCGCAGCCTGCAGTTGCGCCAGGCTTAGCTGCCATTGCGACATGTGGGCATCGAGGAACCCTGCCAGGGTGCCGAATGCTGCCATTGATGTCCGCAGGCTGCGGCTATTGACGACCAGGCGCAGGAGCAGGTCGCCCATGCCTGGCGACAGGCGCCAGCCCATATGCAGCCGCTGGGCCAGCCACTGCGAGCCCACCAGGCGCTCAATAGCCAGCGGCCGTGCCCCTATGCATAGCCTGTCGACCGGATCCTCACTGTCCAGCGCATGCACTGGCGCCAGGGCCTTGCCATTTGGCCCAGCAAACATCGACACGCTGACCGCTTTGTACATGTCGCCAGTCGCCGCACCCAGCTGGGCCCGGATCCTGTCGGCCTCGTCTTGGTCCAATTCCAGCATCCCAATAGCCTCCAGCTCCTCGCCCTCGTCGCTGCTCTCCATGGGCTGGTCGAGGACCGCCAGGTCGTATTTCTTTTTGCTGCGGTCGCGCACCAAGCTCTTCAACGAGTTCCTGTACAGGGGTTTTGGGGTCACCGCAGTTTGCACGGGTCGTTTGGGCGATACTATCTCGACTATTGGCGATGTCGAGGAGCTCTGGCTGGACGGCTTGGGCGTGCCGAGGATGCTGTCAATGTCAATGAGCTCGTCGTCCGAGCTGTCGCTGATCAATATTGTCCCGTCCATCTTTGCTGCCAGATCGCTGCTGGCAGACCGTGTGGGTGTGGCCGAGCCGAAGAATTTGTCCAGGCTTGGCTGTTTGCGCGTGGGCTCAGAGCGCGGCGCTGGTTTGATGTCAAAGAACTGCCCTAGCGTTGGCTTTTGCTTGGGCTTGCGTTTGGGCGGCATGGTGTCGTAAAAGGAAAATCCTGGGAATGCAGTGGTGAGGTGTGACTGCGGACTGAAGGTGCAGAATTCACACTACATCCAACACCTCAATATACGGATGCCCTGATAATGGGCACATGCCGATATTGATATAAACTAGCAGTCCACACCAAAATGCGACAAACAGCGTCTGGTTCGCATGGAGGTGGGCTTGGATCGCAAGCATGGGGCTGATAGTATTAATATAAATTTTGATGTATGGATGAATTACAAGATACGCCCTAGTCATTTGGGTCCCAGTAGTGGATGTTTGACACGGGCACAGCGATTGAGCTAAGTTCGTGCTGCGTCGACAAGACCAGCGGCAGCGTCGGATGGAACAGATAGTGAGCACCGCTCTTCTGCTGCCCCGCGTCATCGCCCACCGCCAGCCCATCGCCGTCATTGCCCGGCGCCAGCACAAAGCGCAAGGCGCCGGTGGCCCGGTCGTAGAATTTAATGGGCGCGCTCTGCGTGACCCTGAACCTTTCAATGCCCTGGCGCATCCGGGTGCTGCATTTAAACACGACCGGGTCGAGATACGGCGAGGTCTGCAGGGTCTGCGGGGCAACCGGCAGCAGTGCCGCGGCCTTGCGCGCAGCCTGCACTGGCCCGCCCGACCGCGTCTGCCTGATCCCCGCCTGCGACGCCATGAAGGCCTCGCGCAAATACACGTCATTGGCCAGCGACGGCGACACGCCCACCATTGGCGCGCGGAACATGTCCATGCGCGTCTCGACCTCCTGGGCAAGCGCCAGATCCGAGGTGTCCCAGATATTGCCGAACCTGGTGGTTTCGATATCGTACTCGGCCAGCAGCGAGAACGAGTTGGCCAGGTTGGCCGATAAGTTGTGCTGCGTGTGGGAGCGCGAAATGGCCGTCTGCACCGGCACAAAGCGCATCAGCAATGTGGAGCTCGTCAGGAACTGCACCCGCCACACCACCAGCCACTCGTACAGCTGGTACGTGCGGTAGAAATGCTGCGTGCCCGCCACCGACTCCCTGGCGCGCAGAAACAGCGTCGCCAGCAACCGCTGCTTCAGCCCGCTGAGCGGGGCAATCGCCAGTGACGGCTCCAGCGACGCAAGGCTCCCGTCGGCCTCGCCGCGGCCCTGCTGCATGGTACGCGTCACCATCATGCGGTAGTGCGGCGGGAACCGCTGCAGAGTTTGCAGGTGCAGCACAGAGATCCTCCGTGCTGCGTCCATGGTTTCTGCCGACACCGCGGTTGCCTGCAGAGGCGCAGTTGCCATGCTGGGCGATATTGTGCCCGACGGCGGATGCCCCAGGAGTGTCTGCACGCTGGGCGAGAACGGGAAGATAAACGGCGTCTGCTCCCGGCTGCCCAGGGCGCCAGGCTCCGCGTCAGCCGCGGTGCTGGCCAGCATCAATGCCGCCTCGAGCCGCCGCTGCCGCTTGGCTGCCGGGCTCAGCTCCGCCAGTCGCGCAGTCTCTGCCCGGCGCTTCCGCTGGCACCGCAGCTCCCGTATCCGCAATTCCTCCTCGTATATGCCGTCGTCCTGGCGCGTGTACCATCCGATTTCCTGAATATCCACCAGCCGCCCTGTATCAATCTTCATCAGCCTTACGCACTGGTACTTTAGCGACACCACGCAGAGCCGGTCCTGGTACAGACTGAGACCGTTGTGCCCGCCCAAGTATATAATGTCGTTTGGGTATTCGCGAGTATCCACAATGTTGCCCGTGCCCAATTCCACAACCAGCAGCGTCATGTCCTCCACTGCATTGACGCACGACAATGTGTTTGGATACACCGCCCGTGATGCTTGCTGCCCGCTATTGTTGAATGTGCTGGCAATGCCTGTGCGCCGCAATCTGGCCAAAATCAAGTACCCGTTGTCTGTGACCAAGCACACTTCGCGGTGCAGCGACTCACCCACCCCGACATAATCTCGCGCCCACGCCAGCCGGAAGAACTCACTAAACCCCTTGCTCTTATCACCTGTCCCCGCTGAGCTTGTCGATGCCCGCTGCACCCGGTATACTTGCAGCCCAGACAAATTCCGTGTGAATGCAACAAGGTACTATAAAAAGGGGGAGGTATCAGCTCGTTTCCCGCTTTTCTCTTTTCTTCTTTCCAAGCGGCAAAAATAGCGAGCGAACTTTGGCGCTGGGTATCTTACATTGCCATCGGGTGAGAACCGTCGAAAGTTGCAGTCAGGTGTCTCGATGTTGTGGATGGTGCGGTTCGGGTATACAAACGAGTACACCTGCGACTGCCGCCGCTTGCTTGTATCGCTGCTTGTCTGCCGCCGCCGCAAAAGCCGTGGTAAATTTGTGTCTGGGTTCATTAGGCTGAAGTAAAAAAAGAGAATAGAGACGTCGTATTAGTATCCAGGAAAAGTACAGGGAAAGTATACTGACCAGAGGGAGAAACAAGAAAAAAGGTGGCGACTGGCAGAAAGCCTCGCAAAGCAGCGACTCTTGCCGCCTTCGGATTACTGATTCTGATCACATCATCCATGGCTCGCAATCCAACAAGAGATGAGGACATGTATTTCCGGATATCCCCTCCTCCTTGGCACATGTCGGAACGTACTGGACACACAAGATTACTTCAAAAAAGAAATATATCCTATGAATACTAATCATTACAGCAAAAAGAAGAGGGGAAAGGGGACGATATCTCAATGTCTACCACAGCACCATGACCACGATGCTGGCAATGAGAATCAGCACGCCCAGGGCCCGCCAAATCGACAGCTTGCGCTTGGGCATGTGCAGCCAGCCAAAATGGTCAATCACGCATGCAGTGATAAGCTGCGCGCCCACCACAATGCCCAGAACCTCTGCGGGACCCAGCCTGACCAGCGCCAGCGTGTTCAGCACGACAAACAATACGCCCCACACGAACCCCGACCACTCCCACCAGTCCGCCGACTTGAGCTCGGCCATCGTCGTCTTGTGGAAAAACATATAATCGACAATCGCCATAGCAGACAGCACTACCATGCCCACGCCTTGGCAGATAAACGACGTAAAGTATCCGTCCGTCAGCACCGCCAGCCGGCTGTTGGCGCCCGCCTGGATGCCAAGCGCCGCCCCGGCCGCAATCAGGATCACGTAGTCGAGCAGAGCGGCGGCACTGAAAAACCGCCGGATGAAGTCCCTGGTATTAGAGTGCCTTTGCTGGCCTGAAGATGCCAGGATCGTTGGTGAGTCGGTGACTGTCGCCTTGCCCGGTGTCTCGATCGATCCCTCATTGTCGAGCTTTGCCGGCACCGATCCGACGCTGGTGGTGGGGCTGTCCATCAAGGGGAGATGCTATTGATAGGGGGAAACGAGTGAATAAGAGCCCTGTGGGGACAAGCTGTGTGCTAGCTATGGCGATAGCTAAAAGACGGCAAAGCAAAATGAGAAACGTACATCTTGTTCAACTTTTAAGAAAGAAAAGGTTGGAAAGAGGTGTGGTGTGAAAATTTTTATACCTCCTTCCAGCAGTCAGTGCGCCAGGCTCTTCCGTTTGCACGATAAAGGCTCTTTTTCGGTGCTGGCTGGGCGCTGAGTGGTGCAGCCAGTTCGGATCGCTCCAGTGTAACCGTCCCCAAACACTCGACGTATTTAAGCAATACTCCGGGAGACGGAAAAAAATTGTTGAGAGCGTGCGAAGGAAATGTGATCTTGAGCTAGAGCCAAACCACACTGGATCGATCCAGCCACAGTGTGCTGTTAGAAAAGTACCAGATGGGCCAACCTTAGCTCATCCACGACGCTTCCTTTGCGGCTGCCCACTTGGTGGTGATCTTGCGGCGATAAGAGAAGAACTCGATGCCGCCGTCGCCGGTGATATCGCCGAAGCCAAACTTGCTGCGGTTGATGCCGCCGAACGAGAACGGCTCGCGCGGGACCGGCACGCCAATATTGACGCCAATCATGGCAGCCTGGAACCGCTGCGAGAAGTACTCGGCAGCGCCGCCCGACTGCGTATAGACACAGGCGGCATTGCCGTAGGTGTTTGCGTTCTCGACCCTCAGCGCCTCGTCAGCACTGGCCACCTGCAAAATGGACAGCACGGGACCAAAGATCTCGAAATGCATGGCAGTGTCGTTGGCGGAGTTCTGGCGGATCACGGTCGGACCCACCCAGAACCCGCCGGACATCTGGCTCTGCGCACTGAATGCCTCGGAGATCCGCCCATCGAGCAGGATTTGGGCGCCTTCGGTCTCAGCACCAGAAATGGCGCTGCAGATCCGGTCGACTGCCTGCTGGTCGATCACCGGGCCCATGGCGCGCGCATCACTGTCGCTACCCGGCTTCAGCTGGCTGGCCTTGGCCACAATGCGGCGGATCAGCTCCGGCTGGTCGCCAACTACCAGGAGCACGCTGGCAGCCATGCAGCGCTCGCCGGCGCATCCGGTGAACGAATTGACCACGTCCTGGGCCGTCAGCTCAATGTCGCAGTCGGGCAGCGCTACCAGGCAGTTCTTGGCGCCGCCCAGAGCCAGCACACGCTTGTTCAGACGGGTTCCGCGCCAGTGCACCTGCTCGGCAATGGCCGAAGTGCCGACAAACGTCACGGCAGCCACATCCGGGTGCTCCAGCAATGCCGCTGCCGCATCCTTGTCGCCATGCACGATGTTGAGCACACCCGCAGGCAGAATCGGCTTCGCCAGCTCGGCCACACGCGTCATGGTCAGCGGCACCTTCTCCGAGGGCTTCAGCACATACGTGTTGCCCATGCCCAGAGCAATCGGGATGGCCCAGAACGGCACCATGAAGGGGAAGTTGAACGGCACGATGCCGCCCACCACGCCCAGGGCGACCCGCTCGTCGCGGCATAGGATCCCCGAGCTGACGTACTCGTTCTTACCCTGCACCAGCTGCGGCAGGCTCAGCGCGTACTCGAGCGTCTCCAGGCCCTTGGACACATCGCCGATGGCCTCGGTCTTGTTCTTGCCGTGCTCCCGCACCACAAGGTCTGCCAGCTCGTCTGTATGCGACTTGAGCTCGTTGTACAAGGCCAGCAGGTATGCCGACCGTGCCTTGAATGTCAGGCTGGACCACTTGGGGAATGCTGCCTTGGCCGACTCCACCGCCTGTGCCATGTCTGCCGAGGTCGACAGCGGCACATAGGCGATCGTCTCGCCTGTGTGCGGAGTCGTCACCGCCAGAGTGCTGGTGCTTGAGGCTGCCTGTGCCTGGTTTCCGATAAAGTTCTTGAGAAGAGGCAGGTCGCTCGACATGTTTGAGTGATATAGATTGAGACTTGGGCTGTATGAGAAAGAAATATGCAGAAGAGAAGAGTGGTGTGGTCTTGTCAGCAGACATGTCGCCTATATCGTGCAGCCCACTCGTCTGCCCGCCTGCCTGCGTGCAGAGCGGCTCATGTCATGTGGTCAAACAGCAATAGTAGATTTCTAGTAGTTGTCTTTGCAGCCAGGCAAAAAAGGGCTCTCCTGCTCGGACAACAAAGCAGCGCGCCACCTCCATGCGCAACCATCCCTGAGCCACACATATTTGCAACGTAATTCCAACGTAATTCCAACGTAATTCCAACGTAGTGCGAGAAAATAGTAGATTATGAAATGGAAAAATTAGAGATAGTTCTTCTCCTGCAGCGCCTGCTGCTGCTCGGGCGGGATCTCGGTCCACAGCGCCGCCTTGACAGAGTCGTCGAGCGACCCGATGGTCTTCTTCATCGCCTCGACCATCGCCGCCTCCAGCTGCTGCTCGAACGAGCACACCGCCAGGCCCTCAGCCAGCACCTTGACCAGGTGCTTGACCGCCACAGGGTCGTTGCCGCGCAGCAGCAGGTCCGGCTGCTCGCTCAGGATCTGCAGCAGATAGCTGTATGTGCCAGGGGCCTCCTCCTCGTCATTGGAGATGGGCAGCGCCTGGAACCACGCCTGCAGCACGCCCTGGGCGTCGGGCAGCTTGCCAGAGTGCGCGCGCAGCAGCTTGGCAATCGCCGCCACAGCGTTCTCGGTGGCATAGACGTTCTCCTCGCTGCGCGCGTTCGGGCTGCTGATGACAGCCAGCAGCGAGGGAAGCCCGACGCTGACCAGGAACTCGAGATAGGCGTCGCCGCCATACTGGGCCATGATTCCAATGCCGTAGGCGGCGGCCTGGCGCAGGTCAGGCGCACTGTCCTGCTGCACCGCAGTAACGATGGGCTGCAAAAAGTCGCCGGCAACCTGCCACGACGCAGGCCCGCCAAACTCGACCAGGTCGTCGAACACACAGATCGCCCACTGGCGAGCCGACGAGTCCTGCTCTGCCAGGTACTTGTGGGCGACATGCAGCAGCGGCTGCGTGAACTGCAGGTACTTCACGCCGTGTGTCTTGAGCACCGCGTGCACCGCCTTGGCCACCTCGTCGATCGTCAGGCCCTCAATCAGCTCCTCCTCGGCCAGCTGCTCCTCGTCGTCCTCGTCGAGCTCCTGCGCCTTGCGCGCCTCCTCGCGGTCCTTCATGCGCTGGTAGTACTTGTCCATCTGCTCAACAGCTGCCGCGGTGAAGTTGGTCATCTGCTCGTCGGTCATCGAGTTCTCGCCGACAATCTCCAGGCACTCGGCGAACGAGTTGAACAGCTGCAGCGTGAACGTATCGTCTTCCTCGTGGGCCAGCACAGAGATGTACTGCGGGCAGATCGAGCTCCACACTTGGCGAAGCGAGTCGATCTCGCCAGCCAGCTTGACCGACGCCAGGACCGGCGGCACTGCGGCGGCCGCAGCGGTGCGCACGCCCTCGTGGAAGTAGAACTTGAACAGCGGGATCAGAATCTCCAGAATCTCGGCCGCATACGACACAAAGTTGGCGCCCATGTCCTTGGCGTACGAGATGATCAGCTCAACCGCGGTGCACTTCTCTTCCAGCGTGCTGGTCTTGATGCCGATCTGCTGTCCGCCAAAGCTGGCAAACTCCCAGCCGTCCTCGGCCGAGTAGTTGGCCTCTGCGTCCTCGCCAGACTCCAGGATCGCAAAGTCGGGCTGCAGCTTGGCCGAGGCGATCAGCGGCGGCATCACAACAGGCAGAATCGGCGCAAAATCGGCGCCCATGATCTTGCACAGGCGCGCCCATGCCGCCTGCAGGTAGCTGGCCTGGGGATCATCCGGGTCGGTGACCGACTGCTGCGTGGCAGTCAGCAGCTCAATGAACCGCTTGGCATCCGGCGAGAACACCTCCATGCCAACGGCCAGCGCAATGAAGGTCGCGCACTCCATGGCCTTTCCGCGCAGCAGGCGGTGCTCGACGTCGGTGGCCTGCTCCAGCACATTGAGCAGCATGGGCATGATGGTGCCATAGTACTTCTTGAACCGCTCCTGCGCATTGTCGGCAAGGGTGGCAATGGTCGTGATCGCCTGCTCCTGCACGTACCGCTTGTTGGACTCGAGCATCAGCATCAGGCGCTGGAACAGAGTGTCCAGGTACGGGTCCAGCACGCGCTTGTTGGCCTCCTCGGCAAAGTTGACCATTGCCGCAGCAGCGTGCGTCTGGACACGCGGGTTGGCCGCGTCCTCCATGGTCGGGATCAGGCTCGACAGGACCAGCTGGTGGTGCTGCTCCTGCAGCGTGGGCGCATAGTCGGTGGCCATCTGCCCGATGCAGTTGCACACGGCGTAGCGGACACGGGGATGCGGGTCCTGGAAGTACGGCACAATCAGCTCCAGGATCTTCTGCAGCTCATGGCGCATGATCTTGTAGCAGCCCTCGCCAATCGACGAAATGGCCATCAGCGCAGCGTGGCGCTGGCTCCACTCCTGCGAGCCCAGCATCTGCGGGATAAAGTTGAACGCAATCGGCAGCAGCTGCTTCCCGCCCAGCGCAATCGCCAGACGGTCCATCGACTGCTCGCCGAAAACGTAGTTCTCGTCATTGTCGCTGTCCTCCAGTGTGTCCGTGGTGTACCACTCCGGCTCCTCCTCGATGCTGCTCATCATCTGCATGCACACCGGCACGATCGACTGGCAGAACTGCGTGTTCTTGCGGCACATGCCCGGCGACGACTCGGCCAGCGTCACCAGCAGCTCAATCGCTGTTTGCCGTGTTGCGTTCTCAAACTCGTCGTTCTTGCCGATCTCGGTCGAGAAGGTGATCAGGTTGCTCAGCACGCTGCGGAACAGCTTCGGCGACTCCTCCGCAGGCTCGATCAGTGCCGACAGTGCCTCGACCAGGTTGGCCTCGTCCTTGTCGCGCAGCAGGGGCTCCAGAACGCTGAGCATGTGGGGCACCATCGTGGCCAGCGCCAGGCGCTGCTTATCGTCGGCAGACAGGATATACGCCACTGCCGCCTTCAGCGCAGCCAGGCGCACGCTGGCGTCCGAGTCCTGGAAGGCGCCGATGAACGCGCTGTTGACAGCATCAGCCGGCTGCTTGGCCAGCAGGTACGGGCACAGGCTGAAGATGCGGTATGCGCTTTCGCGAAGCAGCGCATTGCCGTCCTGGGCGCAAGAGTACAGCGCAGGCAGCAGATCCGGCCACTCGCCCTGGGCTAAAGAAATCAACACAAATAACAATGCAATTGTTGAGCGGTGCAGTTGTAATACGCATCCGGTTTTGTTTTGGCTTTTCTTTTCTGGGCAATCCGTGCCTGGAATTCATGGCTGCAGCGATGGCTCGAGTGTCAATGGAAAAGGCCCGCCTGAAAGCAGGTTGGCCTGCCACCCAAGATTCTCGCTCCTCCATCCCCCAAACAAGAACAGCGCTGCTGTGGCAAGCAGCACAGCAAAAAGCCTTTCTCGCCAGTACTAACCTTCGTCGTTGTTGATGTCGGCGATGGTGTCGCACACCTTGTGCCGGGCTGACCGGTCAGTCTCGTCGCACAAGGCACCAAGCAGCTCGCCCTTGACGCTGGCACGCACATCGGCCGGCACCTTGCTCCACACCGTGTACGCGTCCTCCTTGCTGTCGGTTCCAGGGGCATCCTGCAGCGCAATGCGGCGCAGGAGCACCGACGCGAAAGCGCGGGCCTGCGCATCGGGCGCCTGGTGGATCAGGTAGGCAAGGCTGCCCACCACCACCTGCGGCTGGGTCATAACCCACTCGTTGGTCAGCGCGGCCTCGGCCTGCGTACGCTCCGTGTTGTCAGACGACATGAGGCTGCCCATCAGGGTCTGCAGCTGCGCAGCTGACTGAGAAAACTGGCTCATTTTTGTTTGGTGCTTGGAGAGGAGAAATGTCGCTTAACAGCTGTGAAATGTACAAGGAAGAGAAAATGTATATAAATTTTGAGCGTAGGAGCAAGTGCAGAAGAATGGCCCTTTCCTAGCGTACACTGGTTTGGTGTTCCGGCAAAGCCTACGTCAAAAGATAATATAGTGGAAGTTGGTAAGGAGTGCTTGGAGCGAGAAGGAAAAAGAAAGGGGACCTCGGTCGCCTTCGGCCGCATGTCCTGCTGCTATGACTGGAGGCATACATATTCGCCCCTCGAGTAAAATTTTTTACCTTCAACATAGTCGCCTATCATCCTCAAAGAGAGCTGATCTGCAGGGAGTAAACTTGATGTTTGTTGATTTCTGAGACCGGATTGAATTGGGCAGCGCAAACGCTACTGGGCGCTCGGGAAAGTGGTAAACACTACATGCAGCCTTGGAATGGACTTTTTTGCGGAGAGACCGCTAGAAGGCAGGCATTGCCACCTGCAACTGACTGTCGCCGGTGTTTCTCTTCCTTGGATATTTTTTCTTTGCTTTAACTCTGCTTTTTTCTCCCTTCCTTTTTCGCTCTGACAATGTCTGACTATGAGTCTGATGGTTCGGCGTTTTCGCTGGGAGATAGCGTAAGTATCGCGCTACTATTGGAGAAAAAGCATGCGCATTGACGCTCACCGATTAAGCAGCAGCGGGCCTGGACGCGTATACTAAAAGGGGTTCATGCGCTATTGTTCGACGCGTATTTGACTGTAGCCTGTCCGCCCCAAGGCTAAACCGGCGGCTGTGAGGAAGGCCCCTGCCAAAAAGACTGGCAGCAAGCAGACAATCGATGATGTGTTTGCCGACTACGCGACCGACAGTGGCAACACTAGCGCCAGCGCCAGGCGAGAGAAGGTCGAGGACATTTACAAGAAGAAGACGCCGCTTGAGCATATCCTGCTGCGCCCTGACACGTACATTGGTTCAGTCGAGCCCATCGATGCAGACATGTGGGTCATGGACATGTCCACCAAGCGCATGGCGTACCGCAAACTCACCTACACGCCCGGCCTCTATAAGATTGTCGACGAGATTCTGGTCAATGCCGCCGACAACAAGGTGCGTGACCCGACGATGCGGAAGATCGAGGTGACCATCAACAAGGAGACTGGCGAGATATCGGTGCTAAACGACGGCAAAGGGATTCCTGTCGAGATCCACAAGGAGGAGAAGGTGTACGTGCCAGAGATGATTTTCGGGCACCTCTTGACCTCATCCAACTACAACGACGACCAGAAGAAGATCACCGGTGGACGCAACGGCTACGGCGCCAAGCTGTGCAACATCTTTAGCACCGAGTTCACTGTCGAGACTGCGGATTCATCGGAGAAGAAGAAGTACAAGCAGCTGTTCACTGACAACATGAAGACGATCAACAAGCCGTCGATCACAAAGTATAACAACAAGAGCGAGTACACCAAGATCTCGTTCAAGCCCGACTTTGCAAAGTTCAACATGACGCACCTCGACGATGACACCGTAGCACTGATCACGCGCCGTGTCTACGATCTGGCTGGAACCATCCCTGGTATCAGGGTCCTGCTCAACGGCGAGGTCATTCCGATCAGGAACTTCAAGTCTTACGTCGAGCTGTATCTGCTGCCGCCGGTAAACAGCGAAGAGCCGGGTGGCATAAAGTCGCAGGACATCGTCTACAAACGGTTCAACGACCGCTGGGAGGTTGCGTTTGCCGTGTCCGAGGGGCAGTTCAACCAGGTCAGCTTTGTCAACAACATCAACACTGTGCGCGGCGGCACCCATGTCAATTATATTGCCGACCAGATCGTCAAGAACTTCATTGCGACGAACAAGAAGAACAAGGTTAACATCAAGCCGCACCAGGTCAAGAACAACATATGGCTGTTTGTCAACAGCCACATCACCAACCCGGCATTTGACTCGCAGACCAAGGAGACACTAACCCTGCGCGTATCGGCCTTTGGCTCAAAGTGCGAGATTACTGATGACTTCATGAAGGGCGTGGCCAAGTCTGACCTGAAGGATATGGTTGAGATGATGGTCAGGCGCCGCGAAGAGCGCGACCTCAAGAAGACCGACGGGTCGCGCACCAGCCGGATCACGGGCATTGACAAGCTCGATGACGCCAACATGGCTGGCACAGCCAAAAGCAAGGAGTGCACGCTGATTCTGACTGAGGGAGACTCTGCCAAGGCGCTGGCTGTGGCTGGACTGGGCGTTCAGGGACGTGACAAGTTTGGGATTTTCACGCTGCGCGGAAAGCCGCTCAATGTGCGCGACGCGTCTGCCCGGCAGATCGGCGACAACCAAGAGTTCACCAATATCAAGCGGATCATGGGACTCAAACACGGCGCCAAGTATTCGTCAGCCGACCAGCTGCGCTACGGTCATATTCTCATCATGGCCGATCAGGATGTCGATGGCAGCCATATCAAGGGCTTGCTTCTAAACATGTTCGACTCGATGTACCCGGGCCTGCTCGAGGTGAATGGCTTCATGCAGCAGTTCATCACGCCCGTCGTGCGCGCTACTAACAACCGCAACAAAAAGCTGATCCACAACTTTTACACCGAGGCAGAGTACAAAAAGTGGTTCGAGAGCGAGCCCAACGCAGCCAAGAACTGGACGATCAAGTACTATAAGGGTCTGGGTACGTCGAAGGAGGCCGATGCGCGCGAGTACTTCAAGAAGCTCGACTTCCACCGCAAGACCTTTGCCCCTGCACAGTCTGAGGATCGCCGCCTGCTCGACATGGCGTTCAACAAGAAGAAGGCCGACGACCGCAAGGAGTGGCTGGCCTCCTACCAGCCGGGAGAGTGGATCGACAACAACCAGACATCCGTCAGCGTCCAAGAGTTCATCAACAAGGAGCTGGTTTTGTTCTCAATCGATGATAACAGTCGGTCTATCCCATCGGTTGTCGATGGTCTGAAGCCTGGTCAGCGTAAGATTCTGTGGACATCGCTAGTCAACAACATCAAGAGTGAGATCAAGGTTGTAGCGCTTCAGGGAAAGGTCACTGAGAAGGCAGCCTACCACCACGGCGACCAGAGTCTGGTTGCCACCATTGTCAACATGGCCCAGGACTATGTCGGCAGCAACAACATCAACCTGCTCGTGCCCGAAGGAAGTTTCGGTACTCGTCTACTCGGCGGTAAGGATGCTGCCAGCGCTCGTTACATCTCGACATTCCTGAGCGCGATCACACGCTCGATCTTCCACAAGAACGATGATGCCTTGCTCGAGAACCTCACCGATGACGGAAAGGTCGTTGAACCGCGCTGGTATGTCCCGGTGATTCCAATGGTCTTGGTCAACGGTGCGGACGGTATTGGTACAGGATGGAGCACGTCGATTCCGAACTACAACCCGACCGACATTATAAACAACATTCGTCGCTTGATGCGTGGCGAGGAGCCGGAGACTATGGTACCATGGTACCGTGGGTTCCGCGGCATGATCGAGCGCGTGAGCTCCGACCGCTTCCGCACGCTGGGAACCATCGAGAAGATCTCTGACGACCAGCTGCACATCTCTGAGCTGCCGATTCGCGTGTGGACCGATACATACAAAGCGCTGCTGAACACATGGATGACCAGCGACAAGGGCCCTGCGATCATCAAGGACTTCCGCTACAATTCGTCGACCCTCACGGCTGACATTGTGCTGAAGCTGACGCCCGACCAGATGCAGAAGGCCGAGGCCGAGGGCTTCGACAAGCGGTTCAAGCTCTCATCAACCATTGCCACGTCCAACATGGTGTGCTTTGACCGCGAGGGCCGGTTGCGCAAGTACGGGTCGGCAGAGGAGATTATCTCAGACTTTTACTCGCTCCGCCTGCGCTACTATCAGCTGCGCAAGGAGAAGCTGGCTGAGCAGCTGGGCCGCGAGCTGCAGCGTGCCGACAACCGTGCCCGCTTTGTGCTTGAGATTATCCAGAAGAAGCTGGCAATCAACAACCGCAAGCGTGCCGACATCATTAAGGACCTGCGTGACCGCGACTACACGCCGATCCCCAAGGAGGTCAAGGTTCGCGTTGCCGGCGATCTGGACTCCGAGGAGGCTGCTGACCGTGCTGCATCCGAGGATTCGTCAGACTACGACTACCTGCTGTCGATGCCGATCTGGAACCTGACGCTCGAGAAGGTGCAGAAGCTACTGCAGGAGAAGGGCGACATCCAGCTCAAGTTGGAGCAGCTCCTGGCCAAGACTCCGACCGACATCTGGAATGAGGATCTGGATATTGTCGAAAAGCAGTGGAACGACATGGTTGCAGAGTATGAACAGCGGCTGCTTGATGACGAAGAGGATCGCCGCAACCAGGAGGGTAGCAAGGGCAAGGGCAAGGCCCGCGCGCGTGCCAGAAAGACCACGGTGACCACAGCAACAACAGCAATCGCTGGTGCCAAGCGCAAGGCGGCTACAGCGGTGAAGACCGAGGACAATGGCGCCGGACCATCGCAGCCAGCGGCCAAGCGAGCCAAATCCATCTCGAGCGTGAGCAAGACGGCTGCGAGGAGACAGGCTAGCACCAACGGTACTACCAATGATGCATCGGAGATGGATATAAAGCCGTCAGTTATCAGCCTAGGCTCAGACCTTGAAGACAGCGACGACGACTCCAAGAACTTGATTCTGAAACGGGTGGTGGCCAGGCCGAAGCTTGGGGCAGGCCGGCAGACTACTCTGAGCGATATGTTCTCGTCGAGGAAAGCCACTGTCGCGCCACCGGAGTCGTCAAGAGCGACAACAAGTGCAGCATCGACTTCAAGAACATCGCCTGCACCGACAGCCACTCCAGCAGCTGCAGCTCCCAAGAAGCGTGTTCTGAAGCGAAGCAAGATTATTGACAGCGACGATGAAGACAACGAGGTCTTTAAGAATGGAAGTGACGAGAGCGACGACGAGCCTATCTCACCAATCAAGCCACGGGCCCGTGCACCGCGCGGCCGGGCCAGCGCAAACAAGCCTGTCTATGTGAACATCTCGGAAGATGACGACGACAATGACGACGCTAGCGATAACTTCGACGACGACGACGATGACGACTTTGAGATGGATTAGTCGGCTAGCCTATCTTCTTGTTTTATCTCTTTTTACTTTCTACCACGAGAGCTTTGTCCCAAAGATTGGCTGGGGTCGCGACCCATTGAGAGGCGGATCAGAGTCCATGGCGACTATTTCCCGGCGGGAATTGCGCACGTGCCTATTATCCGGAAATTTTCAGAATATGCGTGAAGCAGATGTTCCGACAAGGCTGGTCGCTGCTAGTGGAAAAGGCAGGCCGTGCTTTTGTGGCATCGACGTTTCAGCCTGCTTTTAGGAACACCGGTGGTGGTGGCTTCTGCCGATTCCTTAGTCATTGTGCGAGCTTGCCTCGACGTTCCATCCGGAAAGTTCGCTGGTTCATTAGGCCGGAGACAGGCTGCATTGGCCACACATGTTCCGAGACACCGCCTCCCCCACTACTGCAATTGTCAGGTTCCTTTTGCATGCCGTCCGACAGGGCAATATTTGCAGTACGAGGGAAAATAGAAGCGTGTCCCTTGTCCAATCCACCGGGGCAAGAGAGCATTCCCGACACCACCCCACTTTCCCTTCAGGACCACTTCTGTCGCGCAAGAGGATTCCATACGCAAGCCAGGCTCTGCTCCACAGTTTTTTATTTGACGTATTCAGTCTACGTAGCACTGCTTTAGTTTACTTTTCCAACCTTGCGTATTTCCAAAGATGGCATTGAAGTACGGGTTTCTACAAGGCACGTTCGGGCTTCCGTACGGGGGATACTGTGTACAGCCCCGCACGCTCGCCGATATCCTTTTGGACGCCAGCAACCAGCACCTCAGCATGTTCTGCGTAACCGGCACCTACGCCGAAGTGCTTGCCTGGCTCTCCCGCCAGGACGACATCATGGTGGCTAACCATCACTGTACACAGGACACATACACGCACGACCTGGTCGTCGAGCTCTACACACACAGCTCACGGCTCAAGCGACTATTCAAGGGCCTTAGTGGCACCGACGTGCAGTTGGTCATCCGGATTGCACGCACCTGGGACCGGCGCCTAAACAGAACATCGCAGGACTTCAGGCCGCTGGTGAAGATTATTGTGCCTGCGGGCATTACGTTGAAGGAGATCTCGGAGAAGATGAGGACGTCAGCACCCGATTCTGTGGTCGATGCGACAGCAGACAAGGGCCTGCTGAGTGTCGTGCTGGAGAGGGTGTCAACAAGAGACTCGATGCAGTGGCGTGAGGTTCGTGCATCGATGGAGCCGCGGGAGCAGATGGAGGTGTGCGATACCCGCGGGTCGCAGGAGTCGAGCAGCAGGGTCAGGTTCTTGCTGCCAGTGTACCGACGCTCGGAGCAACCACCACCAGCATATGCAGAGTAATTTTATTTTAATGGGATATTGTGAAACGCTCTTTCTACCCTTGGGCCAAGTGCGCGACGCGCGACGATGCCATCTGTGTAGAGCTTGTTTGTCTTTTCAGACAGCTGCAGGTCATGTGCGTCAACGACACCAAACACTCTTATTGCTGGGAAAAGCAGCGATTTGCTAGTGTATTTGTCTCCGGGAACTGGGCCTGTCCACTAGCAGATCCCTTTTTCGCAGGCTGCTGCATTTCCATGGTGCATGTGCCCCTCCGACTCGTGCAGACAGAAGACGTTCTGACCTTGGCAAAAAATACTCCGGGAAAGATATCATCAGGATGCCAGACAGTCTGCTTGATTCCCGACTTTTTACTGCATATCCTGTTTGGATATCTGACATGGGATTTGTGTGAGAGGATATCCTCCGTTGGCTTAGCCAAAGACAATTTGGAGGTGCATATCGTCTAGCTCGTTCTGGCCCACTTGCATCCCCTTCTCGCATATAGTGTGGAAATGGCGAGTGGCATAATGCCCATACGCTGTAGAAGAAAGTTCCAGGAACCGGGTCTGATTCAATCCAGCCATTGTGGCGAATTTGGAAACAATAGGTCGTGACTCTTTCCAACCGACCAGCCTGTCGTTCTAAAGGAAGGAACCGGGCCCAGCCCCTTCCAGCTACGTCCCTTAAACATTTGTTCGGCACCTCAGGCCTCGGGAGCTTACGTGATTGTATTTTTTCTGCCTTGATCGCTGCAGGCCAGCTATAGACAAAGGCACAAGATGGTACTGGAATATTTCTGCACACAATGACGTTGCGTGCAGAAGCTCGTCTGTCTGGGCACTTGACGCAAAGTGGAGGTGCAAGTGTGATCAATTTTGCACGGCAATATAGTGCGGAGGGGGCAACATGCCGCAACCAATTGAGCTTGTTTTTGTGGACAGGTGCTCCAGAAAAGCACTTGGCGGAAGCCAGAGAAACCGCCCTTTAGGCCAACCTGTAAATGCATTTCTCGAATGGGCGGATAAGTTTGACGTCGGGGGAGCGTGTATAAATAGGTGTAGAGTCTGTCCATCAGACACAAAACCTCTTTTTCCACCCACCCCCGCACAACAGCAATATTGGTTTCTTTTCTCCACAACACTTTCCAAGCTCCGCACTCGTTATTGGAACCATGCCCGTGTATACCTGCCGTGAATGCCAAGTCGTCTTCGATAGCAAAATCTGGTACGAAGGCCACTTGCTGCGCACACACGATACCCCTATCGAGAATGCGCACCCCAAGCCTGAGGATCTCTCTACATCGCCTGCATCGTCAACTGACTCTACGCTGATGGAGCAGGCGCACAAGGCACCGCTGAACCGCTGGTCACCGAAGCGCCTTTTCAGACGCCTGTCCTTGGGAAGCGCATAGCTCCTTTTGAAGCCTGTTTCTTTCTTGTATAAACCAACTAAACAAACCACTTTGAGCCCCTTACCAGGAATACCCGAGAGTGTATTGACTATCATGCCATCATGGTGCAGATGCTGGCTGGAGGAAGACCATATACCGACATGTCCCCGCATGTACCGAGTGAATTGTCTTCCACATGACATCCTTTGGAAGGCTGTCTATTGCATTTCAATTGGTTGGAAGTGTAGGTAAGCACCGAGTCTACCGTGATTTTCACCACCGAGCAGCATGCATCTTTGGCTGCCGAAAGCATTTCTTAGCGCACAATCTGATGAGCGGATCATCAGCGACACTTGAGGGGAAGCCGCGTCTAATATTGCCATTCGGGCACTTCACCCTCATACTTTGTGGAATAAGGGGATGTATAACACTACAGAATGGGAATAAAGGCCTCCAGAGGGCCGGAAATAGTAGCCAATATGCTCATCCTCAGCTTCTCTCCAATATCCATAGTACGATCAGGGGAATAACACAGTAACCAAATATCTTTTTTGTGGAAATTCATATTGGCAGATGCGAAACAGCAAAGAGGTACATTTCTCGAATATAGAACCAACGTATGGGTGGGAAAGCTCACATATAAAGTCAGCGCTGGCAGGAAGCACAGCTCTCGACTATCAGCAAAGCTTCTAAAACAACTTTCCTCCATTAGCTGAACGAAAAGCCCAACTACTCCATATTCACTCCAATCCACTAGCCATGCAGTTCACCACCGTTCTTGCCTTCCTCTTCACCACAGTGTCCGCCCTGCCTGCCCTGGAAATCGGCACGCTCCTTTTGAACCAGGAGCTGGCCGAGCGCACTGCAATTGCGAAACCGCGAGGCACTGCTGCGTGATTTCCTCAACCGCGACGACACACTGGGCTCCGACCTCATCCTGGCTAACAAGCACGGGCTTACAGACAACGCCGTCGGCATAACGAATGAGCAGGCGGTGACTATCCAGAACCAACTGATTGCAGCAGCGCAACCTGGAGGCCGTTGCAGCAATTCTGGCTGCCCAGGCCGGTATGCCGGCGCCCGCTGGTATTCAGCCGGCTGCGCAGCATGCAGTGGCCACATTCGCGGCCCAGCCCGTTGTGGTGCAGACGCACGCGCCTGCGCCTATTGTAGTGCAAACCCACGCGCCTGCACCTATCGTGGTGCAGACACAAGAGGCTGCACCTGTGTTCCAGGTGCCCGAGACTGCTGCAATCATTGTCGATACAAAGCCGCATGCCAAATCAGCCAGGCCGGTTTACCGCCATCTTGCGCTGCACACTGCCTATTGCGCTTTAAATTCCGGGAAACTAGCTGATATTATTGCTACTGGGGAGGTTAATTTTCCCTCATTCCCCGCTTCTTGTTACGACATTCTCTGATTATGAAAGCGATATGGCTTAATGGTTTTAATACATCACTACCAATGATCCTTGCATATATTGAAAGAGCTGTACATGGAATCTACTCGGATTTGGCTTTAGGACGGAGCAGCTCTACAAGATGGGATAATTCGGAAACAAAAAGCATTAGTCACTTGCTTCACTGGTGCTGTCTAGTCGGTCCATCGGCACAGCCTCGTATGTGGGTTCTATATTTGTAGCGCAAAAAGATGGTGGGAGAACAAAAATATGTTAGAAAAAAAAAGCAGGCGAATAAAAATAAAGTCGTCGTCGGGTCGGAAGGTTCAAGGGCACGGGACAAGAGTTGTTGAGGAAATAGTACATGGTGGAAGAGGGAAGAGAAGGGGACCTTGGCAGCACACAAGGGGAGAATCGAAAGACCTATCCATGATACTCGCCTTTGCGCTCCATCATCGCGTCGAATCCATACGCAGCACTGCCTTGGGTGACAATGCCCAGCACAAGCCCGGCACACATCTTTGACGCAAACTTGTCGAATCTTGTGAAGAAGGCCAGGATATAGAATATCTGCCAATGGTGCAGGTGCACACGGTATCGGTATATCGGCAGGGGTCCGTCAGTCTCGACGTTCAGGTAATGCAGGTTTTTGAGCCGCTGCTCGATAATCTTGTGCTTCTCCTCGCGGGTCATGGTGTTGATACGCTCGCGGTTCGAGTTGTCAATGGGCATGTTGAGCCGCGCCGAGCTGGCAAACGGCCCATCCGAGTGGTTGCCGGTGGTGCTGGGCGAAATGGCATTTGGCGAGATGGCACTGGGATTCACGTCGCTGTTGTTGAGCGAGCTGCGGGACTGCGCAAACTGCGCCTCTGCGTAGCGCTCGGCACGCTCGACCAATTGGATATGCTGAGCGCGCTGCTCCTCCTGGCGGCGGCGACGGCCATCGCCGCTGCGGCGTGTGAACAAAACCAGGGCAAACCTGCGCAGCATGCGTTCGATTCCAAGACCCTCAGGACAATTGTCGGCGCAATAGTGGTGTGCAGCCTTGACAATGGCGCCTGCCCACACGCTGGCCGTTGCCAGCACGAACAACGGGAGGTACCATTCGATAATGCCGGCGCGCGCCGCCCAGTGGATGTGGAAGCCAGCGGCCACCAGAACCACCGCCAAGCCTGCCAGTGTCACCGCCCAGGCCGGCTTCGACCAGTCCCGCCAGCCGGGCAGACTCACGCGCATGAACGGAATTTCCACTAGCGCCGAGTATCCCAGGATCCCGACAAAATAGAACACAAGTGTGACCCAGCTGAACGTGTGCGAGTAGTTGCCTAGCGTGAAGACTATGTACGAGTATATCAGGCTGTTGGTGATGTCGTCGAAATGATCGACCAAGCTCTTGAAGTCGCGCTCGAGATCGAAGAAGGCAGCTACGAGTCGGTATACGAGGGGCCCGGCAACGGTGAACATAACTGTGAAGAGGATGTAGCGGACAAAGTGGAACGAGACCAGGGTTGCTGCCCCGCTGTACGCGTCGTGCTGCAGGTAGCAGCCGTCCAAAAAGCTGTGGGTTGTTGGCACCGTCTCGTTTCCCATGGCCGCTCGATGCAAAATAAGATAAAGACAAAGGCAATGCGCCAAGAAAATAAAGAAGCAGCGAGTCCCAGAGATGAGAGAACGCGCCTGTGATCTGTACACTCCGCTGTACAACAAACTCGAGCCTCTTGATCGTGATTTGCATTTGCGGAGAAACAAGCTGGAAAACTAATTCTGGAATCCCCGCTTGCTTGCAATGACGTGGGCAAGTCTACTGCTGCTCACGAAGCGCAGGCCTTGTTCTATGCTCTTCCCAATTGCTCTACTCATACTTTTTGAAATCAACGATGCTTATTCGAATTAGGTCGCCCGAGGGCATGCACCGCGTCGAGGTCAGCGGGTCAGACACGCTCGCGCAGCTGCTGGCCAAGGTTGCTGACCGCTATGAAGGCCAGCTCGGCCAGCGACATCCTTCTAACACAGGACGCAGCAGGAAAGCAAATCATGGCCGAGTTCGAGCTGACAATGCCGCAGCTGGGGTTGAAGCACGGCGACATGCTGTATGCGCGAATCGCAGCATCGGCGCGGCCCAGCGCTGAGCCGTCGGCGCAGGAGCCGGCAGATACGGCGTCGGTCTTCTTTCAGCAGGACGAAGTAGATAGTCAGTTGGAAAAGGACGATGGCAAAATCAAACGCAAGCGTGATGGCAACTTTTGCAAGCACGGCGACAAGGGCATGTGCGAGTACTGCTGGCCGCTCGAGCCGTTCGACGACGGGTACCTGGCACAGCACAAGATCAAGCACATGTCGTTCCATGCATATCTGCGCAAGACGCTGGTGGACCAGAAGGTCACGGGTGATATCAGCCATGGACCGCCGGCGAAATATGCCGCTGCCGCTGGAGGATCCTGACTTTGGCGTCAAGGCCGACTGCAAGAGTGGACATGCACCGTGGCCGGAGGGTATCTGCACCAAGTGCCAGCCGTCGGCGATCACACTGATGCGGCAGCGGTTCCGGATGGTGGACCATGTGGAGTTTGCGCACCAGGAACTGGTGGAGCGGCTGCTGGCGTTCTGGCGCGCGACGCGGTGCCAGCGGTTCGGCTATCTGTTTGGGCACTACGAGCGGTACACGGAGGTGCCTTTGGGCGTCAAGGCGGTGGTGGAGGCAGTGTATGAACCCAAAGCAGGCGTGGGACGTGGATGGCATCAAGCTACCGCTCGAATCTGAGGAACACACCCAGGAGATGGAGCGCGCAGCCGAGGCTGCCACTGCATGTGGGCTGCAAATCGTCGGCATGGTGTTCACGGACCTGGAGCCAGCGGATGAAGCTGGCAAGGTGTTGTTCCGGCGGCATGGCAACTCGTACTTTTTGACATCGCTTGAGTGCCGGCTGGCAGGCGTACATGCAGAACAAGTACCCGAGCCGGTGCCGGTGGGCGCGTGGGGGCCATTTCGGCAGCAAGTTTGTCACAGTGTGCATCAGCGGCAACCAGGACCAGGACGTGGAGATGACCGCATGGCAGGTGTCGAGCCAGGCGATGGCCATGCAGAAGGCAGACCTGGTGGTGCCCAGCTCGGTGCCTTCGAAGTTGTGTGTGTTGGAGGCAACCAAGACGCGGTACGTGCCAGACATCTTTTACAAGTACACCAACGAGTACAACCTGCCGGTGACTGCCAACGCCAAGCCGGCATTTCCCATCGAGTACCTGCTGGTGAACCTCACATACGGGTTCCCGAAGCAGCCGATGGCCAAGTTCCGCCGTCCCGAGCCGTTCCCTATCGAGAACCGCGAGCATATGCACGAGGTGCAGACCCCAGCACCTTTGCGCTCGCGCATCCAGGAGGCAGTGGCCGACCCGGCCAAGATTGCCGCTGTGCTCTCGGACTTCCACCTGCTAGTCTACCTTGTCAGCCTGGACATCTTCAGCAAGGACGAGCTCAAGACTCTCGGCAGGAATTGCAACCGACCCCGAGTACGCTACTGAGGGCATGCAGCATCTGCAGATGGCGAGTGGATGGCAGACACTGAGTATGATGCTCGAGGCTGCAGAAGCTGCTGGTCCTGCGCCGTCGACCAGTGCATCATCGACGGGGCTGGACCGATTCTGCAGGCGCTTCAGCCCCTCCGCCGGCGACCAGCGGCGGAACGTGGGCGTGCCGCCACTGCACTTTTGAGAACACGTCTGCCAACGACTCGTGCGAGATGTGTGCGCTGCCCAGGGATTAGTGAAAAGTTTGGTAGATGCCATATTAATGTGAGGTGTGATGTAGGCTGAAATATGAGAACGGCGATGTAGGCCCTCTTTTTTGCGATTTCACATATATTTTTCCATTCTTCTCATAGTACCAACGGACGTCAATGGCAAAGCAGTACCGGAACATTGGCGAGGACGTGTGGAAGAACAAGGTCGAGAAGGTCGTAAGTGTCAGTCTGACAGAGACGCACGCCCTAGATAAAAAAAAACCAAAGAGACTGCTGCTCTAAAAGAAAAATGCCTCTAGAATGCCGAGCTTTTTATTTTCACGTACGGCTCGCTGGTGGTGCAACTGGTCAAGGACTACGAAGACTACCAGGCTGTGAACAAGCAGCTGGATAAGCTCGGCTACAACATCGGCGTGCGCCTAATCGACGATGTGCTGTCCCGTACCAGCCTGGACAAATGCAAAGACATGCGCGAAACCGCCGAGGTGATTTCAAAGGTCGGCTTCCGCATGTTCCTGAACATTGCGCCGTCGGTGTCGGCGTGGTCGACGGACTCCAAGGAGTTCTCGCTGATCCTCGACGACAACCCATTGAACGACTTTTGCGAGCTGCCGCCTCGGGCGGTGCAGGACGGGCTGTGGTACAGCAATGTTCCTGTGCGGCGTCATTCGCGGCGCCCTGGAGATGGTTGGGCTGCAGGTGAAGGTGGAGTTTGTCCGGGACGTGCTGAGAGGTGATGATGTGTCGGAGATTCGCGTCCGGCTGGAGAAGATGCTGGACGAGGAGGTGCCGGTGGGCGATGATTAGAATGTGGTGGGGGTTGCATTTTGCGAAATAAAACTCTATGCTGTCATTTTCTTCTTGGGCCGGGCGATGCCGTCGGGGCCGAATGCTTCCTCGGGCCGCACGCGCGTGCGGTAGTCCCAGAGCGGCGGCATGCGGTTCTTGATGAGCTCGTCGTGCGACATGCCGGCGCGCTCAATGCACAGCTCGTTGCCGCACGTATGCTTGTGTTTCTCTGCGCACTTTTCGCACTGCACAAACAGGAGATTGCAGCTGGTGTTGGCGCAGTTTGTGAACACATCGCAGGGCCCCCCGCACTGGTCGCACTTGGTCAGAATCTCGCTGGTGACTTCTTCGCCCAGCCGCTTGTCAAAGGTGAAGTTTTTGCCGTGGAAGATCGACTGCGGTGACTGCTGCTCGCGGATGTGTCTGCCATATGCGATTACCCCGCCCTTCAGCGTCTTGACGTTTGCGTAGCCTTCCGACTTGAGAATGGCACCGGCGACCGAGCACCGGATTCCGCCGGCGCAGTACATGTGGATTGGTGTGTTCTTGTCGGCGCACAGGTCCCGCACGACCGCCATTTCGTCACGGAACGTGTCGACATCCGGGCACACGGCGCCCTCGAACCGGCCGATCCGGAACTCGTAGTTGTTGCGCATGTCAATCAGCAACGGCTGCGCACCAGACTCCTTGATCTGATTCAGCTCGTTCTCCCACGCCTCGGGGCTCAGGTACTCGGGCTCATGCGCCAGCTCCTCCAGCCTGAGGGGCGCGCCCGTGGCCACCAGCGGCCTGACACGCACATGCAGAGCCTTGAACGACTTGCGGTGGTCGATTGCCCAGTTGAATTTAGGAATTCTCCCGCGGAACATCTGCGAGTCCTCGAGCCACTGCCGCAGCTTCAGCGCGTTCTCCTGCGGCACGCTGAGCTGCGCGTTGATCCCTTGCTCGCAGATGTAGATTCGCCCGACAATCCCCAGGTCCGTGCTCCACTCGTTCTGGATCTTGTCCCGCGCTGGCTGTACGTGCTCTGAGGGGATATTAAAGAAGCTGTAGAATGATATTGTCAGGAACCCGTCCGTACCTGCTGTCGGATAGGGCTGGTCTATGGCGGCTGGGTGCGGAGCGAGCGGGCCCTGGGATTTGTGCAGGTATGGCGATGAGCTGCTCCATATCCGTGAAGTGTGCATGGTGCAGGTCCGCTGTATAGCTGATTGGACGGTGCTGGCCTGGCAAAGTGTGCCAAGAGCCTGCCGCGATCGGCCGCCACAGTGGCTGTGCCGCCGATCTGCCCAAACCGAGGCTTCGGGGCACAAGCAAACGACTGAACATGGCCATGGTTGTCTTCACAGAATAGCACCTGAATTCAAAAAATAAAATAAAAATAAAATAAAAAAGCTGAGGAACGGAGAGAGATAAAGAACGACCACTACCGTTTATTTTTCGGTTCCTGAGTGAACATGGCATAGGATTTTTGAAATTAATTTTCAATGTAGTGGTTTGATCTAATCATAAACGTGCTGTGGTGAGGGGGAAGTGTACATGGATGATATGGAGGAATAAAAGCTAGGCGCTGGAGGTAATGACTATAGGTTCGGAGAGACCCGAGAACACTGCCTGTGCCGGCAGCGGGGCTGAATGCAATGCCACCGTTAGAGAATCCAGCATGCTGAACATCTGGGCCTGTATGCGGAACACCCCCGGCCGCCTTACAGTCAAGGCGTGGAACTTCGAATACCATCCTGTCATCAGAGATGCTTCGGAGACTGCGTGTTCGCACCATCGAGTAGCCGCTGTCCGCTTTCTGTCAGATCCAGATTTAGCGTGCCGTCCATGGACACCAGCGCTATGCTCATCACGTAGCCAGGAGCGTCCAAGGGATCCTGCCTTTGGGGTCTACAGGATTTTTTGCGCAGTTTCATTTTTGTTCCGTGGAAGAACAATTAGTGCAAATCGGAATGTCATGACAATGGCTAAAAAAAGACATGTTCAACGTGAACGTATTGGGGGCGGGGGATAGCACCTGTATTTCGTTTGGACCAAGAGGCAGATCTTTTCTGCGTTGTCTGGAACAGGGCTGGCTAGAAATACAGCATGCAGCACCACCATGTATAGTGAGATGCCTGTAATTTTCTTTCCTGCTTTTCGCCTGGAACGCTGGAATGGTCACGCAGCAGATGCAAGAACCAGCTCAAAAAGAGTGTCGGTGGGCTATTTATAAGTAGTCCCTGTTTGTTCGGGTCGCCAAAACGCCGGGAGGGGCGCCTGTCACGGATCCAGGTATAACATACCCGTATACTTACATGCCGTTTGTATCAAGCAGCTCAAGCGCTATTGTGATTGGACCCAGAGTCTCATCTACGATCCCGTACCGTGGTGTATCGAACGTACTCTGATAGCAGTGGTCAGCCATGCATACAAGATAACAGACCGTCTCTTGGATGTAAAAAAAATAAGTAAAAAAAAGAAGCTGGAAAATAGAAAAATAAAAGTGAAGGAATGGAATGGAAAAGCGAAAACCTGTGCTATCTGGGTTTGCCTGCAGGCTTTGCGAGCCCAGTTTCGTTTATATGTGGCGAGCGTAGGAAAATTAAAAATAGAGAGCACTGTTCACGCTCGGCAAAGACGAATCTCCTCCGATTGCCTTCCTCCCTCCCTCTCTTTTTCAATCCGTAAAGATAGCTGCGCAGCACAGGGATGCTAATAATGACTATCGACGCTCAAGATGCGCAAAGCACAGCTCGGGAGAGCCTTTAACCTATCCGCCAAAGGAACGGTGCCTGGGTATCAGAGTAATGCAAGAAACACGACTACTGCGCAACACCTGGGGGCGAAGATATGTCTGCCTTTGACAACAGATGCCTTCTTCCTGTGTCGCAGAAGCCTATCGCTACCCCCAAAAACAACAGGATAGTCACTCGTGAAACGCTCTTAAATGGCCACGGAATGCTGGCCACAGACGGAGCGCTCGATGGGTTTGTGCACCTTTTGTTGGCAGCAGACACTGCAGAAATGTCCGATGGGCCCAATAGCAATCAGCAAAAGCTGGCCGTTGTTCTAAGAAACAGAGGGCTGCCAGGACTCGGCTGGATTGGGATGGTTGCCACCACAGGCAGCACTCGGAACCGATACAGGTTTGGCCAGAAACCGTGCAACTTTACACAGGGGTCGCAGTCCTTGAGCGGCTACTGGCAATGGTCGGGCCTATCTCGGCCGAAATTAAAATGCAACTGCGCAAATGGCATGGCCGGGATATTCGCGGAAAGATTGCACCAGTGCTTTTACCGCTGGAAGACGAAAGGCTGCCGATCCTTTCTGTCAACAGATGAGTGGTGCGTGCTACTCCAGGCCTGTGTGCCTGAGTAGACCTAACAAGTTCACTGAGTACTGTAACACACGGATCGTGGCTAAGAAATCTTGGGCCGGGTCTGAGTTGTTTTTGCAAATAACGGAGGGGAAATGCTGCGCCGGGTTGCCAGCAAGGAATCGATGCTATGTTAGCAGGGAATCGGCTGCTGGTGGTTTTCTACCTTTGAGAGAAAAAGTGCGCTGCAGGCTTTCTTCCCACCCGCTCATTTGCTGTTTGCATTGCTATCTTTCGGTATTTTCAATTGACAAGCCAAGCGGCCTGGCTGTGGCTATTGCGCCATATAGGGACCATGTCCTGCCCTAAAATGGCGCTGTTCATTGCAGTTGCAGATTGTGGATGTGCCGGGGACTAGGGCACCAGGCGTGTCAGTCCAGAACAAGTGGGGGTGCCCTGTTTTGGCAAACCCAGGTTTTGCCATATATGTCCAGTTAGTCCCGAGACGCTGAAGGCAGGCAAGACGGTGCCCCGCTGCTGTAGCCACTGGCACATATAGCCACACAAGTAGCATAACAGCAGCACATATATGCGTGTGATCCGCTGATCTTTAAATCAAATCAGCCTTTATCTCGCGCATTTCTATGCGCTCCAAAAATGCCAGTCCTGCAAGCCGGATAGAGCACAGAAAAAAAAACAGCGACTGCGAATTCGCAGGGCTGGAATTGCCTCGCTTTCCTTATCCTTTTTCTTCATTTCACATCCCTCCAATCACACATTTACATTAACAAGGAGAATGTTCCCTCGTATTGTTGCCCGCTCCGCCAGCTCGCGTCTCGCGACCACCGCCTTCCGCCGGTTCGAATCTACCACAGCCAAGGCGGCCGAGTCTGCGGTCTCCTCGCGCCCCGCTGCCTCTGCGCCCAAGAAGAAGCGCGCTATTGGCGGGTTCCGCGGCGGCGTTGTCGGCTTCCTTCTGGGAGCCACAACCGCTGGTGCGTTCGGATTCGTGTACTTGATTGAGGAGTACCAGAAGGCTACGAGTCTTGTGCTGAGCTCGGTGGATGAGCTGGAGAAGTCATCGCTGAAGGTCAAGGAGTATGTGAAGAAGATTGAGGCAGTGGAGGCGGATCTGGCGAAGCTGCGGGCATCGAGTGCCACTACACAGCAGGTTGCGCAGCTGAAGGCTGACTGGCGCAAGCAGAACGTAAGTATACAAGGGATTGTGTGTGGAAGAGCATGGCGAGGAGCGTTGTGACATGTCGCTAAGTGCTTATGGAGGCCTTGTAGGATATTCTGGCGCGCGATCACCTCGAGCTGAAGGCCCACGTGTGGGAGATCGAGCAGGACGTTGACACTGCCCTTGGCCGGTCATCGTCGAAAAAGAACTAGAGTCTGGCATGGTGCTTCAAATATAGCGACACTTTCTTTACATCTGTTTGTTGCTCAACATGAAAGAGATGCGGTAAAATACATGCTACGTGGATGTCAGAGAATGAATCCGCCGCCGGTGTCTACATGCTCCTCCTGCTCCTGCTCCTGCCCTTCCTCCGATGAGGAGGATGTGTCGCTAGATGCTGCCTCCTTGCCTTTGCTTTTGCTCTTGAATGCAGCGCCTTGTGGCAGCGAACTCCTGGTGGCGAATGTGTCGTCGACCTCTTTCCGAACGCGCAAGGCAACCAGCAGTCTGCGCCATCGCTTGACCGCGCGCTTCTCTATAGCTGCTCTTTGCTGGGCGATCTTGTTATGTGTGCTCTCTGCCAGTGCATCGGCAACAAGTTCAGCAGAATCGCTGGGCACAACAACGCCACTGATGATGGGTGTGCTGACACCACGGCGGAACTCGAATCTCACGACAGCCTCTACGCAGTCAATGCCTAGATCCTTGCACAGCCGCTTGGCATCGGGATGTGGGATGTGTGCAGCGCCCTCAGGCAGCATAGATTCTGTGAACAGATCCAAGCGGCCATAGTCGTTTCTCGGCACCTTGCCGTCGGCAACCGGCGGCGGACGGAACAACTCCGTCTGCCACTCGCCAAACAGTGCGCTTACGGCCTCTACCCCCTGCGCTTCGCATTCCTCGACCTGCATTTTTGCGCGCGCAGTGACCGCTCGCTGCTTCACCGTCTTTATCGGCTGCTCGCCGGGCTTGACTGTGCGGCCCAGCCGCATCCACGCCATGGATGTGCGCAGTGCCTGGACGTTTTCGCGTAGAAACACCGGCTCCCCGCGCACAGTCCCAACTCGAGGCCCCTCTGGATACAGAATCTCGTTTTGCTTTAGATTGCGCTTCAGCACGTAGTGCGGATTGGAGGCAAAATCCGCAAGGCGCTTCGGCATGGCACTGCGGGCTTCACTGATGGCCATTTGCTCTTCCTCGCGATCATCGCGTTCGGTCTGGTCGGGGTTCTGCCACCGGTCCAGCCACCGGTCCCACCAAGACCGGCCATCCGAGCTGCTGGCTTTCAGACGCAGTTTGCTGGTAGTATTGACGAATTCTGCTGTGTATCGGCGTGTGATGTCGCGCACATAGCCAAGTGAGTCCAGACTAACAATGTACGCAAATTTGCACGGGGATGTCTTGGTGGGCCGCACGAGTTGCTTGGGGTTCTCGATGCTGGCGGTGAGTGGGTTGATTGGGACCCAGTTGTCCGGACAGAGGATCAAAGACCTCGCACCAGTACTGTGGCACGCCATCGTGCTTGGCCTTGGCCCTGGTTCTGGATGGGCTCGATTTTGCGCGCTTTCTCGCTGGGGACTGGTCCGAAGCGTCGGACAGGATCGCGCAGCCCTTCAAGAGCCTGGCTCTCGCTGACTGTCAGCTTCAGAGGCAGTGGCGAAATGCCTGCACAGAACCTGACATCAAACTTCAACGCCCGCAGCATACACGTCAGCAACATCGCCCTGTGCCATGGTCCTGGTCGCTCTCTTAGTCTCGATGAACCGGATAAATTGGTCCCCAATGCTTTGGCCCCGAGCCATGTCGGTCTCCCGGTATCGTAGCTTTGAGGGCGGTGAATGTCGCCAAAAAATAATGCAGGTCTGACGAGAACCACTCGAGCCTCAGTGTGAGCTTCACTGGATGCAGGTGCTCGTGCATGCGCTCGATGCTTGCAGCGGGGATCAGTGAGAATGCCCGCCCCAGGGTCTCCCCACTACATGCATAGTTCATGAGCTGCAAGGATGTGAGCATGCAGATCAGCTCGGCAATGTGCTGGCTGCGGCGCAGGATGCGTGCCCGCCTCGTCACCACTGGCCGGCGTCCTCGAGCTTTGAGCAGGCTCGGGGCTTCGCCAAAATCCAGCTCCACGGTACCCAGCTCAGGCAGATCATCCTCAGGCATCCCGACATCCTCAGGCATCTCGACATCCTCGAACATGTCGTCATCCTCGCTACTGCTCGCAGCAGGGATTGGGGCAATAATATCCGAAGAACGCGCCCTTTTTTCCGCAGGCGAGCGGGGAGTTTTTGCTCCGGGCTGCTGCGCAGTAGCCAAGCCTGCGATTGTCCTATCGTCTGGAGTCATGGCTGCGCTATATTCATAAAAGTATGAAAAAAGTTAAAAAAAATAAAAAGATTGGAAGGCGGATAGAGATGGTTTGTAATCGCGTACTGGTTCGGGCCATGGGAACTGTGGCTGCGGAACAATCACGGTTTGCCAGATTAACGCGCAGGATCATGGGATCGTATCGATGGCCATGACGCACGGCCCATGAGACATTGGGGCCATATCCAGAAAAAGCAGTCGCTCCATACATCATTCTCTGTCTGTGCACCCCGCCCCAAAGCATGCAAGGGTGGAGTGTATTTTTACACGCAGGCCGTGGCTAGCGTTTCTCACAAACCACCAGGCACCCGAAGGATGGCAATCATAACATGCCTGGATATGCGCGCCCGAACCAGCCCGGTGAATCCAGCCTCGCCTATTTATTTTGACACTCTTTCCCGCTGCCATGTCTCCCGCCTCGCCCCCAACAAAAGCGGGATATCGAGCAAGGCGATATAGTAGGTGGGCTTTACTGCCTTTTGGCGATAGCGCCGTTTCGATCGATAGAGCATCTGCTTGGTGATTGCGTGGTGATAGTGGGCTGGAATCCTATCGGTTGCTGCTAGACGAATGGCAGACAGAGCAGGGATAATCCTGCTTGGCAAGGGGGCGCCGGTAACATGATCCTACCACCATGGCCATGGCAAGCATGTGCGACTATTGCTGATAGTAGGCCGGCAGGCAGCTAGCCCGGCGGTGGTTGGCAGACAAGCTTTATTCCTCCGCAAAGCAGGAAACACCAAACGCTGCATCCGAAGATCCCTCATATCGGAAGAAGAAAGAAAAACTTGTGCTTAAGCAAGATTTCCTGCAGGGAACCTCTCTATTTTTCACACTCTAGACACCTGTTTCAGGTTTGACTGCATGGGGCTGCTGTGGTGGCCGGGAGGAGGACGTGAAATGAATGCGCACAACCCCTCTTTTCTGTGAGAATGAAATTGGATGGCGGTACGAGCTGAGCAGCAATACAAGTGCTGTGGTGGGCACACACACCAATGCTGAGGGAGCAAGGAAAGGGGAGGCAATTTATTACTTTGCGAAAACGAGGCAGATGCATTCGCGTCGCTCGGGTTAGTAATGGCCATTTGCTCCTGTTGTCGGTGCAACGTTACTGCCCGTCTGCACACGCCCTTTAGCCTCCATTTGCAACCCCCCTGTTTTTATCTAGTGGCATGCCTGGGCCACACGCTGTTTTCTGCAAATATCCTAGGGCAACACGGCTGGCGTTTGCCTCGAACGCTTTATCCTCTCACACATATTGCTGCTGCTGCCACCGCTGCCATTCCCTTTCAACACCGCCATTTTCTAACCAATCGTCAGCCATAGGGGGCGGTGTGCAGCAGAAAAAACTTCAGGCCAGATTTCAACCAAACCACCTCATGATCGCTCTCGGTGAAATCGATGAAAAAAATAAAACGCACAGGTCCCCCTGGAATATAATTTTCAACCTTCCTGCCCTCTCCCACCCGCTCTTTTCCCTCTCCCACCACGTAGTTCTTTTCCTCTCTCTATTTGTAACCTCGGTCTTGCTAGCGTCACCTTCTTTTTATTCTTTCCAGTCGTGCTCCTTGCTGGCGCGCTTTGAGGGTTGGGTTTTCCTTTTCGTATCTCCCTACTTTTGTTCTTGTCAGGGGGGCCGTGCGAGCTCTGCGTGTATGCGCTCCTTCTCTCTCCTGTCTTCGGTATATCTTTTCTTTGTACTATAGCCTGCTGTGGCAGCCAAACGCTCCGGAGAGGACACCAAACCGCTATCTTTTTCCGCCTAGCCAGCATTCGACCAAATTCTCAATTCATACACTATTCTCCTGAAAACAATAACCCAGCCGATGGTTTCGAAGGCGCAGACCCGATCCGAGGAGGCACCACACCGACTGCACCACTATTGCAGCCACAGCCATATGCGCGATCGGCTGAAATCGTCCGGCTCGCGCAGTACCGACATGTGCCTGCCGTGCAAACGCCAGCATGTAATCGGAGCATTTTCACGGGTGCGGCGGGTGCCTACACGGCTGCTATCGACGCTATCGCTGAGCAGCCACCATCATGGTCCGAGCGGGTGCACAGCCGGGGCCAACGCAGGTGTGGCAAGTGACGGCGATCTGCATACAGATTCGCTTGAATCCAAGGTGTATCCCGTGTACTCTGCGCGCCCAGCCGTGTGTCTCTCGTCGCATGCGGATGCGCTGGCTGATCCGGGCTATGTGCCTCTGCCGCATGTGCCACCTGCACTGGCTGCTGGTTGTTCGCTGATGAAGACCACATCGCGAGGCATTCATGCACGCAATTTTCGCCTGGACATCGCCCAGCAGCGGCTGACATGGGATTCGCGCAAGAAGAAAAAGCTCGCTCATGGTAAGTTTACAAACACAGTCTATTTTCGGTGCTCAGAGAGAGGCCTGGGTGGAAAAATGGGCTCAATTCTTGGAGGACGACTGCGAATAACTTCTCCGGGCCGAGTATATCCCCCGCTTTTCCAATTACGAATGCACTGGTGAAGGCTCACCAATGCGTTCGTAATTGGGTGGTATATTACGTGCGCAGCTCACGCCCAGCGGCTGCTGCAAAAAAACGAAGCGAGGGGATTGTCCCGGCCACTCGGGTGCATAACAAGCTCGCCGATGCTTGGGAGTCCTTTTTTCTGGTGGGATCCGCGGCCCTGCTCTGTCGCCCATCCCTACATGTTTGCGTTGGATGGGCAACGGCAGCCGTGCAGGAGGCGACATCTGAATATCTACAATGGGCGTACTTGTCACACTCGCTCCCCCCCTTTGTCGCCTTGTTCTGTTGCTGTTGCTGCTGCTGCTGCCGCTATCCAAACGACCGAGCCTCCGCATTGGTCGCCCCCTACCCTCAGTCCTCTATATCTCCGCTCTATCCACCCTTTTGTTCTCCTTGTCGCATTGTATGCACAGCCAACCAGCAACTAGACACAATGCTTGCTGCAGCAGTTGCAAAGCGAGTCCTTCGGGGATATATCCCTCGCCTATAATGGCCGGATTCTCTGTTACCGAACAGGCTATCCTCTTCCCTCTCTCAGTTGCGGGTATCTCCTGCCACAACAACAAAACAGCATAAACAATAACAACAACAGCGGCAGCATCGCCGCTCATCCTCGCTGCTCATCCTCGCCACAGCGAGAGCCTATTCGTGCCCGCCACTGCTATCCTTATCACTCCGAGCTGCTGCTCGCTACCGATTGCCCGAAAAGGGGATTTCGCCAAAGAGCGGTGGCTCTTGTCCAATACATACCATGTGACTTCCCATGGAACTGCAGCTTCTCCTGCGTGCTAATTTGTCCCATCGGCCTTGTATGTAGTCGATCTCGAGCGCATCATTGAGGTCCGTGTCGGCGAGGAAGCGCTGTGGTCAGTAGGCGACCCCGCCTGTCTGCCCAACCGCACCAAAAATCTGTTTACCATCGTATACTACCAGCAGATGGCCATCAGGTCCCTGTGTCTGTGCGCAAGCACCGAGTCTCTGTTCCGCGACTGGGTCGTAACACTGAACGCGCTGGTGGCGAATCGCCAGCCGGTGTCGACGCTGCCGCTGTTTGAGCGGTGGCGGATGATCACCATCAACCGCCAGTGGTGGGAATCAGACACATCGGGGGACGCAGCCACCGACGCGCTGACATTTGTTGAGAATGCATTCATCGCGTCACGCACCAGCCCGCTGACCACCGCCCCGTCATCTAATGCATCTTCTATGCTGGCCCTGTCCGCCGTTTCCCACGATGTCCCTCCACCCATAGCCCGAGCCATGTCCCGGCCAGCCTCTCCGGTTAAGCAGCTGCCACACAGGCTCGGCAGTATGGTGGGGCTACGTGCCTTGCAGCTGCATCCGTCGCTGCCGCCACCGCCACCGCCGCTGCTGACGCGCGCGCTTGAAATGGTTCCGCAGCGCGTGGGGTGTTGCGACGAAGTGGTCAACGACCTGGTCGAGGCGGCGATTATGTGCCAAGCACGACCCGACGTGGCTGCCATTTATAGCAACCTGGTCACATCGGCATTGATGCAGGAGGCGGCCAAGAACTCGCTCAAGCAGCGTCAGCGTCGCGTGGCAGTTGTACCCAGCACCGGCTTTGGGGACAAGCAGTTCCGGATTGGCGATGACGATGACGATGACAATGACGAGGATGATGGCGAGGACGAGTTTGGGGATTTTGAGCCGTCGATTTACACAGATTCTGCCGAGTCATCAGTGCACCGCCCCTCGGAGCTAACGCTGCCGATGTTTGCGCACTTTGTGCGTGAGGAGCAGGACGAGCAGGTGTCGGATGCCGAGGTTGAGCGGCGATTTGATGCGTTCACGCGCACCGAGGGTCAGGAGACTATGACGCCATTCGAGTTTGAGGCATATCTGCTGTCGCTTTACAACTCGATGGACTATGTCGAGGGGGACTATGCGAACAGCTCGGACAGCAGCGACGGCCGCAGCACACTGTCTGAGCACGCCGAGCTGGCCAACATGGACGAGCCGCTCAACCACTACTACATTGCGTCATCGCATAACACGTATCTTTTGGGGATCAGCTGGTCGGAACCTCGTCAGTTGACGGGTATGTGAACGCTCTGCTCCGCGGCTGCAGGTGTCTTGAGTGTAAGTGACTAAGAGCATGAATTTTAGGGGATGAGGGGACAGGGGAGGGGTAGCGGGAAAATCTGGAGCACATCATACGTGGTCCGCCCCGCCCCAACCATGTACATGCATGTCGGCTAACACGTACGCTTGGATCTGTAGTGGATTGTTGGGACGGGCCTTCTAAATGCCCAATTATAAGCCACGGCCGTACACTGTAAGTACACGAGTTTTTCCAACACGGGGATTTCGGATGTGTGATGCGTGTGTTAATTATGCTGTTGCATATCGCTGTGAAGAATTCAGATGTGGCAGTGCACATACAAATCTGGATTGCATTCTGTTTTGTTTCGCATTTCCAAATATAGAAGTGGCCAATTGGGTGTTGCAAAGATATATGCATGGTCACATGGATTATGCGATGGTTGTCTTTCTCTCACCACCTCGCTGTTTCCGATTGGGGCAATTTCTCGGAGGGGGGGGACACATTAGAGAATGGGAGCGGTGTGGGAATGAAACACAGATTTAATGCGTGGTGTAGTTTTCTAAAAAGACGTTTCTCGCCAAATATCTACCATGTAGCACAACCCGGATCTTGTTTGAGGATGCCATCATTGCTATTGCAAAGTATGCGTTTGCAGTGTCGCCGTACCCGGTGATTCTGTCGCTGGAGACACACTGTACAGTGGAGCTGCAGGTAAAAATGGCAGAGCTCATGGTCGAGCATCTGGGCGACTATCTGCTCACCGAGCCCCTCAATGAGGACGAGACAGAGCTGCCGACGCTGGAGCAGCTAAAGTACCGGATTATTATCAAAAACAAGGTGCTGGAGGAGCACGCAAGCCGCAGCAACAGCCGGCGGTCGTCGATCATCGGGATCCAGCCGTCAGCATCGGCCGGCACGCAGACGCAGCAGCACCTTGCTGGCGGAGGGGCCTGTGAAAGCAAAGGGTGGCAAAATTGCGCCGGAGCTGTCGCAGCTGATCACGTACTGCAAGGCGCAGCACTTTGAGAGCCTGGAGGAGAATCTGGCAGCATATGACCAGGTGTCGTCGATTGATGAGAAGACGTCCGGCAGTCTGATCCGGAACCAGCGGGCCAAGTTCGTAGAGTTCAACTCGGTTCAGATGACGCGGGTGTACCCGCACTACAGGCGCATTGGGTCATCGAACTTTAACCCGATCAGCCACTGGAATGTCCGGGTGCCAGATGGTGGCGATGAACTACCAGACGCACGACCGCGCAATGGAGATATACGAGGCGATGTTCCGGCGCACGCACAATGCCGGATATGTGTTGAAGCCGCAGCACTTGGTTGCTCCGTCGCCGGCGGTGTCGTCGTCCTCGTCGACATACTCAAGGTCGTCGTCGGATAGCAGCAGCGACATGAGTCATCCGCGGCCGCTGGCGAGTAATCCGGCAGCACACCCGCGGCGTGCGACGGTTCACCTGACGCTGTTTGCGGCATACAATGCGGCTCGCAGCACCGGGCATGTGGGCAATGCCGGCGCAGCGACGGACTCGGGGTTCCGGCACAGCGGCGGGACATACTTTGACATGCCGTCGACGCCGCGAGCGCTGTCGCGGCCGCCCTCGACAATCGCCATGTTCCGTGCAGAGCCGAACCAGCTGGCGCTGGACTCGTTTGCATTCGGCAGCCCGTCGCTAGCGGCAGCGCAGGCGCCCGGCGGCAGTGGGTTCCTGACAAGCAGCACAATGACGCCGTCAGTGCTGTCGGCGCGCGACTACCCTGCAGCGGCCGGGACACCATATGCCGCGGTTCCGAGTGGAGATCGAGCTGATCACCGATGGCGGAGTGGGGAAGGGCGGGGGTCTGACGGCGACGCACAGCTCGGTGGAGGACCTGACGGCGCTGGCATCGGCGCTGAACTCGGCGCCGGGCTCGCCGACGCTGAACGCACAGCACCTGACGTCGTTTCCGTTTGGGTCGGCGGCAGGCACGGGCGGGGCGTCGGCCGTGGTGCCGCAGCCAGCACTGCATAGTCTGGTGTTGGGACGCAGCCGGTACTGCACACGCAACGGCACAGTTAGCTGCGGGGTGGTGCGGTGGCGGGACGAGCACGTGATGCATATGGTGAGAGATCCAGATATGGCGTTTGTCCGGTTTGCAGCGTTCGAGGACGACCAGGAGGTGGCATCGGCGTGCATTCTGGTGGCAGCGCTCAAAAATGGACACCGGTTTATTGAGCTCGGGGAGAGCGACAAGCACCGGCTGTCGCGGCCGATCTGCCTGCTTGTGCATGTGCAGGGGCCAGCGCACTCGCGTGGAGCAAGAACACCGTGAAAACAAAATGTTGGCGGCGATCAGCAGAAACTCTAAAAAACATTTCCAGAAACCAAAATTTTATCCACTTGTGTACAATTTTTACCACATAATTATATCAATCATCATTAGCAGCGATGGCGACGACGACGACGACGACAAGTATATTCATGAGATAAACTAAACTACATTACACGAGGAGGAGACTATTCGAGTCTTTTTATTTTCAGTGCTCGTACGGCGGCGGCAGATTGCGTCTCTCGTACGGCGGCAGCTGCGCGTCATCCAGATCAGGCACAGGCACCGCCCTCGCCCTGGCAACAATGCCCAGATTAAGCCTCTTGTCCCTAGTAAGGTCATGGTCGCCGCATCTACACCTCTCCAGGACCTCTGCGACGTCGCTCAGCAGCACGCCCTGCGGCACCGTGACCCTGAGCAGCGGGCGGAACTCGCTGGCGCTAAATGCCCGCTGCGCCCGCACCACAACCTGCCTCTGCCCCATGTCCCACCAGCCCGCCAGCCGGTCGTAGCTGCGGTCCCTGTACATCTCCACCACCAGCCCGCCGTTCCCGCACGGCACGTTCACCGTGCACAGGCTGGTGCGTGTCTGCTGCACAAGGAACCCGTGGATCTGCCTGGCGCTGCCCAGACACGCAAACATGGGCATCGACGGCGTCAGCGTTATCGTGTCGGGCAGGGCCTCCGGCTGCACCAGATGGCCGCCGTACGGCAGCCCAAAGGTGCCCTGCAGGAAGCCGAAGCGCAGCGGTGCGCGGTAGCGAGGCGGCGAGGCGAAAATGTACGCGAAAAACTGCGCCAGGCTGTCCAGGGCTGAGGCGAAGTAGGCGGATAGCGTGGTCCAGAGCGGCGGGGGGTTGATCGGCGATGTCATGATACAAATGAAAAATGCGTAGGGAAAGGGAAGTGAGGGAAGAAAAACAGCGGTGTACAGTGGAAAGAAGGGAGGAGGGAGTTTTTTTATAAAGCACCTGTCATACTCGGGGGGCTGCAGAACTGCATGTGTTTTATTTAGTGCATTAAGCGTTTTGCTACAGCGTCGTGTTTGGCAAATGCGCCGCTCGCTTTGAACAATCGCCCTGAATAGCAAGAGCCAACTAGTGCGCGCATTTCCGGATACAGGAGCAGCTACAGGTGGCTTGTTGTTGCAGCCTACCTAGCGCTTTAGCACGAACCGGAACAAGGCCTGCTGGCCGCTGGCAAGCACAATCCGGTCAACCATTTCCTGTCTTTTCCCGGCTGCACCGGCCAATGCCCAGTCACCGTAAACACGCAAAACACCAGTGGCATTGGCCAGAATACTCGCCGGCACATCAACCGTATACCCTGCAATGGCCTGCAGTCTCACAAGCACATCGAGGCTACCTGTTTGCAGCTCCGCCCTCACCCCCACCATCCTCAGGCCCTCCACCGCCGACGCCAGTGGGGCAAGCATACCAAGTGCCAGCCGCTGCTGCTCTGTTCTGGCCGGCGACAGAAACACCAGCATGGGGGAATTCAGCAGCACATTGCGCCTGGCTGCCATGTCTGGCTGCAGGTCCAGGAAATGCGAAACAGCTGCTGGTGTGTGGTCAGTCAGGGGCACCGACATGCCACGGAAGTCGTTGCCGGTCATGCTGCGGTGCAGCATGGTCTCCAGCGTATTGGGGGAAGGGCACGTGACGCCCATCGCCTGCCGCGCATGCAGAGCCAGTCTGCCGGGCAGCCCTACATGCGACACCGCCGGGTAGTAGTTGCCGGGGATCGGCGCGAACCGGCGGTACCGGCGCATGACCACGTCCACGCCATCGTACGTCTCGAACCGGCACCCCAGCAGATCGTCCAGGGGCCCGGCGCCCTGCAGCTCAAACTGCGCGATAACCTCGCGGTTATCCTTAGCCGTCAGCACCGCGGTGCTCTGCAGCATCGGCGAGTCGCCACACAAACGATACGACAGCCGCGTGCGCTCATCCACCTGCACGTAGGCGGTGTCGCAGAGCTTTCCGCGGTGCAGCTCAAACTCCAGATTTTGCGCAGCCAGCGGGCGCGAGTGCCATGCAGGCCGCAGGAACATTGCCAGCACTGTAGCCAATGCCACGCCGTATATGCAGAGTATGCACTGGCGTATCTGCCACCGCTGCACGCCTGCCAGCAGGTACCCGACCAGGAATGCAGGGGCTACTAGCCACACGAGCCGCTCTCCCTGCGTCCACTGCGTCAGCAGCGAAATGCTGCATACCTGCGCGGCAAAATACGTAAACCACAGGCCCAGTACACCGCCCAGTGCCATGGGCAGTGCCCGCACCAGCCTTCCCTTGGGCGGGTCCTCGGGCTCCACCGTGCCTTCGTCGCTGCGCCAGCTAACCAGCCGATCATAGGGCTCCGGCGACGATGCGACGGCGGTCGGCGACCGGCTGCCCGACCCATACGGCATCTGCGGAGACTTGGCAGTGGCATTCGCCGCAAACAATCCAGGGACTCGCACCGTTTGCGGCACTAGGCCGGCGAGCCGCGAGTCAGCTAGCCAGTCGCTGTTGATTAGCACTGCAACCGCCAGGCCCGCGCTCAGACAGCCGCCAGCCACATAAAAGACCAGCGCATACATCAGCATAAACGAATGCATGATGTATGCACCCGACGCCTGCACATGTGGATTGGCAAAGTACTCGCGCAGCCCATGCACTACCACATGCTCCACCCCGTCTTGCATGACCGCGATGCGGATGCGACGGTCACGAGTTGCCGCCAACCGCACCCGCACATTGCCCTTGTCCAGCACCGCCGCATGCAGATGCCGCTGCGGCTCCGCCCGCTCGCCAGAAACCGCGGACCCGCCAGTCAGCATGTAGCTGCGCAGGCCAAACGCCGGCACATTGCGCGCAACAAACTCTGCCACGAACGCGTCGCGCGCGTCATTGGCGACTACCTCCACTGCCACCGGCCGACCTGCGTCATCCACCACTGCAATTTTGCGCGTATGCACCAGCAGCCGCACCACCGAGTCCTGCGGCTCCAGCGCATTGGCGTTGGTCACTGTGATTTGCTGCATGCAGCCCGCATCCGAGCAGACTCGGCGCGGCACCTCCAGCAACGCGCGCTGCCGCGACTCGCCCAGCGCATCGAGTTCTTGCGCCCGCCGCGCCGCCGTATTGTACGCCACCGGCTCGGTCTGCTTGGAGCGAGCCGCCATCAGCGACTCTCTTACGGTCTTTGCTTGGAGATCCTGGCCGCTGGCAAGTGCCAGCGCGTGTTGGCCGGCCAGCAATGCTACGCGGGCCGCGCGCTTCAGCCGGCTGACGTAGTCATGGAAGGCTGCGTCGGTGCACGTGCCTGTGATCGCGTCGTGGTGGTATCCAATGGCCACCTGCTTGCGGGCAAACTCCATCTGCTGCTCCAGCTCCATCCACGCGTCGCTCAAGGCATTGCGCAGCCGCGCCATCGCCAGCAGCACCTCTGCGTGCTGCACAATCTGCTCGGTGTCGCGCACCAGCCATTTCAGATACGGCCGGGTGGTCAGCATGCCGCTCCAGTACTGCTCGTACGGCTTGTCCTGGTACGGATACATGTCGCCCGAGAACTCCTGCAGCTGCCCGCGCTCCCTCTGCAAGTGCGGGTCGATTGCTGCAAAATACTCGGTCATGGTTGAGTACTGCGCATTGATCGCCTGCCACGCTCCCCGCTCGGTGCTGCCAATGTATGCCAGCAGTTTGTCCAGGCACTGGAATGCCCGCGCTGCACGCACGTACCGGAAGTCGTCGCCCATCATCACCAGCACGTGACCGTGGCCCGGATACTGTCTAACCTGCCGCATTGCGAACCTCCGCAGCTCCTCGGCTAGTTCCACCACATTGCATTCCTCGGTGTTGTCAAAGTCAAAGTTGCTGCTGGGCGCCGCATAATGCACCGACAGGAAATGCGTCAGCACCGCCGGCTGCTCCGGATGCCTTTCCGACCGCCACAGGAACTGCAGCCCGGCGTTTCTGGCAAACTCGTACTGGTCGCGGTACGCCATCCGGCCCATCACCAGCTTCCGGTACCCAAAGCCCGCCAGCAGATATGCCATGCTCTGCATGTGCCCGAAATTGTCGATCTGCCAGCCGATGCTGGCGCTGGCGTTCAGCTGCTGCTGGAGCGCCCGCCGCCCCACATCCACGATGCTATTGTGCGCCCACCACGTCGCCAGGCCCTCGTCCGGGCTGACATACGTCCCGCCCACAAACTCCCACTGCCCACGCCTCACCAGCTCCCCCAGTGCCTGCCGCCACGTCAGATTCCCCACTGTGCTGCGCTGGTCGCCCTCCTCGTCCATCCACATGTCTACGAACGCCAGGTCTCCCCAGATAAACCGCCGCTTGTTGTCTGCAAACAGCTCCTGGACCACCGACCGCATTACCTGGTGCACTGACTTGTCGTAGTACTGCCGGAAACTCAGGTTCCACCCGATGTCCGAGTGCGAGTGCGGCACTATGTGCAATGTCAGCTGCTGGGGTAGTGCTGGGACCGCCGTATCGCGCATTGTCGGCGGCATCGGCTCGCCGAACCATGGCGCCCAGGCTGGCTTGCCAAACGGCAAAACCTGCGTGTTGGAGAGCACCAGAATCCACAGCATCAGTGTGCCCAGGAGCACTGTGCCGCGCCGCAAGTATCGCCGAGGTACTAGCATCGGCAGCTTTTTTGTATGGGTAGTGAAAAAAAGCAGATAAAATAAGTCTGCAGAGAAAAAAAGAGTTGAAGTGCAGGAACTGTTCAGTGAAACGTCAAGAGTGGTCTGGGTTTAGCGAAAAGGCTTTGGCCCATGTGGCGGAAAAACAAATCAAAGGCATCGCTTGCGCCCCGAGCCTCCACCTATCCCCATGTCCTTTTCCGTGCCTTTTTTGAGTGGATCCGTGCACAAACACTGCCGCTTCTTCACTTGCTGCTTATCGTCGATTGACTGGCCTGCCACGAAAATCACATCACTGCGGCTAGGTCATTTGGGTGCATATCCCAGCAGGCAGTCTGTCTACCTAGCGGCGTTTTTATAACGTCCTCTGCCATCTATACATGCAGCAAACACATCTACCAAGAGAACCGCTATACTCGGAGGTTGCCTGAAACATTTCATTTTAGAAAAGCGAAAAATCAAGGCCAGGGTACTTGTAGTGCACAGTTGCATCCCACTGCAGCACTGTCAGGCTATTCTGTCCGTACGGGCTCTCGCCATTGCTGCCCTGGAACCTCAGCGCACCGCTCTTGTCATACCACACTTCCTGCGAATGATGCTCGAACCCCATGAACCGGAACGGCAGACGCGGTGCCATATCGCCGCCATACACAACACGGTAGATAGGGAGCGCCTGCTGAGAGAGCCACGCCGCAAATACCGGATTGCCGACCCGCGGCTCGCCATACGTGAACAGCTTCATTTTTCCAACCCACTCTGGGTGCCGTAGCGCCAAGTCCACTGTCGCCAGCGTCGCCTGTGCGCTTCCAAGAGAATGCCCGGTAATCACAATGCTGTAATCCGGAAACTTTGCAACCAGCTTGCTGATCTCAACCTCGATACTCTGGGCTGCTGCCTGGTACGCCTGCAGGAACCCCAAGTGCACCTTGGAGCCCGGAATCCCTGCCGGCCACGAGACCGGCACGAATGTCAGGTCCTTGACAAAGTCCATGAACACTGTGCTGCCGCGCCAGCTGGCGATGATCTCCTTGGTGTCGGGCTTGTGCGCCACGTATCCGTAGCTTGGGTTGAGCTTTGCCGACAAGTCCCAGTGGTAATCGACAACACTACCCTTTGTATCGTCGGCTTGGCAGTTTATATCGCATGTCCAGGTAGTGCCATTTACTTTATAGGCGGCCCCTGCGTAGCGGGCGTACTTGACCAGGGTCTCGGCCGGGATTGTTCCGGTCTGCTTGTTCGCCACATACGATATGGTCTTCTTGTCCCCGCCGCCTGCAATGTAGGCAGTCTGCGCCGCCACCAGTACTGCTGAGGCTGAGGAGAGCTCTGCCAATCCGCTTGAATCGTTGTGCTGGTGAAGACTAGCTGCCGATGTAGACAGACTGGCAAGAGCAACAAGAATAAGAGCCGAATATTTGAGCATTCTTGGCGGGCGTTATCACAGTGCAACAGTAGGTATTAGGTTTTTAGTGGTGTCGAGTTCAAGCTTTGGCCCGCTCCTATATGTCCTTTATATGTCGCTGCCTATATGCTCCTCCAAAACAAGCAGCCTCCCACATCATCTACACCTGGGGAACATGCCCCGTCTCTAGAATGGCTGAGAGGATCTGCTTATCGTGCTGCTGAAATCCAATGCATATCGGCTTGAAAGCTCAGCAGATCAGCCATCTGTTGATCTAGTATGCCCATCTGAGAATATAACACCATGCCGCCAATCCACCGCCCCTCCCCTTGTTGCACATACATATTAGACAGTCCGTTTCCACTTGTCATATGACTTTGCATAGTCCTACGCTGGCCCTCCCCCTTTTCTGCACCGCAAATCCATTACAAATCTTTGCCGGTAAACAGAATAGGAAATCACTACATACCATGTGCCAAAGGAGTGGTCTCAGCCTGTGCAAACTGCATGTCGCGGAGACCGGCTTTGCCATGATATGCCCGTGGGCATGACATTGCTAGACACTCTGAATTATCTGACAGCTTGCCATTTTATTGCAGCCGCTGGGAATGGAGCTGCAATGTGTCTCAGCCTGGAATAATCTTTGCATCAGTATGCAAGTTTGAGGCAGCTGCAAACCCATGCGGAGGCTCTCAAACGGCCCACTTGCAGTCCCTTCAACAGCGACTCATCGGGTGACGAAACAGCAAACTGTCCAACTGGGCATTTCGTTGCCATTATGAAACAAAAACATTCATTTGGCTATCTCCAGGTATTCTAATTAAACGTATACTAACAAAAGTTATTAAGGAATGCTCTCGATGTTGCCAATTGCCCAGTAGAGCAGCTCAAAGCTAAGGCCAGGGTATCTCAGATGGTCAGGCACGTTCCACTGCAAAGGGAGCAGACTATTCTGACCACTTGCATTCTCGCCGTTGCTGCCCATGAACTTTAGCCTGCCGTTCTCGTTATACCAGACCTCCTGCGAGATATGCTGGAACCCCATGAATTGGAATGGAACCCGCGGTACCAAATCCCCCTTATAAACGGTTCTGTAAATCGGGAACGGCTGCTGTGATAGCCAGCCAGCGAATTTCGGGTTGCCGACCCGCGGCTGTCCGTAGGTAAACAGCTTCAGCTTGCTAAGCCATTCCGGGTGGCGCGTCGCATAGTCTACGGCTGCAATAGTCGCCTGTGCACCACCAAGCGAGTGCCCAGTCAGCACAATGCTATAGTCAGGGTATTTTGCGACCAGCTTAGCAACTGTCTCTTCAATATGGGCTGATGCTGATGAGTAAGCCTGCAGGAATCCTCGGTGAACCTGGGAGCCAGCAATCGACGGTGGCCATGATACTGGGAAGTAGGTTAAGTCCTTCACCCAGTCCATCAGAATAGTCGTGCCACGCCAGCTGACGATGATCTCTTTGGTGTCGTCCTTATGGGCAACGAAGCCAAAGCTAGGGTTGGTCGTTTTCGCCGTGTCCCAGTGGTAGTCAACAACCGTGCCCTTCGTGTCGGCAGCCTTGCAGTTGATGCTGCATGTCCATGTCATGTCTAGAACCTTGTAGGCTGCGCCCGAGTAGCGGCCATATTTGACGATGGTGTCTGCAGAGACCGTCCCAGTTTGGTTGTTGGGGGCATACGACCAGACTTTCTTGTCACCACCACCAACGATATAGGCGGTTTGAGCAGCAAGGAGAGCCGCCGCTGCAGAGGCTTCAGAGAAAAGAGCAGGGCCACCAGAACTGCTGCGCTCCTGAACAGGTGCAGCAGATACAGACAGGCTGGACAAGACAGCAGCAAAGATGATCGAATACTTGAGCATCTTGAAGTATAACTGAGCAATGGTAGTAAAAAGGTGTATCTCTATCAAGAGCAAGCAGCAAATACCAAAACGAAAAGGCTAGTGCTGTTATTGCATTTTGGAGGATAAGGCTGTCATAAACCAGCTCATTTTATAGTCTACCATATCGCATACTTTGAGAGTAAATGCAAGTGATTTGCTATCACCTATATCTAAACATCTGGCCATGAGTCAATCGTCCTGGAAATTCCGCAAACCGTACATTCGATTGTTCCAGATCTGCGATCTGCTTCATTAGAGGGCTGCAATGGCGGTGTCCCTGTAAAAAGTTGTGAAGCTGGCCAGGAGAAGAATGGTGTCTCTATCAAATGGCATGCAGACCGCTTTGTGACTGGCTGTCCTTGTCGGTCTGAGAATAAAACCTGTGTATGTTTGCTGATCTGTCCCCCTTTTTCAAACAAAAATGCCGCTTCCAGGCTATGCCAAGCCGTTACGCTTCCTTCTATATGGCTACAAAGCTGCCAGCCATATGCTCTTGCATGCTTTGCAGTGGCTACACTCTGCGCCGTAAATCTAAGGCAAAGCAGGACATGGCTGTCCTTTCTTTGTGGATATCAGCAGGATCATAGATCTTGCATCGACAGCGCAACGGCACTATGCAAATGCTGCATTGCGCGGAGCCCGGCTTTTTCTTTGTATGCCCGTCGATGTGAAAGATGCTGGAGTTGCATGTCTCGAATCATTACAGCCCAGAGATTCTGCTTATTCATTGGCCAGCTGATGGGAAAGAATATGTGGGTTCAAAAAACTGCATCCCACCAATGTATTACAAAAACATGAGCCAAAGAGACTAAGGATTTCAACACACTTGTCCTCGGTAGGCTCTGTGACAACACATCTGCTAACGGGGATTTAGGCACCCTCACTGGAAATTATAACAGCTCAGCTATGAATCAAATGGTATTCCTGGTACCATCTGATCCATAAACTGGAAGTACTATGAGATGCAAGTCTAAGGAATGCTCTCAATGTTGCCGATTGCCCAGTAAAGGAGTTCGTAGCTGAGACCAGGGTACCGCAAGTGGTCGAGCACACTCCACTGGAGCGGCGTCAGACTATTCTCTCCATAGGGGCTCTCTCCATTACTGCCCTGGAACTTTAGCGCGCCGTTCTCGTCATACCAGACTTCCTGCGAATGGTGCTTGAACCCCATGAACTGGAAAGGCGCACGGGGCACCAGATCCCCCTTATAAACTGTTCGGTAGATTGGGAACGGCTGCTGCGACAGCCATCCAGCAAATGCCGGGTTGCCGACCCGCGGCTCACCGAATGTAAACAGCTTCAGCTTGCTGAGCCATTCCGGGTGACGTGCCGCGTAGTCTGCTGCCGCAATAGCCGCCTCACCACCACCCAACGAGTGCCCGGTAAGAACAATGCTGTAGTCAGGGTGTTTTGCGACCAGCTTTGAGACTGCTGCCTCAATACCGCTTGAAGCTGAGGAGTATGTCTGCAAAAAGCCCTGGTGTACCTTGGAGCCAGAAACAGAGGAGGGCCAGGAAACCGGCAAGAAGGTGAAATCCTTGATCCAGTCCATCAGGATTGTGCTGCCGCGCCAGCTGACGATAATCTCTTTGGTATCGTCCTTGTGAGCGACAAAGCCGTAGCTTGGGTTCAATGTGGTCGAAGTGTCCCAGTGGTAATCAACGACAGTGCCCTTTGTATCGTCGGCTTGGCAATTGATATGGCAGGTCCAGGTCGTGTCCAGCACCTTGTATGCGGCCCCTGAATAGCGGCCATATTTGAGAATGGTTTCAGATGAAACAGTCCCTGTCTGGTTGTTGGAGACAAAAGTGGTTGCCCTGTCTCCGCCGCCGACAGTGTAGGCCGTTTGGGCAGCAAGTAGAACGGCTGCTGCTGAAGCTTCAGAGAAAAGAGCAAAACCACCGGAGCTACTACGCTCCTGGATAGGTGCTGCAGATACAGACATGCTAGCCACAGCAGCAAAGAAGATGAAGGAGTGCTTGTTCATTTCGCAGGTGTGTTGAGTGGTTAGCCTCTATAACTTATATTGATGTTCTGCCAGAGAAAGACCGATTTATCGAGACGATGGAAGGGCTCAAGGATGCTGCTTTACAGCTGACGGGCAAACCGGCCTTTCAGTGCTTCCTTTATACACGCTCTTGCTATGATGCAGCGAAACGAGCAGCACTATGCAGACCGGCTTTTCCGCCTGGTCCACCGAGCAACACCCATCTACCAGAATTGGCGGACCATGGTTAACAGGTTGCCTGAGAATTAGCGCCAACTGAACTGGAGGAGAGCAGGAATACAACGAGGTCGTTCTGGTTTGAAAGTAGCGACTCAATATACTTGCGAATCGCTTGTTCCGTCAGACTCAGAGTAGAGGCCATCTTGGCATTGACGCGTAGAGGTGGAGTGCTCAGCCGGCCCCGTGCTCAGAGTTTCCATCCAGGCTTTGCAGATTGAAACGAGCATTTCTGCTCTATATAGAATTGGCCTACCACATGCGCCTGCATGAAAAAAAAACTCCGCCATATGCACTTGCATACATGTCTTTGACCAGCATATGCAGTGTAAATCAGTGGTAGGCTATAATGGCAGGTAAAGGGCAGAACATCGGTCATGTGCCAGATATGCGATGGGGCCATTAGGCACAATCCACCTGGCCCATGGCGGCAGTCCTTTTCTGCTACGAAGCGTGAAAGCGGAAATGAGGGGTAGATCCTACTGGGTGTATTGCAGGTTTTCGATGCTGTTTGCCAAGTCCAAACGATTGGAAGACCGCACCACAGATAGGACACGAGTACCATCATCTCTCTTAGTGGCTCAAACTAATCCGGACTGCTTCTTCACTACGCAGCCGCTAATACATTGCAGCATTAGATCACACTCAATAGTCGGCATCACCGCATACATGACTACATGTATGCTCGTATGCTATGCAAGCGACCAAAATATTCTATTTAAAGGCACGTACTGAGGTACTGAGTTTTTTTGTCAATGAGATGGTGATCCATTCCACCCACCCTTTTCCTCTGCCTCACTTGTTTCCTTCGCCACCGACCCAATGTAAAGGCCTGCAAACAGCGATGTTTTTTGTGCTTCGGCCTCCTTCACCATCTGCTCCATCTCCTTGACCTTCTTGGCAGCAATCTCCAGCGTGTTGATGATGGACTTTGCTGGGGCCATACCGTACTTTGTGGTCATCTCCATAGCCAGCTTTCCGCAGCGATTCAAATCACGCGTTGCCGTTTCCGGTGTAATCAACAGCTTGAAGGTTGCCGGTGTTGGCCGGACCTTGCAGCCAGGCATCATCTCGAGGTATTTTTCTGCACTGTCCATGTCCCAGTACTTTGCATGCCACTTTATCATGACCTCGAACGACTTGCGGGTCGGCTTGATCTCCCGCTCCACCACCATCTCCTCAAACAATGCGCGCATCTCTTCGACCATGCCGTTCATGCCCAGCACATCCAGCATCTCGTTGTAGATATGCACGGTGGGCCCGCTCAGATTTGCGTCCTCCAGCGAGTCCTGCCAGTACCCAATGTGCTTCTTCACGAACTGCATAGGACTTCTCCGCCGACACCGCCAGCTTTGTCGACGAACACGCGAACCCAAACACACGCTTCGCCGCCTCTAGATCGCCAAGCAGGCCGTACAAACGGATCAGGCTCGCCTGGGTATAGCTGTTCGGCTGCAAGCCCGCACGGCGGATCTCCCGAATGGTCTCTAGGGCGCGGTCCAGCTCGCCTACCACTAGCTTGGCGTTCACATACGAGTTGTAGTTGGTGATATCCCGTGGCATTCCACTCAGCGCTGCATACTGCCAGATATGGTCCGCAGCCTCGCTATTCTTGATTGACGCAAAGTACCCTAGCAGCGCATTCAGATCCTTGGATGTCAAGGCTCCGCCCGACTCAGCCACAGTCTTCAGGACCTTCTTGATTCGCTCGGTCATCCGTGATGCATGGTATGGGGTGTACGAAACCACATGCTTCAAGTTTAAAACCGACAGAATGTCGGACTGCATCGTCGGCAGGGCAACCTTAGGGTGGTGGATCAGGCGCCGGGGGATGACTTTGCTTGATGAGAGATCAGCGGGCGTATTGCGGTATTTGTGCTGCAGGCGGTGGTACACATACCAGGCCTGGTTGATATCGTGTTTGTCGACGCTGTTTTTGAACTCGGCCAGCAGCTTCTTGGTAGTGAACCTAGATTTAGTCGACATTGGCCGCGAAGGAGGTAATGTCGGTGCGTTCAGCACGCTGCATGCTAGTGACCAGGCCGACCGCTGCATTATGTACGTGGAATTGAAACAAGCGGGCCGTGTATTAAACAAAGAAAGTACTGTAAAAAAAGTGGGTGAAGGTGGGAGAATAGGAATTGCAAAAAGTGAAAAGTGAGAAAGTGCGAGATAAACATGCCACTAAGAATTTTGGAACCGCCATGCCGACTCGCGGCTCGACTCGCCGGATCTGGCCAGCAGGCGAAGACTAGCCACCCAAGACATGTAGTGCGCGCTGTGGGCCTAGTTGTGCCGGAAGAACTTCATTCCAAGCCAGTTCCAGAACACAGCAACGACGAACGACAGGCTGGTGATCGGCACGAGTAGGCAGTAGTACTGGTCGTCCTTTATCATGTCCAGGAACCGGATTCCAGTGTGCGGCATGAACTTTGACACAACCAAGGAATAGATCGACACAAAGAACATCACCGACGTGGTCGCTAGCAAGGCGTATCCATACAGCGGCGTGTCATCGGGCTCATGCGCAGGCAGCCTCACCGGCTGATGCCTCGTGTACCGCGGCGGCGCCCGAAACTCTGGGTGACTAAACGGGTCGACCAGCGAGGCCCGAAACAGCGACAGATTGCCTGGTGTCGACGACACGCGCTTCAGCAGCCCCACCTCGCTGCTAAACAAGCTGGCATGGCCGGGTGGCACGCACTCGGAATGAATGGAAGCGGTCTGCTGGTCTGCCTGCCACGTATGGTCCACTGGTGGCTCTGACTCTACACGTTGCGATGACAGATAGCCTGCATCCCACAGGTGCAATGGCGTGCGCTGCAGATATTCCAGCTGCCGGCGGTTGTCGTTCTCGTCGTAGAGAGGAGCATAGTGTACGCTGCGCTCGTAGACTGGTTTTTGCTCTGGGTGCGAGTTGTTTGAGGCGTTGCCGCTCTCGACGGTTGTTGTGCTGGTGGTGTGAAGCATAGTCAGGCTAACGTCGTCCAGCGCGTCTTTTGTGCCGGTTAACCGCCGTCGGCGAGGGCGGATTACGCTGGTAATCGACTTCATTTTGGTGGCAGGTATTAGCGTGTATGAATAGGTGTAGAATTAGGGCATGAACAAATAAATGAAGGGCGTGAACGAGTGAAGACAGTGAAATTAACAAACAGGTGGAGTATTAAAGAGAGCAAAGGGGCGGGGCTGGGCATGGCCAATTTTTTTCTAGGCACTGGATATTTTTGGAACCTTCACATACTAAAAATCTGGCGCCTACAGGCCGGCGGCTTGGTCTGCCTTCTGCTCGCTCATCTTGGACTGGTATCCGCTGGCAGTCTCTTGACGCATCAGCTCGCGCAGTAGCATTGTTGCATACGCACTGGACGGCAGGTCAAACTTTAGCTTGAGCGCAAGATGCTGCCCGTTCTCCAGCGACTTGGGCTCTTCCTTCTCCATGATTTTATCGACATCAGTCAACAGCAGCGGCAGATCGCCATCGTCGTACCGCATCCACTCGTACGAAAAGTCCCTTGGCTTGATAATGATATGGCGGTACGCGCCTGCCAGTCCGATACTCCTTTGACGGATGCTTGCCGAGGGCAAACGGCGACAGGTCGTCCTTCATCATAAGGTCCACATAGAACGACTTGACCTGGTTCTCTGGGTACTCGATTGCAGCACCTGGCAGTGGCAAGACCACATCGTAGATCGAGTACTCGCTCGCATTCTCCGCGGTCACCACCACCGGCTTATGCCGGACGCGCTCGCCCGTCTGCTCGTCGGTCTTCCCTGCCTTGAAACCCTCTGCCTTGATCACCAGATCGCCAGGCACTGGACCCTGCATACCGAATAGTTCAATGCGCTTGCTGACGGCCGAGTTCCAGACAAACGACTGATACGCGTGCAGGTACATGAGCCGCAGGTTGCGCGGGATTGTGCCGAACGCACCAGCGCAGTTTCTCTGGTTCTTGGTCTTGAGGAAATGCAGCAGAATGCTGCGCTCTGCCATGGCAATACGCGGCGGCATCGCAGACAGAGTGCCCTGGACATCCTTGGTCTCGGCCCAGATGGCACGCGCCTTGGCCACCTTGAAGTGGTCGCCCTCGCGCGGCATGAGAATCAGATCAACCGCCTTTTGCCAGTTGGCCTTCAGCACCTCAATACCCACGGCCTGCGACGGCACGCTGCTGTTGCCGAACCGCTGCATGCCAAAGTAGTTGATAAACCCTGTGTTTGTGATTCCGTCCAGCACTGGCTGCAGCGACACAGGATCGGCTCCCTCAACGTACCTGAGGACAATTTGGAACTGGTTGCCAGCAAGATCGCCAAGGCTCAAGTCGCGGGGTGCGTAGCTGAAGTTGCCAAGTCTGGCACCCTGCAGCTTTAGCGACGCCCAGATCAGCCGGCTATGCTCGATCTTGAACGACGAGCACTTTTGCACCGTCACGCCGCGCTTGTCTTTTGTGCCCGCCATGCCAAAGCACCCCGGCTTGACACGCAGAAGCTTCGCCAGCTGGTTCAGAATGTCCATCGAGTCACGGTTCTCCTTCTGCATCACAAAGTGGCAGAACTCGCCCACATGCTCCCACCGGCGGCGTCCGCTCTTCGGCTTGGAGTTGGGCGGCAGCCGCTTGAACACCATCTGCCCGTCCTGCGTGTTGACAGAGACACGAGTAGGCAAAAAGTTGTTTGTCACGCCGTAAATACGCGTGCGTGTGTGTTTGTCCAGCTCCCGCTCCAGCACAAACGCCGCTTCTGTGTCCTCGCCGGATTCTAGCAGTGTCCTGATATGCTGTGCGTCCTCCGCGCCCAGGATCTCTGCCAGGTGCTTGAATGCCTCCTCAAATGCCTCCTTTGGGTCTTCAGGCACCTCCAAGTCGTCCTCGTCTTTGGGAGGCGCTGGGTCATCTGCGTCCGTAAACGATGTCAGGTGGACGACCCTGCCTGACAGGTCAATCTCGTTGACAAGGAAGTCGCAGAACCGGTGCTTGATCACAGCATCGAACCCTTTCCATCCAGGCGTGATGAATTCAGTGATGCCAACGTCTGTTTCCGTCTGATAGAAAGTGGTGGATTGAGGCGCTGGCTTTGCAACTGTCTCCTCAGCAGGCGTTGCGGCTGGTGCTTCCGCCGAAATCTTTGCCCGCTTGCTGTCCCCATGCAGCTGCTCAGTATCTGATGACGGCATATGTGATCTGAATGGCTTGATAGTGAGTTGTGCGCGCTTTATTATCTGCAAGAAGATATTGAGCATAAAGTGCTTATATTGAGACGACACGAAGAGGAAGAGAGAGGCAAAGGGGGTCGTGGGTATTGGCGAGGCAAGCTTAAGGAAACAAACAATTTTCAAGCCCACGATTATCGATCACCGATTAGCTGTCTTGATCAATACTGTCGTTAGTTTCCCTGCACCAAAATCATGGCTCTTTGCGTATCATACTAGTTAGTGCTATTGTCCATGTGGTTTCTAATTCACATCATCACTACACCTGGGAAACACATTTCCCGACTCACGGCCAACAATAGCCTCTATGTTGCACACCTGGCCAGCTAAGCACCAACGGCCATATGGATATCGGTCCTCATATACTCGGAGGACCAAACACGAGATATGGGATGGCGGACCAGACAGAGCCAAGTGGTAACATGTGGGTTAGTACTCAGCCGACAGAAGCCAACAGAGGAAACTCCATTGACTATTGCTTGTCACCCAGTACTGAGAGATTGCTGATATGGTTTATGACAAATGTAACAGTTTTATGACCTAGCTAACCCATCTCTTCGTCTTTCGTTTCCATCTCTCTTCATCCGTTCTCCAGGTCTCAAAAGAAGCAAGCATTCCAATATTTATCACTCCCTTTCCCTTATCTGCAGTAATGGTTATACTTTCCAGTATTGTTTTCATGGCCTGCATATCTTGCTAGACCACGACAGTGGCATTGGCAAAATTGGACATTACGCACAGTATCAGTTACATGGAATACTTTGCTCTAGGGATGTTCGGTAGCATCGGTGCATTGGTCTTTGACCAAGAGTTCAACGGTCTAAAGCACAACGACGACGATGTGGCCAAGTGGGCCAGCGCAACCGTCATCTTGCATGGCACTCGTGCAGCAGCCCTGCCCACAAAGTACTTGCCGTTCTCGCTACTTCTCCTATCCCAGGTGGTGAAGTTCAAACGCTCATCCGAATTCTGCAACAAGGCAATTCCAAACCGCAAGGAGCTGCTTCGTGCCGGTGCAGGAAAGCCCGTGGATCTCCCTCACGCCTTTATTGATGCTGAGGATCTTGAATCGAATATTGCCATGGACGACCTCCAGGTTAAGCCTGAGTCTACTGTTACCATGTCTGCAGGCAGCGATACATTGCCACGCTCACTCCCATGAACTGTATTCCCCCTGATTATCCACCCTGAGATCTATGCAAAGGCAAGAGATCAGATCCCCACCAAGTTCCCTGTTGACTATCCTGTCAAATATTCTGAAAAATCTTGATATGGTGCTGCCTGAGGACTACCCATCTCGGGCCAAATGTCCTGGATGCGAATGGCTTTTTCAAAGATAGAACCAGCATATATGCTTGTTACTGAGTCTGTAAACCCAAAACGCGACTGCCGTATGATTCTTACCAAGCGCTCAGAACAGCATCGCCTCGCAATAGTTTAGCTATGGCATACCATGTCAACACATTGCGAGAGGAGAGGCTATGTTATTGACGAGTGTTTCTATAGATGCAGCACGTGTGCAAGGTAGTGATCAACACTGTGATCCAGGGATCGCGATTAACTTTTTTTTTTTTGGGTATCTGGGGATTTTGGTAAGCTGGAGACTGCTTTGTTCGTCTGTAATCTCCAGATAGACGGCTCGCGCTTTATCTCTACTTCCACCCTTTTAATTAACAGGCCTTTTTGTACAAACACTTGTCACTATTCAATCATGTCAGATAAAAACAGCAGCAGCCCTGCAAAGTGCCCTGTCGACCATGGCAGTACTGGGAGCAGACCTGCACAGCCGCAAGCCCCACATGGCGCACAGGCCCCACACGGCGCGCAGTGCCCTGTCGACCACGGGCAGGCGCTCCCGAGCTTCGCACAGAGCCTGCCCAAGGCATCCGGCGAGTGTCCTGTCGATCACACACTCAACCCGTTGAACATGATGCCAGACCTTCCACAGACCATGCACTCGTCACAGGCAGAGAGCCTGTCGACTGAACGCGAGCTGTCGTCGATTCCGCGTGCGACAGACGACGACACTGTGTGGGAATACCCGTCGCCGCAGCAATTCTACAATGCGCTGGCGCGCAAGGATATGGCGGCACCCGAGGAATATATGGACATCATGGTTGATATCCACAACTTCTTGAACGAAGGCGCATGGAACGAAGTGCTGAAGTGGGAGTCAAGGCACAAGGACCAGTGCATGGCGCCGAAGCTGCTGCGGCTCCAGGGCCGCCCGCGCGATCTCAGCCCGATGGCCAGGTTCACGAGCTGGATGCACGGAGTCAAGCCTTTTGACCGCCACGACTGGTATGTTGATCGCTGCGGCAAACAGGTGCGCTATGTCATCGACTACTACGAGGGTGCTCCCGAGAACGATATGCCCGTGTTCAACCTGGTTGTGCGGCCAGCTGTCGATGACTTTGAAAGCTTGACGGACCGCTGTCGGGCACTGTGGCAGGACGCCAAGGAGAAGTACTTTGGATCGGGCAGCAGCCAGTAGATAGTGACGAGCAGGTTTATGGAAAACAAAGTATTGCAAAAAAAAGGGCTGAATAGCGCCTACCGCACTCCTGTCAGCTAGTGTTTTTGTGGCTATCTGTGTTAGACGAACAGCTCGGGTGTGGCCTGGCTCATCTTGTTGGCAGTCTCCTTGACCTTGGCCTCCCACTGCGTCAGCCTGTCGACCAGACTCCTGATCTGATCCTTGCCCAGGTACCGGGGCTGCACCCACTGCACAGTGACTTGCTGATCGACCTGGTCGATGCTGCCCTTGATCAGTCCCAGACTCAGCGCCTTCATGACCAGGTGCTCGATCTCGGTGGCGGGCAGTCTGGTCTCCGCGGCAATGGCCTCAAACGCAATACGCCTGGTGCCGGCACCCTGCCGCTTAAACATGCTCTCGATGAGCGCCATCAGGCGGATCTTTTGCTGCAGGAATGCCTCCTGCTGCTTGAGCAGCGGCTGGGAGTGCAGGTTGCCCACGAGCGATTCAAACTTGCCGATATCGCCGCTGTTGAACGCAAACAGCAGCGTGTGCATCCACTCGTGCTCCGTACCCTTCAGCGCGTCAATGATCGGGTGCGACAGCAGATCACCAAAGTTGTAGATGTTGTCGCTTAGCAGCGCTGCAATGGCCAGGTCGTATGCCCGCTGCACACGGTCCTCGGGCGCCAACTCCTGGATATCAATACATGCCAGCAGCAGCAGCGCGTTCTTATAGTACTGTCCAAACACGGCTTTGGCCTTGTAGTAGTCGGCACACACGCGGTAAAAGCTGGCGTGGATCACCGGGTCGACATGCGCAAACGAGTCAATCTGCTTCTCGCTCTGGTCCAACGCATCTCTGGTCGCGTCCAGATCGTTCAGCAGCAGCCGGAAGTGCGCACCCTCCAGCGTCGCTAGCGTATATGCCTCCTGTGATTCCGGCTTGTTCACCTCCTCGGTGATTTGTGTCATGAAATCAGACGCCGCCTGGATGCTGTCGTACTGGCGCGCTGCAGCCAGCGCAAACAGCACCAGCTTGACCTTGTTCATGTTCTTCTGCCAGTCCCGCACAAAGTTGTTGTACAGGTCAATGCGGTACGGTGCGGCCTCTGGGATGTTGATGAATTTTTCAACCTGCTGCGTCAGCTGGTGCCAAAGCCTAATGGGTGCCAAATGCTGTTAGCCTCCTAGTCCTCTGCCATGCGCCGGAGGCCGCTCATTTGGTTCTGGGTACTTACTTCCTCTCGTACAAATCCTCAAACTCGCTAAAGTAACGCGACAGCTCTCCAGGCGCCTCATTCTGCTGCTTGTGCAGGTACGCGTAGACCGGGTTGTCAACCTCCATTTGCTGCTGTGTGGTGGATTGGAAAATGTATGGTAAAATTGGGCAAAAGGAAACGAAAAGCGTCGAGCCTTGAAAATCGCTGACGAATTCAGCTTGGCTGCCCTTGTGGCCACGCAAGCATTGCCTTCGAGCCGCTTCAGATTTGTGAGCTGCGACTCGCTGTTTTGTGGGATTGTAGACCTGAGCTGAACCTTTTTTTTTGCCTAGACTTTTTGGTTGCTTCTACTACTATTTTTCCCTGGTTTTTTTTAATAGACATGGCTGACGACAGTATTGACGACGCTCACGGCTTCTTTCAGTTTGCAGACTTTTCAGACAGCGATGATGAAGACGGTCTGTTTGGAAAGACCCGCGACCGCACCGTCGAGTTTGACCCGAGCAAGATAAACTACTCACCAAAGATCGACTACGACAACTGGTTCGACCGCCGCGCCGAAACGCAGCTGGAGGAATGGATTGACTCACACAGTGGGCTTGACGAGGTTACATTCACAGCACAGCGGCTGTACTTTAAACGCCAGTTTGCAGAGACCCGGGATCTGTGTATAAAAGTTCACCAAGCTGTATCTCGAGAAGAGAGGCAAGGGCGTGCGGATAGCCAGCATCCGCGAGATACTCGAGATTGGGTCCAAGGCAGCAATGCGCATGGATGATCTTCGAGAGTCTCGAGTACTTTTACGATCTGTACCAGGGCTGCGGAGGAGCGTTCCCTGGGTACAACCAGTTTTTGGCCTCAGTTCTGCGCAAGCTTGGACGACCTGTAGATGCCTTGGCTCAATACACGACATACCTGGGTATGCGCAAGCAGGACGCTATGGTGTGGCAGAATATCGGCCAGATACTGCGCGAACTAGGTGCAGAGGACCTGCAGGCCATGCAAGATCTTGTTCGACTGTCGCTGGCAGCCTTCATGCGGTCGTACACGATTATCCAAGAGTGCAAAAACTGGAAATCTATGGCGTTTGCTGTCGAGCGCAAGCAGAAGCAACTTAATGGGCTCTCCCAAGACGCTGCAGCGTCGCTTGACTTGCTTGGATTTGCAGCCCCCACCGATGTTTGGAGCCAGTGCGAGGACGAAATGTTTACTGACAACGTACAGTCTCTATTGGATGCGTGCTCGGATGCACTGGAGATCCCTGTCAGATGGATTGCAGCACAGCTTTCAAACACTGGTGAGTCTACCGAGCAACAGGACGACGACGAGGAGAAAACTGGTTGCTGATCTTTAAGTGGCAAACAACACTTCAAACCACCACCCGAAAAAAATGGCCGACCACTTCCAAGAGGGCAGCGGTTTGTAAAGGAAGATTTGCACCGGTGTGTCACAAGTATAAAGTTTACACATGCGCATCCTCCCCATGCCGAGGGGCATCGGCTGTGTGTAACTGACAGGCTTGCATGAAACTTGCAGGATACGTAAATAGCCAGTCGGCCGACCTGCCACGCTTCCAAGCCCATCCAACTTTGTGTCTGCATTTTTCCATTTAGTTCACTTCCTTTCTTACCTCGTTGTTTATGTCAGTCATGAAAAGACCTCAAAGGCCTGAAGCCGTTCAGATTTTCTCGCAAAAAGTACCGGAATCCCTTTCCTGTGCTTCCAGAGATTATCATGGTACGGATAGCAGAATACGTGACAGGATATCGACTGCAGCAGTCGCTGGAAACACACCAGGATCCTGCTCTAGGCCCACTCCAGCTTGGCGTCATCCCACTGCTCGCTGTGTGTCGTAAATGGCGGGCACTGCTCGCGCCGACATTTTACTGCCACGCCTTTGTCGGCTTGGAACCATCAGAGGGCATCCAGCCTTACAGTACATCATCCAGCGCATGATGCCAGGGCACTGTCTACACTTGGGCACGACCAATCGATCCGACGGCTAATGATCATGGATTGGCGGTAGGATCCTTAGCAATGCTGACTCTATGGCAGCGATGGAGGCTTTTTTGCGACCGGGTCGGTTCGCTGGAGCAACGGAAATTGTTTTGAACTTTGACAGCATTGGCTGGGACGACTCCTGCTGCCTACCTGGTACTGAGGAGCTCGTCCAGAGGATTTGCTAGGCCTGATCGACAAGACGGCACCAAATACCACGGCGCTTCGCGCTGGTTTCGCCAAACTATCTGTATATGGCGCCAGGTTCTGCTGCCGCTGCATTGGTACGCTTGGTTTCACGTAACAAGACCTCGTTTGGGATTGACAGTCCAGCACTGCAATTATCTAACTTCACCAAGAGAAACCTGCTGATTGACTTGTCGAATTTCACAGTTAGCCGCAGGACCATGTGGACTGATATTCTCGTCCATATCATCCAAGCCAACGCGCATACCCTTCAAACATTGCAGCTCGGCGAGATTTCTGGTGAGGACTTTGACAAGCTGCTGTTTGCAAACGACAGCCAGGCCATCTTCTACCCCGTACTGTGGAAGCTTGAACTCCATGTTACGTCAATGCCCATGATCGGCCGCCCATCCCTTGCACATGTACCATTCCCATCGCTGATCCACTTTGACAACTCCCACATCCACCCATTCAACGACGACACAATACTGCGTTGCAACCGAGCGAATCTCGAGTTCCTCCGAATGCCGCTCGATCCGATTCTGTTTGAGCAACTGGTGCGTGCCGATGCTTTCAACCCGAAAACCTACATGAGCCTCGTGCGAATTGAGTTTGAATATGAGGGCGGGCCATTTATGCTGTATAACGGTATTGATGGCTACAGCATGGTTTCAAGTGCTTTTGATATGGCACAGATAGCATACTCTGTCAAGATCAAGATGGACAGCATCCAGTCGTCGCCGATTATTTCACAACTGAGATCAAGCAGCACGCTGCAGAATCTATACGCACCTGGACTGAACCTAAATTTATGTCAGCTCAACCAACTACTGCAACACTATCCTAACCTCAGCTCGCTTGCCTGCACATTCGTCGACGAATTTGAGGGCATCGCTGGCGACACGCCAAATACCAGATTCATCCGCCTCATGCGCAAGGACTGCACCATCAAGACCAAGGTGCGCAGGCTGGAGATGGCCAATGTTGGATACAACCGCGACGTCGGCGTACAAGCAACATCGTTATTCTACTCGCATCGCTGATTCCCTCACTGAAACGTGTCGTTCTCGTTCCTGCCAAAGATATTTATCACCGGCACCTGCTGGGAAGTGTAATCAAGGCTAAAAAGAAACTTGTCTATAAGGATCTGCCGCATTTCAAGGCCCTCCGATTCGAGGTTCGCTCCCTTGATCAGCCAGGCACCATGGTCCAGTGATGTGTTTTTGGTACAGCATTGGGGAATCCATGTGCTTCTTAGGTTTACTACTGTTCTGCTGTTATTATATCGACTAATAAGGGTGGTGTTAGTTTACTTGCTTTCCCGAAAGACATGCACGCAAAGAGCCTGCAGATCTTGTGTGGAGCACACTGTTTGGGGATATGTGGATCTTCTGCAATATATATGTTGCAGGAGTGACGTGCGTGAGAGGTGGGGCAAGTTCCGCTTGGCATTTCTACTAAACAGGTTTCATGCTGGACATACACAGGCAGGTGCGGTAATCCCTTTTTCTTCACCATAGCTCCGAGCTCTCAGCGGCAGTCGGGTTAGTTGCCCGCTATGTATCTTTCCTCTGCTGCCGCCAAATACTAACTCCGCTCATACTTCTAAACCTCTATTGCTATTATCTCACATTATGCTCTCGCGCTTTCAAAAGTCGTGGGGTCGTAGCAGGGCCATTCCAAGGTTGCCTGGCAGAGTATTGGTCATGATTATTGAATATGCTGCCGAGGTCAAGCGTCGATCCAGACCGTCTGGAACCGCCACCCTTGGCCGTCTCCCGAATCAACTATTGCCGTTCATGGCTGTCTGCAGCTACTGGCGTACCACTATCTGCCCCCTCTATTACTACGAAGCGTTTATCTCGATACCAATCCCCGAAGCAGCCAGCCGAATCTCTGCAGTCCCAGCACAGGATATGCTACAGATTGTGCGCTTCGGCTTTGACCGTATTGTGAAGCGCCTAGTGCTACTACTTTCCCGAGATGTGTTTGCTGGCCCTGAAATGCTAACTATGCTAGGGCTGCGTCTGCCGGCAAACCGACTACCAAGTGTTACGGAAATAATCGTGGATTTTAGTGGCCCGGGTTGGAATTCGGCCTTTTCTGCAAAAGCACATGTCCGTGCCATTCCGCGATATCTGCGATATTCTCAATACCGCCATGCCGAATGCTAGATACGTGGCGTTTACATCTCAGGACCGCGTCTACGCCGGGGCCGATTCAGGATGTGTTGAGCTGACTAACAGGCTAGTCAGGGGCAAGACATCTCTGACTATGTCTATTCCGATGAAGGTACCCTTTAACTCAGCACAGCCGGCGCCCACCAACCTGACGCACATAGCAGTAACTAGAAGCACACCATGGACCTATGCGATAGTTTCTGTCATTCGCTTCAACTCCCTCTCTCTAGTGGATCTGCAACTGGAAAATATCGACCTGTGTCATTTCAGGCAGCTGCTTGTAACAAGCCAAAAAGCTGCTGTTATCTTTAAGCAGCTCCGCCGACTCGGAATTTCACTCAGGAAGCCTGAAGATGGACAACGACCAGTGCTTGATCACAATGCCTTTCCGTCGATTACCCACATATGCAGTACAGGGTGGCATCCGTTGGGTGATGACTCGATCTTGCGCTGCAATCCTGAGAAACTGGAGGTACTGAGGATGTCCATTGATGCGCCATTATTCGAGATACTAGTAAGGAGAGAAGCACTTGTCCACAGCAAGTACCCCTGTTTACGGATAGTTGACATATGCTGTACGTTTGAGCTGCGTCATTTGCATAGGACCTTTCCACTGGGCTTCGTTTATGACAGAATCAGCGACCTTTCCACCTGCGCATCAAGCCTCCGGTTAATGATGGAAGCCATTAACTCACAGTCCGCAATCAACCTTACCCATCCCAGCTCTACCATCCGCGACCTGTGTCTACCATGGTTGCAACTAGATCTCGAGATGCTCATACGCCTGGGATGGAGGTTCCCGAACCTGTCTTCCCTCGAGATATCGCTTGTTTGCGACTTTGATGGAGTAAGCAATGCTGAGCCAAGGGAAAGGGATATCAGACGGATTCAGCGGGAAGTAAGGATTGGAAACAGGCTAGTTGCACTTGGAGTACACGTCAACAACTTATCTGACTCAAAGCGCATCAGCGAGTACACAATTTTGCTGGCATCACTAGTACCAACGCTGCGCGAGGTATTCCTTTGGCCACCAAGGCAATATAATGTGTTTGCTCTACATGACAACCTTGCAAAGGCACGCAAACGATCAGTTTACAAGGACTTTTCACATATGAAGACGCTGAGGGTCAATGTCAAGAACACACGTCCCTACCTTTAGCTGATTTATTTTATGTGTTGGACATTAGTCGATGGACTATATGGTTAGTCCCAAATCGGCAAGTCACTGTGTTAGGAAAACCCTGCCTTGACGACTCACCGACTATGTGGCGCTGAGCTCTTTTCTGAAGAACTCTTCTTTTTCTTCTTTTATCGGTTTAGCCGCTTAGTATTCCTCACTTCTTATTCTAAAACCTCGCGTATAACGCCTCAGTTTACTTTAGTGAGACACAATATCGGTACCTCTAGTACTAGTCTGGGAAAGGTACACGTTATTGCATAATGCTCTGTCAGAAATTGGCCGTTTGGAGATCATATTCAAATAAAAAAAAGCTGAGGAAGAGAAGCATGGTAACGTAGTGATACAAGTCCCGCTTAAATATGCGTATTGCAGAGCTCATGCTGATATCAATACATGGTTGATGCCGATCACAGCAATATATCTTTGCTGTTTTGGTTGTGTCTAGTGTGGTGCTACATATAGTCCGATGACAGCGCATTGTTCACATCTCGTAATGATTTGACCACTCGGCAGCCGCTTAATGTTTGGGAATAGCACGTCATAAACAAGCAGCTCGTAAAATGATACAGCTCTAAAGCTGAATATCCCGCTATCTGTATTACTGACTTCTCTCGCTCTAAATACTCTGGTGTGAATATCATCTGGACCCTGTCGCTCAACTACCAGATAGAGAACACTCCGTCATGTAACACGGGCTCGCTTCGTATCGCTCATTTGTGGAATACCATTCCTTTTAGCAGACAAAATTGCAGGAGGGAGGGAGTCTCTTGGCAGAAAACAAAGCAGCGACAGCTAGCTCGGTATTCAACGTTAGAATCCGCGTTCAGGATGTCAAACACCGACCTCTCTTCAACTCACCATAGTCGACAATGCAATGTAGACATTAGTGCACATAGGGAATTGAGACTGACAGCTATGCCAAAGCAACAAAATAGTCTAAAATGCCTTGATCAAACGGTGACAGAAAGTAACAGGCGCGTATTCGCAATTGCTAGGGACAAAGAGGTAAATTCCTCGGGGAAAACATCTGACTGCCGATCCTGTGTGCAGATGGATGCAGAGTGCGACAAGCGCTTCATCCTTCGCCCGTCCAAGTTGACAATTGCTAACATGAAACCTGTGACAAAGACGAATGTGGTTCGCACCGCCTTTAACCATAGACCCAGTGCAATAGTGTGTGCTAGCTGAGACAGAAAAATGTATGTATGTTGGAAACAAGGAAAGAGAAACCCCAAGGGAAAATTAGAGCGTGGCGATGGTCTGGTCAGGACGGTAGTTGGTGTCCGAGGAGACCTGCGAGCCGATCTTGTAGTCCTTCAGGCGCTTCTCAACCTCCGGGCGGAAATGGCGCATCAGACCCTGCACCGGCCAGGCAGCAGCATCAGCCAGAGCGCAGATGGTGTGGCCCTCCATCTCCTTTGTGATCTCGAGGATCTGGTCGATCTCGGCGCTGGTCGCCTGGCCGCTGACGAACCGCGACATCATCAGGTCGAGCCACCTCGAGCCCTCGCGGCACGGCGTGCACTGGCCACACGACTCGTGGCGGTAGAACGACGACAGGCGCGCAATGGCCTGCACGACATCGGTGCTCTTGTCCATGACGATGACTGCAGCAGTGCCGAGACCAGACTGCATGTCGCGCAGGCTGTCAAAGTCCATCACCGCAGTGTCGCACAGGTGCTTGGGCAGCAGAGGCACCGACGAGCCGCCGGGGATGATGGCCAGGAGGTTGTCCCAGCCGCCGCGCACACCGCCGCAGTGGCGCTCGATCAGCTCGCGCAGGGGAATCGACATCTCCTCCTCGACCGTGCAGGGCTTGTTGACATGGCCCGAGATCGCAAACAGCTTGGTGCCAGAGTTGCGCGGGGCACCGAATCCGGCAAACCACGAGCCACCGCGGCGCAGGATGGTGGGCGCAGCAGCAACCGTCTCGACGTTAGTCACCGTGGTCGGGCAGCCAAACAGACCGGTGTCGGCCGGGAATGGCGGCTTCAAGCGGGGCTTGCCCTGCTTGCCCTCCAGCGACTCGATCAGGGCCGTCTCCTCGCCGCAAATGTACGCTCCAGCACCACGGTGGACATAGACGTCAAAGTCGTAGCCCGAGCCGCACGCGTTCTTGCCAATGAGACCCGCCTTGTACGCCTCGTCGATGGCCTGCTGCAGGTTGGATGCCTCGTTGTAGAACTCTCCACGAATGTAGATGTAGGCAGCGTTGGCAAACATGGCGCGGCCGGCAATGAGGCAGCCCTCGATCAGCTTGTGCGGGTCATGGCGCATAATCTCGCGGTCCTTGCACGTCCCAGGCTCGCCCTCATCGGCGTTGATAACCAGGTAGCGCGGGCGGCCCGGCGACGACTTGCCCATAAAGCTCCACTTCAGACCGGAGGGGAAGCCGGCACCACCACGGCCGCGCATGCCGCTGGCCTTCATCTCGTTGATGATCCAGTCCTCGCCCTTCAGCACAATCTCCTTGGTTTTGTACCAGTCGCCGCGCTTCAGCGCGCCCTTCAGTCCAAAGTCGTGCTGGCCGTAGAGGTTGGTGAAAATGCGGTCCTGGTCCTTCAGGCCGCCGTAGTGCCGTGTGCTGCCACCCTCTGTCGAGTACGAACGAGCGGCGACTCCCGGACGCGCAAGCTGCTTCGCGACTACAGACAACGACTAGCGTTAGCAATTGCGATTCTGGGCGAGATTCAGTGTCCCAACCCGCTGTCGGAATCCGAGACTTACCCTTTGCAAGCGTAGGACGCATCATTTTGTGTTTGTGAATTCGAAAAAAGCGAGGGGCGATAATGTAAAAAAGCAAGCAAGCAGTCTCAATTAAAAGCCGAATTCAGGCAAGCAAGCGCTCTGGCAGTGGTTATCTCCAAATACCGAGATTGTGATTATCTTTTGTGATCTGAAAAGCCGCCAATTTTCGCCCGCGGAGTTAAAACAAAAAGGCTCTGTATATTTGAAACTAGTGACAAACGTAGAAAAGATGCGACTTGCGTCTTAGCGGTACATGGTCTCCGACCGCAGGTTCTGGGCAATCTCGGTCTCCCAGCGGTCGCCGTTTGCCAGCAGCTTCTCCTTGTTGTACAGCAGCTCCTCCCTCGTCTCAGTCGTGTTCTCAAAGTTGGGGCCCTCGACAATGGCATCGACCGGGCACGCCTCCTGGCACAGGCCGCAGTAGATGCACTTGGTCATGTCAATATCGTAGCGCACAGTCTTGCGCGAGTCATCCTCACGCGGCTCCGCCTCGATCGTGATGGCCTGTGCTGGGCAGATGGCCTCGCATAGCTTGCACGCAATGCACCGCTCCTCGCCAGACGGGTAGCGGCGCAGGGCGTGCTCGCCACGGAACCGAGGAGACAGGGGGCCCTTTTCGTTCGGGTAGTGCAGGGTGTAGGGCTCGCGCAGGTACTGCATGAACACGATCCAGGCGCCACGGAGCAGCTCTGTCATGAAGAAAGTCCTCGCGGAGTAATCAAGGACGGACTGTGTCGCCTCGCGCTCCTCCCATGTCTGGTAGGGCAGCTTGAATGTGGTGTTGGCGGGGGTACGCTGGTGGTGCACGTTCGTCACTGGGTGCGATGCGTAGCTGTGGCGCGACATCATCATGGCTCCGGCATAGCGCTGGGCGGCTAAAGTTGGGAAGGGGGCGTTGTGTGCAATTAGCAGTCATCCTGCAAGGTGTCGCTCCGGTGCCGAATAGTTCTCTACTTACGAGTAGTACGGGCGAGCGCAGTGGCAACACGGGCAATGGCAATACGCTGCGGGTACATTTTGCAAAGAAAAAGTCTCGATTGGAATATAGAATAGGTTTGAATTGGAGAGGTGCTTTTCAAAGAGATTCGGGCAGCACCAGCCATGGCCTTTCTGCCTGTTGAGGCTTTTCCAAGATAACCCCACCAATCTCCAGCACTGATAATCTCCAGCTTGATTAAATACCGCTGATTCCCCTGACACCGCCTTTCTACTAAGAGTACAGACATTTATTTGGCGATTCTACAATAGAGCGCTACTTAATACCGCTCGCTAGCACTGTTTCCGCTAGCCCTCCTGGCTGCCTGCGGGTACAGGCTCAGCAGCTCCTTGTGGTCCTTTTCGCCCATCTGCTCCTGGCGCCTGATGCACTCAGCATGCCGCCTCTCGGCCTCCCTGGTGATCTTCGGATCGCGCTCGCCGAGCACCGCCCCGTCAGCGCGCATGTTGACGGTGTCCCGCAGAGCCTTTGGGTAGAGCTCGCAGCCCTCGGTGTAGGTTGGCGAGCATGCAAGCAGCTCTTCGGTGGGTGAGGCAGAGGATGCAAAGCTGGCGGCGCGCGCGCGGGTTGAGCTCGGGATGTCCTGTGGCGAGATGTTGCTGGAATACGACATGACAGACAAGAGATTTATGGATGAGGAATTGGGTTTTGGATAAAAGACTACATGTAAAGACAAGGTCGACCAAGGCAGTGGCCAGGAGTCCGACTTGGGCTTTATACCGCCCGTCAACGCGCGCCCAGGCCAGTTAAGGGGGAGAAGGCTTCAGCAGGCCTCCCACCCCTATCCTGCGCAACACCGCCTACAGGGTCATCTGCAGAGTGGTGTGACGACAAATCAGTCCACTCCCAGCAACCAGTCATCTCCCGAGCAGCCCACTCCAGTTTACACGGCATTGCCCTATTATTGGCTGTCAAAAACACCACAGTCACTAGAGGCATCCAGCAGCCGCCAGTCCAGAAAGGCGGCGACAGCAGCATTAGCTGCGCTTCTTGAGCGACAAATTCCCGTCCTTGAGGATGGCCACGGTCCGGACGATGGTCTGGATGCGCGCCTTGTTCGCCGGGTTCGCCTTCAGCTTGCTGCGCACCTTGCCGATCAGCGCCTTGGTCGTGGTGACGCCGCTCTTGATCAGCTCTATGACCTCCTTTTCGGTGATCAGATCATCCGACTCGGCGGGCTTGGGCGCAGTCTTCGCGTGCTTGCGAGACTCATTCGAGTGGCTGTGTGCTGACGGCATCGGCCGCTTGCGCTTCTTGGCCGACGTGTTGTTCGCCATGTCGCTCTGGCCCTTCTGTAGGACCGCTGCCTTGGGAGCCGCCTCCTTGGCTGGCGCAGCGGCGTTGGCTGAGACAGCACGCTTGGCATCGGTGGCCACGGCGTCCTTCTTGTCCTCCTCAGGCTTGGGCTGCTGCTCCTCCTCGTCGCTGTCAATCTCTGACACCGACAGGTACGGGTTCTCCTCGCCGTCAGAGTCGTACGCGTCGTTCTCCTCACGCTTACGCATCAGCTTCTTCATCTCCTTGCCCGCCGAGCCAAGCTCGCCCTCGTCCTCCTCCTCAACGTCAGAGTCGAGCTCAGACTTTTTGTTCTTCTGCTGCTGCTTGTCGGCCTCGTCATCCTCGTTGCCAAATAGGTCGTCGCCCATTTCCTCGTCGTCGGCGAACTCCTCATCAAAGTCGACCTCGTCGGCGTCGCCGTGCTTGGTCGGCCTGCGCTTTTTGCGTGCGCCGCCATCATCATCGTCGTCGTCATCGTCAAACTCATCCGCATTGTCATACTCGACCAGCGTCTTCTTGGTGGGCTTCTCTGCAGGCTCCTCGTCCTCGTCCTCCTCCCCCTGTTGCTTGGTGCGCTTCTTCATCAGCCAGCGGTTCTGTGTCTCGTTCTTGGCAGCCTTCTTCAGCTCTTCCTCTGCCTCGTCCAGCGTCAGCGTCTGATACTTGAGCTTGGGAGTGAACTTGTACCAGCGGTCCACCGGTACCACCTTGAATCCGTCATCCATCAGCACAAACAAGACGTAGTCGGACTTCTGGCCGCCTTCAAGCGTGCCGTTCCAACTCTCCTTCTCGTCATAGTCCTCGAGCACCCACGGCCGCGCCTCCTCGATATTCAACCGGCGCTGCTCCTCGTCAGCAAAAAACACCTGCTTTGTGCGCTTCTTAAACAGCATCTGCTTGTTGCGCGTTGCCCCGCCAAACGGCGCAATAATCGACGTGTCGGCTTTGGGCCGGTCCTTGCTTGGATCCACTGGCTCCCCTGCAGCTGGCACCTGCTCCTCCTCCTCCTTAATTTCCATCCCAGTCTCCTTTGCGCGCTTCGCCTCCTCCTCTTTGCGCTTCTCCTCAGCTGCTGCCCGCGCCTTCTCGGCCTTGCGGCGATAGTACGTGCGGCTCAGGCGCGTCAGCTTCACTGGCTGCGTGAACTTGGTCACGTCCACGGGCTTGGAGGTGAGGAAACGCATCACATTGTGTGTGCGCTCGTGTGCCGAGGATACAAGCCGGTAGTCGGTGCACGCGCGCTTGTCCTCGGGCGGTGCTGCAGCCAGAGGCCGGTCTTCACTCTTGGGCTTGGCCCGGTTGGGAGGCGGGAGAGGGCGCCGGCGACGCAGGTCGCTGCCGGGCGCCGCCTGGCCCGGACGGAGGCCCGCTGGGCGCAAGAACGACGGAATTGGCTTTCTTTCCTTCTTCTTAATTCCTGAGCTCATGCGAATGGTAATATTATACAGTAAATGAGCCTATGATTTTCTTGAAAAAGGAGAAAGGCAAAATTGGCAGCGCCTCGATGGTGAGTGGAAGTTGTCGCGGCTCAGGTGAGTCGATGATTCGGTGGCTCCTGTTTTCATAAACCCCGCCTTGAGCCTGTGCCAAATCCAGGAACAGATTAGTGGATAGGATTTAGCTAGCACGTCACGTGGCCATTTTAGAGATGGCATGTCTGATACTTGCATGGGGTAGTGCGGCATGTAATGACATGGCGCTACGTGTTCTTGGACCTGGTGGTGGCACACGCTGAAGCTGAATTATCCACGAAATCAGTGTGCGGCCGGCAATATCCACACCTGTAGGCTGTCCTGCCCGAAAGACGGACTAATTAAACTACCCGCCACCGCAGACCTAGCGAACCGCACATATCCGAGGCACGCCGGGGATTCATGGGGACCGAAGTTGGGTCACATTCCTGGCAGCTGAAAATATGCGAGATCGACAGAGCGCTGGTTCAGAGCCGCGTTTTTTTGAAGCGTCTTTCAACATGATGCACCTCATCCACTCTAGTGATTGTCTTAGTAAGCGGGCTCTGTGGTTACAGTAATCAAGCGGCTTCGGAAGACCCGAGGACCGATCTGTCCACCTCTCGGAGGATGCGGTATGCTGTGCAACTGGGCGCGGCTTTGGTGCCGCCTGATAGACGCTTCTGCGCGGAACAGCGCTGGATGAGCGGGATGGGCGGGATGAGCGAGAAATTTGGGGCCAGAAATCTGATGCAACGGGACAAAATCTTATAAGAAAAAGTGCGTCACAATTGGACGGGAGGACTTTTCAGCTGCACTGGGTCAATCCTCACAAGAAGGGCGGAGCCGTTCTCCTAGAAAAATTTTCAGCTTTCCTCCGTCGTGGTCGACGGGTGTTGTGCAGTAGGTTAAAAACCCTCTCGAAACCAGCAGGTCTTATCTGTTTTGCTTCTCCACCTACTTTTCTGTATACGCACTTTTCTGTTTGCTGCTCCCTCTCCCGCTTTCTTATCTTGTATTACGCATTCAACACGCACCAAGCAGAAAACTAATTTCTACTCCATATTACACTAAGCAAACAGAAAAATGTCGCACCCGAACGAAATTGCCACGCCGCAGAAAATTCGCGCTGCCGAGCCCATCGAATACGACTACGAGGAGCTGCCAGAGACGTCCCCGCTGACCATGCACTTGATTGCGGGTGCTGCTGCCGGCATCATGGAGCACTCTGTCATGTACCCGTTCGACATTGTAAAGGTAAGCCGTCGTTTTAGAGCTGCCCTTGATTCAAAAGCAGCTTCCCGTCGCTAAACCATCCACCTGTATTTGTAGACTCGCATGCAAGTGGTCGGATCACCGTCGTCGGTCGTCTACAGCGGCGTCACACACGCAATTAAGATTATTTCTACCACAGAAGGCATGCGTACGCTCTGGAGGGGAGTCATGTCGGTCGTTCTTGGCGCTGGCCCTGCCCATGCGGTATACTTTGCCACCTACGAACAAACAAAGAAGCTGCTGTCGAACTCGGCTGGCGAAACCACCGCTCTTGCTGCAGGTAAGGTTTCCACCTCCTTCCCCCCAAAAAAGAAAATACCCGCAGAATTCGTTTTATCCTTGGCATATGCACAGCTCATCATTTTTATATCCTGTGTAGGTGCTGCCGGCGGTGTGGCGACAGTCGTCAGCGATGCCCTGATGAACCCGTTCGACGTGATCAAGCAGCGCATGCAGCTTGTTGGATCAAGCTACCGCAACATTGCCGACTGCGCAGCGACGGTCATGCGCAAGGAGGGTCTGCGCGCCTTTTACGTTTCCTACCCGACAACGCTTATCATGAATATCCCGTTCCAGTCGATCCAATTCGGCTGCTACGACCTGTTCCGCAAAACACTCAACCCCAATGGCTCGTACTCGCCCCTGACACACGTTGTCGCCGGTGGCCTGGCGGGCGCCGTGGCCGCGGCACTGACAACCCCGATCGATTGCTGCAAGACGCTGCTGCAGACGCGCGGCGCGTCGGTTGACCCCGAGGTCAGGAATGCGAGCTCGATGATTCAGTCGGCGAAGATTATTTACAAGCAGCAGGGCGTCAACGGGTTCTTCCGCGGCGCTCGCCCCAGAGTCATTGCCAACATGCCTGCCACGGCCATCAGCTGGACTACATACGAGTACTTCAAGTGGATGATCGCCCGGCGAGACAAGCGCGAGTGAAATGAGGAGCACGGATTCAGCATTAAAAAGGAGCATTTTGAAAGATATGTTGTAGTATATGTGGTATCTTTTGTTGCTGTGTATTGCCATCAGTATCCTCCCCACCCACATAAATGCAGGTGGAGGGGAGGAGTACATAGCTACGAGAAGCTCACACGGTGTATGAAATCTTGGTCAGGTTCTGGCCCTTGCGCCTCGCAATCTTGCGGATAACCAGCTTGCCCAGCTCACCAGTGCTCTTGATGTGGGTGCCGCCACAGGGATTCTCCACAAAATCGCCCACCTTGACATACCTCAGTCCATCCTCCTTCGTATACGCCGTCACCTCGACGTTGTCGCTAATGACCTTGTCGACCATGGCCTGGAACTTGTCCTTGTCTATCTCGTCGGGCATGATACCAGTAAACTCCACATAGGCGCCATCCGTAAAGTGGTGCCCCTTCTTCTCGACCATCGGCCACTGCGAGTCCTTGATGAGGCTGAAGATTGTGTGCCCGCCCGAGTGGCACTTGGCGTTCTGTCGACGCACTGCCTCGTCCACTGACAAGACGACCGAGTCGCCGGTGGAGAACTCGCCTTCGGAAAACTCGCCCAAGTGGTAGACAACGCTGTTGTAGCTGAACACGTGCTTGACGGAAAACACAGCATTGTTGCTGGAAATAGTGCCTACGTCAGTTGGCTGGCCGCCGCCCTGCGGGTAGAACAGCGTTTGGTCGAGAATCACCGCATGCTGAGCCTTGCTGAGGGCCTTGGCGAGATCGGGGTCATCGGTTGTTTCTGAGCTACAGGTGACGCCAAGGACAGTGGCAGCGCCTGCAAACAGGTACGTGTCGTCAAAATAGAGCAGTTCAGTCGGCATACTGGGGTGAAAAACGGGCAGGTGGGCTAGTGGAGACAAGAAATGCTGTGATTGTCAACAGCTGCGGTACCTGGATGATGACTTACTACTATGTCGTGCTCAGATCCGAATCTGTACATGCCAGATCAATTAAGCGCAGTTACATTCTGCATTATTGCATTGGGCTCGCTGTTGCAAGTTCTTGGACTCTTGCTGTTTTTCTGTTTGCAATGCATTAGTAACTCTCTTCATTAGCATGCCCTTCACAATTACCCGACGAAGACTTGCGCGCCTGCTGCTTGGTGCCCTCGCATTCTGCATCGCCGGCTACATACTCGCGAGCGCCCTCACACGATTCACCACCGACACGCTGCCCTCCTCTCTGTCACAAGACCCAGCAGATGGACCACGACCGATCCAGCTCAAACACCACCCTGGCGACTTCATCGACCCACCATTCACATTTTCGGCACCGCCTGCTGAGGAATTAGTCTCAGGCTGCCTGCTATTCATTACTCGGACGATCTCGCTGACCAGAGTGCGCCGCACAATGTTCGATATCGAGAAGCGCTTTAACGATCGGTACCATTACCCATACGTGTTTCTCAGCGAAGAGCCATTCTCTGACCAATTCCAGAAAGCGGTGCGTGCCATGGCCAACGGTGCCTCGGTTGAGTTTGGTCTGATCACCGAGAACTGGGGGTACCCTGACTGGGTGGACAGGAGCAGGGCACACAATGAGGCCCTCGACTGGGCGGACCGCAATGATATGGATGCCGATACTCAGGGGTATAGGCATATGGTAAGGTACTGGGCGCAGCCGTTCGCTGACCACCCAGCCCTGCAAAAATACCGCTATGTATGGCGGCTTGAACCAGGAGCTCACTACACATGCGATTTCGTCGAGGACCCGTTCACACTAATGCAGTCCCGCAATCTGACGTATGGTTTTGCGATCTCCATCCAAGACAATACCGATTCGATTCCGTCGCTGTGGGCCACCGCACAGAGCTTTATGCACGACAACCTCCATATGATGCTCAGCCGCGACAACTCGCTGGAATGGCTGTTGACAAGGCACAGCAGCGGGCTTGTAGAGTTCAACCGATGCCTGTTCCTGACAAATTTTGAGATCGTTGACTTGACTTTTGTTAGATCGCAGCTCTACCGGAAGCTGTTTGAGTATCTGGACAGAAGATCAGGGTTCTACTATGAGCGGTGGTCGGATGCATCCGTTAGATCGCTTGCGGCTGCCATGTTCTTGAAGTCGGATGACGTGCATTGGTTCAGCGATGTTGGGTACAAGCACGACTTTTTGCAGCAGTGTCCAAGCGAGCTAAACAGGCAGATGCTGTGCCACTGCGACCCGAAGAAGAGCACGCATATGTACCCGATGTCGTGCTCAGCCAGATGGAGCGACGGGAAACTAGGAGTCGATCCACGCAACCTCATACAGTAACAAATATATCACATTTACATGCACTCATTGACCAGGCACGGGCCAATGGTGGGCTGCTGGTCTGCTGGAGCCGGACTTCTGCCCAATGGGGGCGGAACAGCCCTGCTGGTCTTCGCCTGGGAGTGGTGACAATGCTCCCTGCAATAAAAGCGGATCACGCAAATAACAACACCAATGGTGCAATCGCCTAGTTGCCTGTTGATTTTTCTGTCGCTCCGCTCTTTGGCTACAGGCATTTGGACATTTTTCGGCTCACATGCAAGCTGACCTCGGTAAGCACGCCTTTTCATGCTCGAATTCCTCAGGTTCCTTCTGTCAGAACCTGTTCGCAGATTCTATCACCGGTTCTTTTTCGAAGATACGATGACCTAAACGCAGGGACCCCCAGAGACATCCAGGGACATACACAGGTGCAGTAATATGAAAAGACGTGCATTACAATGAACGCTGTGATTAGCAGTATAGCTGGATCGGAGAGACCGCCTTTTCATGGCACATTCGTCCCCAGGCTGCCATGACAATCACACAGGATGCCCGAGCCAGTAATGACAGCTAGATTCTGCCGACCGTGGCCCGCGCCTGTTTTGGAATGCGGGATAAGCTCCAGCGCGTGCGGGCACTCAATTACTAATGTCTCTGGTGTTGACTCTAGGGCTGCCTGAGCCGGTTCTGACTCGACAATGCATCTGTTTCTTCGCCACCAAGGAGCAGGAAACGAATAAATAGCCGCAAGCAGCTCCTGCTGCCAACGCCATTTTCTTTTGCAAAGTTTCAGTTTGCATATTTCTCCTTGTCTATGTTTTTATTCCATGCCTGCTTCTGAAGACACGATCACAACATTTGCTACGGAGATGGGGTACCTGGAGCCTCGGGCATCTACCAAGGAGTGGCTCAAGGACATACTACCTACACGCTCAGAGGTCGTGGAGTATGCAAAAACCACGTTTCCCGTACTCACCTGGTTCTACCGCTACAACTGGCAGTGGCTTATCGGGGACCTCATCGCCGGTCTCACTGTCAGCGTCGTCGTTATTCCACAAAGCATGGCGTATGCAAAGCTTGCTCAGCTGCCGCCTTATTTTGGCCTATATTCTTCGTTCCTCGGTGTCATTTTATACTGCGCTACCGGCACATCCAAGGATATCACCATTGGCCCTGTCGCAGTCATGTCGACATTGATGGGCGAGATCCTCAACGATGTGCTGCCCAGGCTGCCGCAGTACCAGGATACGCCATGGGTAGTGGCTAGCGCGCTGTCGGTCGTACTGGGATGCATTGTCGCTGGCATCGGGTTTTTGAGGCTTGGCTTCATTGTTGACTTTATTCCGCTACCAGCAATTGCTGCGTTCATGACTGGCTCGGCACTCAGCATCGCCATGGGACAGGTCCCAAGTCTGATGGGCAACAACAAGGCGCCTGGGTACAATACACGCGAGGCCACGTATCTGGTGTTTGGCAACTTCTTCAAGAACATAAGATACTGCGATATCAACGCTGCTCTAGGACTCACGGCTCTGGCGCTCTTGTATTTTATCCGCTGGGGATCAGGGTACTGTTCACGGCGGTGGCCTGGATACCAACGCCTATTTTTCTTTATGGATACGCTGCGCACCGCGTTCGTCATTCTACTCTACACTCTCATGTCCTTCCTGGTCAACCACTCGCGCCACGACAATCCCAGGTTCTCAATCCTGGGCGACATCCCTCGGGGCTTCAAAAATATCGGCGTTCCACACATCAGCTCAGACATTCTGTCAGCTGCTGCTGGTCGTATTCCGTCCGCCGTCATTGTGCTGGTCATCGAGCACATCTCCATTGCAAAGTCGTTTGGCCGCGTCAACAAGTACACAATCAATCCTAACCAGGAGATGATTGCTATTGGTATTTCCAACATCTTTGGCCCATTCTTCGGTGCGTATCCAGTCACTGGCTCGTTTTCGCGGACGGCAGTCAACTCGAAGGCCGGTGTACGGACGCCATTCGCCGGCGTCATCACCGGGGTGATCGTTGTCATTTCGATCTATGCTCTGCCTGCAGTGCTCTACTATGTCTCCAATGCTGTGTTGGCTGCTGTCATCATCCACGCTGTTGGCAATTTGGTCACCAGCCCAAAGACTGTCAAGGGATTCTGGCATGTCTCGCCGTTTGAGTTCCTGATATTCTGGGCTGGCGTCACTGTCTCTGTGTTTTCGTCAATCGACAACGGCATTTATACCACCGTCGGCGCTTCAGCTGCATTGATGCTGTTCCGTATTGCCAAGGCACGGGGCAAGTTTGTTGGCCAGATCGAGGTTTGCGATACAATGTCTGACAGCCGTCGCAACGTCTACATACCGCTCGACCACACTGACGGATCCAACCCAGCAGTTGATGTCAAACCTCCTCCCAGCGGTATCTTCATCTACCGCCTCAACGAGGGGTACCTGTATCCAAATGCCGTTCACTTTACCGACCATATGGTTGGACAGATTATGCAACAGACCCGACCAGGTATACTGAACCCGTACGGTTCTCTTGGTAACCGCCCATGGAACGATCCAGGACCACGCCACAAGACGGAGTCCGATATTGACACATCGAAGCCTGAGTTGCGCTCGGTCATTCTGGATTTTACCGGCGTCTCCCATGTCGACATCACTTCAGTGCAGAATCTGCTCGACGTGCGCCAGCAGCTTGACCGCCATGCAGATTGCTCGGTATCGTGGCACTTTGTCGGTATAAAGTCGGTATGGACCAGGCGGGCACTGATAGCTGCTGGTTTTGGCGCACCGGTCGGTGCGAGCCAGAGACCAGTGTTCACAGTGGCAAATATCGGTCTTCAGCAGGAGAATGACAACGATAAACCGGCTATTAGCGAAGACCCTAATTCCCTGAGTGAGCATGAGCAGGTAGCGATATTACGAGAGGTAAAGACGGTGCCAGTCATGAGCATTGACAGGCCGTTCTTCCATATCGATATGAACGAGGCATTGGCAGCTGCCAAAAACCAGCTTGCCATTTAGCCATTCCAATTTGTAATTATGCAGCAAGATAAATGTGTTATCAACCAGTAGCACAGTAGCCACCAAGTGGTTGGGCCCACCAGCTGAACCCGACATGCAGTCGGGTAGGAAGTCAGTCCTCATCCAAGTGACAGAGGCTATAGCAAACGACAGGAATGGCTACCCCACAGTCATGCTAAAGGCACTGCCTTCTGTTGGTATTGCACCCACTTTACATATACCGATAAATACCCATCTGTCTGGCTGCTAACAGGCCCACTCTCCTCTGCTAACAGCCTGAGCCTCCTGTGTGCACCGTACAAACATCAGCACCTACATGATGTGCTGCTATGATGTGCATCATGAATCTTCGAGCTGGGGATATATGGCTGCTGTGTCGGAAACTGCCTGAATTGCTCGGTATGGCTATTCGAAGAATGCGTGGTGAAATCAAAAATTACCGCGCTTTTCTCAGCCATGCCATCGCGACAGCAGTAGGCTCTAGGTCGATGATGCAGCGCATCACTTTTCCTTTTTTGAATCCGCATTCACACACGTTTCCTTTCATATTATTTTCATTGTAATGTCGCAACCCAGCGAGGAAATTTGGTTCAATGGGCCTGTTGTCGAGGCCGTCGGCCAGGCCACTGCGCGCAATCTGCTATTTGTCGCCTGCATTGTCACCGACGCTTCTTCCGACGAATTGACTATGCTGGACAAGAACTACGTCAAGCAAATTCTGAAGACGCATTGCTTGTGCGTCAAGCTGGTCCGTGGTAGCAGCGAAGAGGCTATGTTCTCGCAGCTGTTCCCGAGCACGCAAACTCCGAGCGTGTATATTGTCAGGTCGAATACCGACAAGGTACTACTGAGTGGCGAGGACTTGAGCGAGCAGCGGATTGTTGCAGAGATCGAAAGCATGGTTAGCAGTGCTGCAGCAGACCCAGTTCAGGCACAGGAGCCAGCCCAGACACAGGAGCCGTCCCAGGCACAGGCAGCACAGGCTCCAGTGCAGCAACAATCACCGATCCCAGCTCATCTGCAGCCAATAGTACCAGCTCAACCACAAGTCTCTTATTTGCCTGTGCCTCAGTCAAAGAAGCAAAACAGCCAGGATGCCGCCAAGCTTGCCGAGGCAAAGCACATGGAGGAGTACCGCAAACGGTTGGCCAAGGAGAAGCGCGCTGATGCAGCCTATCGCAAGACAATTCTCGAGAGCATCAAGCAGGATCGCGAGGACTTCAAAGCAGTGCATGGCACACCTACATCGGCATCTGGCTCAAAGGACACGATGCGGAAGCAGCTGGCAGATACTACAGGCAAGACCAAGATCCTGTTCCGTATTAGCGATGGGCGCGTAGAATCTGGCGAATTTGATGTCCAGGCAGAGTTTGCCGAAGTTCGGGCATTTGTCGAAGGGATCGAGGGGATTCCCAAGGGCTCTTTGGATATTGCTGAGGCCTTCCCGCGGCGCACGTTGGGAGGCGATGTCAATGACAAGAACCTGTCAGAGCTGGGCCTTGTTCCGACGGCGACACTACTTGTCAATGTGTCGGCTAGGCGCGTAAAGGACGGCGAGGCATTCAAGGAGCCTGTTACTTGGTTCGCCTTTTTTTACTCGATGCTCGCTGCAGTATTCGGATTCTTCGGAGCATTTTTGCCGGGGAGAAAGAGTGAAGATGAGAGCCAGGCAACTTACACCCGGGAAGATGGAGCGGTGGCTCGCTCAACTGCCAGAAGGGACAAAAAGTCGCCGGATGAAAAGCTTACACGGCGCAGGAACGCCAGTCCTGGCTCGGAGGCAGGCAGCGATGATGACGAGAAACCCAAGACATACAACGGCAACTCGACTAACCTCGAGTAGGCTCATAAAGTATTTTATTGCGGTTTTTGATTGTCTAACAATAACCATCCACATCTCATGCTAACTCTCCTGCGTTCGTGATGTGAGCACATTTCCATGCAAGCCAAACAGTACTTGCCTCACATCTTGGCGGGTACTGCTAGCAGTTGGTATACAAGTTCGCTACTACGCAATGCTGCATGAAGCCATAGCAGATGTAGTAGACATGCTGCTTTGTCAACACCGAGGTTTACTTGTCCTATTTCTGGCAGATAGTATACAGGCTATCATGTTGTAGACTGCGTAGAATCACCTGCCCTTGGCGTATACGAGATTATCACTGTAGCTGTTGATTTTAGCTGCGATAAGCCAGGTCAACCAGAGTTGGCACTTGCATACATGTCTTGATTTCCAATCTCAATGGTTCCCCTAGTGCTTCTCATGAAACTGCGTCACCCCTACTCCAGGAGCAAAATGCATCAGTCAGCAATTGCAGATTGACACTGGGCTGATGTAATATGTGTATTGAGCAACGGCTGTGCTTGATGTATATGCACCAGCACGCTTGCATGTCCAAAATTAGTCCAAAAGTTCTCAAGCATTAGGGCAAAAGTACGCGTCTATCACATATCCACTGCAGATGCGTTCTAATAATAGACCGACCTCCATGGCTTTAGCCAACATCTGCCACTTGCACGAAATGGTATCGATTTATAATTAGCATTCAGTGTCCATCAATGGCGATCGCACCGCACATGCTTGCATATCCTTTACATAAGGATGTGTATATTTAGAACAGGCAATACCTGGTTGTGCAAAAAATGCATGCATGCAGGTAGAATCTTGACCTATTTTTAGGGAACGAGGATTTGGAACTTGGTTATGTAACGGCGCTTTGCAATAACCAGCGATACTGTTGGGTTTACCGCGTATATATAGACCGGTCAATTCGGCTGAAGATGACGGATCATTAACAAACAACTGTCTATTCTCTTCACCCTTGTACAGAACAATCAAAAACAACCTACTTGTAAATTCCAAAAAATGAAGGTTTTCACTACCATCTTCTTTTTCGCCTCAGCCGCTATTACGCTGGCCGCACCAGTGTCTCAGGCTCCATCCAATGGCTACTCGGCTGTCACTGTACCGCCGCATTCGTCAGTTGTGGCTACTCACCAGTACTCTACCTCGGCTCATAGCACGTACCCCAAGTACACTACATCAAGTGCTAAGCCCACCCAGATAACTTCGCACGTTCAGCCAACAGCTACCAATCCCAAGTCATCGGTTGCGCACACAACATACATCACTTCCGTTCAGTCCATGCCTAAGCCGACGACGACCAATCCCAAGCCATCGGTTGCGCACACACCGTACATCACTTCCGTCCAGTCCATGCCTAAGCCGACGACGACTAGCCCCTTGTCGCGTGCGACTGTTCATGTCTCACATGAGTATATAACCAGCACGACTCATCCAACACTCTCTCACTCCAAGTACACCACTGTGCCTACTAGCTACAAGCCCAGCACGACCACGACACACTCTGGCTACGTGACGGCAACTTTCCACCAGCCAACCTATGCCACTTCTAGCCACAAGACGCATCCGGCATCACAGGGCTATAGCACGGCAGTGGTACATCCCACCCCGACCACGACGCATGGCACTTCTCACCACTACAGCAAGACGCACGTTGCTTCCAGCCACAAGACAAAGACACACACGACATCTCACGGCTATAGTACGGCAGTGGTACACTCCACCCCAACCACGACACACTCTGGCTACGTGACGGCAACTTTCCACCAGCCAACCTATGCCACTTCTAGCCACATGACGCATCCGGCATCACAGAGCTATAGCACGGCGGTGGTGCACCCCAGCTCAACCACGACGCATGGCACTTCTCACCACTACAGCAAGACGCACGTTGCTTCCAGCCACAAGACAAAGACACACACGACATCTCACGGCTACAGCACGGCAGTGGTACACTCCACCCCAACCACGACGCACTCTGGTTACGTGACGGCAACTTTCCACCAGCCAACCTATGCCACTTCTAGCCACAAGACGCATCCGGCATCACAGAGCTATAGCACGGCGGTGGTGCACCCCAGCTCAACCACGACACATGGCACTTCTCACCACTACAGCAAGACGCACGTTGATTCCAGCCACAAGACAAAGACACACACAACATCTCACGGCTACAGCACAGCAGTGGCGCATCCCAGCCCGACCACAACACATGCCACCTCGCGCCGCCACAGCAAGACACACGTTGCTTCCAGCCACAAGACAAAGACACACACAACATCTCACGGCTACAGCACGGCAGTGGTACACTCCACCCCAACCACGACACACTCTGGCTACGTGACGGCAACTTTCCACCAGCCAACCTATGCCACTTCTAGCCACAAGACGCATCCGGCATCACAGAGCTATAGCACGGCGGTGATGCACCCCAGCTCAACCACGACACATGCCACCTCGCGCCACCACAGCAAGACGAAGACACACAAGTCCGATTCTGATTCTGATAAGGACTGGGAAGATGAGCATTCGAAGACGAAACATCATGATCACAGCAAGATCAAGACCAAGACCAAGGGTCACAGCAAGACTAAGGACCACAGCAGCGATCGCGATATCCCGACTGCTACCAACACCCAGTCTGACAATTCGAAGGTGACGTCGAAGCACGCTTCTCCTACTCCGACATCTAGCCACAAGGGGTCGATGACTCGTTCGGCCACTGCTTCAGATGACGATGAGAGCCACTACAAGACTGGATCGAAGCACCATGATCATAGCAAGACCAAGACCAACACCCAGTCTGGCCATTCGAAGGTGACATCGAAGCACGCTTCTCCTACTCCGACATCTAACCACAAGGGGTCGATGACTCGTTCGGCCACTGCTTCGGATGACGAGAACCACTACAAGACAGATTCGAAGTATCATGACGATATCAAGACGAGGGGTCATGATGATAAGGACGAGGGTGAGCGGGATCTTCCCTTGCCTACAAAGGCTACATCTAGTGCGCCGTCTCACTTTGACCACAAGCCTGTCACACCGACACCATCAGGCACATATCAGGCCGCTGTCCCAGGAGATAGTGGCGCTGATGCTGTCGGTGGTGCTGCCGATGCTGGTGCTGCCGCTGCTGACATGGGTGCCCCCAGATGCTGGACCCGTCAACTCTGGACCTGCTAATGGTGGTGGTGCTGTTGCTGCCGACGCTGGTGCCGCTGCCGATACTGGTGCTACCACTGCTGACACTGGTGCCCCAGATGCTGGACCTGTCAACTCTGGACCCGCTCACGCTGGACCTGCTAATGGTGGTGGTGCTGCTGCTGCCGACGCTGGTGCCGCTGCCGATACTGGTGCCGCTGCCGATACTGGTGCCGCTGCTGGTGCTGCCGATACCGGTGCTGGTGTTGACGTTGCTGCTGCTGGTGCTGCTGCTGTCGATTCTGGCGCCGCTGCTGATACTGGTGCTGCTGCTGCTGGTGCTGCTGCTGTCGATTCTGGCGCCGCTGCTGATACTGGTGCTGCTGCTGCTGGTGCCGATACTGGTGCTGGTGCTGCCGCTGCCGCTGGTGCTGCTGCTGATACCGGTGCTGCTGCCGCTGCTGCTGATACTGGTGCTGCCGCTGACGCTGGTGCTGCTGACGCTGGTGCTGCTGACGCTGGTGCCGCTGCCGATGCTGGTGCTGCCGCTGACGCTGGTGCTGCTGCTGATACCGGTGCTGCTGCCGCTGCTGCTGATACTGGTGCTGCTGCTGATACCGGTGCTGTTGCTGATACTGGTGCTGCTGCTGACGCTGGTGCTGCCGCTGCCGCTGCCGATGCTGGTGCTGGTGCTGATACCGGTGCTGCCGCTGCTGCTGCTGATACTGGTGCTGCCGCTGACGCTGGTGCTGCCGCTGACGCTGGTGCTGCCGAAGGTGGAGCACCCGAAGATCTTGGCGTCGAGTCTTCTGAAGAATCTAGCACGGATCTGAAATGCTATCCCAAGAGCATTGACAGCGAGGACCCTGACTACAGCCTCTACGAGGCAAGCAGCTGCGACAGCGAGAGCGGGTGCGAGGCAATCAGCTATGAGTGCGAGTCGTCCTCGGAAGAGGTGGACGAGGAAATCAGCAACATTATCAATGATCTGGATTCGAACGCCGAGCAGGCGACGGAGAACGCTGATGGCGAAGACCCGGTGGATGATGCTGAAGAGTCGGTGGCAGAGCCAGCCGAGGCTGAGGCTGGTGACCAGGTCGAGTCGGCAGGCGAGCCTACGCAGGCGGCTGAGGAGAGCGAGTGAGTCTTGCATGATTAGGATGTTGACCTAGTGCATGCTTGTTGACCCAAAAAATTTCCTTTATAATATCTTAAATATCATTTCTAAAAACCACACCTAGTGCATTAGTGTTAGTTGAGTGACAGCGCCAATATAACTATCGACGTTCTGCTGAACCGGGGCGCAACACTAACTCCAGATTCCAATGTGACGAATGGCGGAACCGGCCAATTACATATGCGTGTTGTCATGGATTTTGATGCATAGTTGAAAACAGAGGCAAATAGAGGTCATACTGCCGGTTATAGTACTGTACCTGTCGCAAGGTGGGAGATTAAGAAAGAGATTTATATATACCAAGGTATGTCTTCAAAGACGAGAGCAAGAATACAGGAACGGCATTATCAACTAATGGTGGTAGATCTACTAAAGCCATATGGTCATTATAACCGGCAGCAGAGATGTAGCTGCTTCTATCCTATGTGTACTCTTGTCCTGGCTCCATGTTTCTTTTATTCATCCCGTTATCCATGCCTGAGGTAGAGTTTGTTTCCGATTTTAAATGCACTACATCCTCACACACGCAACAATTGGTCGTTCGGAGTAGGGGAAGAAAGCTGTACTTTTCCTATAAAGGGGAAGGTTAGTGTGGGTCTAGGCGGAGAGGTGTTCCTTTTTTCCACTCAACAAGAACACTCTCATTAACACTCCAGTAAAACCTATGAGCATTTCTGTATTGTCGATTCCAACTGTGGCGGCCAAGCTCGGACGGACAGCTGCGGCTGGGTCGTTCCTCTCCCTAGTAAGCATCTTCCGCGGCGATATCACACGGCTCTCTGTGGATGCAATCGTAAACGCAGCCGACAATGCGTTGCTGGGCGGCGGGGGAGTCGACGGGGCGATCCACCGGGCGGCCGGGCCGCGGCTGCTGGCCGAATGCCGCACACTGAACGGGTGCGCAACTGGCGCGGCCAAAATCACAAAGGGCTATGATCTGCCGGCCACGTACGTGATCCATACGGTTGGCCCGGTGGGCGAGCATCCGGAGCTGCTCCGGAGCGCGTACAGGAGCTCGCTGGATGTGGCCAAGAAGAATGGCGTAAGGACGATTGCATTCCCGTGCATTTCAACCGGCGTGTTTGGGTACCCCGCCGAGGCTGCATGCAGGGTGGTGTTGGGTGCGGTCGAGGAGTGGCTGAGGGAGAATGGTGGGGCGATTGAGCGCGTTGTCTTTTGCATGTTTAATGATCAGAGTGAGCGCATTTATTCGGAGCAGCTGGCGAACTTCTAGAGACGGGAGGCCAGCTGGAGTTTTTTCTGCGTGTAGAGACAATATACTGAGGAAGATCTGGTCACATGGCATGCTAAATGATGGAGGTATGTGACATATCCCACATACCCTCGACATGGCAGGGAATGGGCACGATGTATCTGGCCGTGTCCTGGATGGCTTGCTTTTTGGGGAATGTTTTTAGTCGCTGTCGTCAAGTGCAGCTGTGTTGTGATGTTTCCGTTATTTTGGAACAGCACTTCAAAATATTCAGACTTGGTGCTCGTTCGCAAATGTGAGATTGGCTGCAGGTACCGTTGCGTTTTTGTACAAAAGAGGGAGCAAAAAACAAAAAAGAAGTGAGCGATCAAGAGCATAGGTGTAGTTTCTTTTTATAGCCCTTTTTTTGTTGTTTGGCGTTCTCTTTCCCTCCCCCTTTTCTTCCTTATTTTAATAGCATATTTTTCTCTCGAATCGTCCCACTCTATTTCTCTTCCTTTCTAACGACAACCCTCTTTACGACCTATTTTCTCTCCTTAAAAGAACGCAATTCAATGATGGATTCGGTTGTGCGCGACAGCAGACGGCCCAGCGAAGGCGGGTCGGTGGGGTCGGTGGGGTCAGTGAATAGGCGACAGAACCGCAAGAGCACGGCGCTACCCAGCACGCACAGCAGCATTAGCGGGCAGACGGACGGCGACCGGACCAGCAAGCGGTACTCAGTCACGGCGCTCTACTCGATGGTTGCCGAGCACGATGTGGAGGTCTCGGATGAACTGTCAGAAGGTATGGACAAAAAGGCAAGCTGTCTACCAGGTTGCGCAATACAGGTTGCATTAGCGTTTGGAAAAGCCCATCGCTTCGCATTCTTTGCTTGTCTGGTTGTTTTCTTTGACAATTGAACTTTGGGGGGACGAACTATCACTATGTCATCAGAGCAGAAGCTTTTAGAGGGAGGGGGGAATTTTTAAAAGGTGTTTTGGTTTTTTTGTTTTGGTTTTTTTCTTTCTCTTGTCTGCCATTATTCGAGCAGAGATGTACAAGGGGGGCAGGTGTAGACTTAGCAAATCGCTTGCTGTCGACCAGCGTGGGTTGCCAGCCGATGCAGCGTCAACCAAAGAGCTGATGCAATTCCGTGCATTATGTTTTTGCGCTTATTGGTACCGGGTTTGTTGGATCGACACGCAAGTTTCTCCCTCCCCCGCCTGTTCCGAGCCAAGAAAAAAGCTACTGTTTTGTTGTTGTCGTTAGCGCACAGGCATTCATGAGAGAAAATTTGGCACTAAAAATACCTGCGTGCAATGGGGTGTTTTTCTAATGCAAAATAGCACAGCGTCGGCTGCGCGAGCTCAAAGGGCAGGTATCGGCACAATCGAAAAAGAACTTCCTTCTTGAGCGCGATGTGCGGTACCTCGACAGCAGGATCGCATTGCTGATTCAGAACCGTATGGCGGTGGATGAGGTCAAGGTAAGAATTGGGGAGCGATTACCAAAAGCAGACAGTGGCGGAGGGGAGGAAGCCAAGGCATCGGAGATAATAGCAAAAAAACCATGGGCTAGCCACACTAACGCCACAATGCTACGAAATAATGGATAGGAGCTGTCGTCGCACCTGGAGGATGTGGGGCAGGGCAACAGCGACTACTACCCGAGCAGCGAGCAGTCACAGCTGTACGGCAATCTGTTTTTCCTGCTGCAGACGGAGCCACGGCACATAGCAACGCTGGCGCGGCTGGTGACGCTGAGCGAGATCGACACACTCCTGCAGACAGTGATGTTTACATTGTACGGCAACCAGTACGAGTCGCGCGAAGAGCACCTGCTGCTGACGATGTTCCAGCTGGTGCTTGCGGCGCAGTTTGAGACGACGACCGGAGTTTGCGAATCTTTTGCGGCAAAACACGCCGGTGTCGCGAATGATGACGACGTATACTCGGCGTGGGCCCGGGCAGGCGTACCTGAAAAACGTAATCAGCAGCGAGATCAACCGGGTGATTGAGGACGCAGAGCAGAACCTGGAAATCAACCCACTGAAGATATACGAGGAGATCCGGCAGGGGCTGGAGGACCGGGGGCTGGCGACGGACGAGTTCCCGCCGGGCGTGTCAACAGAGGAGGCAGGGCAGCACCCGAAGGTGGTGGAGGCGCTGCGGCCGCGGATTGCGGAGCTGACCCAGATTGCGGGGCGGTTCCTGGACACGATCATCGGGAACAAGGACGCGACGCCGTATGGAATCCGGTGGATCTGCAAGCAGATCCGGTCGCTGACACGGCGGCGGTACCCGGAGGCGACGGACTCGGCGGTGTGCTCGCTGATCGGCGGGTTCTTCTTCCTGCGATTCATCAACCCGGCGATAGTGACGCCGCAGGCATACATGCTGATCGAGACGGCGCCTACAGCACATCCACGGCGGGCGCTGACGCTGGTGGCCAAGGTTCTGCAGAGCCTGGCGAACAAGCCGACATACGCCAAGGAGCAGTACATGGCGGGGCTGACGCCGTTTGTGGAGAGCAACCGGGCGCGGAATCAACAGGTTCCTGAACGAGCTGTGCGAGGTCGGCGACTTTTACGACAGCATGGAGATGGACCAGTATGTGGCGCTGACCAAGCATGACATCACACTGCACGTGACGCTCAACGAGCTGTACAACACGCACGCACTGCTGCGACAGCACCAGCACGTGCTGGCGCCCTCGGGCGGCGCGCACCTGCGGCAGCTGTTGGACGCATTGGGCAGCGCCCCGGCGCTGGTACCGCGCAGTGCCAACGCCAGCCTGGAGCTGCGGCTGTTCAGCCGGTGGGAGACGCCGATTCTGTCAGACCTGTCGGCGCTGGCAGCGGACAATGCGCTGACTCAGCACGACATCATGTATGTGGAAGCCAAGTCTATTCTGGTGCAGATAATCCGCAGCATGCCGGCGCTGCAGGCGCGGCGGTATACGCCCGAGAGCAACACAGCAGCCAGGGCGGACCTTTTGTTTGTGGCGGAGCAGGCGGCGACATCGCGCGATGCGGCGCTGGTGCGCAAGGGGATCAAGGTGCGCGAGATGCTGGGGGAACTGTCGGCGACGGGCGCGCTGCAGGCAGACGGGCACCGGTATCTGGCAGAGGAGATTGTGCGGGAGCTGGCGCACCTTGGCAGTCTGCGCGACAAGGTGGAGGCGGAGATTGTCGGGCTGCAGGACGTGCTAAGGACGATCGGCGACTACAACGGATATCTGCAGCAGCAGCTGGGAGACGTACAAGGCGTATTTGGCGAATGTGCGGCTGCAGACAGCGGCGCCCAAGAGCCAGCGCAAGAACGGCATGCCGGTGGGCGTGACGGTGGCGACCCCGGCGCAGAGCAGTAGACAGAGACGGGCGCCGGAGCGCTCCAAGGTTATGGCGCCGATCAGATTTGCGCTGGCGCAGCTGGAGCGCGACGGCGTCGTGTGCGACTCGAAGATCCCCGAGAACCGCCGTCACGCGATGGTATTTGCCTTGTCCAGTCCGCAGCCCGCCGCTTATGTTATCGAGCTGCTGCTCAAGGGCCGCGAGAAACCCATCATCCACATGGACCTGAATCTCGACGATCTGCTGGAGCGCCAGCATGCCAACATCGCCGTGCTGGATCTCGAGTATGTGCATCTGAGCGTCCCGCGCCTGCTGGATCTGCTCAAGAAGAGCTTCATGCGCTAAGACAAAAAACCCAATCGGACCTTTCAAGCAAATCACTTCCCCTATCTTTTTCTCTTTTTCATTTTCGCATCCCCTCCCTTTTTTCTTATTTTTTGTTGTTTCAAATTTATTTTTCATAATCGCCTCTTTCCGTCCACAAATGTTCCGACTGACAGCGCGTCTCCGGCCGCACACTCGGCTGCTTGCTCAGCGGCGCATCTCGACATTCAACATGGACAACAGCGTGCGCGGACGACTGCAGCCATTGATGACGGGCATCAAGATAGTCAGCGGGATCGCCGGGCTTGTAGCACTGGGCTCAGCGGGGTTCTACCTGTACATCAACCACCACCTAGGACACGAACTGGCCGGCCTCCCCGCTGATCACCAACCCGGCAACACGCAAGCTGCTGCGCGGGGCAGCCCTACGCGAGCACCTGGCGCCCAACGCGCCGATCGCCTACCTGTTCCTTTTGCGAGCCCTGGAGCAGATCCAGCAGGACGGCAAATTGCCCGAGGAGTCGCCGGAAGTGCAGGAGCTGGTGGTGCGATTGGCCAGTGCGGCGCGCGCGGCAGGCGAGACAGCAGCGGCCGAGCAGCTGCTGAAGCGAGCGTGGGCCATGGTCGTCGACGGGCAGGGCCGGAGCGATCTGTGCGCCGGTTGTTGTTGGCGCAGTGACGGTGCAGTATCCGGAGCAGTGGCGGGACAGGCAGATCGGGCAGATTGCGGACCAGCTGGGTCCGCTGCTGACCGGCCAGGGTCGGGCGGCCGAGGCAGTGCGTGTTTTCGGTGCGGCGCTGCAGGCGGCCAAGCGCCAGGAGGAAAATGACGAGGATGCGATGCTTTTGCGGCAGGCCAACCTGGTCACGTCTTTGGGCGAGGCCTTTGCACTGCATGGCGATGTGGATAGCGCCAGGGCGCTGTTTGAGAGCGCGCTGGTGGATGTGCAGAAAAGGGCGGGCGACGGCCCGTGGGCGTGCCTGGACGCCGTGCTGATGTATAATTTGGCGCAGATCAGCGCGCGGGCCGAGGAGAAGCGGGCGTGGGCGAATTCGGCGCTCAGCGTGGTGCGCAAGCAGCGGGATGTGCGCGCATGCCTGAACTGCGAGACGCATGTGGTCAGGCTTCTGGGCGGCATGGCCGAGCTGCAGGGCGACCTGGCCGAGGCCAAGAAGCTGTACGACAAGTCGCTGGAGCTGGCGCGCCGATCGGGCACCGGCAATATCGAGCTGACCAGGGAGGCGGCTGAGCGCGTAGCGCACAAGATGCTAATTGATGAATAAAAATCTACCCAAAGATGCTTGCGTCGACCAGCCGGAACGTACTGGCCAGCTGCCGGAACTCTGCATATGCTGCCGATATGTCGGCCAGCCCCGGCACGTTCATGGTTATCAGAACGTCGGCGTCGTTTTCGGGAATGCGCTGAAGCGCCAGCAGCACAGCCACGCATTGCGTCCCCTGCTGGTTGAATTTCCCTGCCTGCTGTCGGCCCGCCAATGCAAACATGCCGTTTGTTTCTGTGGTTTCGACGATTTCGCTCTCGGCTGCGTCGTTGGCATTGGCCAGCTGCGCGAAATGGTACTCGATGGCCTGCATGCCAGGCTGCGGCACGGCCTCCAGAATCTCGATGATCAGGCTGCGGTCTGTCGAGGTGTCGCAGAACACCTCTTGGTTGTCCGGCACCTGCCGGAACTCGCTTATGTCGACCATGCCCGATGGCACCTGCATGGTCATTGCGCCGCCGTAGAGCTCGCGTACAGTGGTCATTTTTCTACGAAAAAAAAAAAATAGGAAATTGGAGAGAAAGGAAGAGAGGAGGAAGAAAGCTGCGATTGTGTGATTACGCCAAGACGGTAAAAAGCTGGACACGTTTTTTTAGGATCCCCAGGCGTGACGTTTTCCTCTTCTTTTTGTTGCGTAATTTCTGTTTATTTTCACTTTTATACTATTCCACCTTGAAATGGCGAGACTCTTTGTTTGGAACATTCCCCTGCCGCGCATTCCGAGTGCATGGCGAGAGCACCTGCGTGATTTCGGCACCTACGCCTCTGGCGCGCTGGTAAGCGAGAACGAGAAAAGGAAAACCAAATGGCCGCCTGTATTCACATGAACTAAAGCCTTCATACTAGTTTACCTTCGGCTGGTGGTTCTTCATCGACGGCCTGGTGACAGCACGGACGACGACCGACTTCCCCGTGTCGTTTGGGTTCGAGGACTGGATTCCGGGCATTCTGTGCACCTTGGGCATGCTAATAACGAATTCAATCGACCTGGCGTTATTGCGCGACGACGGGTTCGGGTACGGCAGCAGCGGATTGGCAGGGAAGGCGAAGCTGACCTTGTTTATCGGCATAGCGCTGCTGGCCGGCGGCGTAGCCGGGTCAATTGCGATTCTGGCGATAAAGTACATTGTGCCGCAGGTCGACTCCAGTGTCATGTATATCGGCTTCACAAATGTCATCCAGACGGTGTCGGTTCTTCTGGCGTCCATCGTGCTGTGGTTCGTGCACAACTCGGAGTCCGACAACCAGTATAACTTTGTACTCAACTGAACACAATGTAGAACCATAAATTCCTCTTGATGGTTTGGGGCATACTGGCAAAAGAAAATAAGGAAAAAGAAATTGCAAAGAAACAGCATTCAAACTTACATTTCCTTCACTATGCCCGATGCTCCGAAGAAACCAGAAGCGCCAAGGCGTGGCCGCGGAGTAGTGCGTGGGCGCGGCGGCATGCCTACCGGCCGTCTTGGCTCGTTCCGGCCCACAATCACCGGCAATACGCGGGCGACATCCTCGGGCAGCGTGTCCAGCAGCTCCGGCTCGGCCCTGGTATTCAAGCCCAAGACGCAAGTCCAGCGGCACAAAAAAGAAGCCCCGGCGCCCTCGCTCCTGGCCTCGGCGCCCAAGCGCGAACACAAGCCGCACGGGCCTGCCCGCGGGGCTGAGCGCGGTCGCGGCCGCGGTCGTGGCCGGGTCGAGCTAATCCAGACGGTCTCCGGTCCGTTCGCCCAGGGCCCTGCCATGATTTCCAGCACATCCAGGCGCGGCGGCGCTGGCGGGTTCAGCGGGGTGTTGGCGCCTGGCATGCCCAAATCCGAGAACCCCAATGTCGATGAGCCAGCTCAGACTGATCTAAGCGACCCGAATGCCCCGGTGCTTTTACTGACTGACCATAACGAGGAGATCACCGAGGACTTTGATGTGCAGACCGAGGAGATGGCGCTCAAGGCAGGCTGAGGAGATGCGCGCATTAAAGCTCGACAACAATACCGCCGAGGTGTTCAGTGGCGAGAAGCTGCTGGTGTGGCAGCTGCCGGCCATGCCCGAGTTTGAGCTCACAGCGGAGGTCGTCGAGAGGCGGGAGAGGGAGCGGCTGGAGCGCAGGGACGAGCGTCGGCGCAAGAGGGAAGCAGAGCAAAAGAAGACCGAGGATGTGAAGCCGAGTATGGCTGAGCTGGAGGCTGGCGAGCCGATTGACGTTGAAGACAAGCCAGGTCCGGATGACAAGCCGATCGACGACAAGCCCGATACAGAAGAGGAGACGGTCGAGGAGTCCGACTCCGAGGACTCGTCCCTGCTGGACGGCCGGATTGGCACATTGGTGGTGCTCAAATCGGGCGCCGTCAAGCTCAAGATTGGCCAAGACCTCCTGCTGGACGTGTCGCTGGGCGCCGACTGCCAGTTCTTCCGCGGGCTAATGGCACTGGACACCAAGGGCTCAAACTCGGCCTTTGTGCTGGGCAATATCGACGAGCAGCTGGTGTGCACGCCCGACCTCGAGAACATGCTTTGAAGAAGCAAAATAATAATAAATGACTCGCTTTAAATGATTATAAAGAACTACTCGTCGTCCTTGACGTAGCTCTCGGGGAACCGCCCGGTCTGCCCATATATGGTGCCCTGCAGCCATCCAGAGCCGACATCCCGCGACGTAATGCGGATCTTGTCGCCAGCGCTAAACGATAGCTCCTCGGCATCGCGGCCGGCAAAATCATAGATTGCCACGACGTACTCGTCCGGTGGCTGCGACTGGAAGCTGCTGCGCGGGGCAGCACCGGCGACGACATTGCCGGGCTGTACTCGTCCATGTTCACGTAGGCCGTGGGCACCAGGCCGATCTGCCCGTGGACGTCGGCACGGATCCACCCGCGGCTCTCGCTGTCCGGCACCAGTACGCGCACGCGGTCGCCGGCCCGCACCGACAAAGTGGTGGACCCGTCACCGTCGTAGTCGTATGTGACCGTGACCATATCGCTGGGCGTTGTGAATGACGGTGTTTCGCTGACTGCTCCGCCTGCCTCCCGCCATAGGCCATTGCCAGGGCACCAGCTGCACCAGCTGCCCGGCTGCACCAGCTGCCCCGGCTGCTGCTCCAGCTACTGGAGTTCCGCGGCTAATGGAGGCTGATCGTGGGGAGCTCTCGTATGGCGTCTGGGATGTGGATTTGCGTGGCAAAGTGGCAGCAGCGCCGTATGACGTGGAGGCGCGCGAAATCGACGCCTGCGATGCGCTCAGACTGGCGGAATTGGAGACTGGCTCGGGTTATTATCCGAGTCCATGGAAGCCCCCGACACCGCCGAGGCTGCGCGCACGTGCCTTCTTCTTCTTGGTGCCAAAGCGCGCCAGGAACCCGCCCTTGGCGTCCGGGTCCGGGCCCTCGCAGCTGGGAGCCACCTTGATCTGGCATTTGGCGTGGCACGTGAACCCGCACGCCGCGCATTTGGCCGCCTTGCGGTTGAGTCCGCCGATAGACTCGCCGCAGTAATCGCAGGTCTTGGAAATCGCCACCGTGAACGCCTTGAACTCGTGCGGATTCCCTGGTCAACACTGCCCAGCTCCGTCTCGATCGCCGCCCGCACCGCCCTCTGCTTGACAATCTCCAGCTCCAGCATCGTCGCCTCGTGCCGGGCCTCCGCCGCCTTGTCTACGGATTTGTCACCCTTCTGCCGCAGCTTCTCGGCCTCGGCCAGCTTGCCCTGCAGCTTCTGGTCGGCTGCCAGGCGGTCGCGGTCTGCCTGCAGGCACATGTTGCGTAGGATCCACCTGGCTCTCGCCGTCCAGCGCCATGGCGTCCTCCTCGCCGTTGGCGTAGTCGACGATCACGCGGAAGTCCGCCTGCTCCTCCCACTTGCTGAGCCCGCCCTCCACGCGCTTGCGCACGTACGCGGCCGAGTCGGCCTCGGGCGTGACTCTCCCCATCACGTGCGCTACCCGCTGCGTACGCTGGATGCGTTTGCCGTCGCTGGCCTCCTGCATCTCCAGCAACTGCAGCAGCAGACGCTTGGTGGCTGCCACGCGCTGCTCGTTGATGTCTGCATTGAGTCCATGACTGTGGGCGTGAACTGATGGCTGACTGCGTCCTTGACTGCATTGGCCACTGCGACCTGCAGAATATACTCGTTCTTGGCCTGGTTGCGTGCGCTGGTGTTCTTGTCTGCCTTGACCCGATACTTGTCCTGGTCCTTCTCGTTGGTCGCGCGCTCCTGCCGTGACTGCGACGTGCCCAGCTGCTTTGACTTGCTCTCGTAGTGCGCCCGCATCTTATCCTTCTGGTCGTAGATCTTGTCGCGCTCGCCCAGCAGCTTCTGGTAAAACTCCAGGCTCTTCTTGCGCGCCTCGCCAAGACTGCCAAACGCCTGGTGCAGTTCCTCGGCCACCGAGCCGCTGATCTTGCTTGCCAACTGCATATGCAGGCGGCCCTCCTCCTCAAGCTGCAATACCCATTCGTTGGCTGCCGGCAAGAGCTCCAGGGGCGTGGTCGCTGCTGCCTCGGCCTCCGTCAGCGTCAGTGTGTTGGCTGCTGAGTCGGCCTTTTTGTCGTGCAGGCCCTCGAGCTGCTGCTGGAACGTGCGCGCCAGGTCCAGGATCTTTGTGCCGTAGTCGCGCTCCTGCCGCTGCTTTCTCTGTCAGAAGCTTGTACAGCCCAGAGTACACGTCTATCTGCTTCTCGACGTATCCGTTGATAGCACCAAACTCGTTCGGCTAACAAAAATGCATGCAGCGCGTGGTTAGCCTGGCTGTTTCTCTGCTGCTCCCAGTCTGCTCCCTCCCGTCTGAATTTGTTACCTTGAGCTCGGACCCAAACGTCATCTTTATAGAATTGCAAAGGAAACGAAAAAAGAAAAAAAAAACGAAAGCTGTGGAAAAACGAGGAAAGAGTAGAGCGGGGCGGACTGACTTGTGAATAATTAATGCGTGTGCGACATATCAAGCACATCGATACTGCAATGTGCTGCAATCCGCCAAGCGCCTTGGCCCTTTTGGGCATTCCTTGGCCAGTGACATCAGAAGCTACACAATTGCAGGCAAGAATGGACCAGACTACGGTTTGCGACAGGTCTAATTGTGAATCTGGCGACATTGTGGAATCGCATATGTTTCACCAGCCATTGGCTTTTGTCATATGTAACCACTATTGATACTTTTCCGTGTCAGAGCCTGGCGCCTATCGCCATAGCGAGCCATGGCATCACCGACATATGGAGCACTGGGCGTATCGCAAGCTCAGCCTGCCTGCGACAGATCACTTTACCTGTTCTGCTAGATTCCTGGACCCCACGCTCGCACAGGAGCTGTCCATTATTACCGTCCCCGCTCCAGGGCAATAAGCCCAGTAGCCTCTGGATCCTCTGGATCCTTCTTGGACCAGAGACCGGTATGTGTCGGCCCGAGTGGCCGCAGCACCTGAATGGTGCAGATTACTCACATACGGTGTAAGGGGGCCTGGACTGCTGGTCAAGCAGTGGGCTCTGTCTTTCCACCAGAAGAATCTCATTATCGGTCGGACTGTTTGCCACAACCAAGTCCCAGCGTGGGATCGTGTGGCTCGTCTTGCAGGTTTCGCAATAAATTGTTCTCTTTTCTCCCTCCCCTCCTATTCTCTCTCGATCGCTTTTGCCTTGTTCTGCTGCGCTCACTTTTGCTCCTCCCCGCCACCCATCTACTCTCAGAAACCCCGATAAAACAATGGCACTGCGTCTAAAGATCCAAGACGGCGACTACTCTGTCTGCCGCTTTGTGCCCACAACCGACCTTTCCCAGCTCCTCAACCTCTGCGCCGACGGCTTTTTCTCAATCACACGCACAAAAGACGAAATCTCCGTCGTCCGTCCAAGCTTCGCTGGCGAGGACTCCTTGCGCACCACGCACAGCGACTGCAACTACAAGATCGAATCCGGCTGGCGCCTGCTTAAAGTCGAGGGTCCGCTGGATTTCGGCCTGGTCGGCATCATTCACAAGATCTCGGAGCGCCTGGCTACGGCCCAAGGTGCCGCTGTTTGTCGTCAGCACTTTTGACACCGACTATGTGCTGGTCAAGAAGGACAGGCTGGACGATGCGGTTGATGCCCTGAACCACAACAGCATCTTTCATCGACTGATTTTTTTTACGAAATATCAACGATATTTGCGCGTATTTTCATTTCTTTTTGGCGGAAATAAATCAAGACTGTTGGTTGATGTCGCAATGCGATTCTTCTGCTGCAGAAAAAGAAGTTTAGGCGAAGAAATCGCGAACGCCGAATACCGCTTCTACCATTTAAAAGTCACAATGAGATAATGTCTCACTCCGCGGGAAAAGAAATGCAGCACTAGACCAGCGCGCTCTCCTTCACATGAAAACCTTCAAAAAAAAATCAAAAAAAAAAGCTCATTGTTGCGTTCGGTTGCCTCGTCAGCAGTACCGGCGTCTCCCGCCCAGAGATTCCCAATGCACACTTCTGCAAGAAATCAGATACACGCCGATCTTGTACACCGTCTGGCCCCTCCACTACTCGAAGCCCAAATCCCCTGTTATTTGGGGAGGACATGCAGTGGACTGACTGACTATGTTCGCGCTCTAAGGAAACCTATTGCATAATCTTGTCCGCCATCAACATGCTGCGTCAGAACCAAGTCCGCCTAACCACGCACTCCCTCTTTTTTCTTCCTTCTCTGCCAGTGCTTTAATCTGCTTCTATAATCTTTTTTCTTCCTTTCCTAATATCCACACCCATGCTCACGAAACGGCGCACTGCGGCGGTGTTCTCGTACGATGACGTGCAGACACATCCAGATGCGCAGCAGCGGGGACACCACCGACGCCATTTCAGAATGTTCAGCACCAGCAGCACCGTCACCGTTAGCAGCAAGGCAGTAACTCACTTTGCCATTATTGTTCCGGGCACTGGTCCCCACACAGAAGACGAAAAACCAAAGGGTGGCTTCATGAAGAAAGGTAAGGGGGCCGTCTGCAGTGGAAACCTCTAATTGCTACACCGAACAAAAAGTCTTGGCTTTGCAAGCCGGAGATTGTCCATGGGCGCTAGCTAATGGTTGCCGATTTGTAATCAGTTCTTCGTTGTAGCCCAAAAATTCAGGGAGATATGCAGGGACATCTGTGAGCGCGAGTTCGCCGAGACAGGTGCCAATATCGAAATGACGCCGATTCGTAAGTTGGTAGCGCATTTAGCCTTAAACCAAAAGCGCTTCTTTTATTCTGATTCCAGACGAATTTTCCGATATCTGAGATCTGTAGACTATCACGCTGACGTGCATGCGCTGAAGACAACCGGAGGGTAAGTGTTTCTGGTGATTTTGTTGCATATTTATACTTGTACGTCCGCTGGGGGGCCAGCCTGCATTAACAAAAGTCTCACACTCCCTGTCCTTCGCCATACTAGACGAATGAACAAGGTGACGCTGCCGTCGATTCCGTGGATCCGTACAATGGACAATGATGTCGTAGGCGACATTCTGTACTACTTTTCGACCTACCACGGCCGCGCGATGCTCCGGATCGTGACTGAGAAGCTCAACGCAGCCTACGACGCATTCATGGAGCAGCACCCGTACTTCAACGGCCCAATCAGCCTGGTTGCGCATTCGCTGGGCGGCATGATCTGCTACGAGATCTTGTACTACCAGAAGCTGCGCTCGCTAGCCCACAAGCAGCACTGCAAGATCAGCCAGCTAGCCCGTGTCGAGCACGAGCGGTACGTGGAGCTGCCGAAGCTGAAATTCACGCCAACGCGCCTATTCACCATGGGGTCGCCGCACGGCGGCACATTCGTGTTCCGGCACTTGGATTTCGACTCCATTCAATATTGCGCCCATTGGGTTCCACAATATCTTCCACCCGTATGACCCGTTTGGGTACCGGACCGAGCCCCTGGTGGACGATGAGTTTGCGGACTCGCCGGCTGTGCCGATTGTGAGCCAGCCGGTGGAGCTGTTTGCGAAACGCCAGTCCCTGAGCGGCAGCATGGCGGAGTTTGGTCGGTCGCTGGTGGACTCGGCCATGACGGCGCCGCAGACGATTTCGTCCGGAATGCTCAAGGCTGCGCGCACGTCAGTTTCATTGCCATTCACGGCTGTGTCGAGCATTATGGGCAGCACCGGGTCCAGCAGCCACCACACGCCGGTGCGCTCAAATACATCGCCCATGGACCACAGCTGTGTCGGACAATGACGCCGATACAAAGACCAGGCGGAGGAGCCGGATTTCATCCAATATCAAGGGCTTCTTCAAGTCATCAAAGACCATGACGGTGGTGGAGGCGAGCAGTGCGGCCGAGGAGTCTAACCAGAAGCCGCAGCAGAATCCCCAGGAAGACCCAGACCACCGGGAGAGGTGATCTCCACAATCAATTACAGGGAAACCACGACGAGGATACCCATGGAACCGGGGATATTGCCAGTAATCTGGAAAGCCAGGCTGAGGAGACCCAGGGCGTGATCTACAACGAGCCAATGGCGATCTCGAGCCAGAGCACCGACAAGTCCATCAGCAGCTCCTCGACTCCTGTCAGCCGCAGCGAGTCCGCCAGCACCGAGGGTTCGCTGACGCGGCGCAACTGGAACAACCGGGCGCGCGTGAGCCGCCGCAGCATGTCGTTCGAGTCCACCACTGCACTATATTCGACCACGTCAGCCGGCAGTGCACTGCGGGCATCGAGCGCAGAGCCGGGCAGCCACATGATTGGGCAGCGGTCGCACAGACCCGAGGACGGGGATCTCGAGATGATGAGCCACCTGCGACACATCTTCCGCCCAACCATGCCGCCGTCCGAGGACCAGCGACTGGCCGAAACACAGGGCCTACCGCTATCCTCGCGTCTGATGACCATCCGCCGCCCCCGGATCCGCAACACCCAGACAATGCCGGCCACCCTCCACGATACTGTACATAACGACGGGGAAGTAGAGCACAAATTGGCGCAGAATAGCCAGTCGGACACCCGGGTCGCGCCGTCGGCGAGTCCAACAATGAGTCCAAGGACGAGGAGGAGAACGGCATTGCGAGCTACTTGGCGGCCAGTCTGCTTGCATATGGATCGCGCACTGATGGCGAATCGGAGACTGAAACGGAGATGGCCAGGCGGAGCTCGCTGTCGGCTGTGCCGGACGCCAAGAGCAGTAGTAGTGGTGGCTCGGATGACTATGCCGCCTGGAGGCCCAGTCTGCCCACCCTCAATGATGACGCAGTGCCGGAGGAGCAGACGGGGGACGATGTCGTCCACGTCGGCCGAAACCACTGTGAGCGAGGGTGACGACATGGTGTCAAAGCTGCCGTATGGCGAGCGCATGGACTACATCGTGCCGTTCTCCAAAAAGCACCTGCAGAACGAGTATTGGCTCGGCCTGCAGGCGCACTTCTCATACTGGACCAGCAAGGAGGTCATGCATCATATCGTCTTCAATATGATAGCGAATTCGGATTAATAAATGGGAGGTTAGAAAAGAAAAAGGGAAAGCAAAGGGGAAAGGCAGATTACTGGGATTTCTTGGCCTCAAGCGTCGGGATCTTGTCGTCGATCTCGTGGGCCTGCTTGTTCTGCACGGACTTGGAGTTGCGCTTCGACCGGTCGTAGATTTCGGCGGTCGGTTTCCGGTACGATCCAAACACGCGGTCAAACAGGGTTGTGAACTGCCCGTAGTTGTAGTTGAAGTACAGGTGGTGCACGGTATGGTGGGCAGCGCCATTCACGACCGGGTTGTTCGACACGTACTCGCCGTCGTGGATCATGACGCTCCACACATTGACAAAGGCAAACAGCATCAGATACACGTACTCGTGCATCGGAAACACATACACCGCCATATGGTACGGCAGCGACTGCAGGTAGCCGTCGATCGGGTGGAAGGCGTGCGACGCAAACGGCGTGCACACGATCCACTTGTGGTGCAGCTTATGGCACTGCGCGTAGACCTTTGGGTGGTGCTCCAGCCGATGCACCCAGTAGATGCAAAAGTCTGTGAACAGAATAAACATCACCCCCGACAGGACCAGGTACGGGTAGCCGTACTTGTCCCACTCCTTGTAGACCAGCGAGTACCCGTGCAGCTCGCCCAGAATCCACGGAATCGTCAGCACCGTGATCTGCGGCAGCGCGCGCGACGCACACGCCATCTCCAGGAACCGCTGCCCCTTGAGGTACTTTGGGTGCTGCTCCTTGCTTCTTGTCGTAGATGTATCGGTACGACAGTCCCGCTGTGCCAAAGTAGAATAGAACAATGTACGCGTAGATGAACACAAACAGCGATATCGACTGCCGCATGACGCTGTTGCGCGGCAGCGGCTCTGTCGAGGTCAGGTCGGCGGCCTTGTTGTATACGCTGTCGAACACATACGTGTCCAGGTACTCCATTACGACGTCCATGGCTAGCTAGGGTTGTGTGCAGTAACAGAGAATAACAGTTAGCAAATATAGTATAAAAATATCCAGTGGCTCGGAGTTGGAGGGAAAAAAGGCAGGGGGCTATGAACAAGAAACCCAACACTGCTTGGAAAAAATACACGAGTGCTTGGGCTTCTTAATCTCCCAATTCTCGCGGCCGCCGTGCTATTAACAATCGGCAAAGAGGTGGCGGTCTCCTGCGTTAACGGCCAACGACAGGACACGTACCTTCTATCTTTCCAAAAGAACTATGCCGCGAAAGTAGGTTGCTTTTCTTTTCCTTTTGAAGGAGGCAAGAGCAGAAATCCAAAGGAGGAAAGAGGAAAAAGAAGCACGGCGAAAAGGGAAGGGGGAGTTTGTGCTGGCTGTGGAAAACAAATCGCCAGCAGGAAGATTTTATATAGAGCGCCAGCGCCCACGGCGATGAGGACAAATCGAGCTAGCAACTAGCAATGCGGACTTTCTGGTCCTTTATTTTTGCTGGGCCCTCAACGACCGGGACTCGAGTTCAAGGGCCGGCATTTTTGTGCCCTCGCCTTATAGAAACAGTGAGCATTTGAAACAGCATGATTTCTCCCAGGGCACTCGCTGTAGCCCGGCCGGCAAACCATTCGGCAAAAGCCCATGCAAGGCCTCCAAAGGCATCTCGCAACAGCACGCTTTGTAGCCTGCGCAAGGACGACACTGAAGTCGCAAGGATCTTCCGAATCGGGACAGCCATTGGCCCCCACGGATATTCCGACGAACCCACAAACAAAAGCACAAATCGCGTGATTCCACAACGGCAATTTATTAATCTACGCAAGCAGATCCAGGCCGGCATTGGGGCCGAAGCCGCCAGCCTGGTTGGCGTACACGGGAGTATTTAGGTACTTGCGCGGGTCGTTCGGGTCCAGCCCAGAGCGGTCTCCGCCACGGCCCGAGTTGACAATCGGGTCGTCGAAGGGGTTGGCAGTGTTCCAGCCCTGGCTTGTCAGCTGCTGCGCCTTCTTGCGCCGAGCCACAAACGGATTCGTGTTTGTGGGCAGCGACGCAGGAGCGCTGGCCTCAGCCGCCAGCTCGTGCTTATGCAGGGCTGAGGTGGCCTGGTCGGCCTTGACCTGCGCGCGATGGCGCTTGCGCTCGTCCAGCGGCATGGCCGCCGAGGCATCGCGCCGTGTGGGCGTAAACACATAGTAGTCCATGGAGCTGGCCGAGTTTTTGTCAAACTGCGGCTTGTCCGACGGATACAGCGAGTTTCCGGTGGCTGCGTTGGGCGTCTTGACGTTGCGCCCGGGGGCAAAATACACTGACTGCATGTCGACAGCCGAGCGGGCAGCACGGGCGGGCTTGGGGCGTGGGCGCGGCACCGGGAACTCGCTGTGCTCGCTGGTGGGCGTCGGCGGCGACGACACAGCGGTGGTGGCCTGGCTGGAGGCTGGAGACCGGTCGGCATGCTGCAGGCTGTTGGACGACCAGGTGGGCGCGGTCATGGCGCGCACAGCTGTCACGGGGGTTGATCTCGGCTCATCAAACTCGCTGATGAATTCTGTCGTGGCCACACGCCCCGCGCTGTTGTAGTCGATCTCCATGTTCTGTGCGCTGTTGGTGCGGCGCTTCGTGTACTTGCCGACCTCCATGTGCGTAAAAACATACGACTTTTTGATCTTCTTCATGAAGCCCATGGTGAATGAAAAAACAGTGTGCCTATTAAAAAAAAGTACGATTAGTAACGATGGAAACCGAAAAAAAACAAATAAAGAAACGACCAAGACATGAAGAAACCTCGCCCTCCCTATAGCTCACATAAATGCTGGATTGGCAAGTTCCTGGGCAGGGGAAACAGCGAGAAAATGCCAGCATTGTTTGTTCGTTCGTTTATCAGAATACAAAGCTGGCATTGTCAGCGTGTGTATGTGTGCGCTGGTTTTGTTTGCACAGAAATGAAAGGGGCTGATAATCGATAGCTGAGGGAAAAGACATACGGCCCAGACCGATGAGCCTACTGCCCCCGCAATTGAAAGAGAAAAGCCCCCCAAGAAGCCCTCCTGGGCTCTAGCTCTGCGGGACCAGAGTTTACCCAGCAAATACTTACTGCTTGTTAGGAACGGGGGAATAGGGTTTAGGAAACGAGGGGAATGCGCGTGCTGCCTCGGATAAACGGGCAGAGAATGGGTGGAAGGGGAAGGGTCGGGTTAGAGAGGATAAAATACAGAATAAAGTATGAGCGGGCGAGAGAGAAAAGAGAACGGAGAAGCAAGATGGATTTCCGGTTTGTGCCTGGACCAGCTATCGTTTTAAACTGCTGCCTTTCCTCTTCAGGTTGTACGGGCTCCTGCTTTTCCACTTCCAAAATAGAAGCGAAACCCCGCCTCTCTCCCGCTCTGTGACCTCGAACGAATCGCACGGATTCCCCACCCTGCCAAATGGGCATTGCGAGAGAAAAACAACCTGCCGGCTTGTTATTCAGGATCGACCCAGGCGGAATGGCAAGACCATCAATCGACTTTATTTTGGTGTTGGAAATGGAAGGGGGGCGATCTCCCTTCATGGTCCATTTCGCATCGTTTCCACCTGCTGTTTGAGGATCCTGCGAGCACCACCCGAGCGCACCTGCTGCTGCATGGTGCCTAGGGGATGAGGGATATACTCGGCGATATATTCGACAGTTGATGGGCGTTTAGGCTGGCCAGAAGGTGATTCCCCAAAAAAAGACTATGCCTCCAAAAACATATGCGAAAGCCGACCAGTCTTCAAGGCCTATTTTCAGGCTACACACTCTGGGAACTATTCTACCACTGCTAAGGAACTCGGAGTAAAGATGTGGTGTGGCCGATAGCTGCTGAGTAACCTGAGTGGAACCTCCACTGAGGACAGAGCCCGCAGTCCGCACGTTTGGGGGAACCATAGAGCAGATACAGCGACCTTAGAGGCCCGCTCGCTAGCTCACATTATCCCGCATCTCGCCACCACCCTTAGCCATATTCTTATTTCTAGTTGAGCTAGCTAGTATCAGGCAGACACTATAGCTGCACCGGCACGATCAGATCACACATCGAGAGCTCCTATATACCTGCATGCTCCCCATCTAGATCCTGGGAGTGACAGACCGGTCTTCCCTTTGGGCTGTGGTGGCTGTGCAACGCAGGGTGTTGTTGTTTGCAAACAACTACTAGACCACCAACCACAAAGCGGTCGGGGCTACCAGCTGAACCCAACGCACAGTCACGTCAGAGACATGCATTCATCCGTGACACTATTTACACAGCTGGCACTGAGTGTACCAAGTCTAGGCGTGAAGTGTTTTCTTTCTAGCTTTCTTTTGAAGGCGCAAGAATCAAAAAATTAGCGCTAGTTAGTTTTTAATTCGAGGGGACAGCTTGATGAGCATAGATACTTCACGGGTGCTGCATGTACAGAGGAAATGCTTGAATAAACTATGGCTAAATTGTAAGGGAACAAAGAAACTCGTAGTGTGGTATCACTATTCTGTACCTTGACGACACTACATGCCTTTCGGCCATACTGATCGTCGGTGGAAGTCGCCAATAATGCCACTGGCGTTATGGATGTCATTTTCCATGACCGCTAAAGCATCCATAGTTGATTCAAATAGCCCATTATTCTTGCTGGTACCCGGCCTGTATGGCTATAAAATTGCTACTTCAAACAGTGCGGTTGTTAGAGAATTCACCTTCTCTTTTCCCTCTTTAATCCACCTTGAATCAGTTGTCACATCTTTGAGCGCTTTTATCCGGCACCATCAGCAGTGGCCTTTTATAGCCATACCAGCCGGATATCAAGAGATTAAGAAATAGCTAGAACGGGCTAAAAGCGCCTTAGCAGCCGGTGGCTGAACACGCTGGTACGTTATTTATAACCACACCCTTACAATCGCGCATACAAGGGATAGGTGTGACCCTACACCTTAGCACCGACTGATACTTCCCGGGATGAGAGGCTCAAGGCAGACACTGGTAAACAATCCAACTAGAGACAATTATTAAAGCAGGAAAGTAACGTGCCGTTGCGGCTCGGCAAGCCGACTACCTGCCACCAGGCATAGCCTTGAAGGCCAGCAGCATTTCCCTGAATGCAATGGTGAAACAGCTCAGCAACAGCAAAAGCCCCCTTTTTCGTTCCTCGTCTCATTTACGCGAACTGGGGCCAGTCAGGTTCTTTTCTCTTTACCTGCTTTTTTCATTCAGTCATTCTAATTGCAGTGCATTTTACTTTAGCGTTATGTAAGTCTGCATATGAAACGCAGCCAGGCGCATTTCAGCTGTACGCGATACACCGGTACTAACAGCACATTTGCCCCTGAATTGCACTGCATTTGTAGACAGCGTACCCTCTCAGCAACACAACGTTCACCCAAACACACGCATACAGCGTATCTAGCCTTAGACCGCTCGGCCGTCAGACCCCTCCAAAGATTAATCGCAAACAGCGTGCTCAGCCACTACAGATACCCTCCATGCATAAATAATGGCCAACGGAGTATATGCTATAAAACAAATTCTAGGACGGCGTATCTCGCTGCGCGACGGTGTCTGGTACCTGATCGAATGGGAAAACTATGATCTCAAAGACAGTACATGGCAATGCGACAACGCCGAAACTAACATCTCGCCTGACTCCATCAGAGAGTTCGAGCTCAACTGCAACAAGCTGCGCGAGAAGCGGGCCAGGAACGAAATACAGTACAACATCGATATATACGAGAACGAGGGGATCGCGACGCTGATTGGTGCGGGCTACAGCATGTTCGCCGGTGGCGAATCCGCCTTCATGGACCATGATCAGCCAGAGGACTTTTCATTTATGCAGGTATCCGCAGCGACCGAGGCCGAACAAAACAATGGGCGGCACAATAGTCACAAGGTCACTGTGGCCACGCACGGATGGAATCGCTTGAAGAATGTGCCAATGATGGCAAAGAGGCTGGTCCCTGAAGGCACTGCCATCTCAGGAATTTGTGGAAAGCTCGTGGATACAGCCGGCTATGTGTACTATTTGACCCGGTGGAGCGATGGTGCTATTACCTGGGAATACCCAGGTGCATTCGAGGAGGCCCAGGATGTGCTGGAAAAGTACGAGCTGGCAAGCTATGCCAGGAAACGCAAGGACCTGTGCGAGTCACTACGGAGGCCCGAGATAAGCTATTTGAGGGACATGACGCGTAGGAGGATCGGGTCGCTTGAGGCAAACAGGAACAGGAGCAAGGCCAAGGAGTTGCTGGCGCTGACCAGCGCTGGTCAGATCGACTCCGACATAACGGTAGCTAGTTCAGAGCCGCAGTTCCGGCTGGCGCTCGAGTCCAGCAACCTTATCACCAGCGTAGTGCCTCAGGTGCCGACTGTGGCCATGGACATCGAAGCCCAGGCATCGAATTTGGCTGCTGCGTTTGAACAATCGCTGCATGAGCTCAATATTCCAACAGTTGGTGCTACTGCACCTGCAACGTGCGCCCCTGAGGTCTACATTGGCCATCCAAAGGGGTCATTGTTTAGGGAACGCAACTACACAATTGCAGACCTTGAGAGATTCAGGCGGCTACGGGCAAAAGCCAATAAGCTGCTCGCCAGACGCCAGCAGCAACAGCTGCGCTTATCCAGTCGGCCGCGTGAGCAGCCGTCGACAATGCGGCAGCTGCGGCGGCGACAGAAACAATCGGCTGCTCGACGTATTTTTCACCTCGATCCTTTTGACGAGGGTGGCAGCGACTTTTCGCCAGACGAGACGGCACAGAACGACCTTGACGATGAGATGTCGGTTGCCGGCTTCGACGAAGACGAAGATGAGGACAAGATTTCTATTGCCAGCATCATTGGTGCAAGGAACCGCCGTGCAAAACGCATTGTGGCCGATAGCGACAGCGACAACTACTCTATCCCCATACATGTCCGTAGCGAGGCTACCTCAAAACGGTCAGCGCCCAGACCCGCCAGAGATTCGTATATTGACAGGTTATTTCCAGAGTCCGATAGACCAGCTGAGCAGCGATCGGCCCTATCGAGCCATGGACGTGCTGTCAATGTCAACCCAGTATCATGTGCCATGTGTGATGAGCCTGGTGCAGCAGAAATACCTGTGCAAGGAATGCGGGAACCGTTACCATGCCGACTGCTATCGGTCGTTGGTCGCACGAGCCAACCTCCTAGACACAGATGTTACACAGCTGCCCCGCACAAACTGGGCATGCGACTTTTGCAAAGTCTACCAAAACCAGGTTGTCGAGAAGCTGCTGGGTCAGCGCATTGAACGGCCATCAAATTCCGGCGCAGAGTCGCAGTGCGAAACAGAATATCGCGGCTGCTGATGTCAAGGTCAAGTGGAAGGACATGTCATACCGACACTTGGATTGGGTTCCGTTCGTTTGGCTTTTTGTCATCAGCAAAGCAACCAAGCTCCGGATGATGCGGACATCATTCGCCAACGGCGTCTTGCAGCCAAGCGCGATCAACGACACTTTCAACGAGGAGTACACCGTAGTCGACTATATTATCGGGATCTGTCCGTGCACTACCAGCATTGCCAGACAGCGAGAGACCGAGCTGTATAAGAAGCAGCTGGATGCGACCGATCCAAAGTGGCAGCTGTACACGGCATGCAAGCAGGTGCTCGTCGTGTGGAGGGCCTCGATGAGAGTAGCGCAACGTGGGAGGTGCCGCCCTGCCCATCCGACAACCTGGACGACTTTGAGCTTTGGTCTGCTGCATACAATCGGTGGCTGTGCGCAGAGAAGGTGAGCCTGATCGAGAGCAACAGGCTGAATGACATGAAGAGAAAACAGTTCCTCATTACCCGGCAAGCGATGCAGACGATCACAACGCAGCCACAATACTTTGCTGGCGGCGAGCTGTACCCGTACCAGATCGAGGGGCTTAACTGGCTCTGGAAGAACTGGCTTGAGCGCAAATCATGCATCCTGGCTGATGAGATGGGCCTGGGCAAGACTATCCAGATCATTTCCCTGATTTTGACAATCTACAGGTCGTCTATCCCTGATGACGTGGATCGCGACAGGGCTACCACAAGCAACCATGGCATGTTTCCATTCCTGGTCGTCGTCCCCCCCACACTGGTCAACAACTGGATCAGTGAGTTTAAAAGGTGGGCGCCAGAGCTGGTGGTGGCGCGTCTGACAGGCATAGCCGGTGCCCGCAAGGTCCAGCTTGAGCGCACCATATTCCGCAAAACACGCAGCGACCTGAACTGCCATGTGGTCGTGGCCAGCTATGCAGCCTTCAATGCGCAGGATGTGATCAGGCAACTCTCCTAGCAAGCAGTTAACGTGGCGACTAATCGCCATCGATGAGAGCCACCGGCTCAAAAACAGCGAGACAAAACTGTACCAGACGCTACTACAGTTCAAAACCAGGCAGCGGGTACTGATCACTGGAACGCCGTTGCAAAACCGCTTGGGCGAGCTGTTCAACCTGATGGCGTTTATTGGAGCGAAGGAGTTCGACAATGTTGAGATGCTGGAGGAAAAGTACAAGGATCCGACGTCAGGCGATATTGCTGAGATTCAGGACATGATCCGCCCGTATTTCTTGCGCCGCATAAAGGACGATGTGCTGACGAAACTGCCGCCCAAACGCGAGCTTTTGTTGCCCGTGTCCATGTCGCAGCTCCAGCGCAAGCTGTACCGTGCCACTCTGGAGAAAAATGTTCAAGCTGCTTCAGCGGATCGCGGCTGCCTTGCATGGCCATAGCCAGGCAGCCGCTTCCGCTGCAGCGCCAGGCGGTGCCGCTGAGGCCACAGTGGCAGCCTGACCCTTCTGGCGCTGCACATGCTACGCGTTCCCGTGCGACAGTCAGCAACGACAGGCCCAAGGCTGCGGGTAGCTTCTCGCTGAGCAACTTGCTGATGGAGGTTCGCAAGATCATCAGTCACCCGTATAATATCCAGGGCGTGGAGCCGCAGTTTTCCACAGAGGAAGAGACGCAGGCAAACCTGATCAACAGCTGTGGCAAGCTCAGCCTCCTGCATGTTCTTCTGACTGAGCTCAAGCAGCGTGGCCACCGCGTGCTTATCTTTGCACAGTTCAAGGGCACCCTGACGATCCTTGAGGACTACTTGACTGTCGAAGACATGCAATACAAGCGCATCGATGGCGACTCGCCAGCGACCGAGCGCCAGACGATGATCAACGAGTTTAATGCGCCAGATTCGCCGGATTTTGTATTCCTCCTGTCGACCCGGACCGGCGGCCTGGGTATCAACTTGACATCATGCTGATGTCGTCATCATTTATGACTGCGACTACAACCCGCAGATCGACCTGCAGGCCATCGCGCGCGCGCACCGCATCGGCCAGACGAAGCCCGTGATGGTGTTCCGTATAGTCACGCAGGATTCAGCCGAAGAGCGCATTGTGGCCATGGGTAAACGCAAACTGCTGCTGGACCATCTGGTCATTCAGCAGCTCAATGCCAATACCGATGACGACGATTCAGGTTCATCTCAGGCCATGTCGACAGGCGAGATCGAGGCTGCGCTGCGCCACGGCGCGTCGATACTATTTGATGACAAGGCTGCGGAGGAAGGCTGATAACGCAGCTATCGGATACGACTACGACAAAGTTGTTGGAGCTGCTCAACCAGTGCGAAGCAGATCTCAAGGCCGATGCCTGAGCGGATCGCCAGCCAGCCGACGAATAGCACCTTCAGTATGCCCAGCCCGTGGACCTCCACCAACGACAAGGGCGAAGCAAACAACGGTATAGCGGATCTGGCTGACGACAGTGAAGCCGACATATGGACAAAGCTTCTGGCCGAAGGTGTTGGCGCCGAGGAACACACCAACGACATAGATGAAGGCGAGATTGTCGGTGGCCGCACGCTACGCACGCGGAAGCACAAAGTCAACTACAGCCTGGCTAGGGACAATGTGGAAACGAGTGACAAGCGAAAGTCAAAGTCAGCCCGAGACGATGGTGACTACTCCTGACAAGCCGGACACTTCCAGCGAACCCTCTGAGGACGAAGAAGGTGAAATATTGCTCGAGCTTTGCGGCGCAAAGAAGAAGTCACGCCAACGCAAGCGGCACAGGATCTCGGCACCAGCTTTCATCCGTGTCCCTGTTGCCAGCAGTCGCTCCTGGCAGAGCACCAACTGGCGAAATGTATGTGTCGCCAGCTGAGTTTACACAGCTGATCGTGTGGGCCTCCGAGTCACTAATGGATGAGTACGGCAGGTCTAGTGCTGGAGAGCAGATTACCGAAGCAAACTTCAACACTGTTCAGCAGCTGTTCTACCGTATTTCCAAGTCGGCCAACTTCCACATTGCCGACATTCCAGGCGATGGCTCGCCATGCCTATTTGTCAGGCCGGTATCAGGCATACAGCTACGGCCCGGCGTACCGCTGCCTCTACAGCCACTATCATCTGTGTGTCCCGTATGCGCTAGCACACTACACATGAGCAGCTACTGCCCAGCCATTTGTGCACCAGAGTTTATGAGGTTGGTCGGTATGATCCGCGAAGTACCGTTGTATTGGATGCACCCGGCATACAAGGACTTTGCTGCGTGGTATCTGATCCAGTACACGTGGTTTGTGCTGATCCACCCGCGTGGCCTGTTCATCCATGCGCAGAATCTGGCAGCAACCAAGCGCTATAGCCAGGATTTGCGCCCTGTGCTGTGCACAATGCGCGAAAACGCTGAAGGCAGCACGGATTTGCTGTTGATTAGTGGACCAAAACCCTGCCACGACTGGCGCCAGCTCGAGTGTGTCTACCTAAGACACCGGATATCTACATGCAGCCAGACCCTCTGCCGAGGCCGATGGCAGCCATGGAGAGTATGCGCAAGGCCAAGGAGTACAAAAGGTTTTTTGCCGGTCTTGCGGCGAAAAGCAGAAGGTATGCGGATGAGAAGTCAGAGACAGATATCGCCAAACTGCACGAGTCAGTGGCTGACTTGCGTAGGCAGATCGAGTGGACTGTCCGGGGAATTCGCGATGTCGAGTCGGACGTGTTGGTCGGCAAGAGCAACATCAGTGATATCTTTATTTATCAGTACGGTCTCAAATGTCTCTCTTGGCGACTCCACCACATGGTTCAGCGTATTTCATCATTGACGAAGCCAGCAGCAAGTATCCAACGCCATAATCAATCCTGCTATGTTGGTCGCACCGGCGCTACCAATGGCAACAGGGCCGCCACACGTATCAGCACAGGCAGCTTCACAGCCATTTGTTAACTCCGACACTTCACAGTCTCAGGCGTCTGCAAGGCAACGGCAATCTGAAGTCTCCACCTCAGCGTTTCTGTACGAGTACCTTCTATTTCCTCTTGGCCAACGCTTCTGAGAATAGCGCATCGCTGAAGGAGCAGCTGTCGTTTGAATACCTGCAATCTTTTGACTCGGCCTCTACAGATGTGGCATCAAATCTGAGGTTCGAGGTGAAAGGGATCCTGGAGATGCTTGAGATTATCGATTCTAGGGTCAAGATCCTCCAGCCGTGCTTGCAGAGCTGCAATCGTGTACTTTAAGGCGCTTGATCAGAACTCCCTGCTGTGCGCGGAAGACATTTCCAAGCACTGCAGTATCCTCGCACTGGTCATGCAGAGTGCCAATAGAAAACGGCAAAAGCAGGCTACGTCTCAGGTCGGAGTCCACAGAACCAACGGAGCTATCAGCAGCCCACGGCAGTCCACGAGGATACCATCTGATAGCACATCGCAGACAAGCTCCACATCCACCTCCAATTCCCCTTCTGTAGTGCCATTGCACCGTCCACTGGCCCTTTCTCCACGCCCAAGGCCCCAGGCTAAGCACAGCGTCTCAACACCAACAGCGCCCTCTATGCGTCCACAGCTTCGCTCTCAGCATCGGCCAGTGGCACGCTCTCTTCCACAGATGCATTCATCCGCGCAACAGCCCGTCTACAGGCCTTTCCAACAGGTACATCGGCCCATTCAGCGGCCTGTCCAGCTATCCTCAGCACCTTACATGCCACACCCAGTGCTCCAGTCGCAACAGCAGCGCCCGTCGTCTCGGAGTGGCTCTCTTCGGCACCCGCCACAGCCTGCTCCATATACTCAACGTCCCCCGCAGCAAACTGCGCCCATACGCCCGTCTGGAGCTCAGCGCACACAGCTGTTGGCCCAAACAAGACCACCCCAGTATCGCAGCATGAAATGCGGCATGCATCACACCCCCTGCTGCGGCAGAATATGCGGCCCATATTGCAGTATACGAACTCCAATGGGTTTAACATGTGTGTATTGTGCAATGACCCGAGTCACCAGGCGATTAATTGCCCGCATAACCTGGACATGTCGTATTTGGCTCGCAGGCGCGTGCTGGTACAGGAAGACACGCACATTCCTGGCGACATCAAGGCCAGAGCGACGAATGCCATCGACATGTGTATGAGGAATGCGTTGCAGCTGAGCAGCATGCTTTAAAAGGCATCAACATTCGTATTGTTTCTGGGCTATTAAGCGAAATGGACTTTACCCAGCATTCATAATAGCTTTCATAACACGATATCATTAGCGCACAATAAGGAAAGTCAATACCAGCAACGATGTGCCTAGCATATCGCCTGTGCCGGTAACCAGTGGGTTGACATAGTCGTCCGGATCGTATCCCCGCGACCACAGTAGGCTGCATGTGACCTTGGCCACCAGCAATATTGCCACCACATGCAGCAGTGTCGCAAGCGTATATACGAGGAAGAACCACGCTGTGACATCGAGCCCATGGGTGTTGAAGAACTTTACTGTGACCAGGTATCCGATCTGTATTGGCACGTTGATCATCAGCAGAATGCACATGACCAGGTTGCTTTCCTTGGCGCTTCCCTGGCCACGGTGCAGGCTGGTGGACAGGCGTGATGCAAACACAGTGCCGATATTCCCGCCAATTCCATTGACCACCGGCACCAGCGCTGGCATCCCAGGGTACCGCTCGGCAAAGGCCTCCACCAGCACACCAGCCACGCTGGATGTCACAGCGGCAAACACCAGCGGCGGCCATCCCTCCTTGATGTGGTGCGCCGTCAACGGGTTCTTGCGCACCATGCGGAACAATACCACGCCCAGAGCACCGCACCCAATGGCAGCAACTAGCGGCCAGATCGTGTCCATGACGCGCAGCATGATGCTGCTGACAAGACCGAGAATAAGCAATGTCGACATGTCGCCGAAGCTCGATGTGATAGGTGTGCCAATATTGTCAGGGTCGATGCCAAAGTGGTGGCTGAGCCTAACGGTCACACACGTCAATAGACCGATTACTGCGCAGCCTACGACCGTACACCCAATGCCGACTGCCAGAAGCAGCGACAGCAGCGAGAACCATGCAATCGCCGAGGTACTAGCATCGCCGCTGTTGTCGGAGGTAAGCAGAGCCAGCATGGGCCGCAATAAGCCCGACGCTAGCGCCCACAATAATCGACTGCAACAGCAGCAGCTCGCAGTTGGCCAGCATGCTGGCAAACCTGTCCTTTTTATTGTCGAACCTCCCCAGATTTGCCAGCGTCGAGAGGCGCGTCGACATATTCAGTTCGATGCTGCTTTTCAGGTTCAACAACACCGGCACCATGATGAACAGCGCCGGGACCCGGTCGAACGCCGGTGTGCTTTGGATGCTGCCTAGAATGTATCCTGCCAAACACTGAGCCTGCGACGGAAATCAGCAGAGCCGGGAACACCTCGACTGTCAGCTCGCGGATGATCTGCACTGGCGTCTTTGCTGCCCGCGGCGCATGGTCCAGGATCCCACCCTAGCTCTATCCGGTCCTCCGAGTCCTCGCTAGCCACACCAGAGCCAATGCTCGAGAAGCTCAGCCCGAACCCGCGCTGGCTGCCCGTGTCGGATGATAGCGGTGGGCGAGTCGGCGATATTGGAGCCTGGGCCGAATGCCCGCGTGGTATCGTCCTTTGTGCTGCTGAAGCTGTGACTGCGCCGCTGTTCCTGCCACTCGCCGATATTTAGTAGTGCTGTATTGCCCGATGCTGTGCGCTGGGAAGCCCCACTGAGCGCTGCTGTGGGGATGTGTGTGTTGTCTTCAGACGTGCGCGACAGGTCTGCGAGCTCTATGGGCTCCTTGTCGCTTTGAGACCCATGTTCTGACATTAAAAACTGAATGTAAGTGTATGAAAAGGAAAGGTGGCGGTGAGTTGTGAAAGGGGGAGGGAGTGGATATTAGAGTGGTACAGGTGAGAGAGTAGATGCAGCTGAGGTGTTAAAATAGAAGCTGCGTTTCTTGGCTAAACGCGCTCGACATTTTCAGAGATGTCCGGCAGTTGCCGAAAAAGGAAATTTGATCGGTTAATAAATCCGCGGCCAAAGGAATAAGCGGCCATGATGCTTCTTTTTATCTTCCGTAGCGGGTAAAGCGACATTTGTAATCTTCCAGGCTGACGGCCATTTCTGTCAGCAGCGAGCTTGCAGGCATAAGCAGCACCGATCATCTGGCAGAGATAAATAAGAAACCGCTGTGCTCCTTTTTCTTCACTCAAGCAACCTTTTCATTCAGTGCTCTATTCTAGTGTCTACCCACCACCCAATGCTTCGCACACTTGCCACTCGCGCCGCACCGCGCATTCCCGCGGCCCAGCCTCCTCGCTACTGCGCAGGATCCAGACCAAGGCGCCACTTGCAGTGCATGCCTCGGCCACCCAGCGCAGCGCCAACCCGCCCATGGAATTCCCTTGCATCGACAAGATTGAGTCGCGGCAGCGCGACCTCTTGGCAGGCCCCGAGCCCACGTACGAGAAGGTGGTGACGGGCTACTCAGTATACTCGCACACTGAGCCGTTCGTATGCGACCACGGCGGCCTGCTGTCCAGGTTTGACATTGCATACGAATCATGGGGCACGCTCAACAGCGACAAGTCCAATGCGATTCTGATCCACACGGGTCTGTCGGGCAGCTCGCATGCGCACAGCCACGCCAAGAACACCAACCCAGGGTGGTGGGAGAAGTTTATCGGGCCTGGGCTGGCCATCGACACAAACAAGTACTTTGTCATGTGCACTAACGTCATCGGCGGCTGCTACGGATCGACCGGACCTGGATCCGTCGACCCGGCCACCGGCAAGCGCTATGCGACAACATTCCCGCTGCTGACTGTAAATGACATGGTGCGCGCGCAGTTCCATCTCCTGGACCACCTGGGCATCCAGAAGCTGCATGCCAGCGTTGGGTCCAGCATGGGCGGTATGCAGTCGCTGTGTGCAGCCGCTCTGCACTCGGAGCGTGTCGGCCGGCTGATCACAATTTCGGCCTGCGCAAGATCGCACCCGTACTCGATTGCCCTGCGCTTCGCCCAGCGCCAGGTGCTGATGGCCGATCCTAACTTCAATCGCGGATTTTACTATGACTCGGTGCCACCGCATATTGGCATGAAGCTGGCGCGTGAAATTGCCACCGTCACGTACCGCTCAGGTCCCGAATGGGAGCTGCGGTTTGGCCGCCGCCGCCGTGCCCCCGATACCCCGCCCGCTCTGTGCCCGGACTTTTTGATCGAGACGTATCTGGACCACCAGAGCGAGCGCTTCTGCCTGCAGTACGATGCCAACTCGCTGCTCTATGTGTCAAAGGCCATGGACATGTTTGATATAAGCGAGTCCGTCACCCAGCGGCTCGAGCTGCAGCGCAGCAAGGCAATCAGCGAGCTGTCTGCTAACCCTGACATGCAGGGGTCCGCTGCCAACGGCACTGTCTGCATGCACGTCAACGAGCAGCCGCAGAGCAAGACAGGCCAGTCTGACTTGGAAACCGATGCCGAAATCATGGACGACCTGGTCAAGGGTGTCAAGAACGCTATGCAGCCAACGCTGGTGCTTGGTGTACAGTCCGACATCCTGTTCCCCGTCAAACAGCAGAAGGAGATTGCTGACATTCTACGCCGTGCTGGCAACAAGCGTGTTACTTACTACGAGCTCGACGCCATGTATGGCCATGACACGTTCCTGATTGATGTTGCCAATGTTGGTGCTGCCATCAAGGGGCACTTGGAAAACTCTATTGAGCCGTGATTAAACGAGAGAATACATATCGAAAATAACGGGCTTCTTACATAAAGTACATGCTCTCTGGCGCTGGGGCTGGCGCCCGTCTGATGCCTGACTCGGGAGCTGCGTCGAAGGTGATAAAGTCCCGCTGCAGATATGGATCGACATTCAGCAGGCTTGCCACATTGCCGCACCGATAGCAGTAGTTTGGCGCCGACCACACCGTCGACAGCTTGTCATTGAACAGCACCAGGTACCCCTCCATGCACAATTGGTGCGCCCTCAGCACATGTGACATGCCGTTGATGAACAAAAACCGCTCGACGATGTCGCTGCCAAACGTGTACCCGGCCCCGCGCTGCGACCTCCCAAACTGCTTAATCTCGGGATCTGGGTCCGACCATAGGATATCGGCCAGTGCACCCTCGTGCGGGATCTCATCAAACCGGTCAATTGCGCGCAGCTGGTCGACATGCAGCACCGATGGCGACAGCCCGCCGTGCACACAGAAGATGCTGTTGTCAATGGTAACCGCCAGCGTCAGATAGTCGAAGAGATCCGTGAATTCCCGCCAGACGCCTCCAGAACCACCGTACTTTTGCATGCACTCGGCGTAGAACCCGTACGTTTTTGTGATGTTCCGCGACTCGTGGTTCCCGCGCAGCAGGTGAATTCGCCTCGGGTACCGCAGCTTTAAACATGCAAGAAGGCTGATGGTTTCAACGCTGTGGTGTCCGCGGTCGACGTAGTCGCCAAGAAACAGGTAGTTTGTGTCTGGGCATTTCCCGCCAATGCTGAAAATCTCTAGCAGGTCGTAGAATTGCCCGTGGACGTCACCGATCACGGTTACTGGTGCTGCTATCGGAACCACATTCGGCTCGTCCGCTAGCACTGGCTTTAGCTGCTGGCATACCTGTGCAATCTCCCTGTTCGCTCAGTATCTCACCCCGGTACAGCCGCTCGATACAGCCATCAATGTCAAGGCCCATTTTGCGATAATTAAGTGTACAAACGTGTATATGTAACCGCCAAGAAAATAGCTAACGTGATCACCAAGCACACATGCATTTTTGCTTGCAGATGGTTTTTACACTGTTTTATGGTATCGATATATATACACTGCGTGGACGGTTTCGCCTTGCGTATACATCAATACGCATCTCACAGTCATAGTGTCACCAGTGGTTCTGGCTTGCCGATCCACATTTTGAGCCTGAAGGCATCCGAGCCGTCCATGTAGTATCTGCAGAGACACTTCTCCCTGATGAAGCCGACGGCCTCATACAAGGAGAGCGCGCCCTTGTTCTTTGTTTCGGTCTCGAGGATAACCTCGTCGGCACCCATGCGCTTCATGATGTCGATTGCGTTGAGAACTAGGGTGGAGCCGATGCCGCGCTTGCGGTAGGCGTGGTCGACAGCGACCATGCCGATGTAGCCGCGCAAGAGGGACGACTTGCCGGGGTCAAAAAACGTGTCGGCGCCGCGCCGGATGGGGCTCGAGCTTGCAGATGATAACGCCAACACATTTTTCGTGCTCGTTGCGCGCCAGCAGGCACAGCTCGGGCCACTGCTGCACAAAATAGCGGTACGTGTAGATCGAGTATGGTTCGGACAGTCCGCTCTCGATGAGCTTGATGGCTGGGTCGAGATCCGACTCGTCGACGTACGGCGTGTAGTGGATGTCGGAATTAAAGTTCAGAGCCATGACAGGAGAGAGCAAAAGCGCGGCTGCCCCAAGCGCCTGCCCGACAAGCGCAGCCAAAGCAAAAGGAGGTTTTGTCGGCGGCGGTAATGGGTGTCACCGCTGGTTGGCGATGAAAGCCGGGGCAAAAACGGGCTTGGCCGGGAATTGAACCCGGGACCTCTCGCACCCGAAGCGAGAATCATACTACTAGACCACCAAGCCCTGAAGCGCCTAAACCAGCCAATCAAATCAGCTAACCAAGCTTCTGATGGGAGGTTCCGAAAAGAATACATAAAGATAATTACCAGATTGTGGATCTGTCATTCTCTGCCTTCCTTTCATTTTATTATCATGTTTGTTTTTTCCTGGTTTTGGCGATAAAACTACTTGGTTTCTCACACAAACATTTTAGTGGGTAGTTTATTTTATGAATCAGTATCCACTAAACCATGCTCAAAAGATGTACTCGTTTGTCGCTGGATCCAGCCTGGCACGAGCTAGTGGACCCAGCAGCACGCTATGCTCCTGTTCTGGAGCGCACTGTGGCTAATTGCTAACACTGAAATCCTTTTTGACTCCGTCAATTAAACTGCATAGAACTGCTACCTGGTATTTGACTTTACTTATCTACTTCACATATGCAGTTTTTAGCTGTTCTACTTCCGCCAGCGACTTCATAACAACCTTTCCTTTTTGGTTACATGTGTCACCCTGTATGAGCATGCGGCCTTGCTTCATGCCAATGTGCTTTAGCTTGGTCTCGAGGTGATCGCCTGGGAGGACCATCCAAGTAAACTCAGTTTCAAATGACCTGACATGCTCAGGGATACTGTCAGCAACGTATTTCTCTACCAGTGCTCTGGTCGATCGCAGAGGTCCACATTCCATGCACAATCGTGTCTGGTAGTCCAACATAGTCAGCGATGTATGGATTCGTGTGGATCGTGTTGTAGTCCCCAGATGCACGTGCATATACCCAGTTATCTGTTGGTGCAGTTACTGACATACCCAAATCACCCTCGGGTGCAGTGATACTGTAGCCACCCTGTGTCGAACATGCAGCTCTCGCTGAGCGACGCAGAGTTGTTTTCAAGATACTCAACCACCGAACTCCCTAGCAACCGTCGGCATCTTCGTAGTCAACATGCGCAATGAGCAGCCGCTTGTTATTTGGCTGTACCAGGTACACTGGCCCGGTGCTAGCAACATGCGAGTACATGACGTCTGTCCGGTAACGATATGAGGATTCCAGTTCAAACTCCAAAACCGACCCTGGAAACAACCTGGTGTTTTGAGGGTTCCTTGCATACAAACCAGGGTTTCGAGTTGAGCACAGCAACGTCATCGGACAGGATTTGTACATACACCGGTACATATGCTCGGTGGTATTGCGGAACTGCTGATGTGGCAGAACTGGATTCTTGCGAACCAGAGCATCAGTATACACTGTACCTACTTGGGTGCTGCCACAGTAGAATTTTGCTACAAAGCGCATTTTCCTGCCAGCCCTGGTGTTGTATACAGATGCAAGTTGGATCCTTGGCCTCAACCGAGTCACCAGTGTGCAGCATATTGTCGTTATATCAGTTCTGTCTTGTTTCGACAGGTGGACCAGATCCAGTATTCCAGCATCATATGGCGGTGCCGATAGGATAGAAACAATTTTCGGCCAGGCGATATTGAACAGGATGTCCATCGGTGCCTGTGCTTGATGGCCAGGGTCGATGCCTATACTGGACCATGGCATTCCCAACGCTGTGGCAGAATTTCTGGACCATTTCTGGCGAGATCAGATATGGCTCGGTCCTTAGCACAATCTGTGGATTGTTGTAGTCAATATTGACCCGCTCTACCTCCGCTGATGTCGCTTGGTGGAACCAAGGAAAAACTGGTTGCAGAGACGCTCACTGCGGCCATCCATTATCTCCACAATCATACTTGCTGGTGTATCTGGAGAGTAGCGGTAGAGTAGAGCCAGGTCACACGCTACCTCGTTGACATAATGGTGCAGTTCAACGCGAATAACAGAATCCAGCATTGATCGTGATGCTGACACCATATATGCTGTTGCTCCCAGATATCTCGAGGCAGGTCGGGACTCCATTGCTTTCAGTAACAATGACTGTCTGTCCCAACCTGTGGACGGAGCACATGCTGGATGCTATTCGGAATGAGTTTAGTGCCTAGCGTGATTGATGGTGCAAGGTCAAAAGAGCTCGTAGCCAAGAGTTTTGTAGGACCAGCTAGCACATCGAATCCACTTCTCTTGGCTTCGGTAGGGGCCCAGTAGCATCTTGAATGGTATAGATACGCGTTGAACCATCGGCTGACACTGACATAGTGGGGTGTACAGGCACAGGATTAGGACTTGCCTCTATGCACTCAGCCGTAGTGGATACCATTGCCGATACTATCTCTGGCGGCATCCTAAGCGCTTGAACCATATAGGTGTCCGATCTGGGTCTGGACCAGCTGCATGCCTGTAGCAGCAAGTTTCGGACCAAACCGATCAGCCCAGCATGTAGCCGAAAAGATACTGGCAAATATCATGCTTGAAGAGATCAGGCTTCTGGATCCCAACTTGGCCATGTGGGTCGGCTACCAGAGAGCCCTCAGGGATCACAGTCACTCCTGCACCTTGAACAAGGGAATGCGTCAGCATGGCAAAAGGGACTGACTGTGCCAGGACTGAAGTCGACAATATGCGTAGCATCAGTCCTTGCTGATGACTGCTGGCCAGTTAACTTGCAAGATGCAGATGCTCTCGATCAGCGATTTGGTGAGATTGGCATCGCTGCGGAGATCATGGCCAGTCGGTGGTAGAGCTGACAGGCAGGCGCAGCTTGACAGAGTCAAATAAGCCATCCCTTTTGTAGAGCATATTTGTATGCCTCCTCGGCTGCCGAGCGAAGGAAGGCTGCAGTGGCAGGGAACGGTAGTGTTCAGATAAGGTAATTTGCACTTTGGGCTTGCGTTGCGAGTAGAGCAAGTGCGACTGGTCGCTGTCCTCTGGTGCACATTGCTGGCGAACGTACTTGGCAAACATGGCAACAGACTCAGCAATGCCTGAGACAACAAACACAGAATGTCCGTTGATAAGCCCCAATGCGAACCTTGGAGTCAGCCGAATTGGTTCCTTGGTTGAAATCGTCGATAAACTGCTGGAGTCTATTCTGAGGCAGTAGGCTGAATGCAGCCATAGGGGATGGGTGTCCCCCATGCTCAAGTTCATCGTCCAATATTGCCTTGGAAACGTGGCTGAGAGGAATTCCGGCTTGCATTTTCCAGCCTGCGGCTAGGAGAATGCCCAAAGCCTTTTCAGCACAGCCATACAAGGAGTCCTGGTCAGTTACTGATGCAAAGGCAGCGGCAATGTGAATGCCGATGCTATGGCCAATCGCACCTACTTGAAAGAAATAGAGAGAAGAGTTAGTGCATATAAGCTTGCATACCTATTTGTAGTCTGCAAGCAAGGGGGGGTTACCTCTGAATAAAGTGGTCAGCTCGCCTGGGTCAATTCTAAGTGTCTTGTATAAGACAACCAGATGCATTAACTGGAAAAGTCCGATGAATGGGAACGCAATCGGCGCCGCATGAAGATGCTGAGTGGCTGGTGCAGTTTCTGGCTTGAGCAACCACCCGACAAAGTCCAGTGGCTGCTCAAGAGTGCCGTCCAGGACAAGGTCCATCGACTCTTGGTGGAGAAAACGCGACATGTACTCCACAAAGTCGCTAAGAAGCGGATGGTAGACATCAAACAGCCATGCTGCATCGTCCATAAAGTTAGGTGCTCCGCTCTGACCGCCAAATTGAGCAATGGTCTTGAGACTAGGTGACGAGAAAAGTGCCGGGAGACGAACATCGGGAAGCTGCTGATGGGCCTCAAGGAGAGACCAGGCTGAATAGTAGCCCTTCAGGACGATGCGCGACTGCTCAACGGAGAGTTTGTGCTGCTGAACAATGGCGTGGATGTCGTCCATTGAGCAATACATGGCATGGGAAACCCTTGAACACTGAGATAGCGACATCAGGGCTTCTGGTGCTGCAGTAGAGGATAAATTTGGCCAGGGTCACGATGCTGGTGGAAAGCGGCTCAGGTCTGCCCGTTGGTGAATGCAAATGCTAGCTCAGGTTGCAGCAGAATGGTGCTCAGGCTGGACAGAAATGTCAAAGCTGACACCTGACAAATTGAGGACCACAATGGTAGGTGGGTTCTTGTTCATATGAGTTATTGAGTTAAATAAATATGTTGCTTGAGATACGTTTGGATAGCCTTTCAAACTGGTTGATAGGAGGGATGATGATTTGACATGGAGTTGTCTACGCATGGTCGCATTTCTATAGCTGCTCTTGAGTTAGCAGCAGCTTGTTCCAGGCACTATTCGCCTTACCGCCTAAATGCTCGCACCTTATTATAACCAAGTCTAGTCCAAACTTGCAATGTGGCACCATTGTTACCACACTCATAACAACGCCCATTCTCTCGTAGCACACTAGCTCAATATTTAGGGGCGCAATTTGCTGACACTGACGGATCAGTATAGCACTTTGGAATTGCCCCTATTATCACAGCCATCTATTGCCTACCATCCCTTAAACGCTGGCTCTATTGACATGACAAAAATGCCCGTTGAACTGAGGCGCAGAAATATACAAAAAGCATAGTTGACTATTCAGCATACTGTACCTGTGGTCGACTGCTTTGCTAGGGATCTTAGCTACTGAGAGCCAGATCCAAGCCCAATGTCATCAAGAATACTTTCAGCAGGAGCTGGCTTTCAGACAAGTCCATAGCCCGCTTGCTGTGTGTCTAGTTGCGTACGTATCATATGCACACAGCAGCCCCTTTCCATAGGCGCGGTTAATAATGGTACTATATGGAGGAGTGCATCGTCAGCGCATTGGCAGAGCGTATGTATGACACTGTTATGCAATGGTCATGTGTGTGCAGTGCATGATCCAGTACTTGCGTTGCCATGGCGTAAATATTTCCCCTATCCCTGCACACACCCTCTTCAGATTCAGATGCCTAGACCAGCAATCTTTCATGCGCTGCCACGTCAGCACCAACACAGGCTGCTCTTATATAGCCCTACCCACATCGGAATTGCAGCGAAAGCGGAATGAAGTATAAATATCTTTTTTCCCAAGTTTATTTTTCACACCAAAAACCACAGATCCTGCACTTCAAAAATATTGACATAGGAAAAACATCATCACAATATGCCGATTCCGTCGATCACTCTTGCGCCGATCATTCTATGTGCTGGCGCGATATCCTACAAGATGGGCGAGGACAGTGCGGAGCGTAGTGTTCGGCGTAGGGAGGAGATGAGCAGCTCGTTTGACTTTGGTACCGGCCAACAGGGCGACACCAGTGACAGGTCACCAGCGTCAAGGACAGAGTTTTGTGCCGACTAGCCAGCTTACTCGCTCTGAGCAGAGCTCGGCTGCCAGCTCGATTGGGCTCAGCGATGAGCATCGCAGCGGGTATCCGCGCACAACCAGCGAGATCGAGGGCTCTGGATGGCTGAACCGCACTGCTCGTAGCATTACAGGCGACCTTGGGCCCCATCGAGCACGTTCCGGAGGCTCATTCCACATGGAGATCAGGCCCAAACATCGCTATCGTACGAGGCCAACCGAATGAGAGGCTCGCGCGCACCGCTTTCTGAAACAAAGGGGTGGGTACCAGAAACACAGTCAAGTAAGTCGGCTCCGTCGTCAGATTCTAGTTCAAGTGCGTCATTGGGCTTGGTCCTGGATCACCAAGGACGATGTGGAGCAGTCCAGTGCGTCTATCAAAAAGGCGGCTCAGGCATCCACTGGTCCAGAATTCAGGCAGCTGGTGGCGGCTGGTTCTGGGAGAGAGGAGCTAGTGCTACTGACGAGCCCAGTTCCAAGCGCACCATTGCTTCTTCCAAGGAGACAGCCAAGGATATTGGATCTGGACGACGGCTGGCTGTTTGGTGGTGCCGCTACACCGACCGACGAGCTCAAGGCCAAGACAAACTCGGCCAGTAACTCTGCTGCCAATGCAGCAAATGGGGCCCGTGATTGGTTTCACAGCACCAGGGATACAGCCGGACAGGCTGTAAACAAAGCATCTCGTACGACCAAGGACTCTGTCGATTCGGCGAAAAAGGCTGCTGATGAGGCCGCATCCAAAGCCAGCGGCTGGTTCTGGGGCAAGAAGGCAGACGCTGACAAGGCAGCGCAGGACACCAGAGATTCGGTCAAGAATGCTGCCGATGATGCCAGTGGTTGGTTTAGGGGCAAGAAGGCTGAGGCTGACAGGGCCATGCAGGACACAAAGGCGACTGTCAAGGAGAAAGCAGATACCGCGGCAGATGCAGTCAATGATACCGCTGACGACGCTAAGAGTTGGTTCTGGAACACGAAGGCGGATGCAGACAAGGCAGCGCAGGACACCAGGGATTCCGTCAAGGAAACGATGAGTTCTGCTACTGACTCTATCAGGGGTACTGCTGATGATGCCAGTGGTTGGCTCTGGGGCAAGAAGACGGAGGCCGACCAGGCGACAGCCAATGCTGCCGACGCTGTGAAGGACCAAGCCAACTCTGCACAGGCTGCTGTTGGGGACGCCGCATCCAAGACAAGCGGATGGTTCTGGGACAAGAAGGCAGATGCAGACAAGGTAGTTCAAGACGCCAGAAATTCGGTCGAGACAGCTGCCGATACTGCCACTGCCACTGTCAAGAATGCTGCCGATGATACTGGAGACTGGTTGTCGGCCAAGAAGACTGATGCCGGGCGAGCTACACAGGATGCAGCAGACTCAGTTAGGGACTACTGCTAGTGATGTCCGCGGATGGATGTCTCACAAGGCCGACGAGGCCAAGCAAGCAGCTGAAGATACAAGCAGCTCTAGGGCTGCAAACTACAACTCGTTCTGGAATAACAGCCAGCGCAGCGAGGGACCTGCTCATGATGGAGGCGCCAGTGCCGGTGATCTTGCTGCGTCGTCCAGGGCGTTTGCGTCTGCTTCTGGGTTCAATGCGACACGAGCATCGGCTGGCGGACACTCGCGCACCACCTCCGATCCCGGCGCATGGAGCGGATCATCCGCCACGCATGATATGGAGCTCCCAGGCGGCCTCAGCAGCTCGGCGATTGGCGGGGGAAGAGCTCGGCGCCTCTCTGCATCAGATGCATTGTCGCCAACAAGCCTGTCCGGCGGCACCTGGACCGACACTGCGGAGGGTGGCGCTGGCCTTAGCAAGCCCATTGCCCGGAAGGACTCGCTGATCTCATCGGACAAGCCGGCAGCTGCCGAGGGCAGCCGCACGGATGTGCTCAAAGACAACTCTGTTTTGCAGGCACTCGACAGCAAGTTCAATGAGGCCAGGTCGCTGCTCCTGCAGACCACCAGCGACATAAAGGCTGCGGCCATTGACGCTGGTGAGGCCGCGTCTGGCCGAATCAGGGCTGTTGCTGAAAAGGTAAGCCTGCCCACACTCGGTTCCTCTGGTGCTACGTCTGCCACCGGTGGACTGTCGGCGGCCAACAACAGTGGCAGGCCCCAGGGAATTGTCACCGGTGACGACAGCGAGCGCCCAGCCAACCACCAGTACAGGTTCGTTGAAATTGAGTCGCACATTCCTGTGCTCTCTTCAAAGTCAGACTAGGACAGTTGCTTTTCCTCGCCCCATTTCTGCCCTCAGTATTCACAGTGTGACTCCAATGAAAATAAATCGTGCTTATCCACAGACGAATGCCGCATTGTGGCTCCCCCGGTCTCCACACAGTCCACACAAAGGGGCCTGCCATTGTCGTGCGCGACCGCAGGCTGCCCCCTGCCCTCTGGATAGCGCAGGCGGGTTGGTCGGCTGTAAAAATAGGCGAGCCTGGTACGAGTCTGCCAAAACAATAGCTGGATCCCAGGCATATCCTGCACCGGGTTCGTTCTGTTTGCAAGGATCTGCAAAACGACGAAGGGAGACATGCACAGTGTGCCAATCCCTTTATTGCTCTCGATTCGGACTGGCACGAATGTCTTTTGCTCTCGCTCCTTTGCAGTTTCCTCTTTAGCTTCTGCGCTTCTTCTTCTTTTTACCTTCTGCCGTGTGCGTTGCTTGTCTCCTTCTCCTTCCGTATATACCTCGATAACACCTCACGCTCCTCGTTTCCTCGCCTCGTTTTCTCCTGAACCACAGCCTGGACGACTGAAGGCAACAATATCCTAATCCCCCTCCTCACTTCTCTTTCATTAACGCCCCCATTCATTTCTATCCCCTTTCAATAATGCTTGCCCGCATGAACATTGGTCTCTGCGGACTGCTGGCCTGTGCATTGAGCGGTGCATCTGCCTTGCCAGGGTCCGAGCGCCTCATTGGAGGCTCAACAGCGCCGTCGGGCATGTTCCCATTCATTGTGCATTTGTTTAAGAACGGCAACCCGTACTGCGGCGGCACGCTCATTGACTACCAGTGGGTAGTGACAGCCGCGCATTGCGTTGCTGACAAAGACGACTCCAAGTCTGGAGCAGGCAGCTTCACTACAGCCAGTGCATCCGACTACAAGGTCGGCTATGGCACCAACAGCGGCAGCCTAGAGAACTCGGTTGACGTAGAGTCGATTATCGTGAACACGGCGTTCGATCCAGTCTGGTATACGGTAAGTTTGACCCCTTTCTGCATCTGTCTCCATGTGGTTTCCTGCTCCTTGTAGATTTCTATCGCCTGGAAGGAAAGCCGCTAATTGCCAGCTGTACATTCAAGCCGTCCATGCGTCGTTGGTCCTGTTGCTCATTTTTCTGCTGCAAATCCCCCCTTTTGTCGATGAAAACAATTATCGGCTTTTCCGCTCATTTTCTTCGTCAACACTGCCTTCATGCCCGCGGCTAGGCTGTTAACGAGATGTGCAGGGGGTGGGACCGTTTGGTGGGAGCTCCGCATATTATTTTCTGCAGCACCAGCCCATGCCGAGCTAATTTCGGCTGCATGGGTGCATTCCACACTTCTCTGCCGGGAGAATCCCCATCCCCTGCCCGCAGCTGCATAGATTCATGAAAACGGCTTGCTAATTCAACACTCTTTTGCTGTAGTCTGACATCGCCCTGATCAAGCTCAGCGTCAATGATGACATCATAAAGAAGGCGAAGACAATCAGCATCAGCACAGCGGGTGTGTCGGCAGGCCAAACCATGATCACTGCCGGGTGGGGCCAGTCCAGCAACGACAACTCTGCGCAGTCCAACCAGCTCATGTACGCTGGCCTTGTGACAGCCGACGACGAGACATGCAAGAAGGGAGCAGGTGACTGGAACGGTCAAAATGGACGCTATGTGTGCACCAGCTTCTCGACCGCACCAGGTATCGGAACCTGTTTCGGCGACTCTGGCGGTCCCCTGCTGCTCAACTCTGGCAGCGGCTACACACTCATGGGCCTGGTCAGCTTCGATGTCAACACCAAGGACTCGTCAAACACGCGGTGCGCGCAGGATGGCAATGTCAGTTATTTCACGCGCGTTTCGTCGTACCTGTCGTTCATCAGCAGTGAGACCGGAATCAGCGACTCGACGCTGGTTGGCAATAGCTCGCCTGTGCACCACAGCAGCGACAACTCTACCAGCACCTCGGATAACTCGTCGAACAACTCAGACAACTCCTCCAAGTCGGAGAGCTCGGACTCTGACGACAAGAAGGACTCGGACAAGAAGGACTCGGACAACAAGGATAGCAAGAACAGTTCTGGCAGTGATTCTAGCAAGAGCTCAGGATCCTCGTCAAACGGAAAGGCCACGGACAAGTCTGTCAGCGGTGGCAGCGCTGCGACTGCTGCCTCGGACGATGGCAATGACGATGATGATAGTGAGCAGAGCGGCAGCGCTGGTGGCAGCAGCAACAAGTCATCGGCACCCAAGTCATCGGGAGCCAAGTCGTCTGGTGCCAAGGCAACAGACTCGGCTGCCGCCGATAACCAGGGAAATGGTGCGGCGTCTACTGCCACTGTTGGTTCCGCGTCGCTGGTCCTCGCCATCCTAGCAGTGCTCATCTAGAATAGATCTCATTTCTCCTCATAACTTTTGTCTCTTCTGACATATTGTGCTGCTGTCTTTCTACACTTCCCCTATGCAACTTTTAGCAAACCCCCTTCCCTCTATTCCGCCACCCTTTTACACCTATACCTTATCACCCCAAGATGATACCCGCCCTAATGAATCTTATAAACTAGCATTTCTTCATCTAACAAACGAATGAAGTTGAATAATTACTTATTTGGCATCTCCAACCTCAATGGCATAGGCCAGCGCAATCCTGACAAACTTGAGCAAGGTGGGGGAAGTTGACGGTGTCCAGGGTGTCACGCGTCGTGTGGATGTTGCTGTTGCCATCGAGGTACTGGTTCTCGAACGGAATAGACGACCGCACACCACCCCTGTTCCAGCTAGCATGGTCACTGCAACCATATCCGCACTGGAAATTGATAGCCGGCAGATCGGTGTATGTCGTGACAATCTTGCGCACAAGGTCATTGGACGTGGGGTCAGTGTAATCAGTAACAATGCCGACAGCCGGGGGGTTAGCCGGGTAACCGGTCATGTCAAACTGGATGTCAGCAACAACCTGCTTGCTCCGGTAAGCACTGACGACATCAGACGAACCGAGCAGACCACCCTCCTCACCAGCATACCAGTGGAACTCGATGGTGCGGGCAGGCTTCAGACCGCTGGCCACCAGCACACGCAGGGCCTCAAGAATGGTGACAGTGCCCGAGCCATCGTCGTCGGCACCCGGGGCTCTGCCCGTGGATGGGCTGCCCTGGTTGATGCTGTCCTGGTGAGCCGAGATCACAACAATCTCGCTAGGCCTTGGTGGTACCCGGGATGCGGGCGATGATGCTTGACTGCGGGAAGCGGTGAGCGAAACGGCTGCACGTCAATGCCCGGCACAGTGCTCTTGATGGTGTTGAGCAGCCAGGTGCTGGAGGTCTTGCCGTTGTTGGAGTTGTAGTACCTGTTTGTGAACTGGGTGAAGTTGGTCAGCACAGACTTGGGCACAGCGTCAGAGATCTTGGGGATTGCAGCGTTGACCTGGGTCTGGTGAGTCAGCGTGGTAGGGAAGTCGAGAGCGGCAAAGCTGCTGGCACGCTGAAGGTCCTGGGTATCGGTGATGTCGATGAAGCCCTTGTGCTGGGCGATGAGCTCGAAGATCTGCTTCTCGTTCAGCCACTTCTTCTCGGTCTCGCTGGTCTGGATGAGACGCTTGGACGAGTAGATGTTGTCGGACGCGGCAAACACGGAGCTGGCTGACAGGGCCAGCGCGAAGAGGACAGAGACAGCTCTCATTAGCAGAGAATTATTAGAAAGGTAGGCTGAGGACAAGAAGGATGCTGCTTATTGCTTGTTGGTTTGTTTGTCTTTTGACAGCGGGTGACCTTCGGCTTTATATACGCCTTTCGTCCATGGGTCGTGTCATCCCTGTGGTGTACAATGGCTAGGTATATGAAAATGTATGCGCATGGAGCAATTAGGGAGCGAGCAGTCCATTCGGAAGATCCCCATGTCCACCGCCTCACAGATTGTGCGGGTGCTAACCGCAAACTAAAGCCATGATGCGATCCTGGCAACGTATCACGCGGTACAAGGGAGCCTTGAAAAAGAGCCGACCTTGCCGTGGAAAAATTATGCTTGTTTTTTTCTATGCTAACAGGTTCATGTAGTCGCACTGCATGCAATGCAAAGAATATTCTAGCGCCAGAATCCAGTCCGCAGCTAGGCCTGATAGTGTTGAAAAATCGGAGTTGATTTAGGGACCTGTGGGAAACGTCGTGCCCATGTTTCTCACATGGGCAAGCTTACACAGACACAAAGGGATTAGCATACCATAAATAAAAGTAGGGACCACTATGTCATTCCAGCCCATTATCACGCGGACGATGGGTTCAGCACTCTGCAAGCGTTCGTTGTGCTGGCATTCGTCGAGGACAAACACCGAGGTGAGGCTTGTGTGAATTATCGAGAAATACTGCATCGCACCCCCTGGTCCTGGTTTGAAGGTGGGCTTCCTCCCAGAGATAACAAGTATTGTTCAGGAGATATTCGGCGAATTGCTGATCAATGTACGATATATAACTAGGTGCTGCCAAGGACGACTAGTTCAGACTGAAGCCAGGATAATTACCAGTATTGCTGATCAAATATCGGCGATGGCGTGATTAGCAGATGGTGACATCATTCACTGCATTTGTTTACAATGCCATCCTATAATCGGCATTTGGCAGCTGAAACGGACGATCGCCTCAAGCCGCTGGTGTATTCAATGTTGACCTTGGTCTCCTCTGTATCGCCTTCGTGCCTTTATCGAGTACAACTACACCCTCAAATCTCTCTTCAAAGCTGAAGCGACTGTTTGCCACACCCGCCAGGTTGAAGCTTTCATCTGTAGTTTGTCCAGATGCATATTCACCAAGTCCTGCACCAGGGTTTCCTAATACTACATTGAATGTGTCAGTCTTGGTTCAGCTGGTTATAACACCAAAAGGGTGACCGCTGCAGACACACGTCTTCTCAGGCTGGTGGGTGTCTGCCACCACTGGCGCAGAGTTGTCGCGCAACAGGCATACAGGTATTTTTCAGTCGATGCTACAGCGAGCACTCCTGCCAATGCAAATATTAATACTATAAATAGTGCACGAGTCTTTTTGCCCATGGGTTTGCACAGTATACAACGTGCGTGAATATTCACCTTTCTTCAACACACATCGGAAGCCAGGAATTCGTTGACAGAGTACAGTCCTCACCTCCTGGTTGAATTTGTGTACAAGAATGAGGTCAATTATCTACAAAGTCGATGATCCTAAACCCCAAACAACCAAGGCAGTTGCTGCCTTAGGGACTGAGCATCGAATTGTCGACATTTCTTTCGTCAGCCAGGCCATCGATATTATTTCCACGGCTACCCCAAACGTATCCTATGGCAAATTGGTGGCATCCAGTGCTATTGTGTTCGCCAGACGAATAATTGACTGCCATTTCACCTCTAGGATACTTGAGGACAAAGAAAAACGTGTTTTCTAGCATCTGAAGAACACAGCTCTTGACTATTATCCTTTACCACAGCCCACCCTTAAATTCACGTCGCTTCGCGTGCAGAACAAGGAAGACCAATATTCCACCTGTCTTGTTCTTTACAGCGTGCCAGCCTTAGCGGAGCTGGCGATTAACAGTATTCACACGGACAGCCTACGACGTATATTCTACATCCTGTGAGCAACAGATTGTATATCCGCACTTGTGATCATTTCGATTTAGCTAAAAGAGCATACATGCTCAAATCCGATCCTCTTTGCATCCCACATCGTTTCCTGGACTTTGCAGGCTGTACATTGATGGCCACTTTCTATTTAGCGATCAGACATTGCTCCTTCGACAATGCAAGGCAGTTGGAGGTCACTTTATACTAACATATAGCTAGTACTACAGTCGCTGCACAGACTAGTTGACAACACACCCTTTTCTCCATCGAATTATCAACAACTTCGCAACCTTATCCTCGAGCTACACGTTTGTTGACGGTTGGTGTTCATGGAAGCAAGCTCATAGAAAGCAGGTTGGCAACATCAATTGGTCAAGTAACTTGGTTGTGGTCCTCCCGACTAACCACCATTAGATGTATTCTGGAGCTTTCTCAGTCTCGATGTGCTGCCCTTCGATCCTGCAGATGCCCAGCTCCAGATGTGCGGTGTTGCCTCTGCAGACCTCAGACTTGGCGACATATGAATCATGTGTAGATTCTACTCATGCATGAAGCACCTCGCATGCCCTTATCCTCAAGGTGTACCCGATGCCAGGAGATCGGAGTACTGAGATGACTCGTGTATTACTTAGCACTGCAGCAAACAACTGCTTGCTGGTATCGATAGAGATCCGTCTTAACCGCTCTTGATAGCTTCAAAAGGATGATCGCATTAATTCCAGCCCTCACGCTGTCACTGGTAGTTGTGACTACTAAATGTACCCAGTAGGGTGATAGGCATATGGTACAACGTAGAATAGTCAAGGGGCTACACCAGGCGATACACAAGGGCCATCCTGCAAGCCAAAGAACTGAAAGTCGAGGACATTCTTCGGCAAGTACAGTACGGCCAACTTCTAGCAATAGATAATGCAGTATTTCATAAGGCCATGCGCCTGTGTGCTAGCTGAGACAGAAAAATGTATGTATGTTGGAAACAAGGAAAGAGAAAGCCCAAGGGAAAATTAGAGCGTGGCGATGGTCTGGTCAGGACGGTAGTTGGCGTCCGAGGAGACCTGCGAGCCGATCTTGTAGTCCTTCAGGCGCTTCTCAACCTCCGGGCGGAAATGGCGCATCAGACCCTGCACCGGCCAGGCAGCAGCATCAGCCAGAGCGCAGATGGTGTGGCCCTCCATCTCCTTTGTGATCTCGAGGATCTGGTCGATCTCGGCGCTGGTCGCCTGGCCGCTGACGAACCGCGACATCATCAGGTCGAGCCACCTCGAGCCCTCGCGGCACGGCGTGCACTGGCCACACGACTCGTGGCGGTAGAACGACGACAGGCGCGCAATGGCCTGCACGACATCGGTGCTCTTGTCCATGACGATGACTGCAGCAGTGCCAAGACCAGACTGCATGTCGCGCAGGCTGTCAAAGTCCATCACCGCAGTGTCGCACAGGTGCTTGGGCAGCAGAGGCACCGACGAGCCGCCGGGGATGATGGCCAGGAGGTTGTCCCAGCCGCCGCGCACACCGCCGCAGTGGCGCTCGATCAGCTCGCGCAGGGGAATCGACATCTCCTCCTCGACCGTGCAGGGCTTGTTGACGTGGCCCGAGATCGCAAACAGCTTGGTGCCAGAGTTGCGCGGGGCACCGAATCCGGCAAACCACGAGCCACCGCGGCGCAGGATGGTGGGCGCAGCAGCAACCGTCTCGACGTTAGTCACCGTGGTCGGGCAGCCAAACAGACCGGTGTCGGCCGGGAATGGCGGCTTCAAGCGGGGCTTGCCCTGCTTGCCCTCCAGCGACTCGATCAGGGCCGTCTCCTCGCCGCAAATATACGCTCCAGCACCACGGTGGACATAGACGTCAAAGTCGTAGCCCGAGCCGCACGCGTTCTTGCCAATGAGACCCGCCTTGTACGCCTCGTCGATGGCCTGCTGCAGGTTGGATGCCTCGTTGTAGAACTCTCCACGGAATGTAGATGTAGGCAGCGTTGGCAAACATGGCGCGGCCGGCAATGAGGCAGCCCTCGATCAGCTTGTGCGGGTCATGGCGCATAATCTCGCGGTCCTTGCACGTCCCAGGCTCGCCCTCATCGGCGTTGATAACCAGGTAGCGCGGGCGGCCCGGCGACGACTTGCCCATAAAGCTCCACTTCAGACCGGAGGGGAAGCCGGCACCACCACGGCCGCGCATGCCGCTGGCCTTCATCTCGTTGATGATCCAGTCCTCGCCCTTCAGCACAATCTCCTTGGTTTTGTACCAGTCGCCGCGCTTCAGCGCGCCCTTCAGTCCAAAGTCGTGCTGACCATAGAGGTTGGTGAAAATGCGGTCCTGGTCCCTTCAGGCCGCCGTACTGCCGTGTGCTGCCACCCTCTGTCGAGTACGAACGAGCGGCGACTCCCGGACGCGCAAGCTGCTTCGCGACTACAGACAACGACTAGCGTTAGCAATTGCGATTCTGGGCGAGATTCAGTGCCCCGACCCGCTGTCGGAATCCGAGACTTACCCTTTGCAAGCGTAGGACGCATCATTTTGTGTTTGTGAATTCGAAAAAAGCGAGGGGCGATAATGTAAAAAAGCAAGCAAGCAGTCTCAATTAAGAGCCGAATTCAGGCGAGCAAGCGCTCTGGCAGTGGTTATCTCCAAATACCGAGATTGTGATTATCTTTAATCTGTGTTTTCTTTAAGCCCTGCGGAAAAAGGCTGGAGTATTCGCCTTAGGGAGCCTTCTTCAAACAACTCGCCGCGTAAAGGGCATTTGCCATGCCTGACTCTCCTTTGCCATGCTACTGCAGCAGGTAGCTCGTTTGCTAGTTAGGAAGCAGCTGCGTCACTGAGCTGACGACACCGCCTTTGGATGCAGTACATGTAATTCCCACGTCCAGAAACAAGGAAATGCGGTGGTTTGTGCGTAGTAGTTGATAGTAATGTGTGGGTGGTTTTTGCCGCCCAAACAAAGTTATGTGCATGGTAGGCAGGTAACAAACAACTGTGCGATTACGGACGATAGTGTCTGAGTGAAAAGTCTCAAGAAGGGCCCTTGAGAACAGTGGCTGTGGATAGCTCCCTGTCCGTTCCTTGCTTTCACATCCAACGATACCACCCAACATACATCATTAATACTTTCTCTGCAACTATGCACTCGACGTCTTCAGTTGCATTTGCACTATTCTTCGTCTGCGCATGCACTCCGTCCCATGCTACAACTACCGAAAGACCGGGGGCTTCAGGAAACGGCATTGTCAGACGCCAGATGATGGGAGGAGCATTTGGCGGCAGAAACAACCCGTTCCAGGCGTACTGGTACCAAGGAATTGTACCTGGTCAGGGCCTGCCCCAGATAGGCATGAGTGCATACGGCTATGGGCTTCCAGGGTTCGGACTGGAAGACTACCTTGCTCCGGGTGCAGCCATCCTAGCCGGCGCTGGTGAGGGTGAGATTGACAACAAGGACCTGGACCGTCTAGACAATCAGGTCCATGGACTCGATGCTATCAAGGGCGAGGGGTACGGCAACGCTGTACACGGTGACCCCGACTACCCAGGGCACTTCAAGGACGAAGACCGCTACGATGACAGGCATGATGATGACGACGATGGTGGTCATCACCACCATTACCACCATTACCGCTACAACACTGCTTCACTGCAGACGCGTGGAAGTAGCCGGTCCATAGTAACCGGCGTGCTATGCACTGTTGGGCTGGCTGTTCCTGGCCTGATACACTGATGTTGGCTGCATCGCGTACAGATCACAGAACGCATATGCATGCTGATGCAGCATGACTTTATCCACCTCCAAACCGAGCGGTCCTGGACTGCTTTTTAATCTTTCTGGCCCACAGCTGATTTTGTGAGTCACAGTCGCTCGGGCCGCATTTATATCTTGCTCACAATATAATTTACCGTTAATTCCACGACTCTTTGCATGTTGCACACATACAGAGGTCCGGTAGAGATAAAGGTGTACTGTCACGAAACCACGATTAAAGTGAGAAAAGTTACAAGAGGTGCTGAGCGGGGTGCCCGATCAGCCTGCAATTTAAGCAGTCTTCGGGGCCTCGATTTCCTTCTTCTCCTTGCTCTCGCTGAGGGCAACGCGGGCGATCTGGTATGCAGCAGTGCAGCCAACAAAGAAGTTGACGGTAGCCAGGCTGATGTTCCTGGGCTTAATGATAAGCGACCAGCGGGTCCAGATCATGCCGGTGGCAGCAAGCGACAGCTGCTGCTTGACCGAAATCTGCTCGACAGGGCGGCTAATGTCACTGAGGCCAGCAATGACCAGACCCCATTTCATCATGGGTGCCCAGAAATGAATGGTCTTGGGACCCACAGGCGAATTCCAGAATCTGCTAAAACCCGAAGCACCGGCTGCCGACATTTTGTGTGATGTAAATGTTGAGGGAAATTGGAAGAGGAGAAAAAGTTTGGACGCGTGCCAGCAAGTGCAAAACACCTGCTTAATCTTCAAGCAGTCCCAAAAAAAATTGCCGCGCTCTTAAAATCCGCGATTTCGCTCGAGTCCGCTAATTTATCCTGAAGGCGAACTCCGCCTCGGTCTCCGAGATTGGATGGGCCATGAGGCGTGCAGACAACGCTGGTGGTAACTAGGATGACTGGACACTAGCAATGTGCAGCGGGCTTGCCCCAGAGACCGTAACTGAACACACTGTCTGAGGAGCGTACTCGTGCACCGGATCTAATTGATATCACTTAATGAAGGGCTTGGGACCAGAGGCAAAAGATCTCCCAGGCATGATTCAGTCCTTAGCGACCTGGTTATGGCCGTTCAAGCACCAAGCCTGCGTCTCTAAATGGATGCACATCATATAAATTGGACGAGGGAAGCACAGCTTGCTCTTTCGAGCGCAGCCAGAACGTGCTCTGTTTTGTGAAAACAATGTGAAGCTGCACTGGAGATCACTGCATAGTGCCGTTGACTTTTGTTTCATTACAGAAAGCGCCATCGTGCACGAATGGTCACCAGCACGTACCAGCAGCTCTGTGCTTCTTTACAGGAGTTGCAGGAATGCCTTCATGAAAACCGGTTGAGTGGCAGTGAGGAGCATCCTCCTGAATCCCAGCTGCATTCATCGCGCCATCCACCCAACATATTACAATATCTGATATCGATCTTGAGAGATGTGCACCCTTGCACCGCTGTCACCTCTTGACACCTGACAACCACTAAACCAATCTCTATTATTTTCCGTTTCAGTAATTGTGTAATAAATGCGCAGCTTGCGACATTGGATGTGAGCAATGAGGGTCCGCGCGTTTGTTTTCAACTCGTACCAAGCAATAGTTTATGTAAAATACATGATGCTCGAGTTAAAATGACCCGGTTTATTGGGGAGAGGTGGCCAGCAGCAATAGAGTGCTCGGAGAGCAAAACACGCATGTACACTATACGCTGTTGCTGGACTGCTGACCAATGCATGTTGGGCGGCGATGTCCTATGCCAAATACATACAGTTTGGTAAACATTCCCATCAGAATATTCTGGTCTAGAAAGGCTTCATGGCTACAACCGCAGCGTGCTCTTCTCAGAGCGAAACCGTCAGATACACTCCCGTGTGCGCGTGGCTGAGATTTCGTGTTCTGTGAACTGTTAGCAAATTTTGTGCCCATACCAAGGCTGTATGCACGGACACCGCCTCCTTTGAACCTCGTGATTCAGCCAGGCATGGATACGCTGTTTGGCAAGTGCGTAGGGCCATGCTATTCATTCAATAGCCCTTAGCTTTACGCAACTGACTTTTTATGCCCTGTCTTGCGGGGGTGTGGGCCGAATAATGGCTCGCAATACAGCTCGGTCAATTCCCATGTGTTGCAATGTTTTCAGGGAAATGATGCCATCGGACTAGCCAGCCAGTCAGTTGTGCAGGCCTGGGTTTCCACATCGTGCTTGATCGACGTATTCTGCAGTCCTTCAGCCTTTCAAAATGGAAGTGATGGTGCAATTTCAGCGATAATCAGCAGGAGAAATGGGGAGAGAAGGATCTGCTTGAAGCGTATGGTTTGATATTGATCAGGCAGGGCTGTGGATCAAAAGCAAGTGTCGGGTAGTCGCAGGAACCGCCAATTGCTTTCGCAGCTGTCTCCGATTGCGCCATCCACTTGACTTAACCCCTAGGAGTACAGATCCCCTGGGTGGGTTGGCAATAGAATCCACTGTGCGGTTTTAGCAGCGCTTGATGGGTGATATGGATGCCGATCGACTATACTGCTGGATGATGGACCACGCCAATTCATTCAGCGGACTGCACCGCTATAGGGAAAGACCAGCCGGCGTCCTTTTTCAAGCGTCCACCGCCTTGGTCTCATCTTTTTGGCACTGGGACCCCAGGGCTGAGCGTTCTGCATGCCGGTAAATCGACAATGGGCATGATTGTTTGCACCGCATCCGACCTGAAGCGGTGCTGTGAAACAGGGGATGGTTCAGTAGCTGAGGGACGACCGAATTAGTAGCTGCATGGCAGTATGCATACATTTTCGCCGTGCGCTTATAAATAGTTAGTGGTGGATGGTCCGGATGGAGTACACTGCAATTTACTCCTGCTAAACCTCTTGAAGGATCCTATTCATATGAGTCTGGTCTTCCGTTTCAACACACTATTAATTGCCACCCCTTGCCCAGTTCCATTTCACTTGTACACTCTTATCCGCTGCCATCTTTATTTCTTATCTACATCTTCGGTGGTCCTGATTCTCTACTTTCAATATGAAATCAGCTTCCAGCAACGACACGTACCTCGAGCTCCAGCCAACACGGCAGTCGGTGATGGCTCCGGACACAGTAGGACCAGTCAGCTATATCGAGCCCATCGCGTCGTCTAAAGCGTGGATCAAGGAGCATCTGGTTCCGAATCGGAAAGACACTATCAAATATGCAAAGTCGCTGTTCCCCATCTCGACATGGATCTACCGCTACAACTGGACCTGGCTCCTCGGAGATTTGGTTGCCGGCATTACAGTCGGTGTTGTGGTTATTCCTCAGGGTATGGCCTACGCAAAGCTGGCCACGCTATCACCAGAATTTGGTCTTTATTCGTCATTTGTCGGCTGTGCCCTCTACTTTATGTTCGCTACCAGCAAGGACATCACTATTGGCCCGGTCGCCGTGATGTCTATCCTGCTTGGAAATGCCTTAAACGATGTGGTGCCGGACTTGCCAGAGTACTACCAGGAGAGGCGGTGGCTAGTCGCCGGCTGTCTGTCAATTATTTCGGGTGCATAGTGTTCGCGATTGGGCTGTTTCGTCTTGGGTTCATCGTTGAGCTGATTCCGCTGCCTGCCATCGCCGCCTTCATGACCGGCTCGGCTATAAACATTGCCATGGGGCAGGTACCAGGAATGCTCGGTAACAACACAGTCAAGGGATACGACACACGCGAGGCGACGTACAAGGTGTTTATAAACTTCTTCCGCTATATTAAGCACTGCAACATCAACGCTGCTGTTGGCCTGTCCGCGCTGATCATCCTCTACCTGATTCGCTGGTCGTGCCAGAAGGCCGCATGGCGGTGGCCACAGCATGAGCGTATGTTCTTCTTCCTGAGCACACTGCGCACAGCCTTTGTTATTCTGCTCTACACGCTGATTTCGTTTATTGTCAACCGTAACCACCGCGACGATCCCAAGTTTGCTATTCTGGGCAAAGTTCCCAAGGGGTTCCAGCACATCGAGCTGCCCCAGGTAAACATAACGCTTGTGGATGCGCTCAAGAGCAAGATCCCACCGACAGTCATTGTGCTGATCATCGAGCACGTTTCGATCTCCAAGTCCTTTGGACGGCTTAGCAACTACGCCATCAACCCGAACCAGGAGCTGATTGCCATCGGTATTTCCAACATTTTTGGCCCGTTCTTTGGCGCATACCCCGTCACTGGCTCGTTCTCTCGTACTGCCATCAAGTACAAGGCTGGTGTGCGCACGCCGCTTGCTGGCGTCTTCACCGCGCTGATGATTGTGTTTGCTATCTTTGTGCTGCCGCCCATGTTCTACTATATCCCGAACGCGCAGCTTGCTGCTGTCATCATCCACGCTGTCGGCGACCTGATTTCGGCACCACGCACAATCATGGCTTTCTGGCGCATTTCACCGTTCGAGTTCCTAATTTTCTGGGCCGGCGTCACTGTCTCCCTGTTCTCGACCATCGATACTGGTATTTACACAACCGTGGCGCTGTCAGCTGCGCTGATGCTGTTCCGCATCGCCAAGGCTCAGGGCAAGTTTGTCGGCCAGATCAAGGTCTACGAGCAGCAGTTGATTAGCGAGGACAACCAAATGCCCCAGGAACGGCATGTCTATATCCCACTTGATCACTCGGATGGTACTAACCCGTCAGTCAAGCCAAAGCCTCCACCCAACGGCATCTTCATCTACCGCATGAGCGAGGGCTACCTGTACCTGAACGCCGTGCATTTCACCGACCTTCTGGTAAAGGAGATATTGAAGCAGACACGGCCAGGCGTAGTTAACCCGTACGGATCGCTTGGAAACCGGCCTTGGAACGACCCGGGACCTCGTCACAAGACAGAGTCCGACATCGACATGTCAAAAGCCCGAGCTGCGTGCCATCATCCTGGACTTTAGCGGAGTCTCCAACGTCGACATCACCTCGATCCAGAATCTGATTGATGTGCGCCGCCAGCTCGACCAGCATGCTGACTGTGCAGTTGCATGGCACTTTGCTGGTGTCAAGTCGCCGTGGATCCGCCGTGCTCTTGTTTCGAGCGGCTTTGGTGCCTCATCGACAATGACCCGCACTATCTTCAGCGTGGTCAATGTCAAGACGACTATGGACCGTGAGGAGGCGCTGCCGTTCATCCAAGATGAAGGGACGTTCCCTGATAGCAAGGGTAAAGGTTCTGCACCTGGGCGAAACAGCAGCTTCAGCACGATCCCGCTGCCCTACTCAGTGCCAACCATCCAAACTTCCACATCGACCTTGACGAAGCACTCAAGGCGACCGAGCAGGAGCTGAGGATGTACCAGGACTATTAGTATTCACTGTGGTTACCATTGTGCAAACAAGTATTTATGTCACATATTTGGCCTTTGCTACTATTATGATGATGGCGTCGAGAGGGGCGGTGAGTATTAGACAAGGCTCACTACGACACTGCCCTTATAGCTGCTCCATCCAACAACACTCACGCTGTGTCCTTCGCTATCTGCAATGGAGCTAACAGTAGACACGTATACATCGGAGACCACAAGCTTTTCCAATGATGGCAACTGCCGCATTAGGTCACATATCGTCTCTGGGGCCTGTTGGCTTCTTGTTGCTATCTCGAGGATCTGCAGCCTGGTGCTAAGTGGAGGCAACCCATCTTTGCAGGCACACGGTAGTACCCTTGCTTGCATACCGACCAGCACGAGTGGAGCGAGTGTTCCGTTATCTAATGCCTGGCTATCCGACTCTTGTACGCTGTGGATATCTATCGCTGATATATGGTCGTTTTCTTCCTCCCAGGTGTACGGGACCTTCCCAGATTGGACAAAGCTAGAGTGAAGAATACGCAAATGCCAAAGGCAGGGCAGCTGGGCGATTACTCGCCCAACCCTGTGTAGTTCGCTAGGTACCAGATTCAAAACAAGGCGACCAAGGGCAGCCCATGCAATTTCCTTTGGTGGAGGCAGCAGGTTCCCCATCATATATGCAATCTCAACGCCAGATTTCGCTGTGTAGAATCGCGCAATAGCCTCACGCGGAAGCTTGGTGGCACTATCGGCGCCAGACATGGCCGCAAACACAAGCTGCCTGATATTTCGCAGGAAGCCAGTGTTCACACGCTGGAGTGCGGCCAGGTCATCAGCAAGAAGCAAGGTGTGGAGTGGGGCACTATGAAAAAGAGCGAGTGGGTCATGGTACACTCTTAGAGCGTCGCTAATCTCCACCCGTGTCAGCTTTGGGAATCGGATATCGAGTCCGCCGTGTGCAGCCATTTTTAGACTGGATGACTGTGGGGTGTGTCCAAAACAGATATACAGAAAGTGGAGTTGGGGAAAGTCGATTGTGTTTTTGTTCATTGTGATGAACATGTCCCAAGGAAATCCGTCTGCACTGCAAAGCATCCATAGCTTACGCAAGGCCACGGTAGGAAACCTGGGGATGTACGGCAGAGTCCGCAAGTAGTCGTCTCTAATTAACAGAGATGTGAGTGGGACTTCAAACGTCAAGGCAGGAGGCAGAACGGCTGGATATGCACCCATTATGAAGGTGAGCTTGCCCAACAGCGCATCGTGCACTGTTTTAAATAACGGGTTGAGTGGCAAATATCCACGGTGGTCTAGTGTCCAGGCGAGCGAGTCATTGCATGAGATATTGTAACTTAGCGAGTTGAGTCTGGGAAAACGCTGGATGAGAAGGTCAGCGGATGCCTTTGCTTTGGCGCCAGCGTCAGGGTCCTGCTGCCCTGGGGCATAGCAGAAAACCCCGAGACCAACAAACTTTAGTGAACGAATGCCTCCCCACACAAACCGGCTGAAATGGAAGAGCTCCAGCATCTCGAATATATGAGGCGAACAGCAGCACTTGTCGTCGAGTATTACAACAAGGTTCCTGACGTCTTCGGTCCTTTCCAGTAAGATGAAGGTATTTAGGTTCGACTTCCACAAAATCCTGTGTCTGCCTCCCCTTTCGCACTCACCAATTTTGGCACGCTCAATGGTCGCTGTATCGGTAAGTCTCTTTGGCAGAAGAGCCTTCCAAAGGCGGCACACGCCCGCGATATTGACGGCACAGTCTAGGCCGTAGTTGTTTGCCGGAGCTGGCTGGTCGCCATTAACTGCTATGTCTACAGCACGGAGGAATATTTCGCAAGGCAGTCGGTTGATATGCATGTCGAAAAGGCTAGGGGAAGTAGGACAGAGAGAAAAGATTGGTGCGGATGCATGATTTCAAAATGACATCTTCTCTTTATATCCTGCCGGTGGACTGCTCTTGCCGGGTCTGCATCCTGATACTCTGCTCGTTTGCTGTCCATGTTTATATGGCACTTTGTATGCAGCTGTCATAATCAAGAGCCAGTGGCTGTATAGTAAACTGCAGATAGCTGGCCTGACATGCTGGCGAATCTGCACACACAGGACAAAGGACCGAGCCATGTCAGGATACGTGACCCGTGAGTGGCATGTGGACCCGTGTCAGACATCAGCAGTGGAAGGTTGACAACCTTGACCATATGGGGGGTGATCCAAATACGCTGATTATAAATATCAAATAGTAATCATTAATTCTCAGCCACGTCAAGGGGATGGATCAACTGCGCATTCTATTAGCCACGATGAAATGTTGCTGGCTGTGTTAGCGTGCTGGTTCCCATTGATGAGGCAATCCACGGCACACTGACATACACTTGTAACGGCTCCTTTATTTGAGCTTGGCTGGAACTGGGGCTGTGAGCGTAGCTGCAGGCATATGAAACCCCATGGCCGGATCTACGGCTGCTTTGGAATCATGGCAGTGAGAGTAGTAAGCATGGCACAGTACGCGGAGGCTTCGAGCCGACGCAAGGAGCCGTGCTGCCCAGGAGGCTCGGCCACTAAGACAGAAGGACGGCAAGCATCGAGGGCTTGTCGTGCTGGCTGAAAGAGCATAATTTTCATTGGATTTATTACCCTGAGGTTTCGTTGCTTTTACAATTCGCTGAGAAATAAAAAAAATCGCATTTTTCTCCTTTCTTCCATTCATTCTTAATTCCAGCTCACTTGGTAGAGGCATACATTTTGACATTCCTATTTCCTTCGTACTCTTCCTTCGCAGCACAAATATACCTTTTTCTCTCGAGTAATCGTTCGGAACGGACCTTCATTGTCACCTCAGCAGTTGGGTGAACGTTAGCAATTTCCACCTTATTTAATTCTATTCAATCGAACGGGATGACTGACCTCGAGCTCGATTCCAAGGCGATTCTAAATGGGCTGGTGAGACTGGACCAGAACGGTGAGCTGCCGGCAAGCGCAACAGCGGCGCTGGGCGGTGGAGCAAAGCCGGCCAACAAGGGCGCCCGGGCAGCAGGAACCAGCGAGGCGCTAGACTCAGCGGATGCCCGGGCCCTGATGGCGCATGCGGCCAGCGGAAACCGGGCGACATCGAGCCATTTCAGCGGCAACGGGACGCACGCGGTAGCGACATTGCGGCTGGAGACGAGCGCGGTTCTAAAGGAGCTGGCGCGGTTCCGTGCGTGTGATGACCAGACGATGTCGTGCTTTTACTGCCGCGAGTGGGCGCAGTGGGTATACCGCAAGCAAATTTCGGCCCTTTCTGGCGGCGTCACCACAGGTTCTAGCAGCAACGGCACGGGCAAGGGCAAGAAGAAAGGCAAGGCGTCGGGAAATAATGCAGCAGCAGCGTTGGGCAGCGACAGCATGGGCGGCGCAAGCGCAGAGGAGGTGCTGGAGCGCGAGCGGCTGGAGCGGAAGCGCGCGATGCGGCTCTGCTACAGCTCGATCGGTGATCTTTGCGATAGTTTGCGGGAGCTGGTAGCGGAGGAGCGCCAGGCGCTGCCCATTATCGAGCAGACTAGCGGGATGGCCTCGGCACCGGTCAGCAGACCTGGCTCGCCGTCGCTTAGCGTGTCGTCGGCCACGTCATCGACGTTTGCTGAGCAGGCAAGCAGGAATGCAGGCGGCAAAGGCGGCAAGGCACGGGGCGGCAATAAGGCAAAGGCGTCGAATGCCCAAGCAGCACCACTGGCGACTACAGCGGCAGCAGCAGCTTCCGATGAGTCGGCGGCGGCAGGCGGGAATAGTACGCTGATAGATACAATTGTCGAGCGCGCGATGGCGTGGTACGAGGGGTACCAATTCCCGCTGGCCGACGTGTACGAAGACCTGACGTTTGATTTCCCACCCGACGCATTCCCCTACAACGACAAACAGGACCCGATGAACCCAGCGTTGCTGTTGCCGGCACTGCAGGTGACAAAGACGTACATCTCGCTGCCCGCGGCCAAATTCCCCCTGCTGGGCAACATCACGTCGGAGCAGATTGCCACGCACTCGTACCCGACGTGCCAGCACACCAAGGCCGATCATCCGACGCCGTCCGAGCTGGACACGCAGCGGCTGATCTTCAATTCGCAGCTGCAAAAGTGGCGAGGTGAGAACAAGAGCGGGTTTGAGCGCGAAATGGAGCCAGTGTGGCAGATCACGCAGTTGCTACTGAAGAGCGCGCAGCGGATCGAAGCCATGCGCGTGCGGCTGTTTGCGCGCGGATGCCGTGCCAACCGCGAGCAGTTCCTGCAGAGTATTCGCACGCGCGCGCAGCCCTTCAGCGAGTACTGGGCGCGTGTCAGCGAGCCGTACCGTACCGGAAAGGCAGCAATAATCGCCGAGGGCGATTCAGGCGACGATGAGCCGGCTCGGAAGTCGCGCGGCCGGCGTAGCACGCGCACCAAGACCAATGAGCAGCTGGCTGAGGAGCTTGACTCGTTGGTGGCGAAGCACCTTGATGGGCTGCTGGAGGTCAGTTCGCAGTGGTCGCGCACGTTCCTGGAGTCATACTATGGCGTGGCCCGTGAGTTTGCACGGGAGCTGGAGACAATCCTGGGCGAATGCATCACGATGTGCGACCGGCGTGCGCAAGGGTTGAAGTACCCGCCGCCGCTGACGCTGCAGCCGCAGCTGGAGAAGGCAAGGGCGGCGATTGCGTGTCTGCAGCCGCACCTGGATGCACGCATCGAGAAGATCCAGGCCGTGATCCGTGACCGCAACACCGAGATTTTCAACATGACCAGCTCGATCCGCGAAGACTGGAGCGAGACGTCAGGTGCGACGGTGGCGAGCAAGCTGGCCAAGGCTGCGCACAAGGACTTCCGCAAGAAGATGCGGCGCGTCGAGTTCCAGCAGCAGTCGGGCGTGATCAGCTGGGCGATGCGCGAGCTCGAGCAGCTGCTGACGGCGCCGGATGTCGCGGAAGTGGTGACCGACTGTCTGGAGCTGCTGATGACCGAGGCGGAGATCCTGGAGCGGGCAGTCAGCCAGGTGTTTGTGCGCAAGTACGAGACGGCGTCAAATGACCTGCGTGAGCAGCGGCAGGATATTGTCGATGACTTTACGGAAGGGTTGCTGACGGGTCGCGAGGAGCTGGCAGGCATTATTGGCAAGCTGATGCTGAAAGAGGCGTGGCGGATCCTGGAGGCCAACATCTCGCTGCAGCGCCAGAAGGCACTGCTTGATGGAGGCGGACATGGCGGCAGTGGGAAGAGTAAGAAGTCCAAGGGATCGCAGGCCAAGCATGCGCTGCCGCCAGCAGCAGCGGCAATATCCAGCGGGGGCGAAGCTGCGCCAAAGCCGGCTCAGGCGCCAGTGCAGCCGCCGACCCCGGTCGACGTGCAGTCACAGGCGGATAGCATGTCGGTTCTGGACTTGGATGAGTTTGACGACGAGGAGGATTCGGCAGCCAAGAAGCGTCGCAAGAACAAGAAGAAGAAGGCCAAGAAGAAGAAGGCCAAGCAGGCGGCGGCGCAGGCGGCTCAGGCAGCGCATGCAGCCCAGACTTCTCACCAGGACGCCCAGTCAAACGGTGATGAGGACGAAGATGAGGACGATAACGAGGATAGGACTGGAGGGGATCCGCAGAATCCGTTTGCGTCGTTGTCGATGGCCAATGCGAACGGCGAAGTCGACAGCGATGCTGGCGAACGTATGTTTTCGGCAGCGGACGTGCCTGCTGTAAGCGTGGCAGCTCCTGAAAGGGCGGTTGACGATCCGGCTAAGGAGGCAGTTGTTGGCTCAATTTCGGCACCGGTGCCTGCTGCAGCACAGCCAGTTGCTCAGGCTGCTGGCCAGCAGCAGCAGCAACAGGCTCGGCCTCGACGTGGAACCAATGCTGCGCGGTATGTGCCTGGTGTCGGGTTCATCTCGGACGATGGCATCAGCGCGACATCGCCGCGGCCGTCGCCGGGGGTCACTGCGACGTTCAAGGGGCCGGTAAGCGGAGCTCCATCGACGTCGGGAGCAGTGACGTCGGCAACAGCATCTCCGGCTGGCCGCATAACGCCTGGGAGCCTGAGCGTGCAGACGGCACCCACAGGCAAGCAGACAGTTCTGACAGCTAGCCCGAGCATGGGCGAGTCGCCTCAGCAGCAGCAGCAGCAGCAGCAGCAGCTTGACAAGGAGTCGCTGCAGCAGCTGCAGAGTACGCTCGGAGCCATGACAGTAGATGCGATGCAGCAGGAGCTGGAGGCTCTGGCACACCCGGATCTGGTGGCGGTGGCGACATCGGCGCTGGTGAGCCGGAACGGACTAATGAGCCTGACGAACAAGTGGCACGTATCTGTGGGCAATGTGCTGCAGACGTACGAGACGATTGCATCGCAGGTGGAGTCGTTCCGGCGGCTCTGCGATGCGCACGACGAAGAAACAGCGCGGCTGTCGTCGCTGTTGGCGCAGGCAGCGCAGGAGGCGCAGCAGTGGCATGAGAAGTACGATAGGGTTCAGGCGGAGCTCGAGGAGCTCAAGGCGAGCAATGCAGCGAAGGAGAGGGCGCTGAGCGAGGAGCCGCCGGCTGCCAGTGTCGCCGCCGCCGCCGCCGCCTCTGCAGGTGCAGCTGCCGTTCCCCAGGCAGCACCGCCGATGGCCATGCCGTCGCCGGGGGATGGCGGGATGATGTGGCCGGATCAGCAGCAGCAGCAGCAGCAGCAAGCGTGGCAGTCGTTTGGTGGAGCCCAGTACCCGGTGGCAAATACGTCGGCGGCTATGCCGGCAGGGTTTATGGCGGCGCAGGCATTGCTACCGGGTCTGCTGGCGTCGGGGCAGCTGCCGGCCAATGTGGATTATGCACAGCTGATGTCGGTTGCCAGTCGCATTCATGCAGCCCAGCAGCAGCAGCAGCAGCAGGGGTTCATGGGGGCCGGTGTGCCTGGGTTTAATGTGGGCAGCATGCTCGGGAATTCGTCGGGATTGGGCATGTCGCAGGCGCAGCAGCAGCAGGCATCGGCAGGAGGTGCAGGAGGTGCAGGCATGCAGGCGGCGAACCCAGCGAGCTCCGTGTCCAGCTCCTCGCTGCTGTCGGCGCTTAACGCCGGATCGCAGCCGTTCTAGCTCTTTTCTAGCGAGTACCTGAGTAAAAAAAACAGATGATTTCTTCAGCTAATACGTCATTGGCTGGCCCTGTGATCATAAATTGGCCCAAGCGTCACTCGCTTTTCTTTTCTCCGCACGTATTTTTCGCACTCTACCACATCTATATTCTAATTATGAGCACACACATTCCTCTTTCCCTGCGGCGCAAGATAGTTATAGCGCTTGACATCAACACTCTGGTGCCCGCATCGGTGACAGCCAGCGAAGCCGAAGCCAGCGAGCGGGCGGAAAACCGGCTGTTGTCCTTCAAGACGGTGGCCTGGGCCAAAGCCAACCTGATCCGGGAGCAGCAAGACCACGTCTTTTTGGTGACCACCATGGAGGCTCCAGGAGCACTGGACGGCAAGACCATCTCGGCCATGTGGAACAGCATGGTTGGCGACACTGACCAGCATGTAGACGTGCGTGCAGAGGCCGAGGCAGCATTGCAGCATCTCTCGCAGGCGCTGTATAATGTCGGCGTATCGGCAACGACCGAGGTTCTGCAGGGGAATGCAGCAGAAGCAGTGTCGGTGTACGTGCATGAGCATAGAGGCGAAATTTTGGTGGTGCAGGCGCCTGAGCGTGGCATGCTTGCGATGACGTACTCGTGGGCGGAGCTGTGTGCGCAGATGTCGGCATGCCCAACGGTGATGGTGAAAAAGACAGATCTGCCCGAGAACATTGCTGTTGCGCTGGACCCGCCACTGCCCACCGCTACGACGGAGGAGACGGCCGAAGAGTAGCCTTTTTCTTTATTTGGAGAAATAATCTTTTGTCTGGGGAATCTCGGGCACTGCTTGGTGTTTGGGCGCCCACTGGCGCAGGTACGGGATGCCTGTGTTTGGCGAGAACAGCCGCGAGAGCTCCGACAGCCTGCCGCCCAGCGACATGCCGGTGGCGGTTTCGGCGCTACTTACCTGGCGCTCGAGCTCACCCAGCGAAGCTTCCAGGGCGTCGGCCAGTTTACCCAGTGTATCGAGCTGCCCACAGGACGCTGTGATGCTGTGGTCCAGGTGCGTATGCTCTATGGAGAACGCCTGTGAAGTCTCGGTGTATAGTGATTCGAGCCGGGAGGCTGCTGTTGAGAGGCGGTCGGTGGCAGCTTGGGTTTGCTGGGCTTGGGCGTGGATGTCGGAGAGCTGCTCGGATTGCGCGGTGGAGATCAGCGAGTCGGCCCAGGCGGCGGCCAGGGCGAGGTGCGGGGGAAGGGCGTTGGAAGACATTCTTTTTCTTTTCTGATAGGGAAACCCGCATGTGTAAAATGACATGAGCAAGATATCTCTGCATAGAAAATACATTGGGTTATGGCCAAAAGAAGAGATAAACACTAGACAGCTAGTATGAGATTCTTAATCTAGAGCTTGGCCTGCGACTTGGTGGGCTGCAGGAACGGCTTGTAGTACTTCTGGAACCACTCCTCGCGGATCTTGTCGCCAGTGCCCTCCCTGTTAATGGGCTCCTCCATTGCCCACTTGAGGTAGTTGTCGTAGACCTGGCCGTCGCTGCGGCCCAGGGCGGAATTGAGCTTCAGGTCGGAGACGCCAAAGGACTCGACCAGCGGAATCGCCTGGTCGCGCACCTCCTCGATGAGCTTGGCCAGCAGCTGCTCGATCTCCACAATCTGCTTGGTGGAGAAGGCGGCGCGGCCGGGCAGGCGGAACAGGTCGCCGGGGTTTTGCTCAAGCACATAGAGGAAGTTGAGGGCGGCGATCTTGCGCAGTACGGGCAGGATCGGCGAGTCGGTGGGCAGCGTGGCCAGGTGCTGGCGGAAGTAGTTGGCGACAATGTAGTCCGAGTGGGCATCGGACAGGCGCTGCATGGCCACCAGCGACTGGTTCCACGTCTGGCCGTGCTCGTCCATCCGGTCAACCAATTCAGAGGCCATGGCGGCCGCGCGGTAGCTAAGCAGATCGAGCTGCGCATCGGTGTCGGCAGCCAACGAGGCCACGGACTTGCCAATGAAGGCCGGGCCCGGGACCGTCTCCAGACGGCCGTTGGTCAGGTGGCGGCGCAGGTACTGCGTGGTCTGGTTGTCGGCCACGGGCTTGCCGGAGCGCAGTGCGCGGACCTGGGTCAGCAGGAACCGGCCGACCTGCTGCGACAGCACGTAGTTGTCGCCCTCCCAGATGATGTTCGGGTACGAGTTGCCGTAGAAGTCGTTGAGGCCCGAGAAGCTCGAGAAGCCATGGCCGCCGCACACGTGACGGCACGTATCAATGCCGCGAATGGCCACGTCCGAGGTCCACCGCTTGAGCCCGCAGGCGGTCGCATGCAGCTCCTTGAGCGGGCCAAAGTTGCCCGCATTGAGCTGGTCCATGCACTGCTCGTAGTGCCGCGCAAATGCCTGCGACGTGGCAAACATGGCGAAGTTCTGCGCCAGCAGCGGAATCAGGCGGTACTGCACCATGCCGTAGTCCAGCACCGGCGACTCCAGGCCGTTGGGCTGCGGGTTGTCGGACTTGCCCGAGAACTGGCGCCGCTGCGACGTGTACCGCAGCGCAATGGTCGTGGCCTTGGCCAGCACCTGGCTCATGTTGCGCACAATCTGTGTGCGCACATACACCATGGTGCCGTAGGCCACCTTGGGGTCGACGTTGGCCGGCCGCGACACCTTGCCGTCGCGCGACACGTTGATGTAGCGCTGCATCAGGTTGATGCGGGGCACCCGCACGTGATCCAGCAGCAGGAACCCGTTGTCCATGGCATTGAATCCAAACTTGGGGCCCAGATCGCCGACAGTGACGCCCGGCAGCGGCTTGTGCGTCTCGGTCGACCGGATCGGCACCACGACCGGGTTCGGCCCGTAGTTCTTGCCATTGACAATCAGCTGCGCCATCACCATCGCATGCGTGGCCGTGACGCCTAGCGAGCCAATCCACCACTTGCTTGCGCGGATGCTGGGCGAATGCACCTCGAACTCGCCAGTCTCGGGCACAAACGTGCACGTGGTCTCCAGCCCCTGCACATTCGACCCGTGGCCGATCTCTGTCTGCGCGTAGCAGCCCAGGATCTCGTACTTGAGCGCCGGCTTCAGGAACAGCTCCCGCTGCTCCTCGTTCGCCTGGCTCTCCAGCGTCGGCAGGAACATCGACCGGTGCAGCGCGTATGGCCCCATAGTGTCCAGAATCGTGTCTGCCCACGACACCTCGTCGTTGGTCAGCTTGCCCTCCTGCATCAGCTCGATCAGGCGCTTGCCCATCTTCAGCGCGTGCTCCATGCGCTCCGTGCGGCTGTAGAAGTAGATGTCGCGCAGGTTGAATGTCTCTGGCTCCGCCTCCAGCACCTTGAGCACCTTGGCCGTGCGTGAGCGGGTACCCGCATCGACGATGAACTTGTGCATCTCAGATACGTCAAACTTGGCCCGGCTGCGCTCTGCCTGAAGCGCGTCGGCTGTCGACGGGTACATTGGCTCGAGTCCCTTGGGAATTTGCATGGTTTGTTATAAAGTACAGATAAAAAGAAAGCTCGGGTTTATCTAGCAAAAAAGGGGAGGAAGAAATAATTGGGTTGTTTGTTTTGTGCTGTTCGAAAGAGGGCGTGCCCTGAGAAACGCGATGCTAACCTTTTTATATGCATCTTCTGAGAAGCCCCACCCAAGGCGCATATGCAGACACGGAGCATGCCCAAACGCTTCCCGGAGGCTGCGACCACGCCGAGCTCCCCGAAGCTCCAACAAAAAAACTCTCCGCATTCTCACTCTGTCCGACTGGCATAGGAAGATCTACACGTGACTGCTCCCGTTTTGACTGCTATTTCTCCAGTTGTCCTTCTTTCACAAGGACTGCCTGAAAGCGGAAAGACCCATGGGAGGGCTCAAACCAAATTCGGCCAAGCACGGGCTCACGAGCTGGCCCACGCTCCGCTCATGCTTATCTTTTTTCCTCTCGTCTACTCGGGCTCGGAGTTCGCTGGTTCGGGCGAAAAAGCCTTTCCGTTCTGTGGTAGATTTTTGCAGCATGCGCAAGGGGGTCGACACATGCCACGCATGCCACATAACTCCTGCATCGAGGCTTTGCCTTACCGGCCCGTTTTACAAAAAACTATGCATTGACTTAAATCGGCCCAAACCCCCTCCCTCAAAAATCTGCATCGTCAGCTGAAATCGTCGTTGGCAGCTCAGGAATAATGATCAGCGATTCCGGCGACAATTCATACTTCCTGGCCAGCTTGACGAACCTTGCATACAGAAACGTCGCATTCTCCTGCACCTCAAAGATCTCGCGGTGGTGGAAATACGCGTGGGCAAAAATCCGATATATCCTTCTGGCCATGCTCTGGAAATGCTTCATCGACGTCTCGGGCACATACAGCCGGCTCGGAAACGACCCCTGGTTGTTCAGCTGCCCGATCGCATAGTTCACCGTGTGCACAGAATACCCGATCGCGCTGCATGGCTTCGGGTGCCCATGCCCGGCGCAGAAATAGGTGTCTTCGTTAGCCCGCATCATCGGGCAGCCGGTCTCGGTGCACTCCCGGTGCATCTCCACTATGTACCAGCCAAGCTCTATGCAGATTTGCCGCATGTGCTCGTACAGCCAGACCGTCTTGTCCATGCCCACAGGCACCTGCAAAAGGTCGTCGATGTCGTACCGGTGCGTCCGCAGAAGTGATTGCAGGTACTCTTGGCCGGCCATCGATGAGTCGATCTCTGCGACACTATCGTACGACCACTTGAAGCAGTCCTACTCGAAGACTTTTATGCTGGTGTTAGCCCAATGGCAGTCTCACTCACAATTGAATGTGATTGCGAACCCGCTGATTGTCGGCTGTCATTTTCTTTTTCCTCCGCACCTCTTCTTTGGTTCCTGGTAGATTGATATTTTGCCGCTGGCTCGTTTGGTCGCCAATGCTTTCAACTGCTTGCGCTGCCATTAGGATACTATGTGAATATGTTTGTGAATGTGATAGCCATACATGGCGCCACCCTGTACATGTATCCAACATATGCTTGGCTGGCCAGATGCATTATTTATGGAATCACAACGACCATGTCATATGACCGACAATCGTCGCAAAAAAACATGCTAGGTCTACGACTGCCTGTGCTTGCGGTGCTCAGCATAGCTCCACAGATGCTGCAAGAACAGATTCCAATTGACCCCGAACGCGTCGTCGACATGGACGAACCGCACCCCCAGCTTCGTCTCGACCTCGGCATTCCTGGCCTCATCATCAAAGAATATCATACGCTCATACTCCACTCCCGAGTCCCTAGGCCAGGTTCCGGAAATGCGTCACCTTTGAGCCCGGATAGATCTCCATGAAGTCAATACATTCTATCATCTTTTTCTTCTTCACTCCAATGTCCGACTGGATCTCAAAGAGCGGCCAGAACCTGCTTCGCCCACTCGGCGCGGTCGGTCCGTGATGCTATGCCGATGCGCGTGTTGGGCAGCTGCATGATTAGGTCTAGCACTCGCGGTACGTCCGAGAACAGCTCCATTGTGTCACCGTACCGGTCCTTCACCTTGTTGTTTGCTGCGAGCCGGTACGGCGGCCCGTTCGTGTGCGTGTCAATCCAGCAGGACCACAGCGTGAAGTCGAGGTCAAATACGATTAGCTCAGGGAGAAACTCCGCCTCCTCTTTACGTGGGTCCCATCCAAGTGCCTCCAGCTCAGGGATGGGGTGGGCTGGTGCAACTTTGACCTGCTCAAAAGCCGCGAATGTCTCGTCATTTGTCCAAAAAATAAAAATGTAGCAACAGTCCACGGTATGAAAAATGAATAAAAATAGCTGCGGTCCGGGACCTGAGGATTTTTAGTTCTTATTTAGTTGGATTCTGTTGGCGTGGCACACGGCCCGCTTAATGATCCTGACTGATCTCTCGTTTCGGCCGACCGCTGGACCAGCTGCGCAAAATGGCTCTCTGGGTCATGGCGCAGGTTGTCTGGGGTTCCGGACTCACGGATCTTGCCACCCTCGACCACCAGGACCATGTCGCTGCCCAACGCATTCTCCACCCGGTGTGCAATCGAGATGACAGTGCAGCCAGCAAACTCGTCGCGGATCAGCTGGTGTAGGAGATTGCTGGTCCCACTATCAATGGCTGCGGTGGACTCATCCAGCACAAGGACCTTTGGGCGCTTCAGTAGTGCCCGTGCCAGGCATATCTGCTGCTGTTGACCAACGCTCCATCCGCTGCCGTTCGGAAGCACGGGACTGTCAAGAGCAACGTCCGACATGCCGACTGCTATCAGACAGCGTTGGATCTCTGAGTCAGCGTGCTTTCTGAACGGATCCAGGTTGTCGCGCACAGTGCCAGTCAACAGAACCGATGTCTGCGGCACGACTCCCAGACGGCTGCGCAGAGCGTGTAAGTCAACAGTGCCAATGTCGACGCCATCGATCAGGATTCTGCCCTCACTGGGCTTGAGCAAGCCAAACAGCGCCATGGCAATGCTCGTCTTGCCCGCCCCCGTCCGTCCAACAACACTGACATGCTGCCCAGGCCTGATAGTGAACGACATCCCGCTGAGCGCACGCTTGCCATCGACATTGTACCGCGCAGTCACATTGTCAAATACAACCTGCCCCCTCGCTGGCCAGCCCTCACCCACTGGCTCGCACTTTGCTGTGTCTGCCTGCTCCGGCTCTAGCCTGCTATAGTGAATGTAGCGCGCAGACTTTGCAATATTCTCTCGAATAAAGTAACTCTTGCGCACAAAATGCTGCATTCTGGATAGCAAAAACCCCGTACACATATGCACCACTGCCAGGTTCTCCGGTTCCACGCTCATCCCACAAACAGCTGCTACTGTATATGCAACTGCATGCGCTACATCGCGTATCAACGACATGCTCACGTCAATCCATGTTTCCACGCTATCCTCCGACCGAATCGCCCGTGACAGGTCGTCCAGCAATCCAAACATCTGCCGGTTGGCATACTGCTGGTTCGAGAACGCACGGATGGTTGTGGCTCCCTTGATTGACTCTTGATACAGGTCATGGATCTTGATGTTGCTTTTGGACTTTGCCGCGACGAATGCCGTGAGCGGTCTGCTGCTAAGCCGGAAAATATACAGAATCAATCCAAACACCACCACAGTATATCCGAGCATGACTGGATGGAAACTGAAGACAACCCAGATCTCAAACATGAGCTGGATGATGTTCAGTATGGTGTCTGCTACATTCGCTGGGAGCATATTATCCACTTCAATTTGGCCGTCAGTAAATAGTCCAATGATGCGGCCAGCTGGTACAGCTGAGAAGAACTGCAGTGAGGCGCTGGCTACGCTTTGCATTAGCTCCCGGTGTGTCTTGATAAACATCGAACGCCGCCAAATAATCTTGGGCCACAACCTTCCGCCTAACTCGGCCATGCATTCAGCCGTCAGCCAGATCAGGCAAGTAATAAAGTGCACGTACGTCGGGCTGTAGCTGCTAGCCGAGGTGTGCGCGTCAGCATACTCGGTTGAGATTATTGGGATAGGCTTCGATAGCCACAGCTTTGTGTTCTTGGCTACAAAAAATCGACCGACAGCTGCCACAACATGTCCCAGGATGGCCACAATGCCACACCGGCGCACGACATATCGCACTATAGTCACAAGCTGTGAGAATGATTCCCCATGCACCGGTTCATATGCGTCGTTACCTCGGTCACCGTTGCTCGTAGAACTGCCTGCTGGGTAATTTGAATGCGCACTTCTAGGGGGCGTCATTAGCAATGATTCATCTGGAGATTCAGACAAGCGATGCGACTGCGAAGTCAGAGGTACTAGCAGCGATGGAATGCCAGGACCAGGATTCTTGTTAAACCCTGATAGTGTGCGCAGTTCGTTGGACTGCGAGATGAGCGTGCCAAATGGGACTGGGCTGTGGATCTCGCCGTCGATAGCCAGGCTGACCGCATCTGCTTGCGCCAACACATTGACCTCGTTGGAGATGATGATACGCGATGTATGCTTGAGCAGGCCTGTTGCACTCGAGACAACGTTGGCAAACAACCGGCTGCCCACATGCACGTCAACCGCCGAGAAAATGTTGTCGAGCAGATACAGCTCAGCCTTAGCATAGACTGCTCGTGCCAGAGCAATGCGCAGTCGCTGTCCGCCAGACAGTGCGATTCCGTTGTCTCCAACAACCGTCTGGTCGCCATCAGACATCCTGTCAAGGTCGTACTGCAGCTCGCATACGTCGATGACTCTGGCGTACCACTGGGGGTCAAGGTCCCTGCCGAAGGTGACATTGGCGCGAATTGTGCTGTTGCTGAGCCACGGCTCCTGCGACACATATGCGATGCCAGAGGATGGTCGAAGCATCGTGCCGCTGATGTGGTCCATTTCGCCGAGGATCGCTGATAGCAGCGACGATTTGCAGGCGCCGACTTTGCCTGCCACTGCAATCATTTGGCCCGGCTCGCACTTGAAATTGACACGAATAGCGCCTCGGTTTGAGCCTGTGCTGCTGCCTTCTGGTGTGGAAGCTGTCCGCCATCTGAACACTCCCGAGGATATCTCGACTCTGTACTTTTCGTTGGACTCGCCAGCGGTGCGTGTTCCTTGAGTCATCAGGTCATCGGTTCCGTCGAGTAGCAAACTACGGACATGCTCACATGGCAGCTTTGCTGATATCCAGCTATCCCATGCTTTTGGAACATCGAGTAGTAACAAAAATAGCTCCTGTAATATCGCATGTACAAGGACAACATGCTCTGCTGAAATGTGCTCAACACCCGGTAGCCCACCGCTGCTGGGATCAGCTAGTCGGCTAACTACTATACTGTAGATAAGCAACGAGATAACAGGACCGCTCTGAAAGCAGGTGGTATATACCACCTTCAACAGCTCGTCCATAACGGTAGAAGAGATGGCTGAACCGAGCTCGTTTCCTTCGCGTATTGTCTGTATCTGCCGGACAAGATACCTTTCCCACCCGAGCATACGCAAAGGAACAATATTCTCAATGAGTTGCGTCAATAGTGAGGTACGCCTGCTTGTCGCTGCCCCAGATGCCTTATGGTAGTTGTCGATTTTGTCCAAGATATGCACGCGCACTGGGAAGTACATCAGGATGGTAAATATGCCAACCGCAACAGCCCATCCAACCTGCGTGTAAAACATATAAACCCCAACTACAACACGCAAGGGTAGCCATATGGACTCGCACAACCTGATAATATGCTCGGCGAGAACTTTCGAGCTCTGCATCCCACATAGCTGAAGATTTGTGCCCTCTGCTTCGGCTACCAGCGCAAGATTTGGTCTGTCGATCGCCTGCTTGTGGACGGACGCCGTCAAAACCGTGCGCAGCATCAGTTTGGTTGTGTCGCGGATATCAATCAGGTTCTGTTCTAGGATGGTGCTGCCAATCGACAGGGCATTATACGCGACCAGGATCCCATACACGCTACCAGATCCGTCAGTGTGGAGTTCGTGCAGTAAACGTGACAACAAAAGTGGTTTGGATATTCCACATATGCCAACAAGAAGGCGCAGCCCACTGGTAAGGAAAAGATCCGACGCAAAGGCATGTAGGATGGCGTATACCAGAGATTGCCTTTTGCTACGGAGTTCATGTCGCCAACAGCTCGTCAGCCGAGCCAGCAAGGCTTCTGCCTTGAGGGTGTGCGTTAGTGAGATTTGTCCAATGTCAACCTCTGGTGTCTCGCTCTTGGCGACAAGCAGTCGATAAACCCAGAAATATGTGGCACGCGAAATCAGCGATCCAATTCTCCTCAGCCCGGCATCTTCCAACACACCCCCACTCGGAGTCCCACCCACCATTACTGAGCCCAGTGCACATTGCGTCCAGCACAGGTATACATCAAATATGACCTTAGTGACGTCAATGACTGCCCAGTTTCCATGCCACAACGTGTGTGCCACCCGATAGACCGTCGCCACGAACGAAATTGCCAATAACAGTAGCGAGAATGCGCGAAAATGCAAACCAGCATCTGCAGACACACTGCGTAAATTCTGTGCTGGACTCAGCAGCACATAACCGCGAATCACTGCAAGAGAGGCACTTTGAAATCCAAGGATTATTAGAGCGTCTGCATCAAAGATAGATGCTGACACGATATGTGCAATCTCAGCGACAATAACGAGCATCATCAGCGGTGTACCACGTCCCTAATCATATGTACGTTGATAGATTAGTACATATACCCCCATCCTAAGGTTAGCCATCAGGATGACAACCTAACACGCTTTGATCTGCGATGTTATAGCCTACTTTTACATAGACACGCAGTTAATTGAATCCCATGCGCATATCCTGCATTGAGTGTGAAAAATGAGGCGCCTTCCCCCTCCCCAAACGATGCACAACACTCATGCATGCATACGCTGAGGAAGATGTGTCAAAGCGAGCATTCTCCCATTAGCCCAATCTTTCAGTTGGATGTGCAGACTGTGAACTCCCTTTCGTGTATGTGAAAATCCTGACATCCAGCCGCCAAAAGCCATTCCAAAGTTGTACTTACAATATTGGCTCCCCTTGTATTCGCCCTGGGTTCGCTGACTCCTCGTTTGGATTGCTCTTTCCAGACAATTCTGTGCTTGACGACCATTATAAGTTGTGCACAGAGCGCGATAAAAATCGTCCCGCTATACAAAGAAAACAAGTACAACATGTTCAGTTTCAGCTCGTCGTGTTGTGCTGGAGGAGAATGAAATGTGGCCGTAGAAAGTTTTGGACAGGATGCCGTGTACAGAGCCGTCCTAGCACGATTATAAAACAACAAGGTGGTGACTAGACTGAAGACACCTCCTGGTTTGGTATATGATTAACAAGTGAAAAATGAGGACGCCAAAAAGAGGGACAGTGTTTAGATAGCTGTGTCAAAGATAAGGATGTGCGCAAAGATGGCCACCAACGGTGATTTGCACTGCCGCTAATGCAAGGCCAGGTCTACGATATTAAAAGGCGGAGTTTAAAAAGAATCGCACTAGGGAATTATTTTGCAGAGGAAAACAAGCATCAGCAGTAGTGAGAAGAGAAAAGGGAGTAGGACGGGTTTCTGAGGGGTAACTGCTGTGCGTGCTCCTTGAGCCCTGCTGCCATTATCTGTGCTGTCAGGTGCAAAACAAACGATAGCAGCTTCAACAATTATAGACATAATACAGTCAGATGCGCTCAGACAGAACACAAAACCATAGAGAGCAAGGATGGTGGGGGATCTGCACAATGCCATTGTCTGCAAAATGCAGAGCACGTTTTGGCTGCCAATTCCTCTACCACCTTCTTTTTGGTGAGCAAATGCATGGACAGCGTTTTACAACAAGGACAACACAGCACTGGTTTTTTGCTCTGAAAGACCCATGGTGCATGAAGATTCCCGCTCATTCCAAATTTGGCTCTCACTAACCCCATGGGATGGGAGGTGTATCTCTGACTTGATTGGTTCTGTGACCTACCTTGACCAGTATCCGAGAGAGCTACTCGTGAGAAATGGTGCAGCCCATGATGCCTGGTTTAGGGGCCGAGAATCAGGCGCTGGTAGCAATTGAGGCTGCGATTGTGGATACAGGACGTCGGTATCCATTGTGCACCCCTTTGTCGCCTACCGAATAAGACAGAGCTGGAGCTGGCAAGTGGTTTTCCGACAGCAAATATAATGGCAGAAGCTCTCTTGAACACCCAATACAAGAGAGACAGCGGAATTAAGGAATGGAAAGCTAAAAGGGGAATTCGACGACGGTGGGAGTGTGAGGGAGCTAGATAGGCGTGGCGTATAAATAATTTATAAACAATCTCTGCCCAGGAAAGCTAGAACGAGTTGTGCTGATGGGAGTAGCCGAAATTGAAGAAATTGGGACAGCGACGTGGCAATAGAACGACAGTAGCTAGCGACCAAGACACAAATCTTTACGCTCGGGTGGTAAGTATATATGCAAAGGATGGAAAGAGGCAGAGTAGAGTCTTTACCAGGTATGTTGGGTCAATACCAGGAGGCGCAAGTGGCCACAAGAACGGCTGAGCTTAAATTAAAGACAAAGGCTGGTAGGATGACATGCTTTGAGTCTTGAGTGCTGTACATGAAGTATTCAGCCCCTTGCTTATAATATTGTGCAAAAGTTTAGAAATGCAAAATCAAGACGTCCTGCCAACGAAACTCAAGACTAAGAATAAACTCAGCTCCTAGGTTTATTGTCACCCTGTGTGCTTTTTGATGCACATAAGGGCGGATGCTTTGCATAGTCACAATGTGTGTCATGTGCAGTGCGCCTGTCCACAACTGACAGCGCCAGCTGCCTTTTCCTACTGATAAAGGCCGAATGGACCACCCTATACGCTGGATCAGCAGAACCATCGAGTGCTGACAGGCAATTCACATTTACCGCAGGCCAGTTCTCGTGTGGCCGGCCAATCCCCTTGAAGAATGCCTAAACCCCCACCCGGCAGAGAGGCAAAAGTGGATTCAGCGGAGCTTTTCAGCCCAGACTCTGGCCATGATGGCGGGCAGCATCACTACAAGCCTCTACCATCATTGTTTTGGAAACTGTATTGTGTTGTGGTGTTGTGGATTGGAGCTGTCAGAATGTGCGTCCATCCTCGCCGCTCGCACTCTTAAACCCACGCCCGCAGAAAGCGAGCGAGGGGGCGCAGAGCAGGCAAGATCATCGACGGGTCGAAAAAAGCAGCAGCGTCACGAATGAGCGCTGGACCCACACCTCCCTTTACGGACGGCGCACTGTCGGTCATCTTCCAGCGTGGTTCCAATGTCTATGTTCGATGAACAAAGAACTGTAAATTAACTGTAAACATAATCCTGATGAGAACAGTCGATTAAGGTTTCTCCAAGCTGTGCTGTAGCAGTGCGCAATTTATACCAGCCCGTGGTTGGGGCATTTGAAAGCACAATGATGGGACAAATATGTCACGTGATTAGACTGATTACGGATCATGGTAGCGAGACATCGCCACAACTATCATCTTAGACTGTCACTGTCTAGGTACTGTTTGAACAGAGTCACAGCACTATGATGCAAATCAATAATTTCTCGTGATATAATAGGCTTATATAAATCTTGTATTAATAATATCATATAGGAGGTTATTCATAGTTAACAAAACTAGGTAATTAATATTTATACCTTCTAAAACTTCTTGTTCCTTTGTAATTTAGGTGCTTCTACAAAACCTCCATCAGTATCCTAAAAATTGCAGTTGATGCATAATTAATATGCTTCTACTGAGATATAGACTAGGTCATAAGAAATCAACTAAAATTTTTTAGGATGCTAATAGGGGTTTCATAGAAGCACTCATTATTATTATTATTATTATTATTATTATTATTATTATTATTTAATAGCTATTCTTATAAAATATTTTTAGTTTCTTTAAACCTTCTTACCTGTGAATAACCTCCTATATATAACTATATTGACTATAATACTAGGATGATAGCTGAGCATAGGTCCTATGAAGGGCAGTTTACTAGCTATATTATGGGCTTACCTAGTGGCTATCCTAGGACCTGCCTACCACTATTATGCCCTTTTCAGGTAGTACCTCAGCCATATACTAGTAATTGGCATATATTTATTAGTTAGACTAGGAATATAGGATACTCCTTTAAGCAATCACTAGGTTCAATTTTAGTTGATATCTATATAGGGTATACTTGACTTGGGATACTATATACTTATATAGTTTGTATTATCTTATATATTTCAATATTACTATGATAATATCATTGAAGTATTATTAGTATACTAGTGAGGCTTATTCATAGAAGGTATTAGTTAATATATAATTTTGATATTAGGGATAGCTCTAAAGTTATATAGGGGTGGACAGTATTACTAGGCTATACCTTTTATAATTAGGTCAAACTACTTCTAATAGTGGATCCCAGTTTAGAATAGTAACACTAGTAACATACTATAAGAATTCGATTTTACTTGCTCATTGCATTATGTATAAATTAGCCCTTATTGGGGAATTCACTGATAAACCACCTACCTTTCACCAACATAAAAGTTATATATTTTATTTCCAGTTTATATATATTTACCAGTTTAACCTTCGATATGACTAAGAACCCATCTACTATTGTGGTCCTCAATTTGTCAGGTGTCAGCTTTGACATTTCTGTCCAGCCTGAGCACCATTCTGCTGCAACTGAGCTAGCATCTGCATTCGCCAACAGGCAACCTGAGCCACTTTCCACCAGTATCGTGACCCTGGCCAAATTTATCCTCTACTGCAGTACCAGAAACCCTGATGTCACTATCTCAGTGTTCAAGGGTTTCCATACCATGTATTGCTCAGTGGACAACATCCACGCCATTGTTCAGCAGCACAAACTCTCTGTTGAGCAGTCACGCATCGTCCTGAAGGGCTACTATTCAGCCTGGTCTCTCCTTGAGGCCCGCCAGCAGCTTCCCAATGTTCGTCTCCCGGCACTTTTCTCATCACCTAGTCTCAAGACCATTGCTCAATTTGGCGGTCAGAGTGGAGCACCTAACTTTATGGATGATGCAGCATGGCTGTTTGATGTCTACCATCCGCTTCTTAGTGACTTTGTGGAGTATATGTCACGTTTTCTCCACCAGGAGTCGATAGACCTTGTCCTGGATGGCACTCTTGAGCAGCCACTGGACTTTGTCGGGTGGTTGCTCAAGCCAGAAACTGCGCCAGACACTCACCATCTTCATGCGGCACCGATTGCATTCCCATTCATCGGACTTTTCCAGTTAATGCATCTGGTTGTCTTGTATAAGACACTTAGAATTGACCCGGGCAAGCTGACCACTTTATTCAGAGGTAGTCCTCCCTTGCTCACAGACTACAAATAGGCATACAAGCTTACATGCACTAACTCTTCTCTCTATTTCTTTCAAGTAGGTGCGATTGGCCATAGCATCGGCATTCACATTGCCGCTGCCTTTGCATCAGTAACTGACCAGGACTCCTTGTATGGATGTGCTGAAAAGGCTTTGGGCATTCTCCTAGCCGCAGGCTGGAAAATGCAAGCCGGAATTCCTCTCAGCCATGTTTCCAAGGCAATATTGGACAATGCACTTGAGCATGAGGGACACCCATCCCCTATGGCTGCATTCAGCCTACTGCCTCAGAATAGACTTCAGCAGTTTATCGACGATTTCAACTAAGGGACCAATTCGGCTGACTCCAAGGTCGCATTGGGGCTTATCAATGGACATTCTGTGTTTGCTGTCTCAGGCATTGCTGAGTCTGTTGCCATGTTTGCCAAGTACGTTCGCCAGCAATGTGCACCAGAGGACAGTGACCAGTCGCACTTGCTCTACTCGCAACGCAAGCCCAAAGTGCAGATTACTTATCTGAACACTACCATTCCCTGCCACTGCAGCCTCCTTCGCTCGGCAGCCGAGGAGGCATACAAATATGCTCTACAAAAGGGATGGTTATTTGACTCTGTCAAGCTGCGCCTGCCTGTCAGCTCTAGCACCGATGGCCATGATCTCCGTAGCGATGCCAATCTCACCAAATCGTTGATCGAGAGCATCTGCATCTTGCAAGTGAACTGGCCAGCAGTCATCAGCAAGGCTGATGCTACGCATATTGTCGACTTCAGTCCTGGTACAGTCAGTCCTTTTGCCATGCTGACGCATTCCCTTGTTCAAGGTGCAGGAGTGACTGTGATCCCTGGGGGCTCTCTGGTAGCCGACCCACATGGCCAAGTTGGATCCAGAGCTGATCTCTTCAAGCATGATATTGCCAGTATCTTTTCGGCTACATGCTGGGCTGATCGGTTTGGTCCGAAACTTGCTGCTACAGCGCGCAGTGGTCAGACCCAGATCGACACCTATATGGTTCAAGCGCTTGGGATGCCGCCAGAGATAGTATCGGCAATGGTATCCACTACGGTTGAGTGCATAGAGGCAAATCCTAATGCTGTGCCTGTACACCCCACTATGTCAGTGTCAGCCGATGGTTCAACGCGTATTTATACCGTTCAAGATGCTACTGGGCCCCTACCGAAGCCAAGAGAATGGATTGATGTGCTAGCTGGTCCTACAAACTCTTGGCTACGAGCTCTTTTGCTTGCACCATCAATCATGCTAGGCACTAAACTCATTCCGAATAGCATCCAGCGTGTGCTCCGTCCACGGGTTGGGCAGACAGCCATTGTTACTGAAAGCAACGGAGTCCCGACCTGCCTCGAGATATCTGGGAGCAACAACATATATGGTGTCAGCATCACGATTAATGCTGACTCTGTTATTCGTGTTGAACTGCACCATTATGTCAATGAAGTAGCATGTGACCTGGCTCTACTCTACCGCTACTCTCCAGATATGCCGGCAAGTATGATTGTAGAGATAATGGATGGCCGCAGTGAGCGTCTCTGCAACCAGTTTTTCCTGGTTCACCAAGCGACATCATCGGAGGTAGAGCGGGTCAACATTGACTACAATAATCCACAGATTGTACTAAGGACCAAGCCGTATCTGATCTCGCCAGAAATGGTCCAGAAATTCTGCCATAGCGTTGGGAATGCCATGGTCCAGTATAGGCATCGCCCTGGCCATCAAGCACAGGCACCGATGGACATCCTGTTCAATATCGCCTGGCCGAAAATTGTTTCTATCCTATCGGCACCGCCATATGATGCTGGAATATTGGATCTGGTCCACCTGTCGAACAAGACAGAACTATATAACGACAATATGCTGCACACTGGTGACTCGGTTGAGGCCAAGGTCCAACTTGCATCTGTATACAACACCAGGGCTGGCAGGAAAATGCGCTTTGTAGCAAAATTCTACTGTGGCAGCACCCAAGTAGGTACAGTGTATACTGATGCTCTGGTTCGCAAGAATCCAGTTCTGCCACATCAGCAGTTCCGCAATACCACCGAGCATATGTACCGGTGTATGTACAAATCTGTCGATGACGTTGCTGTGCTCAACTCGAAACCCTGGTTTGTATGCAAGGAACCCTCAAAACACCAGGTTGTTTCAGGGTCGGTTTTGGAGTTTGAACTGGAATCCTCATATCGTTACCGGACAGACGTCATGTACTCGCATGTTGCTAGCACCGGGCCAGTGTACCTGGTACAGCCAAATAACAAGCGGCTGCTCATTGCGCATGTTGACTACGAAGATGCTGAGGTTGCTGGGAGTTCGGTGGTTGAGTATCTTGAAAACAACTCTGCGTCGCTCAGCGAGAGCTGCATGTTCGACACAGGTGGCTACAGTATCACTGCACCCGAGGGTGATTTGGGTATGTCAGTAACTGCACCAACAGATAACTGGGTATATGCACGTGCATCTGGGGACTACAACACGATCCACACGAATCCATACATCGCTGACTATGTTGGACTACCAGACACGATTGTGCATGGAATGTGGACCTCTGCATCGACCAGAGCACTGGTAGAGAAATACGTTGCTGACAGTATCCCTGAGCGTGTCAGGTCATTTGAAACTGAGTTTACTTGGATGGTCCTCCCAGGCGATCACCTCGAGACCAAGCTAAAGCACATTGGCATGAAGCAAGGCCGCATGCTCATACAGGGTGACACATGTAACCAAAAAGGAAAGGTTGTTATGAAGTCGCTGGCGGAAGTAGAACAGCTAAAAACTGCATGTGAAGTAGATAAGTAAAGTCAAATACCAGGTAGCAGTTCTATGCAGTTTAATTGACGGAGTCAAAAAGATTTCAGTGTTAGCAATTAGCCACAGTGCGCTCCAGAACAGGAGCATAGCGTGCTGCTGGGTCCACTAGCTCGTGCCAGGCTGGATCCAGCGACAAACGAGTACATCTTTTGAGCATGGTTTAGTGGGTACTGATTCATAAAATAAACTACCCACTAAAGTTTTGTGTGAGAAACCAAGTAGTTTTATCGCCAAAACCAGGAAAAAACAAACACAATAATAAAATGAAAGGAAGGCAGAGAATGAGAGATCCACAATCTGGTAATTATCTTTATATCTGCTTTTCGGAACCTCCCGTCAGAAGCTTGGTTGGCTGATTCGGTTGGCTGGTTTAGGCGCTTCAGGGCTTGGTGGTCTAGTAGTATGATTCTCGCTTCGGGTGCGAGAGGTCCCGGGTTCAATTCCCGGCCAAGCCCGTTTTTTGCCCCGGCTTTCATCGCCAACCAGCGGTGACACCCATTACCGCCGCCGACAAAACCTCCTTTTGCTTTGTCTGCGCTTGTCGGGCAGGCGCTTGGGGCAGCCGCGCTTTTGCTCTCTCCTGTCATGGCTCTGAACTTTAATTCCGACATCCACTACACGCCGTACGTCGACGAGTCGGATCTCGACCCAGCCATCAAGCTCATCGAGAGCGGACTGTCCGAACCATACTCGATCTACACGTACCGCTATTTTGTGCAGCAGTGGCCCGAGCTGTGCCTGCTGGCGCGCAACGAGCACGAAAAATGTGTTGGCGTTATCATCTGCAAGCTCGAGCCCCACCGGCGCGGTGCCGACACGTTTTTTGACCCCGGCAAGTCGTCCCTCTTGCGCGGCTACATCGGCATGGTCGCTGTCGACCACGCCTACCGCAAGCGCGGCATCGGCTCCACCCTGGTTCTCAACGCAATCGACATCATGAAGCGCATGGGTGCCGACGAGGTTATCCTCGAGACCGAAACAAAGAACAAGGGCGCGCTCTCCTTGTATGAGGCCGTCGGCTTCGTCAGGGAGAAGCGTCTCTGCAGATACTACATGGACGGCTCGGATGCCTTCAGGCTCAAAATGTGGATCGGCAAGCCAGAGCCACCATTGTCGCCATAAGTATTCAGCGGTACTTCGTCGCCAATATATTTAAATTCGACTGTGAGCTTTTCAGAAATTGCTTTTTTTTTTCAAATAAATCTCGTTTTTCTTCTTCGGAATGGACATTGACATCAGCGACAACGACCTTGGGTTTGAGCAGGAGGTCCTGCGTGAGCCATTTAAACTCAAGGGCTGGCTGCGATACCTCGACCACAAGCGGGACGGACCAGCGCGCACACTGTCGATTATTTACGAGCGTGCAGTGAAGAACCTCCCGGGCTCATACAAGCTTTGGAAGCAGTATCTAGACCATCGGAGTGGCCTTCTGGAGAAACTTAATCCGCTGACAAATGCTGACGAGTACCGTAAAGTGAACTTGTGCTTTGAGCGTGCGCTGCTGCTCTTGCACAAGATGCCACGGCTTTGGATCGATTATGGCAAATTCATGTGTAAGCAAGCAGATCCGACAGCAGCTCGACGTGTGTTTGACCGGGCGCTCAGGGCGCTGCCAGTGACGCAGCACGAGCGGATCTGGCCGATATACTTGAAGTTTGTCAGGCGTGTGGGCGGAGTGACGGCGGATCGTGTGTACGCTAGGTACCTGCAGGTGTGGCCTGAGGAGTCAGAGCTGTGGATTGACTGGTGTGTTGAGCAGCGGCGGTGGCGCGAAGCATGCGTTTGGCTTGTCAGGGTTCTGAATAGCGTCATGTTCCGAAGCCCACGGGGCACGACGCCGTTCCAGTTCTGGAATCAGTTGGCGATGATCATTCGGAATCAGCCTGAGGAGACCAAGGATTTGGATTCGGAAGGAGTTTTGCGCGACGGTATCTCGCGATTCAGCGATCAAGTAGGCGAGCTGTGGACAGCGCTTGCTAGCCATTATATTGCACTGGGCAGGTTCGAGCAGGCGCGAGATATCTACGAGGAGGCGATTCGCAGCGTGGCGACAGTGAGAGACTTCACAATGGTGTTTGACGCCTATGCAGAGTTTGAAGAAGCGGCGATTTCGGCGGAGATGGAGGCAGAAGTCAGAGATGCGTCCAAGAGCGAGAAGGGGTTCCTAGAGATCGCACAAGACCGTCAGATGACGCTTGATCTAAGATTGCTGCGGTTTGAGAGGCTCATGGACCGCAGGCCGTTTTTGGTCAATGATGTGGTGCTCAGACAGAACCAGAACAACGTGCAGGCGTGGCTCAAGCGTGCTCAGCTGTGGGACGCGCGCAAGCAAGCGGTTCAAGGCGAAGAGAAGAAGAGGGCCGAGAAGAAGATCATCGAGACATTCGATAAGGCTGTAGAAACCGTGGTGCCGTACAAGGCATCGGGTGGAACGCTGGCAGAGATCTGGCTTGCGTACGCACGGCATTTTGTCGACAAGCCCTCGGAGATGCGCCGGGTACTTGACCGGGCTGTGGCCGCTCCATACAAAGCTGTGTCTGAGCTGGTGGACGTGTATATTGCGTATGCTGAAGCCGAGCTGGCATGGGACAACCCTGACGGCGCTCTAATGGTGCTTACTCGAGCAACAGCAGTGCCCAAGGCCAGCAAGCCCACGGTCGACTACCGCGACGATAGCCTGCCCGCGCAGCACCGGGTGTTCAAGTCGCTGAAAGTTTGGTCAATGGTTGTCGATCTGGAAGAGAGTCTGGGTACTGTGGAGTCAACTCGGCTCGCGTACGACCGGATGCTGGAGCTCAAGATTGCAACACCACAGGTGGTGGTCAACTACGCAACGTTCCTACAGGATCACGGGTACTTTGAGGACTCCTTCAAGGTATATGAGCGCGGTATCGATGCATTCGGATACCCGGTAGCCGTGGAGCTTTGGACGATCTACTTGAAAAGGTTTGTGGACCGGTACAGAGGCGACAAGCTGGAGCGTGCACGCGATCTATTCGAGCAGGCACTGGAGAAATGTCCCGAACGGTACGCCAAGCCAATCTTTTTGGCGTTTGGCAAGCTGGAGGAGGACCACGGTCTTGCCAGAAGAGCCCTCAAGGTGTACGAGCGTGCGACGCAGGGTGTGCCTAGGGCTGAGCGGCTGGAGATGTTCCAGTACTATGTGGCCAAGACAGCATCGATGCTGGGTGTACCCGCGACGCGGGCCATCTATGAGCGTGGAATCGAGGAGTTGCCCGACAAGCAGGCGTTGTTGCTGGCCATGGACTTTGCGCAGACCGAGCGGCAACTGGGTGAGATCGATCGCGCCAGGGCCCTGTATGCCTATGCTTCCCAGTTCGCTGATCCAAGAGTGGATCCGGGTCTGTGGACGACGTGGCACGAGTTCGAGGTGCAGCACGGCAACGAGGACACGTTCAAGGAGATGCTGAGGATCAAGCGGTCGGTGCAGGCCAGATTCAACACCGATGCACATAACCTGGCAGCCATGGAGATCGAGCAGAAAAACGAAGCCAAGGCCAAGGAGCAGGCGCAAATGCAGAGACAGGCAGATGCGGCGGTGCCAATTAATAATCCGGACGAGGTCGCCATCGATTTCGATGATGAGGATTTGTAGCGTTGCTGACAATTGCAACAAAATAAAAGTGGCTCGATTTCCGCCGCTTCTCGCCTCCTTGCTTCCTCACACATTTTTTCCCTGTTTCTTTTCACACTACTACAATCGCAAATCCAAATGGCTGGTCGTGAGCTAATTGTCGGTCCAGAGACGCCAGAGAAACCCTACCCTATACTGGCCGAAGGCGAGGTCGTCCGCGGGTTTGGTCGCGGTGGCAAGCAGCTCGGAATTCCCACCGCCAACCTCCCCGAGTCTGTCGTCGAGTCGGCGCTGTCTGAGATCCCCATTGGCGTGTACTATGGCTGGGCAAAGGTCGCCGGCGACTCGGTGCGGCCGATGGTGATGAGCCTGGGCTGGAATCCGTACTTTAAGAACGAGAAGCGGTCGGGCGAGGTTCACATCATGCACAAGTATGACGAGGACTTTTACGGATCTCATCTGAAGATTGCCATTCTGGCTTACATCAGGCCGGAGAAGGACTACGACAGCCTCGACAAGCTCATTGAAGACATTCATGCCGATATCCGTGCTGCTGAGCATTCGCTAAAGCGCGAGGCGCACGAGCGGGTTAGACATGATGCGTTCTTCGACTAGTCGTACCGGGCAAAGATTCGTTTAGCTTTGAGGCATTTTTGCTCATTATGAAATACAAGCTACAATAGACCTGGAGGCATAGTGGGTAGCTTGTATAATGGCGCTTTGGCCTCTGTTTGCCGTCGTCATAGGCAGAGGGCCTGGTAGAGGTGCCTATGCTCTTTGCTCGACTCTAGTGGGCCAAGTTGGTGTTCTTTACAAATAGCAGCACTGTGTCGTCACCCAAAAACCCAGCAGAGATTCTAGTTCGGCCCAGATGCCGCATTCTGTCGATGATGACCAGCTGCCAACTCCCCTCATCCATTCTGCTTCTCTGTATTCGTTTTTCTTTCTATTCATTAGCGTTGTCGTTGGAAAAATGTCCTCACCCCTAGCTTTTGACGACACTCGATATGCTGCTCTGTCGTCGCCTGGCGACCGGGAAATGTTCCTGTTCAAGTGGCTCTCCAATCTAAACGCGCATTTGGAAGCAGGCGCAACAACTGTAAGCATCAATTCGACAAGCATTCCGCGATGCACCCATTCTTTTCAGTGGATCTTGCTAATGAGCCAATTCCTGTAGGAATCGCTGAAGGACTGCCAACGGCGGCTGGAGCAGGTGCTGCTGGAAATAGCCATGGTTCCACCCGCTACCCACACCAAAGCCAGCAACCGCCTCTCCTGGCTTGGCGGCGGCGGCGGGTCGCCGAACCCAGCTGCGAGTAGTGCAAGGCCTGTGATCGTGCAGCAGGTGCCGAAGCCGACACGAGTGATCCGGGATTTGATTGCAAAGTGCCTGGCTCGTTTGTACGAAATCGGGGATATGCGCACACTGGGCGAGACCTTGGACGCAATTCAGGGGGTAATGCAGGCGAAGAAGAAGACAGTGGAGCGCGAGGCACGGCTGGCCGGGTTTGTGTGCGCCAGTGTACTGTTCGAGGCATTGGCAAATAAGGCCGGCTTCCGGTTATTGAGCTGTTTTAACGACTTTGTGGCCATTGCACTCAAGGTTATAAAGACCACCAGCGAGGACATCTCCGTGCGCGTCGAGGCGACTAGGACTCTGAGCAAGCTGCTGCAGGGCGGTGGGAAGACGGCCAAGGACACCCAGGCCAAGGACATCATCAAGTGTGTGCGGCCCAACCTCCAGCACAAGTCGCCACTGCTGGTGCTGGCCACGCTCAACGTGTTCGAGTCGCTTGTGTTCTTTACCACATTTCTGCTGCCCGAGGCCCAGTTTGACGCTGGGTCGTTTATTACATCCTCGTTACAAGATCTGTTGGCGAGCTCTACTCTGGTCATTCGCCGTGCTGCTGCCCGTCTGACGGCTGTCTTGATATCCAGCACAATCACTCTATCTACAGCAACCACGGACACTGCAGCAGAAGCGCCGACTGGCAAGATCGCTGATCCAGCAATCAGGGCAATTGCAAAGTCGGCTGGATACCAGCTCAAGGCAGCATCGGCTAGCACGTCAGTGCGCAACAGCATGGAGGAGAGTGCTCGGGGTGCCAGCAAGTCGCCAGAGCCGTCGCGCCGCATGACCCCGTCGCCTATCGATGCCATGGATCGAAGCAATAGCGATACTGCCGCAAGGGACTCGGCAGGCAGAGGACGCAGGGGCACAGTCAGCATGGTTCGACCGGCTGAGAGCGGGTCAGCGGCTATCCAAAGCACGCGCTCGTCTAACGACTTGACAGCACAGGTCTCCACAGCTGTCAAAGGCGCAGCGGTTGTATCGGCAGCTGTCACTGAGGGGTTTAGCAGCGGCGTGTCGCTCGCCCAGGCCCTTACGTGGCTATCATCGATATTCATTAGGGCTAGCTCGTCGCGAGAACTACGAGCTGGAATCATCGATGCCTATGCTGCTTTGTTTGAGGAGCTTGGCACCAACGTTGTCGAGGCGCACTATGCAGTTATTCTCAACCATATCCTTGTTGATTTGGCATCTGCGACCCAAGTGCCCGGGTCATCAGCAACCGACACACAGACCAGGGCGGCGCGGCCGGGACTGACGCATGCGATTGGAACGCCGTCAAACCTCAACTCCAATGCATTCACAGAGCAGACAGGCGACAACGCAATTGGGGTTATTGGCGCCATCGATGCCCGCGCAGAAGCCGACATTCTGGCAGTACGCACCATGTGCTCCTGGCTGCTTCGTGTTCCAATCGCCCAAGAGCTACTGACTGAGGGCGGCAAGATCAAGGCGGCCCGCGCCATATGGAATACCTGGCTTACTGGCACACTTTCGCCTGACATTCTCGCCATGATTGAAGGCAATTCGCAGACTACCAGTATTGCTGACGTCGCTGCAGCTATGTTCATTTGGAAGCCATCGCCGGGCACGTCGACAGGAGGAAGCGAAGTAGCATTGCTTGTGGCCCTGCGCGAATGGCGCATGCTGGTTGAAGACCTCGGTGAGCTGAGTCAGTCTCTCGACATTTTCCACCCAACCCCGTCCGAGGTCAGCGACAGCTACTACAGCGATGCCAGCAAAAATTCGTGGATGGTCCCGCTGGAGAATTGGCTTGGGTACCCGAACGAGGCGGTTCGTATCAGCGCCGCTGCGTGCTTAGGGTCGTTGATGCGCTATGACCGACTCCATACATCGCGCGTGGTGGCAACACTGGTGTCGCGGTTCCAACAGTTCTGCGCGCATTGCACCGCGCACGGAAACCCGTCGATTGACGCCATGAAGCGCTGTATCGGATACGCATACGGAATTGCAGCAGTAATCAGCGTCAATGCTGCGCTGAAGGATTCGCATGCGTCGCTGTTGTCGGTTCCGCTTGATCTGGTAGAGTGGATCCACAGCATTGCGCTGCGGCTTCTCAATGCTGCCTATCGACGTCTCGAGCCCGAGATCATTGATTCAGACAACAGCGGCACTAAGGTGGTAGCTGGTGTCAGCAGCGCCGATCCAGCAAACATCAGTATGTCACTTGGCACTGCGCCACTACAGGGCAGAGATCAAGAGGCAGTGATGCGGCGGCAGTCGCTGTCCAGATCACGACCCCGCCGCGCGACCGCACTGTTGAACATGCGTATGACTGCCGGCTGGGTGCTGCTGACCGGATTGACCAGCCTCGGCACAGACTTTATTGCAAACAGGGCGCGGTCGGATTGGCTTCCACTGTGGACCTTGGCAATGCCGCAGCCCGACAGCGTCGGATCGAGCGGATTTGTCACGTCCGACATGCCGTGGCATGTACGCGCACATCAGCTGCAGTCCCGCGTCATGGCATTATCGCATCTCCTGGCCTACCGCCGAGTGGCAAACGGTGGACTAGACGATGCAGAGATTAGGCAGCTGCTGACCTGCCTGCGGTTCACGCTCATGTTTGCCGATAATGCGCTTGATGCCCCGCCTCCGCCGTCGACAAATCGGACTCCTGGGACCAGGCACCTTTCAGGGACGTCCCGGTCGTACGATATAACTGATCCAGCCCGGCCATCGTGGCAGTTGCCGACACAGACGTCAATCCTGACTAGCCACATGCAGATCCGTGACCGGGTCATAGAGTGCCTGCAGACCTTCGACGAGCCCGGCGTGCTGTCATCGCTGACACCGGTAATTACGCGGCTGGTCGAGTCGGTGCTTGCCAGCTCAGACAACATGTATGAAATCTATGGCGACCAAATTGGCTCTGCAATTTCAAGTGTTGCGAGGCAGCATGCTGTTCGGCGGGACCTCATGTCACCACGGCCCGCTGGTCAGCAGTTACAATCACCACAAACAGCCCACCAGTCGCAGGGGAACAGCGGCGGGACAAATGCAGCCTATTCATGTCAGCGTGGTTTCCGCAGCGGTCCCTGGGGCTATGAAGCGGAGACTGGTGTAACTACATTGCTGCGCAGCGTTGTAGCCCGGAGCGGCGGTGCGACAGACATGTCCTCGGATCAGCAGTCGAGTGCCAGCATGCCAATGGCCAGTGGTGTGGCTGCTGGCGATGATTTTGCCAGCACACATATGCGTGCGGCAGAGTTCGACTGGCTGTTGACGCTGTGTCCAGTGCCCGCCAAGTTCCTAGCAAAGCAGCCGATTTCGACCATTGGAAATATCGGAGCTTTGTTAGCAGAATCGCCGGCATCGTTCATACTGTGCCAGCAGCCGGCGTCACCGTACACCAAGCTGGTTGACGATGCCATCCAGCTCTTCGGCCACCTGTTCCCAACTCTTTCGGAGAACGCGCAGCTGACAATCCTCGACGGTCTGGTAATGCGTCTGAACCAGCTGCCGTTCAATTCGCACCGGTATCTTGCGGTTCTGACAAACATCCTGTCTGCACTTTATGCAGCAATGCAAGGCGGTGTATTGGTGCGCCAGGGCCTTATTAGGCTCGCGAAAAATAGGCCTTGCGACGCAGCAGTTTGAGATTGCGCCACGTGTGGCCCGGGCAGTAGTTGAAATGACGCGCGCCGCACTTATCTTGCCGTCTCCCGAACACCGTCTACTGGCTGGTGAGATCATTGGGCATTTGGCGACCTTTACCCGGGATGCATCGACATCATATATGCCATACCTGCTCGAGCATCTGACGAACCAGGCAATTCGATCGCGCGATCGCTTTGCGCGTGCTGGCACTGCGGTTGCCCTCGGCTCTCTATACTCACGCGCAGGATCAATTGTGGCCGGTGGGCTATTGCGCCAGGTAGTAGTTTTGCTGCACTCTCTGGCCAGCGACAAGGACCCTATTGTCCATACGTGGGCAATTTCAGCGCTTGCTGAGGCAGCAATGTCCGCAGGTTTCATGTTTGAGCCCCACGCCCGCGACACGTTCCAGATGGCGCTAAAGTTGTTCCTCAGCGACTCGCACGCATTCCCGCTATATGCTTCTGCTCAATGGATCCGTGGCAAGGAGCACTCGAGCAATACAGCCACAGACTGTGCCAGCTACGAGCGAGTGCTGCCGCTCCGGTCGATGATTGACCCAGCTGCGTGGGCCAAGCAGGCCGCGCAGAAACGGCCGGACGGTGCCAAAAACCGCGGTGTGGGCAGTATTGTTGCAACCAGCCGAGATGCGGCAATCACTCACCCCAACAGCACCACTCACCACGGCAGAAGCGGCGACGAGCAGCGCGATGCAATGGCGGCGGCAGGTACTGGCGGCGAGGGCGATTATCAGTATGTGTGTGCGCGCAATGACGTGGATGCCTATGACGCACGGGCCGCGATCGGACACTTGGTCAGTTCGCTCATCCTTGTATTTGGCCCTGAGTTGCAAGTCGACAATGCGACAAGAGACTCGGTGACTACGCTGCTGAGGCAACTGCACCGCGCACTGCCATCAGTTGGCGTTCCTGTGCCAGCGATGGGAACCGGTCTGCAACTGTCGCCGATCGTTGATCCTGATGCGCGCTGGCAGACAGTGGCGGAATTCGTGTTTGCGACCCAGAAGCAGCTGCTGTTCTTCCCCCCAAAGCAGCCAGAGTTTTTGCCATTGCTGGTGCGCCAGACATTGCGGCCGATGCTGCAGACCCGCCGGACCACATACTACGGCTATTCGTCTTGCGTCCACTCGTTCCAGCACGTCGCTGTACTTGCCCTCGACAGCGTGCTGCGTCTCTATGGTGATCGGATCTTTGACTCGTTGGAGTCCAGCCAGGAATATTGGGCTGATTGGGCCATGGACGATATCGTGTGGGAGTCCCTGGCCCTGCACAACACTATACGAGAGCAGATCAGTGTTTCTGGAACTGAGCGCGACTCGACAACACTAATGAATGATCTGCGCAAGCTGGTACATTCGGTTATCGGTCTGATCGTGGACCACGACTACCAGCGCCTTGAGGCATTATGCGCCAAAACCAACGTATGTTTTGACGAGACTGGCGAAAAGGCACAGGCGATTTGCAACATATTGGACCTGGTCGAGACGCTATGCTCTGTGTTCACGAAGCGCGTGGGTGCGGTTCCGACGCTTGGCAGTCGCCGTACTCGCGGAAAAGCCAATTCGGACAGCAAGGGTGCCAAGGTGGACATTACCGAACCAGCTGTGATTGATGACGTGCGGCCATTCAACGCCGAAACGAAGAAGCTGGCAATTGCGGCTATAATCGCGATTCTCGATGTCATTGAGCGAGCCCGTCCCACAGCATCGTCACTGAACCTGCCACGTGGAAGGCGGCACTGGCGCTCGCACCCGCTCATCTCTCTGCTTGCTGACCTGGTGCGTGTCGGCTACATGGCAGCGACTTCGCCAGTGGCAGAGTCTGTAACGCTGTGCTGCCTAGGTCTGCATCTGCTGCAGCGCCTGATTGCGCAGTTCTGCGATGTTGAGGATCCTGAGATGCCCGGCGAAGGCATGCCGATCCTGGCCATCTACCAAGCGCAATTGAACTCTGCGTTTATGCCCGCGCTCAGCAGTGCTGTTGTCGTTGACGCAGGTGTCGCATACAGGAGGCCGTCTATTCTGAAGCAGGCGGCCATGGGCACCGCAGCTGCATATGTCGTCTCCGGCCTGATCACTGACCGTGGGTCTCTAGTGCGGATTGTACGCTTACTTGCTCCCCAGGCTGTGCTCCGATCGTCGGCACCGGGGACACCGGGAGCAAAGCACAGGTTTGACGCCAGCAACGATCCCTTGGACACGAGTACGCCGCAGATGCACATTATCACCAAGCTTTCGATGCTGCGTACCTGGTCGGTGATTTTGGAGCATGCGGTCAAAACGCGCAGCGACAGTCTTCTCGATATTGTGCAGCTGCACATGCCTGTACTGAGCACCATGTGGCTAGACGCAGTCCGCGACACAGCTGTGATCGGTGTCAAACCCCGCGACATACTTGATGAGCTGGGCACGCTCAGCCAGCTCTCCAATACCCGTGTGGGCAAGGTTGCTCCTGATGTTGGTCTCGGGCTGAGTCTCGGGCTGGAGTCGACATACCTTGGACTGGTGAACAAATCGCTCAATGTCTGGTACCGGTACCATTTGCCGCTGTTCTTGAGTTCCCTGTCTATGCTATTAAGCCCAGCGGCCAACGGGAGAGGCAGCCACAAGGTTGTCAGTGTGCTGAAATCCGGGTACGATGAGCTCCTTGGACACTTGCAGAACACACTCCCCATCTGCATCCCCAACATCTCAAACCTCCAGCTGCCCTCACAGTCGTCTGTTCTTCTACTCGGGTTTGTGTTGCAGGAAATCTCGCGACTTTCCGAACTGTCGTTGCGAACCACATTCACCGAACTGCCTCCAGATGACCAGATCGGTAACCTGTTGATTCAGCCGATTGTTAACAAGCTGGTTGTGGGCGCACTGGGCATTGGTGGTTCAGACCGGAGCTACCAAGGCGACAGCGAAAGCGAACGAATCGCAAGTCTGGTACAAGCAGGTATTGCTGTGTTTGGACCAACATCGCTGACATCGAATACTGGTGTGAAATGGACATCCGATATCCGCTTGCTCTCGTCGCTGCTATCCGCTCTAAGCGCACTTTTGCAGCAGTCAGGCGACCTCAAGTTTGCGGCACTGTTTGCAGCAACTGCTACAGCAGACAAAGCCGCACAGATGTCGTGGCTGGTCGATGACATTTGGAAGCGGGCGGTGTCGATTCCTTTGCAGCCCCTGTTCATATCGACTGAATGTGGAGATGGATCGCTCGATGAGCAGGATGCTAATCCGGCTGCCAAGCAGCAATGTGAAAACCGCCAGATGCGAGTTGATGTTGCTGCGAAAGCGCTGGATGCCGCACGATCTCTACTCGGATGTCTGCGTGCGACCAAGCAGCATGGAAGCAGGCACAGCAGCCTAGCACTCTGGCTGTTTGATGGATCCGCTGGTGTCGAACCCGACTCATGCATAGGCTTGCTTGGGCTGTCCGGTTTTGGCAACTCGGTTCTGGCCGACATGATTGGCGTGTGGAAATTTGCGCAGAGGCCAGGCAGTCGGTGCTATTGAAGGAGGCGCTGGCTCCATGATGCTTGCTTCACAATCACTGGCTGTTATCGCTGACATTCTGGCTGAGGCTATCAGCTATAAAATGACAGAATCGGGTGAGTTCCAAAAGTCAGTAGTGTCGCTTTGGCTCAGGCTGTGGCAGAAATCTGTACTTGCTGCTGGCACACCGCATGTGGCATTCGCGAGCCTTCGTGACTTTGTTGCATGCGTTATGGACAGGTGCCCCACAGACAATGAAGAGCCTGCTGGTGATATCCTTACCGGGAGCTCCCTCGACAAGAGCCTAGGTCGCAGCGATGCAGTCCAAGTTATTACGGCAGAAGTCAGCAGTGTGTTGCTGGAGTTGCTTGAGTCGACTGAGACTGATGTCTCTGCCAGATCGCTAGCAGTTGCCGCCATGCTCCTCGCCCACGATCCATCGGAGTCCGGCCATATCGTTGTTTCCAGCAGTGTGGCTGCCAAGTTCGTGTCTGCGTTCATTGCACAGCTGTCCAGCCACGCACTTACTGGTGCCCTCGATGTGCCAGGACATATGGCAGCGCCTAGCAAGAGCACTTTTGTTAGCTCCCCTGCTGTACAGTCGCATATGCCCATGCTTGCCAAGGGCGCAATTCCTCGGCTAGCTGCTATTGTCGCCCGGAATCTACCCAGCCCACCGACGATTCGCTGGTGATCGACAAGGCTCTGACAGCGTTGGTGATGTTTGCCGCTTACGAGTACACTGAGCCACAGGTATCCGAGTCTGTCATTTCGACAGTACTAATGCTGCTGCTTTCCATGCTGCCAGACAACTGCAGCCGGCTCAATCTTACTCAAATCAAGATCACCGAGTCGATTCTGAGCCTTGCTGCAGCATCGCCAGCCTCATTCAAGTCGATTCTGCTCAAAATATCGGCCACACAGCTGGTAGCAAAGCGCAGGCTCGAGGCAGCTATCAGATCCCGCGCTGAGCGTAGCCAGGGCAGCGACGAAAATGACGAACACGTTGAGAGCAACAACAACGATCTGTCTGGTGGAGCGACGCCCGCGCTATCACCTGATGACAAGGCGGTGCCTAGTCGGATTGCGCTCAAGAGCGACTTTGCTGGGTTTTAACAGTGGCTATACTATGTTCCATTATTGAAATACTAGTTATTCTGCACAAGCAGCATTCCAATGTATCATGACCTATTATCAGATACCACTGACCATGCTACCCGAAAGGGGCATGCTGGTGGCAGACGGATCCCAGCACAGCCACCAGACGGGACTATAAATACGGGAAACTAGACCGGCCATCGTATGATCCGACCCACGGCCTGCAGCTGGGCCATCGCTGTTGTCTGAACTACCATTCCCAGTCATCTACTATGCCGACGTTAGGGACGGATGCACCGGGTGCACAGCAGTACGAATGCCTTTGAGCTTGCGCGAGATCGAGACATTATGCTAAGGGAGTAATGCCATTGTTTGCAGCTGAATCAGGTCGCCCACCTTTACGTGTCTAGTACAAGGAGGTGTGGTCATCAGTCATAATATTGACATCGATGCCCTGCCCCAGCCAGCACGCAACAATCACCCTCTATTCAGACAAGTTATTCTGTACCAGCAGTATCCCCGCACACCATCGACCATTGCAGATGTAGCAAGTTTCTCATCAGGAGGCTGGTGGGAACATTGGGCATTTTCTCTCCTCAGCAAGTATTTGATGGATCAGCCTTCTCTACTGATTGCTTCACTAGCTGCGCAAAATGGCTCTCTGGGTCATGGCGCAGGTTGTCTGGGGTTCCGGACTCACAGATCTTGCCATCCTCGACCACCAGGACCATGTCGCTGCCCAGCGCATTCTCCACCCGGTGTGCAATCGAGATGACAGTGCAGCCAGCAAACTCGTCGCGGATCAGCTGGTGTAGGAGATTGCTGGTCCCACTATCAATGGCTGCGGTGGACTCATCCAGCACAAGGACCTTTGGGCGCTTCAGTAGTGCCCGTGCCAGGCATATCTGCTGCTGTTGACCAACGCTCCATCCGCTGCCGTTCGGAAGCACGGGACTGTCAAGAGCAACGTCCGACATGCCGACTGCTATCAGACAGCGTTGGATCTCTGAGTCAGCGTGCTTTCTGAACGGATCCAGGTTGTCGCGCACAGTGCCAGTCAACAGAACCGATGTCTGCGGCACGACTCCCAGACGGCTGCGCAGAGCGTGTAAGTCAACAGTGCCAATGTCGACGCCATCGATCAGGATTCTGCCCTCACTGGGCTTGAGCAAGCCAAACAGCGCCATGGCAATGCTCGTCTTGCCCGCCCCCGTCCGTCCAACAACACTGACATGCTGCCCAGGCCTGATAGTGAACGACATCCCGCTGAGCGCACGCTTGCCATCGACATTGTACCGCGCAGTCACATTGTCAAATACAACCTGCCCCCTCGCTGGCCAACCCTCACCCACTGGCTCGCACTTTGCTGCATCTGACTGCTCCGTCTTTAGCCTGCTGTAGTGAATGTAGCGCGCAGACTTTGAAAAACCAGTGCGAATCGTGTAACTTTTGTGCGTTAAGTGCTGGAAGCGCGCCATCTGCAGCGATGTGACCAGCCGGATGGCAACCAGGTGTGAGTGGTTTATTCTTGCACCGCTGCTGATACCCAGCACAGTGACTATGTATGCAACATTGAGTGCCATCTCGCGCAGCACCGAGATACTCAGGTCAACCCAGGTGTAAATGAATTCCTCTGACCGCTTAACACACGAATAGTCATCCATACGCTGGAACATCAGCTCATTGGCATACTGGTGGTTTGAAAACGCTCGGATCGTGGCTGCTCCATCAAGCGACTGCTGGTACTGCTCCTGGATCTTGGGCTCTGTCTTAGCTATGGCGTCGTTGAAGTTGTCGAGCGGCGTACGGCTGACCTTGATGATGAAGATCATGGCAGCGAGAAGAACCACCACGGCTGCAGGCATTATCGGGTGGAAACCAAAGACAACCCAGGTCTCAAACAGAAGTTGGATTGAGTGTTTCATGAAATCGCCCACTAGCTCGGGCAGATCCTCGTCAATAACCTTTTGGCCATCGGTAAACAGCCCAATAATGCGACCAGTGGGCACGGAAGAAAAGAACTGCAGCGATGCGTGTGTGACGCTGTAAAGCAGATCGCGGTGGGCCTTGACAAACATAGAGCGTCGCCACACAACGTTGGGCCACCAGTATCCTCCAAACTCGACCATGGTTAGAGCTCCCAGCCAGACCAAGCTGACACCAAAGTGCTCAGTTGTTGGATTGCGCAAAATCGACATCCAGGATACCGCATCTGCATCATCATCGCTGCCTGCACGGGGGAGGAAGACTGGAAAGGGCTTAGCCAACCACTGCTGCGAGTCTTGAGCGATGAAAAAGTGGGCAGTCACAGTCACAAGCTGGCAGAGAATGAGCGCTACACCACATTTGCGAAGCATGTAGCGTGCAGGAATCAAAAACTTATCCATGGCGCTTGCGAACTTGGGCTCATAGCCATCGTGCTCTCGTATATTCGGCTTGTCTCCACTCGTTCTGTCTTTGGTATGGAGATGAGCACCCATGATTTGAGAGTTGTCTGGTAGTAACTCCAAAGATGAAGCAGGTGATAGGTCTGGCAGTGGCGAAGTGCTTTCTCTAAATCCTCTTCCGAATTCAACTAATTTGCGCAGTTCGTTGGACTGCGAGATGAGCGTGCCAAATGGGACTGGACTGTGGATCTCGCCGTCGATAGCCAGGCTGACCGCATCTGCTCGCGCCAACACATTGACCTCGTTGGAGATGATGATACGCGATGTATGCTTGAGCAGGCCTGTTGCACTCGAGACAACGTTGGCAAACAGCCGGCTGCCCACATGCACGTCAACCGCTGAGAAAATGTTGTCGAGCAGATACAGCTCAGCCTTAGCATAGACTGCTCGTGCCAGAGCAATGCGCAGTCGCTGTCCGCCAGACAGTGCGATTCCGTTGTCTCCAACAACCGTCTGGTCGCCATCAGACATCCTGTCAAGGTCGTACTGCAGCTCGCATACGTCGATGACTCTGGCGTACCACTGGGGGTCAAGGTCCCTGCCGAAAGGTGACATTGGCGCGAATTGTGCTGTTGCTGAGCCACGGCTCCTGCGACACATATGCGATGCCAGAGGATGGTCGAAGCATCGTGCCGCTGATGTGGTCCATTTCGCCGAGGATCGCTGATAGCAGCGACGATTTGCAGGCGCCGACTTTGCCTGCCACTGCAATCATTTGGCCCGGCTCGCACTTGAAATTGACACGAATAGCGCCTCGGTTTGAGCCTGTGCTGCTGCCTTCTGGTGTGGAAGCTGTCCGCCATCTGAACACTCCCGAGGATATCTCGACTCTGTACTTTTCGTTGGACTCGCCAGCGGTGTGTGTCCCTTGAGTCTCCAGATCACCAGTTCCGTCAAGAAGTAGCTTATAAATATACTCGTATGGTAGTTTTGCCGCCCACATTTCATCGAGGATCAATGGGACGTCCTGTATCAGATATACTAGTTCGCGCAGCACCGCCTGAACAACATACACGCGCTCAGCTGTAATATGCCCTATGCTCAGCAGTCTGTCGGCACCCGAACCTGCCAGCCCGCTGGCAACCATGCAGCAAATGAACAATGAGGTCGCAGGAATGCCCGAAGTATTGATAACACGCGAAGCCCAGTCCACAGAACATGCAATGCCGTATTGCATGGTAAAAGCGAGCTCCCCGCCTTCACGCACCGCCTGAATCTGCTGTGCTAAGTGTGACTCCCAGCCGAGCATACGCAATGGAACAACATTCTCAATGAGTTGCGTCAACAGCTCTACGCGCTTACTTAGCATTGCCTGTGCATTTTTGTATGCTGAATTACGCCAGCGGAAGACGCGGTTGCGCAAGGGGAAGTACATGGCGATGACGATAATGCCAGCAGCCAATGCCCAGCCAACCTGAAGGTAGAACACATAGAGCGTACATAAAATCCGCACCGGCAGCCATAGGAGCTCACACATGCAGAAAATATGCGTTGCTAGGTCTTTTGTGCTCTGGAGGCCACATGAATACAAATCTGTACCGTTGCTGGCGGCTACAGCAGCGAGCCCTGGGCGGCGCAGCGCCTGGCAGTGCACCATTGCGGTCAGCGCAGTACGCAACCTTAGCGTCACACGGTCCTTCATGTCAATCGAATTCTGCTGCAACAGCGTGCCCACAATCGACATTGTCATGGATAGTGCCAGGGTCCAGTACGCACCATCAATATCCGGCGTACTCAGCTGGCGCATCAGGTGCGAGGTAACCAAGGGCGTTGCCAGCGCGTGTGCGCTTAAGCAGAAAACACAGGGAGCTGACCAGAAAGGCATCCAAGGCAAATACCCACAGAATTGCCATGGCCAGCGACCGCCGCCCGCTGGCAAGCTCATCCTGCCAGTGCTTTTGGAGCTGCGTAAATGTGTTTTCCACCTGGAGGTGCGCTGGCAGCGCTACTGGGGTTGCCTGGCGTATCAGTGCTCACCAGCCGGCGGAGCACCCAGCTGTACGTGACAAGTGACAGGAATGACTCGCACTCCTCAGGACAGTACTCGCGCCCATTGTTGTCCGGCCGTTCCTGCGCACTGTGGGACAGCTGGTGCTGCATCCAGCACAGCCATAGGTCGAACGCAAGGCGAGCTGCAGCAGATACGGGCTTGACACCTTCCGTTTTCAGCAAGTGCATGGCTCGGTATGCCGATGCTGCCAGCGAGAATGCTATCAGCGAGCGCACAGCAAGGTGAGAGGACAGCACACTGCCTGACATTCCAGGTTGGAAGTTCCTGCGTGCTGGGAGAATGCCTTGGATGCAGAGCAGCATGATGACGCCAACTCGGATGACGATGGGGATTGTCGCGGCCAGATTTGGTGTCAGAGCCAGCCACGCATAGGCAATCTCCGCAACGACAGCAGACGACATTGTGAAAACCAGCAGTTGCTACAGAGAGTCACCGCATGTATGAGCAATGACGAAAAGGAGAAGAAAATGTTGGTGAGCACCAGCTGTGGTACCCGTCGATATATGCTTTCTTAGGATGCCATTACTTGCCATTGCGCCGTGGTTCAATTGTCTGGTCTGCCACGAATCTTGCCGGTGCGGAGCTGAGAAGCACACGGGACTCCAATCGCCATATGCGGCACTGCTTCAATGAGATAATTCATAAGATTTGCTGTGAGAGACGAGAAAAGGCTGTGGGCAGGAGAGGCAGCGAGAACGAGTAGCGCAATTGTGGTGAAAAGGTGAGAGATACGGAGAAAGGAAGATATCTTATAAATAGAATTGCGTGTAGAGTGCTTCGGGGAGCGAAGGACAAGAACCATTCCAGGCGCAGCGCTTTTTTGCAGAAAAAGGGTACGGCCTGCTATTCATACAACAGGAAAGCAGAAAGCAGAGAAATAAGAGGGCAATAGGTGGGCAGCCGGGTGCATGCTAATACAGGCGGATTGCACCGACAAAGTGTCAGAAGGGTAGGGACCGAGCACAAGAATCGGGTGTGCCCAAGCGTACCTTGTCTGCTACTCGGGTTCCGGTGTCATAAGAAATACCCGTCATAGGTGGGGATAGAAACAAGGGCAACAAGAGATGTGTCCAAGACCCCAAAAGGGAGACAAGCTGTGCCGCCATCATTTAAGGCATGTGCAATTTACCTCCGTCGAAAGTGTACAGCATGGACGGCGTGACCGGCACGCGAAAAAAAATCCATGCCGCAATCATGCTGGTCATGCTGCTTCTCTGATAGAGGAGCCAGCCTGTTTGCTGTATCCATACGAACTGCTTTGATAAATTGAGATAAAAAAAACCATTACCCTCAAGAAAGAGGGGCAGCAGCAAAAAGTGGGCTTGGCCGGGAATTGAACCCGGGACCTCTCGCACCCGAAGCGAGAATCATACTACTAGACCACCAAGCCCGAGGCGCTTAAACCAGATAATCTGATTGGTCGATCAACCTTCTGGCCGACGAGTTTAGAAAAAGCGTAATATGGAGGGTAGAGCTGCATATTATCAAGTTTACGTTCTTCTGTTGGGGATGATAGCGCACTATCCGTGGTAACAGATCCATTTCCATCAAAATACCACAAATTGGTGATATCTCTGCCAATGTAAGCTGACATTAAAACCATTTGCTGCTGAAACCCCTTGTGCAAATATATACTATTTCATACAAGAATTGCTCTGCTCGCGATGCGAGCTCGGCTGCTAGTCAGCATGAGTTGACACGTCGATAAGGGCATCACGGCGAACCGATCATTTGAACGTGTCGGATGGCTGCTGGTGCAATGTCGATCATGGACATCTCCCACCTTGGTGGCCTGCTCAGCGCAGGCGCTTCAGCGCTGGTTCGCTGCTGCTGGCAGCAGAATCGCCTGCTGCTGCACGCCTCTTGCGCGACCTCTTTGTTGCAGGGGTGGTGCCAGAAGCATTGGCAGCAATGGCCGTAGAACAACGGAACCGTTCAGGAATACTGCCTGAATCACAGAGTGACTGGAAAATGAGCCTGAAGTTTAGAACTGCTGCGAGATCGCGGTTCAAGAGTCGAGACGAATAGGCCCGCCTGTATTATGTCATGGCCCGCTTACATGACTCGCTTGTACAGCGGAGAAGGCCATGGCACTTCACAGTTGGGTTCTTCGACCTCTGGTAGGGCCGCGGGTTGGGAACATGCCGGAATGTCTGCAGCGATTTTTCGCAGCAGAACGGGCACACCGACGATGTCCGGAATTCGTCGATCAGATAAACTTCAAAGCCATGGTGCTTGAACTTGTCGCGCCATCCCTTGCCACGAATCGGCGCATGATGTCGGGCCATCGGCGCACTCAAATTGCCCATGATCAGCACTGGGTCTGGACCGAACCTGCTCCGGAGTTTTGCGGCAAGCCTGTGGTCTGCACGGGCCTGGTTCATGAATGAATCAAGGCGCAGCTTGCGGTGAAGCGGGTACACCTTGGGACTGGTACTGACACCTGGATGGGCTTTCCAGCGCCTTTGGTGCTGCTTGTTTGACTTAGTGGGCTGCTGCTCTGGTAACCTTCGCGCTGTCATCGTGCTGGCATAAAACGGTGCTAGGACACACCGCACCGATGCACGGGCAGCAACGTAGGCACGGAATTTTGCTGGGCTAAGGGTCCGGCAGCAGTGCTTGGAAAGCTCTGCCTCTGCTCTGCGGATAGCATCTTCTGGGACTTGATCCTTTGTATCCCAACGAATCCTGTCATAGTGGCGCAGCTTGAGCTCCTTATTGCGCTGCTGCCGTGTGTAGCGGTAGAGCATTTTTTTCACCCTCTTTCCCACTGCTGCTATTTTCGTGCAACATATACAGTAAATCGCCCCGACCTGGATCGATGAATACACAGCGGCCTTTCAGATTCTGCAGCTCTGGCTATGGGATCTGGTGGATATAGCGACAGTCAGCTATAGTATTGCCTCCCACGGCACCACCTCCTGCAACATCGCCTGTAGCATCGCCTCCCACAGCATCGCCTCCTGCACCATCAGCATCTACTGCACCATCAGCCTTGAATATCTTGTCTTGTAGCAAAATGCATATCGTTACACCATCTGTTGTTGCCATTCCGTGGAATTTTCTATCACCATGCGCCTTAAATGGCTTTGATGTTAGATCTGCGACCCGGCCCCACACATCCCACACAGGTTGTGTGATCCCTTGGACCGGGTCGTGTGCACAGACTGGGGGTGCTGATGCATATGCATTGTTAAGTGCTGCAACAGTGTCTGCTGCTGCTGCCGATGCAGCAGCAAGTGAATCAGCCGCTACTGCTGCAGTTGCTGCAGTGGCCTCTGTTGCATCCGATGGCATCTTCGCTGCTTCGCGTGCAGCCTTCTTGGCCAATTTTTCGCCCTTTTCTGTTGCTTTCCTTGCCTCTGTTGCTGCCCTCTTTGCTGCGTTGATCTTGGTAACCTCCTCACGTGTTTTCGAAACAAACACCTGCTTGATTATTTGCTTGTCTAAGCGCACATGGCCTGGGATCCATGATGTCCGCAGAGGCAAGCATTGGGGGGAGACTTGCCAAGCTGCTCATTTTCGATAAGCTGGCATAGGCGAATGTATGCACGCAGATGTTTAAGTGGATTTACCTTGGCATCATAGTATCGGCTGTCTTTGGCGAATCTGTACTTGGCATCATAGGCATTAAGGACTGGTGCCAGCTTGTTGTAGATTGCAAGCACCGGTGGGGTGAGCACACTGAGATCAGGGTGCCTAGAGGCAATTGCCTGGCGGAGCTTCTGTGCAGGTGTATAAATACACACTTGACATGTATTATTGAACTCTGCCTTGGACACATTGCCCATTGTACTGTGCAGTGTGTTTTTGCGGCTACGAATATCAATCAATTTGGCCAGAGTCCGCTGTAGGCAAGTGCCATAGTGCAACACAATGTTGTTCTTGTATGCTGTCATCAGCTCGGTATCCATGTATGTTGCTACTTGATTCATTTCACGTACACCATGTAGCTCGATATCGCCATTATGCAATAGATAATCATAAATATGGTATCTAACTACATCACCGAAATCTGCGGTTAACAGTTCTGACTTGTCCTTCCGGTTGACAAAATCCTTGGCAGATATGACAGTCTTCGCCTTCAGGTTGCGATAAATGAATAAATAAATAAAACGAAAAAAACCCTTTTTCACAAATGTTGCTGGGTCAAAAGCATCCCCGTCAGCTAGCTGATGGAGTAGTATCCATCGTGCAAGCATGTATGTATGCTCTTTGATGATATTGACGCTGTGTACAAATTGCTCTAGGCGGGGCAACATAGAATCACGGAAGCCAATACCACCAAGTGATGTCTTTATGACAGTAGTGCTGCGGGTAATATTCATTTGAGAAATTCAATAGGCAAAGTAAGAAGAGAAATGGTGCTGTTCAGTTTTGCTTTATTGCGTATGCATAGCATTAAGAACTTTTTATTAAAAATGATCTGGCTTGCATGGTTCTTGGGGCCCTTAGCACTGATACAGTCTCTTGAATCAGTCTATACAGACTGGGTCCATTGTGGCCCAAATACTACTGCTTACGCATGTTCATAAGACAAATTAATTTATAAAATAAACCCACAAATATTGTATGGCCACTAGAAGAGCTATATGGCCTTATTCAATAGGTGCTCTTAAATAAATATCCTAAGAGTGCTGCGCAGCCGGTGATGACCACCATGATGACGCCATGGAAGTTATCAGGCCGACCGACAAGAGCAGCTCTTGCGCTGAACCAATGGAAATATCTAGTGGAGACCTGTGGCCACTACAATAACAACTTGTCGCCCTGGTTTCACCGATGAGGTCAGATGCCGCACAAGATCAAAAGGAGTTTACAGAGCAAGTCACCCAAACTCGCTTTGAGATATAAAAGAGTTTTATCTTTTAACCAACTAATAAGGTTCTAGCGGACGGTCGGACACTTTTTAGACTATAAAATCTTATATATAGGTAAAAGATACTTGGATGTTTGTCAAAGCAACAGCACTAACAGAACCTCTACCTATTAAGCAAGTTGACACTGGCTGCTGTTGCATAAAGATGACTTCTCCAAGAGCAATCCAGTGAATAGTCGATGCCAGAATTATTTGCCCTTATGAGAAGAATCCTCATCGTCATAGAATATTTGGGTCTCCCTGGCGTTTGAGAAAATGCGTTTGGTCTGGTCGTAGAGCAGCTGTGCATGAGCCATATTTTTGTTCTATACATCCATTCATGGACCACGAGTGCCACCAATGAATAATTCGATGTTAATAACTCTGGGGAGAACTGGGTTCTCGACTGGTGGTATCCTCGGCGAATCAGCCCTACCTCTGAAGATGTTCTTCAGAGCATTTATGAAGATGGACAGCTTTTGTTCAGTTTATATGTCCATATTTTACTGTTATATAATCTCGCTCATCCGAACCCATTGCTCTTTTTGTACCACTGGTAGCTATCGCAGCAGCTAACAGTATGGTACTATACTTCGTAGCCCAAATTACTCAAAGCTATGTCCCTCCATCCACGGAAAGCGGGGAGCAGGGCATATGTGAGTGGTTTAAAATAGGGGCATGGAAAGTAAATATCTTTAGGCCTGCAACATATATTGTCAACTATCTTGTCGAGAATGAGCGCAGGCAGGTTTTATGCAATGGGTTCCATAGGAATGATGTTTTAACCTGCAGTAGTTGGGTTGTGAGCGAAGGTACAGAGGAAAATGTGTGGGAAGATTTTAGTTGAAATCTAGCAAGAGATGTCTTGAGAAGGAGTCTGGGGGAGTTAGTCGTTTCGATGTTGTTGTCTCTGGTTATTCTGCAGCAAAGAGCATTAGCGCAACAGGCCGATCTTGTCAATATCTTTTATTTTGCTAATAGGATTCAGAAACCAAAAAGAAACAGCACTTGCATTTTTAGTAGTTGTCAGCGACCCAGCGACGAGCATTGACAAACATGCGGGCCCAGGGTCCTTGCTCCCACGCCATGATCTTGTCGGCAGGGACGTAGGAATTGGCATCAATCCTGACAACGCGCTCGGGATGCGGCATCATGGCCAACACCCTACCATCCTTGGTGAGTACGCCAGCTAGGTTCAAGTCTGCGCCATTCGGGTTCATCGGGTACATGATGCGCTGATCACCGTGATTCGAGCCAGTGCGGTCGACGTACTTGAACGCCTGCAGATTGTCGTTCTGGAACTGCTGGCGGGCGAGGGGGCTGGCGAATTTGGCGCGGCCCTCGCCATGGGCGACCACGATCGGGATCTTGGAGCCCTGGAGTCCATCAAAGAAGACCTTGGCGGACTCTGCACTGGCTACGGGCTCGACCATGACGACACGGCCCTCGTACTGTTCGCTCTCGTTGCGCACGAAATGCGGCCAATCTTCGGTGCCCGGGATGACATCGCGCAGGTTGGACAGCATCTGGCAGCCATTGCAAACGCCCAAGGCGAATGTATTCTGCCGCTCGAAGAACGCCTTGAACTGGAGACGCGCCGCGGGCGACATCAAAATGGACTTGGCCCAGCCGGCGCCAGCACCAAGGACGTCACCGTAGGAGAAGCCACCGACAGCGGCAAGGCCGACAAAGTCGGAAAGCACGGCGGAGCCGTTGAAAATGTCGGTCATGTGGACGTCAACAGCCTCGAAGCCTGCCTGGTGGAAGGCGTAGGCCATTTCGGCATGCGAGTTGACGCCCTGCTCGCGCAGAATGGCCACGCGCGGCCGAGTCTCTGCCAGCGGCACCAGGGAAAGCGTCTGGGCGGGGTCAAAGGTCAGATCGTAGGAGATGCCCGAGTCGTTGTCGTTGGTGATCAGCGAGTACTCTTCGTCGGCGCACTGGGGGTTGTCGCGCAGCCGCTGCATCTTGTAGGAGGTCTCGGCCCACATTGCCCACAGGGCACTGCGCGTGTGCTCGTAGATGGGCATGCCGCCAGCCCGGAACCTAATGGCATCCTTATTGTCGACCTGGTAACCAACAGAGCCGATCTGCTTGACGGGCACGTTAATCATAGCGAACTCGGCAATGACATCGGCAACGTGGGCATTGTTGACCTGGATCACGCAGCCCAGCTCCTCGGTGAACAGCACCTCCATGGCCTCGCGCTCCGAGGCGGCGGCCAGCAGTGGCGCAATGTCTACGTCGATACCCACGTGACCAGCAAAGGCCATCTCGCAGAGGGTCGTGAACAGACCGCCGTCCGACCGGTCGTGGTAGGCCAGAATGTGCGGGCGCAGGAAGCGCAGACAGTTGAAGAACCGCAGCAGTGCGCGGCTGTCCTCGACGTCGGGCACGTGCTGGCCGATCTGATTATACACCTGCGCCAGCGCCGACCCGCCCATGCGGTGCTGGCCAGCGGCCAAATCGACAAACAGCAGAGCCCCAGAGGGCTGCAGCGCAGGCGTCAGGGTCTTGCGGGTATCGATGACGGCGGCAAAGGACGTGATGACGGCGGAGATGGGCGCAGTGACCTTCTTTTTCTCCGAGCTGTCCTGCCACTGCATCTGCATGCTCATCGAATCCTTGCCCACAGGCACTGACACGCCCAGGGCCTGGCACAGTTCACTCAATGCGCGCACGGCACTGTACAGACGCGCGCCTTCGCCTGGGTGGGCGGGCGCGGCCATCCAGTTGGCGCTCAGCTTGACCCACGATAGATCGGGCACGTCAGCAGCGGCGATGTTCATCAGGGACTCGGCTACAGCCATGCGCGAGGCCGCCGCCGCATCCACCAGCGCCAGGGTCGGGCGCTCACCCATGGCCATAGCCTCGCCGGTCCGCACCGACGTCTCGTAGCCACTTGAGGTCACGGCCACGTCGGCCACGGGCACCTGCCAGGGACCAACCATGGGGTCACGTGCCACCAGCCCAGTCACGCACCGATCGCCAATGGTAATCAGGAAGCTCTTGGACGCCACGCTGGGCAAATGCAGAACACGCGCCACAGCATCGGCGACGCGCATGGGGAACGGCAGCTCGGGCAGGTACTGCAGTAGGCTGCCGTCGAACGCATCGTAGGCAGAGACGAGCGAGTCGGCTGTGCGCGACATCTTGGGTGGCTTGCCGAACAGCACATCCATGGGCACGTCGATTGCGTGGCCGCCGAACAGCCGGTCGGAGACGCGCAGGCGCTTCTCCTCAATGGAGGTGCCGACGACGGCGAACGGGCAGCGCTCGCGCACGGCAATAGCCTCGAACACAGGCAGCTGGTCGGGCATGACGGCCAGCACGTAGCGCTCCTGCGACTCATTGCACCAGATCTCCATAGGCGACAGCGACGTGTCGGCGCAGGGCACATCGCGTAGCTCGATCTCGGCGCCGAGCCCCGAGTCGTGGACCAGCTCGGTCAAAGCGTTGCTCAGACCGCCGGCGCCCACGTCATGCACGAAGGCAATCGGGTTGCCGTCGCCCATGCTGGTGCACCCGTCCAGCACCATCTGGCACCGGCGCTCCATCTCGGGGTTGCCGCGCTGCACCGACGCAAAGTCCAGATCCGCCGCCTGCGTACCGGCCGCCACCGACGACGCCGCTCCGCCGCCCAGGCCGATCAGCATCGAGGGACCGCCCAGGACGATCAGCCGGGCGCCTGCAGCGAACGGCTTCTTCAGCATATGGCTGGCGCGCACACTGCCCATGCCGCCGGCAATCATGATTGGCTTGTGGAAGCCGCGCAGCTCGCTGCCCGCCTGCTCCAGGAATGTGCGGAAGTATCCCAGAATGGCTGGGCGCCCGAACTCATTGGCAAAGGCCGCAGCGCCCAGCGGAGCCTCCAGCATGATGTCCAGGGCGCTGGCTACGTGCGCCGGGAACCCCACGTGCTGGGTGGCCTTCTCCCACGGCTGCGCGAACCCCGGAATCTGCAGATTCGACACCGTGTAGCCCGCCAGCCCGCACTTGGGCTTCGATCCGATGCCCACCGCTCCCTCGTCACGGATCTCACCGCCGGTACCCGTGGCTGCGCCCGGGAACGGCGAGATAACCGTCGGGTGGTTGTGGGTCTCGACCTTGGCCACAATATGCACAGCGCCAGCCTCGCGCTGCCGCCACACCTGCCCGTCATCGGCCAGGGGCGCCCAGGCCTTGATGCTGCCGGCATTATACGCCTCCAGCACCGCTGCGTTGTCCGAGTAGGCGGAGAGCACGTGCTCCGGGTGCGCCTTCTGCGTAGCCCGGATCCAGTCAAACAGGGACTTGTCCTGCGTCTGCCCGTCGACGGTCCAGTCGGCGCGGAAGATCTTGTGGCGGCAGTGCTCGCTGTTGACCTGCGCAAACATCATCAGCTCGGCGTCGGTCGGGTTGCGCGCGATGCCGTCGGCCGATGCATGGGCGCCCATATACGCCTCCACCAGATATGCGATCTCGTCGTCGGCCAGCGCCAGACCTTGCTCCCTGTTGGCGCGGCTCAGCAGCTCAACCGCCTGCTGTGTGCTGGCGATCTCCGTGGCAGCCGTCGCGGCAGCCTCGATCGACTCGATCTCCTCGACCACATGGCTGGCCTCCGCCCCGCGCACCGGCACCTGACGCAGCTTGCGCGGCGGCGCCTGCTCAAACACAACCGTGGCCGCCGGGCAGCCATCGTACAGGGTCTCAGTCATGCGATCTGAGATTGCATTCGCCAGATCACTGTTGGCCATGACATCGACGTTATCAACGACGTCCAGATCAAACTCGATCTGGTACACGGTGCCGCGCTCCACCCTTTGCACGATATCGCCGAGGCCGCACAGACGGAAAATATCCGTCGCCTTGGACGACCACGGGCTGATTGTCCCGCGTCTGGGCAGAACCCAGATCGTGCTGACGTTCTCGGCTGACTCGCTGCGAAGCGTCTCATTGCCCACCAGCTCGATTGGCGCCTTGGGTGCCCCGTGCTCGCCCGGCCCGCGCAGAAGCAGCGAGATGATAGCCCAGGTGTGGTCCACTGTCGTCGCTGACAGCGCTGACGACGCCGACGGCGAATGGTTGGCTGTCGCCGCCATGTGCAGGTGCGGCGCATGCGCATACGACGGATTCAGCTCGACCAGATGCACATAGTGCGTCGATATCTTGGTCACGGCGCCCTTGGGAAACGGCAGCCGGTCGATCAGCGCCTTCTCTCGAAAATCTGACAGAGCATAGCTCCTGCCGGGGATCACAAGCATCGACATGGCTATAAAAGTTAGGAAAGTGCAGATAAGAAAAGCTACGGTGTTATTATAAAACAAAAGAGTGCTGGGAAGCAGTTGCGTTTGGCAAGATCGAGAGAGACAAGAAAGCAAAAAGGAATACCGTTGCCGCCCCGCGCTGCCCTTAAAGCATGCTCGATCCAGTCCATGCCAGCTCTTAATTGACTTTCCCCCTCTATCTTGCTGACCTCTGGGATAAGGGGTGGGAACTGAGCGTGTTGGGTACCGGGCTGGTCGATCACTTTGGGGTAAGCAATGGGCTGTGAAAATTCGTGATCACTGTTATCATAATCCGACCTAAAATATTTACCAAAAAAGTCAAAATGCTCTACGCCCCCGGGTCAGAACATCGCCCACATCGCCCACCCCACGGCTACCGCTGCTATTGAGGCCACACGGCGGTCGGCACCCGACATCATCTGCGCATCATCCGAGTCTTTGTGCGCGTCCTTCTGCTTGTCCTTGACTTCGTCCTGCCCGCTAATCGGTTTAATGCTGGCCTTCGCCTTCGCCTTCGCCATCTCCTCCTTTTCCCTCTCCTTCTTGTGCTCGGCCACATCCTCCGCCGACACCGTGGGCTTGCTCTCAGCCGACTTCTTCTCGGCCTTGATGCTGCTGCTGGCCATGACCGATGCGCTGGTGGACACAGCCTTCGAGGCATTGCAGAATACCTTGACCTGGCCTTCCTGGGCCGTGCGCGTTTCGTCGCCTGGGCACGAGTTAAAGCACGACACGATGGTCTTCTGGGCCTCGCATTTGCATGCCCAGTCGCTGTATGCGCATGCCCCCAGCATCAGGCCTTGGGTGTTCAGACAGCTGTTCAGAACGTGTTGAGCTGCGCATCCCTGAGGACCGGGCAGAGCTGGTGTTACAGGCACAGGGACCCCGGGTCCTTGGGCGTAGATGGCGGTGGCGAGCAGGGCGATCGTGGCGATGATATGCATATTGAAGTGGTGATTAGTTTTGCTAGAGGGGGTGACGATGTGGCTACTACCCAAACGAAGTTCGCAAGCAGTCCTTTGCATTTATACTGCCTCTGCCATGATCCCATGGTAGCTATGTCTCGGATCGCCACGAGGAAGAGGATCCTATCCCTCATTGCAAGCAGCTGGAACCTAAATGGCATGGTATGAATTCTTAACTGTGTGGGGAGGGGAGGATTGAAACATACGATGAAGAGCAAAAAGCGGAGGGAGTTGGGAAATATGTATAGAGGGGTTTAGGCAAGCAGCGAGTGGCCAGTCATATTCTCGGGCACCTCAAGACCCATGTACTTGAGCAGGGTGGGTGCGACATCGCACAGGGCGTGCTTGTCGTCGTCGGCAATGAACTTGGCGCCGTTCTCAGCATTGGCCATAACAAACGGCACGCGCGAGCAGGTGTGGGCGGTGTGCGGGGTCGAGCCATCGTCCGACAGCATCTTCTCGGCATTGCCGTGGTCGGCAGTGACAAACAGCGCATAGCCGTTCTCCTTGCACGCGTCGTAGATGCGGCCGATGGCCTTGTCGGTGGCCTCCATGGCCTGGAACGCCGCATCGTAGATGCCCGTGTGACCGACCATGTCGGGCGGGGCAAAGTTGCACATGACGAACGGGTACTTGCCGCTGTCCAGCTCCTCGGCCACCTTCTCGGCCACTGCCCACGACGACATCTCGGGCTTCAGGTCGTATGTGGCCACCCTGGGCGACGGGATCAGGTCGCGGTCCTCGCCGGCGAACTGTGCCTCCGAGCCGCCGTTGAAGAAGAACGTCACGTGGGCGTACTTCTCGGTCTCGGCCACGTGCACCTGCGCAACCGACTCCTTCGCCAGCCACTCGGCCAGCACGTCGGTCATCTTCTGTGGCGGGAACGCCGCCGGGAACGGGAAGTCCGCCTTGTACTGCGTCATCGTCGCAATCTGCAGGCCCGCCGGCACCACCGAGTCGAACGGCGTCGGCTTGATACCGAACGCCTGCGTGATCTCGCGCATGCGGTCCGAGCGGAAGTCAAAGAAGAAAATGCTGTCGTTCTCCTTCACCAGGCCCTCAGAGTCCACAATGATCGGCTTCAGGAACTCGTCGGTCTCGTCCTTGGCGTACCGCTCCTCCACCGTCTTGATGGCGTCGCTGGTCTTCTCGCCAGTGCCCTGGGTCATCGCATCAAACGCGACCTGCACCCGCTCCCAGCGCTTGTCGCGGTCCATCGCGTAGTACCGGCCCACAATCGTCGCGATCTTGCCGTACTGCAGCGACACGATCGCCTGCTGCAGCTCCGCCAGGTATTTGGTCGTCGAGCGCGGGCTCGTGTCGCGACCATCAGCGAAGAAGTGCACATACGACTCGGGCACGCCCGCCTCCTTGGCCGCCTCCAGCAGCCCAATCAGGTGCTTGATGTGGCCGTGCACTCCGCCGTCGGAGACCAGACCTGCCAGATGCAGGCGGCCGTTGCCGGCCTTGGCGTGGTCGAACAGATCTTTGATAGCCTCGGTGCTGCCAAACCGCTTCTCCTCCAGCGCAAGGTCAATACGCACAATATCCTACAAGAGTGCTTCTCCCGCAACCCCCACCCGGCGGCAATTATTAGCATAAACACAAACCTGTTTGTCGACTCACTTATCATTTTGCTTATCGATGGGACTGATCATGATAACGGATTCCCCCTTACCTGGTAAACAACACGCCCAGCGCCAATGTTCAGATGCCCGACCTCAGAGTTGCCCATCAGACCCGCAGGCAGACCGACAGCGCGACCGTGGGCCGCCAGCGAGGTGAACTGGGCATCGGTCTCGAACCCGTCCATGACCGGGGTGGGTGCATCGCGGATAGCGTCGCCCTTGGCCTCGGGGTTGTCGTTGATACCCCAGCCGTCGATGACAATAAGACAGGCCTTGTTAGCAGCAACCATGGTGTTTTTTGTAAGAGGAAAAAGGGGGTTACTCTAAGATGTTCGTAAAAAGGAGAAAAATTACTTTCAGCAGGAGAAGAAGCAGCGTTCGAAGGTCCTACAGCTTTGAACAGCCTAGCTTTATACGCGCTTTACTAATGCGCGCCAAGTTTGGGGGGGATGAGGGTCTTGAGCCGCCTGGGCTGGGGGGCAGGGCAACGTCACATACTGGCTTTTTTTTTTGGGCCTGGACATTTCTGCCTCCACGCGCCGGTGCTGATTGGCTCCGTCCAGAGTCACTCGGTCTTGGTTCTGGCTGATGGTTGCACGGGCAGCCCCAGCAGCGGGGCAGCCAGCGGCACAAGCGCTGCCAGCGCCGGCCAGAACACGCGCGGATCGCCGCCCACCGCAGCCTTGGTCAAGACCAGATCACCTGCCAGGAACCCCGCGATCGCAATATAGTTGGGGCGTCGGTGGTCTGGCTGCGTCAGCTGAGAGCCCACCAGGCCGATTCCCAGCAACAGCATATGTGCCACAAGCATCATGCCCGAATCGCCCGGATGCGTGCGCAGCAGGTACGTCGCGGAGACCGCCGCAATGCCACCAGGCAGGAGCAGCCATGCCGACGTATCGTACCGGCCGATGCTCGGGCGGCTGACCAGCAGCCTCAGCACCTTGAGCGACTCCATCGCCATGGCGCCCACACGGCCCACACGCAATGCCTGGTCCACAGCCGCAATGCCGCTGGACGGCATAGCCATGCCAAGCAGAGCCGCCGCAAAGCAGAACACCGAGGACACATACGAGACGCCGGTGAGCGGCACACTGGTCCACACAAGAATCTGGCTCTGGCGCCAAAATGCCTCGCCCAGAATGCGCGCAGCCGCCATAGCCGCCATTGCGTAGTATACAGGCCGGCTGTGGTCCAGCACCGAGACCACCAGGTTGCGCGCCAGCTCGAGCAGCGGCTCAGGGTCCTCCTCCTGCACAAGCCGCTGGTTGAATCGGATCCACGCCAAGCTGACTGCCGACAGATCGACCTCGACGTCCAGGTGCGTGGCATTCAGTGGTGCCTCACCGCTGACGTCCAGGTGGTCGCTGAGCGGCGTCCAGCGCTCGGGCAGGTCGGCGCCCTTATACGTCGGGTTGCTCCACAGAATCGGTCGGTACACGCGGCGCTCGTCGGGGGTGTAGTACGTGAACTCCAGCAGCCGGCTGAGGTCGCGCGGCGCCTTCCACATCTCAAAGTGGTTGTCGTCCAGCACATACTCCCACACCACACGCGTGTTGCCGTGTGCCACATAGTGCGATAGGTTGCCGTGCAAGGCCCGCGGCTTGATCAGATCAGTCGACCCGTAAATTGCGAACCGGTCATTCATCGCTGGGTGCGGCTCCATTGCGCCCGCCTCCTGCATGATTAGGTGCAGGTACATTGTGCGGAACCCGTCGTTGCGCACCTGCTCGGGGATTGCCACCCGCACTGTCTTGGAGAAGTGTGCCCGCGTGTCGCGCACGTCCAGGTCCTTGACCTGCCACACCATCTGCGCGTCACGGAAGAAATTTGCCCGGTCGGCGTAGAAGCTCGGCACATCTGTTGCGTACAGCACAAAGTCGTACTTCATCGGGTCGCGCCACCCAATGCGGTGCGGCTGCTGCGTCCCGCTGGTATCCAGCTTCTTGGGCGTCAGCTCTTGGTAGTACTCGTGCACAGACCAGAACAGATATCCGGCACACAGGTAGGGCACCAGGCCCAGCGTGTTTGACAGCAATTTCATCTTTGTATTAGAATGGAGAGGGCAAGGGAGGGAGAAAGTACAGGAGAGTGGAGGAGGGCTACGTTGTAGCTTGTTCTCGGGCAATAACAAGGGATCACCCTCGTTTTATTCCAAGAAGCGGTCCCGCCTTGCTGCCCAGTTTTGCAAATCGTGCTCTTAAAAGCCTGTCACGAGTTGCGCTGTCCGCTGCTCCGCTCTTCTCCAGAAGCCCCGGACCAGCTCCAGGAGCCGGCTCACAGCCTGCCCAGTGCGAGTTGCCGTAAACGGCTCGCCGCCCACCCCCTGTGTTTCGTGGCACCGAGTCATGATCCTGGGACATGTAGTGTCCCTTCCATCACCGGGTAATGGTCCAATATGTTTATTTTTGCCACAAAGGAACCCGCTGGGGGAGGACCTTGCGTGTTGTTGGAATCACGCTGTCATTAGTAATGGATTTCTAGAAACTTTCCACACATGCATGCGGCCAGTTTTTCTTGTTCTTTTGGCTGAGTGGCCGTTTCCAGCTGCGTCGCTCCAGCTGTTCGTCCCCTCCCTCATTGTCTCTGGGTGCAATAAATCAGACGCAGAGAAGCCCATTGCCATGTATGTGGAATTCTACACAAGGAATATCCGAACTCACCAAATCTTTTCGCTGTGTATGCCAAGTCCGGGGCTCTGCAAAAATAATAGCGTGTGCGGGAAACATGGGACACGTCATGACACCAGAATTCACAGGATTATTGCAATGAGCCTGCCAAGCTACACTCTTGCTTGATTTTGTGCTGACTTGCTTCGTCCTTTTATCAGACGACATGCCCAGCCATACATCTTGTTGAATGCTCTCTTCTCTTTGCTCCACTCTGTTATTCACCAACTCGCACGCCGCCAGCCTCCTTTCAACCCTCCCCCTTTTTTGATATCGCTACTGCCTTGCTCCATATACCATTTTTTTGTTCCATCGAGAACCATACCACAGTCGCACACGCAGACTAACACTCACACACACAATCTACTATTTCTTTTTTGCTCTCTCCCACACGTACTTTTCATCGTGTCTCGCACTCTTCTACTTTTTTTAAAAACTACTTTGCACTATTTCGCTTCTTACACACTTGCCATTCATGTTTGAAGGCTTTTCAAGAGGCTACCTACCAGAAAACTTTTACTCTGACCGGCTGGTGTTCAAGCCAAAGCCGCCTGCAATAAAGACTTCTCCGTATCCAAACAAAATCGAGGTCGGGGGCCGCTGCTACTATGCAATTATCGTTAACAAATCCCGCGCCCGCCTGCAGGACGCCTATGCGTGGATGAGCACGCACCCGTATATCCGAATAAACTATGTCGGTCCGGTAGCCGGAAACGCCTTTACCGGGAACATTGTGGTTGAAGCGTACCAGTCACCAGAGCGCAGCTACGTCATGGTCGTCTGCCGCGCCGCGACTCAGGGCGACGAGCAAACCAACCAGATCATGCAGTCGCACGGATACTCGCAGCGCCGCGGGCCCTGCCCCGCCCCCATCTCCGCCATTATCTGCCGCTCCGGGGTCAACCTGCAGAGCGTCTGGCAAGTGGCTCAGCCTGCACCGCGGCCGCCTCGCATATCCTGGTCAACGAGCAATTTATCCGCAACACCATCGCCATCACCCGCCCGCCGTTGCGCGACAGTGACCTGAACCGCCCGTTTGATGACGCTGCCCCAGTCTCTAGCAGGTACGTTTTGTATGATGAGTTCAACACCCGCCAGGCGCGCAACCTGCAAGGGCCCGTGCGCTCCAACTCCAGCCTACAGCACTACATGCGTCGCCAGCTGCCCCGCCACCACCCTTCGCACGAGTCGGTCGATTCGATGCTGCCCGCCTACGAGCCGCCGCCGCCCTCGATACACAGCTCAATTCCTGAGGAACTCCGCGCCGAGATCGAGGAAATCCAGCGCCTGCAGGCCGAGGTTGCCAGTGGCGATCACGAGTTCCTGAGCAGCAGTAGCGGCTCAGCCGAGCTTTCGTCCAGTGAAAGCGCGAGCGACTCGGACGAAGACGGCACATCAACTTACCTGCGCATCGTGCCCCAGGCATCGCCGCCACAATACTGGGACATTGCCGACGACACAGAGTACGGCCGCCTGCACACTACTTAACGAAGCCTCGTCTCTAAGAGCCGAACCGCCAGCTATTGCTGATTCAGTGGAGCCGCCCAACACCCAGCCTGCCGAGGCTGCAGGCCAGTCTGCCCCGACATTCACCAGGACATTCACTCGCTCGATGCCTATGCTCGTCAGCATCCTGGACGAAGGTGACGAGATCGAGGCCAGCATTGCGCAGTACCGCCAGCGCGTAATCGCCGATAGCAATAATGCTGTCATGGAGCCATCGGATATCGAGCCACCGCCTGTCACCTCATCATCGCAAACGCGTGCTGCGCACTCTGCCTCCAACAGCAACAGCCTATTCAGTGGTATCAACCAGCACATGCGCCGGTCGCGTCTGTCGGCAAAAACGAACCCGGAGTATGGGAAGCGAAATTGGTTTTCGCGCCTGCTAAACATGTAGATATTTCTCATTTTTTGCTGGTAGCTGCTTTTCTAATCTAATTGGCAGTGCCCAAGCGTGCGTGATTTCTTGTACCACGTGTGCAGCGTTGGCAACATGGCTATACTGCAGGCTGCTGGCCCGCGTATGATCCAGGCCAGCGGCAGCCCGTTTCCGCAGTAGGATCCGCGCATGTCGGGGTGCTCTATCGGTTCAGACATTCCTGCCAACTAGACGGAGCACCCTGCCGCCATGGCGGGCCAGACTGGTGTGTTGAATATGTTTCCAGATAAGCAGATCTTAGAATAGATTGCTGAGATCATTGCCACCACTGATCTAGTAGCTATCACCAAGAAGCAGCTACGCAAGCGGAATATGTCCTGATTCAGCATTTAGGTTGAGGTAGCCAGTACCTGCTAGGACTTCATCAACCAGTGTATTGGCCAGGAGCTGCATAAATACAGACAACCATTAGTATATTTCAGCAGTTCTTGATAATTCTTACAATATTAGCGCAGCGGAGGCAATGGCAGTTAACTAGGCACCAAGCCAATAGGGGCTATATGTCGTCTCAGTCAATAGATTCATCACTGAAGGAATAAATGGGCAGACAAACAAAATGGTCCACAGCTTAGATCTTTGGTTCACTGCATCATGAAGGCCGATATCCAGCTCTATGATACAAAAAATGGCAAGACAGGGGCTGTTGTATGTGAGATGTGACCGCTCGCCACGCCAGCATGACAGCTGATTCAACACGTCAGCAAATCGAAATACCAACAAGAACTGCACAGCGGGCTCTACAATATGTAGGTGTTGTTGTGATTAATATGCTATGCAAACTACTGTATCTAAAGGCACTCTAGTATGCATAACTGTTTCGCAGCTGGCAGGAGCAGCCAAATATAAAACACATTGCTGCCACAATCCACACGTTTTCTCAGGTCTCCTCATTACTCTTCATTTCCTTCATCCTTTTCTCCCATTTTCCGTACTAACCTTTCAAGTGCTAGTAGTATTTCATTTGTGCCGCTTGTCAAATACCTTGCACTGAGCATATTTTTGTCTGTAGTTCTAGGTGTTCTTGGCGCAAGCTTGTCGATGTGGGTGTAATCGGAGTTGGCCCAGTTGCTGGGTACTAGGGTTCGGCAGGACTCGCGGACGCAGGGGTGGCCTGCCGTAGGGGTCTTATTGGAATCATGCAGTAGGTGAGGAGTGCTGGGCCTGTTGAGCCCTGGGACTGGTGGGTAGGGGGTTGCATCGCTGTATTTCGACTGTATCCGGCTAGCAGTGGCTAGCACCCTCCGTTCTGCGAGTCACGCGGTTGGATTTTAGGTGCAGTCTGCTCATCCCAGCCAAGTGTATTGTATGCTCCATAGGTGTGCCAATTTGCTGCGTCTACAGAGTATGTGCTTTCACGCGCACCAAGCATACGATCTACAGCATGGCATTGATTTGAGTGGTTGCTCCTTCAAAATAAGTGAAAACGGGTTGTCGGCTCAGTCAGCATATCTACGGGCGACACCGGCGATTCCGTGCCTGTTGGCTACTACCGGCTGTATAAATTGCTGGGTGTAGCCTGGCTCCTGTACAGGATTTCTTTTCTGCTCATATACTCAAAATCCGCCCTATTTGCCTAACCAATTATGTCTGTTCAAAAGCCAGCAACACCAGTCTCTGATCCTGAGAAGCATGCTCTCCCGACCTCTGATGGCACCGAAAATCTCTCGCCGGAGGAAGAGCTGATACTCCAAAGCTATCTGCGGAAAACTGGACCTGCGCCTAGCTATCTTTATCTGCTTTCGGCTATATTACGTCTTTTCTAAACAAGTCCGCAATTTCGTACGCCAAAATCGACGGATTCGAAGAGCAGCTCAGCATGCACGGCACCCAATACAACACGCTGCTTGGCCTGTCAACCGCTGTGTTTTTGGTGTTCCAGATCCCGCTCAACTTTCTGTTCCGCAAGCTGGGTGCGCGCAAGTATATGCCAACCACGCTGTTCCTCTCTGGGTGCCTCAGTGTGCTCGTTCTTGCAATCAAGAACTATGGCGGGTTTTTGGCCATCCGTCTTATTGAGGGCGTGTTCTTGTCAGGATTTACATGCAGCGTCTTTTACTCGTTGTCGCTATGGTATCCGCAAAAGTACCTCGTCACCCGCGTAAGCTGGGTCATTGCCTCGTCGATGCATCTCGGGAATCATCTATGCGGTTATGGCTATCGCATTTTCGTATGTCCATACCAAGCCCTTGCATTCATGGCAGTGGATGTACTTTTTCTTTGGTCTGCTAGCCATCGCCTCGGGAATCTATGGATATGTCTTCACCAGCGACTACCCAGACACTGCAAAGTATCTGAATGACGAGGAGAGAGAACTAATCGGCAGGATTCTGCGCACTACCCACATGCTTACCAGCGACAGGTCGGCTATTTCGAGGAAGCAGGTTATTCAGGGTATGACTGACTGGCGCCTTGATGATGTTTATGGTCATCGATTTTGCAAACAACTACTGTTCATCGACAGCTATAAATTGGGCGCCAATAATCTTGAAAAGCGTTGGTTACAGCACGACCGTGACCGCCGGCCTCATGCTGATTCCTGCAATCCTCGCCTTCATCATGATCATGCTGGCCAATTTTTTTGTCCGCAAACTGGGCAAGATTGGCTACTTCCAAATCCTCATGTCAGTCCATGTCCACAGCTATATTGCTTATTGGCGTTGCCGGTGCGCAAAGCAAGATTGCACGCACCATATCAGTATGTCTGCTTCCTCTCTTCACTGGCTCAGCAGTAGTTGTTGGCCCTGCCTGGCTCAATGTCAATCAGCGCGGTGCCGATAGAAGCGCTCTCTCAAATGGGTTTGCCATTGTTGCCACCTCTCTTGGCGGCACTGCAAATGGATATGCGTATCTAAACAGCGATGCGCCACTTTACATCAAGGGCAACTCGTCAAACTTTGCCTTGACCGGCGTGGCCATCATTTGCACCGTCATTCTAATGGTCAATTTTAAAAAGGAGAACCGCAGGCGTGATCAGAATCCCATGGATGCGTCGCACATGCCTCCTGACGAGATTGCCGCACTAGGAAACGATAGCCCCATGTTCCGCTACACACTCTAACCTAGGTAGCAAATAAAGTAAAGATAATAGCTGTTGCGATACGAGTAAATTAATGTTGTATATAACTAGGGACAGTACAGAAACTGAGACTTAAAACTACGCGGGCATGAGCTAAACTATATAGTAGAACCACTATACCCTTGTGTAAGCGCTGTGGTGTGGATTTAGGAATCAAGATCAGTATTGTAACAATAGCAGCATTACAAAAGCAAAACCTTATGAAGGATCGTCTATTCGAGGGTGTCAGTTCGGAACTAGCATGAGTAATATAAATAGAGCCATTAGTAATAGTACGTCCTTCGCATGCATATATGTAATTTGTTGAGACAGGAATGGGGGTAGTGATGGTGGTCACTCAAACCCTAATGTTCACCATCGGCTTGAGCTGACATCGCTACGATTAAGCATGTAATTTTGATATGCTTAGCTAGGTGTCTATGCTATTCAGTTCATTTTCATCAACACCATGTACCAGCAGATGCTTCAAGCAGTACTATTGAAATCTCAAACTACTGACAATAGCTTTAGTGTTGTGGTACTCAATAGCAGATACAGGTATTGTGCAAAAAATAACCTGCACGCCTGATAGCATGTGAGGTAGTAGCATGAGCGTCGTCATGTCTAGCCAGAGCGAATGCCATCTACCAATATATTAGATTTGCCCTGTCACCGAGTAATTTCCAGAAAAGACAATCTAGTACTTTCACAAAAGCCCTTCGTCATAGCGTTTGAATGTCCCGCCTCTATATTTTCTGTCCAAACCTGACTCGGTGTAGCCCAGGGTTGCTCGTTATTGGAGCTACAATGCAGCTTTATATATTAGACAACACACCAAGTTCAGACAATCACTGATTCTCATGTGTGTTTAAGAGGTATAAAGTGTTCAGGCATTATTCAGAGGTGCCATCAGGGAGCTCATGCAGTTGAGCAATACCGGATCCCCGAGCCCCTCAAAGTGCTGTGTTGTTTGCATATGTGGCAGGTGTGCTTTGTAGGCTCAATCTGTGCACGCAATATTTGCTTGGCTCCAAATTGTTGGTTGTATTTCTAGAAAAGCATCATGCGCTAAAAATTTGCTCACAAGAAATAACAATGCTCTGCGAGCCTGTGTTGACCTTATTTTTGGTGGCGTTGGGTTTACTCATTGTCGTTTAATATGTGGTTGCATTTAGAATGTGTTGCCAACCAAAGTAAATATATTATGTTTTCCCTACAGGCTAGGTCCGAAGGGATACAGGAACACTGCCGATTGCAGACACGGGAGCTTGTAGATACTCATGAATAAGAGCGGCCAGTACTCATTTACAATAGCAGTTAGGAATACAGTATGGTATGTATTATGCACTATGCTAACTGTAGCAGCAAAGGAAATGTTGCCCTTGTAGCCCGAAAACAGCTTGTACGCGTTCAAAGCTCGCATAAACTATGTTTTAGAAAATTTGCCACTGGTAAGCAGCCATACTTGAAACTTGGCACAAGTGCACTTGGTCGTGAACCAAATCACTTGTTCACACGCCTCTTTACAGCCGCTGTTGATTCTTCAGGTGGCATGTCCATTAGAATAGTGCTCCTACATCTCAGCTGCTGACAACAGACTTGTGCCTCTCTGAATTGTATTTGCACTATTTCTTGCACATGGGCTTGGGGACAAGGCATCTGTTTTCACACAAAGCTTCCATAGGGTGTGCGTTTGATGCCAGGGCCTTTGAGCGAGTGTTTTTACTATAGCTGAACATAGTTTGCAGATTGTCTCGACTTGTCAGGTACAGTGATATCAACCACAGGCAGACACAGCAAAGCAGCGCATTGCTGCAATGAGTATGCCACAACTTTATACAAATACATACTAGCTAGCCCAAAAAACTCCAGATACATTCCATCAAGAACCTCAACAAGTTCCCTCACTTATAAGCTCTTTGTCAATTCTAACTAGTTGTCACTAAGCATCATTTTTAAACCAATGGCTCACTACCAAGTTACTATCCATGGGATTGCTATCAGCATCCCAGACAAGCACTCTGCCCAAGCAGAAGCTCTTGCCGCTGGTTTTCCGCTCAAGAATTCGTCACCCGAAATCGAGACTGTTGCACGCTTTGTCAACTATGCTGCAACCAAGAACACCGATGTCGCTGTCGCTGCCTTCCAGTACCTTCACCAGAAGTACTGCTCGATTGACAACATCCATGTTGTTGTCCAGCAGCTCAAACTCACGACCGAGCAAGCCCAGTCTGTCATCAAAGGATACTACTCGGTCTGGGATGTGCTTGAATCACGTGAAATGCTGCCTGATGTCCCTTGTCCCGCGCTCTTTACCGACGACAGGGTGAAACTAACTGCCATGTTTGGCGGCTACGGCGGCATGGACAACTATCTGGACGAGGCTGTCTGGCTTCTTGACGTCTATCGCCCACTTCTTGCCGACTTTGTCGCTGAGATGGCTGAATTCCTGCTGGTCACCACGCAGGATTCGCCTTTCACACGTGTTTACACTCGGCCGATAGACTTCATGAGCTGGCTTCTTCATCCCCGAGTCGCGTCCGAGTATGGAGCTTCTCTCCGCTGTCTATATTGCGTCGCCAATCCTAGCTCTAATCCAGCAGATGCACCTGATGGTCTTGTACAAGACACTCAGAGTTACCCCGGGCGAACTTTCTCAGTCATTCAAAAGTAGGTATCGGCAGAATTATGTGCCACATTGACATCATTCTCTGAAACAGCTATGTACTAACTAGCCACTCCTTATTTTAGGTGTCATATCTCATAGCCAAGGCATTGGCTGTCGCGGCCATGTTTCCGATGCTGACTGATGAAAAGTCCTTTTACGTTCAAACAAAGAAGATAATGGGCGGTCATATCTCAGGTGGCTATAGCATGCAGCTCGAAGTACCCCTCGATGTGCTAGATGCTGGTACGGCAGCTAGCTGCATTCCGTCTGATGGCAAGCCATCACCTATGGTGTCTATCCGTGGTGTTCCTCTTCCGGCGCTTGGGAAACTGATTTCTCAGTTCAATTCATGCTGCCTATCGCCCACTGATCACGTCTACCTGGCGCTCATCAACGCTTTTGACCTATTTGTCGTCACTGGCCGTCTGACGGTTGTCACACAGTTTGTTCAGTTCCTCCGCCAGCGTTGTGCGGAGCCCAGTGCTGACCAGTCGAACATCCCGTTCTCTCAGCGCAAGCCGGTGGCGGATATCAGCTACGTGAACTCCAGTGTCGTCACCCACTGCCGTCTCTTACAAACCACTGGAGATTGGCTTCCCGGGTTTGTCCGTTGAAAGAGACTGGTCTTACAGCTGTGGCAATAATCAAGTCATTCCTCCCGTCAAAGTCAATGGCATTGACATTTCAACTGGTGTCGATCTCGATAGAGATGGTGGCGCAAGTCATTTTCACTCGTTGTCTTTGACTGGCCGTCGACCTCAAGGGAGCCGATGCTACGCATATCGTTGACTTTAGCCCCGGTGGGTTTAGCGTCTTTGCTCGGCTGGCACGCAGTATCGTTGATGGTAGTGGCGTCAACATCATTAGCTGCAGCTCGCTCGTCCCCCACAAACACCGACTTCTGGGCTCCAAGGCTGACATTTTCCAGCGAGATATCCGCTTGGTGGTCCAGTCCGTGGATTGGAAGAGAGCATTTGGCCCCAAGCTTGTCCGAGTCAAGAGCGACAGTCAAATTCATCATCAACTCGCCGATGTTCCATGCCTTGGGGCGTCCGCCAGTGATTGGTGTCTACTGTTGAACCGAGCTACCCTAGTGTTCAGCTGGTTGCGGCTGCCATCAACGCCGGTTATCATGCCGAGCTCTCAACCACTGGGATCACAAGCACTGGTCAACTGCAGGGCGAGTGGCCGATCTAGTCCAGCTCATTGAACCTGGCCAGGACATTGCTCTCTGCTGTGACTATTCGAACCAGGAGCAGTGGGAGGTACTGTTCCCAGAGATTCTGCGCATGCGGCCAAGCAGGCCAGCCGATCGCTGGACTGAGTATTTCTGGCTCCTATTCCAACAGCTGCAGCAGCGACCGACATTATTGCCGGTATGCGTGACGCTGGTCTTCGTCATGTCACTCTCAAGGCTGAAACTCTGGCCGACATTCGTGCTACGATCGCCATTTCGAAGGTGGATCGCACGTTCCCTGTCATTCTTCAGTGGATGGGTGGCCGTAACGGCGGCTACCATTCGTGGGACGACTTTTACCAGCCAATTCTCGATACCTACAGCCTGCTCCGGTTCCACAGGAACATTGTCCTTGTCGCTGGATCTGGTATTGGCGATGCGGACACTGCGATGCAGTACATGTCTGGTAGCTGGAGTGTGCCATTCGGGCGGCCACCGATGCCATTTGACGGAGTTGTGCGATTGGCTCCTGTGTCATGGTCGCAAAGGAGTCTGGTCTGTCGGATGCTGCCAAGCAGCTTATCGCTGGACACGGCTGGTGTTGGTCCCAAACGAGTGGATGGATACGTACAGCGGTGTTGCTGATAGGTGTCACATCAATCACTGGCGAAAATGGCAAGCCAATGCACTGTTATTGCGACGCGTGCAGCTCTATTCCTCAAGGAGCTACAGGGCTCTATATTCTCACTGGCAGCTGACAAGCAGACTGAGCTTCTCCAGCAGAAGAGAGACTCCATAGTCCAGCGGCTAAACTCTGACTACATCAAGCCCTGGTTTCGGCAAAAAGGCAGACGGCTCGGTTGCTGAGCTACAGGATATGACATACTCTGAGGTCATCGCCATAGAATGACCGAGCTCATGTACGTCGATGACAAGTCGTGCTGGATTGACCCCAGCCTTTGCCTCCTTGTCTACGACTTTATCAAGCGTGTAGAAGATCGCTTCAGCGGATGTGCGCGCGAGTATTTCATTCGCCACCACTTGGGAGCTTGGTGATCCGCTTTACAGCAGCTCGTGATATTGAGCGGGTATATCCAGACGTAGTCTTCGCAGCTGATGGCTACAGAAGATGTCCAGTATTTCATCATGCTGTGCAAGCGCTCAGGTCAGAGTCCCGGTCCCATTCCGTTCCTGCTCCTCGACAGTGACCTAGAAAGGTGGATGCTGCAGGGTGCTGCTTCATTATCGGTGAACGGTGACTATGTCACCAGCCACGATGTTCAGCGTCAGCTGGATTCCTCTATGGACCAGTTTCAGCCTGGATACTCGTCTACTGCCAACGCACCTGTGAGGGATATTCTGGATGGATGTGTACCACGCCATGGTTCGCGGCCTATGCAAGAACAGTCCAGACTACGATACCAGCAACAGGAATATATTGGTGGCTGAGCCCAAACTTACCACCATACAGTCGGTTATATCCAGCGGTATCATGGGCTACAGGTCGCCTATATACCCTTCCATCTGACAACGGATCCCTCCCAGACACTGACCCATGGCTAGAGTTGCTGGCAGGGCCAAAGAAGAGCTGGCTACGCGCACTACTGACTTCACCAGCCATAGGTACAGGGGACCAAGGTTTGTCGCTAACAGGCGTCAGGAGGATCATGCGTCCCATGTCGAAACCAGTCGGTGTTGATCTCAGAGTCAGATGGAATCCCACAGCAACTCGAGGTATTCGACAGCCAAGGAGAGTTGAATATCGTAATCGAGTATGCTGCACCCTAGGCAACATCACGGTCAGAGTTATTCTGCCAGTCCAATGGCGAAAATCGTGAACTAGTTCTCAAATATCTGTACTGCCCGACACGCCCCTGCGATACCAATCACAGAAGTGATGGATGGCCGTGATAGGACGTATCCACGAGTTTTATTTTGGCCACGACAGCCCATCTCACGCTACACTGGGAGACATGTCAGTTGACTCGGATATAGAGTCCACCAGGTAATCCGATGCCAGCCATTTGATACTACGGAGGCCATTCGTTACCAGTTTCTTCCGAAACTTCCCAGGAGACGCAGAATTGCTGCCGTTCACTTGCAAATCACCACGACCATTGCCCCAATGGACATGGTCTTTCTAATCGGATGGCAAGGGCTTATGGCGGTGCTAGAGAACCGACAGCTGAGCTCAGGGTTGTTAGACATGGTTCACCTGGAGAACAGTATTGGACCACATCGACAGTGCTTCACCACTACGTGTTGGCGACTCTATTACGCCGGAGGCTGAATTAGTGTCTGCTGTGAATTCTGATGCGGGAAAGGTGCTGACCATCAGCCTAAAGTTTTTCAGACAACGGACGTTGATAGCTCAGATGGCGACTGTCCTCCTGTTCAGAGGACACAAAATCCTTCCGCCACTTGCTTTCAGTAAGGAGAGCAAATCAGCATCACTTGTTGTTTTGAACTCTGTAGCTGACGTTGCAGTGCTTGAAACTAAAGACTGGTTTGTCTACCATGGAGAACTCGCCAGCAAAGCTCACTGCAGGGTCAACAGTTGAGTTCGTGCTGGACACCAGATGCAGGTTTAGATCTGACGGATACTACGCATCTGTGTCAATAGCTGGCCCTGTGTTTGCTGTTTTGGATGGAGATAAGCGTGTCCACATTGCAAATGTTGACTACCAGGCTGCTGATGTAAATGGAAATGCAGTTGCCGCATACCTCGCTAAGAGTTCGGTTGATCAACGGTCGGGCAGTATCCTTTGACAATGGAGGGCATAAGGTTTTGCCGATGCCTGGAGCTACAGCACAGTTCTGCGCCCCATCTGGTCTGCAGGAGAGTATGCGCGTGTATCTGGAGATTACAACCCGATACATTTATCTTCACAGATTGCGAGCTATGTTGGGCTGTCAAGACCAATTGTTCACGGGATGTGGGTTTCTGCCGCAACACGGGCAGTTGTCGAAAGATATGCCGCAGGCGGGGATCCGGCAAGATTCCGTTCGTTCAAAACAGAGTTTGTCGGAATGGTGTTCCCGGGTGATGCACTAGATGTGGAATTGAGCCATGTGGGAATGAAAGATGGTTTCATGCTCTTTGAGGGCAGGACTGTCAATCAGCACCAGCGCTGCTGTTTTGACCTTTCACGGCAAAGGTTGAGCAAGCCCAAGACTGCATATCTGTTCACCGGGCAGGGTGCCCAGTTTGTGGATATGGGTATGGATCTGTACGCAAAGTCTCCCTGCTTGCCACGCAATGTCTGGGACCGAGCAGAAAAGCACATGTTTGACAAGTATGGAATATCGCTGCTTGACATCTTGCCGCAGTAATCCAAAGAAGTTCCATGTTCACTTTGGAGGAGCCGCCGGAAAGAAGTGCTTGGCAATTATCTCAACCTGTCCTAGTGAGATTCAAGGAGCGTCGTCCCAGCTATTTGCGAGGATTGTTCCTAAGGCCACTAAATTCACGTACTATTCAGACCAATGGGCTACTGGAATGCAACGATCTTTACGTACAGCCTATTCAACTGGCACTGGCGCTTGCGTATGTGGCAGACATGGAATCCAACGGGTTAATTCCAGACTGCAACAGGCATTTGCTGGCCATTCACTTGGTGAACTTTGCTCGCTAGCAGCTATTGGAAAAATTGTCTCTGTTGAGGCTGCAGTCGAGCTCGCATTTTTCCGTGGACTCATTCCTACACACATCGGTTGACCGCGATGACAACGGACGATCCCAGTATGCCATGGTGGCTGTCAATCCATCAAAAGTCGGCGAATGGTTTTGCCCTTGACATATTGACTAGTCTTGTCGAGCGAAATCCAGAAGCTATGTGGACGGCAACTTCGAAATCAATAATCTATAACGTACCAAGTGCCAGCAATATATTGTGACAGGGCATAGGACTGCGCTAGTGGCCCTTGCAGATATTCTGAATAAGCTCTGTCATGATGAGACGCTCAGGTCCGAAATGTTCGAACGAGAGTGATTTGTCCAGTTTCAGTATCCAGCGTCTGCCTTGCCTGTAAGGATCGGGGTGCCGAGCTTGTTAATGGCGCAGCAACCATTGTTATAACAGGAGTTGATGTCCCATCTCCACTCCAAACATCTTCTGAGCAGTGTCGATGTGTTCAGGAACATCCTGTTAAAGGCGATTTCCCCTACTTCTGTCGATGCCACTAGGCTTGCTGGAAAGTATATTCCAAATATAACAGGCGTGCCATTTGAGGTAACGAAGAGGTACATTTCGCTAGTTCACAATATTTGCCAGTCTCCTGTTCTAGCCAGCAAGATTGAAGCATTCGATAAAAATGTCTCGACCTGACTCAGCTACACTGGAGAGCCATGCTTATATGCTGGTGGTTGAGTTGCTTGGCATACCAGCTCGCATTCCCAGTACGGTGGATAGCAACCCAGAAATCGCTACTCAACAGCGGCGATATTCAAAGAGTGATCGAGATCGGGCCCGCTCCGGTACTGGGCAAGATGATGAGGCAGTCAATGTCTGGCTCCACAAATCGTCGCTCATCAATCGAGCTCCTCCACGTTTCCGATGACAGGAAAGCTGTGTACTTTTTACCGCCAGAAGTCAAGGGTGTGTCGAGCGTGGTTACGGCCGATGAAGGCCCAGAGTGAACCTACGACATTGACAGTGAAGGTCAATGGAGAGAGGGATGCCTCATCTGGCCATGAACTAGTAACAGAAAGCCATATCCAAGCAGAATAGCAGTTCGCCAAATCGTAAGCCAACAAGCGGTACCTGAGAAACCAGTCGACCCAGGCTGATGTTGTTCGCGCAATAATCGGCCAAAAGTTGAAACAGTCATCTATTTCAATTCCCGCCAACCAGCCCATCAAGGTCCTAACAGCAGGCAAGTCAACAATGCTGAACATGATTGCATCGGACATACAAAAAGAGTTTGGATCAGCAGATACCTAGTAAAGCTGAGGATATGACAATAGCCGAGCTTGTTGAACGTCTTGGTCCATACGACGGGAAGCTTGGAAGGCATACGCAGAATATGATTGCGAAGGTCTTTAGTTCCAAGATGCCTCGAGGTTTCTCTTTAACTTCAGCATATAACTATTTGAACGACAAGTATGGGCTTGGACGGCAGCGCCAAGAAGGTCTTCTCCTGCTGGCGCTTACAATGGAGCCGTCTGAGCGCCTGACCAGTGAGCAGGATGCCAGGCAATGGCTAGCGAATATTGCTCAGCTGTATGCTAAAAAGGAAGGAATTACCTTCACCACACATACGGCAGGTCCAACTACGAATCCTGCACTGTCGCAGTCCAACGCTCCAGTTGTCAACAGTGACGTGTTCAACTTGTCCCAGGAGAAATTAAACATGCTAGCAACTCGGCAGATCCAAGCCTTGAGAGAGTTCACTGGGACAGATACGCAATGTTCAGATGGCCTGCTGGACACGCTAAAACAGCAAGTCACCGCCTATGCAAAGGAGCTGAGTGATCTGCAGTTAGAACTAGGAGGTGATCTCATCAACGGTACGAAACAAAAGTTTGACCAAAAAAAGGCACGGCACTACAACTCATACTGGAATTGGGTGCGCCAGGATGTGATGCAGTTGGTTGCGGACATATTGGTCAAGGATTCGTTTGACCCCAGCGATGTGTGTGTCAGGAAAAGGTTGCAGATGATTTCCAACCGCTCTTGCCCCGACCTTTTGACACTAGTCGATGGATACCTGGCTGTTCTCGCTAGCAACAACAGTCTTGCTACAAAAAAAGCGACGCGTGTTTTAGAGTATCTGCGCCAAGTTTGCATCGATTCGAGTAACAATGCACCAGTGTATAGGGAGATATCTCTGCCCCTCCGCCCATGCACAATGGTAACCAGCAGGGGCGATGTGGTATATTCTGAAGAAAGACGAGAGCAAATGCCAACATTCAAAGATTATGTGAGCGATGCACAGAAGTGTACACTCACAGGTCCGCAACGTCTCTATCTATCTGAAAGGCTTGATAATGGCTCATGGGCGTATAGCACTGGCCTTACTCAACAATACTTTGACTCCCTGAATGAGATTGTGGAGAACGGTCTGACATTCGAAGGAAAGGCTGCACTTGTCACTGGTTGTGGGCCTGGGTCAATAGGGTCAAGCATTGTTGAAGGGCTACTGACAGGAGGCGCTAGGGTCATTGCAACAACGTCAAGCTATGGTTTCACTACAGTTAGATACTATGAGGATATGTACAGACAGTTTGGCGCGCGTGGAGCAGAACTAGTTGTCGTTCCGTTCAACCAGGGATCTACCCAGGATGTCAGCATGCTGATCGAGTACATCTATGGTACAGATGGTCTGGGGTGGGATCTGAGCTACGTCTTCCCATTTGCGGCATTCTCTGATAACGGTAGCGACCTGACAAGTATTGACTCACGCTCAGAACTATCATTCCGCATACTGCTCACCAATATCTACCAGAATGATTGGTGCTATCAAGATTGCCAAGGAGGCTCACAAATACGCCCGGTCGCCAACGCTGGTAGTTTTGCCTAATTCCCAGAACAAGGGCACAATCGGCAATAGCGGGCTGTATGGTGAGGCAAAGATGGCACTGCAATCACTTTACAACCGCTGGCACTCAGAGTCATGGTCCGAATATATCTCGCTCACTGGCGCGGATATTGGTTTTGTTCGGAACACAAGGATGACAAACGACCACTCGGCGATCCTTGAGGGTGTGGAGCAGGCTGGGCTGCTGACATTTTCTCGCGAAGAAATGGCATTCAACCTTCTTGGGCTGTTGAGTCCAGACATGGTGGAGCAGGCGCAGCTATCGCCTGTATGGGCCAACTTTACCGGATGTGAAGTATCTGGTTCCGAATACAGTTCTATACTGTTTAAACTGCACACCACGCACTCCCAACTGGTCACAGTCAATAGAGAGGTCCATTTAGATAATATCAACGACAATGTGATTCATCATCAATCTCGTTCTAACCTCTTCCGGGATTCTGATATAACTACTCCGTTAGCAAAACACCGCATTTCCTTCCCACCGACACGCTCGTTTGACCAGCTCAAGCCACTGCATCATCTCCAAGGAATGATAAATCTTGACAAGGTTGCTGTCATAACTGGGTTTGGCGAGGTTGGTCCGTTTGGAAATGCTCGGATGCGCTGGGAAATGGAAGCATTTGGCGAGTTTTCCATGGAGGGGTGCATTGAACTGGCGTGGATCATGGGTCTGATCAAGCACTTTGATGGGCAACACCCACTGACAATGGATCATTATATTGGATGGGTCGACGCAAAGACGAGTGAGCCGGTGAGAGACATGGATGTCAAGAAGGTGTATGAGCCTTACATTCTCCAGCATGTGGGAGTGCGATTTGTTGAGCCAGAGTTGCACGATGGCTTCGATCCGCACAAACACTCACTTGTGCGTGAGCTGCAAATCAGCCATGATCTTGAACCATTCGAGGCAACTGAAGACGAGGCAGCACATTTTAAACATGGAAATGGAGATAAAGCTGAAACATGGGAGAATTCCAACGGAACATGGTCCGTCAGGTTCCTGAAAGGTGCGACACTGCTTGTTCCAAAAGCCCTTCAGCTTGATTGCTACACCGCTTCCCAAATTCCAACTGGCTGGGACCCTGCCCGATATGGCATTCCACAGGATATCATTGACCATGTGGATAGGACTACATGCTACGCCCTGATATCAGCTATGGAGGCGCTGGTCTCATCTGGAATCACTGATCCCTATGAACTCTACCAGTACTTCCATGTCTCTGAAGTTGGGCATACAATCGGCTCATCAACTGGTGGTGTCCGAAGCTTGCGTAATGCAGTCTTATACAGGTGGATCGATAAGGATGTACCGTCGGATACATTGATTGAAGCCATGGTTAGTGCACCTGATGCTTGGATAAACATGCTGCTGCTGTCATCTGCAGGACCATTAAAACCTACGTCAGCTGCATGTGCAACTGCGCTGGTGGCACTAGAGGTGGCGATCGAGACCATTCAATGCGGGAAAGCTAGAGTTATGCTTGCTGGGGCGGTTGAGGACTACTCTAAAGACACTGCATATGGGTTTGAGCTATTGCAAACAACTGCCAACACAGCTGAGGAGCTTGCAAAGGGTAGGACTCCAGAGGAGATGAGTAGGCCATTCACTGATAGTCGGTCTGGGTACATGGAGAGCTACGGATCAGGCATCTTCGTTGTCATGTCGGCCACAGCAGCAATAGAGATGGGGGCTCCAATATATGGAGTTGTAGCTCTAACAGAGTCAGCTACCGATAAGCAGGGGCACAATGTTGGAGCCCCTGGTAGAGGTATCTTGTCAACAGCCCGTGAATTGCATTCTCAGCCGCCCACAAGCATGCTGGATTTTAAATACAGGAAGCAAGGCCTCGAGTTGCAGCTCTCGTTTATCAGCAGGGCAATGGAGCAGCAGCTACAGAAGCTACCTGACAAGGACCCGAATACTAGCAGCCATGCTGCACAATATATGACCATGCCCACCACCAACGGATGGGAGCTACAGACCTATGGGGTAACGAATTCTGGAAAAGCTGTAGCGGCATATCACCTATTCGTGGGACATTGGCGACATGGGGTCTAACTGCTGATGACATCGATATGCTCTCATTACACGGCACATCAACAAGGCTGAACGATGTCAGTGAACCCAGTGTTATCAACAAACTGTTGACACATGCAGGACGTACACCAGGATATCCTGCACCAGTTGTAAGCCAAAAGTGGCTCACAGGGCATCCAAAAGCACCTGCAGCAGGCTGGATGCTTAATGGAGCACTGCAAGCAATCAGCACTGGAATTATTCCTGGGAACAGAAATGCCGATAATATTGACCCAAAGGTCAGGCAATACGACCATCTTGTATTCCCATCGTGCACAACAAAGGTGACTAATATCAAGGCCGTATTGCTCTCCTCGTTTGGCTTCGGTCAAGCCGGCTGCATTACGTTAGTTCTAAACCCAGACTACGTTCTCGCAACTCTCTCAGCTGATGATTTGGCGGCATATCAAGGAAAGGTACAAAAGCGGAAAGATAAGGCCGACAAATATTTCCAGGAAACGCTATTAGGCAGTCACAACCTTATTTGCGTGAAGGGTACACCGCCATTCACCTCTGAGCAGGAGGACAATGTGTTCCTGAATCCATCGGCCCGCGCATCATATGATGCTGCTACTGATTCATATCATATTTGAAACTGGATTACATTTTATTACATTATTATTAGTAAATATTCCACAGCATTGCATGATTAGGTGAATATTCGAATATATTGCATAGCTGATCCTGTCCCCTAAGCCTACGCCACAGTGATTACGCAAGAATATGATGGCTCTACTATATGGTTCAGTACACACCAGCGTATCAACAGCTCTCCCTAGTTTCTTTACTGTCACTAGTTATATACCATGTTATCTTACCCGTATCCAAACAGAATATTTATAATTTGATGGAGAGCTGCTTATTCGAACTTGATGTCAATCAGAAAACAGTAGATTGACTACACAGCTAGTCCTAAATCGGCAAGTCACTGTGTGAGGAAAATCTTGACTCACCAACTCGCCAACTCGCCAACTATGTGACTCTGAACTTCTCACTGAAAGAACTTCACTTTTCTTTTCTTTATCAGTTTAGCCGCTTACTATTTTCTCATTTCTCATTTATAAAACTTTGCGTATAATGCCCCAGTTTACTTTAGTATGGATGACCATTGTGGCTTAATGGTCTTGATCCATTGTGTCCTATTATCATGAGGATTTGGAATCATAGTATAGTTTGCTGCTGAGCCTCTGTGACTAGCATAAATATAATAAGTACTATCAAGTTCAGACCAATTTTTAAATACAAGGTGTCTATCTCATTTGTGGCTAGGCATGCAGAATAATCAAGAAAATTTACACTAACAATATCATAACTAACAATAATTATCAAAGCAAGTTTGAATAGAGAATTATGTAGAGGTAATTTAGGATATTACTATGTGACCAATAATATGCCATACATATAAATCTGCCAATTAGCTTGTGATATGAAGCATATATCAAGCATTAGTTATAATCAAATCACTAGGTGATGGTTTTATATACTACTGCGCTGCCCTGGTTCGAAAGAGGCAAGGAACTCAGCAACATTACTCCCCCAACAGAGGATATATCCCTTGTACCTTGGTATTGTTATGGACTAATAAGTGGCACGCCACCAACTAGGGAACAATGAGGGCTGGTGCACTATACCTTTGGAAATAGCTATCAAGCAATGTTAGGCCGATACTGTAGTTTTAATATTTTAAAGTAGGGTTTAGGTTTAAACTCCTCAACAGCACTCAAGAAAACAATTTTTATAATCATTTCGTTTTCAGTACATATTGCTTGACACATAAAACAAAAAAGTGACTACTTGGATATATATCCTGCGTATGAACAAAACACTTTACTCTCATGAGAAGTTGTAACATGAGAGCAATAAGTGGCTGCAGTTGCAACTATTGTCGGTTGAAAAATATTACCACAGTGCGAAATATATAGTGCAGGGAGGCACATACGATAAGAATGTATCAACTGGTTGCAGGTTGTGCACAATTGTAGATGCTAACCTCGTTCACCTCCTGCTTTTGAGTATTGCCCGTATGGCAGACTCTCCCTTCTTTCACTGAAGTTAGGTATACGAGTTCCAAAAGTAGGCCGGAGGTATTTCAACTCTATTTATAAGAACCCAATTGACTGATTTTTTTAGTACATTTTAGATTATTCGCTTGTACTTCACAGTTCCTCATCGTTTGGACTTTACAGAGACCTCTTTCAGCACTCTACTTCACTCTCAATTCACTTTTCTTCAATCAAGGATGAGCATCATCAGCGCAATTAGCAATTTTCTTGAGGCGTACGACGTAACATACAGGCAGGTACTCGTTGGTGGCCTGGTCATCTATGGGACAACGCTGGCGCTTTATCGTCTGTACTTCTCCCCCGTTAGCCACATTCCTGGAGGGCTGCTTTCTCGCTTATCCATGCTGTATGTGAGGATCATGGTTACGCTGGGGAAACTGCCAGACTTATGTGAGGACGACTACTACAATTATGGCGACATCTTTCTTTCAGCTCCTGATATTGTGACGATTTCGAACCCAGACGACTGTCGCGCAGTGATGGGAACTTACGATTTCATCAAGGACAAGTTCTATGAATCGTTCCGATTAGTCGACGAAACCATATTCACTACCATTGATGCCGAGTTTAACATGCTAGGGCGGCGTCTGATTGGCCCTGCCTTTACCCCAGCGTCACTGCAGAAAATGGAGCCAACGATCATGGAGTGCGGTCTTTTAGCAATCAAGAGGAAGTGGGATAAGCTGATTGGGGAGAACGGTCGCGAAGCTAATGTCAACTTCAATACGGACTTCACATTGGCTACTTTTGACATTATAAGCACACTCGTGTATGGCAAGAAGTTCCGTGCACTTGAGAAAGGTGAGAGAACGATCGTTAAATGGGTGGAGAAATATAATTGGCTCGCTCATATCAAGGCAGTCATTCCATCCGTTGCAGAGTTCCCACTGAATCTGCTCTGCCGTCCTTTGCTCAAAAACTGCAAGGAGTTTGTTGGCTTCACTAGCACCACAGTTGAGCAACGCCGTGAACAAATCCGCCAGGGAGAAAAAGTGCCATACGATCTTTTACAGGCACTTATCGACGGGGAGGAGCTCGAGGCGAGGGCAAAACTGACACCATCTCAAGTAACGGCACAAAGCATTGAACTTCTGGGTGCTGCCATATACACAACTGCGGATACGATAACCTGGACCTTGCATTACCTGATGCTTTATCCTGAGTGTTATCGCAAGGCTGTGGACGAAGTTCGATCAATATTTGCACCTGACCACCTGATCGGCTACTCTGAGGGGCGCAGTCGGCTACCGTATATCGAGGCATGCATTTATGAGTCCTTGCGCATTTGTGCTGTGTCAGGATTTCTCTTGCCACGAGTAGTACCTCCTGGTGGGGCGACATTCCAGGGCTACTTTATTCCTGCCGGCATGACCATTGCGCTCAATATTGCCGGAATGAACCACCATCGGAGCTTATGGAGGGATTCAAAGAGGTTTATGCCAGAGCGGTTCATCGAGCGCCCGGACTTGAAACACCAGGTGATGTCGTTCAGCACTGGTGTACGCATCTGCCCTGGAAGGGCTTTGGCATGGGTTAAGATAATGACGATCCTTAGCAATCTGTTGAAGGATTATGACTTTTCGTTACCAGCGGATGCGCAGTATAGTCCAGACAGAACTGATACGAATGGGTTGCCGGTGGCAATGCCTCGTACTCATTCAGTGACTGTGGGCCCAAAGCATCCGGAGCGAGACTGCATCCTCGTTGTGACCAAGAGACTGCTTTGAAGGCTCCAGCACTCTGGTTCGGTTGGGACATACGGTCATTATTTGTGATTCTCTGAGTTTCTACAATTTTTCCTTTCCTCATCGGATCCATGTGCCATCACAACCATGGCTCCGATCCTCCTTTGAGATCCTTCTCTTCTCCACTCTCGATTTCTTTCTTATAACTACTTTCTCTTCTTATTCGTAGTTCTTTTTTCTGGCTGCTTACAGCCCACACCATATTCAATATAACAATTATCTGCCTGACTCTGCTCAAATCAGTCGCTGAAACTCGTGACCTTCCAACACATGCTATGAGCATTCCTACCTCCATTGAAAAGTGATTCAATCTCTCAAGCTGCCCGCCTGCAACAACAATTTGTCTATCTCGAGATAAAGGGCCCAGCGATGAAAGCGGCCTCCCGAGTGTTTTATAGTGGTTTTAATGTTCTTTTTTATATCCACCATGATATATCAAAGACAGAGATTGACCAACGCAGTTCAATATAATAGTTTGTAAAGCTAAATATTGCAGTGACATTTGCTTCCTGAGCGAGCTTCAGCGAAGCCCTAGAAAAATTATACAAAGATGGATTATTCAAATTGGCCCACCTATTCACACTTTTTTCTTCAGTCAAGCCTTCATTCCGAGAGATGAGGTTGACCATGGACTACCTCCTGGCATTTCTTTTTATATCATGTATCTCTTTTTTCATAATGCTACTCTTTTTCATTATTCTATACTAGTCTTTGGCCAAAAATAAACAGAAAGTTAGCACAATATGTGTTGTATTGTAGAGATACGAGCGCTTCTAGAGCTCAAAAAGGAATTGCATAGAATATACTTGAGACTACCCAAAAAATAAATAAATAAAGAGGGAGGAATCGATATGCTACGAGGCAATCGACTCAACAAAATATGAAACTATCGGCGATCCAAAAATAAATGTATCAATATGGTGTATTCATCATTTGATGTTGAATAACCGATCCTGATCCCTAGATCTACGCCACAGTGCTTACACAAGAGTAATGGCTCTACTATATAGCTCAGTGCACGCCAGGATATCAGCGGGTCTCCTTAATTTCTTTACTGTCACTAGTTATATAAAGATACCAGTATCCCAACACACCTGGTGTCCGATTCGCGAGTCCATGACTTCTGCCTGCTCATTATCGTCAGTAAGATCAAAGTGCCCATAGCTGCCTGCCTAGTCAAAGGTATCGTTGTAGCTATCATCGTTGGCGCTGATGGCTAAGATCGGTAGTGCGTGACAACATCATAGCACTAGATATTTCACCACACAGTTATAAACTTGTTTGAATATCATAAAAATAGACAAAGTTATATATTTACTCAATTGTTTTCTTGCGCTCCTCGCCAAGAACGACATGTGTAATGGCGAAGCAAGATATGAGTATTATCCCGCTGATGGCAGCAAATACGAAAAACGCACTGTGCATACTGTCAGCCCAAAGACGGGTGATTCTTGTCTGAATGTCATGCGGAATTGTATTACTGTATATGTTGCGCTGGTCTACAAGTGTAGAAGCTATATCCGACGCATGCGTAGGGAACTCGTACATCAACCCTGTGATACCGGACTTGATATGGCTGTCCAGGATCGAAGTCATAATGCTGGTAGCGAGGATCCCACCTAGTGTCCGAATGAAGGCATGTGATGCTGATACTGTGGCCATGTGTTTTCCCTCAACACTAGCTTGACAGACAAGTAGGGATGGCTGAGATATGAAGCCAAGACCAAGTCCTGCTAGAAACAGATAAATAATTCGCTCTGCCATCCCGGTGCTCGTTTTATACAGCAGAAGCAATGATGCACCAGCTGCAGCAAGCACTGCACCAACTCTGAGGGGAGCGAGGTATCGACCGAGCTTAGCCATGTAGACACCTGTAAATGGTGCTCCTAATGCGTAGCCAACGGCAGATGGTATAAGATGCAATCCACCCGATATTGTTGATGCATGCTTGACCGCGAGTTCCCAGGTAGGAATTATATTGGCAATTCCGTAGAGTATAGCACCTGTAGCAAGTGACGCCACTAGGCCTGAGAAGACATTGTGGTTTCCCAGGAGACGGATTGGGATGATTGGGTCAGCAACAAAGCGGTACTCGACATATCCAAACACAAGCAGTATGACAAATCCGCAAATGAGACATGCCAAGACCTGCGCCGATGTCCACTCGTACTGTTGACCACCCCAAGACAGCCCAAGCAAAATAGGAACCATTCCAATGGCGAACAACACACAGCCGATAAAGTCAATGCGCTTGATTTTCTCCTTGAACCTTCCCTTGGTCTTTGGCAGCTTGAGCGTGAAGAAGATCAGAGCCATGGAAATGATGCAGATCGGAATATTGATCCAGAACACGATTCGCCATGAAGCGTGCTCGATAATGCCACCGCCCATAACCGGTCCAACCACAGTGGCAATTCCCAGTGTACCGGAAATTACGCCAATATATTTGCCGCGTTCGCGCTCGCTGACAATATCACCCATCAGTACTACTGACAGCCCAAGAATCCCTCCGCCGCCGATTCCCTGGATTGTGCGGCTGGCGATAAGCATGTTCATCGACTGCGATGCTCCACAAAGAACGGAGCCAATCAAAAATATGGTGGTACTGGTAAGAGTCGTTTCCACGCGGCCAAGGACATCGCTGATTTTGCCGATAATTGCCTGCACAACTGTCGACGACAGCATGTACGTGGTGATAATCCAGACAGCCTGGCCCAGTGCACCAAAGTCACTGGCAATTGGCACATAAATGCTGGCCATGATAGTTGCATCCAGGGCAGCAATAAAAAACAGCATGCCTATGCCAACCATTGTATAAGCAATTTGTTTCTTGGAGAACGTATACGAAGCCAAATCACCACCGGCTGGTTCATTGGCAGTTACTGGACTACCGCTGCCTGCTTCATAAGAGTGACTCTCCACACCAGCACCAGCCTCAAGCGCTTTCTCGGAAATAGGCTGCTCACTGATATCTGGCACAGCTTCCATAGCGCCCGAATTCTGCACAGTGAGGGTCTCGTCGAGAGCAGTTTTGCTCCTAGTCTCGGTGACAGACATTATAGTCAATAGAATAAACCTGTAAAGGTGAAGAGTAAGGATAAGTGTCAAGTTTCTTTCTTTTCAGCTCACATGCTGACACTGCTTCCATGCAGTACCCAAGGGGCTACTTGCCCCATGCCTTGTATCTTTCGTATGGAGTGCCGAAGCCGAGAAACGTCCGCCTAACAAAAAGGGCAGATAATCACATTACACTATTCTAAACATTGTCCACTCGAATAATGAGCACTATATTGCATGGACAACTAGTAATTGACTCCACCACCAGAAAACAAAAACACCAATTCAGCAATGATGTATGGCGCCATGTGGCGCTGGTTGCTTGGCCCACCCCTCTCCCTATGGTTAAGATGTGTCCAATAAGGAATCAGCTGGCACATATATACTAGTGCTCGCACAAGTTGAACTCTTGTTTGCTGAGCACTCAACAATCAGTTTCAGGTTCGGTTTCTTGGACGTATCAAGCGACATATATAATTCGACATACCTAAACAAGCTATTGTAGGTCTAGAGCACATGGTAGGTGGTGTAGGACGAAAAAAGGAACAAAAAGCAAGTACTGATAAATACCATTTCTGTGATTTTATGCATTTTTCCGTGAAATGCGGATTCCGAATGAACTGTAGAGCAGTGATATCTCAACCCCGAAACGCGCTAGTAAAGTGAATAGGATATTATCAGAATTAGATTTTCCTCATTTCAATGTGCTATTTTCTCTATATACTTTGCTACCCAGTGCAATACTGGACCAGATCCTTCTTATCTTTTATATTATTCTATTTGCTTAATCCCTTTCAGCACTCCTTCACACTTTCTCGATACATATATCTTCAGGTGTTTTAGCCCGCTCTACACTCTACTTGTATCACTTGTAACCTTCTGACAAACAATAACGGAAAGTGACAGAGTTGATGAATATATATTCTGTCAGAATTTGTGAATCTCTGGGTTTCTAAAATTTCTCCTTTCCTCATCAGATCCATGTGTCATTACAACCATGACTCCGATCCTCCTTTAATATCTTTCTCTTCTTCACTCTCGATTTTTTCTTATATCTACTTTTTCTTCGTATTTGTAATTCATTCTTTTTCTGGCTGCTTACAGCCCACTCCTTGTTCAATACAACAATTATCTGACTGACTCAGCCCAAATCACTCGCTGATACTCATGACCTTCCAATACTAGATATGCAGCTTGTTGACCAAGCAATGTGGAACGGCCGTCATATGGATTTCTGCATGAAGGGTCCCTTGGTTGGTGAGCTGTCAACTAAGACCTTGATCCATCGTGAAAAGGGGTCTCATGAGGGCGTCACAGGCGATGATGACGAAGATACCAGCGATAGTGAGTTGGAGTCGGCACAGGAATCAACTAATGGCAAAATAATGAACCTGCTCACTACAAATCTCAACCGTGTCACCAGGGTCGTCGCCTATCTGGATGACCTGTACACGCTGCCTCTGTCAGCAGTCATTGGTGTCATTTACATGTTCAAGCTGCTGGGGTGGTCATCGCTCATTGGATTCTCGATCGTGATCCCGTACTACCTACTGACAAGGAAACTATTCAGCTATCTGTCGGATCTTGAGGAGAAAACTTCGGAGCTGAGTGACGAGCGTGTGGAAGCGATTACAGAGCTTCTGCAAGGAATCAAGGCTGTCAAGCTCTATGGCTGGGAGTCCCAGTTCCTCAAAAAGATCGATGCGCACCACGAAAAGCAGCTGGGTTCAATGTGGAGATGGCTACTCGGCTGGGCCTATGCATCCATCGTCACAACTCTGTTGCCGATGATCGTCATGGTACTGACACTTGCATCATATACCGGCATATTCGGACACCAAATCAATGCCGAAATTGCATTTACAACGATCTCGGTGTTCCAGCTTCTGCGAATTTCACTGGAGCATTTCCCCGACTTTTTGAGCTGGGTCATTTCGGGCTATGTGTCGCTGAAACGTATCGATTCATACCTTGCGATGCCTCAGGCCCAGGACCTCGAAGAGCGGATCTGTCGAGTAGATGGCAGTGGTGATGTGCTGGGGTTTGTCAAGGTTAGTCTAGTCTGGGACACACATGGGAGGAACAACTCGATTAATTCAGTCGATGATAATGGGTGTATGGCGAAGGTCGACAAGAACACACCACTGATATCAGACGCTTCGACCCGTTCAGATGCTTCATTGGACAGCCAGCAGGAGCAGCCAGATAAGGTTGCATTCAGGCTCAAGGACATCGATATTCGCTTCCCTGCTAACGGGCTATCGGTCATTGCTGGTCTGACAGGCAGTGGCAACTCATCATTGCTGTCAGTGCTCATTGATAAGATGACATTGATCAGCGGGTCTATTCAGCTGCCAACTGTCAATGCCGATCAGAGCATCGCTTCGAACCAGGGCTATCAAGACGTTATTGAGCTGTCACGCGAACAGATGGCAATTCGCGATATTAGCTATGTTGCGCAGGAGGCATGGCTACGCAATGCCACCATCCGCGAGAATATCCTGTTCGGCGAGCCGTATAATCAGCAGCGCTATGAGGAGGTGCTGCGTGTCTGTGCACTGAAGCCCGATCTGCGGATCCTGACTGCTGGCGACCAGACCGAGATTGGCGAGCGCGGCGTGACGCTGTCGGGTGGCCAGAAGCAGCGTGTTGCATTGGCGCGTGCTGTGTACTGGGACTGCAGGATCCTGCTTATTGACGACTGTCTGTCAGCTGTCGATGTGCACACTACCAAGCACATCCTGATGGAATGTCTGCTTAACAAGACGTCACTGATCCATGGCAGCACCTGTGTCCTCGTCACCCACCACGTGTCGATGTGCCTTCTGTATGCACAGTACATCGCGGTGATGTGTGAGGGCGAGATTGCGCTCAAGGGCAATCCACAGGAGCTGCAAGCCTTGGGCAGGTTCTCTGCCACACTTGCTGAGCTCAACACCAAGGAAGACACCAAGTCTGATGATGGATCGAAGGACAAGAAGGTTGATGACATCGAAGATGATGGCAATGCCGAGCGGGCCAAGGCTGTCAATGATCCGACATCGGAAGACGAGTACAACAGCAAGAGACTGGACAAACTGGTCATTGACGGGGGCTTGGGTACAGATATCAACCCGGCAAGCCTTGAAGGAACTTTGGTTGAGGACGAGGAGCGTGAGACTGGGCGGATCAAAATGGATGTTTGGCATATATTCCTCTCAGCATGCGGTGGCTACTGGTACTGGTTTGCTGTTCTTTTGTTAAACTCCCTGACCAAAGTGGTTGCGATTGTACAAGACTACTGGATCCGCATCTGGGTAGAGGCAAACAACACAGCATCTCCACCCGTGGTTCTACGCGATTCTACCGACACAGTATCACCAACAGCAAACACCAACATAGTCGGCCAGCATACAGTATCGTTTTGGATCGGTATTTACCTGGCAATCGGTGTCATCGAAGTTTTTTGCGCTGTTTATCAAGCCTGCCTATGCATATTCTGGACTGATCAAAGCTGCCAGAAATGTGCATGCAAAGCTGATCAGGTCAGTTGTCCATGCCACACCACGCTTCTTTGATTCGACACCATTCGGCCGGATCATTAACCGGTTCTCCTGTGACATGGAATCGATTGGCACGAACACCCTAGATTCACTCATTTGGATGTTTGCAGACTTCATCTCTGCATTGGGTGTTATCATCATCATCACTGCAGTTACGCCGCTGTTCATTTTTGTTGCTGTTGTCATCACATTCGCATATGTGGTGATTGCCAAGCATTATTTGGATTCAACCCGCGAACTGAAGCGACTCGAGTCAAATGCCTCAGCGCCGCTGCTGTCGCTGTTTGGCGAGCTGATACAGGGTGTATCGTCGATCCGCGTGTTTGGTCTCAAAAAGTACTACATCATGGAGGCCATTAACAGATCAGATGAGCTGAATCGCCCATTCTACCTAACAATGGTGTCGAGCCGCTGGATGTCTGTCTGACTTGATGCCGCAGGTGCAACAGTGTCGTTCTTCTGCGCCTTCTTCATCTTGTGGAATGTCCACAGCTTCAACGCCGGTCTTGCTGGGTTTGCATTGGTATATGAACTGCAGTTTAAAGACTATATGCTGTTTGCCACCCGGAACTATGGCGACAATGAGCTGAACATGAACGGTGTTGAGCGGGTTAGCCAGTATCTAAAGCTTGACCAGGAGGCCAGCGCTCAGTCGATGCCCGAGAACAAGCCCGTCAGCAACTGGCCCAGGACTGGTGATCTTGAGATTGAGGACCTGGTCGTCGAGTACGTGCCTAATGTCCCAGTGTTGCATGGCCTGAGCATGTCGATCAAGCATGGCGAGAAGATTGGTGTGGTTGGTCGCACCGGCGCTGGCAAGTCGATGCTGTCGCTGGCGTTCCTGCAGTTCATCGAGGCAGCCAAGGGCCGGATCGTGCTTGACAGGGTCGACATCTCGAAGATTGGCCTGGAGGATCTCCGTCGCAATGTCACTATCATCCCGCAGGATCCGGTGCTGTTCAATGGCACTATTTGCTTCAACCTTGACCCGTTCAGCGAGTACCCCGATGAGATTGTGTGGGATGCACTGCACTGTGCGCATCTGGTGCGCGAGCGTGGTAGCCAGACCGCCAGCACCGCAATCAGCGTGTTTGAAGGCAATGCCATTGACAGCTCACTGGAGCGCATGTCAGGCATATTCACTAGCCTGGAGGCCGAGATCAAGGAGAATGGCCAGAACCTGTCGCTGGGTCAGTGTTAGCTGGTAGCGCTGGCTCGCGCTCTGGTCTGCCGGTCGCGACTGATCATCATGGACGAGGCAACGGCGTCGGTCGATTTCGATACTGATGACCGTATCCAGCGCACGATCCGTGGATCCGAGTTTGCCGACTCGACCCTGTTCTGCATTGCTCACCGGCTGCGCACCATCATCGACTATGACCGCGTGCTGGTACTGGACAAGGGCAAGGTTGCCGAGTTTGATACTCCAGCCAATTTGCTCAACAGACAAGGCAGTATCTTCCGGAGCATGTGTGAAAAGTCCGGCGAGTTTGAATATCTTGCCGATGCTGCCAAGCGAGCCCAAGATGCCAAGCAGCTTTCTTAAAATTAGTACGATTCAATACAGAGCCACAATTGCAGCTAGGGCTGCTCTCAGCGCTATCCTTGTTTGTCATCGGTTCTTCAAGGTTTACTTGTTCGCCGTCACATTCGTACATCACCAACAGACTTGCATATCCTGGAACTTTGTTGATACCATACTCGTCCAGTGTACTAATGCCCGGGGAGATGTTTGGATGACCCTTGAGTATTGAGTCAGGTTCAGCAATGGGATCAACTGTAAGTCCACGATCAGTCTGGCCTTCATGAACCCATCTGTAAACGTCCCGATGCTGATCTGGGTTATAATCTGGGAGCGTGATTGTTTCGTGAGACAATGACCATGTTACTGGTCTATGGCGCCCCGTTTCAGTCGATGCATTCGGTCTTGAGCATGCAGAATAATGCTCAGCCTCAATGTTAGGCACTTCTTGGCTATTCAGTGCGCTATCCACTGGTTCGGACATTTCGGCTATCACTGGTACTATTGCTTCTGCCTGCATGTCATCCAAATTCATCATCTCGTTTGCAGCTAGCACATGATGTGCTGGCGTCCAGTGAGTCAGGCCTTGACTGCTTAGTCCCAACCCTGATCCACTGTCTGCTGGCGAACTAGGCGGCCCTCTTCTTGATCTGGATGATCCAAAGGAGCTGCCGGGTCCTCCTGGTGCTCCTGGTGCTCCTGGTGATCTGGGTCTGCTTGGCGTATTGGTCTGTCGCCATTCACCATCATCGTCTTCCCAGTATCGCATCAAGTCAGCACCAGCAAAGTTCTTTGTAAGCATGTTTTCATGCCTGTCACAGAGCATATAGACCATGCCTATTCTCTGGACTACTTTGTATAGACCGCATTGGCATTCTGGTGCCTGAGCAATGTTGTGTGCAATTGGGTGAGCATGGGTGGTCACTAGCTCACCAGGTAAGAAGTAGTGCAGTGCTACAATGGCATTTGCATGCAGTCTTGCTTGTTGCCATATGTACTGTTGCTGCTGACATGCTTGCTGGTAAAGGTTATCAGCCAGCTCATTAATTATGTGCTGATTTCATTCGCCAAAGAACAGCTCAACTGGAGTATATCCAATTGTACTGTTGGGGGTGACAGCATTCGCAGCTACAATTCGGGCTGCATGATACATCCATGAATTCTTATGTGGATGCTGCAGCAAGAGCAGCCTCAGGGCATTTTTGAAGCATTTTACTGCAGTTTTGGGCAAGACTGGCTTATAGATGGTATGTCGATAATGGGTTCTATGCAATGCCGTTACTCTGTAAGAAGTTGCAGAATTCAATGCAGGAGGTCATTCAGAGTTTGTTATCTGCACAACAATTATTTATACATGTTTAAACTATTGGCAATTTCAGTGAAATAAAAATTTCACCCAAACCGCCATCGGCATCTTGGAAAAGTTTCAGTGAACATAATTTCAACCAGAAAGAAAAACCTTTGCATATTTGGGGTTAATTATCATTGGGCAACAAAAGTCAATATCTCAATAGATGTGGCTAAGCAACCACAAGGAAATTATGTTCACTGAAACTTTTCCAAGATGCCGATGGCGGTTTGGGTGAAATGGCAAAAAAAATATTTGTATTTTTAAAATCAATTATACACACAAAAACATTCTGGACACAACAATTATAAATATCTGTTACAAAAATATCTAGTAGCAAAAAATAGTTCTGAAAACGATTATTCAAATAACTATCTAACAAAATTGTAATTTACTAAAATTTACAAGTCCAGGAATGACCCCCTTCCAAAGTGAACTAAGAGCATTACTAACAAGAGTGTTGTCAGAAAGAAGAAATATGCCTGATGTTGCTGATGCTAGGTATACTGCTAGAGGTGTAGAGCAACTTGGATTTAAGCACTCTTCTGAAATATTTGTTGACTCATTCATTGTTGAGGTTGTTGTTGAGAAATGCATTGAATCAGATATAAAGGTAAAGCAGAAGTCAGCTAGTGTTAGATTGCATAAAGTATTTGGAGAAGGTTTTGGTTATAAGTATGTTAGAAGCAAGATTAGTGAGCAATATGGACCAGTTGCTATTTACAAAGTATCTACCCCAAACATTGCAATAACTAGTTCTTTGTTAACAGTGAAGTTTGCTACTATGGCTGATCACAAAATATTTCTACAGAATTATGACATCACAATGGATTGTAGGAATATCTCATCTAGAAATATTATCTATAAATACCTTTTAGAAAGAGGAGTTGAAAAGAAAGATGTTGTAGATGATTTACGCAAGTCTGGCTCTAACTGTATTAGCTGGTATACAAAGAAAGGAGATGTTAAAGTTAAGAACAAAATTTACAACAAGTTTATTCAGCTTCTTGAGAGTGGTGAAGTTCGTAATCCTCTTAGTTCCAAACTTTCTGAATTTGTAATGCCAACTTTGCACAACTTTGGAGAAACATTGTATGCTTGCAGAAACTCTGGTTTGACTAGGATAGAACTAACTGTACATTCTTCTCAGATGCAAACAGTTGAATGGAATAGTAACTTGCTTCTTAACACAGTTCAGTTCATGAATGAATGCAGAACATTTGCAACTTCTTATGAAAAGCAGTGGATAGCACTTGTTGATAAAGTTAGTAGTTGTTATACAGTTTGCATTTATGTGAGACAACAGCATACTCTAGCATATTGTCATTGGTTTAACTCTATCACATCAAAGAAGCAAGGAATTATTAAGAAACTAAACAAGAATGATGATCCAATGGTAGTTGTTGCTAATCTCTCATTCAACAACAGACCTACACTTTATCAAATATATGATTCACTTGAGAGTGGTCTTGAAACAGAAAAAGTTCTTAGAAGAGTTGATGAGAATATAACTATTGTTCCAAGTCAGAGAAACTCCTTCTGGTCAACTTATCCTACAACTAAGCAGTATCACACTTTTGAAGAGATGGGATTAGTTAACTATAAAGGAATGCATATTGGTTGGATAGATAGTAAGCAAGCAAAGAGTAAGATATGTCTATCAAAAATGTCAGAGGATAAATATTCTGCAAAAGAGGAAAACATCAATGCATTAACAACAGCAATAGACAATATCACACTTGATGAAACTAGCCATATATTTATCAAAGAGAATACAGATCTGAAACCTTCATTGTATAGAGTTGCTTACAATGTTCTTCAGTTAGGTGATGAATTTACAGCTACACATTATGCACTCCATACTTTTAGAGGACATTCATACTTCTATGTTGATATTCTTATTAAAGGGAGAGATAAACAGCCAACTCTTATTAGGACACCAGTTGACAGTTCTATTGGAAAAGCAATTTCTCAACAGTTAGGAGAAAGAAAGCAACAAATATATCTAAGAGTTATAAGTGTGGGATATAGAACAATCACAGTTGAATAGCAGCCATTTTAAAACATAGTATAAGCAACCATTCTCTCCATATCTCTATGGAAAGTATGACAAACATCATACACATGTTCAACCCTTACCTCACAATCAGTAGCAATATGTTGGATCCAATTACGCACTTGTATTGCTAAGTCATCACTCATATCAAAGTCATGAATAAGTAGCAGAGTAAGCATATCTCTTTCTTCCTCACACATCTCAGCTAAATGTTGCTTGAAGAAGTTCTGGAATGATCCCATTTTCTAAAATTGATAAAAGTTGAAATTTTTATTTATGACTACCTCACACAGATGGACAATCAATTACAAGAATTAAGAGAGAAGGAGTGGAATGTGCTCTACACAACAAAGGGGGTCATTCCTGGACTTGTAAATTTTAGATGTTTGCAATTTAGTTAGTTAGTTATTTGAATAATCGTTTTCAGAACTATTTTTTGCTACTAGACATTTTTGTCATAGATATTTATAATTGTTGTGTCCAGAATGTTTTTGTGTGTATAATTGATTTTAAAAATACAAATATTTTTTTTGCCATTTCACCCAAACCGCCATCGGCATCTTGGAAAAGTTTCAGTGAACATAATTTCAACCAGAAAGAAAAACCTTTGCATATTTGGGGTTAATTATCATTGGGCAACAAAAGTCAATATCTCAATAGATGTGGCTAAGCAACCACAAGGAAATTATGTTCACTGAAACTTTTCCAAGATGCCGATGGCGGTTTGGGTGAAATTTTTATTTCACTGAAATTGCCAATAGTTTAAACATGTATAAATAATTGTTGTGCAGATAATAAACTCTGAATGACCTCCAAAGTGGAGATTTCTTGATGAAGACTGGTTAGTACATAAACAACAGAAGTACTATAGGAGTGAAGCTCATGAAGTGAAAGAAATAAAGCTCATCAAAGATACACTTGTAAAGCAACTTGGAATGATCCCTGTGTTCTTCTTCTTAAATGTTCTATTTGGTGGAAAGCAGTATCCATGTCCTTACAGAAATGTTGAGAAAGGACTCTTGATTTTGTACCAGTTAGTTGCTGGGCTATCAATCAATGAGATGGAGAGGTTTATTCCTAAGAGCAGCTACCAAGTAATTCATAATATGTTCTATATCTCAGAGTTAAGTGAGTTGAACAAGAAGCTTTCACACTACTTGCACACAATGTTCTCCACTCCAGAACTAAGAGTGATCTCAGCAAAGATTCAGAATCCAACAAACTTTAAGCATATAACTCTTATGTTAGATGGACATGACTCACGAGCTCTACATAATGGTGCATACAAACCAAATCTTTATTCCTTCAAGTTGAAGAAGTCAGGATATAGAACACAAGTTTGCATTGATTTGAATGGAATGGTTGTCCTTGTTTCACCAACTGAGGAATGTAAAGACCACCCAGACTCTAAGATGATTAAGAATATGTCACTATTGAAATACATCTCTCCAGTAGATTGTGTTGTTTTAGATGGTGGTTATCCTCAAAGTATTCTGGAAGAGTTAACAGAAGCAGAAGAGAATGAGAATTTTGGAATGCATAACTTTTGCTTACCAGTTAGAAAGCCAAGAGGAACCAACTTAAGTGAAGCAGAGTTAGAATATAATAGCAAACTTGGGTCATTTAGATCAATGGTTGAGAGCACATT